CTCCGCCTCTTCGTACTTGCCCTGGCTGTTCAGCACTGACGCCAAGTTGTTCATGCTCCCCAGCGTGTCTCGATGCTTATCCCCGAGCACTTTCTCCTTTAGGGCCAGCGTCTGTCTGTACATCGTCTCTGCCTCTCCGTACTTGCCCCCAAGCGTTCTAGCTAGTCCCACCATCTCCATGCTTGTCAACGTCTCCGCATCTTGTTCCCCAAGCACCTCGCTCCTGACCTCCATAGACGTCACTGACATCTGCTCTGCCTCGTCTGCTGTTCCTCGCTGCCATGCGTACCACGCCGCCTTGTACAGTAAGAGCGCCCACTCCTTCAGCGACTCTCTATCTTGCGGCCGCTGTGCTAATGCCGCCTGTGCGTGTGGAAACAGCGCCTGGCACTTCTCCCAGTTCTTATGCTCTCCTGTCGGCAGCTCTGCGCAAAGGATAGAAATAAACTGCTTCCTCCACTTGTCTAGCTGCCCTTCATTCTCCAGCCACGTACGCGTCGCTAGCTGCACTAGGCTATGCATCTCGAACGTGCTCGCATCTCTAGTCACTGCAATGAATGAGTAGTCCCGTAGGGCCAGCACATCGTCCTCAAACCCGTCATTCAGCTGTATAGCCAACCCGTGTTCGGCTACTGTGCTGCTCTGACGATGGAGCAGAGCTTCTTGGATCCCCTGTCGGTCGAAGAAGCTCATCAGCGACAGCAGGCCTGCCGCTGACTGTCTTGTGTTACGTATGTGGTCGAATGAGATCTGCCACGTTATGAGGACAGCGTTGCTGGCTGCTCTATCTCGGCGAAGATGACCCGCCTCGCGGTTCAGCAGGCTTGTCTTCCTACTGTCGTTCTGCCGATACTCCTCTAGGTACTGCCGCACTGAGCAGCGCGACGCTCGTTCCCGAATGTATGCTGCCGCCTGTACAAGAGCAAGCGGCATGTGATCAAGCGTCATTGCAAGCTGGGCAATGCTGCTGTCTTCCTCTTCTATGTTCCCTAACTTCTTGCGGAGTAATATATGTGCAGCCGCATCGTGCATTGGCTCTATTAATATGATATCGCTGTCTTCTACGACCTGCATTGCCACGCGCTTTGTCCGGCTTGTTACCAGGACAGAGCCGTGCCTGCTTGAGGGCAGATACCTCGATAGATGCTGCTGGAGAGTGTTGCTCCTGCCGCCTGTTGGAGAAAGCACAGCAGCATCGTCGGCATTATCGAGTACTAACAGCCATTGCCCGTTCTTTGCGTCGCGCAGCCAGTCGTGCACTAGCTTAAACACATCTGCGTGCGGGTCCTTCCGGCCGCGAACCTTAACCTGGTCGGCTATCTCGCGGAAGCTCTGCTCGAGTCGAGCTGCATTGCTGGCGTGCGCCCACAACACCCACGTCTCCGGCGACTGCTCGGCTGTGCGGTAGCAGTGCTCGATAGCCAGCTGCGACTTCCTGTGTCTGGGTCAGCTGCGAGATGCGAGATGCGATCGCTGACCCTAAGCTCTTCCGCCAAACTTACCCCACCCCACCGAGGCCCACCAGAGCTACTCGCGATGCTGGCGCCGCGCATCGTTCGCGGATCTGATCGAGCAGCGTGCCACGGTCGACAAAGTCGGCATCGCGGCGGAACGGCACGAAGCATGAGGGTTGCGGCGGGGTCTCTGGACGTTCTACAGAGGAGCGCGATTAGTTAGCGCAAGATGGGTCAAAGTGTGGGTCAAAGTGGACGGCCACTTGCCTGGTGCAGCGACGTGGATAGAGCCAGTGTTGTATCCAATTTGCATTCCCTCGTTCCCGTGGCCTGCAAACGTAGTGGTGATGCTAGAGGGGAACATTGTGCTTTGGCAGCGGCTAGGCTGCGCGTTGTTGCAGGCTTTGCGAAGCGGCACAGCTGCTCACGCACGAGGCTGAAGCTGGCGTCTCAGCTGAGCTGCTGGCACGTTCTCTAATGAGCACCCTGCGATCGCGCGCCTGTGCAAGAACGACCACCACTCGTCCACGCCGCTACTACTGCCTTCGCACCTCAGGTCAGAAGTAAGCCTCAAGCAGAAGTGCACCCATCTCTCTGCTTTTGCCCCGTCTTCACTATCCTCGCTATATTCACTTCAGCGGACCGATATGGCAGAGACAGCCGGTCTCTTTGTAGGCGTCGTCGCCCTCGCTGACCTATCCAACACCACAGTTAAGTGCTTTGAATTCATCAAACTCGGCCGCGCATTTAGGAGAAACTTCCAGACTAGTTAGCTGAAACTCAACAATGCAAGACTCCGCTTGTCGCGGTAGGGCAACTCTCTAGGCCTAGATAATGTTCGAGATACGGTATCTCTTCAGGGGCGTTTAAGGTCAGAGGCAAACGTCAAGCACGCTGAAACCTTGCTAGGCTAGATCGTAGAACTATTCGCAGAAGCTGAAGGCGTGTCGAACCAATACAAGAGCCAGGTAGAGCCTCAGGATAGCAGCCTTGTGGTATACGATCCGTAGATAGATCTGCATCTGGCTATGATAAAGCTCCATGAGAAACTGCGCCAGCTAGCCATTAAGCGCCAGAACCGGTCTGGCGTACGGTAGAAAGCCAAGTAGGCATTGTATTAAGAGAAGTAGTTTAGACGACTTAATCAAGGACATTACTAAGTTAATCAACAACTTAAACGACCTTTTCTCCACCACTTAGTAGTCCCAGCGCGACCTCTGCGACATCAAAGTATCCGCTATTAGAGAAGGTGAAGGCATATCTACGTTGAGAGAAATTGCCGCCGCCTAGGATATATTGTTAGAACATGCTATCGCGAAGGCTATGGAGAGGGTTGAATAGTCGCACCACATCGTGTTTTTAGGCAGTGGCAATACTGGTGTTTACCTGGGCCACAACTCTGGTACGATGTCAGGATTCAGCTTTGGGAGAGGCAGCTAAAGCTGTCGAAGGGTGGCACGGGATGGTACTAGGGGGATGTAGGGTTTCTGGCTAATAAAAGGCCACGGTGGTGACCTACGATGGCTTAGGGACGAAGTGTTAGAGTTCTGTCTAGGTTCTATGTGACTATATAAACATCTTCAGCACGAATTATACCTACTATTCTACACAGAGGTGGTAAGGTGTTGGCATAGGGGTTCTGCCATACACTTATATGCCTTCGCGTGAGTTCATTAGCCAAGGTCTCGCTTATGTCAGTAGCCGTTCGTGTGCTTCCTTAACAACTAGTAATACACATGTCGTCGCTCTTCTTACACCACTTTATGCGAGTTATGGTTCTCGATATCTCAATATAAATATATGCTGTGCTTCCAAGAAGATCCTCCGTGCCCTAGTAACTTGCTCTGTATTTCCGTACTCATATTGGCCTGACGAGACAGACCGACTTCAGACCTAACATATTCGAACCAGGGGGTTAATTGAGAATACGGATCCTCATAGCCAGTCACAATACTACGCGATGCTGAGGTATAATTAATGTTCTCCCAAATATTTTGACGTACGAATGACTAGAAACAGCCTATACAGTCTAGTAGCCCAATGCGTTAAGCTCTCGCGTTAAACCGAACAACGCTACGCTATCTACACCAAAGAGCCGGGACAGGACGAACCGGAAGTTATCATTATAGTTATCAAGAATAAAAGCAACAGCTGCTTCTATATGGCGATCGCAGGTAGCAATACCGACCTTAAGAACGCAAAGGCGGTCTGCTCCTAGGCCATCTTGTGTCGGCGAGCCACCATGTTACAATGGTAGCTATGGTGTAAGGCAGCGCGTACGCCACGTGTAGAGCAGAGATTTCTTGCCGTCGAGGCCAGAGGAGGAAAGCGTACTCGGAAGGTAGAACGAATTGAGGTTGATACCCAAAAGCAGTAGGGCCTATTAGTACATTGCTCAACGGCAAAAAGAGGGCAATCTATTGGTAGATGACTAAGGATTCGAATCACTTACTTGAGCCGAGCAAACATCTGTCCAGTAATGCCAACGTTCGTGCGCTTACGATAGCGGGTGAACATCTCTTATGAAGGATCGCAATCAGTGAAGTTGCTCGAGAATGGCAGAATGTGTAGCATACCCACCAGCCAGCCAGCCAGCCTTTCCCAACTCGGCTTCGTAAACAACAGCTTCTTGGATCTCAAGGTACACCTTCTGCACGTATTCGACTTCGGTGTCTCTATTAGAATGCAGATCAGCAATTGTTTGCATGTTCATCTGCATAAACCCATTCTTTGCATGTCATCTTGGATTCTGACGCGAAGTTATTGAGCAGTTACAGCAAGATTCTGGAAGACGCTTACCTCGGGCAGGAAGAACGACACGACGACCAATATCAGAGACAGCGCAATCTGCATGATGAAAGGACCGTGCCACGACACCGCACTCGGCAACAAAAAAAGGCCATAATCGACCCAGCAAGGCAGCATATAGCCCGCGATAAGACAAGTGTACTCAATTTCTACCATCAGACCTCGGGCATGAGGTGCAGCGATCTCCGTCTGGATGATGGGTCACGGAATCGAAATATTCCTCAAGCAGGTTCCTCACGAGCTTTTTTTTCTGGTAGAGGGTGCTGTAGAAGTGAGGCAATCGGTCGCCGCTCTGCACGTTCTCTCCGGGCTGCCGGGTGGGTACTATCTATCCCCTTGGCCACCAGGAATGGCAGAAGTCGTTCTCCTCAGCTCTAGGTGACTGCCCAGTTCACAGATTTCTTAGCGATACCTATCGTAGACACCGCATCAGCGCTTGCCATGCTAGTTACACTGGGTCTTTGGGATCGAGAGTGCTGTGACGGGGAGTTTGAGGGGTTTCGTAAACATTCTGAGCAGGTCCTGCTGGCTCTTGCATCATAGATTTGGAGTCCTCCTCAGCCCGCCGACGTTTGACCACCTGTGTAGATTCATTTGGATAATTTTTCAAGCATTAGACATTCGCTCCAACGCACAGAGAGCATGGCCGAAATGGATCGCACTGGTAACACGCTCAGTGGACGTGCGCAGCGTGGACTCTGTAGGACGAACTAAGTCGGCTTTCATTGCGACGGCATCGATCACAGGATTTTCCGACCGTTGTTGGGAGTTGGCGGCTTATCGGGATGCTGGGGACCATGGACGCCATCCTCACATGTTGGAGATGCTGTCGGTGTTGTTGATTTGCCCAGATGAGACGCGTTAGGGCGGTTACGCTAGGGCTGCCCGCCAAAAGTTTCCAAACACGCCTCAGGTAGCGTCAAGCTGCTTCACTCATCACCCAGCCAGATTCCAAATGCGCGACAGATTCTTCATCGCGACTATGGGGCTTGGGACTTCGCGATTGCATGTCAGAAAGTGGATCCTCATGGTTATCATGCGCCTTGGATTCTTCGCGACCGCACTCATAATTACGTCAGCTAAGGTACGTAGTATCGCACCATTTACAGGGGATCATGATGACCAGCAATGTGAATCTTAAAGACACGAACATCGACTGAGCACTCTTCAGGAACTAATACCTCGCGCTCGAGTGATGGCCTGACGCACCTCTTTTTGGCCACGGGCAAATTGTATCTGAGTCTGCTCACCCTTGAGAAACACTGTTGCTTCAACGAGGGTTGAAAGAATTGAATTGCATCTTCCATAGAATCCTGAGACGAGTGGCACACATGTTTCATGTGTCCAAAGTCGAACCGGCCGAGAAAACGCCTGGCAAAGCCACCTTCTCGTTCTAGCTAGGTGGGCTTCTCCTCGTTCTGGTAATGCCTTCTATAAGCAGGTCGTTCAATAATTTAATGGCCTTTAGCTAACATGGTTGATAGTGCGCAGTGACCTCCTAAAAAGGGAAGGCGGATACCATGACCATCTCATTGGTCTGACCAAGTTGCTACGCGACTCATTCATGAATAGTGATCGTCAATGCATATCTAGGTATATCACCTTCCCAATTCGAGAGTTATAATCACAATCACGACTTAATCGCATAGATTGATGCTTGCAAACAGCGCGTTTTAGGCATTCTCTTTTGTGATCGCAGTGCTCTCAATCTCATCATCTGTTGTTTTTTCTCACTCTTAAGAGATCAGTTTCACATCCCAGTGCCGTAACCGTGGCACGGATCCGAAGCTCCCAGGAGGAACATCACAATGCTGTTGCTGGTATCTCTTTCCCTTGTTGCCACCGCTGTAAGCGGTGCATTGGGTGGCCCACAGCGCTTCATCAATGCTGACAGGGAAGTTACACTACGAGCTGCGAGCGGAGCATTGGCTGCATCATATCCAGCTTACAATCTGTCCATTCCCATTGATCACTTCAAGAACTCAAGCCGGTACGAACCGCATAGCGATGGCACCTTCAACAATCGTTACTGGTTCGATGCCAGCCACTATAAGCCTGGCGGTCCAGTGATCCTTTTCATGGCAGGCGAAGCATCTGGAGACTATCGCTTTCCACTCCTCGATAAGGGCATCATTTATCAGCTTGCTTCGGCCCACAATGGTATTGGGGTAATCTTGGAACATCGATATTACGGGACAAGTTTCCCTTTCAAGAACATTGCAACAGCGGACGCAAGGTTCCTGACAACGGAACAGTCACTCGCTGACGCAGCCTATTTTGCTCGAAATGTTAAATTTCCTGGGCTCGAGAGTCAGAACCTCACGTCTTCGAACGCTCCTTGGATCGTTTATGGAGTATCCTACTCCGGAGGACAGTCGGCCTTTCTCAGAAAGCTGTATCCAGATGTTTTCTGGGGTGGCATCTCGTCATCAGGCGTGACTGAAGCCATCATCGACTTTTGGCAGTACTTGGAACCTGTTCGAAAATACGGACCAGCTGACTGTATTTGGACTCAGCAGTTCATCACCGACGTTGTCGACAAAGTTTTCATCGACAGCAAGAACGCGACTCTGAAGGGTCAATTCAAAACATTCTTCAATTATGCGACCACTGCAATAGACCAGAATTTCGTCAGCAATCTCTACAGTGGTGTATATTCTTGGCAGAGTCGAAACTGGGACTCCACGATCGGCTCTGGAACCTTTAGCAACTGGTGCAAGATCATCACAAGTTCCAAACTGCAGTACTCCTCATCCGCTGCGACAAATGCCTCGGCTGCTGCGATCCTCAAGGCCACGGGCTACGGTGGCAACAGTACGCTCACGCTGCGCTTGCTCAACTATGCTGGATACCTCGAACGTTCCGCTCGCCGAGATACAATCTCTCTGGACAATTTGATGCCCGCCTCCTCCCTTATCCCCAGGTCAGCTTCCTCGGCCAAAGCTGCCGTTCCTGCGGCACAGTTTGACTCGTGGGGTTATCAGACTTGTACGGAATGGGGTTACTGGGTCACCGGCTCCGGATTCGACTCTTCACTCGGCAAACCGTTGCTATCACGCATCTTAGATCTCAAGTTCGAGAACTCGTACTGTGCATCTGAGTTTGGCATAACCGCCTCGCCCAACGTCACACAAGTGAACAAATACGGCGGCTTCAACATCTCATACCCTCGGCTCGCCATTGTCAACGGTCTTGCGGACGTGTGGCGCGAAGCCACCCCTGCGGCTGCAGAGCGCTCTCGCCCGTCGACGGTGTCAGAACCTTGGATTGTGATTGACAATCCACCGGAAGACGTCTGGGATGGTCTTCGAGGCGCTGGCCATCATTGGGAAGCTAATGGGGTCACTGCGAGCCAGACTCCTAAGCCCCCCAAAGCCATTGCGGCAGCGCAGGCTGATATTGTTAGCTTCGTGGGGACGTGGGTCCAGCAATGGAAAGATACTCGAGGGCGTGCAACAGGCAGGGAGAAATAAATTCAATGCCTTTTCTCTCCAGTCGCGCAATATCCTTTTGGAGTGAAATGAGCTGATATTTTTGCGTCACATTTTCTATCATCCAATCAAAGCTTGTCTCATGAGTTAAAAACGAAGATCAAATGCACTTGTAATTCTGAATGCATCAGTGTAAGCCTGGATATTCAACGCGCGTGGGTTCTTACTGACTATTCCAATGCTACCATGGAGTTACTTCTCTACTCGGCCCTTTCGCGCCTCTCATATGTTCACTGCAGAACGCTTGCAAATAATCACACCGGTATTGGGTACACGGGGATCAGACCTTGGTAAACTGTGACGAATGCCAGTCGACCAAAAAATCCACACCCTCCATAGTACATGCGCGATAAGGTTTTCCTAGAACAAGAGCACCGGTAGACTTCGAGTTTGCGGGGCTTGGTCAAATGATATTCGTGAGGCATACCTTTGACGAAATAGGTAAAAACTTGGAGAAAATAATCCGCAGGATATCGGCCCTTCGTCATGTTAGCTTCGCGCCCCCACGGCTCCGAAAACGGCCTAGTCGCGTTTCGGATACTTTTGATAACGCGACGGTATTGGTCCATGGCACAGCCTTTCCAAGTCCGCCGGCTTCGGGGTCTCGTCAATATTGCTACGAATAGCCGGTCCGTGGTAAGGCGGGACATGTACACGTTAATTTCCAGTGGAGTACATCGTATTCAACGGTATTCGTCTGAGCACATCCGAGAATGGTTACTGGAATGCTCTTGGCTTACTATCTTTAGTAGAACGCCGAAGGCTGGCGACTGCCCTGCTGGAAATGGACCTGTACACACCCTCGCCGATATGATCCGACACGCGAGTTTGACCTACATATAATATTCGCACAAGGCTTGCAAAGCCTTGCATCCAACCCATTCTAACTCCATCTACATTCCTTCATTATGCTTTTCGCGCTCCTTGCAGTCCTTACCGCTTCGGCGCTTGCTTCACCTCTTTCCTTGGCCGACACACAGCTGCAAGCGCGCGACGCGCCCTGTACGGGTGGTGTTGAGGGGCCCTTCCTTGAGACCAACTTCCCCGATCCATCATTAACGAATGTTGACGGGACGTGGTTCAGTTTCGCGACGTGGAACGGGAAGGACTTTCGCGGTGCCGAGAGCAAGAACTTCACTGACTGGAAGCGTTTCGAAAGTGGGAAATTGCTAGCCATTGAGGAGGCGACATGGGCGAATGCGAATAGGATGTGGGCGCCGGACGTGATGCGGAGAGCACATGATGGCAAATACGTCATGTAAGTGTTACCGGTGATGTCCATCCGCTAGCGTTTGGTATACTGATGGTAGCGCAGGTACTTCACTGCAGATGATAAACAGAAGGAGGGGTCGCAGTGCATTGGAGCTGCCATCAGTGACAAGATCCATGGGCTGTACCATCCCGTGAACGACTTCGTACAGTGTAATCGCTCGTCGCATGGTGTTATTGATCCTGCATGGTTCAAAGACACAGATGGTCGGCAGTACATTGTATACAAAGCTGAGAACCCGTCCGGTCGGCTGGAGATCAGAGAGGTAGCACATTCGGGTAAGAACATCCATAGCTGGCTCATTTTGAGGCTAGGTATCCGGAAAGCTAATGAGATAACAGGCCCTAAGGAAGGTGTTCAATGGATTGGCAATGCCGTATACCTTCTCAAACCCCGAGACCAAGGCTTCTGGGATGGACAAAACATGGAAGCACCGTACATTTTCAAGCGCAATGGCATCTACTTCCTCACATACAGCACGCACTGGACAAACAACGAGACCTACGACGTACAATACGCCACATCAAAGAATATCATGGGACCCTACACAAGAGTGAAAGAGCCACTTGTTAGTAGTGGCAAGAAATTTGGCTGCGAATTGGCAGGGCCAGGTGGCGCCAGCTTCCAGCGATTCGGCAACGCGAATAAGTTGAGGATGGTGTTCCACGCGTTAGGTCCGGAGCGCAGAGTCCAGCAGCGGCCATTCTATACGGCTACTGTCCATGTGAACGGAGAAAAGCTTGAAATCAAGCCTTGATTTCTGGAGCGTAGAATGTACAGCGTCGTTAGCCAAGTACTATGTATAGGAAGGGAACGGATATTCTTGATAGTCAATAGTTCGGGCGGAGCCATTACCAACTTGTGTACAGCCGAATGATTGTGCTATATTGTGTAGTATTGTTTCCATACACCGATGCCTCTATTTGGCGGGAATAGCGAGACCGTACCCAGAAAACATCCCCTCAGGATCGAAGGCTGCCTTCATCTTTCGAAGCTTCGCGAAGTTCTTCGAGCCATACAATCTAGAACTCCACTCCTTGACGCTAAGCTCTGAATTGACGTAGTTGACAAAACTACGCAGCGGGGCCGACTTCTTTAACGCGCTTTCGAAGGGTTTCATAAGCGCTTGCATATGAGTGTTGCCGTCGCTGGGCCAGATCCCGGACACAAGTTGGCCGTCAACACGGATCAGCCAGAGATTCTTGCCGTGGGCAAACGCAGTATCAGCATCAGCAATGTCTCGGCTGATGCCACCCCACAGATCGAGAAAACCAGATCCTATGAGATCAGTGCGGTTCAAACTGTGGTAGCTCTGCAAGAGCGCCTTCGCCTGCTTCTGCGAGAGTGCGTGGTCGTTTGTGACTGTCCAAGACTGCACGAAAAAGGCGCGACCACCAAGCTGTCCCCCCGCGGCATCATTCATACCGGGCCCAACGGCGGCCACTTCCGCGTCCCAGAAAGATGGCAGCACAGTCTTTGTGAGATTGACCGCAGGCGCAACGGAGCGTACTGATTCTACGAGTGGCGCGAATGCTCGATCAAAATCAGATTCAACGCCATAGAAGAAGCCGGCCGAAGCAAAGGTACCCAATTGAAACCGGAGTGATAACTCGTCGGGTGCTTGTCCACTCGTAACCCACTGCTGGATTTTCAGCAGAGCTGCACTCGCAATGTCAACGTCTACATCTCCAAGCGTGAGAGAATAGCTGACGGCGCCATCGATGGGAATCGCGTGCGTATTGAGCGTTGCGGACAGCACGATTCCGAAGCTTGGTCCAGCACCTTGTGCTGCCCAGTGCAGATCCGATCCGGGGCCGCCAGTGACTATGGATCCGTTGTGCAACATGAACTCGACGGAAGCAAGGTTGTCCGTGGGAATGCCCAAGAATCTGCTTGTGGTTCCGAAACCGCCGCCCATTGTGCTCCCGGCGAGGCCTACGTGCGACCCTCGTACGTGAGGGAAATGTCGGCGGTGGTTGTCCCAGAGATATTTAGCGGCAGGGCCAACATTGGCGCCTCCTCCGAATGTTAGTTGGTTGGTGGCATTGTCGAAGCTCAGACCTGTGAAGGCTTGCATGTCGATGACAAGGTTCCCAGGGTTGCCATAGCCGTAGCCTTGGAATGAGTGCGCGCGTCCGACGGCTGAGACTTTGACAGAAGCATTGCGAGCACACGATAGAGCTGTCGCGACTTGACTCTTGTCCTGGGGTAATGCAACAGCCACCGGCTCAGGAGCAATTCTGAATTGAAATGCGGCAGTGTCCTTGGCCCAGGTTGCGTCTGTAGAAATCGTTGCTTGTACGCCACCCTGGTCCAAACAGGCCCTGATAGAATCTGCTTTTTGATCCTGACACAGCCCAGCCGCTAAGAAGCCGAGCAAAATAAGAAGTTGCTGTCCATGTGAAGAGGTATGCAACATTTTGACCAGAACAAATGGTGAACTGAAGCAAATCACTGGAGGTGTTGTGTGAGAAGCGCGTGGATGTCGAGATTTTATGGGCCTTTTGATGCACTGCCCCTTTGCTCAGGACTATGAAATTTCTAAACATCACTAGATCCAATCTTTACTTACTTTCAGTGCGTTTAGCTGTAGATCGGAACTGCAATTTGATCACCTTCTTGGAACAGGAACTTCCAAGCCTTGGCTGCTAGACTAGTATTCCGTACTCTCCGGTGCGAACTCTTTTGCGAACGAAGTTATCGCACCCTCGAACACATTTTTCTGTTTAGGATGTTGCTATTGTGTATTGGTGACACTTATCTGGGTTTTGAAGGCGAGATCGTTCCTTTCGCAGTTGACATGCCTGATGTGGTAGCCCATCCCGCGCTGTGAGTGGGTCTCGAGAGATTGCTCGATTTTGCCACGGATTCCGATAACGCACAACGGTACGAAACGACCAGGTCTGTCCGAGTCATGCATCAGCTAAATGCGAAATCTGCTGACACGTCCTCAGAGGATGTTTGGTACTTCATTGCTTGGATCCCTGTCGACAACTACAGACATATCCTGAAGATGTAAAGATCTCTGTAGGAACTCTGGCGCCAATGTTCGGCTGATAAAGTCATCGATGAGTTACTGGAGAAGGGAAGCAGTGTTTGTTGGAATATAAGCCGTTGAATAGAATATAACGTAAGTACTGGCGGGTTACTACGCAAATCATCTTCGAGCGATTGAGAGAAATGCGAGAGTGTTGAGTTTAGGGGGGGGGGGGGGGGCGCGATCGCTCGAGTCTGTGGACGTACCGCAAGTGCGGTACTAGCAAACCACAAATGCTTTTTCCCGCGACATACATGACGTACATAAGTCATTGAATGAATGGAATACGTCCAATATATTGCACATCCCATCAAACATGGCCACCCTTACAAAACCCTGCGAGGATCCCAGGTCACCCACGAGCATCTCCCGCTTGTTGTCCAACGACTCCGAGAGCTCCACGTACGATCTGAAGTGCCGTTGGCCATCAGAATTAGATGACCATGTCCAATATTTGTTCCGGGATCTTCAAGAGCAACTTAGGCAAGGACCACTCGCGAAGCGCTTCGTCACACGCTCCGATCTTGCACGCGGTAAGCACATTCATGAATTACACAGCGTCCATTCTCGCGGTCGCAAAGGTCGTGTGGGGGTGAATCAGCCGGAGTGAGCCACGGCCATTACTGCCCTTCTTATAGGCCGAGATCGTTTGGGAGGGTTTGTTGGATTCTATGGTTGGGCGCCGTTCGATGTCTTCCCAGGGGATGGCCACGCAACGGGATACCGACGTCAACAGAGGCAAAGAATCGTTTCTGCAATGGATTCTAACTCGCTGTCTCCTTTTTGGCTGGTAGAGTCCTCAATCATGATCCAAGAACTGAACCTCTCGGTCCAGACCTATACTGCTCGAGCATACAGGATACGATACAGTAGTGCCAATAAGCCAAAGCATAAAAATGTGAGATACTCTTAGAGAGCTGGGGGCGGTTGCAGACTGGTGCGGATATGGAGACGGCGGTCACGTGGTGAACGAACCTATCGATATCGATGCAATAGTCAGGTCTTTGAGCTGCAAGCCGACAAAAACGACCAACACAATTCTCAACGGCTCGGGCCACAGTCTTGGCTCAGAATGACTTAAGCACCTCACGATGTATAGCAAGCACTCAAATTCGAGCTTAGGGTTGACATTGGTAGAACGTATAGGAAATCCGAGCTTGAAAACACCTTTCCCTGTTCACACATGCTAACATGCTGCACTACAAAACCTCAAACGTATGATACAGTGAGATAACACAGGAAGAGTGCGCACCTACATTTCAATCTCTTGCATGAGCTTTAGTGCAGCCTTGCGGGCCGTGAAACAAGCTTGATTGGTCAATGAGACAGACGAGGGCACCAAATCGGTGCAACGCTCTCCTGCATATAGCCACTGCATCGCAACCGCAATCAATATACACTGTTGACATTCGAGGGTGTTGTTATCAATTTCGTTGCGAGCCAATCTGTGCACGATAGCAGCAGCTTCTTCGTGCCTAAGGAACGCCAGTACCGCTAAACGATATATAATATAAACCCGAGACCGACCCCAGGCGAACTCCATAACGAGCTCTCAAAAGGGCTGTTATCCATTGCAATCGTATCTTCTTGGTAAAGACGAAATGGGTGAGGCATGTCTCAATCAGTAGCTGCGCCTGTTGGCAGAAGCATTGAAGGGGAGATGGTCGAATCAGGCCCGAATTGACTTTGAGACGAAGTTTTATATCAGCAATCTTACCGGACCAGAGCTCAGACCGTAGGGATGTAACCTGGGTGGACGGGAACGTGTGATGTTTTCTAATACCGCTCGTCTAGAAGAAGAACGTCACAGCAGAAGAGACTGATTTCTTCCCAGTCATGCAGCCAATCCCTATCGTGGCAATAGCTAGCTCGAACCGTGTGGGAGTGATGTGCACGTGCGTGTAAAGGGATGGCCCAAACTCCTGACAGCTATTGGTCTTCAGTTGGTGTCCGCTCTGGCTGTCTCTGACAGAAGCCGGGAGCCGAAGGAGGATAGCGTCCACGGATTGGGTCCTCTCAAAGTGTGAGTGGTAGCTGGAGGATTTGATATTGCGACGCTGGGCAGCAAGTGTTACAAGGGGTTTGTGTGATTGTAACAGCAACGTTGGGCGGTTGAGACAGGGCTGCTCTCCAATACGCTAGTGCCCATGCCGGCTAGCGTTCCCGCGCGACATGCACCGTCGCTCCCGCAATTGCACCGTCATGGGCCCAACCCCAGCCGTGGACAAGGCGCCCGCCGCGAAGCCACCCTGTCCTGACGTTGAGACTACTGTTTCTCCACCCCGCGCAGCCTGTCTCTCCGACAAATCTGCACCGTGAGCAGTGCCAATCGGAACCAACCACCATCGATGGCCGACGCCGACGTCGACGTCGCGCAGCTTACCGAAGAGCAGCAGCTTGCGCTCCAACAGTTCACCGCCGTCACCGACCAGGAGCTCAAAGATGCCGTGCCCCTGCTGCAGCGGTGTCAGTGGAACGTGCAGGTATGCGCCTGCCCTTCAAGCGCCTGCCCGCCCCCGCCCCCGACTGACAACGTGCAGATTGCGATAGCCCGCTTCTTCGATGGCGAGCCCGCAGAAGACCCCGTCGCCGCCGCCGCCGCCGCCGCCGCCGCACCGCAGGACACCCGCCGGCAGGAGACGCTCCTGAACGCCTTCGGCTCGCCGCGCTCCTCCACATCCAGTCGACGCTCGCGGATAGAGCCCGCGCCTCGTGTCGTCCCCCAGCCCGAGAACCAAGTCGCCGTCCGCCCGCCGCTGCTCCTCGCCCTCCTCTTTGCACCCTTCTCCCTCGTCTACTCCTTGTTCTCTCGATGGTTCCGCTTTGTGGGGTGGATGTTCCCGCCCTTGACCCGGCTCTTTGGAGGCGGAAATGCCGCGGCCGCAGGGAGGCGGAACGCCGCTGGTGGGCGGAGACCGCTGAACCCACGCGACACTGCCGCACGGTTCATCCGAGAATTTGAGGAAGAGTATGGAGAGAATCAGCTGCCGTTCTTCGAGAACGGGTACGCCCAGGCATTCGATCTGGCCAAGAAGAACCTCCAGTTCCTGCTCGTCATCCTCATCTCGCCCGAGCACGACGAGACCGCCTCCTTCATCCGGGAGACGCTCCTCTCGCAAGAAGTCGTCGACTTCATCCGCGACCCAAACAACAACATCATCCTGTGGGCGGGCAACGTCCACGACTCCGAAGCCTATCAAGTCTCCACCTCGCTCAACTGCACCAAGTTCCCCTTCGCCGGCCTAATCGTGCACACGCCCCAGGTCTCCTCGACAGCCATGGGCATCGCGACGCGCATCACCGGTCCCACGCCCCCCGCACAGTTTCTCGCCAAGCTGCGGACAGCCATCACCACGCACAGCGAGCCTTTGGCCCGCGCGCGCGCCACCCGCGCAGAGCAGCAAGCCACACGCAGCATCCGCGAGCAGCAGAACTCCGCATACGAGCGCTCCCTCGCCATCGACCGGGAGCGCGCCCGCAAAAAGAAGGAAGAAGCCGAGCGCAAAGCGGCCGAGGAGAAGGAGGCCCTCGCACGCCAGGCTGCAGCCGAGCAGCACGCCGCTGACCTCGCGCAGTGGCGCAAATGGCGCGCCTCAAGCATCCCCCCCGAGCCCCCTGCGACCGACAAGGACGTGGTGCGCATCAGCCTGCGCATGCCCAATGCCGACCGCGTAGTCCGGCGGTTCGCCAGCGACGCGCACATCGAAGAACTCTACGCCTTCGTCGAGTGCTACGAGCTCCTTTCCTCGGACGACAACTTGGCCGACGCACGAGAACCAGCAGGCTTCGCGCACGCGTACGACTTCCAGCTTGTGTCGCCGATGCCGCGCGAGGTGTACGATGTCGAAGCTGGGGGGACAATACGGGAGCGCATTGGCCGGAGTGGGAATCTGATTGTTGAGCGGACGGATGTGGGGTCCGATGATGACGAGGACGAAGAGAATGAGTAGACGGCATTGGGATGGTATAACGTGGCAGGACAGGACATGCATCGGGCGGCGTTTGCGACGGGTCGGTCGTCGGATTGTTTGCACATTAGCGCGGCATTGGGGCCAGATCACCGTTTTCACTGGGTTTGGACGAAGCGTGGGTGTGGATGTGGATGTGGACTGCGCGGTTCCCAGCACAAGGACTGTGCTGGTACAGACGAAATGTGCCTGCGACCGTGGAACTCTTCGCGGTGGCGCTCGCGAATAGCCGACGCAGCATCGGTCTGGGCGGTGTTGCCCGGAGAAGCATTCTCAATCCTCGGGAAGATGCAAGCACGCCTTCGATCTGGCCGAGGATTGAGAACGCTTTCGCTTTCAACGCCGCCCAGGACTGTTGCTGCGTTGACAATTCGCGAGCAACCAGGCACAGCACTCGGGCCGAGATCCCGCCCGGCACCTACTGCATCAGACCATTTTGTCGAATGTCGACTGCGGTATAGACGCAGTACTTTACAGTATACATAGAAGACAGCCTTCGCGCTGACCAAGACTCCCCTAGAGCCACCCTACCCTCTCACACGTAGTCACGAGAACATCCCTCAGCACAACCTCAAGCCAGTGGAAAGATACAAATCCAATTCAATGCATGTCCAATATGAATTACAATTTCTCTTGATCCTAGTACGCGTCCAAGAGACATCGCTCCCCCACCAGTCAAACCACACTTCCACAGGTTCGAGACCACTCAAGTCCACCGGAAGAAAGAAGCGCTACACCTTCTCGGTATGTGCGACCGATCCAGTCCAGTCGAGTCCCCGCCTACACACGTGGTAGCCAAGTTCAACACCTGCGCACGTCCTGTCCACGTGCCCAACTACGTTTGTGATGCTCGTCGGGCCGTTGTATTGAGTCATATATGCCGACGGACACCCGCACGCCTGCCTGCCACTCAAATCCTGTCGTTCTGATACGAGGGCGTAGAGATCGTACGCAGGGAGGTGGTGGTCAATGGAGAAAAAAGCAGCCAGCCTACACGGCTTCGCTCACTCTATCAACCGCCCTGCCCATTCGGCGGCGTCTGGCCATACGAGCTGGGCTGCCTATCCACATACGAGCTGTTAAACAGCAACGGGCTCGCAAGGCCGTAGTCGCTCGCGCGGTGGCTCTGATTGTACGGGCCGTTGCGCGCGTCGTACTGCTGGCCGTAGGCAGAGCCCTGGCCGTAGACGCCGTGGCCGTACGCGCCGTTTGCGCTGCCATTTCCGTAGACAGGACCCCAGTTCGAGGCGGCGGGGTTTCCCCAGGCGGCGCCGCTCCCGAGCCCACCTTGAACGCCGGAGACGTGGCGGGTAGCTGGATTCGCGCTGGACATAGGAAAGTCGGAACTGCGGAGCGAGGTCGCAGAGTCACCACGGACGTGTCCAGAAAACCCAGGTGGTGGACGCACACTGTTCAGTGGAGAATTGCGTACGTCGTTCGCGCTGTTCGGCATCAGCGGCGAGGAAGGTCCAGGCGTACCATTGTAGTTCCGGTTCCAGATGGAGTTCGTATTCCACTGGCCATCAGGAAGTGATGGCAGGTTGGCAGGTCCGCGAGACGACGATGAGGAAGCGACACGGCCCATGGGCGTGGACAACAGCGGGGTCGCCGGAGATGGAGAGGCGGCCGGCTTTTTGTAGTTCTGCACCGTATTGACAAGGTCGCTGATCGAGAACGTCGCTGGACCGTACGTCCCATCGGAAACCAATGCCGTATCCTCAAAGGTGTTCGCTGGCGGGGTCGGCGGGATGTTCTCGTCTTCCTCCGGCAAAGGATCCAAACCCTCGTCTGGGCCGACCAAGTCATCCACCATCTGGTTCATCGCGGAATCTTTAGCTGCGGTAGTGGAAGCTGTCTCCGAGGGAGCGACAACGCTGTGCGACTTCTGGTCCTCCGCAACAGGCACAGGTGGCGTGAAAAGCGGTAAGTCTACGGTCTCTACGGGCATTACAGGAGAGCCACTGTTGCGGTTGTGCGGGCTCGCGAGCAGCTCCGAAGGTAGTCCTTCCTCGCGGTAAATGAAGCGAGGGCCGTCGAGGTCGAGAGGCGCATCCTGGTTCTGCGTGAGCATCAGTCCATCGATCAGCAGGTCTCTAACCCGCATGAGCATTTCCACGTTCGGATGGCTGCGTTCAACGTCCGTGCATTTTGGCTTCATGTCCCCTCCTTTGTACCAGACCCTCATGGTCTCTGGTGAAACCAGTGGCTGGAATCCAATGGTCTCAATGTCCTCCTCGAGCATGTAGCTGTCCGACGGGTCCTGTGGAAGCTGATCCGCGGGGAAGCTCGAGGTCAAGAGGGTGAGTGTTGCAGCGTAGGCTTTCCAAAGCTCTTGTACCTCGACCTTGGTCAAGGTGTCGGCAATATTTGCATTGAGCACGTGCCAAAATCGCGTGAACCATGTGCTGTATAATCGTAGACCGGGTAGAACACGACGCGCAACAGCAGTAATCTTGTCCGAAAGCTGCGGTGCACGTTCGCCATTCTGGGTGACATCATCGCCTTCCGATGAGCGTTCCAACTCGGGCTGCATAACCTGCAGGAGCGTAAAGAACGTTTTAACATTGAGACGGAGGAAGTAAAAATACGTCTTGAGGATGTTCGTCGGTGGAGATGGGCCCTGCAGTTGCATCGTAGAGAAGTACTCGGCGGCCAGGTTTATCGAGATGATCTTCTGGAGAACACCCTCCAAGGAGCGCTCCTTCAACTCGACGGCCAGCTGGCTGAGCACCTCGCCCTCAAGCTCATCATGTTCCTTGAAGTCCTCCCCTTTGTAGCACTTGCTGTGGAGTCGAACAAACCACGCGTTCAAGGCACGCCCGGAATTAGTGCCGTCGGCAGTGCGATGGTTGCTGATCAGCTCCCCCTTGTCCCAAGCGGCTACGATCCTCTTGAACTCCAACTCGAGGTTTCCCTGGGCCTGCGGGTACGGGTACTTGCTAGCGAGGGAGCGGTAGATGTGGTACACTGCGCGGAAGTGGTTTCCGTCCTCGCGCGCGATCACGGCCAATTGGTTGTGTGAGTGTCCAGAATCGGGATATATGTCGGCGGCCAAGTTATAGTAGCCGATGGCGGGACCCCACTTTCGCTCCTTCTCGTCGCCGAGCTCGGTCTCGCGGTATCGGGAGAGGTCGCCCAGCTGAATGAGCGTCTGGTAGCAGGACTGCAGCACCTGGCCCTTGAGCGAGGCCGCGATGCGCTGGCGGTTCGAGGCACGGGAAGCGTCATCCTTCCAGGTGCCGGCCACCTTGCGCAGCTCGGGGATGCCCTCAAATTGGGCGTCCAGGTTCAAAATGTACTGGCGGTAGAAGCGCTGGCTCGCCTTGATGAACTGCAGGTAGTTCTTCTGCAGCTTTCGGAATTCGACAACGCGCTCCTTTGCATGCTTTTTCAGCTGTCCATCGTCAGCGGGAGGTGTGCGCCACATGTTGGGACGGGCATACCGAGCGGTTTTCCTTTCGGAAGATGGTGTTCACCTTGAGGTGGGCGGCCCAGAGCTGCGGCTCGATCTGGTTGGCAGAGGCCAGCTCGAAGTCGGCAAAGAGCACATTCTCGCAGGCGACGCGGTACCTGGCAGGGTCAGCACCAGCGGGCAGCACAGCACGGCATCGGGGGGACTGACTCGTGCAGCAGCGCAGCGAGCTCGCTGGCGGAGGCATTGCCCTCGGTGAGGGTGGTGAGCTGCTCGTCGACAGCGCGCGCCCGCCTGAGGGGATCCGTCAGCAGGTGCGGCGGGGGGCGCGGGGGCTGCTCGTGCCTGAGAAGCTGGTGGGTGTGGGTGGCCATGCTTCAGGTGGAGGCAGGGCGGGCCACGGGCATGGACGGCGCCACGGTCGTCCAAGGTCAGACGCGGGCACGGGGAGAGAAACGGCGGGCGGCGTGGCTGGTCTGCTCCATGGAGGGACAATGCGAGTTATGCCCCAGCAAGGCACAAGCAGCGAGAGACAGGCAACCGGGACGCGGGCACAGACGGCGCGCAAGGCGTGCTTGCGGCGGGGGCGTGGTGGTGGGCGAGGGGCGAGAGCAAGCAAGACACGAAAAGCGATGGGTGAGCAGCGGGCAACGGCCGAGCGAGGGCTCAGGTGCGCTACAGCAGAAGCGGGAAGCGCGCCTCGGCGACGAGCGGACCGCAGCCTTCACCACCGTCCATCTGTGTGCAGCGGCATTCGCACTCCAGAGATCACGCCACAGCCAGGCTGAAATGCCCTGCGGTCCCTCCACGCGCCCGTTCGAGGCCAGCCCAGCTGCACTGACCGGAACGTCAAGGTACCATCCCTCGTCTCTCACACACCCCACCATCACCCTCCCGTTATGGGACTCAAGCGCTCACGCTCGGACTCGCTGCCGTCCTCAGACCTCCCCGCAACACCCTCCTCGCGCGCCCACTCTGTAGAAGCCAAGCTCGTGCACCTCGATCGCGACGCAGCGAGCGCCGTGTCTGACCACCCCGCCGTCATGAAGTGCTCGCTGCCGCCCCACGGGCCTCTCTCCTTCGCCTCCTTCGAGGCTTATGACGTGCACTACCAGCAGGCGCATATGAATCGCTGCTCAGATTGCCAGCGGAACTTCCCGGACGCCCACTTCTTGGGTCTGCACATTGCTGAGAACCACGATCCCATCAGTGCGGCGAGGCGGGACCGCGGGGAGAAGACGGTAGGTCGAGTCGACCCCATCACCCGGGGTTCACCATGTGCATCAAATGGATACCTCGCTCCTGGAACGATATGCCACGCTCGTGCTCACCGTGCATCCCCTTCGTGTCCAGCTAGCTAACCCCAGGAACCCAGTATGCCTGCCTCGTTCCTGACTGCGATCGCCTCTGCTCAACGCCACACAAGCGGCGCCTGCACTGTATAGACAAGCACCAATTTCCAAGGGAGTACGACTTCTTCGTTGTGAATGATGGCATCGACCGCCGTAACTCCATGCTTAGGCCGCCCCATCGCAGGCGCTCGAGCACAATGAATTCGACCACGTCTACCACCAGCAGGAGACGGGCCAGTGAAGCTAACGGCGAAGCTGTGGAACTTGTCAAAGACGAGGACGTCAGGGACAACGACGAAGAGGAAGACAAGGAGACAGAAGCCAAAGATAGTCCAAGGGCGCCGGTGAAGCTACGGGGAAGAGGAGGATTCACCCACCCAAGGGGAAGCCGTGATTCAGGTCGCGGTCGCGGTCGCGGAAGTGGAGAGTCATCAACAGCTCAGACATCCACTCAGACAGCAATGGACGGGCTTGCGTCCAGCATGTCTGCACTACAATTTGTGCCTCACAGCCTGTATTCGCGAGGGAGAGGGAGAGGCCGTGGAGGTTGACGTATTGCTCTATAGATTCTGCAAGTGCTGTCGAAGACGAATGACGTAAACAAGTATTCGAAAATTAATCCTAAGGGTGTCGAAAAATGTTCGCGAGGGTAGTCAGTGAGACTCGTGAGCACCGTCCTCGAAACCGTTAAACACCACCTCTCCCGTCCCTGGGCTTCTCATTAACCCTCTTTACTTGTCGCCCTTCCACCCTTCTCTGCCTCCTCTCTTCGGCAATCTTCTCCACTTCCCTCAGCGAGTAGTAAATTCCCACCGTACAGACCACCAGCACGACCAATACTACGACCGCCCACCACCATCTCGGCGGCCCTTCGCTAATCTCCTTGAGGTTCATCCCAAAAATTCCCGTCACCACAGAAAGCGGGAGATACACGCTGGCCAGTTGCGTGAGCCATGCGCTGCGCCGCGCCTGTTCCGCACTCAGCCGAGCTTGCTCGATGCTCAGCCTGCTCTCGCGCACGCTGACGGAGCTCATGAGCAGCTGGAACGTGTCGATGAGGAAGCCCTGGAGATTTTCTGCGTCCTTGAGGATGCGCCTCAGGTTTTGTATGGGATGTTCCGAGTTGTCCGCGATATGATCACGATGCCGTTGATCGTATTTCGGCAGGCTGAGGAAGTATGATGGGAGCGTGGGAGGGTACCATTTGAGCGTCTCAGTCACGAAGGTGCGGAGGTAGTCGAGGTCCTGTCGCTGATCATGGAGTTTGTCATTGGTGGAGTCACTGGGGTCGCGAAGGTCACGGAAACTGATGTCGCGGATAGTGGTAGTTAGAAAGCGAAGATTAGCTTCCCAGAGGGAGCTGCTAATCACGTAAAGCATGGGGTGGCCTGGTAGGACGCCTTCGATATCTTCGAAGAGGAGGGATCTATGCCAGCCGTGTTGGAATACGGTGCGCAAGGATTCAAAAAGACAGTAATGCTCGCGGTAGAACAGCTGTGGCAGCATGACACCTCCACGGCTACAGGAATATTGCAGTCGGAGTGTTGTGCGAAGGTCATTGTCTGAAGGCTTAAGACCATGAGTCCATGCGATAGGCGCATCCACAAGGAATAAATCTTGCCTTCATGTTAGAATTGTTAGTCATCAGTAGGAGACTCAACTCACATAGGTTTCGTTGTGCACGGCAGTACGACATTCGTGTGTTCGACTGAACTGGATATTTTCCCTCTTTAAAGCAGTCTCTTGGAAACGTGTTGGGGAAGCATCCCAGCTTTTCCGCGCTCTGGATACTACTCAAATGATGGTACTCAAACATACCATCAAGATGCATGTGCTGTGGCTCGGACATCATTCTGGCATCTTGATCGTCTGGTACCCAGGACCAGCGAACAGATCGATCCCAAAAATGATCTTTGTGTCTGTGCTTTGCGTGGTCAGCGAAGAAAGAAGGGCTGATGCCCCATTTTGTCCCAAGAATGCCAATGTAGGTAGGCGAGATGTTCTCGATGATGCAAATTGCGTTACTGTATCGGTCGGCCTCAGCTTTCCGAAGCAATTCATCAATCTGCAACGTGTCTCTCGTTGACAAAGGTGAGATGAAGGAGTGTTCAGTATATGGACTTGACCCGAAGTAGGCGATCTTGGGTGGTGCTGTCTGTAGATTTGAGAAGCTTTGAGTCAGGTCATCGTTGGACGCTTTTTCAAGAACGCTGGCAATGTAATCCGTCTCAGAAGTCTCCGATGGTGACGCGGGCCGACTTATACTGTCCGAATTTGCAAACTGCAACTTTATTGTAGGTTGGCTCATACTGTTCCAAATCGTTCTGCATACGCAGATCAACTTAAAGTAATACGTAGAGACTCATCGTCACGTACCTTATTCTTCGGAAAGGAAAGTGACGCAAGGTAGACAAGATCGTGTACCTGAGCGCGTGCGATGACGGGCAGACGTGAACGGCGATAGGGATCGTAACAATAATACAGGTACGTCGCAGTTAGCCTTCGGATGCTAGATAATTTCGTATAGCGGAAAAGTGCGTCGAGTTAGGCATATGTGTTGGTGCAGTGACATGTAATTAAAGTGTAGTTGGCCCAGGAGTTTAGCTGGCCCAGCTGCGCCAATTTTGGGTAGTGTTACGCGAAGCGGCCCCCAAAACCAGTATCAGAGACGAACGTCCGCCCCGCTACCTATTTGCGGTCTGAGATGTGATATGACGAGTAGGACATGGCGAGCAACATGCAAGTGTGAAGGTTGAAGGCGGGTATTCTATGAAATGCTTTTCAGGCATACTGTGCCTGTTCTTTGTGCCGATAGCTGTTGAACGGCCATTCCTATCCCTCTATAGCCAGACCATGCTCCCAAATATCTGGAGATGTCGAAGCGGGCCGAACCGGCCTAATTTACAAGCAAGTCGACTCTGTGTCGATGCGCTCTCGTAGATTGTTGAAATACACGAGCTTTACGCTCTCCTGCTAAGCGTTCAGCTGGACGTGTAGGTCTGCCTAGGCTCCGGGTACGATGGGCCCAGCTCTTGGATGCTCAGCTTGGCCAACCACTGGCCCTTGTCGACGGCGGCCTTGAGGTTGTCGCCTGCGACAATACCGGCGAGGAAACCGCCGGCGAAAGCGTCACTATAATCAAATTTAGCATACCACCTCTCTAACCTGGATCTCGGAGCTCATACCCGGCACCGTTGGTGTCGTTGATCTTGTCCGAGCTGATGGCGTGGACGGGGTATTCAGCGGCCTCGGAGCCAGTGACGGTGATGGTGGCGTCAGTGCCCTGGGTGAAGACGACAGTGCGCTCCTTCTTGGAGTTCTTCTTAGGGAGCTTGGCAATCTCCTTAGCAATCTCCTTGACGTCCTTTGATGCGATGTCGTGGGACTCGGCGTATGCGGCAGCCTCGGACTCGTTTCCAATGAGGATGTCAACGTAGGGGATGACAGAGTCCAGCTGGTCCTTGAAGAATTGCGAGATGAAGGGAGCGGAGAGGTTGAGGACGAAAGTCTGCAGGATGTCAACGGTGATTCACGTCATGTGAGCTTTCATGCGTACCTTGTTGTTGGCAGCAGCGTGCTCGGCAATGGCCAAAATGGCAGGCACGGAGACAGTCAGGTGGTAGCCACCGACGTAGAAGAACTTGGCACCCTCGACGTACTTCCAGACCTCGGGCTGCTTCAAGTGTTCAACGTTGTACAGGTTGGCGGCAGCAAGATCGGTGCACAGCGAGCGGTTCTGGCCGGTGATGACGACACCGCAGCGGCCGGTAGGGGCCTTCTCATCGTAGCGGTAGACGGTCTTGACACCAGCCTTCTTGTTGATATCCTCAAGCGTCTGGCCGTACTTGTCCTTGCCGACGCAGCCAATGTAGACGGTCGAGTCCTCGGGGAGGATGTACTGTGCGCCGCGGGCAGAGTTCTGGGCAGCTCCACCGGCGATGAGCACGGCGTTGTAGTTCTGGATCAGGTCCTCGAAGAGGCCAAGATGCTTCTCCTCGGCGAGGATGGCATCGTTAGCCTTGAGGCCGTACTTCTCAAGCAGCTTCTCGTCGCTGCGGGCAGGTCGTTAGCTTCACTGCTGGTTGCCAGTTTGCGCCAATTGCGGGGGGAGGAACGTACCCGACACCCTGGATGTCAAGGAGAGGGTTCTCCAGCGCCAGAAGTTCAAAGTTTCCCTTGGCCATTGTAAATGTAGATTTGCGTTGCGGATGTTGTTGTGCTGAGCAGAAAGTTCGCAGCGCGGGGCTGCAGCCCATGAAACGTGGAGGGGCACATCGCCGACCCGCGCTCGGACACCGAGGGGCACCCAAGTGCCGACCCGACACTGACCAGACCGCGCGTGTGTATGACGGACGCAGGCACAACATGCTGCATCAACCGGGCATCGGCAACCGGGCTGTCGAGGGTGACCTCAAGTGCTGCGTTGCGTGCAGGGTCGGCTGACGACGGATGCGTGCCTTTACGTTTGGGTCGCGGCCTCCCTTTTGATCATCACGCCTGTCTTTGATCGAATTGGTCTTTATCTATGCACGGAGACATCACAAGTCATACAGCGGGACGAGCCGGTACGAGCAGTATGTCACTAGACAAGTCGTCCCATGAGCTCGTGACGTTGCTTTTGATGCTCAGGAGATCGAGAGTCAGCCCACTCAGCAATTGACCCCGGGGAAGGTCCAAGTTTACGTGATGCTACACATCAATAGACTGCTTCCAATCCTCGTCGTCCCACAACCACCCCCCTACAGCGAACCAATGGTAGTAGCACGCCGCGAGACTTCCTTCGTGGGTGCTCCCAGACTATTCACGCATGTTGAGGCTGACCAATACCTGTGCCATGGTCTTTGCCCCCACCGATCCACAGTCAGACCCCACAGGAACCGAACTTCACCATTACCAGGTCCATGCGCCAGCTCGCCACGTGCGCGCATTCACTCATGCACCGACACTCCGAGCGAAGACTTCCTGCAACTTTCGTTCGCAAGAACCGACTAGCTGGGGAGCTTTCGATCTTGAGTTACATTTGGCATGGCTCTTGAGGCCACCCACTTTCTACCATCCACCTGGGGGTATGCACACGTTGGAATATCCACTGCTAAAGGAAGCGTTTCAAGCCATCCCAAATAGAGGCTTGTGAAGAATGTATTCCTTCTCCACAAAACGCACGGATGGGGTCGTAGCGTGTCCATTACAAGCCTGGAAAAGTCATCGGTCGGGAACTGTAGTAGATAGACTGCCGACGAAACCAGGCTTAACTTCTCAACCGATTTCGTACCAGCCAGAAGCTATCAACGATAATATGAAAAACAATCCTAGAGTCCGTTCAGTTGCGGATTGTTGGCTAAAAAGATCCTAATTAGCATGACTATATTGCCTTTCGTCTTGTCCCCTCAAGTCAGTCTTTCCGCATCCTCACTTCAGGTCATCTCCACAATCAGGCTTTCTCAATATTTTATCTCGATTCACCATGCTTATCGAATGCATCATCGCGGCCGTTGTCGCGCTTCTTCCTATCACCCTTGCTGCCCCTACCAACATAACAGGAGCACTTGCCGTCTCCTCATCACTCATGCACCTGGAGGCGCGAGACCGCATCTGCATAAATTGTAAGAACTTATGTGAACACACGCGGAATCTTCACGAGGCCTACGCCTGTACCGCGGTATGCCACAAACGCCCTGGCCATGAGTCTCTTCATGTACATCTAGACAAGGTGATAGACGAGGTAAGTTCACTTCCGCCTCGCTCTCCGTCCCTTCTCGCGCACTGCCTCTACGCCTCTTCCCTTCCGATGAATATCCTTTCCCAATGGTAGCTCAATGAACCTGACATCAAAAGCACGAATGCCTCAATTCGAAAGAGCGCAAGAATCTCGCCCTCAACCTCTTCCGTGACCAGGCCGAATACATCAACATGATGGGAAAGCACGAGATCAAGTCTTTCCTCCGCTCGCACCTAGACTCCTACATCCTCCACGGCGCCGACCACAGCGTATATTCGGCGTCCGAGCGCATTGACGCGGAGTTCGAATCGTTCCCGTCGCCCCCACCCGGTGACGGCATAAGGATAGACTGTGGCGTCATGTGTAACGACACCAAGACCAAGTCCTGCGCCGACAAACACGGTCTTGGAGCGGAATACATCAACTACGAGGGCGCTTGTGCCAATATCTGTCCGTACCGGCCCGACAATCAGCAGCACTGCATCAAGACGCTCAACAACGACCACGTGTTGGCGCTGTTCCTGGATTTCGACCCTTTGAACTACAAGTGGAAGTACTCGGATTGCATGGAGAGGAAAGGGGAGGAGAGAAAAAAGTGCTTTGAGAAGGTTATTTTTGGAGAGTGCCCGCATTTCAGGGCGCAGGAATACCCGGGTGCAAAGTACTGTCGATGAGGGGTGGAACTCCGGGGGTAGGGTCGTTTTGCTGCCGTCTTGCTTTCTTCCTTCATATGGGGTGGCTTCTGGGGTGAAGGGTTTGAGTTTCTTTTCCTTTGGGTTCCATGGTTATTTTCCGGCTCGTGGTGGCTTGTGATAGTGGGGAAAGAGGCATTGTGTTTGACCTTCTTCCTGCTTTCTCATAGTTACGATAAATAATCTGGCTGAACTCACAGTGTTTACCATGTAGGGTTAGAGTTGATTCTAAATCTTTATTCAGCCATGTTCCCAGCCCCATAGATCCCGTACTTCAATAGGTGTTTGTCTTGCACGCTATGGCCTCAGTGGTACCCGCTACTGGTGTTCTATCTCCAGGTGCTGTCTTTAACTCACTCAGAAGTCCACCGGTGGTGGCCAACTACAATTATCTTGTATCTGAGCATGGTTGGACTAACTTTCGACCTTACGCTTGATGGCTAGATCCATTCTCGCGTCTCTATTCCCCCTCTGTCGGTCAGTCTGTCGGAGTTCTCGCACACCCAAGTCCAGTGGCTAGTCGATGTGGTCTCATCCCCCGCTTCACACGCCGCTAGGCCGTTCACCTACGCTACATATGGCGCCGACAGCGGCTCAAAGGATTAAAAACGCTGACGCACAGACAGTGCTGGCAGGAACCTTTCTTTCTCAGCTCTGATCATGGCAAGCCGCGGTGCATGCAGTGCAACATTACACAGTCGCATCTTCAATCAGACCCCTCCTTAAATACCCGTAGGTGCGTCCGTTGAGAAGTCACCGCCTTTCGCTGACTCTACTGACAAGTTCCCTATTAATTTCCAATCTTACCGTCCAATTCGATGTTCCTGGCTGTTACTTTAAGAACGGCCAAACTGGGAATAACCGTACGAAACTTGCAGACGGATATCGGCAATGTCCAGGGAACCAAGGGAACGAAAGCATGTGCTGCCAGCTCCATGGCACACGGCCTGGCGTGTCATGGGACGCATGCGCTCAACATGGACTTTGTCAGACCGCCGACGACTACTGGCGCGAGTCGTGTACTGACAAGACCTGGAACTGCCCAGCCTGTATACAACTATGTCTTTTCGGCCAGAGTAGGCTCCCTCAAACTCCAGATATGTAGAAAGGCCAGTCGCTTATCGTGCGGATAGTCAGGATAATGAGATGGAATAAAATAGAAATTATTGACGGGAGGGCGGACGACGTGCACATCACGGTGTCTAAAGACGGAAGCTATTGCTGCGGTAATACGGATATTGCACAGCAATGCTGCAACAACAATGATGGATATGTCCTCGGAGATGGCGAGGCCTTGCTGGCGCAATCGGTCAACGCTTCAACATCAGACACGACACTACCCTGAGCCACTGCCACGGGAACCGCCAGCTCGTCAGCAAATTCTATTTCGGCAACCACGAGCACGTCCATTTCCATAGCTCCCTCATCTCCTACACAGACAGTTTCGAGTACGAACACTACTGCCATTGCCGGCGGCGTCATAGCTGGTGTCGACGGAATAACACTAGTCGCGGCCTGTGTTTGGCTACTCCTAAGAAAGCGGAAAGGAAGGACAGCGAAATCCACACATCCAGAGATACAAGCGATGCCGAAGCTTGTCGAGGCCAGCGCTCATACAAACCGGCATGCGCTGTCAGAGACTCGGAAACCTGCAGAGGCCAGCGTCGAGCCTGCGCTGCGCGAACTACCTGCGTGAGAGCAGTGCATAATTCTGAGTGAAGTCGTTGGTCGAAAGAGAATGACGCTTGGGAGCCGGTTCGTGCGAGAAAAACACTGCGCAGTGGAGCTACTGGAGGCTTGCAGTGCATTTTTTTTCAACCCAACAATTTCATCCGCGCAGTCGGCTTTCGAAATACCCTCTCAGTCTTCAAGAGTATCGCAGAGCATTCAACAGAAGACTAAGCCGACTACAGTAATCGATGATGTGCAAGTGAGCTTGGGTAGGTTGGATAGCTATGTGCAGGAGGTGTCGAAGCGTTGAGCAGTGCATGCGGGGATAAGGAGCGAATGAGAACTGGATTTTCCGATTAACGCTGTTAGGGTGAGGTCCTGATGATTTTGGCGCGTGGTTGAAAGAGTCATTCTTCGAAAGCTCTATGAGTCTTTCCCAGCGTATGATTGTTTCGTCGTTCAGTCTAACGCTATTGCTCATTGTGAACAGCTCCGGACGACGAACGGAACAAGATCACAACTTGGGGGGAACTGGGTAGTGTATCATGGACTTGCCAATTTCTGTTCTGGGGTAAATGATTTGTCGAAGCATCCTCACATCCCTAGTGGCCGGTCATTCAGACGTAGCGACGGTCGCACTGGAAGCACACGTATCCATAATCGCTCCGATGCATTTCTGCGGGTATCTCACATATTCATCCATTATTCGATCTTGCAAAGCAGCAATCCGGCCTCTCCCCCACACTTCCTCCTCTCCAACCCAAATAACAACCATCCCCAGCCGAGGTCACAAATCCTCCACGCCGTACGTGAATATCATAAACTGTCGTAGTCGAAAGGAACAAAGGAAAAAGTCAAGGCAAAGCTTAAAGCAAGAAAGCCATCGCAGCAGCGCCCAGACCCGCAAGAGCGGGATGCAGGGCCAGCAGAGCGCCAGCGGCACCCGTCTCCTGCACTGGCAGCGCACTGCCGGTCTCCGTAGGGACAACGTTCTGCCCCTTATGCAGCGTAAAGGCGCCTGTGCCGGTGGGTGCGGGGCCGCTGCTCGATGGCGTTGCGCCGGCCGTAGCGCTCAGTTTGTCTGCGCCGGCGGTGATGACGACTTGGTAGGTAGCAATCTCCTCCTGCTCGATCATGTACGTGTTCGCGATGATGCTCTCGGGTAGTGTGGAGCCAGACTTGCAGTATGAAGGCACCCTTGTGCGGTAATCAATGGTGGTCGTCTCAGTGACGGTATAGTCATCGCCGTAGGCAAACTCTTTGGTCGTGGTGTAGACATCCGTGTAGTCTGAGTACTTCTCGCAGACGCTCGAATATACTGCTGGGCCTTCAGACGCGAAGCGGCACATTGCGCCGACACTGACGCCTCCCCGCGCACTCGTCTCTTGACATCCGTATCCCATTGTGAGCGCCAGCCCGTCGGACACATCTGTGGTCGTGGTGACACTTTCGAAGCGGCTGCTCCCGTAGAAGGTCATCGTGTTGGGCTCGTCCTCTACGATATACCCCGCGGTTGCCAGGTCGGTTTTGTTATCAAATGAGAGAGCCAGTGTAGTCTTTCCCTCGCTGACGCCGACTACAGAAGCGTAGAAGCCGATATGTGTGTCCTCCTGGTAAGGCGACGGCATCCAGATGGAGGTTGTCACTTGCGCGGTCGCGGCAGCCGCGAACAAGAGGGTCGAGAGGATGGGAGACATTATCGTTGATGGCTTATTAGGTATTGTTGGTTAGTAAGGAGTGTGTGGGTTGTTGTATTATTAGTATTAGGTATAGTCGTGAAGTGAGGTCCGCATAAAGAGTGACGAACAACGACTTCAAGAGAGCGACGACCAGGAAAGGTGGAGAATCGCAACAACATAAGGGCATCGTGACTTTATCCACTGCGGCAAAGGGTCCAGGGTCGAAATTGCCCGAGCCGCGGACGGCATAGTGACAGCTCCCAGGATGGTTAGTTCCCACGCGAGCCCACCATTAATGTTCGCGCGCGAGTCGCGTTCGGGCAGAGCTAGCCCTTGGCGGAGGATCGCGAAATTACACTTTGCTCTGGGGAACTCTTGCAACTGGTGGGCGGCCGTTGTCATTTGGGACCGATCCCGGGCAACGATTCGTCTGAGCTTTTCTGCCATGGTTCGCAATGGCGCTTTGATATCGATAGTCGCCCGCAATTCCTATCCCAGTCGACGCCCCTTGCAATGCCTGTCAGTCCACCATCCAACAACGGGCATTTGAGCCCAATTTCCCTCTTCTATTGTGTTCTTCTGTTGGTTTGACTGCGCCTCCTCTGTCATCCGGTCACCCATAGCGAGCCTGCGCATTCTGAATTTCTTCCAAAGAACCGGTGTTGGTAGACCTGCCGATAGGATGAAGGCGCGAATAAAGAGATACCGCGAGACTCGCATAATGTGGCAGAGAGAATGCGCATCGCTTCCAGTACCTACCAGCTTCACATCCCCATCGTTCCGGAGTGGTTGTTCTCCGAGTATGTGTAGCTGAGAATGATCAGAGGCCTGACGAAAATGAATGTCGCGACGAAAAGGACGATGTACCAATAGAGCGTGCTGACTGTGACCAACTGTGCCCCGTCAGATTCTATCACATATCTGCAGGGCCGACATACCTCGTTGCGGCGAAAGGCTTTCGCACTGATGAGGCACAGCAAGAACAACATGTCGACAACGCCTCCACAAGCCGCCCACATGAGCAGACCAATCCCGGTTGTTTGACGCGGCTGGGATTCAGGCTATCGACTCTGCCCTTCACCACGATGCTGTGTGTTGAGGCCGAGAATGGCAATACACAGGCTCCCAATAAGCATGTCGAGCACGTGCGATAGAATAGGTAAGTTTGCCATAACTGTGTCTCAAACCTTTAAGGATGCATGTAATGAAGAAGAATCCGTAAGTTCCCTTCAGTGATGTATACACTTTGCAACGGTAGTAGTAGTGAGTGGTGCCAGGATCATGCCTCAAGGAACGCGAGATAGTTCTACATAGTACATCTTCACACGACAAAGCGAGTCTAGGCGAAGCCGCAGCCTCAGAATTAGCGCATTTGATTCGCTTGGTTTTCGCATCGGCTGAGCCCGAATTGATTGGCGTGCGGTGTTGATAGGTGCAGTTAGGTGGGTGCATGGCAATGGAGACCAGAATTGAGATGCGAGTGTCATGACGTCAACCGTTCTCAAGATACTCGGATCTCATCATTTACAACGCCCATTTCGCTGGATCGCAGCATTTCCAGACATTCATGATGAAGCGATCTAACCGTTCATATTCGCATCGCGAACGGCATTCCAGAAAGATCGTCCATTGACCTATAAGTGCAAATGCGCATGAACAGATATCATGTTTCAAAGCGAATGCATTGTGGTCTAGATGCTGGAGCTCACCAGTTATCAAGGAACTTTTCCAGGTGTAGCAGATGACAGCATTTTAGTCGGTTGCTAAGTCTCAGATACTAATGCTATTCGCGCGCCCTATCGCTTACATGACGCAGCGCTACATTTCAAAGCAACAGAAAGCTGCATCACATCCATTCGTACTGATCCATCTTCAAAGCTCCCACCTCTTCTTCAACATGTCAATCACCACGGAAACACTTGTACTTCCTCGCCCAGGTCAAGAAAGGGTTGAGGAAAAGCCGCCGATTCCTGGCCCCACGGAATCAGCATTTACCGATACCTTTGGGGCTCTCCTACCGCCTGCAAAATATCTATATACCGCCAATGGAAGGGCTGCATACTACGAAATCCTTCCAACTGCGCCCGGCAATGGCTTTACGACACTTGACCGCGTACTACTCATTCATGGAGTGCAGACACCAGCCCTAGGCCTCTTTCCTCTGGTTCGCGCCCTGCAAAAGGTGTTTCCGCAGACGCATTTTGTACTCTTCGATCACTGGGGTCACGGGTTGAGCGACACACCATATCGTCCGCATGATCAGCGTCTGTTCCATGGCCTGATTGATGCGCTACTGGATCAATTAAATTGGCCGACTGTGCACCTCATCGGATACTCGTTCGGCGGAGCGTTGTCGCCTGCATATGTTGCAGCCCACTCGGCAAAAGTGAAAAGTTTTATTCTTGTCGCACCAGCTGGGCTCATGCGGCTATCAGATCTGAGCCCTGAAGAGCAGGGCCATATGCGCGGTGACGGCAACGAGACTGCGGCACAGGAATGGGTGCACAGCTGGCTCGAAGGTGGCAAACTTGTGGTGCCAGGTGATTGGGAGGAGCGGGTTGCAGAAGGTCAAGTTGTGGCTCCAGCAGTAAAGAGATGGCAGTTGCAGAAGCACGCAGGACATGCAGCGTCCGTCGTCGGGATAATTCGTGACGGCGGTGTTTTCAACAACTACGATGCCTTTTCTGAGGCTTCACGCACGGGGATTCCTTCTTTAGCTATCTTGGGTGAGCTAGATGACATTGTGAACGAGCAGACTCTCAGAGATGTCGGCATCACGAACGTGGAAGTTGTCTCAGGCGCTGGGCATGGTGTAGTCAGGGACAATGTACCAGAAGTCGCTACTGCCATCACTGCTTTTTGGCACCAGATAAGCCCGGATGGTAAATAGCAGCCGATCAATAACATGAGAAGCCCACAAAGTCAAGACTAGAATCATTCAGCCATTGCAAGAGGAGAGAAGATCTCATTCCGTTGCGAGAACATCGTTGGCGACAGCGCCGCGCAGAATCGCAGCACAGCCCAACAACATCAAGTACATAATCAACGACGCTGAAACATGGTATATGCGCTCCCAAACAACAAACGCCCGTAATGCTCTCCTGCAGTACCTTCCTACACACCCCATCTTATCTTCTTGACATAGTTTCATCCGATCGATCCCCGAGATGTCTCCGTCAAATTCATATTGGCCTGCTCCGAAACGTTTTCCAGCGCGTATCGAATCATTCAATGTCCGTGACTGTCGGTCGAATCCTCTCCAGCACCTCTCCTCCTCACAGTCGGGAAATTGTAAACATCGTCGAGACCCGACTTCGCCCACAGAGCCTCCTTCGTCCACCCTCTAAACGGCTTCTTCAGAGCTGCGCGAAACGACGAAGCCGCGACCCGGATGGAGCGCTTTGACGATGTGTTGCTTGAGACACTGATGTCGGAGGACTGACGAAGCGCAGTAGGCTTGTTGGTTGCAGCGGCCATGTTGTGGTCGGAGATGTAATTGGTAGTTGGTTTTGGGATCGAAACGACGGGCTCAATGGTATCTTCTTGGATATTCATTTGGAGAGGTAAGTAGCTTATTGATTGATGTCTGTATCAATTTTTGAGCATCGCGCGAGGCGATAGCACTCTTTAAGGACTATGAATCACAAAGTCCGAGACACCACCGAGCAAGCTAGCACACCAAAGAGTAAAAGCCAGGGCAAAAATCATCATCCAAGCCTGATAGGAGTTTCAAGCCTGCAAGACTTTTCTAGAAACAATCTAAATTGCTGCGTTTGGACCTATGGCGGTGTGCTACAGGTTGACTGGTGTGTGGCGGCGGAGTATTTTCGGCGCTAGATTTTTGACACGTCGGGCGATTTCGGGCTGCGAAAGGGGCTGGCGCGTTTTAGGGGAGGTTGCGCGAGCACCCGCAAGCTTGCGACTTCACGTAGAAACCTTGATTCCTGATAACACAATCCATATCATCAGTGGTCTTATATCCTTGAAAAAACTACTATCGGCCTGTCACCGGGCGATACCTGGAGCTGACACATACGCCTGGTCTTGATGCCGCGATTACCACATGCTTACCACCTAGCCTCCACGAGAAAAATGTAGTTCCAGACACTGCGTAAAGATGCACATTCAGTTTCGCATAACGTGTTGGTCTCGTCTTCTCCGCACGTGGGAGTCTCATATCGAATCCAAACGCACGCATAGCACTGCCAATTTTGTCGTTCGCGGGCGGGTGGCGTGTGTCGCCGCTCCATTTGTACCTTGACAACATCGCTTCGTGTGATAGCATCTTTACGTTCGTACTTCTATATTCAAATTGGTAGTACGTCCTGTGTCAAAAAAGCGACACAAAGGAACACGATGACACATTGGCAAGAATAGTGATGGCGCTGGAGAGGGCAATGCCACCCCGAATTGTGCTCACCGAGCATGAAAGTCCTCGAAAGCAGCTATCTGCACACGAAATCGTGATGATACTGGTCAAGATTGCTATCAAAATTGCTAAGCGCAGAAGAAACGATGCAGAGTAACAGAAGATTGCTGGGTATATGCGACAGAAAGCATGAAGAAAGATAGCAACTGTAAGCCAAGCCAAGCACACGATGTCTTGTCCACGGTAGGAGTCTGCTTTAAGGCATAATTCTTTTCTCAGTAACCACCAGTGCCACCCCATAATCACTCTGCAGATCGATCTTTGAATCCCTCTTCTCCTTGTCAATGCAGGTCCTCTTCCACGTCAAAGCTACAGCGCCCCAATATCTATCTGGATGCGCCGCCGCATGCTTGCAATGCGCGGTATCCTCGAAGCAAACATCCATGACCGGCGCGCCAGATTTCACAGCCTCGCCTACGTGTTCTCTTATATCCTTCCAGGCAATGAGCCGGTCTCCCTTCGAGTAGAGATAGCATCGTGGTGCTGTTGGATCCCAGTGATTGGGATCCTGCAGCCGCCAACGCGTGCGCGAGATGACGTTGTTGTCGTGGCCCTTGATGCATTTGTAGAGGATCCAGATGCCGCCTAACAACGCGCCCCCGACGAGCAAGCCGGTGCAATTCAAAATTGGGATGGGTGGGAGGGACTTCTTGAGCGCGTTGCAGAGGCGTAGGTATCGAGGGTGACCGGGTGTGCTGTCGAGACACATGGCTGAGCATGGGAGCCGTGTGCCGGTGGTCTGGGAGTATGCCTCTGCAAGCTCGACCGCTTTGTTGGAACCGCCTTCCGAGAAGGCGTGGACAAGTATGTTCGCACGGTCGTTGTTGCGTTCGACGTGCTCGAGTATGTGTGCGACAGCGGGCTGGAGGCGCTGCTGCTTTCTTTTTGACGACCGCAAGCAGAGGTCTTTCGTCGATGTGGTGATGCAGAGGATGGATGCGGATGGAAACATTGTTTGGTAGGCCTCGGTGTATTTTGCGACATGACGACCGTGTGCCCCCGTCCAAGGCAGTACGATAATCAGCGATGGAGGCTCGATATTTGAGAAGCTTTCCCCGCGGCCAATTGGTCGCTGTTCCCAGATGGTGGGGGCGATGAGTGTGAATCCGGGGATAGCAGTGTGCTGTGGTTCTGACATGGAGAAGAGATAGTCGTGTATATGATATGAATAAGTCGATGTGTTTTGATATGGTATATGAAGACGCCTCAGCGAGAAGTGCTAGGAAAGTCAAAGTGGAATGCCTTTTATCGGCCGGACCTTCTTGTAACTTGTATGCGTACCTCAGCACTTGAAAATAGGTACGGATGTAATTTACTAGTGTTTACTGTGGCAGTCAGCCATGGGTACCCAGCTGGCGTAGGCCGAGATACGCAAGCTCCACACCACCATCACCACCATCACGAACCTCGCGGGCCAATGTACATGCGCTGCGCCTTCTGTTGTCCAGAGCGATAGGCGACTCCGGTGAGGGCCAGCTCCATTTCTTGTAGCCACTTTACAACGAAGCATTGCCGTCGGAAGCCCACGTTCCCACCTTTTGTTTTGGACAGCTGAAATGAAGAAGCCATCGTCTCTATGTGCCAAACACATGCAAGGCTGGTCAGCCACGATGCCATTCTCGACTTCCAGACAGACTGACTAACACTCGCGAATGCATTCATGTCTCCACTATTTTCCAAGATGGTTAGACAAAAATCACGAAGCGCGCGCTCCGGGCGACACTTCGGGAAAGGCGTCAAGCCTTGATGCTTGTCTAGACCAGCGGGTATACCAGTGGCTTGGGACAACGCACGTAGGTTTTGGTGGCGCATTTTGCAAGATATGAATAATTTAGCACACTCGTGCCTGTACGCTGCTTAGGTGTGGGTGGTAATCGTGAATGTGTGCCTTGGGTATAGGAATGCGGGGGTGAGATCGGGCAACGTTCGCAGTGCATGCAGCATTCCATCGCTCCAGCGAATGAGCGACTGAATATTGTCGCACAACCGTACCACGAGTATGGTAAGGAGGGTACTGGAGATAGAAATCGGGGTATTCTACGGGTATCATCCGTCGAAGACTTTGTGCGAATGCATCCACCAATGAGAATCTGGAACTTGTTTAGGTTGACTGATCGTCCGCCATAGCCGTTGGGACGAAGCAGCGCGAATCGTGGGGGCACTCGACTGCACAACGTGCACGACAACAATGCACCAAGATTGTTCAGAGACAAAGTGCCGTCAAAACAGTCAGCCTTCGGAGTGCGCTCCTAATGTGAGTGAGCAGTCGTCCTTCCTGAATCCTGAGGGTACAGCAATGCCGCGCACAGTATGTATCGCGCACTGCACTCAGCCCCGACCCACGTGCATTGGCGTCAGCCATCCTGACATCTTTTGCTAAATCAGACCCCGTCGACCACACCCTCAATGCAGCGATCCTGATACGGTATGGGTCGTTCCTCTTGACGATAATCGATTGGTGTCTCGGGCTAAGCAGGGCTGGCATGCTGATGGGAGCGAGCGAATAAGCAACGCGCGGGTTTCGGCACTGTACACGATGCATATGTCAACACCACCATATCAGCTCAGAATAGCACGGACGTGGCACAGCGTAGCAGAAGCCCAGCTGCGAGCACAGAGCTCGCAACTCAAGGCGGGAATACGGTTAGAGCCGTCAGTGTAAAGATAGGCGAGACGACGTGCAGGGCTAGCCCGAGGCCTCGTTCAACCCGAACCAGGGTGCTGGGCGCCGGTCCACGCCACATTCGTAGAAAATGGTGGTGGGTCGTGAACGCAAGGCTATGTTCAGGCCACAGAGTGGATGACTTGGATGGGGGCTGGCGTATCTTCTCGGCGCTGAGCGGCGAGCCAGGCGTATTACAGCTGCAGCGGTGAATGTGAGAGATGGTTTAAAGGTCGCGGGGAAGGCCGTCCAAGTTGCCTCCCACTTCACAGTACCCGCAAAACGAGACTTCACACACTCAATTGCGAGGTCCGCCACGATTTCAGTACCCAATCATCGGAGAGATCGTCTGTGCTTTGCTTTGTTCGCTCCTTTCCTGGAGGTGTGGGCCACGTTGTGAACAAACGGAAGCTTTGTCACTCACCCAACGGGAAAGAATCACCATCACGGTCATACCCGCAACAATGGCGGGTCCTTTTCCAGCCCAGACTAGCTCCGGGAGCGCAAGTGTGGAGACTATAGTTGTCCCAGAGGACTCTCCAGTTTCACCAATCGAGGCCTCCACAAGCACCCTTCACCTGCCTGGCAATGTCACTGCCCCCCACCTCGCACCGCCAGAAGTGACACTCAAGGCGGGCAAAGAGACCGAAACACCCGACACGATCGACTCATCGGCATCGTCAACCACAATGGACCTCGAGAAATTGGAGATCACCGCCGTGGAGTGGAAGCCAGAGAGGAAAGAGTGGATTATAATGATTAGTCTTTCGATTATCTCGCTCATGGTGGCTTTAGACGCCACCATCCTGGTCACTGTCCTTCCAGTGAGTTCGCTCCCCGGATTGCATTGCCACAGTCACGCTGACACTAGTCGATAGCAAATCACACAGTCCTTGAACGGTACGGCCATCGACGCATTCTGGACGGGAACCTCATACCTCCTGTCCAGTGCAGTGTTCCAGCCAATCATCGCTTCCGTTTCTGAGTTCTTCGGCCGTCAACAACTTCTTCTACTGTCGCTCGCGTTCTTCACCGTCGGAACGGTACTTTGTGCTGTCGCAAATGACTTTACAGTCATGCTCGTCGGTCGAAGCATCCAAGGTGTCGGCGGTGGAGGCATCATTACCCTCAGCCAAGTCATCTTCTGTGACATCGTGCCCTTGAGATTCCGCCCAAAGTACTTCGCCATAGTCTTGGGTGCTTGGGCCGTAGGCACCATCATCGGACCGGTCGTCGGGGGTGCCTTCGTTCAGCACGCGACATGGCGTTGGTGCTTCTATATCAACTTTCCCTTTTGTTTCCTCGGATTGGTGCTCGCTTTCGTCTTTATCAGGCTCAACGCAGTAGCCAAGCTCACCCTCGCCCAGAAGCTCAGGCAGACGGACTGGGTCGGCGCAGGGGTGTTCCTAGGGAGCACTACCATCTTCCTCATTGGCCTCTCTTGGGGTGGAATTCAGTATGCCTGGACCTCGGTGCAGACGCTCGCTCCTATCATCATAGGGTTGGCCGGTGTTGCTGCCTTCGTTGCATGGCAGCTGTGGATCCGTCCACGAAGCCTGATATCCATGTCCATCTTCTACTGTCTATCGGCCATTGCTGCGTTCTACTGCGCACTAGTGAACGGTATAGTCGTAAGTCATCATGTTCCTGTCCGCAGTACACCGACTAATCTTTGTTCCAGCTCTTGTCCGCACTATACTACGTGCCCTTCTATTGCATGTCGGTCCGAGGCTCGTCGCCGATCCGCGCAGGAGTCGAACTCTTCCCCGCCGTCTTCCTACTGTTGCCAGGCTCGATTGTAGTTGCGGCGTTGACCACCCGCCTCGGTTCCTTCCGCTGGGCTATATGGATGGGATGGGTACTCGTCACACTCGGCTGTGGGTTGTTGATCCTGATCGATTTGCATACCAAATATGTGGTGCTTGCGGTCGCTCTTGGAATAATGGGTGTCGGCTTCGGTCAAGTTCTCACGAGTGTGAATGTCGGCATTCAGGCAATTAGCAAGGTCGATGATGCTGCTATGTCGGCTTGCATGTACGCCTTCATGCGCAGCCTAGGCATGCCGTTAGGTGTGGCCATCAGCGGAACCGCCTTCACCAACTCAATGTCCAGCAAGCTTTCTTCCTATGGACTTCCGACGGAGATTGCGCACGACTCAGAGCGATACATCTACGTCCTACGCACCATGGCGACCGATGACGCCCGAAGGACGGCCCTTCTAGAGTCATATATGCACGGCTTCCGTACCGTGTTCATCTTGATCACAGCTCTTTCTGCCAGCGCGCTCGCAGTGTCGCTACTCATAAAGCATTTCAGCATGAACAAGAAGCTGCAGGCGAGATATTCGGTCCGACCTCAGTCGTGCAGTGCGCATTAGGGTAACAAGACTTGGTCTGATGAAGCTAAGTGCTAGGAGACGCGTAATGAGGTACCTAATGACCTCTCGGAGTTGTGGTCTTTTTTTATTCTAGTACGATTTCCACGGCCGATTTAGGAGGATATACCCGGATGCTAAAGTGCACGGTGGCACTTGTGTCCAGAATCAATGTCAATGATGATTTTGCTGAAACGTCGTTCCCGAGCGCACAGACCGTGTCACTTCCCACTTCCTGTCCCAACGAATCTGCAGCCCCAACGTGCCACAACGCTGGGCATCCATTTTCAAACATGACCCCATGGAAGCCTTATGACACCAGAAACAGTGAGCGTAAATGAACGCAGCCAAAAGTCCGTGTTGGCGCTGAGCTACGTGACCAGGTGCAATCTAAGTGCCGAGCCCCGTTCATTCCACCAACCACCTACGACTCCGGAAGATTTCCCCACAAAGCTTGTTCGAGGGCGTTCGAAGATCCAGTGTGGAGGCTTTTGAATACACTAGTGCCAAGCCCATTGTTTCGAGCAGTGACAGCAATGACAGGCGCAAAATTACAATGCTGGACGGATAATCCTTAATTCTATGTGTCGTTGACGAGGGTGACACGCGAGACATATCCTCCGGCTGCTAAGTATATGAAGGCATCATCAGTTTGATGATTCGCTCTTCTTCACTCGCTTCGTCTCGTTCTGCTTTATACTTTCTGCGTAACAACTTCAGCATGTGGTCTGTTCTTACCTTCGTCACCCTGCTCGCCACTGCCCTGGCTGCACCGCTTGAAAAGCGTGCAAGCCGCACTTCTCCACCGTCAGGCTGCCTGTCTGTGGGCAGCGGATACACCTACTCGACCATCCAAGCCGCCGTGAATGCTCTCTCGCAGTCCTCGACTTCATCCCAGTGCAGTAGGTACTTTGCTGCGCCTGTTCTCATATGGCTCTAATAGGCTTAGTCTGGATCAATCAGGGGACCTACAAGGAGCAGGTCTCTATCAATACCCTGAAAGGACCCCTAGTTCTCTATGGTTACACAAGCGACACTTCTAGCTACACTGGCAACAAGGTCACCATCACCTACAATTTGAGCCAGGCGAGCGGCGTGAGCAACGATGGCTCAGCTACGCTTCGGGCGGAGATCGGCAATCTCAAGGTCTACAATATCAACATTGTGAACAGCTACGGCAAAGGATCTCAGGCCGTCGCCGTCAGTGCACAGGGCGACAAGACAGGCTTCTACGGCGTTTCTTTCAAAGGTGCGAACTCTGCTGTAACGGACGTAGTATGTACTCATGAACAGTTAGGTTTCCAGGATACTCTCCTTGCGAATAACGGTGCCCAAGTCTACGCCAAGTGCTATATCGAGGGCGCAACAGACTTCATCTTCGGCCAGAAGGCAGCCGCCTGGTTCGACGGCGTCGACATTAGAGTTGTCAATGGCGGCTACTACATAACAGCAAACGGCAGAGACTCGTCCTCGAACCCCTCCTACTACGTGATCAACAAATCCACTGTAGCCGCAGCATCAGGCCAGTCCGTCACCGCAGGATCTTACTACCTCGGTCGCCCGTGGCGCAACTACGCCCGCGTGGTCTTCCAGAACACTAGCCTCAGCAATGTCATCAATGCTGCTGGCTGGCACATCTGGGGCACTGACTCGCCCAACACCGACCATGTGGTATTCGGCGAGTACGGCAACACTGGAGCTGGTGCTTCCGGAACAAGGGCGAGCTTCGCGACAAAGCTGTCGAGCGCTGTCAGCATCTCGACTGTGTTGGGCAGCTCGTACACGTCTTGGGTCGACACCAGCTACCTCTCCTAAGCTGGATGCTGCCACCCACCCTTCGGCGTGTAGCCGACTCTTTTGCTGTAAATATTTTACCAACTCACTGGGCCGCTGCGCGATACCGTTCCTTCAATATACGTATTGCCATGCGATTCCTGCCTTGCATCGTGAATGAATGGCTCGGCCCGATACTCGGCCCTTGCTTGCCCGAACCTGTCGCATCGACATGCGTCAACGTTGAGTGTCGATCCCCAACCATTACCCCAGCTTTTGCTACCCCAGCTTCCTACCTTCGACTAGCGCGCCCTCAGATGTGACGTTGAAGTACCCCGGATGCAAGACTCGGGTAGCGCGCTGCTCGGCCTTTCGTCATGTGGTGTTTAAAAGTGCCGTGGCCGCGCCTGCTGCCGGAGGGTAATTGCCCGGTTGTACATACATGCCCTGCAACCTGACGTGCGGGGAGCTGTAGCTGCTGTTGTGACCCAAAGGCTTTGTCTCTTCTTTCCTCCAACTACTACGCGCAACCAGGTGCTAATTGACGTTGCCTCTTACAGTTACAGCGCGCCGGGCATCATGGCTATCTTCAAAAAGCATAGCCTGAGGGCGGGCAACAACAGAACACGGGCGGCAGAGCTTACGCTGCGAGAGTCCATCTTCCCACTGTGTCTAGTCACCATCCTGTTCTTCCTCTGGGTATGTATCTCATATAGCTTCCTACACTTATCGCGGCCATCACTTCACCATTCAGCGCTAACGACTTGCCCAGGGCTTTTCCTACGGCCTCATCGACACGCTCAACAAACACTTCCAGGAAGTCCTGCACATCACTCGCTCGCGCAGCTCCGGACTCCAAGCCGCCTACTTCGGCGCATACCCGCTCGCCTCCCTCGGCCACGCAAACTGGATCCTGCGCCACTATGGCTACAAAGCGTGCTTCATCTGGGGCCTCTGCTTGTACGGCATCGGCTCGCTCATCGCATGGCCCGCGCTCGTGTACCGCTCCTTCGGCGGATTCTGCGTCGCCATCTTCATCACGGGTAATGGTCTCGGCTCGCTCGAGACGGCGGCGAATCCGTATCTGACTGTCTGCGGTCCGCCCAAGTACAGCGAGATCAGGATCAACATTGCGCAGGCGTTCAACGGAATTGGGACCGTGATTGCGCCGGTTCTGGGGTCATATGTCTTCTTCACTGATGTCGATGACGCGAACCCCAGCTTGAAGAATGTGCAGTGGACGTATCTGGCGATTGCTATCTTCGTCTTCGTACTGGCGTTTGTGTTTTACGTGACGCCGATCCCAGAGATCACGGTAAGCAGGAAAGGCAGCGGAGAAGGATTGAACCCCGCTGACAAACGCAGGACGCGGATATGGCGTTCCAAGCAGAAGAAACGCACGCCGGCACAGACGTCAAGCCCTTCTGGAAGCAATATCGCCTGTTCCATGCCGCCGCGGCACAATGTCTGTTCACCCTCCCCCCTCCTTCCCCCACACACAACTGACGCCCTCCCAGTCTGTTACACTGGCGCCCAAGTCGCCATCGCCGGCGCCTTCATAAACTACGTCGTCGACACTCGCCAAGGCACCTCCTCCGCAACAGCTGCGCGTTTCCTTTCCGGCGCGCAAGGCGCCTTCGCCCTCGGCCGCTTCGTCGGCTCCTTCCTCATGAGTCGCATACGCCCGCGCTGGGTCTTCCTCGTCTTCATGACGGCTTGCATCGTGTTCATCAGTCCGTCCATCACCCAGCGCGGCAACACGGGCATGAGCATGCTCTACGTCACGCTCTTCTTCGAGTCGATTATCTTCCCCACCATCGTCGCGCTTGGTATGCGCGGACTCGGCAAGTACTCGAAGCGCGGGTCGGGCTTCATCATCGCGGGTGTGGCGGGCGGCGCTGTGGTGCCGCCTATTTTGTTCGCGGCGGCGGACTCGCAAGGCCAGGCCAACTATGCGACGGGTCACGCGCCGACGGCCATTGCTATGAGCGTGCCGCTGGCGTTCTTTGTGGCTGCGTGGTCGTATTCGCTGGCGGTCAACTTTGTGCCTCAGTACCGCGAAGTCGTGGACAAGTTCCATACGACGGAGATTGGAGTCGTAAATGCGCATGCAGATGAGGAGAGTGGGAGTGCGGAGATTGTGAAGAGCGAGGCGCCGTTGCAGACGAGCGATGTGAATGCGCCGAAGATCTAATTGCATCGTGCCGGCTTGATCAGATGAGTCTCGGCGATCCGGGAAGATGGTGGTGTGGTGGGTGCGAGTGCTTCCTGCGTAGTCCGAGAGATGAGAATGAGAACCCCTTTTTTGTGTATGGGGTGTAGAATACCCCACTGGCAGTGCTGGCTTGTCGCATCACAAGCTGTGCAGAGTGATCTGAGTCTCATCTCGACCTGTTGATACTGTGAGAAACACCATCGACAATACCACCTCTGGCTTTTCAGGATATGCTCGATGTGGGTACACGTGCTATTGCAACGCACTGTGAGGCAGACTCCGAAGATTAACACGCTTGCTCGAGAATTGAAGAATAAGTGGCTCGCACCCGGCCTCTATCAGGTGTGCTACGTCCATCCACCTACACGCTCACCGCTGTCACGCCCTTCCTCTGCGTTACACTACCACACGACGTCCTGCTTCGTAAATGCTTTTGGTCGTTACATGCCCTCTACCCAACAAGGAGACCAAACCAAATCGGACCACCCAAATTTGCACGCATGCGCGCCGGTTAAAAACGCCCTATAACAACAACATCTCCATTTATGAGTTGAGGTAGTTCCGAACCGCACCCTGCAGTTTTGACGCGCCCTCGCCGAGCAAGCTGGTAAGGTTCTCGAGGTCGTCGCTGGCGGTGATGCCGAACTTGCGAACGAAATCCTTCGCTGCGCCCTCGAGGTCGCCGTAGTCGTCTTCTGGGACATCATCCTCGGGACGGCCGAAGTAGGCGTTTGAAGAGATGGCGGTGGCGCCTTCGAAGCCTGCTTGGGTGTTAGCATATCGTTTCGGACTATGCGATGTAGAAAGACGTACCTGTTAACCTCGACTTGGCTTCAGCGGCGGCACTTGGGTCGAATGACCCGCGGCCGAAGAACTCGTCACTCCCGATGCCCTTTTGCGTGCCAAACTTCTCGCGTGCGTACGTCTCGCTGTCGTCCGCAACAGGCTTACTCGTGCTGCCGAAGCCACCCATCTTCTTGGGTGCAGCGGCCGACTTCGCAGCACCCACCTGTCCGAATCCGAGGCGTGCGACTCCCATCCCCAGTCTCTCGACGTCCTTACTTGACTTCTCGGGTTTTGATGTGGTACCGAACCCACCGCGGGATGGCGAGAGGGGCGTTGGCGCAACGATATTGGATGCTTCGGGGGCCTTGGGCTTGGTCGTCGCACTGGTCTCTGCAGCTTCCGCGTCTGGGTCGTAGCCGAGTTTCTCGATACGTTCAGCTTCTTCGCGGGCTTTGCGTTCAGCCTCTTCAAAGTCGAGACCATCGCTGGCAACCACCTTCTTTGCGCCCAGCCCCTTCTTCTTGGCCCCTAGGATGTTTTTCTTCGGCGCAACACCTGATGTGGCCTTCTTGACAGCAGGTCTGGCGACGGGTGGTGTGGATGCGGAGCCGCCTGCTAGCGGGGACTTGGGGCGGTCGGTGCCGTTGCCAGTTGCACCAGGTTTCAAGAAGGGCGACTGCGCGCGGGGCGTGCCGGTGCGTGATGGTGGGTTGGACGGGCGCTTGACGGCGGGCTTGTCCCAGGAAGAGAAAAAGTCGTCGTCTTCGCCGGCTGGAGTGGTCCCTTCGCTGCCGGTCGCTTCGGGCACGTCTGTGATTACGACCTCTTCAGGATATCTGGAACGAGGGTCAGCGATCATGTCGCCCATGAGATGTCGGATATGCCGTACTGTCTGGCATCTACAACGCAGCGCCTTTGTAGCTCCTCTTTGTACTTGGTTGCCGCATTGCTCGTGTATTTCGTCTTGGGGTCCTTGCTTGCTAACGCAGCAGAGCCGCCATGTGTCTGGAAGTACTTGGTCGCGCTCTCGTTGCCACCAACCTTCATGATGCGCAGCTGATCCCATTGCCAGACTACAGCTATTAGCCCTGTTCCTCGCCCCCTTGCTGCCTTGGGTTCCACGTACTGTCCAGGTTGGTCGAGCGCACGAACGAGATGTGCACTCCCATATTTCTATGGTTCGCCGAGCAGTCGAGGCAGAGGTAGATGCCAAACGGGACGGAGCTCCATGTTGGGTTCTTCGCGCCGCAATCGAAACATACCTGGCCGTGAACATTAGCTGCCTTGCCCATGCATCGACCGCTCCTTCCCCTGGATGCGGGTGGAATAACGCACCTTGTTCGCAGGCTTGATTTTCAATTTTGCGAAGATGTTTCGCGACTGGTCCTTGGTAGCGAGCGCCATGGCGGGCTGTCACAAGAGAAACAGAGAGTCGCCGTGGAGGAGAAAGAGTCGTCGAGTCGAGGCTGGTGGGGACGCCTGGCCGCACCTACAGCGGTCGGGAAAGCCACCTTCCATGTTCGTCACGTGAACCATATAAGCGCTGGTGGCCAGTGCGTTGGCGCCGCCTCTATCTGTCGCCAGAGCTTCCAGCCTTCATTCCGACAACAACGGCACACTTGCGCTGCGTGAACAGAACATCGGTCGCTTCAAGCATCGATGCTCGGAAACACCGTCTATTGATTCAATCCATATCGTTGCAACTGCTTCGATATGGCGCTCAGCGTGTCCTGTCCCTGTAACTATGCATCTGCCCATCATACCACTAGCTGGTGACGAAGTCACCTTATGTTATACTTTTGCTAACGTGTTTTCCAAGCGCGTACTCATTCTCGCGTTTTGTACAAAGCTACTTGTGACCTAACTCACAGCAGGGCAAATACTCTCCTAACATGGGTAACAATCATTCCAACCACGGGGTTGAGCCACCAGCCCAGAGGCAACCGGTTAAGCAAGGACCGCCGAAGTCGCGGGAACATGACCAGAAGAAGACCCAGGTTGCACCAGTCTGGGCTGATTACACCACAAAAGAACCACAGCCTATTCCTGTCAATTGCAGCGTCGCAGTCCCTGTCCATAAAGGCGAATTTCAAAATTGTCAACACCCCAGGCTTTGGCGCATCGATATGACCATACACCGAAAACTCGCGCGGAAGCAGCAGTAGCCCATCCGAAAAGTACACGGCAGATGCTGAGGTGCTTCCCAAAGTTGGCAAATGAGGCAGCCAGAGCATCTCTAGAATGTGGGTATCTATGAGCCGGGACTGACGCACATTCTCTCAATTCACATGTGACATGCTAACGTTGTCCGCACCCACAGACATGTCCATGTCTCACACGCATTCAACACTCAATCGAGTGGACCTGAGAGTTAGTGATATTCTCGTCGACTAGAAGCGAGCTCCTATACTCAGACTTGTCGAGAAAACAAGCTCTGGACTTCACGATATTGAGACTCCAGCTTGCGATCGATGGATATACGCCAAATTGGGCTTCTATTTCTCATCACGCGTCGTGCCTCGACAACTACTGGGACGCGTTATCCAGATTGCGAAAAGGTCGGAATCAGAAAGAAATCGAGGTGAACGAGGTTCAGAATAAGTGGGTGAAGGATCAAGGCCTGGAGATGTTGGTGAATGATCTCTGCTCCAGCAGCAACGTGTTCCCAGATCCCATCCACTTATTTCCGGACGATTCCATGACTAGGGAATATGTGCAGTTGGAAGCGATGCGGGATGTGGTGTTTGTGCTCAGTGTTTGTCCGCGGTACGTGCCACGCTTGGACGACTCGTCTAGGGAGAAGCATTGTGTAGTGTATTACGAGGTCTTATTGAAGGGACGCGGAGAGCAACGTTCTGGGCAAGGCGGTTAGCAGAGCGGTACCCCGACGTTAAGACGCAGAGACAATTCAAAAGGCTGGAAATCATGCGGATCAGGTTGAATGCAGAGCACGCTCAACAAAGGGATTTCTTTCCCACCACAACTCCAGACTCTGGCTACTACATCTCCACGACCATCCCTTCCGCTACACCCCAATGTCCAACCGTACTCGAATTCACAAACGTGGTCTTCGGCTCCCTCCTCACCCCAAACGCCCACCGCACCCAGCTCCACACCCACGCCCCCACGCCAACCTCAAACACAAAGCATCCCTCCACAGGACACCCCAACACACCCTCATACATCCTCTGCACCCTATCCCAGCGCACGTATTCCCGCCCTCTCGACTCATGTATGTGTCCATACACCGCGAGCCGGGGTTTCACCCTCTCCAGCTCACGCCCCATCCACGCACACCCCGCGTGCCCCATCCCGTTGACGTCCAGGTGTCCCTGTGCCGGACCGTGCGTCACCACGATATCTGCGTCGCCAGGTATCTTGCCCTGCCAAACGTCCTCCCCGGGCGGATACTGGAAAGCCCAGTTCCCGTACTTCGGTGTCCACGGCGCACCCCAGATCTTGACATCTCTCCCTCTTACAGTGACGGTCGCGCTGCTGTCCTCAAGGTAGGTGACGTCACCCCATTCTAAGTCTTCCTTCGTGCAGCCAGGTGTGGTAGTGAAGACGCGGCTTGGCGCAGAGGCAACGAAAGAGGGGGACAGGAGGAGGTCGTGGTTTCCTGCTATGACGAACTTATGGCGGTGGGGGAGAGCGGCGAGCCAGTCCAGTGTTGCTTGGAGCTCTGCGAAGGTGCCGTTCTGGGTGAGATCGCCGGCGTGAAGGAGGATGTCGGCTGCGGGGATAAGGGGCTGTGTATTATGTGTGTCGGAGAGGCAGACGACGGTTATGTGGTGTGGTGTGGTCCTACCATTACTTTGACTGCTGCTATTGTTGCTGTTCCGTCGCTTCTGCTTGAGGGGCGGCTGGTGCGTGTAGAGGTATGTTGCGATGAAAAGGAGCGGTTTACGGAGGAAGCGTTGGAGGGGTGTGGGCTGCGCGGGCCGGAAGAGGTTGTTGTGAGGGAGGCTGTGGGAGGGTGATGACATGGTGTCGGTTGGTGAGTCGTTCGCTCTTTGTTTGGATTGCTTTGTCTTGTCCCATGTGCGTGCGCGTTCAGTTGATGGGCTCTCCTCGATGTTGCGATAATGGACTGAAGATACTAGGAGGATGCTTCGTCGAGTGGGCCTTTGAGCGGGTTCTATGGGTTTGTGTGGCGCAGGTGCTTCATAGCGAGGAAAATCCAGTAGGCTCAATTTGGTGGTGCAGGCAGCCATCTTCGGTGTTCAAGCCAGATCATCAATTATGGATCAAAACCTCAGCTACCAACAATATTTCGTAGCGCATCGTCAATCTGCATAGATCAAACAACTTTAGTATAGTCCGTATCATCTAGCTCCTAATCATACCAGCATCTCCATACCATCGCGACACCCGCCTTACTGATTCTTTTCCGAGTTGCCGTGATTATGATGGTCTTGGGTCCTCTCAAACTTCTTCCAACTGTGCTTCATACCCTTCGTCTTGGATGGGAAGCCCTGCGGGATGTCGAACTACCAATGATGATGATGATGATGATGATGGTTCTCGCCTTTGCACTCCACATGATACTGGCACCCATTCTCGATGTTCTCACTAGCCCAAAGGCCTGTCTGTTCGTAGAAAAACTTGCTCTCTTCATCCCCTGTTTACATGTACCCCTTTGCTTTCCAGCTGGGGATATTGCCACTTTGGCAGGGGAGAACCTTGTCTTTGCACCAAACGCCGGATACCATATGGCTTCGCCGCCAGGGTTACGACAAACGGGGACGGTGAACGCAAAGGGAAGACTGCCCGCTTCTCTGAATGCAGACAGTTGTTTTTGTCAGGCAGGAACGGTGGGGACGTCGTATTGGCGGATCACCTTTTCAGGCTTGGGTTCTGTATCGCAAAGCGAAGAGCGCACGGTATCCCCGCCAGTGAGGCTGTATTACTTGTCTGGATTGGCGAGTAGTGCTTTGAGACCGGGTGGCGAAGCGATATCTGAGGAGGCGTCGAGAAGACTGTAGACTCTAGCCAGCAGATGCCGCAACTTAAATCAAGAATTATTTCCTGCAGTCTTCCCAGGCTATTGGCCGTGGAATTTCCCTCTTAACCGCATTCCACCTACCTTCACGAATGTGCGAATAGGGTCCCTAGCTTCGACCTAATCTATGCTGATCTTCAACATCGGACTATGCTTCAGACTCAGAGGTGCAATCAGTGTTTTGGATATTCAGGCGAAACGTTTTCCGGTTCTTCCCAAGCTCATCGAGCGTTGCGGTCAATATGCGCCGCTTAAGGAGAAAATGCTCAACATATCCTTGAAGTCGTTGATTTAATAAGATAATTTTGAGGCAGAGACCAGTCCGGCTCACAGTGAAGACTCTCAAGAGATAGAAAAGATCGCAGAGCACTTCTGTACCATTTTTTGGTGGCAAGTGGGAGAGGGCAGCTCGAGTACGGGGTGGGTTCTGTTGTTTGTGCTTCTGAATCCCACGTAGCTTTGTACGATATTGTGCATTTCTAGAGCAATTTGGGTGTGGTATGTGTGAAGCATCAAGACCGCTCGATATGTTTTCAGGATGTGAAATACGATGTAGATGCGGTAGATTTTACTGCAAACGCTAGTGTAATCCGGACAGGAAGGTGCACTTTGCCGCCTAGGTAGTAAGGAAGGCGCGACACAGTCGAAAATCACTTCATTCTTAAATCCATCTGGCTTGGTTTCTTCTCATTACACAGCACAGACCTTAAGGGTTGCGACCCACAGTGTGAAGTTGCCATCCTTTCCACGTATCGATCAACCAACATGGCCGCTCCACAACTCCCACAACTGCAAGAACTCTCAACATTCCCAACTGCCTACCCTGAAACACTCCCAAGCTTCCGAGCAGACGAACCTCCTCAGGCCGCCTGCTTCGCCCGTCTTCGCCGCCGGCTCCCTGAATTCCTCTCTTACCGTAACGACCCAACTGCCCCCAGCAAACACTCCCGCCTGCGTGCTCACCTCCCCAAGTTTCGTGCGCCCAATCCCCCAGATCGTCCAACCCTCAAACAATGGTTCCAGCGCTGTTGGCTCGACGTCCTTACGCAGCTTCTCTGCATCCTCGTCGCCTTCATCATCTACCTGACCGCGCCCCCGCTCATGACACGCTATTTTCCCTTATACCCAGGCATCCACTCTGCCCCTTGGGGCCTAAAGCACGGCCAGCCGTACATCAACGAGTACATCAACACCGCGTGGAGTGCGGCGATTAGTTTTTTTGTTCCGTTTCTGCTTATGGCGGCGGTGTCAGGGTGGTGGTTCAACAGCTTCTGGGATGGGAACGCCGCTGTGCGTCCGCTTCCCCTTCTTCCCTTTCACCGTTCAATGCTGACAGTATGGACTGAAACAGTGCATCGGCCTCGGCTACGCCCTCGCCACCTCCACGCTCTTCCAATCCCTCATCAAAGTCTCCATCGGCGGCCTCCGCCCACATTTTCTCTCCCTCTGCAACCCGCCCATTCCGCCCGCCTACGGCGCTACGGGCCACGCCCCAGGCGTCATGTACTACACAACCGACGTCTGCCGCGGCGACCCGGACAAGCTGCACGAGGCGCAGATGAGCTTTCCGTCTGGACACGCCTGCGCGGCGTTCGCAGGCTTCGGCTTCCTCGCGCTGTACTTCAACGCCAAGTTTGGGGTGCTCGGACATAAGCCGCGTGAGGACGAGAAGGGAGATGTCAAATCTGGGGCGGGAATAGTACAGGTCGGTGTGGAGGAGGTGCAGCAGGATCAGCGTAGCTTTACGCGGGTTCCCCACTGGCGGCTCGTACTGTTTGCTGCGCCGGTGCTGGTTGCGGTCATTATGGCTGCGAGCAAGATAAGGGATATGTGGCATCATCCTGTTGATGTGGTGTTTGGGGCTTGTGTGGGGGTGCTGTTTGCGCTGATGGCGTATCGGATGGTGTACAGGGCGGTGTGGGACCAGAATAAGAATCATTTGGCCAGGGACATTTTGGCCAGGGACATGGGTGGAGGGGAAAGGGCGAATGGTGGTGTGCAAGTGGGAGAGCCTGGGATAGATGACAAGGGATATGTTGTCTAAGTGGTTGTTGGGGGGTGGGGAGTGAATGTGGGAAAGAAGAGGTGGTCTATTTCTTCCTTTCGGCGTGGCTTTTGTTGTGGCGCGTTCTGAAAACCTAGATACTTTTTTCCGAGCTTCTTTTGATGCATCAAATAAAGTGAAAAGCCTTCCCTCGAAATCGCACAGTGGAATTCGCCTTAGCTAGAGGTTCACCAAACCGGTCGTCGAGACGATCTTAATGAGCATCTCCAAGTCTCAATATACATACAACCAACAAAGAGCCCAAAGCTAAATACTGCGCCGTCCCATGCACTATAGTAATTACACCCCCCCTGTGTTGTACGCCGCCACCCCATGCACTATCATACACATGTTCTCCCCATCATTCCTCCCCGCGACTCACCCACCCCTCCTCCCTCCACGTCCCACTCCTCCCCCCCTCCTTCAGCACCACCCTAACATCACTGATCGAAATCCCCTTATCGACCGCCTTACACATATCCACCACGCTCAGCGCCGCACCCGTAACACTCGTCAGCGCCTCCATCTCCACGCCCGTCTGCCCCGTGCAACTAACCTTACTCTCCACAACTATACTACCAAAGTCCTTCGCATCTTTGTCCTTCCCCACGACGGAGGACGAAGCCGAAAACGGCAGGACGACGTGTAAAGACACGCCGACGTGCGTCAGCGCGATGGGGTGGCACAGCGGGATTAGCGTCGGCGTGTGCTTCGCCGCCATGATACCCGCGATGCGGCTCACACTTAGTACATCCCCCTTCTTGTTGGACGCGGCGTGGATGAGGGAGAGCGGCGTGGGGTTGCTAAAGCGCACGGTGCCGGTGGCGATGGCAGTGCGTTCGGTCGAGGGCTTGGACGCGACAGAGACCATGTGCGCAGCACCAGAAGACGTGAGGTGCGGCAGGGAGGTCTGGAGGTGGTTCTCGTGGGGTGAAGGGGAGGTGGGCTGGCGGGGTTTGGTGCTGACGCGACGGTGGAAGCGGACGGGTGTGCGGCGGAAGGTGTTGGCGTGCGGATCGACTTTGCGGACTTGTGAGGCTTCATCGATTTTGGGGGTTTCCAGGACTTTGGGGGCTCTGTCGACTTTCAAGGTTTCTAAAACATTTAAAGGTTCCTCGACCTTTGAGCTTTCTCCAGTTTTTGAGTCTTCCTCCGTGGAAGTGGAGTACGCCCGGTGAGAGGCGAGTGTGTGGTACCCGGCTGCGTTCGCGACTCTCCACATGGAGGAGGCGCCGTAGCGGTAGCCTCGGGCTTTGCTTTGGCCAGTAGTGAAGGGCAGATCCTGGGGTATGCGCTGATTTTCTTTTTCCGTCTCCTTTGCCACGCCGTACCCCTTCCCTCTCTCTTCGTCTACGGCAGCGCCTTCATCATCCAAAAAGCCCAGACCGGCGTCCATCTCCGCCCAGTTGAGTGGTTCGTTCCTTTTGCCGTGATCAGGGTCGGTCTTCCTTTCTTCCTGCCTTAGGAAGATTTTTGCCCACCGCTTCGCCATGCGCGTTGCAGCGCGTTGGGAGAGATCGTGGTCGAGCACCATCTGGTCCAGCAGCGCGCGCACGTCCTGGCTGACGTCGGGTTTGGCGTCCGCGCTCTCGGCGTTCATCTTGTCATTGCGCGTCTGCCACTTCCAGATGAGGATCTTGAGCCACGTCTGGAGTGTCTTGCGCTGCTTTGATTTCCACACGTCGTAGGGCAGCGTGTCCATCAGGGGGTAGTCTCGTTTCAGTTTTTGGCTGAGCTCAAAGATCTGGTCTTGCAGCTCTGGGACATCGGTTTCGACGTTGACGGTAAGGTTGTCATCGATGACAATCTTTTCTGAGGTGGAAAATTGTGCTTTGAGTTGGTCGGAAAGCGAGCGGGGAAGCAGCATGTCGGGTGAGGTGCTCGGCCATGTGCGGACGGGCTGGGGTTTGTTTGACGCACCCAAAGCATCGAGAGCCTCCTTTTGCTTTACTCTCTGTTGTCGGGTTAAAGGTACGTCTGGGTTCCGTGGATCAAACTGAGCGTTTTTAAGGTCTGGATTCACATTGGAGTATCGGATAAAAGAATGGAGCCTGTGCTCGTTCTCGACGGTAGCGGCCTCTTTTTCCAGTTCGCGGAGCACTTCTTCGAGCTTCCTCGCCGTTCCCACGCGGAGACGACCCTCGTGCTGGGCGCCAGAGGCCAGCTGCTTGAGATGCGCAATAGACTGGTGTATGTCGCGCAATTGCTGTTGTCGCACTTCCGCAGTAGTATCTCGCTGTTCGGGGATTATTTCGTTGGGCTCAGCTTGGCGGTTTTCAGTTTGGCGAGCGACAGCTAAGAGAGCTCGAATTGTGTCTTCATCTTGTGACGCTGTATCCCTCATTTCGTTGTTCTCGATACCCTTCCTGCTACTTAGTGGCAGTTTTGGGATTTCGAGAGCTATAGATTCGAGGCTTCGCTTTGTGTTCTCACCTCCTCCCTTTGTGGCTCTCTTTTCGTTGTATACCATGCTCGTCTTGTTGTTCTGCGGTTCCACGCTCCTCTGAACGCTGTTTGGCTCCATGCTCTTCTCCATGCGCTTTGGCAGTTCGTCATTCTTGCGTGCTATTTTGCCTGCATCTTTCTCCGCGATAGACACCGTTTTTCGCTGCGCGTCTTCGTCAGAGCTGCGTTCGGTCTTGCGTTCGGGCTCGCTCTTGGGATGTTGCTCCTTGGCGACTGTTGGGAAAAGACCTTCAAATACGTCCGGCGTATTGACAGGTGTTTGTCCCTCTGCCGTAGCCTTCACGGCCGCTTTCCTATCCCTGCGCCACGTCGCAGCGAGAGAGCTGTCCCAGCTCACCTTCGCATGCCCTTGCTTGAGGCGCTCAGCATGTCTCTCCTCCGCCTCCTTCACTCGCTTTTCTGCTCGCTCAGCATGCTTTTTCTGCATCCCCCGATCCCACGCAGTCGCTATCTCTTTCTCATCCACACTCAATTCCCCCTTCTCTTGGTCGAGTTGCTGCTGCTTAGCTTGCGGCTGCTGAATCGTCTTCAAACTCTCCGGCGCCAGCAGTTCTAAGTGTGACTTGAACGTATGTAATGCTTGCTCGAGCTCGTTTATATCTGCCTTCCACGCGTGTTCCAGCTGCTTGCGCTTCTCCTCATCCTCGAGCGTCACCGCCGCGATCTTCTTGTTGCGGCGCCACATCGCGCGCGACGTCACCTTGCCCACCTTCGTTTCGAACTTGGCCTGGATCTTGTCCCGCCAAGCTACAAACTCGCCAGGATCGTGCAGCGGTGGTTGCTCTTTTGCGATCTCAAGCCTCACTTCTAGCTCTTTGATCTTTGCGTGCACGTCCTTGATTTGTACTGCCTTGTTGACGGAGCCTTCGTCGTACCTGTGTTCGGGAAATAATTCCGTGGGTATGACAGTTTTTCCGGAGACAGTCTTGATGCTACTACACACCTGCCGCTGCGCCGTCCTGTCGTCCATGCCGATGTGGATCTTCTGCAGCTCCTCGACAGCTCTGCGGCCCGTCTCTAGCGATTCAACTCTGCTTGCTGTTGGTCGCGTTGTATTGCCGAGGTGGGTGATTTGCGTCCAGTAACTATCGTATTGGGGTCCGCCCATTTCCTGTCGCTCCATGAGCTCGCATTCTTCCGCTTGCGATACTTCGAGGGTTTGAAGCATGGCGCGTTCTGAGCCTCGTCGCCCTTCCTCTAAGCGCTCCCATTCCTCGTCGAGGTGTTTTGTCAGGAAGGGACTGATCTTCGATTCCACTTCATTCACACTATCCAGCCTCCTCTCGGGTCTCTTGCCGAAGCATTGAGTCTTTGTGCCTTTTTTCGCGAGCGTTCTCAAGGTGCGGATATGAGAGCGACCCGACTGTAGCGAGACCAAGGGGTGAGATAACCGTGGCGGCGGGATACTGGGCCACGGTCTCACCAGACCAGCACCAGACATGTAAGCATTGTGCGTACCAAATATAAAGCGGGCGTTATCGACCAAGCTTGTGCGGGCTGCACTGGGCTGTATAGACCGGCCTGCGCAAGTCAGCAATCATCTTCACTTCAGGGACGCGCAGCGTAGCGTATGGGGTATAGATTGGCATATATAGGCAACACGTCTGTCTATCTTCCCCACGACAGTGCCAGTCTCGCCTTGAAGCAGTGCAAAAAGGAACGAAACGCCGCCGATGCAAACATACGTGTCCACCAAGATTCGTGAAAAGGGCATACAGTCATCCATGATATGATAAATAGAGAAGTCCGAGCTTTCACCCACCAATTAAGATCATCGGTCTGTTCGTCATGTTCTGGAGGTCTCCCATGTCCGCATGCTTCTCGGCTTTGCGTTTGACCGCGGCGCCTATGACGTGCAGAAGCTCCTGCTCTCGCTTTCCCCAGCCGAGGATTGTCTCATCGCTTAGACGGCCGTCTCGTCGGTCAATCTCAATTTGTTTGATGCGCTCGAAGGCTTCTTGATCGATTGGCTGGCCGTTGTTATCCTTGCGAAGCATATCGCGGAGAGAAACTTCGTCGTTGCCATGCAGGCAAACTTTTAGGTTGCCGTCGCTTGTGATGCGCAAGCGGTTGCATGTCCCGCAGAAGTCGTTGGTCATGCTCGAGATAAAGCCGACTTTGCCGACGAAACCCGGGACTTCGTACGTCTTGCTCGTATCGTTTTTGTGGCCTTTGACGCTGCGCAATCCCGGGTATTTGACGCGTATTATGTCCAGCATCTCCTGGAAGCTGATCATCTTGCCCTCGCTCCACTTGTTGCCGCCGAAGGGCATATACTCGATGAAGCGCACCTCGATGTCCTTTTCGCGGCCCAGCTCGACGAAAGGTATTATGTCGCGCTCGTTCAGCCCGCGCATGACGACGCAATTGACTTTGAGCTTGATGTTTGCGCCGAGCTTGTTCATCTCCAGTATGCGCTCAATGGACCTCATAACCGCATCGAAGCCATTCCGTCTTGTCATGATCTGGAACTGAAAGGGGTCCAGGGTGTCAAGACTGAGGTTGACACCCGTGAGCCCGGCCTCGACCATGGCATCCAGTTTCCGATGCAAGGATATTCCATTTGTGGTCAGGGCGAGCTCGCGAAGACCCTGTGAGCGCAGAGAGCCGATGGATTGCATCAGGGAGACAATGTCGCGGCGCACAGTGGGCTCGCCGCCTGTCAGACGGATCTTGGTGACGCCTTGCGATACGAATAGCGACGAAAGGTAGAAGATCTCGGGAGTGGTGAGCATGTGCGCGGGCGGCGACAGCGGAACGCCCTCTGCGCTGCTATCAGCGCGATTCGCCTCTTATGGGACAAGTCGTCTTACCTTCTGGCATGCAGTACAGACACCGCAGGTTGCAGCGCTCTGTGATGCTTATCCGCAGATAGTCATGCTCTCTGTTGAACGAGTCTGTCAAGAACTCGGAGAAGGGCTTCGCATTCCGCACTGCTTCTTTGCGCTGCTGGAGGCCTGCGCTCACAGCCGGGGGTAGTGCAGCTCCATTGCTGTTTATGCCCGTTTCTTGCACTTGCGAGGTTGTCGCATAGCTCCTCTGCACCCTTTCCAGGACGGATATACGCGGTCTGGCGAGGGGTTCGCGATGGCAACGCGCGGCCGTTGGGATCGGCCGCATAAAGACCATACGGGCCATGCTCACGGGGACGAGGGGCGGCGGCTGCTTCTATGAGCAAGCAGAGCCATAGAGGCTAGTTATACACAAGGAGGAAATCGGACAATCATGTGCGGGGCTGGAAAGAATTTAGGTCGCGTCAAGAGGAGGCGATAAAGTTCACAGGGATCGCTGACAGATGCTTGGCGGCCGCGGCTTGCGAAGAGTGGGAGTGGGGTTGCGGCGAATGCTCCCGGCGACTGCTCCGCTTTCATCATGCGGCAACCCGCGGACTACACTTCGCAGCAAGTGTCAGCGCCTAGAGAGCCTGACTAAGCCGTTACCAGCGCACATAGTGTAGACTCGATCAGCTATACCCTGCCATAGGCGTCGAATCACCCAATGCCGCTGTCAATTCACGCTGTATGGTCAGGAACAATGCGGTCGCTCACAATGTCCCACGTCCCACCACTCGCAGAGGATTCGTCTTACATAGTCCTCAGCGTATACACAGCCGTCATCGCGAACAGTCCCGCCCTACCAAGTAGCCTCCACCGTCTCCCACACCCAGCCTCTCACAGAATTGGCAGGGAAAGAGTAGTTCAGAGGAAACAAGTCAGCCGAGGGTAGAATTGAGACTTTTAGGGGTATGGATTGAGAGGGAGTCGAGGGTCTTTGAACTGCCGATGCTGATCTGGCAGATGTTGGTGAGATCCAGTCACCCGGGCGTCCCTCTTCGAAACCAATCGATCCCATTGCTCGGAACTCTTGTTCTCATTCAGTCTCCAAGGTCCCATTGACCAGGCCCTCGCACGTCATCTTGAAGCTCAGCCCCTCCATGTTATATTCCACCGCCTCCTGCGCAAACTTCGGACTTGTCATCGCCGTCGAATCGCTCAGCAAGATGCAGTCATAGTTCAGCCACGCCGCGTCCATGAGGGTCGCAGCAACACACTGGTCCGTGTTGCAGCCAGCAAAGATGAGCGTTTGGATGCCCCTCAACTTTAGGGCGTTGTCCGTCTCTGTGTCTGCCGTGAATCCAGACAAGCGATTCTTGTACGCTTTCGTGTCTGTACCCTGTTCAACGAGCGCCGCGAGAGGGCCGTAGATCTCTTCGTTCCACGTGTCGCGCATTGATATTTGTCGCCATCATTTGCGAAACTGCCCGCTAGCTGGACAGGTCCAATATCGACGCCAAGCTCGGGCATCTTGTAGCCGTCGACAAAGTTGTTTTCTTATGCAAAGCCACGCTTTATGGTGGGCGGCATAGCCAGGACGTCCAAGGGCCTCAGACCCCAATTCAGCCAGAGTATCGGGATTTTCTGTTTTCGGTTGGCGGGGATGACGACGTTCTTTAGGTTCTTAGCGATCTGTAGACCGGGGCTGTTGGAAGGACGGTGTAAGGCTGGAGATAGAAAGTAGTTCTGCATGTCGACGACGAGCGCGGATTTGCTGGGGGCGGAGTAACGCTGGTTGAACCGGACTTACACGTCAAACGTGTGTAGATTCTTGGCGCTGAGTATGATATGGGGTGTGTGATGTCGTAGCCTGAGGCTGGAGAGTACAACCAGAAGTTGGATGGGCCTCCGATGACCTTGGGCTGTTCCTCGGCCAATTGTTCCATTTGCGCGAACCAGATATTCAACAGCGTTCAGACAATGTAAAAATGTAGACGTTCTGGATATAGGGAGCTTGCAAGAACTGGAAGGACTATTTCGGGCGAACTCATGCTATGGAAGAATACATGGGAAGGGGCGGGTGGGTTATGAGCAAACGACCAGAAGAGCAAGCGGCACAGGCGCAGGAAGGTACGACACACTCAGGCGACTGCCAACTACTGACTTATCTTGCACGGCCTTCAACACTCGCCGCCCACACTCCTTGTGTATTTCGCATTTCAGTCGAGTGTGCCATGGCCCCGCTGAGCACATCAGACGGTGTTGCATTCGGCTGAGACGTGTCGGCCAGAGGTACGCTTGTGCTGAAGACTTTCTTGGTTGAGAGGTTACATGCTACGAAATGTTCAGCAGGAAAGTGGTGAGAGATGATAAAATGTTCTTGGAATAGCCTCCTCTGACAGCGGGAATATCCCTGCAGTGGAAATGGCTGTGGCAGCGTATGACCGCAAAGAGCGTCACAGACGGTTTGTTGAATCTTATTGGCACTCGTGCGACAAGGCCAAGCTCCAATGGGTCTACGGCCGCCGGAGGCAAACCAGATGTTAAGGTTTAGTTAATGGATGCTTGCCGACTGACGACCATCTATCTTGCCGCTTCCTACTAGCGCTTTTGGGCGCCGCACCTCGACACAAGACTATTAGGAAAGGCTGTGGTCCCAATGCTGAGTGAGTATATGGCCCTCACAGAGTGCTATTTCTGGAATACAACACCCTGAACTTCTCAGCCACGTCCCGCAAATCATTCCAACCAGCGAAGTGCAGATACGCAAATCTCAAAAGAATTCAAGATCACTCACGGGCGATTCGAAGCAATATTGGTCAACATGTGGAAAGTTTCTGGAGAGTTTAATCAGATGTCTCGGCTGCCCTCGCTCCTGTCTTCACTCAGCCGATAATAATTCCGCGCATGGCCTCGCACCCTCAGCTCCAGTGCTGCCTTATGATAAACCTTAGAAGAAGGCAGCTATGTGCATGTTTGGGTTAGGGTGATTGATGCTGATACGGTCAGGAAGTGAGCCAAAATGAGCATTAGTGGTGCTGCCCGTCTAGCTTTATATCTAGTTTAACAACTGGTCTCGATAGAGTAGTTAGAATGCTCGCACTGTTCTCAGATTTGGTTGCCCAGAATCATGATGGGACAAGAGCAGCACTTGAGGACAGTAAATTAAGACCTCAAGACGCTCGAACCATACATCGTAAACCACGCGGGGCGCCAATCATAAGCAGGAATCTAAGAAGAAGAAAAAAGGCTTCATGAAGAATGAGTAAATACAAGAATACATGTTGAGGGCAGATAGTTGCCACAGACATTCGTCAGCGTATCCGATGATCCGGAGAAATGATGACAACCATATACAACTGATTGAGGGGCTGTATTGGCTCAAAACGGCCACAGTACATCAGCCAATGGATCTTTCCAAGCCCAATTCTCATTTCATGCGTTTGTGGCCTTGATCTTGACCACCTCGTCCACTTTTAATATTTCCGACCTGATCGTCAAAACAGTGACGTATACCATAAAGAGGCAAGCAAGTATTCGAGTAAGTTTAGACTTCCATCCAGTGGTAACCCTGAACCGAAGCCATATTCTGAAAAATAAGTTTTGCATGATGAATTGAAGAAACAGAGGAAGTATAATGAGGACCGGCAGAACAATGGTTAGGAACATGGCGGCAGCCGATCTGCCATCGAAATCATGCGAGATGCGTTGGAACGAGGGAAAGAAGCGGCCGAAGTAACCCAGATGGATGAGGTGGATGCAAAGGGCAAAAGCCCAGTCTAAAAGGTGTTTATTGGTGACATTGGGGGTACCACGTAAGTCGACATCGGAACCGAACTGGTACAACGACCCGTAGAAATAATCGTTCACTTTCGGCCCTGGTGCAAGCCCTGGCTCTCCCGGGGCACACAGTCTGTCTTCCCAGTCCCAGCCTGTTGCCACGAGAATGAGGCATACAATACAAGCAATTGACGATCCTATAGCCATTGTGCCAATGCGGTGATCTACGCCCAAGAGTACAGTGTCCTGCCGAGCACATCGTCTCGTGTAGAGTACCGATGTAGATGTTGCTTGAAAGGCAGAACACAACAGTACGGTGATATCGAATACCCTCTGTTTGGACCATGGTGTCTTCCGCAAATGTGACCGCGGTTTGAAAATGTCGAGTAACAGGGCTGGTCCAAGGCGCTCGGAGCTATCATCATAGTTCTTCGTCTCGTCCTCGAAGCTAACGCGTTTGGCGTACATCCCGAAGGCTCCGCATATATAGTACGTATAGCCTTGATTCTTGCGATAGAGCAGGTTCCGTGTTACCAGCGGCAAGGCAACGGCAACCTGTGATGGATAGAGTAGAGGGCTGAAGGAAAAGATCAAAGGATGTAAGATGTTTTGCCGGTCCCATGCGTCAATTGTCCGAGTTGCATGAACGCAAAGAGGCCGAATATATGCGTGGCCCAGAGCGACGTTCGAATCTCTGCCCAGCGTCGGAGCTCGGGGTTGGCATAAAGCTCGTTCGACATTTTATTTGCTATAGATCTATCCATGGGGTACTTTCAAATGGAATAAGGAAGCTTTCACCTGTCGCTGCTGGGATTTGTGTGACTGCTATCCAGGCTTCAGCTGCGCCCTCATTCTGCGCCACCGCATTACTCGTCATGGTCGAGGTACTACCTCCGCCACTGATGTCAACACATATTATTCTGCATTTTAAGGCTGTATCGATGCGTTCAAATGTCGTCCGATCATCTGTGAGAGGGCTTCTGATCAACAATGCTCGCAAACGGGGAAAACGGCGGCGGCTATACGCGCACCCGTTCGTAATCATGCACACTGTTATGAATACTTGGAGCTATTGACTAGACTCCAGGCCGCGATCTCAACCCTCGAGATGTTTACCAGGGTGCTTCCCTCACCTGTGTGGTTCCGCGTTCTCTTCTCATCTCGCGCATTGCGCCCGCAGACGCACCCGGCCCCACATCCAGTGCTGTTGTAGAGCATGGTAGACCGGCATGTGGATATTTGGGTCAGGCCGACCAGTGTTGCCACGGTTATGAAGTGAGCTCAGCTAAACACAACCAGGGCCAGTCCAGCCGTCTACCCGTTCTCTCCAAGACCTTCACATGGACGTGGCAGCATGGCAGCGGCTAAGCACGCAATCGCAATCGCAATACCACACACACACCCAAATCTTCCCTGCAACGAACATGGATACTCGTCGCCAGCGACCAGAATCCAGGTCACATCGGCCCGTCCATCGACTGTCCAACGCAGGCACGGAACCTCCAACACCGAATTTCAAGATCTTCACCAGGGTATGCCCTCGCGCGAGCACTTTCGCGTCTTCTCATCCAGCCATCTGCCCAAGCCTTCATCCACATCCCTGCCCCTCTTCCAGAACCGTGACGCGTTTCCGGCGTGGCAAGATGTGATGCGTCCACTCGGGCCCTCGCCCTGCAGATGCACCCGGCGCCACATCTCCACACAAGCGCTTACAACCGCCAAGTCTGCGCTGTGATTGGCCAGCTCCTAACCGTCGCTGGAAGCGGGGATTTTAACGCGCTTTACATCTGGGAAAATGGTCTGATGCGCTATATTAAGTGTAGTTTGCGGGCAGGGAAGAGGGAAGGAGGGGAAATTAGCGGTCTATACTTGTGGAGGGAGATGTTTGGGTGGCTGTTTGGTTGTACGGGCGGCTCTGCGGGAGGGTGGGAAGCGCGGCGGTTGGAAAGGGAAGGTGAAGGTGGATGGCAATGGAAGAGGACAGGGGAGGAGAGCGTAGTCTGGACGCGTGGACGAGGCGTGCATGTTTCTGTGCGCACGTGTAGGTCATGTTTGTTTGTTTGTGTGGGCGAGACGAGGAGGAGAAAAGAGTCTCAGACAGCACTCAGTCCCCACCACCTCTTTCTACTTGCTCTGGAAATGCACACATTATCCTCACAGCCCCATTGCCACTACTCCCTCCTCTCTGAACTTCTTTCCTTCGAGCACTGTACCGCGCGCTCACCTCCATCAATCCACCAATCACCACCCCTACCTGGGGGACCGCCATTAACCAACGTTTCCTCCCAATCCATCTATTTTAACACCACATCCCGGGCACCATCCCCAAAGCAGCACGCCAGACATGCACGACAGCTCCGTGCGGCGGCACCGCTAGTCCCCGCCGCGATTGCGGCCGCCCAATCAGTAGCCCAGGGCACTATTTTTGCGCGGCGGGTCGCGATGCTGGCGCCAACGGCCTGGCAGGAGGTTGGTGCTAAGGCTCGAGAGGAGGAGGTATATATGGGGGAGGCACGCGGGGCGAGAGAAAGCGTGCATCGCAGCGAGACAGCAACTACAGAAACAGTTTCGGGACAGACAGACAGACAGGCAGGCGCGATCGGTTGAATCCATTGCACGGTTGTTTACGTTCACACTTGTTTCGTTTCGTTTCGATAACCATCCTGGGATCTGGATCTCAGTCTTTTTTTCTTCCGCGGATTCCTATACTATACCCTGCGGTTCTATTACCTACCTGCCTGTTTCTATTTTCCGTCGTCCCAATTTCGAAGACCCTATTTCGGTGCCGGGTATCGATCAAGCCGACGACAAACGCTTTTGCTCTGTTGGATATAATACCGGCGAGCCTTTCGACCTTTGCTTAAGGCATCTCTACTGTCGATCTCATCCTACCCTATCCTACTCCATCCCATCCTCAGGGAACCACACAACCAACAATGCTCTTCTCAAAGACCCTCGCGCTGGCCATGGCCTTCGCGCCCGCTGTGCTCGCGGCGCCTACGCCCTCTCAGACCCTCGGCGACCTCACAAGAAGGTACCTCAGCCCGGATGTCATCCGGAAGCTCGAGGATGGCGTGTGCGACCTCTCCAAGGCGGTTATGCCAATTGGTCTGTCTCTCCTCCCTCCTACGTCTCAAGATCAAGTGACTGACATACCCTAGCACCCACCCCTCTCCCTGCTGTATCAACCGGCCTCACCCTCGGTCACGTCGCCATCGGCCGCGGCACGCAGAACTACACCTGCGCGTCGTCAACCTCCGCCGACGTCCCCAAGCTGCAAGGCGCAAACGCAACCCTCTACAACGTAACCTGTTACTCCGTCCGCGCACCCTCAGTGCTCGCCTCCATCCCAGCCATCGCGCTCACCCAATCCATCGACCTCAGCCAGGACGTCCAGAAGTACACCGTCTCAGGCCATCATGAGTTCACGGCTGCGGGCGTCCCATTGTTCGTGCTCAAGACGGACAAGGCCAACTACGGGTACGTGCAGGCGAAGGGCGCGGCGAACAGTACGGCGCCGGAGAGCGCGGTGAAGGGCGAGAACGGGCTGGGCAGCGTACCCTGGCTGAAGCTCAACGCGGTCGAGGGCGACTACAAGGAGATTTACCGCCTGGAGACGGCGGGGGGCGTGGCGCCTAAGACGTGCGACGGGCAGGCAGCCAAGTTCTACGTGCAGTATGCGGCCGAGTACTGGTTCTGGAAATAGGAAGCTGACGGAGAGGGAGACGGCGAGGGGAACGAGGCTGTTGAATCGGAACGATATCCTGTACAGAGCATTGGGTGGCGTTTTGAAGGTTCTTCCGTAGCGCTCAGCATTATTAGTGCTGCGGTCGTTGTCGCTTTGAACCTCTGATCGGAGTAGACGTGGCCTAGGGTAATCAGAATAATCAAATAAACTTTTGGATCTCTACAAATAGGTATCGTGCTCCATGTGCCAAAGGCTCTTGCATAAGGCGCATCATTCACTCCCTCGGCGGCGTCGGTCTCGTCTGCGTGGCATCCCGTCGGACGCTTCAGCAATGCGCGTGGTATTTACTTTTTCTCCTTCGAGAATCTTCTTTGGCCAATTCCTGCATATGTCGATACGGGAGCGGGGAGCGAATATCTCCAGGATGATGAAGAGCAGGTAGTCCACAACCGCGCAGAGGCAGAAAAGCTTGCCGGCCCAGATTCCGCAGCCGTAGTATCGTTTGAGTCGATCAATAAGTGCAAAGCTTCGCACGTCAGGGTGGCCACGAGCTGCATCACCTCCGTAGAAGTCCTCAGACCCCACAGCGCCCACGACCCCATCATAGACCCTCTCCGTGCGCTCAGCGACATCAGTCCACGAGTACATCTGCTTGACTTGACCGTGGAACAAGTCAGTCCGTATCTTGCCTTCTCGCAACTTGGCGATGGCGCGTCCAGTGGCTGCAACGATGTCGTCTTCTTCTGGTGCGGCAAACTCAGTCATGTGGTTGGGCAAGACCTCCGGTACACCGCCCACGCGCGTGCAAACGACATAAAGCCCACATGATGCTGCCTCGACAATGACGGTCCCAAACGCCTCCGTGAGCGATGGATTAAGGAAGATGTGCCCTTGCACCATGACATCGCGAACCTCTTCATGGCGCACCGCCCCCAGGAGGAGGATCCTGTCCTGTAGCACATTTCGCTCGATCATCTGCTCCATGTCGATGGCTTTTGGGCCTGTGCCAGCGATTATGAAGCGAACATTTGGGTGCGCCGCGAGCACTCGGGGTATAGCGGCGATGAGGAGGTCCACGCCTTTGTTGTAGAAGAGTCGCATGATAGCCACGATCGTTATCGTCTCGTTTGGTCCAAGAGGCTGGGGAGGCCCAGGGGCATTGTTGCGGCGAGTATGAACGGAGTCGTGGGATAGCGGTCGAAAGTTCTCGGCAACGACTGCATTTGGGATGACGGATACCATGAGTGGGTCCAAAGACGCCCTTAGGACGCAGTTTTCTTTGCTGGAGCTGTTCAGTGCCTGTTCATAAGAGAAACATGGTTACGTACCAAGTATGACTGACACAGATGACATGGTCGACATCGCTCAAGGTGAATTTGAGGAGCTTATTCGTGAGAATGCTTCCAGCATCCGCGAAGCCAAAGAGGCTGTGGTCTGTAAACACGGTAAACAGCCCCATAGTTCGCGCATGGAGTATAGCCTCATTGCATAGATTACTGAGACTAGCATGGCCATGTACTATTTCGATCTGCTCGCGGATGACGATGTTCCGGAAAATTGGAAAGAAGGAGAAGACAGTGGGGAACGTAGTTTCGCGGTAGACGGTCCAGAACGGGACATAATAGACTTTGAGGCCGTTGGTGAGGTAGCGAACGCCTTTGCGGCCCTTGAATGCGTGGGTGATGACAATGACCTTATGGCCACGGTTGATGAGTTTCTGGTTGGGTGAGTGCGAGGTCTTGAAGCGAACGGGGAGCGACCGACACTGGAAAGCTGGTATATGTGACTTTCGACTCCGCCTGGAGCCAATTAGACTGTGCATTACTTGGGCGTCCGACATCGCATACCAGGCTGCGGGTAGAAGTTGTCGCTAACCATGCTGTGGACGAATGAGCTTCAGAAGGGAGACGCGCTACATGGCGGATGAGCATACGCAATATTGTAGGGCATGGCGAGTATTTCGAGGACGGTATCCTCGAGCGTGCAAAGACGATTGATGCATAGCCATTCACTCCAAGACTTGTGGTACTGCCATTACTGTATCCAGGCGCTGAGTTACCCCACGCTACGCGACGCGCGGTGGAGCTCCGCGTCGGCGGTTGTTGGTGCCGCGAAATCTTGGCATCCAACTTTTTGGAAACTGCGACCACTAGAAGAACCACGATCGCACTATCCCACCTCGACTTTCCCAGACAGTATGGCGCCTTTCGGGAGCGCGCAGCGCTGGGTGCCGCCTACCAAGGCTTCGAAGCCGGAAGAAATGCCCACCGCGCAACCACAGCCAAGTCCATTCGGGACCTCGCAACGCTGGCAGCCGCCGAAAGCTGCGCCTGCCCAACAAGCACCGTCAAGTCCATTCGGGACCGCCCAACGCTGGCAGCCCTCCAAGCCTGCGATTCCTGCGCAAGATGACACGCCAGCCGAGCCTGCCCTCAAGCCCGCACCAAAACAGCCCAAGAAGCCCAAGAAACGGAAACGAGACTCGGATGTAATGCCTGACCCCGCGCAAGACGAGGCCACGCCAAAGAAGCACAAGGCAGTGCTGTCAAAGTTCGAGAAGGTTTCGCGCAAGGTCAAGGAGCAGCCTCAGCAACCGCCGGAGGAGCAGGAAAGCAAGCCAGACGTTGTGCTTCGAGATTTGCAGCCTCTCCCGCAGCCCGCGCCTGTGCCCGAGCCCGCATTCGAGCCCACCTTTTCCGTCTTGCCAAACTGGCTTTCGCAACCCATCACCGTGGAATCTTCTAAGCGCGTACCGTTTGATCAGCTGGGCGTGGAGGCTTCTTTCGTGAAGAAGCTGGCGAGACATGGATACTCCGAGGCTCTGGCCGTGCAGTCTGCGCTCCTGCCAATGCTTCAACCCGGATATAAACAACACTTGGGCGACATATGCGTATCAGCCAGGACAGGTTCCGGCAAGACAATGGCATATCTTCTGCCTATCGCTGAAGCCTTGAAAGACCGCACTACCCCAGTATTATCAGCCGTCATTGTAGTTCCAACGCGGCAGCTTGTGGACCAAGCGTTGCAAGTCGCGGAAGAACTATGTGCTGGAACAAAGATCAAGCTTGGAACTGCTGTGGGAAACGTCCCCTTCGCTACGGAGCAGAAGCAATTGGTCAAAATGAGAGCGCAGTACGACCCTAAAAGAGCGGCGTCCCTACACGAGAAGGCCAAACAACAGTGGACGACGGGTTTTGTAGAGAACCGCGGCCTTGTGGATGACTTGATGACGCTACCAGCCGACCATGTGCCACGCTATGACTCCGGAGTCGACATCCTCATCTGCACACCGGGAAGATTGGTAGAACACATAGAATCTACAACTGGTTTCCTCCTACGCTCTATCAGGTGGCTAGTCATCGATGAAGCAGATCAATTGCTAAATCAAAATTTCCAAGGTTGGTCGACGGTGCTGATGGATGCTCTACATGGCGAGACTCCCGAGGACTTCATGGATGCACAGGAACGGCTTCGCAAAGAGAGGAAGCTGTCAGGCCGGGGACCTGCTCTACCGCCATCCACTGCGCAGCACATCACTAAAGTCATTCTTAGTGCGACTATGGAGAAGGATCTGACCAAACTGGGAGCCTTGAAGCTTAAAAGACCCAAGTTCGTTCACGTGCAAGACGAACAAGAACACCCTCTCGCCGCAACTGAGGGTGATAGCTTTGACCTCCCCACAACGCTGACCGAGTTCGCAGTCCCGGTCAGCGATGGACACAAGAAGCCTCTCTACTTGCTGTACCTCTTACTGAACACGGTATTCCAAACCTCCAATGGAGACGAACACAAAGAGGCGAGCGACAAAGAGTCTGGTGAAGACTCATCAGAGGATTCGTCAGACGATCCAGAGGATTCAGAGGAGTCATCAGACGGTTCATCGAGCGACGGCGGCGACTCTGAAACGGAAGAAAAGCCTATCACGAAGCCTTCGATTGCAAAGCACAAAAATCGCGTCCTGATTTTCACGAAGAGCAACGAAAATGCATCGCGTCTATCACACTTAGTGTCTGTTCTAGAACCCTCATTCAAAGAGTATCTCCAGACAATGACTCCGTCGTCAACCGCCAAGCAATCCAAAAAGCTGCTCAAGGCGTTCAGCTCTGGCTCCGTCAAGATACTGATTGCTTCGGATGCTGCATCGCGTGGTCTGGACATTTCTGGTATCACGCACGTTGTCAACTACGACATTCCGCCCAGCGCGACTAGTTACGTTCACCGCGTCGGTCGAACAGCGCGAGCTGGAAAATCAGGCGAGGCCTGGACTTTGGTCACAAAATCTGAGGCAGCGTGGTTTTGGAAACAATTGGCGAAGGGCAACAACATCAGAAGAGGCGGCAAGACGGTTGCGCGCGTGCAATGGAAAGAGCGCAGCGTGGAGTACAATAGGAGGAGAACATACGAGGCAGCTTTGGCGGAACTGCAGGAAGCGGTTGCGGGCACAGACGGGTGAATTCTTGCTGTCAACTATTGACGGAGTCCGTCCAGAATAGTAAATGCACACACTGTATCGCTCTCTGTAGGACCAAGGCAGCGGTACCGGTGAGTACAGCCGTATGAGGAAGGCTGATAGGAATCAACGCCAGCATCGACATTTGCCCCCCACCAAGGGAGGCTCTTCGGCGCTACAGTCGACATGTCCATCGCGGCATTGTACGATCTAGTGACGGGCTGTCACATGCCGCCCACTGGAGCGAAGCACGGTCTCTTCGGCGCAAAGTCCTTTAATCATTCGCATCCATAGACGAGCTAGGCACGGCCAACGCTGCCTACCGTATCACATAGCTGTCATTCGAAGTTGAATGAGAAAAGTAGCTGTCGAGTTTGAAGCCACGCCGCCCATCGACGCCGAGTGTAACACGCCCGTGTGGCATCGTGATAAGCTTCGACACCAAAGCTTCTGCGTACGAAGAAGTCTTGGTTACAGTGCTTGGTACCCTCCTATCTCTCGGTTTCTAGGTTCACATCCATGTTGTTTTCCAGAGATCCGGGTGGGTGGTGATCGAGGGGCATGCGGGCGGTGGACCTTCATCCGAAAGCGGCAGGTGCCACAGATATCCGACCTTCGTCGCGCTACGCCGTGTTTTGGTTGGCGAAAAGGTTCGTTATGCAGCAGGCGTGACTACGCTGCGCAAGGCAGCTGCCAAAGGCCATTGGTGGCTAGACGTGAGACGGCGCAACGTAAAGTTGCTTCTCTGAAGGCTAGCGCCCGCTATTTCTCGCGTGCGCGTGGTGTTAAAGCTTTCTTCAACTACACGCAGCTTCCCTTATCACTCCCGCGTCCGTATAAGCCAATATCCTGGTCTAATAAATGATCGGCAACACGGGGCAATCTATATGCTTCGAGCGATTGGCGGGGATGCCGTGGGATCTGGCCGCCACACTCTGCACTTCGCCTCCCACTGTCGCATTCGATCGTACTGAGAAGGCGACGTCTTGCGTGCTTGAAAAAGCATTGATACCATCTCATGATTAAGCGTCTAAATCGATGTTGGAAGTAGATATGGGATAAACAGACTTTCAGGGGTAGGGAGTTTTCACTAGGCTCTTCTCCGCCGCTCAGGCTGCCGACTTGCGGCCAGTCTAGCCGCAACGCTTGAAACCACGTTCATCCCGTCGGCCAATCTGCTATCGCAACAACAAGGAACAGCCAAGCGTTTCCCCCTCCAAGAGCCGGCGACAAGGAATCTTGCATCGCCAAGGTACAAGGGTCATTGCTTGTTTGCAAGCTTCGCTCTCTTAACGGCCGGGACATGTTTGTCTTTGACACCTTCGTCATTCCCCCCATTGCACACACTCCACTTAACGCCGATCGCTAGCGCTCGGTAGTCGAGATTCTTCTGCTCATTTAGCATACTCGCCAATGGTACTGCAAGGCTAATGCCACTGTCCGCGGCGGCGACCATTTGGAGTTATGAATCGCGTTGCGGGCCGCGCTGAGCAAACGTTTGTGGAAGCTCAGAACCCCTTCAATCATATCAACGGCCAATTGCCGAGGATGTACGCCCGCGATGTATACTTGCATCACGAGAAGAGTCAGGCAGCGCATGATACAGGGTTGTTAGCCACACCGGTCGTGGCTGCAATAGTGGTGGCCTGGATAAGCTGCATGATCATGCCCGGCCGACGATCTCAAACCGGAAGGTTAGTTGATGCCGACGATCATCTACATCTACCCGAACAACTGTACCTGCCAAGAAAGGCTTCGCCGTTGAATGAGGTGCTCACGTTGTTTGATGAGCAAAGGCGAGCCCCGCAAAATTGGGCGTCTGCCAGATGATCTGCTGGTAGACCGCCACATCATAGGGCAGGTGTATCATGACCCCATGTACAACTTGTGTGTGACAGACACTCGAGTAAGTATAAAGAGGGTGGTCCCGCGCATTTCAAAACCCTCATCCTCACTCTGGGCAATCTTCCTTGAGGACCTCGTTCACTCCCCATCCTATCCTCCAGGCCAGCGCTTGTAACGGGTCAACACCATGCCTTCCTTCGCTACTATCACCGCGGCTCTCGCCCTCACGGCGACCGTTGTCGCCGGTCCAGTTGAACGCCGCAAGGCCTTCTCCATCGAGCAAGTGCACAAGAAGACGTTCGCGAAGAACGGTGCTGCTGCCACCGTCAAGACTCTTCGCAAGTTTGGCAAGGCTGTGCCCGAGAATCTTTTGAAGGCTGCCGAGATCGGTCCCAACAACATCCTCGCGGTTCAGGCATCCAGCGGCTCTGACCCTGCCACCCCCGGAGATGCTTACGACTCGTCGTACCTCTGCCCTGTTACGATCGGAACTACCAACCCGACCACCGTCAACCTTGACTTCGACACTGGCTCTGGTGATCTGTAAGTGGAATTTTGCACTTGCCCTGGATAGTGCCATACGGCCATCTACCACATTGATATCCCCCATTACAAGCTTCAGCTAACAAAATCAGCTGGGTGTTCTCCTCGCTCCAGTCTTCGTCTCAGCTGAGCGGACACGACTACTACAAGGTCGATTCCTCCAAGAAGATCTCGGGCGCTACCTGGAAGATCTCCTACGGCGACGGCTCTGGTGCTGCCGGCACTGTCTACGCCGACAAGGTTGTCGTTGGCGGTGTGACTGCCACTTCCCAAGCCGTTGAGGCCGCCACCTCAGTCTCTTCGGCGTTCTCTTCAGACCAGGACACCGACGGTCTGCTCGGTCTCTCCTTCTCAACCCTCAACACGGTCCGCCCCACCCCGCAGACGACCTTCTTCGACTCGGTCAAGAGCTCCCTGGCCTCGCCCCTCTTCGCCGCCGACCTCAAATACCACACCGCCGGCAGCTACGACTTTGGCTACATCGACACCTCCAAGTACACCGGCGCCATCACTTACACCGACGTCGACACCTCGCAGGGCTGGTGGCAGTTCAGCTTCAGCGGCTACTCTGTCGGCACCGGCTCCACCGTCTCCTCCTCCATCAACGGCATCGCCGACACCGGCACCACGCTGCTCTACCTCCCCACCGCCGTTGTCAAGGCCTACTACGCCAAAGTTTCCGGTGCGACCAACAGCGCCACCTACGGCGGCTACGTCTTCTCGTGCTCGGCGACGCTGCCTGACTTCACCCTCGTCCTGAACGGCGTCAAGCAGCGCGTCCCCGGAAAGTACATCAACTACTCCCCCGTGCAGACCGGCAGCTCCACCTGCTTCGGTGGTATTCAGACCAACGACGGCATTGGCTTCAGCATCTTTGGTGACATCTTCCTCAAGAGCAAGTACGTCATCTTCGACGGTAGCGCCACGCCCAGGATTGGGTTTGCCGACCAGCCCAGCTTGTAAGCTGTGTTAGGTCGCAGTTTGGGGGTTGAGAGGGAGTTTGGTTTCGGTTGTTTTTCTTGACGCATAGGCTCGGGGTGTTGGGGCGTGTGCCTGGATTGTAGCAGAGCGCTTTGAGCATTGGATGGGTGTATATGAATGAATGACAACAGTGCAGCACAAATCCCTGCGGTTGGTTCGCGATTGGTGATACGTGACAATGATAGGACAGACTTGATGCAATAGTGCGCTCTGTCAACGCGCTTGTGATTGGCTATCTTACAATGCTCAGGTTTGACTAGAAATTGTGTCTGCGCCGTAGTGGACGGGGAAACACACTATAACAGCAATGGGAGTAGTGGTGTCATACCTAACGAATGTTTGTCTGGTACTGAGGCTAGGGAACGAGGGAAGACGTCGAATACTACGAACTTCCTACGATGGCGTTTCAACGGAATCCTTCTCTGCAACCACCAACAAAGGGTACACGGCCCCTGCGGCTACAGGAACCTTCTTCCACCCCGTCGCTCCGAACAACGCCATGATCGCACCCGAGTGAGCCGTCAGGCTCATGATAGCCACTTGTCCCCCGCGTTCGAAGAGGTCTTCCAATAGTTGTGTGGCCCGTACAATGTGTTGGTCCAATGACTCTCTGATATCCGCCTTCCACAGCTCGTCCTCTTCCGTGAAGCCCTCCTCAATCTCGAAAACCGGATGTGCAGACGCAATATACGACCTCGCGCTCCGCCTGTCACACGTATGCACGCCCAGCCGCTCGCGCAACTTCTCCTTGACGACAGGTCTCCTCTCTCCCAAGACATCCCCATAGGCAATCTCCGTCGTTCGCAAGCAGCGCCTCAGCGGACTGCTGAAAATGACATCTGGCAGCGAGACTTGGCCCGTCCTGAAAAACGCCGCGATCCCCTCGGCCTGCTGCTCTCCCTCGGCCGTCAACTCAGCGTCTTCCCAGACCGCGCTTTCATCACCGCTGATCTTGGACCAGTGCCTCTCCCACTCTTCCCGCCCGACTTCTCTCTCCTTGACGTTGTGCACACCTTGCCCGTGGCGGATGAGGTAGATGATTCGCCAGCGCTGGTGCGCGGGGTTGGCGCTATTCATCGTGCGGACGTAGTGCTCGAGGCGCTGCCATTGCGTCTTTTCTCCGTTCGGATCGAAGACCATGTCTGTGGCGTACTGTCGTGATTTGATACCGAGAAGAGGAAGAGTTGTAGCACGAAAGGCCCAGCTTTCTGGGTCTGAGTCGTGGGTAAAGAAGCCGTGTTGCGCTTTGAAGACCCATCTCTGGCTTGACATGGTGTGGCGGGGGTGGTTTAGACGCTCGTGGAGAGGAGCGTATAGGATGAGTGCGAGTACGAGTGTCAGGAACCCAAAAAGGTGTTTACGAGAACCGGTGGTCAAGAGGAACATCCACAATCTTGGTGTACGGACAGGCGATCCGAGGCTGGCAGTATTCCTGAATTTGTGCGCTGAAGAGGAAACACGAGGACCGTGGTACACTTTCGATGGCGGACTGACTCTGAACACTTGGCTCTGGAGGCAACTGCATTCGCTTCCGCTCGGTCGAGCCTACCTCACCATCAGATGTGGCCCCCAATGCACCGAGAAGTCGCTCGCCCCTGCTGTGACTTGATCAGCCCCACCAAAGCTAGCCAATGCCCCGCACCGGGCCTGTCGACAGACACGTCGGACTTCCCCGTTTATTAGGCGGTACTTTCTATTCGCAGGGTCATGACCAATGGACTGCTTTCTTCAACCTCGATGAAGGTGTGCCCCCTTAGTTCGCCGGTCGACATCTCCCGGGTGCGGCTGAAGTTCGTAAATGCAGCCTGCATCACAGCCTCGAATCCAGCTGTGACCAGTCCAACCTGCGCGCAAACCCAATTTCTCGTGGACGGCACACCAATTTGCACGATAACGCTGCAGGAAGCAGATGGGCTTGGAAACCACGTACATTGCTTAAAACAAGGCCTGAACGCTGCCGACGCACGCATTCCCTGGTGCACTGTTCTCAGGCCTTTGTCCTATTGCAACACAAACCTAGTGAGCTTGCCACGCTGCATCAGCCTTGTCTCTCAATGGACATATACGCAAAGCTGTCGCCTCTACAAGACAGCCAGATTCGACTCCTCCACGTTTCGCCATGCTCTGACCCCAGCGAGATTTGTTGCGTCCTAACCGTAGTCTCGCTCCGCTCCCAGCCCTCTTATTCCGCACTGTCCTATACTTGGGGTTCTCCCTTTCCCGACTACAGTGAGCGGCATGATAAATCAACAGACCCGACCATTACCTGCAACGGCATCAAAATCTCTGTCAAATCAAATCTCCACGACTTCCTCCTGCACTGTGCCACGCATTCAGATCCAGCATTCCGTGGCCTGCTCTGGGTGGATGCTCTTTGCATCAACCAAGGATGCCATCCAGAGCGCACCAAACAGGTGCAGTTGATCGGCGATATTTACAAACACGCTGAGCGGGTAGTCGTCTGGCTTGGTGTCGAGGATGACGCTACTGCCATGGCAGTAGAGTTGATGAAGAGATTCGCTGCTTTGAATCCGGCTGTACGTAAGATCCTGATACGAAATGTAGCTCAGAAGATCGAGACGTTGAGATGGTTTCTGGTCCGTCTTCAACTAACCTAACATCTGCGTACTCAGGCTCGATCGGCACGAGTGCTTCAATCGCGCTTTTCGCCTGCGAGCCAGGACCCTTTGTTTGACCCTAGACATTGGCACGCAATGGCTCGCTTCTTCGAGCGGAACTGGTACGTGATGGCTCGATACAAAGCTTGAGTCCTTTCCTAATCGTACTGAACTAACGCTTCACCAACGTTAGGTTCGAGCGCGCGTGGATAATCCAAGAGATCACCTTTGCCCGCTGGGCCATCGTGCTTTGCGGACAACACACACTGAAATGGGACGAGATTACGACAATGTCCAAGTTCATGGCGACGGATTTCTCTGCAACGTCGATCTGGTCAAAGCACTTCGAAATAGCTGCGAATACAGATGTCGAGTTCGCGGTTAGTGTACGCGCCCGGCGAGCAAACTTTCCAGCGAAGCTGGCTGCCACCAAAGCCAACCAGCTTTCCTCGTCTGGAGACGGATTACTGTATGCTTTAATCCGGTCGCGCGTGTCCAAATGTCAGGATGCAAGGGACAAGGTGTACTCGCAGCTGAGGCTCGGCACTGCAGATATCATCCCAACCTACGAGAAGGATGTTGCTCAAGTTTACATCACTGCAGCTACGTACATTCTACAAAACAGCGATAATCTGCTTCTGTTGACGTGCGTGGAAGGCTCAGACTTCCAGAACATATCCAATCTGCCATCTTGGGTGCCGGACTGGAGCGTGACCAAGGATCTAGGACTCCGCATCACAGGCTATCGTCAATTCAAAGCCGCTGGGAATCTCCCGCGTACTGCCAAAGTAGTTAATGGCGGTAGAGTTCTCCAGATACAGGCTGCGAGAATAGATATCATAACAAAAAGTGCCGAGACGAAGGCAGAAATACTGGACTTCTCCCGTCCAACAAGACTTTGGGAGATGCTTGCAGAGCTCGACGACATATATGCACCGACGGAAGAGACCAAAGAAGAGGCCCTGTGGCGGACACTGATAACGAACCGGGCCCATGTGGATGGCGCCATACAGTATCCCGCGTCAATATCGCCGGTCCAAGAATCTTTTGTAAAATGGATTATATCGCGATACTTTACCGCTATCAGAAAGTCGCCATTACTCGAGTCGAGCTCGTTTCCTGTGTTCGAGTCGTCTGGGAGTATAGTCCCCTCGCGAAAAGCAATCCTAGAGATCGTCGAAAACGCGTCACCCGAGGACCGAGCCGCTGTAGAGAAGGAAGCATCGATTTTCCACTCACATTATTCGCATGCAATGTTTGTGCGGCCTTTCCGCACGCAACAGGGTTTCCTCGGCCTGGGAACGCAGTCGTTGAGTGAAGGGGATAGTGTGTGGATTGTTGCTGGGTGCCGCGTGCCGCTCATCTTGCGCAAAGTGGAGGATAGTCTGCGATACAAGTTGGTTGGTGGGACTTTACTCCATGGGTTCATGGATGGCCAGTGGCTGAGGCGTGATGGAGTCCGATTCAACGTGGTGGAGCTAGAGTGATTGACTTCTCTGGCCTGAGAACGATCTATGCCTGTCCTCACTACTGTTTGTTGGGCGTGAAAAGCTAGATTCACTGCATTGCCATTGGCTACTACCGCCCACGTTTGCACCTTAGCTTTGGTATCATAAAATGTGTTCCCTCTATCTGACAAAGTATGTGTAAAGATAGGAAATGGTTTTCTTGATGGAGTTGTAGTCACTGCGGATATGGGAACAAGTTTAACAGGAATATCTGCAAGATAAGCATTGATATGTGGCAGATGAAGCAGCAATGTTTCATGACTACTTGATACATGCACCTACTTAGCATAGGGTTAAGTAGTACCTCTAAGTTCATAGGCTGTAACAATGACAGACAGCGTATCCTATGAGAAGTCTTAGTCCATAGGTCGAATCATGAGGCGTTCGTGCACTTCCTCGATGACCCACACTCCATAGTGAGGCCTCCCACGGTTCCTCCCATAATAAAAATACGTTTCTGCAAACCCTACGATCCCCCTGTCCTGGTTCTACGGTGGGCCTCCTGACTGGGAACAGGAGTGTTCTTCGGACCACCAGACTAGCAGTCCGACTCGAAGGGCAAGGATAGACAACGTTCTCCGAATCTCGCGAATGTTGAGTAGTCGTGTGGGAAAGTCACCGCGGAGCGAGTCCAACAAGCAGTCCTGGCCGAGAATAAAACTGGGCCCGCGAGATTGCAACAGTAGTGCGAGCGACCGACGTACAGATGCAACTCAACCGTAGCTCCAAGTGGAGCGAAAAGCTCTAGATCAGAGGCCTGGCTGCATCGGGCCGTGCCGAAGGATTTACATGAGCAGAAAACATGGGAGCACCCCCTTCGTCCGACGTCCGCCATGGTTTGTCTAGTCATGGAGTCGCACCGTCTTGGGAGTGAGTGCTAGAAGCATACGCGACAAGTAGATCGAACACGAGATAAGTAGTACATGCATGAGTTTGCAAGCCTTCGTGGTCGTCGAGCGAGGGCCATCTCGGCTACGCCACGTGACGGAAGTGACTACATCCCCGAGCGATATGAACAATGGGTTGACTCATTGATCAGCTCGATCTGAAAGTGATCAACGTGTGTATGTGAGGCATGGGTCCTCGGGGCTGCGGACCAACTCGACTGGCCTGCATGGCCGCCGAGTCAGCAAGAAAGCCAGAAGCTGCAGGACGTGCCGTACGTCTTATCGCGGGCGGAGTGGCGGTTAGGTCGAATCATGAACATGCATTGCAAGGCGAGAACTAACGAGGATGTCGTTGGTCTGGGAAGCATCATCGACGTCGATGGCAGTCCGAAGGAGCCACTTGCCGCAAAGTCCACATCAGCTGGGGTACCACGTGGCTACCGATTGAGCTGATCGTTCAAGCCTAGAACGTTCCCATGCTGAAAGAAAGTTCGCGCTAGGACTGATACACTCGCGTGCGACCTGCGTTCCGCTCAGCCGAAATCGAATCATGGAAATCTTGCGGGTGAGGCGGTGAAGCATGGCAATCTTGTGAAGTCCCCAGGCGTGAGGTCATAGAGTGTAGAAGCATCAATTGTGCAGGGGTACGCCAGCATTCATGCTGTGCAACTAGTAGTTGACCGTAGCGCCATCCAGCCTTGCCACCTGCAATAGATTCTGCGTTATACACTGGTCTCTAACCCCTTGTTGTAGATTGCGTACACTCCAATGTATGGAGTGACGTCGATATCTCTTTGAGTCACGGCGAGAGTGTGCCGCAAGAGGAGTTGTAGCGAGGTGAGAGATTGAAAAAGTCAGGCCCGTTCTTCTTCTAACATATACGCAGAGATCGATTTGTTCCCGTTGTCCTGTAGGGTTACTATTTCGTAACACAATGATGCGTTATTGTGCCAACTGGGTACACTGTTGGCCAGCGACTGGAGTGTTGTGACGTTCAGCACTGGCATCCGAATACGACAGGTCGAACAAGTCGCGCCCCAGAATCCTACCCGCTGGGGAACTGGGAACAATGTACTCTCCGCATTGGCGTCCACGATTGGGGAGGGTATCATACATATGCACAAGTGTCTTGAATTCTGCGCCACCTGTACACCCACGCGTGGTTTGACTGCATGTATTAATTTAAGAAATATCGAAGCGAACCACACAAGTACGCAGCGGTCGACTAATTGGCAAGGCATTCAAGGCGCCCCAGATATCGTGGTGTATGGCCCATTTGTCATGGCCGGGGCTAGACTGTGCATCGCGAGGGATCTGCGCTGTCAAATCCCCCCGCGCATGCGAGCCGTCCCGAAAGGTCCCCTGAAAGTGTTAGCCTATTTTGATTATGCAGTTAGTGGTAGGCAGATCCCCGTCGATGTTGCGTGCGGAAGAGGATTGCAAGCCAGCCGATGCACGGCAATCGCTACGACTGCTGCAACGCGTGGCGTGCAGATTTGAAACGACAGGGGCGGAAGTATTATCCTATCAGAAAACAGTATCGAATGAGATTCGCGCGAAGTTTCGCTTGTGTTGTGGTTTGGACATAGATTTGAAGATGTAAACATAGATCCTGTTCATGCAAATTATGGGGCTGGCATTGTGGCGGTTGCATCTTCGATCAATAATGTTCCAACATGTAGTAATGCTGAGTTCGACGACGCAGTGTTACCTCCGGGTTGTTGTCACCCTACGTCGACGATGATCTACAGGCGAGAAAGTGAGACTTGACTTTAACAGCATTGTGACTGTTGTCTGTACCTGAGGTATCCGTAGCTCTGAGTTGATGGGCAATCTAATCGCTTTGGTAACTTGCAAGTTGACGTTGACATCGGAACTTCGGCACGGGTATTGGTATTGTTCGGTGAAGACTAGGCTGGAAGAAACGATTTGGGGTGCCGAAAAGTATCGGACATCAGACCCGTCCTCACGAAAGGCAGTCGCGACTGACGCATAGTTGATCCATCGCACGCACATTCTCCCTAGGCATGACCTGATTTTGGGGTATGTACTCCGTGAAAGGACATTGGCTCTTACACATGACACCTTATCCTGGTTCAACCATCGCTCTCGATGTTCTAGACGTATACATGCTTGCCTGAGCAGATCGCGTACTAGGATGGGCACCATGATTAACCCATGCTCTTCCTGAAGCGCTTCCCGTCTGGCTTCCAGCCCAATAAACATACACACTAGACTCAAAAACGTAAAACAAATGACGATGCTGCACATTGAATCTATGATTATGACGGCAAGAGTAGCTCTGGGCTATGGATCAATCTTTGCACCTCGTTGCATGTCCTGCGTTGTGGCAAGTCTTCTGCCACTCGAGGCTGGACATTCGAGCTGAGTTTGGCCAGACCTGGCTCGAAAATTCCTATTGTAATCGAGAGCTTGGTTGGATCAAGCCCGACGTCAAGCCGACTGACTCAGGGATACGGAGGTATTCCCAGCCAACGTGTCATGCACACGATTGCATGCATGTTGAACGCCCTCATAATCGGCGCGAATCCCATCACAGGCAACATGCCTGCGCTATCGATGCCCAATCGCAGCCCAGTCGACGCTCCTCTACTTGCTGCTGTCGAACTCTGCTAATGCGTATCCATTTCATTTTTTCTTTTTGTCCTTTTTGCTTTTACTTGCCCCGGCTCCAGCTCCGCCGGCAGCTATGGCACCTCCGCCTGCAGCGCCTCCCATCTCTCCCTGCATCTCAGCCATCATATCCTGGAGAAAATTCTCACTGACGCCGCCGCCCGTGAGTGCTGGGGAGTGAAGCGGCAGAATCTTGTTCAGTTTCCATCCCTTGGGCACGGCAGGTTCCGGCATTTCCTTGGGCATCGGGAGACCCCTAATCGGGAGTCTGAACGGGCTGTTCTTCTGTGTGGGATGCGCCTTCAGGTACTGAGATATGAGAATATAGAGATGATGCTTGTTCTTGACGTTCCTGTTCAGCTGTTTCCCATCCTGTCTCAACAGAACGCGGACGCGACCCGGGTTGCTCCAATCTTTCGGGTGTAGCTTGTCGGGTTCAAACACGGTTTGAAGACCTAGGCTTGCAGTAGCATCGGCCATCTCGCGCGCCAGCGGGTTCTCCACGGCCAGCTCAGCCCCCACTCGGCGTCCTTCGGCCCGCGTGCGAGACTTGTCGAAGTAGATTGGGTATAGGCACTGGAAATGCTTCGACTTCTCGCGGTCGGCAGACGCGGTGACGCCCGGAGCCTGGGGCTGCAACATCTCAGACATGTCAGAGGGCAGCGCCGAGGCCGGGATGCGGGCTGGGCTAATCAGCGCCGAAGCATCGTCGATCTCCATCTCTGGGGGGTCCGAGTCCGAGTCGGACACTTCCTCGACTCGTGGGTTCATGGTCACAATGTGTTTCTATTCGCGTGGACACAGCTGGGGGGTGTCACAGCGCACGAGTCGGTGTCGCCGGCGAGCTGCAGCTGCAGCTATAATAGGAGCGGACGGCGCTTCCGGAGCCGGGACGTTCGTGGCGGTAGTGCAATGATGGGCTTGTCGGGGAGAATGGAGCGCTCGTGGACGTGTGGGGTGGAGGAGTGAGGTCGTTTGTGCGTGCGCCGAGACGCGGCTAGCGGGGCGGCCGCCGGACGGGGAGGGGCAGTTGCGCCCGAGTCCTGAGAACCTGAGCCGCGTCGTCCTACTCGGGCCGACGTTCACTGCAGCCATCGCGGTGCCGAACAAAGGCTGCTCCAGAAACAGACATTGTGTCCCGCGAGCTTGGACACCCCCAGATCAAGAGCTGCCGAGGCATGCCTACACCTGCATGCCTGACACGAGGCATCGACACTGACCAAGGCTTATGCCCACACCGCAACAGTCGATCCAAACTTTGATTCCTTGCGTCGACGACACGCCGTCCAAATGATCACCAAAGACGTCTGTACGCGGCACGGCAGCTGCAGCGGCGAATAACAACTTTTCCTTGCAAGTCTCCCGTAAGCCTGCCCTACGGCTTATCATCAGCTGTCACGTACTGTGCCCTGACCGGTTGCGAGGCCTCACTTCACGGCTGAACAGGGCTGCATTCGCCTGGGTTTACTGTTTTATGACGCTCAGTCCATAACCCTGCAGCTTTGTCCGCATGCAGTGACTCGACTGACCTGTCTTATTCTCCATACTCTTAAACGCCTCAATCGTGCGAGAAAGCCTTTTTTGTGCCTGCCGACACCCAGCCGCCAATGGCGCGCGTGAACGCACATGCATCGCCCATCTGGTGGCCGCCTGCGCAGTGATCGTGTTTTCTCTTGGTCTATCACTGACCACTATACCTAGACACGGCAAGGACCCTTGGCGATCATGCTAGGCAAGATGCTGCTAGTGGCCACCGTCTTGATCGTCCGCCTCCATCGGTCTGAAGGAAAACGTCTACCGGTGTTGGCCTGCACCAGTTCCTGATACGCCCCACGGCCACCCGGCTCAGTGTTGACGCATCCTCCTACCTGTTCCTGACAGGGAGGCCGACGCTCCGAAAGTCGAAATGGCTTAAATGGCTTCTGGAAACGGAGGACATGCATATAATTCTTGCTCACATGATGCAGTACACATGCAGTGTGCCGTGGCGACTCATGATATAGGCAGGGGGTACACGTGCGGACCTATCAGCGCAACTCGCTTCGTAAGCCTTTTGGACATGTTAACACGGGATTACACCACAAGCACCTGCCATGGCAGGGTATATCCAGAGTACTATGCCCACGCCCCAACGGCAACGAGGCGAGTCGACCACACATCCGCTCGAACACACGACGTTCCTGCATGAAGGATGCATCCCCTGAGCTGTCTGTCCTTGGCGATTTGCGGCTCGGTACATCGCCCAGGAACCGTATCTGTTCTGTTCCGTTGCTATCGCTGCGTTCACAAACACTGCAATGTCAATGTGAGCCGCACGAACAGAGTCTCATCGGTGTGCAGCACGTGTTTGACAGTCTTAGAGGAAATCAGAAGTCATCGATCACCCCATTTCTCAATTGTGGCGGATGTGATCAAGTGATAAGGCTTGATGTCGAAGAACTAGCGTTCAAGCACTCCGTCGGTGAGAAAGGTTGATGAAGCCGACTATTCCGGCCCGACGCTAAATCTTTAGGCTCAAAGTTCTTAGACGTCTCGGCATACCGAACAAAGACGGTCCGCGTGAAGACGACCAAGGTATCCGTTCTTCAAAGAGGCTATCTCACTACCGGCGCTAGCCTGCGTGTGACCCATGGAGCTGGAGGCGGAGCAGGGCCAGGTTCAAAAATCGGTGAAGAATCGAACGTTCCTGCAACGTCGATTATAAAACCCCTCTACCGCCTGCATCTTTCTTCCCTCATTTCACACACTCTCTCCTTCCTCTCATCATCTTTGGACGTTTTGCCAACTTCAACTCATTGTACCACTCTGTCATTACACAATGCTCAATGCAAAGAAGGCCACTCGGGTCACTCCTCATGTAAGGTCTCCGACAGCCGTCCCTCCGAGCCGAGCTGTTCAGGCCAGCGCATTACCGGCTCGCAGCCTTTCACCTAAGCCTTCGACTCAGTGTCCACGGAGTTTCAGAAATCTTACTGTCGAGCAAATAGGAGCTGAGAAGCACTACTATCTCACCGAGGATGGACGGAGGATACTTGATGCTTCCGGCGGAGCTGCCGTGAGCTGCTTTGGACCCGGCCCGAACGACAGGATAGCAGACGCGGTGAATAGGGCATATCGGCAATTCGGAGGTTACAGTTGCTCATTATCTTTCACTAATGGCTCTACAAGAGCCTTCGTCGATGCTCTTGTAGAAAGTACCGGGGGTCACATGGAAGCGGCTCTTCTGTATGGCTCGGGTGAGTCTGTCTCTGGTCTTGGGCATGTTGCCTTTCTAACCCTATTTTAGGCTCTGACGCTTGTGAGGCCGCAGCAAAGCTACTCCTCCAGTATCACGCAGAGAACAATCAAGCACAACGAAGAGTTTTCATTGCGCGTGAGCAGTCTTATCACGGAACTACGGCATTTGCACTTTCATGGGGTTCCTACTGGGCAAGAAGAGAACCATTCCAGGATGTCTTGATGACTGTCCCTCGGGTTGCAGCGTGCAACTCGTATCGTGGCAAGAAAGCTGACGAAACGGTCCAAGAATACGTTGCAAGACTTGTCAAGGAATTGGAGCAGAAGTTCAGAGATGTCGGCCCAGAGAAGATAGCTGGCTTCGTCTGTGAGCCTGTTGTTGGTGCAGTAAGTATCCAGGCTCATTCTCCGCCTTCATTTATCTGTTTACAAAGCCTCACTTATTCGCGTCGTCGGATTGATGGTTACACGAACATGCAGCCAAGCCTTCATCTGGTTGGCCGACGTTTCCGCGTCTGTACTATGCAGAATATGTACCCAATCACTAACCGGGACCGCAGGCGCTGGGTTGCATGCCGGCTGTTCCTGGATATCTCCAAGCTGTTCGAGAGCTTTGCGACAAGCACGACGTTCCACTTGTTTTCGACGAGATCATGTGCGGCTGGGGCCGGACCGGCACTCTTCACACGTGGCAGCATTATGGTGTCGTGCCCGATATTCAGCTCTTGGGCAAAGGGTTGGTTGGTGGCTATGAGATACTTTCCGCTATGCTCGTTGGCAAGAAGCTGGGAGCTATGGAAGCGATCCGCAAAGGCTCAGGGACTTTCAACCACGGACATACCATCCAGGGCATGCCCAAAACCTGCGCGGGGGCTCTTGAAACCCTCAAGATGGTCCAAGAACTGTTACCTAATATTAAAGAAATGGGGGACCGTCTCATGAAAGGTCTTCAGACCAGGCTTGGGGCTCATCGCCATGTCGGTGACATCCGCGGCATGGGGCTGTTTATTGCGGTGAGCATTGCATCGACGTGCTGGGGGGGTTTTGATTGACTTTATCAGATCGAATTTGTTCAAGACAGGCTTTTGAAGGCTCCGTTCAATCCGGATGACAGAATCTCTAAAGCCATCCAAGAGATGGGTAGGTTGCAATCCTACCGTGGACGTTTCTAACCCACACTAACCCTCGCATAGGTCTCACCACACACAACATACACGTCTATCCTGGCACGGGTAGTGCTAACCCGGAAGGCAGAGAGGGGGATCACATTATCATCGCGCCCCCCTATGATGTTGACGCGGACGAGATCGACCTCATCGTCAACGTCGTTGGCAACCTGATTGAGAACTTCTTCGAGGAGTTCAAGCCTACTACACAGAAGTCGTGACCTCCTAAACAAGTCAACATCTGCACAAATTGTACCAACAGACTTGCACATATGGGTGGTTTTGTCTTGATTCAAAATTGGCGGTTAGATCTCCTTCGTCTTCATGTCGCAACAGGAGGAAATTGGTACTTTGAGGTAATTTAACGATGTTCACGATACAGATTGGATTAGATAGACTGTTTGAGCGATTCCGCAAGAACAGTATGCAATTTGGCGTACGGATGCCATTCTACGGGCAGTTTGGTATGTCGTTTGGTTGTCCTCTCTTTTATCCTTTTCTATCCATCGGTTTCCTTTTCCAGATTGGAATATCTCCTTCCTTTCTTGATGTTTGTCAACCGTGTATAACGACTCCAACGAATCTCTATCATCATCTTTACCTTCTGATGCTCCATGGCTCCGTGCGCCTGGCTGCTCGTTCCGCACCGACCTGACATTCACAAGAACATAAATAGCAGCATCAAGCTGACTCGCGTTCGAATCCGTGGCCCCAATTCCGCTGCCATTCACACCTCCCCGATTTCGCAGAGTTCCGAGAGTCTCGACCCTCGGCCTTGGCAGCACCAACGAGCCGACCACACCACATCCGCAACCGCCTGCCCAACGAATTGCAGTGCCCCGCTCAACGGTGTCGCTCACTAATTCAGCGTCTTGCAGTGGGTCCCTGGCACTTCAACTTTCACACGGACGTGGAAGCATGCAGTCAAGACGCAATTCATTAGTGATGCTGCGAGACGGCAATAATGGCAGCGGGATTCTGGCTTTGAGTACATGATGCATTGTGGGCTGCGTTGAAAGCGCGTTCGCTTCTCAGACAGCATAATGCAAGGACTGCACCAACGGCGGAAGAATGCACAGGACGAGTAACCGCTGGACGGCATACAAGCGCCTCGCCGCCCGCAGAGTGTGGCCCTTGGTTGCTGGACCGCACGGCAGATAGGGCTTCTTCCCAATCAGACAAGACGTCGTCACACCGGTCAGGAGCATCATCACCTCTCGAGCGGCGATAGAAGGCGGGACAGGGCGTCTGATAGCCCTCGAACGCGGTTGCGAAGGCTGAGAGGGAGCCGCTCGTGCGGGACAGTGCACGAGCGCGGGCAGGAGCGAACGACGTTGCCTGATGACCTCACCTTATCACGTACGTTTGTAGGGCAGGCAAGCGTCTGCCGAGAGATGGAGCTGCTGCACGAAGGATGCACTGCTCACATCAGCCTTGCGTTGCGTTGCGTGCACGTTCTCGTCTGCGCATGTGTACTTGCAAGGACTTCCAAGATGCTGTGTCGAGCAGATACCCAAACCGTCGCTCGCACCAGGCTCACCACATGAACTTTCGGTCGCACGACACGTGACCTCGACAGGCTATCCAGCACCGTTTCGGTTTCAGACACTGCGAATGACCATGGAACCTCACGAACGATGTGAGTGATGCGAAAAAGTTCTGTTCCGGCACCCGTGGGACCGTATAATGAGGGCAATCCCAAGGCACAGCCTTTATGTCCAGCCTCACAAATGTCGCGATATCTCACATTACTTCGTATTGCAGCACAATCCCCTTCTAACTAATGCGAACGAAAGACACGAAGCATGACAGGGACCGAGCTGGTGGCGATACTTGAAGTTCCCTAGCTATAACCTCCTGTGTGTGAAGGTTGCAGCTGGTGGCTCTCTGTGACATTGGCGTCTCCCACTCGGCACGGTCCGGGCATCTCGCTCCGCTTTGAGCAGTGGGCTGAGTCGACTCCATCCATTTTCTGCAATTTTACCTAGTTCGCTGGCAAACACAGCATGGCTGAGCAGCGCTGTGGCCTCCAGGCTTCCTGATGAGCGGCGGCACTGGAGCTGGGTTCGGATTGTCAGCCGGGCGCAACGTACATGCGGATCCAGGTGCGGAGAGGCAGCCTTTTGCGCAGGCTCCGCAGGCTCCGCAGGCTCGCTGGGGCGCAAGCGACCGAATAGATATTAAGTAGCATGGGGCGCCGTCTTCTATCGGGTGAATTGAGTGGGTTAGCTACCTGGCCTGTCCGTAAGGTGAGGTGACGCCGCACCCGCGCTGCAGGCGCTCTGCGCGCAACAATAGCAGCAGCACAACACCGTAGAGCAGTCCGTAGTATTATTGCGGTGCATGCCCACGGCAACAGCGCGCAGAGACAGGTGGACTGCAGCGCTATTGTGCGCGACGCGGCGCTATGTGGTTGCCATGGATGCGGATGACGACCCAACGACACTCACTGCAGCACCGAAGCGATCGGCGCTTTGACCCAGTCTCCGCTCCAGTCCAGTGACCCAATGCCAAAGCCTTCTGGCTCTGGCTTCATCACGACTGTCCACCGTCCTCGCAAGCCCTCCGCGTCCCATTCTTCAGCCAGCGCCGTCCTGCCAGCCCGCGAGTCCTCCCGCTGCGCCGTGACGCCCATGGTCGCCCGCGCAGCCGCCTGAAGAGCCCGTCTCCGCACCTCCCTCGAACGGCTGGCTGGCCTGCGATAACGGCTGCCAGGCGCCTCCGCTCGACGAGCAGCACGCTCGCGGGTAAAAATCTGCCTGTGCGCGCCAGACACTCACTGCGGCAGCCCTCGACCGTGCCTTCACTCGCCGCCGCCGCTGGTGGACCGCACGACCCGCGCAGAAATCGTGTTTCGACGCCCATCCTCGCTCGCCGACAGGCCCCAGAGACATGTCGACGCCTTCCACGGCCACGGCCACGCTTCCTCCCCATCATCAGTTCTATCCTCACCACCAAGCATACCAGCCTGCACTCTCCAATGGGCAGCTCCCCAACGGCACTGCTCGGATAGGCAATACACTCTACAACGGCTACGCTAGCGGCGCCTCGAATTCGGACCTACGCAGGACTACAGCCGCGCACCGCTCGACGCAGCAACTGCCCCCGATCGCCCCCGAAATGTCCGACAGCGCTGCCCGAGAGGCCAAGCGGCGGAACCCAGACTGGAATGAGTTTTATAGGAACGGTCTGCCCAAAGAGGTCATCGTCATTGACGATGACGACGACGAGCCGCCTGCACGCGCTCCCCAGCCCGCAGTGCCCGCCCGAACCGCGACAAACGGCTCGACGAGACACACCGACAAGAAGCGGAAGACGACTGCTTCCACGGCATACGACCCAGTATATAGCCAGCACACGTCGTACTCGACCACGCAGACGCCCTACTACGACTCACCCAACGGCCACTCCACACCCGCCGATCGCACCGCCTCAGCTCACAAGACCACCGCAGGGACCTCCATCGGCTCCAGCAATGGCCACCACATCTCGCCTTTGGACAACAGCGTGGTTGGCCAGAAGAGGAAGCGAACGCGAGCGGCCGTGCAAGATGAGGCCAAGGAAGCAAAGCGAAGGGAGTTGGACGATCAAGACCCATTTGCACTATACCAACCGCCGCCGAACCCAGTCATCAAGGCCAAGGAAGTCTACGTGTCCGTCGTTCCGGATGTAAGAGTACTTCTTCCGGCAATGGATTGTTGTTGCGTACTGACTGCGCTAGAAATCTCATACCAAGGATCATAAGGTAGACGACGAAGATGGACATTACATGGTGCACCCTGAGGCCGACCTCACTGAACGATGTATGTGTGCCATATACATTGATTGAAACATCTTGCTTACAGTTGCCACAGATCAAATCATCAAGCTGCTCGGCCAAGGAACCTTCGGCAAGGTCGTCGAGGCCTGGGACAGACAGAAGAGGACCAAGTGCGCCATCAAAGTCATCCGATCAGTACCCAAATACCGAGAGGCCTCTCGCATCGAGCTGAGGGTGTTGTCCACCCTGAAGTCCAACGATCAGTACAACATGAACCGGTGTATCCACCTCCGGGACTGCTTCGACTTCAGGAACCACATCTGCATCGTCACTGATCTCTACGGTCAAAGTGTCTTCGACTTCTTGAAGTCAAACGCATTTGTGCCCTTCCCGAGCTCCCACATCCAGAAGTTCGCCAAACAGCTGTTCACCAGCGTAGCCTTCTTGCACGACCTAAACCTGATTCACACTGATCTCAAGCCCGAGAACATATTGTTGGTGAATAACAACTACCAAACCTTCACATACAACCGGACTGTCCCTTCGTCCTCAACATTGACGAACCGGCAAGCTCGCCACCGCAAAGTATTGCTGGACCCAGAGATCCGGTTAATCGACTTCGGTTCCGCTACCTTCAACGACGAATACCACTCGTCTGTTGTGTCGACTCGCCACTACCGTGCGCCAGAGATTATCCTTAACCTTGGGTGGAGCTACCCTTGCGACATTTGGAGTATCGGTTGCATATTAGTGGAGTTCTTCACCGGCGATGCTCTGTTCCAGACGCACGATAACCTCGAGCATCTGGCTATGATGGAAGCCGTGTGTGGCGGCAAGATCGACCGCGACATCATCAAGCAGGCGTACAAGCAAGGAGACAGGCGGAACTCCTCGTCGTCGTAAGTTGCACTGTATATCGTGAATCAAACAACTCTAACAATGCCAGTGCTGCCCGCTACTTCAAGAACTACAAGCTCGATTACCCGAACACGGAGACTCAAAAGGGGTCGAAAAAGTTCGTGAAGGCCATGAAGAAGCTTCATGTAAGCAGACACTCCTTTGACGCAACGGACTTATGCTGAACTTGTTAGGAAACCATACCGCCCCACACCGAGTTCAACCGGAAGTTTCTTGATCTGCTGAAGCGGATATTCGTCTACGATCCCAAGAAGCGCATCTCGGCTAAGGACGCTCTCCAACACCCCTGGTTCCAAGAGACTCTTCTGGATGACGGCACGGAGGCGCACAAGATCAGGTTAGAAAGGGAAAAGAAGCTCCGGTTGCGGCAGGAAGAGGAACGTCGTCTCGATCGATACCAACAGCGGGAACCGCGAGGCTACTGAGCGACTGCACCTACCTTTCAACCTGGTCGATGTGCGACCATTCTGAACTCGCCGTAGCCCGCGGACTGGCGTTTTGGCGGGAGCTTACTTTGGCTTCGTGCTTTTCACATCTTTTGCATTTACGACGGTGATACGATGCATGGAGGGATCGGATGGACAGTACCCAGGGCTTTATTGGTGTTACACAGGTCTATGTTATCTCTGGTCATGTTCCATTCTCAGTCAACTCGACGGATAGAGAAAGTGTTTTCTCACGGTGTTCGCGCACGTATACCAACCATACCACGTGTGCAAAGCAAATGGAAGCAGCCTCAACCCACCTCGCTGTTGCCGCCTGCCGACCCGCATCGCACGAGGACTGGGCACAGCGAATTGACATATTCATTGAGTGAGCTCGATCTCTATACAAAAGCGTAGCATGGGAAGGTCTGGCTTGCTTGGAGAAAAGACTGGCTCGAGCAGAAGGCGCAGTTGGGTACGTTGTGAAGCGAGGGTCGGGCGTTTGTATAATCTACTCTGTGGGACTGTGTGTATTGAGTAGGGCAGCATGGGCCGCGTGGACAGCTCAGCTTAGGGAGAGATATTAAAGGAATATATCTCGCGCCTTCGCGTGTGGGTAGAAGGCGAGTGTACCCTGAGCATCTCCTGTGTCTTGTCTAATGTGCATGGTGTGTGAGGAATGGTGAATGGTGATTGACGTCGGGACCTGTATTGGAGGGGGCTAAGACAGTGTCACTCCTGCGTTGTGCGCTGGGCTTGCATGTGCGGTGTCATTAGATGCGGTCAAAGATGAACTCTGGTTGCATCATCCGACATGCGCTGCGAAATCGTCGGCGGGGTTCGAACGGTGTTGGTGTTCAAAGGGCAAGCCTAGCCGACGCCGCGCCAAGACGATGCGGGGCCAATTGGCGCCGAGGTGGACTGGGGTAAACACCGCGCTGGTAAACATTCGCGCTTTGCGACAAGCAGCGCAATGGCGAGCGCAAAGCAGAGCGAGAATCTGCTGCTCACGGAGCACTTTACGTGGCCGCCCATTGTGCGTTCGTTCCTGTCGAGATGCAAGCAGTCTGGGCAAAACTGACCTGCGACAGTCCCTCATCGACGACATCATAAACACCGTCAACGACAGCCTGTACAGCTGCAATGACTCCCTCGAGACAGGCATGCTGTCCGCGCCGCCGGCACAACTAGGTTTCCTGCCCCAGAACCCGGAGGAAGGAGAGGAGCGAGTTGCGGAAAGAGCAAGGCTTGAGATCGAGGAGGGCGCGCAGAAACTCGAGACGCTGATGGTGGATGCGGTGGATAGGAATTTCGATCGGCTGGAGATTTGGACGTTGAGGAATGTGTTGTGTTTGCCGAAGGAGGAGGGGTTTGAGGGGTGGGTTAGGTTGGGGCACTACGAGGTACGTTCTGGAAGACATGCGCATGGTGAAGTGGAGGTTGCGGTAGGGAGAGAAGAGGAAGCTGACTGACTTTGGATATGGATAGGGCCTGAAGATTCCAACTGCGGAGAATGAGCTTACACCCGAGGCTCTGTACGCGCTCCGCCGCAAACTCGTCGAGACGGAGAAGTTGCACGCCGCGCTGGCCGCAGAGAAGAAGCGCAACGAGGTGCAGATTGCGCGGCTAAGGGCGCTGCTCGTCCCACCAACACAGAGACAGGCACCCCGTGCGTCGACAGCTTCGGCCGCAGAGGAGAAAGAAAACACAGAGCGGGAAACAGCGCCCTTTGCTTTCCTCACGCACCACCCCGCCGCGCAGACGCTCGGTGTCCAGCCCCTCCCTGCCTCTATATCCTCTGCGAAGCCGGAGACCAGAACGCCGCTGACCACGCACACCACCTTCACAACCACCCAACTCCCGCACTTACGCCAGCTTCTGGCGAGTCTAAAACCACACCTTGCATCTACCGCGCTGCCGAGCGGCAAAGCAGGAGAGACCGAGGAGAGGGCCAAGGAAAGGAGGTCGTATATTGAGAGTCAGAGTCGGCGGGTGTTGGAGAGGCGGGGTGTGGATACGAGAGATGGGGTTGAGGGGGTGATCGATGGAAACCGTGTTAGGGGAGACGAGGTGCGGGCCCTAGAGGGAGTCGTTGGGGGTTTGAAAGGGGGTGAGAAAGGGAAAGGGGGCGAGGTTGAGGAGGTGGGAGAGGGGGATAGGATGGATGTGGATTGAATGTCTGTGGAGCATGGGCGGCGTGGGCGTTTTGGTAAATGGATGGGCTGGATTGGGATACCTCTTTTTTGGTTATTTGGTTTTGGGTTAGCATCGGGTGTTTGGATGGCGGGGGTCGGCGGGCGTTGTGTGATAGATACCACATTCAGTCAAGGCAAACCATCCTTTTTATGTCCTTTCTCTCCTTGATAGGGTGTCCTGGTCGCGACAGCCTCACGTACAAGTTGAGAGACATTCGAGGTGCATGGAAAGGCGAGAGTGAGGCGTTTTCCCCGAAAGACTGTTCTGGAGTAGAAGCGACGACGGAAATGGGGAAACTATTGGTTCTATCTACGTCATCGAAGGTATGGATCGCTGTTCTGAAGTCTCCATTATTGTGACTCGTGTTAAGTTTTGCTACAACCATTGCTGTTGCGTACTATCAGAGCGCGGCGACGAAGATCCTGGATAGTGAGCGCTTGTGAGTGTTGAGCAACCCTGATAGGGAGAGCCAGGTATAGACTGCATCGCGCCATTGCGAACCTCACCACCCGTAGACATCTTAAGAGAACTAGTTTATAAATAGTCCTCTAAAGGACTTCTGGGGATGTAGCGACGAGCCGGTTGAGATGTTGGCCAAAAGACGCCACCAAAACGCACGGACGAAACATTCCTGTCGACAACGTCATTTTCCATATTGTAAATCCACGAAGCCTCGCACTTTCATACATTGTTATCAAGCAGATCATGTCAGAAACAAAAATGTCTCCAAAGTCAATTCGCATAATCGGTGCTGGTCTATCAGGCCTCGCCCTTGGACAATGCCTGCGCCGGGTCAACATCCGAACCGTAATCTACGAACGCGTGAAAGCAAATCCAACGCGTAACAACTACGGCATCACGCTCTACAAGTCGACTTATAAGCCATTACTGGACACGCTACGGATGACTGAGGACGACTTCTGCCGCCAAGTGGGAGTGCATAACCCAGATAGTGGCGCCTTAGTCTCCGATGACCAAAGACTACGCGTGAACCGAGCTGCTTTGACCAGCCTACTCGAGAGCAATCTGGATATACGGTTTGGACATAAGCTCAATAACATCACATCATACGGTACATCCCGATGTGTTACGTTCCAAAATGGGACTCAAGATCTCACTGAAGACTTCAGCATCTTGATTGGAGCTGATGGCGTCCACTCAGCAACGCGATCTCAGCTCAATCTTTCCAAACCTGTGTTCGATCTCGAAGTGTTACCCTACATCGTCTTCAATGGCAAGCGTCGCATGGTATACTCCAACCTTCCTCCGGGCCTGCTCGACTGTTTCACAACACCAAATGGGATCCAACATGTCCAAAACGGTGTCTTGCTCTCCATCAAAGCCGACTTTTGGAACCCCGACAAACAGACCGTCGCAGTCAGCTACACACTCTCTAGGGCGGCTGATAAAGCAGACCAAGCGCTGTTGGACCGCAACATCAGTGACGCCGAAACGTTAGCGAAGAGTTTTGTCGACGAAGTCGCCACGCTTGGACAGCTACCTGCACCATTCGATAGCATCTTCAACACGGACACTATGTCAGAAGACAGGTTGCTACATTGGCTTATGCGCTCGTCTCTAATTGATGGCAAAGTCGTCCAGGATACTGCTCTGAATCATGGCGTTATTCTCCTCGGTGATGCAGCACACGCACAGCCAATTCCGGGGAACGGTGCCAATCTGGCGATTGCTGACGCATTAGAGGCTGCGAAGCATATGGATGCCTCGGGCAAATTCGATGCGGCTGCATTCTTGGAGGCCAGGTCAGACTGGATGAATGGGAAACGGGAGAATGAGCGGGCTTTGAAGGCCTTGCATCCTGACGGAGCCCGCAAGGCTAGAATCTAGAATGGTGGATCCCTCCTCTAATTTGCGAGGCGCGCCCATAGCTGCTTCAGAGCCCCTGGCTGCCAGCAGGCTGGCACATCAGGTGTCCGACAGTCCAACGCGAGCCTACCCAAACCATGAAGTTGGAACACTTCACGTGGCTATCGCCGAAGGCCGCGTGTTGCACGTTCGTAACTGGTCGTAATTGACCTATGCCACCGGTGGTCTGCCGAGGGCAGCGAGTGCACCACTACATTCCTACAGAAAATCTCGAATTAGTAAGCACTGCTATGTATGCATGTTCAATTATCCTTGGCATTCCAGGTATTAGCACACGTGGAAGAGTCGGAGAACCACGCGAGACGAGAGATTATTGAAATGATAAGCACCTCAAAGTCATGATCGCCACAAATCGAGCAAGGAATGAATGGTTGGTTTTTGTAATCATCGGTGCTGCCACTCCGTCGGACAAGTTTCCCATTAAAGTGCTGCCAGCGGTGTCCATGTCCGATATCGAAATTCTCAACTCGCGCACCAAGCACTTGGATTACTTTGGTTACAATTTTAAATCATGCCAACTCATACACTCCGGTGTTGAACAAGCAGGCCTTCTATGAGCAGTGGCACGACACCCGTGAGATGATTCCTCCGCTCCTTTTGGACGCCATCTTTGCCTCCATCCCGCGACACCTTGACTTTCACTACAGACTCCGAAGTTGCGATCATCAGATTTCGTAGGTTCGGCCGCGTTACATCCGTAGTGTAGCTGTTCCCGTGCTGTTCCACCCCGATCTGCACAAAGAAAACATAATTGTAGCAGAGGAGGATCCCGGTATTATCACACCTATCATTGACTGGCAATCGTCGAGCATTGAGCCAGCTTTCTGGCCCGCAGACGAGGTCCCAGGTCTCGCGCAACGCATCCCCGATCCTCCAGACAAAGACCCAAATGAACCCAAACGTGAAGCGTGTGCCAAAGTGTTCGTCGCCAGTATTCAACTGTTGACCCCAAAGCTGGCAACAGCCCGATCAATGGATGAGGCTTTGTTTCGCCCGTTTCGGTATCGCTAGAGGGCTTGGGACAATGGGGCCGTTGCTTTCCGCGAGGAGCTTATCCGGACATCGATGCATTTGGTTGAGCTTGGTTTCTCGGAACCGTGTCCGACTTTTGCTACCCTCCTCCGACGAACGCAGGAAGCATCAAGAGGATTGATTACGAGCTGTTCAAAGCGGCCCAGTAGTTGGCATAGTGCACAGCTGGTCAGCTAAATACCGCATGTGACAGCTGGGTTCCGGCCGAGCTTCGATAAGCCACGAAGTGGGCGCACCACAAGGAAGTTCCGGGCGTTGTGGGAGGAGATAGCGAAGAATAAACATCCTGATGAGGACGAGCCGGCCAGTTTGAGGAGGAACTTCAAGAGATCTGGCCATTTGATTTGATCCGGTAAATCAGGGAGTATGTTTCCCATGCGCCTCGTAGAAGAATGCACAGACATGGTCCGCCAATACCAGAAATGCATTCCACAGTCCCATCCATTAATACGCACTACACGCCGTGGATATTACACTTCCTCCTTCTCTCGCGGTCTGCCCTGGTTGTTTTCCCCCGCCAACGCCTCCCGACTAGCCTTCTCGTCTCTCTCCCTCTCCACCGCCTCCGCCTCCTCCCTCTTCTTCAACAACAAGTATTGGCAGAATTTTGACTTTGCCCTCATTTTCCCGCCCCACTTCAAAAACACAAACGGCACCACACACAGCCCTACGCTCACAAACCCCAGCAAGCTCGTCGCCCACGCCACCCCCATGGCGCGATACATCGGCTTCGCTGCAAACGGCAGCACGGCCCCGAAGCTGCTCCGGGATAAAGAAGCGGCGGCCATCGCCGACGCAGCGAAGACCTCGTACGCGTCGACGAGGTAGTTCAGCAGCGCCATGAATAAACACAAATACCCCATGCCAAACAGCATGCTCGCAAAGCACGGGACCGCCCAGTGGATGTCCGGGCGCGCGGTCCAGCCGAGCCAGAAGCTGCTGATGACGAAGAACGGGCCGGCGATGCAAGCTAGCGGTAGCCTGCGCATTTCCTCGTTGCGCGACCATGGCTTGTTGGCTTCCTGTGCACGCCGGAGGATCAGGTCCCAGGTCAGGTATAGGCCCGCGGAGACGATGGCGCCGACGCCAATGGGGAGGAAGGTGAGGCCTTCGAGGCCGGCATTGAAGTGGTAGATGTCGATGAAGATGAGGGGGAAGGATTGGAAATAGATGTAGAATATTGCGTCTAGTGATGGGGGGACGGTCAGCTTACCACTCTCGAAGGGAAAGGGGGAGGGTAAGAGGGGACGTACACGCAAAGCTGAGATACAAGCACGTGAACAACACAAGCGGCTCGAAGCAGATCATGCGCAGCGGACGCGTAAGGACGGTCGTGATGATGTGGCGCAGATCCGTCTTTTCGAGCTCGATGGGCGCGATGACGGACATGTCCCCCGTCTCTTTCCGTATTCGTTGCGCGCGGTACTTTAGTATCACGGGCCCGTACGTCTCCGGGAAAAAGAAGAACAGTGGCCACGATGCGCCCGCGAAAATGGCCCCGATCCAGAATGCCCAGCTCCAGCTCACCACCGAGATGAACCCGCTGATGGGCGGCCCTAGGATCGGGCCAAACGTTGTCGCTGCCTGTCCTTCCCATCAGCATTGCTAAAATAAAAGCGTGATGTTCGGACGGAGGACGACGGTTGACTTACCATGAAAATCGCCATGCTTCTCCCTCTGGACACAGGATCATGGTAAATATCCGCGCAGACACCACCAACCACGGAAATCGCACAGCTCCCGCCGAGCCCGACCATAAGTCTAAATACTACGAGCGCAGCAAAGTTGGGGGCGACGGCGGAGGCGATGGCGAAGACGGTAAAGTACGCAAATGACCCGATCATGACCCATTTCCTGCCGTACGACTCGCTCAGCGGGCCCCAGATCATGGGGCCCCCGACATAGCCTACCAGGTACATGGAGGTCGGCAGTATCAGTTGTGCTTCGCTGGTGACCCCAAAGTGTTTCGATATCGGGGCTGTTGCGCCGGCGGCGAGACTGTGCAGTTAGTATTTGCTCGGTACGGTACGTGACTGTTGGCAAAACATACGATGAGCCCATTGTGCTGTTCATGACTATGTAATGTTAGCTGTGCTCTGATAGATTTGACTGAATACGCACCACTCATTATAGCTACAAACAATGCATACAGTTTCTTCCACTGTGCATGGAATTAGTCTCAAGCTGTGAGCATATCAAGGCTCGTTTACCATTCTCCAATTATTCGGATTTTCTGGATCCCCATGTTCAAATCGAAGAGGCCGTCTCTCAAGCTGTCCTGGGTGATCGTCATCTGAACAAGACTCCGGCGTCGCACTCTCCTTCGCCCCAATCTCATCGCCTTTCTCCTTCTCTCCGTCTGACGCCGCCTCAATGTCTTTGTCAAGATCATAAATAGTCGGTATCCGCGCGCGAGACGGCCCTGTAATGTCTCAGATCTACTTTGCATTGCATTTGCAGCACCCGCGTTGTGGTTTCCACGTGGTATCACGGTGCATATATGCTGTTGGACGTACGTTGCGTCACGCTTCGGACGAGAGCAACAGGCGTAGCTTCCTGCTCCAACCCGTCGCGCTGCAGGCGGCTTTCCCGCGAATACGTTCGCTCCAGGTTGTGTTGGTCGTCCGCCATGCTGCATACATGTCACGGAATACCGTTGGTCTAAGAGGGAAGAAGGGAACCAAAAGAATGTTGGGCATGACTCCAGACGCCCGGGAATACGATGACAAAAGAACGAATGCGAGATTTTTAGCATATTGGGGAGCCATGACAACAACCCCGCGTTGGGTTAATAGCATACCCGAGGTGGACAAGGCACATCGATCTGGCGGGAATAGTGCAGATCCAACCCGAGACTACATATGCAGGTCGGGAGGCAAAGCCGGCACGTGATCGGTAATGACGGCATTGCTATTGGATCGCATCTGTAATCATCTGGGGTGCTGCGTTGAAGTCGGTCGGCGGGCCTTGCGCGTGTAGTTTCGGCTGAGGCACGGCTGCCGAGAGGCGAGAACCCATGGGCGGCCCTATGAAAGCACGCTGACCGTACCAACCGTTGCTCGGTATTCGCTCAGAGCACGCCTGTAGCACAAAACACAGTCGAAACAGATGCTGATGAATTGAGTGAATAATTTTTTCAGGCTGTAATATTTATGGCACATTCGTCGCCTGCGCCTAACCGGAAACCATTATCCAACTCCGGAACGCTGTTGGTGGCTTTACGTCTCGAGATTGATACTTCTTCCGAATCTGCCATAGAGCGCCTTTTTAAGCTCTGCCATCTCGTCATGGATGGTGTCGAGGCGCTCCTTCAAGGCATCGACGTCGCCGTCGATTGCTTCTGTAGACGACTGGAGCAGCTCGAGGACTTCGGGCTGTGGTAATGAGACGAAGCAGTCGCCAATCTTGTAACTGTTGGTCTGATTAACCTCTTTGCCCATCATGAGTCGCGAGACAACGTCACGAATGGTGAATGGGGGAATGTGGTTGTACTTACGGCACCTTCTCCTCCTCGTCCACCAGCTCTAGCTCGCCCGATATCTCTTCTAGGTCCTCCTTCTCCTTCTGTAATGGGGCTCAGCTTTGCGCTTAAAACCAACAGCCCATGCTCTTGATAGAAACCCGTACGAGGCTTACCGCCGGAGCGAGGGTCGTACTCACCATCTTCGCCTTCAGCTCGTCCTCAATAGCCGTCTCTTTCTGGTGCAGAGAACTAAAGCGGTTGATCTTTTCTTGATCCTCGCGGCGCACCTCCATGTCTTCCGCGCCTGCTGAGGCCTCATCCTCCTTGGAGAGCTAGATGTAGCGCCGTTAGCGCAGTATATTACGAGGACGAAAAATTGTAATATCGGGGATCATAGCCGAAAGAGCTGAGGGTCGGAAAGCAAGGTTGCCATAAATACGATACGGCTGACTTCAGTGAAAGTGGGGCGGTTGTGATGGCAGGCGCCAGGAGGAATAAAAATTATGCGGGGGCTAGGCATACCATACGACGTTGCATCTTGCTGTGACAATTGACTCGGGGCTCGGGAGATAAAAGACGATGGCTTTGAGGTCTATGGGAAATATGTTTTTGTCGTCGCGGACAATTGGCGCTTAGCAGATGTGGTTGAGAAGTGTGAAGAGATCAGTGTCGATCGTCAAGGCGCGCTATGACTGGCGCATGCCAAGACCTTACACAGGAAGGTACGCTTTTGTCACAGCGTTCAAGTATACTCGTTGGATGCTTAAGGAAATTTGTTGAGGTCATTCAGGTCATTCATATCTACAAGGCTATCAACTGACCCTCTCAAAAGTGGGTCCCAAGTCCTCCCTCTTCTCCACCAATTCTGCGCTCATCTGACTATTCTGTGCATCACTCAAAGCCTTCACGATCCCGCTTTCCGCTTTCTCTCTCACCAGCCTCCTCAATGCCTGTATTAAAAAGCCCGAAAAGACATCCACACTCCACTCATCTGGTACGATAGACAGAACATCCCCGATATCAAACCAGCCGCCGAACCGCTCTAGCAGAATGCCAGTTTGCTCAATACGTTGCGATAGATCATCGAGACGGAGAAATTCCTGCAGTAGGTAGTTGAACAGGCGGGACTGCTCGGATTTCGTAGGGAGCTCGGACTGGGGCACGTAGCCTGAGCCTGAAGGGCGGAATATAGAAGAGCCGCCGTATAGGCAGTATGATACCGCGGTGTCGAAATCGCCGAGCCCATGCGTGAGTAGGCGTAGCGCTACCGGGTGTCGACCTTGGCGGCCATTCAGGATGATCATCTCTGGAACGAGTTCCTGTTCATAGGGCTGTAGACGGGCAAGGACAGATGCCACGTCGTATGAAGATGGGGCTGGCTGATTGGAGCCCAGCAGTTGGAGGAGGCGCAGACGCGCACGCCACCATTCCGCATCGATCGCATTGTCGGTAATGAATTGCCGATATGTAGGCTTAGGTGAGAGTAAGATACGGTATGTCTCGTAGGTTTGCAGCAATGTGTCCCGCGACGAAGGAACTCCTTCGAGCTCGGTGAGCACAGTGTCGAGATAGAACGCAATAAGTTCATTCACATATTGCGTATGCTACTGATGATCAGCAACTACCAAAGATGGTTCTAAGGAGCAAGACGTACCTTCAGTTCGAACACCAGATACTCCAGGTACTCTTTGACAGCACCCGGAGCCTTCTCACGGAGCACGGCCACGGCTCGCGTAGGGTCGAATCTGACTCTGCTCCGATCATCTGCGAATACCTGTACACCGAGCCTTGGGTTACGGTTGGCTAACCACGAACCATACTCCTCTACCATGGACTGGTCGCGTATTCTTGTCAAGTACTTGCGTACCTCGTTCTCACCATCGATAAACTCCCCGCCTTCATCAACCTCCCCCTCGATAATGCGTCGCCAAGTGCTGAGCACCTTGGCTGCCTTTTCTGGTGGCTTGCTGTTTCCTTGGTAAAGTCGACTCAACAAGTACAGACGCTTAAATTGCTCGAGCAAGACTATAGCTCGGTCTAAACATTCGACGTCTTTGTCCACGAACTCGTTGAGTTCAGATCGAACCGAACCAGCTGTGGCCGGTCCCTTTGGGTTACCCTGGTCTTGCAGTAAGAGGATCCTCAGCAGGGCAGTGTCGACGGATTGAAACACGTAAGGATCGTTTGTCACGCTTGCCATACCTTTCTGTTTCTTCCAGAAAGATAAGTACTTTTTAACAACCTGGAGAAGGTTGTCGCCGAAAGGGCCCTTCACGTCGGCTGGCATGGCAGAAAGCTTGTTCTGTTCGAGGAACTGCTCGATCAAAGTCGTAATGCCGCCAGATATCTGTATACCGTCCGGCCCTTGCACAACTTCTTCGTTCAGTATCGGCAGTACCGAGAGAACGATTCGGGGATCGATCTCTCCTTCTATCAGTGCCTGCTCTGTAATACGCTTCTCATTCTCAAACACGATGATGTTGTCCCGAGTTCGTAGTATCATTTCCATGAAGAGTAGCACCGACGCCTTCTGCCGAATGTAGATGAGACTCAAGTATTCTGACTCATTGCGCGGTTCTTGCCCTCGTATGTCCCCTAATATGGTTTCGAGTAAGCGTCTGTTGGGTTGTATGCGGCCAGTGTCCCCAGAGGAGGCGAACTGTGCCTCTTCTAATCTTGAGTCTAGCCTGATGACCAGAGGGCTTCTTAGAGCCCACCATATCTGGTCTCCGGCCCAGAGCACAATGTTGGTTTGCAGCTTGGACAGTCGCTCCGTGAATTCGAGATCGGCTTTTTCTTGTGTAGCTTTCGCTGTGGTTGGATCCGATGACTGCAGCCGCTTGACCATAAGCTTTGCGCCAATCTCAGAAAGTGTCAGATCCACCGGCTGCACGACTGTACGCAGTCCTAGAGGTACCGCTACTTGGTCTTCCGACTCAAAACTTCCGAGCGCACGTAGGTCTAGCCATTCCTTGGAGGCTTCTGCTTCGGCAGCATCTAGATCCCATCGTTGGATCTCGACGCCATACGTGAACGCACCATCTACTTCGCTGTGCACCACTGCTAGGACATAGCCTTCTTCTGCATCCATGTCGACTTCCATAGACATGGACATGTCGATTCCTGCGCCATCTACAACAATAGCATCGGGATAACTGGCAAACGTTATGCTGCCGCGCGACATGTCTCCATCCAGATTTACAAACATGCCGACTCCTGGGTCAGATGGCGTGGTGCCTACAGTCAGCAGAAACTCGTTCGGTGTTGGCGATGCGACGAGCGGTTTCAACGGGACGAAAGCAGGAAGGGCTTCCGGCTGTTCCTCTGCTTGCGCAACTTCTTCGGTAGCTGGAGGGGGTGGTAAAGGTTTATCAGGCGAGGTGGCGCCAGATCTGGGCAGACTTGACGTCCTGTCAGGAAGACGTCTAGTCGGAGAACGGCCTGGAGATGGGGCAGGTGCGGGCGACATATTTCGAGACAGCGATTCTGGCACGTCGAAACCATATCGCTGGGCAGGGGCGCGTGGGCTGGCGGCGCGCGATCCTGGGCCAGCTGTACCGAATAAGCCCAAGCTCGAGCTTCTCGAGTGTCCTCGGGGTTCATCCTGTAGCCCACGCGGATGTGCACCTGCGGAAGAAACACTCCTGGACGGCGGGTGTAGCGTGGCGGTGATGTCTTCGGCAGCACCTCCTACGTCGCCAGCATCTGGATCCAGCGAAGATATGGGGAACAGGCCGATTTTTTGTGCATTCTCCACGTCAAGCAGCGCGTACGAGTGAGCATCGGCAGCGCAGGAAAATGCATCACGGCGGACCGATGTGACACAGCCTCCGTACTCTATCGTCTTCAGGGCGCGAGGAGCGCCGTCCTCTGAGATCCTGACCAGTCGCGTCTTGCTCTTCTGCCCCACCATGACCACGGCGCCATCGTGGCCTTGTTCTGCGTTCAGATCCAAGCCGCCAATCCATGACGACGAGAAAGGCTTCGCGTTGGAGTCGGGGCTCAGTTCGGGCAGCGTGTAGAAGCTCAGGTAGTTGTTGCACCGAATGCATGCCTTGTTGACTGCAGGGAGCAACAGGATCTGCTGGACACCGGCATCGCTTGGTTGGTTGAACGAGGGCTCGAGCCTGGACGCTATTATGGCCGTGGGCTCTTCGGTAGGGTCGTTGGATTCGGCGGGGAGGAGCACGAAGTGGAGGACTTCTGCGGCCGAGGTGCCCACGTAGAGGTTGTTGTCTGGGGAGCTTAGTCTAGCTCCGGGGGTTCTGGTGGACGTTCAACGTGACATACCCCATACTTCGACACAGGTTATGCGCACGTCGGTCTGCTGGCCGTCAGCGGATAGCGGCAGGCCGGAGACGAGCTTGCGCAGCATGTAGGCGCCATGGTGCGGGGGCGGGCGCGCGCTCAATTGCGGGCGAGGTGCTTCTGCCATGGTTGATGCGAGCTGCGGGCGCCATGGCTCTCTATGCGCACGACACGGAGCTCATGGCGGGCGCGGGTGGTGGAGGTGTGGTGCAGCCTCGACGAGCTGCGGACCCAGCCAATCGGTATGGGCTCAGCCCGCATCACCAGCAGATGCATCGCGAACGCTGGCTGCAACCGCCTCGCCAACCCCAAACGCCCCATGCGCCTCCGCCGAGCACAGATGCCCTGCGTGTGAGACAGCTGACGATCCTGCTGCCGCCCACTGCAATTCGACCCGCGCAGGCATGGAAAGCATCTCGGACACGGAGAGCAGGAGCTCCCAGGATGCGCCACGCAACGAGGGCGCCGCCGACACCACAGAGGAGAACAAGTTCCAGAAGGCCATCGGCGCGTGGCGCAGTGCGTGATGCCCCCGCCAGCAGCACCCGGAAGCGCTGACCGCAGACGCAGACATTGACCTGACAAGCCTCGTTCCGCAGCTCGACACGGTAGCCTCCGACCTCGTCGCACACCAGCGGGACACGCTCACCCAGCGCAAAGACCTCGCCCAGAAGACAAAGGACTTCCGCAAGCTCGACGATGCAAGCAAGCTCAACGACATCAAGGGCCTGCTGAAGTGTACGCCCTGTTGCTGCACACGCTGCGTGCCATGCATGCTGACACTCTGTAGCGTACCAGGGCTTCATCGACCTCATCTCGAACCAGTCCAAGTCGGTGCAGGCCGCCTTCTTCCAGCTCTACTCGCCGCTGTCCGAAGCACCCGACCCATATCCGCTCCTCGAAGCCTCCATCGACTCGCTGGTCACCGCCGAGGAGACTGTCCCAAAGATCACCGCCGAGAATGAGCGTCTGCAGAAGACAGTAGCAAGACTAACGTCACAGCTGGAAGACGCGGAGAAGAAGCTCGAGGAGGAACGCATCGCACGCAAGACCTTGGAGGACAGCAGAGACACCAAGATCAAGGACGTCGAGGCATCCTGGGAAGCTGTGCTGAGCGAGAAGCAGGACAACTGGGAGTCCAAGGAGAAGAGCCTGGAAGAGAAGGTCGAGAGCCAGGACCGCTTGCTGAAGGAGCTGAAGGCGAGCTACGAGGTCTCGCAGAGGCTTGGCAAGGGCGAAGACGCCGAGGGCGACACCGGCCGGGGCGCGACAGCTGCCGAGCTCGAGATTGTTAGCTCCGAGCTGGAGAGGACGAGCCATCGCCTGGCCGAAGTCGAGGCTCGGAACGAACAGCTGCGTCGGGAGCTGGCACAATCCGCCTCCGCTCATGTCACCCAGCCAGTGCCGGTCGAAGATGATCCAGCTTTCCTCCGCCTGCAGTCCGAAAACTCGTCTTTGTTGCGCAAGCTGGAGTCGGCTCGGTTCGAGAAGGACTCTGACAAGGCCCGCCTGGAGACAGAAACACGCAGCCTGGAGCGCGAGATCAAGGCCCTGAAGAGCGAGAAGGACGCCCTTCGCGAGAAAGTCCAGAAGTGGAGCGACTATGAGAATGTGAAGCAGGAACTCGAAGTGCTCAAGGTGAGCGCTCCACTCCATATCATTCCTGCTACATACTGACCATCCGCAGTCCATAGAGTTCGCGACAGGTGACGATGACGATGAAGCCACCGAGATCGCATTGTCGCAAAACGGCGGCGCCAGCAAGGGCAAAGGCGAGACTCTAGAGCAGCTCCTCCTCGCCCGCAACAAGAAGCTCAGCAACGAGCTCACTGTCCTGCGCGTCTCACACCAGGACCTCCAAACTCGCCTCGAAGCCCTCCAAGAAGAGCTCTCCAACACCAACATGGAGCTCGAGAAATCCAAGAACCTTAATGAAACCCTAGAAGCCGATCTCGAAAAGGTCCAGCAGGAAGCCTCCAACGCCTTCGACCCGTCCGCCATGTCAGTAGCCGGCACTTACACCTCGCGCTACCCGCAGTCCTCCTTTGCACCCTCCACCCGCCGCGGACGCGCCTCCTCGCCTACCTCCTCCATCATCTCCGGCTTCGACCCAGCCTCCGGCCCCCAAGGCGCCACCCTCTCCGCTCCCGGAAACGCCGGTATCCTCCCCATGGTAACCGCGCAGCGCGACCGCTTCAAAAAGCGCAACACGGAACTCGAATCCGAGCTCCAAAAGTCCTATACCACCGTCTCCTCCCTGCGCTCCGAAGTCGCCGCCCTGCAAAAGGACAACCTCGACCTCTACGAGAAAACGCGCTATGTCTCGTCTTACAACCGCGGACCCGCAGCCTCGACCGGGGCCTCCCACACGCCCCTCTACACTTCAAATGATACGTCGAGCGGCCTAACACTGGACCGTTACCGCTCCGCCTACGAGTCGAATATCAGCCCCTTCGCCGCGTTCCGCGGGCGCGAGTCCGCACGCGCGTTTAGGAGGATGCATGTCCTTGAGCGCTTCGTCTTCCGCGTCACGCGACTTGTGCTGCAGACGCGGACGAGCAGGAATGTGTTCGCGGCGTATCTCTTCGGGCTGCATTTTATGGTGTTTTACATGTTGTTTTCGTATACCGGGGGAAGTGCTGGGGCGGCGATTGCAGAGGTCGCCGCCGCGGGAGGCCCAATCGCCGCGGCGGCGGACGAGGGGACGGTGTGGCAGAAGGAGGGATTTGATGCGGCGGGTGCGGGGACGTAGTCTGATGAAGTTTCGTGAGTGGCTGGTGGGTTTTCCTACGTTTGGCGTAGAAGGTCATGTCGTGTACGATTTTCAGCGTATCGTTTGCTGTTGGTATAATGCCGGGATCTGGTAGCATCGCATCTTGATAGTCCAGGAATGAAGGCCGCTCCACATCGTTGTTCAGCCCAGCTGTGCGTCTATCCACCAGTGTGTATACGCAGTCGGACGGATCCAGCACACGCACGGCCCTGTAACCGTCCCACCTGTCTTCATTCGCCGAACCCAATCCCACTGCTGCCCCCTCTCACTGCCTTCTCAACAACATAGTACTTCCAGCTAGAACCTAAATAACCCTCAACATACCCCTCCTCGCCTCAGACAGCATCCAAACAGGCATAATAACCACGTTACATAGCATAGCATATATGACGAGGTACCGCGGGCGGCGTAGGGGAAGGGAGTGCAATAACAGGCAGTCGATTAGTGGGGTGAGGAGACTTCCGATAATTGCAAGTATGAAGAAGATACAGGCGTAGAAGAGAACGTCGAGGTCGGTGAGGAGGGGCGTGAGGGTGTCGATGAGGAGTGAGATGTGGGAGATTGCGCCGGCGAAGAGGGGGTGCGGGTAAGTGAGGTAGACGACTAGGCCTTGTATCGTGGAGAGGAACATTGTGGCGGGGGTGCGAGAGATTCAGTTGAGAGAAGTGCGAGAGTGTAGGCAATTTGTTTGGGAGCAGTGTGGAGGAGACGTGCCGTGGTAGTGGACGCGCGGGCAAGCACGCGTTGTGGAGCGAGCTTGCTTGTTGAGTAACGCTGTACCGATGTCGGGCGGCGCCTTGAGAGTCTCATAGGGATATAAGGAATGATGATGACCAGGTTTTCTCGCTGCGATATATGACTGGTTTTTTTTATCTCGCTCCCTGAAGGAAGGAGCACTCCGGCTCGTACAGAGAGTGCGCAGCGTCCTCACCCACAACATGATGCCCGACGTATACCAGGTATGCTGTTAATGATCAGAAGAGATACCATTCTTACTGTACACATCTACCTCCTTATATAGGTTCTCGTACAAAGAAAGCACTCACATAAAGGATTGAGAGTGGCTGAGTCGCCTGACCAACAGCTGTACCTACCCTTACCAAAACGAGCGTGCCATTTGCGCTCATCAATGTATTGCAGGGTCTAGGATGTGAGCTTCGGTTTAAGTGCAAAGCCAATCGTCAAGCGACTCAGCTGATGCGTTTGAGGGTTTTGGGAGGCGTGCTATGCGCATTTGCAGTCACCAGTGGCTTTCTTCACTTTCTTCAAATGGAATACCTAGTCATCTTCCAAATAATGCATCCTGGCGTGAATAAAATCTGCGTCCAGCGTCACATATCACGACAGTACCGCCCTTTCCATCTTGCTGAGAGACGCCAACTTCCTTTCGCCACTTTAGGTATCTCCAGCGAAGTTCTTCCCGTTATGATCCTCAAGTGAGTGTAGTCAATCTTGCACAACACCCCTACCTAAGACTTCCTCTGCATACACCGAACCAACGATTTCTGACAAGCTACACGATGACTGCCAAGAATAACGAAAAGACAGCCTTTAGCCCCTGAATCATCGGTCAGCAGAAGCTTGCCTACGACCAAGACGTCTTACAGATGCGTACTAAGCATCCACCCTGCACGCTACCACAGCAAAGTGTAGTCTATCACGCGTGAGCAGCACATTTCTCGAGGCCGTCTGCCAATTCCAACTTGAAAGCATACATCTCCCACAAATTCAGTCCAGACCTCTCGACCGCCACGCCGTGACGTATCACTCCTCGCGGAGTATTTCCGCGTACCCCTGCTCTCCCATCTAGTCTAGCCCGTTCCAGCTCCCGCACGCGAACCTCGCAGCATGCCTGCACTAGTGTACATCACCATGCGCGCTGGTTGGCGCGCCGAAAGCTTATCGTCCATTGTCGAGTCAACGCCGTGATAAGGGAGCACATCAACGCAAGCCGCAGTGAGGGGTAGCTGATTGCATGCATGCAGGGCTTGATACGGGATGCGCAGATGTGATAAGATGGTCGTGCAGCGCACGCGCTGGGAGAGTAGGTTGTGTAACGGTGAGACGAGACGCGACATCAGCGTCTGTTTGACACCATACCATAAGATACGTTTAGTACCATTCGCGCTGGAGCTCTGCGAATCGATCCCCGCATTGTGATTGAGATACCAACATGGCTGAGGAAGTTCCCAAGTACGATGCTGAGAGGCAGGGCTCTTTGACTGGGGTCGCAGAGGGTCTTGCGAGCGAGGACGATGCCGCAGTCTTGGGTATGCAGGCCGAATATTGCCAGAGAAACAGACCGACTGACAACTCTCAGCAAAGCTGGGCTACAAGCAAGAGCTCCGAAGAAATTTTGGCATCATTGAGGTCTTTGGCATTGCATTCTCCATCATGGGTCTGCTTCCGTCTATAGCTTCCACCCTGGCGTACTCGCTGCCAGCAGGACCTGCTGGGCTTGTCTGGGTATGTTGGAAGTTAGTATTGAGGAATCAATGCGCTGATGTGCCCAGGGATGGTTCACTGCCAGCGCGTTCATCTTCGTCGTTGGCCTCGCGATGGCGGATCTGGGAAGTGCGATGCCTACCTCCGGGGGACTTTACTGGTGGAGTAGGGTCTATATCAATCCATAATCAGATCCCTACACTGACCTTACACAGCACATTACTTCGCCAGCCCGAAGACGCGCAACGCATTGTCGTTTTTGGTCGGGTATAGCAACACACTGGGCCTTGTTGGCGGACTGTGCAGCATAGACTACGGCTTTGCGCTGATGTTTGTCTCCGTCATTGTCATCTCACGGGATGGCGAATGGGAGCCGTCGAATGGCATCGTTTACGTGGTATTTATGTGCTGCGTCTTGGTCCACGGCGTGCTTGCATCCACGATATCAAAGGCCATGGCGAAGTTGCAGACCGTTTTCGTCATAGCAAACTTCATCCTCATCGCTGCGACGATAATAGCTCTTCCCATCGGACGGAAACACGAGCGCAACGACGCGAAGTACATCTTCGGCCACACCGACAACTTGACGACGTGGTCTCCCGGTTTCGCTTGGTTCCTGACATGGCTCTCGCCAATTTGGACGATTGGAGGGTTTGATTCCTGTGTGCATATGTCAGAGGAAGCGTCCAACGCAACCAAAGCCGTTCCATACGGCATTCTCATGAGGTACGCCAACTTTCCCTTCCACTAAGCCAACACCTACGAAGCGCCACCTGACCACCAACTAGTATCGGCAGCTGCTGGTTCTTCGGCTGGATAATCTGCATCGTCCTCGCGGCCTGCATGACGCAGGACACCTCGACCCTCCTCGAATCCCCCTTCGGCCAGCCCATGGCGCAGATCTACTACGACGCGCTGGGCAAGCACGGCGCGCTGGGCATGATGAGCCTCCTCTTCATCGTGCAGTTTCTGATGGGCCTCTCCATCCTTGTCGCGGTCAGCCGCCAATCCTGGGCCTTCTCTCGTGACGGCGCACTCCCCTTCAGCTCGTTCTTTCGCCGCGTCTCGCCCCGACTGCTCATCCCCGTGCGCGCGGTCTGGGGCTGCGTCCTCGTCGCATGCGTGTTGGGTTTGCTGTGTTTGATCGCGCCGGCCGCGGCGTCCGCGCTCTTCTCGCTGGCTGTCGCAGCGAACAACGTCGCGTGGGGAACGCCGATCTTGTGCCGCCTGGTCTGGGGCCAGAAGAAGTTCAAGCCCGGCCCCGTGTACACGGGTGACAAGCTCTCCCGGCCGATCGGGTGGCTGGCGATTGTGTTCCTCGTGTTTGGCATCGTGCTCGCGATGTTTCCTGCGGGTGGGCCGAGTCCGACGCCCCAGACGATGAACTACACCGTCGTCGTCAACTGTGCGGTCTGGGGCGGGAGTCTGGCTTACTACTTTATCGGTGAGTGGGATGGGTTTTTGATACGTGTGTGCATGCTGACGGATTGTAGATGCGAGGAAGTGGTTTACCGGGCCGAAAATTACGCTCAGTGAGGATGATCTCACAGATGAGCAACAGGCTGCGATTCGCGAGGAGGGATTGCAGATCGAGGGTGTTCCTACGACTGTGGAGAGCGTGGAAGGAGGAGGGGAAAAGGGTGAACATGTTGGAGCGAAGATCTGAAAGGGTTGGCAAAGGTGAATACAAGGCCGTAGTACTTAGACCTCAGACATGGTGCCAGCGATCTGCAGTATACGCGATATCGAATCATGTTGTTCGAATCATATTAGCATGAACATTGAAGTAAATGCTGCGTCGATTCATCGTCAGACTGATGTCAATGACACCGACCGGGATATCTAGCCCTAATGCCTGTAACCCAAAAGACCGCCATGAAAACCTTGCTTGCTCATCTCAATCTAGCAGTCCCAGTGCCCGAACGCCAGCAACGTCGTGAATGTCTATGAGGAGACACAACAAAACTTATTGCTTGTTGTCGTCGTTGGTCTTGTCGCCGGTGTCTGAGTCTGAGAATGACGTCGAGCGCCCGACTCGCCTTCTCCTTCATGCGGGCTGCGAATTGCGCCCTATACTGGGTGGCGACTGGGGTGTTGCTGTCCTGGTTGGACTGCACGATCTGTGCAAGCCAACGGTCGGCGGCGTCACTCATCTGATGCAAGGTATTGGGTGCTGTGCGCCTTGAGCAGCTTGAGACGCCACTCGGCGATGTCGACTTGCTCTTGTAGATCGGACGCGTTCGACGCCATTATCGCGGGCAGAAGAGAGCTGTTCGACCTCAGGATTTCTGGAATCGGAGCAGCAGCGTGGTAGCTGGTCCTTGAGCGTTAATATTGCGTCGTGAGCACGGCGTACTATGCTGTTCTGGGGCAAGTGTGCGACAATGGTGAAGGTTGAGGAGCACCTTTGACCTTTACGCATCCAGCCTTATATTGGTTTGTATCAACCCATAGCCAGTACTCCAACCATTTATGACCTCGCATACGGAACGTGTGAGGCGATTGAGGTTCTTTAGTTGCCATTGCTTTCACAGGGGAGGCGGAACGCGACTTCGCAATATCTATAAAGCTAGCATCAAATCATAGCAGGATGTGTGTACTGTAGAAGCTCAGTTGCGTCAATATTTCCAGAATGAGGTTGACACTGTTCTCATGGTATCAAGGGCTAAACGATGTGTGTCGATCAACGTCTAGCAAACGTGAGGAACGAGGATTGAAATGAATAATGTCCAAAATCTCTCCAATCAAGCTTGAAACCCTTAGTAACTTTTATGATATACGAATCTGTAATCTAAAGCAATGCGTGCAAGTCTTTAGCCACTTGAATAGTCGTTCTCTTCGCTTCCTCATTATTGGACTTGTACAACTTGTCCTGATTTTGAGTACTGGGCTCCCATTTCTAAGACCTGCCCAGCGGGTTCATTTTAAGTGAAAGAAAAGAACGACATGTTGAATGCCGTCCAAGATGGTGCGGTGCTCGGCATGTCTTCCAAAGACCCGCTCAGAAGCCGCAGTTGAATGCTGAAGCTGAAGCGTCACAGACGATCGGGACACGTTGATGCAAGTTGTCTTAAAATAGCCTTTTGATGTTGAGCAGCTCGAGGAGAAACTACCAGGTGTCTGGCATGGAAGTCGTGTCTCTCGCCATACGTGAACAGCAACACCATCCCGCCGTCTCCCCACCCAAACCCTCATCAGTACATCCCACCCAATGCAAGATTGTCATTCCACACCTTCCAACGCTAGATGCAGTGCCGGAACCTACCGCACTCTTCTTTATCGTCCTTCTGCTGTAGACAAACCTGCTATTCATGACCTCCCAATGACCTCCGCATCAGCACCGCCATGCACTCCCTAGCCAAATTCCATTACGTTAGATCGGCCTATATCCTCCACGAACAAGCCTAAGCATGAGCTGATGCATCACGCTCAATACTCCCACTAGTATTTCCATCCTTCAACTCCGCGTACATTACCCTGGCTGACCATTCTGGACCCTTCCCTCCGATTTTCCAAGTCTGCCTCGCATCCAAGGATCGCTGTATCCAGCTTACCGCAACACACATGCGTACCTGTAACCCGAATATGCAGACAGATACCCCGCATATCTTATCAATCTACACCCACACACAGATGCCAGCACAGTGTAGCTAAGCGACATAAAACGGACCTGCCCAATCCCCCATTTTCCAATAGGTACTCAAATGGCGTACGTGCTATGTACATCACTGTAAAAATGAACATCTTCAGGTCTACAAGCAAGCCGCGTGCCTGCTGCTCGCCAATTGAGACCATGGTCCTGCATGCCTAATAAAATATCCACAGTGCGAGCAATTTTACCATACTCTACTCCATAGTCCCTGCAATCACAAATGCGCCCTTCGCTTACTGCCAAACTACATTCCCGTTGGTCCTCCAGTGGAGGATCCATCGACACCCAAAGCCAAGTCAGCCTCGTCAGGCATACTACCCCTCTTCACCGGTACGAGTGGACGCCCTCCGCACCACGTGTCCCCTTCCCATCGATATGCATATGCAGTACCTGGTCGCAAGCCTATACATGTATACACTTACACGCATGCTCCAATTGGTCCTTTCGATTCAATAGACATCTATCGTATGTTTGTAGTACACAAGCGAGCATCCACGGAGGACGAGGCTCTTCTATAAATGGCTCCGTTGAAGGAGCTGGCGAATCTAATGCATGCAGGATATCCCTTCCGGCCGTGACAGAACCGGGATAGCCGTGACAATCATGAAAACCGTGGTGATAATCGGGTATTTTCATTGCACAGCAAAGCAACTGACCCACCCAAGGCTGGCTGCCCATGCAGTAGCACCACACGCAGTCTGCGTGCATCCCAGCCCAAACGTGAACGCCGACCAATGAGATAGGAAAAAAGAAGAAAAAAAGCACGTATTGAAAGAAAAAAAAGGGAGAGAGAGAGAGAGAGAGTGCTGGGTGACATGCACGGCCACCCTCTGCCTGTCGAAGATATCCCTTGGGACCAAACATGGATGGAGTATGGCAGGACGTCCCGGCGTCACCGGTGTAATTCCTTAGAGTTCCGGTCGAGGCGGCGATTCACACTCCCCAGCACCACCTATACCAATTAGCTTAGCTCGCACACTCTTGTACGATAACCGTGCCAGACTCACCTTCATGATGCCCGTCGCAGACAGCTGCGCGCCAGCCTCGCTCGTAAACGGCACCGTGTCAACGATGTCCCTCAGGTCATCGCTACCAGCCAACTCATCGTCGAGCTGCTTGAGCATATTCCTCGCCTCAGGATCATTTCCGATCTGGAAGAACTGGATACCGACCTGCCAGGGAGGGGCCTCCCAACGATCCAGCTTCTTCGCGACGTCCTGGATAGTCCCTGCGACGTCATCGTGCGCCTGGCCGTCGGTGACGACGATGATGTTTACGGGCTTGGTGTTGGCAGGGTATTTCTTGTAGCGCGCCAGGTACGGCGTGAGCATCTCGTAGAGGCGCTTGCCCGTGAAGGTCTGCCCGCCTGGCTTGGCATCCTGGAAGATCTCGATGATGTGACCGGCCGTGCGCTGGTGTTTCCAGATCTTCTTGTTGTTGAGGAAGTAGACGTCGATCCCGTCTTCGTCGCGCTCTGCGCAGATGGGGGCAATCACGCTGAGGGCTTGCTCCACTTGGCCCCAGCGGCTGCCCGCCATGGAGCCTGAGTCGTCGATGAGGAAGACGGTGTCAAAGTTCCGGAGGAAGGCATAGGGGTCATCGTCAGTGGCTGGTCCTATGGAGGGCTGGCGAGAAACGAGTGCTGGGGCTGTTGGTCCGGGAGTGTATGCTGGAGGTGGGTCATTGGCGCCTGGTCGTGCGAAAGGATTGGTGGATGAGCTACCTAGAGATTGTTAATATGATTATGGCACTTGTGAGGCCTTTCTTCTTACTAGGACGGCGAGTTGCGGGCGATGGGTTTGTGAACGAGCTGCTGTTGCTAGGAGCTAGATAGCCACCCTGCGTCGTCGACGTGTTTGCTTCAGCCGACTTTTGTGAAAGCGGGTTTGAGCCTCGTCTTGAGAGCTTCTTCTTGAGGCTGCCGAACATTGACATGTTGTGTGGATTTCTCTGGGAGTAGGCGCCTGATAGTAGTATTCCGCGGTGTTGAGATATGCTGGGTGGAGGGGCGTTGCGGTGATGATCGAACAAGTAAGTGACCGGTGACACAGACATGGGGTAGGCGCTTTAGTATGAATATTATGCAGGTGACTAAAGAGGAACGCTCGCTCCCTTTGCGCAAATTCTGACTTAATGTACCAGACTGGGACACCTACCAACCATGGCTCTGGCATTCTTATACTACTAGTCCGATGCAGCTCAATCAACAATAAACAGCTACCTATGGTAGTGTGCCTCTCTCTGCCTCATGCCTGCCTTGAGTGGCGCAACATCAACACGAGCTTCTGAAAAACACAAGACAGCCGGACATGTGGATCAAACAAATTTTCGCCCGCCTTGTGGCGTTCTGCTGAAAGGACACTTTTGCTATGAGCGCGGCTGTTGAGGGGGCTGTGCGTTTCGTGAAGGCGAACATTCAACTCAGCCTAGCTACACAGCCCACCACGCGACCTACTCCGTGACTTGCATAGCCGCATCGCATCAGTCTGCAAACCTTTGAACAGCGCACAGAGATTTTATTCGTTCATGAGCATTGGCTCAGACACAAGCATTCCGTGACCGCGGCTCGTGAACTACTCCCCTTCATGGGGGAACCACCCCGTGGTAAGCCAATAATTCTAATACAGCGGCACACAACAATGGGAACTTCAGTTGCGCTATCAAAGCATAATTAAGGGCTGACTCTCAGTCTCTCACCGACAAACGGCTATCGGCACCGAGATTCCTACGGCGAAGCTATAGATATTTGCTACACAGAATGTATCTTTTGCCGGGTCTAGCATCGGTCGACCCACCTGGTCTCTGCCTTAGGCTGAACTGCAACGGCTGTGGCTTCATAGGGCTGGGATTATTGGGGTATGACAAGCACGAGCCAGTCTTGCGCGCAGGGCAGGCTCGGCGCATTTATTGAGGCTTGGGACCGACAGTCGCCTGGATTTCCGAGGAGATTAGGTTGCATCAAGCTTTGCAGTCCCTTCAGTAGACGGCATCTCTAGCGGTCCAGTTCCTGTCGGTGGCCATGAACAGATCACGAACCACAATATGCCTGTGCAGGCAGCTACTAGGCGTACGTCGGTGTCCCTTGGAGAGCATTCGGTTGCCGGTCACGGACGGATGTTGAGCCCACAATACCGGTCTCTTCGCTACGGACCAGGCGTAATTGTCTCGATGATTATTCCAGCATTCAAGACAAAGGCCAACATCAAGGCTCGTTGTGTCTAAACACAGTTGGTTTTGAAGTAAATCGACTAGAGGGAGGAGCCTCGTCCGTAGACCGCAGTGGGCGTGATTACGATCGACTTGATAGGATGAGCATTGCCGCAGCGACTCCAGCAATCGTTCGATATCTCCAGTGTGATATGTCGGCTCGGTGTTGTCGTATATGGTGCCTTGTAATCGTACTGTCCCTAATCTAATAAAGAAGCGGATCATTTCGCCCAGCTGGAAGGAGTCGCATTGTACGGATGTGTCATAACCCAGCTTGCACTGCCGCTCGCCGGACGTGTACAGCTTGAGGAAATGCGATTGAAGAGAGTTGATCGTCTCGAGTATGTACTCGCGGCGCTGTATCAGCTCGTCTTCCACTCCATTCGGCAGATCCCACCACAGCGGTTTGGTATGATCCTCCTCCACGCCCGGCTGCCATTGCGAAGAGTCTCGCAGGATAAGATGTTTCGAATACCGCGTAACCCAAGGCGCGTGGTCAAACAAAAGCCCAACCAGCAACTTCTGCCGTACCCGCTCTTCCGTCATGCCTATGCTTATCTTTCCCTTGCCCGACTTCGCATCCAGCAGCGCCCCGTATTTCCTTTTCCGCACATATCGCGAGAGCGTATCGGTTGCATCGAATCGATCAGCGACAACGGCGATGTTGGCCAGGTTTGGCACGGGCGGTGTGGCAGCAGAGAGATCCTCGCCGTGTATGGCGCGCAGGAAGTCGGCGACCAAGTTTCGTACGCTCAATGCGCTCGTTCTGCCAACATCCAGAATGGCAACTCGAGGTAAAGCGTCGACGGGTGCGTCGGCGAGGTCTGAAAGCCCTGCTACTTTCAGGGCTTCGAGCGCGGTTGCCAGTTGCTCTCCCTCCCTAAATCGGTCGCTGAGGAGGTTCTCAAAATAGCGTGAGCTGTCTCGGAGGACCTTGGAATGGACACGGTAGGAGAAACGAGGGGTTCCTTCTGCCTGCCTAACGTCCAGTATTAGGTCGCCTGCGGGGGCAATGACGACAAGGGCATCTTCTTCGGCCATGCTGAAGGGAACAGTCGTGTATTATCCGAAGGCATCCAATACATAGGCAGCTAGTGATGGAACTGAGGATAATGCTGGGTTGTGGATTTTCTCGCGCTCTGTTCCCCAATCAGAGGGTGGGTAACTCTAGCTGTATCCTCACAACTTTTTCGTCGATGGCGACTGAATCAAAGGTGAACCAATGAACTGGTTTGGCAACAATTAACAAAATATTTCACGGGTAGGGCCAGAACATGCTGGAAAGAAAAGCAGTGCAGCGCTTGGAGAATGATGTGAAAGCGGAAGTGGAGAGCTTCGCCGCGGGGATGAGATGGCGGATTCTAGTGGCAGAGCGCACGTACCACCCAGATCAACCTCATCCTTGAGCAAGGTCTCCTAAAGCGCTGTCTACATTTGCCGTCAAGACCAGACATAATCTACTGCGGGCAGCAAAATCTATAAGCGTTCTCTGTCACCTCAAGGGATCCTGTATCGTAGTCAGTAGGTCACAACATCCCATCTTGCACCGAATCGAGAACACACCAGGTAAACTTGACAAATTTGACATTTCAGTTATCCCTTCTCGTTTCGTATTTTTCTTATCCCCTCTTCATCTCATCCACCGTACTCGTCATATCATTTCATCAGCATTCTCCGAACCAGTCGAGAGCAGGCAGTCGTCAAAAGCTGCACCTAGCTATTCTACGCCCCTCAAACTCAGACGCCCGGCCCAGAAAGAAAACAATCATATGCAACCGAATGCAAACAAAACGCCTCCGAGGGTATGCTCATACTCTCCGCTCCTCCATGCATCGCTCGCTCACAGCTCGGTAGAATGCAGCTCCGGCAGCAGGAAGCGCAAGTCTACTCAGCGGCGGAAGTCGCCTCCGCAGCAGCAGAGGTGGTCGACGTCGCTTCGGCAGATTGCGAGGTCTCTGCGGACTGCGAGGCCGAGGCCTGCTGTTGCTGCTGCTCCTGGTTCGCCTTGTCGAGCGAGGCCTTCACCTGCTGCGCCGCCTGGTCGTTGGCCTGGTTGTCAGCAGCGTCCTGGTCGGCTTTCTGCAGGTCCTCTAGTTCAGCCTGCCAGACAGCGCCGAGCGTCGCCGCCGGGTCCTCGGCGATGACAGACCAGGTGGGGCGCGCGCCGAAGAGCTGCACGTCCGCCGTCTTGGTGGGAAGGACGGCAGCGTTGGTTCCGCGTCCGTTGCCGACGCCTGCGATGCCGGCAAGGCCGTTGCCGCGTCCGCCGAGGACCTGCGTTGCGATGATGGCCTGGGACTCGAAGACTGTGTGTGGTTAGTGGGACGGAACAGGAAACCGAAGGGAAGAGACACGTACGCATGACCGTGTTCGTGGTTCTCGCACCACGGTTCGCCACGATCGCGCTCTGCACAAAGACATCTTGCTGAAACGCGTTGCCCCGGTCATCCGCGACCGAGACCTGGATCTGCTGGACCACGAGCATGACCGTGCTCTCCTGGTTCCTCTCGCGGCGGAAGTTGGCCTTGCGGAACAGGTTGTTCAAGTCCCTGTTGAAGCCGTTCTGCTGCTGGTTCACGACGAGCACCTCGTTGACCTGCTGCACGACCTGCTGCTGGAACCCGTTGTTCTGGATCTGCAGGCTCTCCTGCTTGACCTGCACCACCTGCGCCTGGTCGTTGAACCGGTTGAACCCATCGATGAAGTTGAAGCCCTGTCCGCCGAACCCGTTCTGCACGGCGTTGCCCTGGCGCCTGCTCATGGGGTAGGCGGGAAGTTCCGCGGGTGTGTTGATTGGCTTTGCGGCTAAGGAGCGACGTCAGTATCAATCCACTCGAACTATGCGTTGGCAGAGAAGTCGAAATGCTTACCAGCGAAACCAGTCGCAAGCGCCATCGTGAACAGAGTCTTGATGCCCATCTTTCCGGATAATACAAGTGATGGAATTAGAAAAGTAAGGTGATTAACTAAACGTCACAGACGTGGTATTTCGAAAGAAGGATATGCAAAGGAACGACCGGTCGTTGTACAATAAAAGAAGCAGACTATCAAAGCCGCGTAGGTAAAATGAATAAGTATTAACCGGGGAAGCCCCAAAGGAGTGTTGGACGAAGCGAAGAGAATGAAGGTGGTGAGTGAGCATAAGGCACCGGCACACCTGAGGCTTATATTGCTGCCCTCATCCTCAGGAGCCGAACACGCGTTTGACACTCTCCAGCCGCTCCTGTCACCCACACGTCGACCTGTCATGCCCGTCACCGGCGCACCTAGCACCCGGCCCCCGCCAAGCTCATCACAAAACGGTTGCCAAGAGAGCTTAAAACCCTCCGTGAGCCTCTTCAGGCGCGGCTTGCAGACTCAGGCCAAGTCGCGATCGCCCTGGATTTGAAAATCCTCAAGGCCGGGGGTTTGACATGCGGCTGGAGCGGCAGCTGCAGGGGGCGGCGAGCACCTGATCCGGGCGCAGGACGGCTTGGCGACAGTACGGCTGCCTGAGATCCGTGGCTGTCGCTCGTCACACGGCCTATCGCGACATTCTCGCTGTGGCGTGCGATGGTGTTGCGGCGCGTGTGAAACCTTGCGCGTAGCAAGACCCCTGCATCGCATCGCAGCTCGCGACCCACCACGTCCCCATGAAATGCTGGGGACGATCACCACGCGATAACCTTCATGCTAAGGCTGCCTGGGCGAATCAGGGCGCGCAAGAGAAGGTATAGATGTAGGTATACATAGTAGCTTCCTGGATTTTTTGGGCGACGTTGTTTGAAGTGTGAAGCAGAAGGGCTCGCGGGTGAGACTCGCCATATTGCATTCATTCCCCGATGGGATGGCAGACCTGTCTGTCACCTGCGCTACTACGATCCTCGCTATGAAATTGATTTTACCCAACACCGTAGGCGGGAAAGACACGCGGCAATGAACTTGACACGAGTGCAGGAGCAACATGCATAACAATTGATCCGATCTGTTCTGTACTGTGTACACATACGTCCTACTCCCCTGAAATCCATCCATCGCTACCCAATATCTACCCGCCCTACTCCATTCCAAGCCACAAGGGATATTGGTCTAAAACGCCTGCAAATGCCATTCGCCAAAACGAAGTCGGTTTGGCTGTCCTAGCGAACCCACCAGAGCTGCGAGATACATACCCACGCAGAAAAGCGTGTCAAGTGAAGATGAGAAATGTTGAGAAGGGAAGAAAAGTTCATTCCTCATCTGAGGTGTCGGTATCCGTCTCGCTCTCGGACTCGACGTCGCCTTCGGTATCGCTGCCATCACTCGAATCATCGTCACCCCCCCTGCGCTTTTTAGGCGCCGGCACACCGCCCGACTTCAGCGTGCGCATCTGGCCCGCAATTGTGTCTGTAGCGATATCGTCAGTTACGTACACTTCTTGAAACATATCGTGACTCGGTGGTTGCTTACCCTCATCTGGCTCACTGATCTCGCCCTCCTCTTCCACTTCCTCAGCCTTGCTTGCGTCTTCGACATTCAGCGTCACCTCCATCTTGCTGTCCATGCCGATGTAGCTGTCGCAAATCATGTGCATCACGAAGGTGTAGGCACCCGGCTGGGGCGGAGCACCAAACTGCATCTTGAGTGTTTGCACATTGTACGTTGGCTTCCCACTCTCGTCGAGGATGGGCTTGTCGAAAGTGGAAAAAGTAAAGGGAGGCACAGCAATGCGGCCTTGCTTGCTATCTGCGAGGAAGATGTGCCACTTGGGCGCGTGATCGCGAGCGTAGTACGGTGCATGAGCTAGAGGCGGCTGGATAGGCTTCTGGCCGGAGCGATCGTCTTTGCGGCCTGTGATAGCAGCGACATCTCCTTCGTCTGGATCAATGTCAAGAAGATCCTTCGGGTCCACCTCGGGGACATTGGTGGATCCCGGAGGAATAAAACGCGCTTTGACGACAAATTGGACCAAACTGCTTGGTGTGACGAAGCGCTCGCCAACGACCTTGAAGAATGGCTTCTCCACATGCAGAACAGGAAGCTGCGATGCCACGGCCAGCGCTTGCGTGTACTGCGAATCCGACAGAAGACCAGGTGCGACTACTCGCGCCTTGCGCTCAGCGACTGGCAGGTCCAAAAATTCCTGGATTGACAAGTGAGCCCGCGATCGCTCTGCCTCTGCAGCATTAGCGACGGCGGGGGTGAAGTGAGGAAGCTGTTCCAAAGGGGATGCGCCAGGTCGTAGCGATTGGATCAGAAGTTGAGAAGTGTGGTATGCGGCTAGAACAGCCTTTGTGGAGCCGTATGCCAATGCGATGGATGTGTAGGCCTCGTTGAGTTTGAGCGCGATGGGTGCGACCTCGTACTTTTCCTCATTGAGTGTCTCATCTTGCAGCTCAACACGCCCGAGGTATGCCCACAATAGCGTGAGAACTTTCCGCCTTCTGCTGTCCTCTAGCTCGTCAAGCTTCTGACGGTCCTTCTTGGATAAGGCGCCCAGGACCAAAGCCCCAGTACCTTCCGACAAGACCTTTTGCTCGAGCTTGGAAAGTCCATTGTCGGCCTTGTGTCCTGCCATAACCTCGTTGAATTCTTCTCCGCTGCTCAAGGCTCCCACAACGCCACTTTCGCCCTGGTCGTTGTCATATTCGCGGAAAAGCTTGCCGGCGCTGGCGACGAGGATCTTATCCTTGGTCATCCGCTGAGTGCCATACCACCACTTGCCAACCGTATAAGGGAGAATCACGCCGAGAGCGAGGGCGTACATCAGGAGAACGTATTTGCCAGATCCTTCGGACACGAGCCACTTAGGCAAAGCAATACCGATGCTGAAGCTTTGCTTTCCGTCAGGGTGGCCATACTGGAGGAAGTTGTTGCGGACTTCCTCGTCGGTGAGTGCCTTGAAAGCCTTTGTGACCTCTACCCAGTGATCGTTAATTGCATCTGCGGTGATGTTCTTCTCCAGATCTTCACGTCGCTTATCGGGATGCTGGGTGAGGGACAGCTTTCGGTAGTGTTTCTTAATTTCCTTCTCGCTCGCCGACTGCTTGGCTGTTAGCACATACTCCACGTATTGCATAGTGGGGCAAACCGTACCCTAGACACGCCCAGGACATCATACGGGTCCCAGATTTTCGGTACATTTTGCGCAGTGACGATGATCAGGTAGATCATGCCTGCAATAACGGACCACCCAATCAAGCTGACAATAGCCCGCTTTATCCTTCGCTCCCTCCGCTTCTGCTTTTTGCGCTGCTTCTCGACGAGGTCGGCATGTTCGGGTGCAAAGTCAGAGGATATGCGGGTCGCGGTGCTCTCAAGCTCTGTCGTTGTTTTAGTAAGAACTTCTGCAAGCATCTGGCAGGCGCGCGCACCTTTGCTAGGCTTTAGAAGCGAGTAAGTAACGGGTATTGTGACGAAACTAGTGAGGGTAACGATGAAGTATGGGAAGAATTGTCCCTGTGTGCAAGTCAGCATGTCCCATACTATGCGCGGGAATGGTCCATACCTCTCCATCGTATGTGTAGTCTGTTCCGGACATTTTGGCTATCTGTCCAAACGGACGAGGAGTACAGAAAGAAAATCCTCAGGGGACGAGAGAGTGAAGGTGCTATCACTGGTCGCAGTGCATGTACCGGCGTGCGGAACGGTGTCGTGAAGAGTGGTGGGGTTGAGGCGGCGTGGCCTAAAAGACAGCGACCACGATCTCCAACTAAGTGCGCTCGACAGGACACATTACGAGGACGCTCTTGGCGGGCACTTGCGCCCGAATACGGTCACGTGCACGCGCCAACACCGACCAAGATCCCTGCATCCCCGGAATTTTTCTAGGAATAGCACTACATTTTACTGTGCACAGTGGCCGACGTTAAGCAAGGAAATCCTTGAGGTAGACCTTCTGTGTACATTCACGCTGCCTTATCACACCATAAGATCACAAAGATGTTGTATGTAAGTCATGACAAGATCAGGTGCGCTTCTCCAAATTCATTCCTTTGTGTCAGTTGATGTGGCAGTACGGTGTCTACACATATGCTTAGCTTGACTTCACGCCACCATCATTTTTTCTCATGAAGCGACAGGTAGCTAATATTCGTCTACGTAGGTACATGCGCTTGTTGTCTACGGGCCAATGCTTCGTCATTCCTTCATCCCAAAATCCAAGGGTATGCGCCGTCAATCACGACCTTGCGCATCGACACTTCAAATCAAGACGCTGGCCTGCGCCGCAACTCCCGCCTGCACAGCTATGGGTGCGTGATGATGGCTTCCGCCGAAGGAAGTAGGGGACGCTATGTACGCGGGCGCCATTTTCAGGTCTCCTATGTAAAGCGACGGTAGTGTCGAGAGAACGTTGGAAACGTCCGAATCTGGTAGCAAAGGTTGTCTTGTGCGCCTATGACTCTTCGGTTGTTGCGGGGGCTGCTTCCTCCAACCCATTGGGGCCGCCGTTCAGCGGAGGGCTGATAGCATCTAAGGGTGCCGCATGCAAGGCAGGCTTCTCCGCCCCTTTGCCCAGCTTTCCTTGCCGCCGTCTTTCAATCGCAGCTTTCACCCAATCTGCCACCTCCTGGTCGTGCACGGCTTCGATCGGCTCGGGTGTGCTCCTGTCGCCAGCAGCCACATCAGGTTCGGCAGCAACGGCGGCCTCTTCCTCTTCCTCTTCCTCTTCAAGAATGGTGTGTGGCTTGATGAGAGGCGCAAGCCATGGATGCTCCAGAAGGTTTGCGTATGTTGGACGCAACTTGGGAATTTTGTTCAAGCACCCGTGCACAAAGTCACGAGCCGTTTCTGAATAGCCTTCTTCGGGAAGATCCGGGGGGTCGCCGTCCACGATAGCCTGCAATGATTGATTAGTGTGGCAAACTCACGGGTTTGAAAATCGCTTACGCTGAGCTGACTGAAGATGTTATTGTACGTCTCAGGTGGATATGGGTATCGGCCTAAAGCGCATTCGATGATGGTAAGACCAAGACTCCAGATATCACTCTGCACGCTATACGTGCCAGCTCCAGCACTTGCGCCTGCTTGAGCCATGCCTCCGGAGGAAATCCGCTCCGGCGCCATGTAACTCTGACACCCAATGTTTGTTTTCGCAATACTGGCGACCAGATTGCCACTGACGCCAAAATCACAGATCTTGATTTGACCCCTGGTGTTGACAAGGACGTTCGTAGGTTTCACGTCTCGGTGAATAATGTTGTGATCATCCTTGAGCGACTTCAGTCCCATAACAGTCGCCAGAGTAACCTTTCGCAGCACATTTTCCGGAACGCCATCCCCGTATAGCTTGTCCAACGAGCCGCCATCCATGAATTCCATACATATGTAAACAGCACCTTCCTGGAAGAAAGCGCCGTAGAAGTCGATGATGTACGGGGAGACGCAGCGGTGAAGGACGTCTAGCTCCATGATGATCGTCGCGAATTTGGCTTCGTCCAACTCCAGCCGGATTTCTTTCATGGCCATTACGATGCCAGTCCCACCCGAGGTCTTGTTCGCAGCCGGACTGGAGTCCTCGCCCTCGAAGTTCTTACGCGACGGCGAGCCGGGTGCCGCTTTGTTACCTGCCAATCCTTGGCCTGGCTTCCTCATTTGAGGCCGGGCATGTCTAACTTTGTATACGGTGCCGTAGTTGCCCTTGCCCAGTTCATCGAGTGTGTCCACTTCATCTAACGATATGTTGAAGGTGATGCCGTTTGCGAACTGCACACCTTTTGAGTCGAGGACAGCCTTGCCCTTAAACTTAAGACTTCCGGTTTCCTTGTCGATGAATTCTTTGTATTTGTCCATCATAGACTCCTGCTTAGGGGGATCGGTCGAGGAATTTTCGCCATGTATATTCCCAAGTTTAAGGCCAGGCCCTTTCCTCTTGCCAGCAGGAGGTGCAGTGCCGTTGCTCGGAGCGGGTGATCCGGAGAGGCCTCCGGAGAGGCCTCCGGAGAGACCTCCTGCTAGGTTCAGTCCACGTTTCTCAGCAAGTGAAAGTTTGGCGCCACCACCTGGTCTACCAGGTACGACAGGCGCGGACTTCATAGTGGTCATACTGGGTTTGACCTGCGGAGGCATGCGAAAGTTTGGGGGCACACCCCCAGGATTGCCAAACATGGGACCACCTGGAGATGCAGGACCACCGCCACCCGGCGACATGACGTCGGGTTGACTCGGTGCTCTGCCGGGCGGCGCGCCTTGTCGACCGAGGTGCACCGCTTTCATCCTTGCCATTATATCCTGCGGGACGTTGAGACCGCTGCCACGGCTGGAAATGGTGGGTGCATTTGAGGGGCGAGGATTCCGTGCGGCATTGATGTTGCCAAGCGGAGTGGACGAAGGCGTCATATTGGCGGTAGCACCGCTGGTGGACACGGAGCGAGCGGGAGGACGGCCCTCTGTAGGGGAGCCAGGGGCAAGACTGGGCCGCACATCGGGGCTGCTGGCGGGCGGGGATGAGGGGGAGCCAAAGGGGCCATCGGAGTCGAAGTCGTCGCCGCTGGGGGTCGAAGCAGCGGAATCCATGGTGGGGGTCGAGGTGGCGCGGGGCGCAGGTAAAGATAATAGCGGAGAGGAAGTAGGGAGCTCCACGAACGGCCCTGCGTCTGGCTACCTGGCGGGCAGAGGCGTGGAGTTTAGGTGGTCGTCGAACGGCTTCTTGGCGGGGAGGAAGTGACAACCGGTGACGCAATGAAATCACACTGCACGGTGGTTGCTGGCAGGCCGGCTAAGCTGGACGCTTCTGGGGCATGGCGGCACGACGGAGAAATGCACACAGAGTGGCCGCGGACGACAATCAGGGAAGCAGCTGCGTCGTGCGTCGTGCGTCGTGCGTCGTGCTCACAGCAGGCTGGCCGCGGCGGGTGCGAGCTTGGTTATGATGTCGCTTCGCTGGAGCGGTGGAGGGGCATGCCAAAGCGGGTGGTGAGCGGCTCGATCCGGCCAGTGGACAGACCCGGGCAAGACAGACAGCAGAAACAGAACAGAAACGCAATAGGGGAGACGGGAAACGACGAATTCTGCGCCTCGAGTCGCGGTAGCTTGCGCTGGCCGCTCGCCGCGACGCCATGCGGGACGAGGCACCGATCGGCTCTGCCTCTGCGATCGCCTGCGCTTCCGCCCAGAGGGAACGTGGGCAACTAGCAGCCCGGCTCCCCTTGTTAGTGCCGTGCTACGCAACCGCGGCGCAGGCTGGCATGGCGATAACACCATTACAATCTGGTCTGGGCAGTGCTTGCTTGCTTCTTGGTTCTCCGCCACAGCCAACACACGTCAAAGATGGCCTCGCCTGCTCCGCCCTCTTAGTACACCCTGCCTGCACTCAGCGCACTTTCGCGCGTACGCCCCTGTGACGTTTGCAGTTCCGACACACGTCCCCATCCAACGTAGCCAAGCGTCACGCACCAACTGCCTCAAGTACTCCCGCGCCCCTCCGCGTCTGTCACGTCTCCCGCTGAGGCAGGCGTGTCAGGACCCAGCATGTCTTTCTTCAATGGCGCCGTCCAGTCGCTTCGTCTTCGCAATCTCAATTCATCCCCCGATTTCATGGTCATGGCCTCCGACCCGTACAGCGCCGGCAATGGCTTCCTCGACGTGTTCAAGCACAAGCGCCCGGCGCACAGCTCCCATCCGGACTTCGCGAACCTTGCGCTCCTCGTTTTCGAGGCTGTCATGGAGGTGGTATGCGTCAGTCTTCCGGGGTACATTGTGGCCAGGATGGGCCAGTTCGATGCGGACGCTCAGAAGTTCGTCGCGAACCTGAACACCCAGCTGTTCACGCCATGCTTGAGTGAGTGCAGCCTGACCTGATTCGCGCCGATTTTGCAAGTTGCTAACCTTGCGCCAGTCTTCACGAAGCTTGCATCGCAGCTCAGTGCCGACAAGTTGGTTGAGCTGGGCGTTATCCCGTTCATCTTCGTCGTCCAATTGATCGTTTCCTATCTCGCTGCGTTGATCGTATCTAAGCTGTACGGGTTCAGCAAGAGGGGGCGCAACTTCGTGGTCGCCATGGCGGTTTTCGGAAACTCCAACTCTCTTCCCATCTCGCTCGTTATCTCGTTATCGAAGACGCTTTCTGGGCTTCATTGGGACAGAATACCAGGCGACAACGACAATGAGGTAGCCGCCCGCGGCATTCTCTACCTCCTCATCTTTCAGCAGCTCGGCCAGCTCGTGCGCTGGACCTGGGGCTTCAATGTACTCCTGGCACCTGCCGATGCGTACAAGGAAGAAGACGATGGCAGGAACAGCATCATGGAGAACGGCGAATTCAGTGATGGCGAGGCAGACCGCCTCCTAGACGATTCGCATTCCGACTATGAGTCTGGCAACGTCACGAGCTATGCGACTTCTATCTCCACCACGTCGTCGGACTCAGACTCCATCACACAACGAGAAAACGCCCAGTCGACTACCACCTTTGTCACACCGACGAATGGAAACGTAACGGTCAAGGGTCCCGGAAATATGAATGGGAACGGCTATCCTGACGAAGGCGTTCAATTCGGCACTGTCTTCTCTTATAAAACAGATCATCCGCCCAAGGGCCCGAAGAAAGTCGCTTTCCAAGTGCAACGCACTCTACAGCGCTTTGCACGATCTATTCGCGACGTTATTGCACGCGCTTCACGACGCGTATTTCTAGCACTTCCGGTCTGGCTGCAGAGGACGCTGGCGAAGCTCTACCACTACACGGCCAAATTCCTTGGAGGCTGCTGGGAGTTCATGAACCCTCCGTTGTGGGCGATGTTGGCAGCAATCGTGGTCGCGTCGATTCCTCCGGTCCAGCACGCCTTCTTCGACCCAGGCACGTTCCTCAGTAATTCTGTGACTCGCGCCATTAGCCAGAGTGGCGGTGTCGCTGTGCCACTCATCCTGGTCGTTCTAGGCGCCAATCTGGCCCGCAACACTCTCCCTGACGAAGGCAATCGCTCCATCGAAGACATCAAGGTGGAGAAGAAGCTCGTCCTTGCTTCGCTTGTGAGCCGGATGCTCATTCCGACCCTCATCATGGCCCCTCTCCTGGCCTTGACGGCCAAATTTGTGCCCGTCAGTATCTTGGACGATCCGATCTTTGTAATCGTCTGCTTCCTGCTTACGGGTGCACCGAGCGCGTTACAGCTGGCGCAGATTTGCCAGATCAACAACGTGTATATGGGTGCCATGTCGAATCTTTTGTTCCAGAGCTATGTCGTCTGGATCCTTCCTTCGACACTGGTCTTGGTCATGCTAGCGCTCGAGACGGTCGAGTGGGCGGGGGCCGCTTGAACGCACCCACTACAAGGAAGCGGTGTATATTTAGTTGGCATTAGCAGGTGTTTGGCGTTCACTTCGATAGCGGTTGTATATCATTGGGTCTGTACGAATATTGCAGATGCATCGGTCTTTGGTACATAAAACAGGGTGGCGCAACTGGAGCTTGGATACCCGACTTTCGCTCTGAAAGACAGACAGAGGCTTTATTTTATTATTTTGTTATGCTATCCAGACTACCATCATGCCTTAAACTCTGTGTTCGCAGTCACGATCTAATGCGTCCGCTGTCCAGGCGCATGGTTACGTAGCTAGCTAAGCCCCACGTTGCACAAGCCGCTGATAGGCGCGAGGGGCAGGAGCTCGAGAAACTGGGAAGCCGCCGCCGTCACCTCACGAGACTGCCCGCGTACGTTCCAAGCGTCTTCTCTCGCCACCTGCAATAGCTATTGACGTGCAAGTTTACAAGTTCGACTTCTGCTCCCTCTCTCAATCCAGCTGTAGACGCCTTCACGAGCTCTCGTCCTACATACGCCAATCAATCTTGGCACGTGTACCCCAGCTGCAGGGCCCAGTAGCGTCACCGATAGCAGCCCTGCTCGCCCGATTCCCGCTTCGACTTGGAACACAAATTGCTGCGGCCGCACACAAGGAATACGGCAATTCGCGAAATTCCCTGGGCCGGCCTGCTTACTTTGTCATCTACCGGACCCACGACTACAGGACCGCTCCCACGGTCTTGGTGAATGCGCAATGGCGTCCTCGAATGACGAGCCCCAAGCGCCTGCATCAGCAAGCCCAAAGCTGCAGCCGAGCAGCCGCAGTGTGCACGATGGCACGTCGCCGCGCCCGGGCAGCTCGAAAGGTTAGTCCTTCCTATCTTGTGCTTCGCAACTCAGGTGCTCTGGACTTGTAACGTGTGCGATCTTCTCGTCCTCTTTTCAGTGCTTTGTACACGATGTTCACATCCTCACCTCGTTCGGACTCTACCATTGCATTAGCCAAAGTTGTTCTGTCTCTTCTCTGTGGCTTTATATACAGTGAACGAGAAGGGTGGCGCTGTTGCGGCCTTGTATGTCTCTAGGACAATATACCACAACATTTGAAGCATCGCGAAGCCTAGTGAGAGAGTATACGCATAAGGACAAATCACCCTTCGGCTGAATGTTGAGACCAAATGGCTTACTCTTCCTTCCAGTTGTCTCTATTGCCGACCCGGAGATCGAGAGCATCTCTCCTTTGATGCGTGGCCAGCATAAGGATCTAGGCGGTGGTGATTACTTCGACCTTGGGCAGGCTGCCAAACAATTCCGCGCCAATGTGAGCGGAAAGAGACTCATCGGCAGACCGTCTGTCGAGCGGCTTGCTCCAGCGAGTAGACAATCGACAGAAGGCAACCCATCGTACAACTCTTTGCTTTCAGACAGCTCCGAAGGCCTCCCCTCCCGACAGTCCCATGAGAACTTGATTAAGCACGTTACCACATGGCTTAAAACCGAAAAGGCTCGCCGGCATGCACGAAAATCAAAGCGCAAGGTTGCAGCTGCGAAAGTAGCTTCTGCAGTAGAGCACGCCCTTGGTGGATCCAAAAGTGAACATTCTGAAGAGAGGCGCGGTTCCGACTCATCTGATGGTTCGGTAGCTTTGGATCAACTTGCAATGATCCTTGAGAGATCCATGTCCCTCAAGTCTACTGACGGATCGCCTCGCTTTCACAGAGTGGGCTCTCACAGTCGGAAATTGTCCCTTTTCAAACGCAACTCTACTATTTCGTCGGGAGAGGACCATTTTGACTCTATCGATCAGCTTGTGCCCAGCTGCGAAGCTATTCTTGACAATTCGAAGACTATGACGTACGGTGCTGGCGGTCCCGAGTCAGAAAGCACTGACGATTTAACGAAAGTCTCTACTCGTCGAGCCAAGAAGGAGAAGGAGGCGTGGGCAGCTTTCAAATATGAGATTGTGCGGCTTACGCATACTCTGAAGCTCAAAGGCTGGCGGCGAGTGCCGTTGGATATGAGCGGCGAAATCACCGTCGATCGGTTGAGTGGCGCTTTGACGAACGCAGTATACGTAGTCTCACCTCCCAAGAACTTGCCCGAACAAAGATCCCGAGAGGAAGGGGTCCCCACACCAAAGAATCCTCCTCCGTGAGTCAAGGCCTGCTGTCTACTAGGCCATGCTGCTAACTCTTTCCAGCAAACTCCTACTACGTATATACGGTCCGCAGGTCGAGCATCTAATTGATCGAGAGGCAGAGTTGCAAATCCTGCGGAGGCTTGCTCGAAAGCGAATCGGACCACGAATGCTGGGTACTTTCACTAATGGAAGATTTGAGGAGTACTTCAATGCGAGGGCATTGACCCCGCAAGAACTCCGTGAGGCGGGCACTTCAAGGCAGATTGCGAAGCGCATGAGGGAGCTACACGAAGGCATCGATCTCCTTCCAAAAGAGCGAGAAGCTGGTCCTTTTGTTTGGCAGAGCTGGGACAAGTGGGTTGACCTAGCAGAGAAAAGGATGTCCTGGCTGGACCAACAGATCATAAATGGCACTCAGGGCAGTGTGCAGTCCGCCGCTGATAGGTGGAAGGATCGAGGGCTTGTGTGCGGCGTAGAATGGCCTGTCTTCCGAAAGACTGTGGAGAAATACCGAGCTTGGCTTGAAGAGCAGTACGGAGGTATCGAAAAACTCAACGAGCGGTTGGTCTTTGCTCACAACGATGTGTGTTCACCGTTCAAGCGCCGGAAAACCAAACTGACATACAGTTACAGACGCAATACGGAAACATACTACGTATGACGCCGTCAGGAGAATCGCCTCTCCTCCTCCCAGCGAACGAGCATAAACAGCTTATTGTCATCGATTTCGAGTACTCCAACGCTGACCTCCCCGGATACGAATTCGCCAACCACTTCGTAAGCCTCCCATCCCCTTTACTCGTCCTCGCAGCACAGCTGACAAGTGCACAGAACGAATGGTGCTACAACTACCACGACCCATCCCCCCACCGCATCAACACCGCCATCTACCCCACCCCGGATGAACAACACCGCTTCATCCGCGCCTATCTCCAGCACAACCCCACCTTCAAGTCCTCCCGCGGCCATTCCTCCAACCCGCCCACGCCCCACCTCGATCCCCTCCAGTCTTCCGGCAGCAGCACCGCCCTCGCAGCCACCGCCACGCCCACCACCATCTCCGCCTTCATGCTCGACGCCCGCGCCCAGCCCGGCGAGCGCTACAGCTACCACGAGCACGAGGCGCAAGTCGAGCAGAGCATCGAGGACGAGACGCGCAGACTCATGGCGGAGACACGGCTGTGGCGCATGGCGAGCTCCGCGTTTTGGATCGCGTGGGGCATCGTGCAGGCTGTGGTGCCGGGGATGCCGAATCTTGACGAGGAAGAGGGGAAGGAGGCGCCGGTTAGTGCGGAGGCTGGTGTGCTGAAGAGCGCGACGAAGGAGGTTAGGGATGAGGCTGCGGCCGAGGAGAAGGAGAAGCAGAGCGAAGTGAGTGAGATGGAGCGCGCGGGTGATGAACGAGGAGCGGGTAGCGCTGGGACTGGTGCAAGTGCTGACGAACCACAGGCTGAGGAGGAGGAAGAGTTCGACTACCTGGGCTATACGCAGGAGCGGGCGCTGTTCTTCTGGGGCGATGCGATCAAGATGGGCATTGTGAAGGCGGAGGAGCTGCCCGAGGAGATCAGGAGCAGAGTTAAGACTGTGGAGTACTGAGCGACGGGCATAAAGCCACGGAGCCGCTGGCGAGAAATGTGGAATTTCTGCGTGGTCTGCGGTGGAGATGGGTTGAGGAAGGTCGATGGGAAGGCCTGTGTATGGCCTGTGTGCAAGGTCTACCCGGACAACCTTATGGTTGCCGACAATTTCATGGCCTCTTTGTTGCCTCTTTTGCGTCTAGGTAATAGCTAAGTAGCTGAATGATACTGGAACCTCACCACCATATCGCTTTGGGCGCGGGTCCATCAGGGACCTCGTACGCGAAGATGTATTTGCGCAAAACTCGGATCTCGAACAGACAAAAGGTTGTATTAGATGCAGTGGAAAGAATGCAACGCCCAGATCCTAGGTCTCGCGGACAACGCATTACATCGCTATACCACGTAACATCTTGCATAGGCCACCATTCAAACAGACTTGAGACAATTTCCGCACTTGGGCGTGTCGCTTCAGTGAACATTCGACTAAACTCCACTCCCACCGAGCAGCTTACCTGCCTTCCGACCAAGACTGCTCCTCAAGAATCCTGCTTCACCGCACTCTCCCGCACATACCAGCTGCGGAACGCTTTAGCTTTCGACTGTGCTCCGTACCTAGCTTCGCCGTCGAGGTGGCTCGCAAGACAAAACGCGTCCACGACCTTGACCGCAGCGACATCGCCTTTGTCGTCAAACGGGATCTGCCCGAGGAACTTGCCCAGGGAGATGGATCCGAGCTTGACGTGTGCTTCCGTGAGATAGTCTGTATGGGTGAGTATGTCGTCGTGCGTCGTGCGGGTTACGAAGTTCCAACCATCAGATGAGTTTGAAGACTGACGTGCGTGCACCTGCTCGGCGCAAGCTAGGATGCCTAGAACCACACATCAGTACATCATGTATACTCACGCTAAAGTTTCCTTTTCAATGGAGATAGTTACCGAAAGCTTTAACAACCTGCCGTTTCGTCGTAGTGTATGTAGACGTAACCTCAAGGATTTCAAGAAAGTCATCCAAAGACGCGGTACCAACAAAGATGTGCCGATGCTTGTACCCCAACTCACGCTCTTCCGCCTCGTAGGGAGCAACGGCACTATCGTCGGTGCTGATTGAAACGCCGCGCGTGTGCTGTGTGCTTGAACGTGCACAGACTCGCTGAGGGGTAGCAACATTGATAGGAAGCTTTAGCGACACCTTCCGGCGATGTTCCTTTGATGCAACCCTTGCTGGGCCTTTAAAAGGGCACGCTTTGAACCCTATGATGCCATCGTTTGTGATGCGGCGTGTTTGACCCGCATGAAGCTTGCTTCCATTGTCACCTGAAGAGCTCGCGTAGTCCGAAGATGAGCTATGCTGTGCGAAACCACGGTCGAGCGTGGCACCCTCTTGCGAGGGTAAAGTCTCGGTCCTAGCCTGCTCGACAGAATCTCTGAGTTTTTTTGCCTTGTTATCGACGCGAGCGACACGATCGGTGTGACTGTCTGAATCCGCCGCTGGATGAACGTTCGCTAGTACCGTAGGAGCTTCCGCAATTTTCTCTTGCGGAAGCACATCGATAGTCTCTTTGAACTTTTCCGGGTTCGTGTTGAAGGTTCCTTCGTCGAAGGCTTTTTGGTCAATCATCTTGGAAAGCTCTGTGAGGTGCTCTGCGCATATCGGATTAGATGACATCCTTTTGTTGTTTCATCTCATTGGGTGCAATACTTACCAGCGTGTGGTAGACTCTTCAGTTTACTCTCGATGTTGGTCACCAACAATGACTTGACGGTCTCTGTATCCTCCCTCTTCTTAGGCTGTACGATAGGCGCTTGTTCTCCGGAAGGTGCCTCTTGCTCTGGCGTGACAATCTCGACTGACTGTGAAGGACCATCCACGTTCCCAATACTTGCCTGAAGGGCAAGAGATTTTTCGATCTTCAACTTCTCGAGGGATTGCGCCATGGAGGCGACCCAGTCTTGGTCCGTACTCTGGCTCATTTTGGCGAACATAGCGCGTCGCAGGTTCTCCGCCTCTTCTTCCGTCATGACATCTTTCTTACGCGCAGATGGTGCCCAAGGTGGATTGATAATTGAGCGCACAGGGTAGCTGGGGTCCTGTATCCGCTTTGACCGGAGGCCTTCCGTGACTATGGGGAATCCTTCTGCAGCCATCTGGCTTATGACGACATTCCTCAAACGTGCTGATTCCTCGGTTGACATGTTTCGAAGTGTCGCTATTGCTTCTTCGTACACTGAAGAGGGTGCGTTGCGCAGTGACTCGAAGGGTGGCTCGCTTTCGGGAGGAATCCGTGGTGGACGGCCTCGCTTCGACCTATTCTTTGATTGTTTCTGGTCTATCTGATCTCTATCCTGATTTTTCGTTGCTGGAGAAGTCGGCGGTGGGCGCGCTGGTCCCTGGGGGCGGGGCTGAGAGCCCTTCGGAGGTTCGCTGGCGGGGACCAAGCTAGGAATATCTGAGGTGAGGTTAGCAATCCGTTCTTGCGGGCTCAGTGTTGTTTGGGGAACAGGAAGCTCGCCTTCATTGCTATCGGCAGGCTTGTCTTCTGTCTTCTGCACCGCGCCGCCGCGGGGCTCCCCTTCGTCGTCGACGCTCTCGACATAGGCCGTTTTGGCTGCAGCTGGAGACCGCATGCCCTCTCGCTCCTTCCTCCTTCGTTCTTTCCGAGCCAACGAGCCCGGCATGTTGCCTAATTTGACGTTTACTACCTCGACCACGGTCTGAGTGGTTGAAAATTAAGTCGGCCGCAGGTGATATAAAGAAGTGCGAGGCTGAGGATGACGGCGGCGGCGAAGCAGGTCGTTGGCAAGTACACAGCCTGAAGTGGCTGCTCTCATGCCGCCGTGCACATGTCACGGTTCAGATATCCGGTGGAAGGTGCTGGGTGGGTGCGCGTAAACTTAGCAGTCGCTCCTGCCTTGTGTTTATCGTCGGGCGTGCACGGAGCGTTCACGCGGCAACAGATGAATCAACCAATTTGGGGCCTACCGAAAGCTATTACCTAGTTACCCCAATTTCCTAACGATGTTAATTGAAAGAGTCGTCTGTTCAAGACAGTCGACATTCGCCCGTAGCTGTCACAACAGTGTTTACGAATGGCCAAAGCGTTGCTGTAGAGTAGCAAGAGATGTTGGCCACCGAAAACGGTGAGCCTACCGAGGGCTTTGCATCAGCGTCCTCTTTCTTGAGACCAGATCTAGCAGCGCGTGGAGACGGAGGGACTGATGGATGTGTTATTCGCGCTTTCTGAGCGATTATGCCGGATGCGATTGCTCTTTCCAAGAGTTTTGCTTGTAAAGCCTGAGGCCTTAACGCATGTTTGCCTTGACCGGCCGGGACAGCGAGGCCTGCTTTATTGGCAGCTGAAATAAACAGTCGTCTGGTTTTTGGAGAGTTCTTCCTAGCTTGGCTAGATAGCAATGATGTGCGTTGGGGTTGAAGAGGTGCGATCGACAACTTTCGCTTCGGACCAGACGCTGCCTGTGCTGGCCGTTCGTTATATCTGCGTAGTGATGCTGCCAACATTCGGTATGTATGCCCGTCCCCATAATCGACTTGGTCTTTGGTATTGTGGCTAGCTGTTCTCGGTCTCCGATCATCTCGGATGATAAGAGTCTCCATTCTTCAGCGTGGGTTGCGTCTGGGCGCAAACCGCAGCTGCAAAGGGTCAAACAAAGACGATAGATTCTTGAAGAAGTTTCATTAGGGTTTGGTTCAATAGACGTAGTTAAGAGACAGTATGCGCGCGGCAAAAGAGTCATACTGCGTCTAATTTATACTGACGCATTCCGTGGAGTCAAGTGCTGCATTCCTGGGCAAAGTGATCTTCGAGAGGTCAAAACAAGCTTTCCCCTGTTGATTATAACTAATGATACGCGCATATACGACGTGGAATGCTGACAGATGATGGATAGACGCGCTTGGGTGTTTGGATAGACGCTGGACTGTAGTGACGACGTATAGCAGCCGAGACTTGTTTATCATCCATCAACGAAGTAGTTATCTATTCAATCGCAGCGATCTGAAGCCTGCTTGTTGCAAAGGACATTCGAAGGCGTTATTTCATTCTGCGAAGGACCCATGAAGTTTGCGACGCGCAAAGCCGAAAGAGTCCTTTTCTTTGGATTCAATGAGCCTGATTTCTCACCTGTTAATAGCTGCGACCAGGTACTAGTCACCTTGCGCTGGAATTTTGGCAATGGCGATACACGATGGTGTTGCTGAGCGTAATGGTGAGCATTTCATTGGCCACCAACCTACCAACCAATCCTCATTCATCTTGTGGGCCTCACGATCAACACCGTCTTCAGATTTCGCCCTTCAGAGCTGTGAAAACAATTAGTGTGAAATTATCAAGATCTCGCCAAGTGCGGAACGCCCTATCCGAGCCATGTCTGGGCAGTCTCGGCGCCGTCATGGCGGCCGTTGACCTTCCTAATCCTTCCAGAAGCTCTCCTCGGGCGAATGCTAGCTTCGTGTAGAACAACAAGTCTTATCGACAATTGATGGCATAAAGGTACGTCGACGGACAAGTCTTTGCGCCTCGAATGCTGTTCACAAAATGCAGTTTCTAACCTCACTCTTCGTGTCCCTGGCGCTGTTCGGTGCGACCGGGACGGCGACAAACTTCACCGGCGATGTTGTCAATGGAGTTCCGGTCATATCGTATCTGAATTTGTCTGATGTGCCTACGCGGAGCGTCTCGAGGTACTACTTGAGGGTGGGAGAGCTCAGTGGTGGACTGCCTGTCCATATTCCGGTCTTTGTAGCGCGAGGTACGCCAGAGAGTCTCGAGAGCGGGAAGAAGTTGTCCTTGTCCGCGGCGATACATGGCGACGAACTCAATGGTGTACGTGTGGTCCAGCGCATTTTCGCGCAGCTTGAGGGACAAGTAGAAAGTCTCAATGGCACAGGTATGGTCCACTGGTACAAGAAACTTGTGAGAGAATGCATCTGACTGTTTCAAGTAATCGGAATACCCACCGTAAATCCAATGGGCATCTACCTAAACCAAAGAAACTACTTTACATCCCATAATAGTGGATGGCTGACCAATATCAACCGCGTCTTTCCTGGTACCGCTGCGGTAGACGGTGGCAGTCTCCCGGAGCTCCTGGCATACAACATCTGGAACAACGTATGGGCGAACAAATCCCAGGTAGACGTTGGAATAGACCTGCGTAAGTCAAAATCAAGAACTCGTGCGGGATTCGCTAACCACGGTGCAGACACCCCTAGTAGCGGCGCCGAGACCTCTCTCTGGTGCTACGCCGACTTCCGACTCCCATATGTTGAGCGCTTAGCGAAGCTGTTGCAGCCAGATACCTTGAAAATCGATCCAGGAGAGCCAGGAAGTATTGAGACGACGTTCGTGAGCAACTCGATTCCTTCAATCACCGTGGAGATGGGACTTGCAAAAGTATGGAACGCTTCGTTGATTGACAGAGTGTACGACTTTGTGAACCGCGTCCTGGACGATCTGGACATCGTCCCTTCCAACTCCACGCAGGCGTACTCACCGGATCTGAGTAAGACGTACATCGCGACTACGTTCCATGACTCCGTATCGACTTATGGCGGTTTTGTCGAGCAACTGGTCACCGTTGACGAGCCGGTCACCAAGGGTCAGCCCATTGCCAATATCAGGAATGCATTCGGGGACATTCTAGAGACTATATATTCGCCGGAGACTGGCAAGATGTTTCAGTCACCGCAAGACCCGAGCATCGAGCCCGGGGCCAGCGTTGGGCAGATTGCGTATAATTCGACAGACCCGGAATGTGCGGATGGTTGCATACTTTAGAATCCAGATAGGACATATCATATGGAGTCGGCCATTACTTCTCTCAACCTTACGACGACAATTTCTGTCCTAGAACTTCATTGAGAGATGGCAAGTGCAAGATCTGAGCATATTTCAGAGATAACGAATCGATACTAGACCTGAGGAACCCCCGTCTGCTTGTGTGCCCTCAGGTACTTGCAGGGAAAAAGGTATGTAGTGTCTATGCAGTAAGTACACGTGCCTCAACGCCCAAACGGCGTTGCCTGTGTGTTCCTACCTCGTACTGAGCGTATACCTAAAGGAAACTGCAGCTCGTATTGCCCCAGATTTCTGCACATCCACTACACCTCAACATTCTTAGACCCTTGGCAATACCTCTTCGCTCCAAATTCGGGATACAAGTGAGAAGACTGCGCGTTTTCCTTCCAACTTGCGTGCGCGCATCTCCGCACCGATCAAGCTAGGAGCATTCCTGTGCGATAAACGATGTCGCCATTCGCACTGAAACATCCGCGGGCTAAGGCCAGCACTGGTTACACACAGCCTTGTCTTAACCGAGACGCACGCGGCTCTGTGTGCGACCGAATCTATTCGCGTGAAGCTCTCTTCTATTCCCATATTGAGTCATTCTTGGCCCGAGTTCTTTCGCACGAATGGAGTGGTGAATTCTGTACGTCGGCAGATCTTTGAGGCATGAATTCTTAGCGAGATGTAGGATACATATGGGGAAGACGGAGAGGAACAAGCGTAGGAGGATAGCGTCCGTAGCGTGCACTAGCACGTCCGGTCCGCATGTACTGTGCTCTAGCCTGCCGGCATGCAACGTTTTGCTCATGGACGAGTGTTGTCCGGCCGACTCCAACACGCGACACAGCATCTCGAAACACCGCGGCAGAGTGACATTGTTATCGTGCCCAGTCGGCGCGGCGGGATTTCGCCGGTGAGGCCAGGTCAACGATACTGACACGCAGACCCACCCCCGCCTAAATTGCCCTCCACCACGACTAGCAACCCTGTCAGACCAGGTCCTCGGGAGCACCCGCCCTAGCCCATATATCTTGGCCTGCAGTGATCGGTGAGTATAAAGGAGGGCGGCCGCCATTGCCATGCTTTCCACTGGACGCAGTCACTGCCGGTGACGCAAACCCACAGCAAGGAAGGAACCGGAAAGTTTCAGAGCATCGGGCTGCGGCACACAAAGCAAGGAAGAACGAGAAAGAAATAACGGCGCGAAACGCGCGAGGTGGCGTAGGCAGGTCCGCCGTTGCCATGTAACGTGGAGTTAAGAAGGCTTGGTCCGCGGCTGGGCTCTGGATGCGGCCAGACGTGGAGTCGAAGGATGCCGAGTACCTATGCACGATGCAAAATCTTCAAACGACGTACCACGGGCACAGTGCTCTTCGAGTACCTGCACACTTCGCCGGCTTACACGCATGGCGCCTGAAGCCGCATCCGAGCCCTGCAAATGGTCTGATCAACTGTCCAGTATCAGCCCTGCCGTCGAATCGCGGGCACACCTGCATTCGTAATTCCTACGACACATACCCCCCTCGGTCCAATCTGGGAGCAAGTACACAGAAACCCATTTTTCCCGTCTGGCTACCCCGCTTGGACCACCTGCTATCAGGCTATGTAGCCTCCAGCCCAACACATGTGGTTGCGGCCTTACTACTATTTCCGAACTCGTTTGCACCTGTTAGCTATTTTCGTAGTCTGCAGGCGTACATTGCAACGCAGCGCACTGGCAGAGGGTTCAAAGCGGCAGTGTTCCGGCTCTTCAGGTCCAAGTCCCGAACCAGGAAAAGCACAGCGTCGATGCGGTCGCCGTGCATGATCTGGACCTTTGTCTAGGCATCGAGCGACGATCGCTGATCGCGGTACATCTCCAGACGGGGATCCCTGCACGCGTAAGGTATGCTGCCAGATTTTTGATCCTTCGAGAGCGGTTCGGGCGGGACGCTGCGACTGGCTTACTGCGGCCCGTCATCGGTGAGAGGTTTCCCTACGTAAAGTGACGTGCAACTGCTAGCCACCAGGACGGAGGACAGGGGCCTGTTTCTTGTCCGCTTGACATCGTACTTGACTTCGTTTTCCGGAATGGGCACCCGTTGCATCTGATAAAGATCACTACAGCATGCAAGCGAGTTGAGTGTGGCAGGCGCAATTGAGAGCCTCTCGAAAGCGGCATGCCAGGACTTTGACTTGAAAATCATAACGATCCAATAAGCCGTAGTCACGATCCCACTAACAACCATGCTGAGTAGCTGTGCATTGCTGGACAGCATGATGAGCATAGGGCAGAATCACCGGTGGCTACAAGCACGCGCAAGCAGGAGGCAAAACCATCGCGAATGATCAGGGGCGATGTCAAGCACATGCAAGGAATTATGTGAGGAGCGATAGTAAATCACACGCAAGCTGGTACGGAAAGGGAAGGCAGGCTGATACCCAGATTGTGATGGCAATACCGTGTCTTGAAGAGCACCGTGCCGAACGGGACGTAATGGAAGTCTGCCCAATCGACGTCCATCGGCCGGGCAGCGCGAATCTTCGGCTTGCCGAACGAACGGACCGGATGCTGCCCCATGAACGGTGGCGCAATGTCGGTGTGAAATGGGAGCGTCCATGTCATCCTCACCCTTGAGTAGGTCCGAATGATCTGCAAACACATGTGCATTGTCCGTCCATCTGGGAGAGTCGCGCGGCAGTCGCGGGCGAGACCAAAGTCACAATAAGGCATGTTACACAGCGCCGGCTGACTTGCAGATCCGAACGAGAATCCGAGACCATGTAGACTGGGTCGCCGTGCTGGAGGGCTGGGAGGAGATGATCGACTTGATGGCAACTCAGCACTGAACCATCCGCGATGCGCGAAGTCAGTCTCAAATTGCACCCTCGTGCAACACAATTATGTTGAAATATCCAAATTTGACAGGAGCTGATAAATTCGCCTTTCTAACCTGCACAATAACCCAAAGGCGCCTAGACTCCTTTGGTCCATGTCCAAAAAGCCGCTGGATAGGCGCAAACAGTATGGAGAACGCTCCATAGGTACTCCAGTCTGCAAGCCCAAGGATATCCGCGGGCGGAAGAAGGGAGCTAATCAAAGGAAGACTTTTGGTAAAGGAGGTCCCATGCGTACCCAATGACGCTTCTGCGCTTGGGATGCTCTGGTAATCATGATGCGAGCGAATGTGGTGATGTTTCCGGGCACTGTTAATTCGCAGTCATTCTGATTTTGAGTCAACCCAAACATGGTGTTCGGTCGGATGGCCCGGAATGTTTTCGCGCAACTCAGGTGGAAGACTGCTATGAGGCCGTGCTGCCATTGACGGCTTTGAGTTCGACGTCACTATACAGGATTAGCATGTTCACTACCAGAGGAACCCTTGCTCTTTGTGAAAAGTTGGTCAGGGGGCGCCGTGCAGTATGCAAAGATTTCAAACTGGGCAGGTCCTTGCGTGAGTCCTGGGGCTTTTTGGCCCAAAACTTGGAACTCAAAGGCAAGGAAAGAAGAGATAGGTGCGGGCTGGACTTACAAGACGAGTATAGCGTTTGGAGGAATGTGTCCCGGGAAGCCACTAAGGCGTAAGGTCAGTAACTATTATGAGGTCATTGAGCGCGAGTTCGGGCTGCATTGCAGGCAGTTGTGCGAGAACCGGTGGGTAATCGAGTACGTGAGGTCACAGCGTAGAGGCTCAGGATACCCAGCGGCCGTTGCGCGGCGCTTGGTCTGGTGCCGAATACGGTGAGGATCTTGATCCTACGACCAGTACACATGTCGAATTTGAGTATGCATCCCGCAAGACCATTCTTGGACGTGGTCCAGGAAGATCTCGAATGCGCAATGGGTTCGTGTTGGTAACTTACCGATCGCCGTAGCCGTAGTCACTGTTTTGAGAATGCGTCAGTGAATAGTGCATTGTTTTCGAGGTGCATTACGTACGGTGTAATAGTTAGGGTCGCCTTCTCGCCCAGTGACATGGGCGCAGACTCGTGGGAGCCCAATATCCCTTCATCCCAACCTAAGTGATGTATGAGCTCAGATTCGAGTTCGTATCAAGAAGACACCTTGAGTGGAAATGGAAGCGTAAATACGCACCCCGAATTACACGGCCAACACCGATCTCTGTGACCAGGTTCCCACGGCCTACCGACGAGTCGAACCTAGCATAATCAGCCCAGCTCCAGGTATGCAACTCCTCAGAAGCGTTGGTAGTGCTCACTTTTTGCCCTTCTTGTCGTCTTTGCTCTCGTCGTAGAGCCAGCCTGTATGGTACGTGAGATCTCGGCCAACGGATGGTAGATGCCCTGCTACCTGTGTACTCCATTGCAACTTCGTCGTGCTTCTTGGGGAAGGTGGCCCCATCACCTGCCTTAATTATTTGCTTCTCGACACCCATACTAGCTGTTGAGAGGGATACACAAGCGAGAGTGATCAGGAGGAAGATGTTGAAAGGACGCGGCTAGGTATTCGTTGGTAGGGAAAATTTTACGAGTTCCACGAGCGTATACAGAGGAGACGATAGTGGAGAACAGGAGGAAATGTAAGAAGATCAAGTACAGTGGGTCGGGAGGTAGGGTTCTGGCTTTTAAAACGAGGGTGCGTTAAGTCTTAGTTAGGAGGCTCTGCAGACGTATAGGTTCAGGCTCGGCTCCCACGCGACCAAGAAAGCAAAGGCCGTGGGACAGATTGGCCTGACGGCTGCATTAAGCACTTTAGCCCCTCGCATAGGCGACGGTAGGCCTCCAGGGTTGCTATAACCATGTCGACCAGCACCCGCCTTTTCCTCCTAGGGCCCGTCCGTCTGTTCGGGGCATGCAACCCGGAGCCCACGCCGTTTGAGTGCCAGGGCAGAGCCGAGTCTGGCCCTAGGATCCCAGTTGCAATTCGTATACCCCGGCAGCGCGGTATGCGAGGCCTGTCTGCAAGATTCTGTGTTCTAGCGGTTGTTTAACAAACTGTAAAATCTTGCCACGCGCTTCTCGGCCACTTGCAGCCGGACGGCATGCCACATACGCATCTTGCGCCCCAACCGCGCTGACCTCGCCGCTTGAGGACTTCACAAGGTTGTTCTCTCGCTGCGCTACGTCGTGCGTAGCTAAGCCAGGTGGGGTGCGGGTGCGTGTGCGCCAAGAGTAGCCGGGGGCCAACCAACACGCTTCCTTTCACTGAAGGTCGTCCTCTTCCGTGTCAGCGGTCACACGTTGACAGGAGTGTACTGAATCTGTGCGTCCGTTGTGGCTGCACACTATCGGAAGCCGCTGTATAACTCTCGTCCCGCAGTAAGCTGGTGTCCTTGCATAGAACTTATGTCGAACGTCGAGCGCATTTGTCGATTCCAAGTGAATTGAGTAGAAAAAGCAGTCATGATGCTTGGGCTCTCAAGACACCGAGTTGTCTGCAAGGCTTACAACGATCTCAACCCACGACCGGATCTGCTGTATCGCCGAACCCAATCGCTAGACCCAGGCACAGTCCGCGTGTCGGCTCGTCTTAGCTTGTACCAAAGTTGTGCTCGCAAACTCCTCCGAGGTATTTCAGCTGACCTCGTCTACGCCAGCCTGCCGTCTCCCCGGTGTAAGCTACCTCTCGAACACCTGACGTTGGCGCAGAGTGACCGCGAAAAGCGCGACGCTCAAGGACCATCGCTAGCTTCCCCGGTAGTGGCAAGCGGACCCCATCTCAAACGTCTTCGCCAATGAGCCTCGAGCGGAACATGTCCCCTGCTTCCGCTGCACCCCGAAAACGGTCCTGAACAGTTCCCAAACTGGTCGTCGCCTGCCAAGAGCTCGCGGTAAACGCTGCAACAGAATAATAAAAAAGGCGGGCTCTCTCACTCACGTAATCTCAATGGATGGGTCGTCGCATCGATTGGCGTTCGAGACACCGACCTCGCAGCCCGCTCCCAGAGAAAGCAATTAGGGGCGACATTATCAAGATCGACGCCTCCTCGCTCCTGACTCGACCTGCCAGCCTTTGCACGTGGGCTGGCGTCGCTTTGCGCAGCTGGTGGCCCTCTCAAGGCGATCGTGAGCCCATGTATGCGTTGTCTGGGAACCCAGACCCTTGGTTTGGGCCGATTCTCGCTCTGAGATTGGCCAGGATTATGCGCTTGCAGCGGTTGGAATAGGCTGCCAATGATGGCAATGGCTGGCCATCCCACGTCGCAAGGGAGCTGACGAGGCTCAACAAGTGCATAGTGACGCTGTGTGATGGCACCTTCAATCAAAAAGGCAATTCGAGGCATGGGGGCACGATAATGCGGTGTGCTGCGCGAAAAGCATGTGGAACTTGAAGGATTTCTTCGCCTAACGGAGTCGGGGTCGGAGTTTTTATGACGGCAGAGACTGAACAAGGTATCTTCTTCCTTCGGCTAGTTCTAGATGCGCTGCCTCGAAAATCTCTACTGCGTATAACACTTTTGTGTCGGAACTTCACCGCGCCGTTGTCCAAAAAGGCAGTTGAAGAAGGTTGTCCACGGTGATGCTCGAGAATCCTGCAGAAAACCGACTGTCGTTGGGCGCAGCCTCCTTATCAACATAGAAAATCTCGCTGATACCGACCTTCTGTATATACTGCAATAAGCGAGGATAGTTGGTAGCGACTTGATCAATGCCGTGGCTGTCATCGCTCATGACGAATCGACCGCCCATGCGAAGGAAGGCCTACACGATAAGCGTCAGAATAGCTAGGTTGGATGGGGCGGTGTGACGTACCAGGCACACAGGCGAACAAGGGTAAGGTTCAGCAAGACCTTTGCGGAGGCCTGCCGAATTCAGCTCTAGAGCTCCATCGTAGGAGGCGATGTATTCCAGGTTGCGCTGCATCCGTTTCCAGACACCATCCATGCCCTTGAAGTCGGCGTCTCGGTGATCACTGAGCAGCCTGATCAGGTCGAAATGTCCGACCACAGGCGGCTTGAGGGCCTGGAGCATTTCGTACTGTTCGTCAAAATAATCCTCAAAAAGCTGCTCGTCGGTTCCACCCGCTGCATCTCGAGCTTTCTCGTATGTAGCTCGATCAAAATCAATAGGAATTGTGTGGCAATGGTGTATTGATCCCATGAAAAAATCGAAGGTATATCTTTCCATGATACCTTGTATTATTTGGTGCGTTGATGGACGGATCCATTCGGACTCAAAGCCTATCAGAAGCTTGATTTGGGACGCATATGCCTCTCTCGCGAGCTCTGCTTCAACTAGGTAGTCATCGAAAAGCTTCGCAAGCGACTCAGCCGTATGGCTGTCGGCCTGGATCGATCAGTACCGTCTTAGATTCTTACCCTCGGTTCCTACCATTTACCTACCTCTTCAGGGTAAAAGTCCTCAATTGGTCGAGGTATATGTTCGGTCAAGGCGAATGTATGGAAACCCTTCGCTATTGCGTCTTGAACGACTTCCAAGAGGGTATTCTTCGCGTGCCCACAGAACTGCCCCGAATGGCTGTGGTGTGAATACGGCATCTTGAGGCGTTGGCGGTAGTTGCGTTCAGCCGACGCGGTAAAGTAAATATATGGATTTCGACTCGGAATCAATGTTTGCGGGAGACCCGAAGATAGGTTGGATGATTTCGGTACCAGTAAAGCTTGTCGTTGCTGCACGTGTTCTCTCCTAGAGGTGGCATGCGCGAGAGGGAGATAGCGAAGCAGGCTCTCAAACAGTAAGGATATGGTATCTAATTAGAGGGAATAACCTATAGGATGTAGGCCATCGACTGCTGCTGGACGAATCCGGGGCTTACAGTGTACTTAGATGTGGCATTTTCATTCCGAGCCCCGCGTATTCCGAGCTAGCTTCCGAATGACGGCAGGTGCGGGGCATCGTCCAGGCACATCCAGGCACACTTAGGCACCGAGGTGCTATCCAGGGTAACCTTCCGACTGCTCTCAACGCGAATCGCACAACAGAACGCGTCAGAGGAATCTCACGAAGAGCGATGTTCTTGTGAACCATCAATGTGTCCGAAGTCTTGTTCCCACCTTGCCTATCTTTTATTTGCTCTCGGTCACAAACTCCTAGAACTTAACTTGCAACTAAGTTGAGCATCTTATATGCGCAAATCTCCCGATTAAATACGGAATTTAAGGAACAAAGAAATCATCGGACGCCCACTCCCTGTCCTGGAAAACACTTGTGCTGCACGCAGATCGAGAATTACATCCTAGGAACATCGAAATGCATAGGGACAAAACAGGACCATCTCACCGCACACTCTAACGACGTGGATCGTATTATATCGCTAGCCACTCTATTAAATCATACGAATCTTCAGATCCGCGACCATACCTTCCATCCATGATGCCTCCCAGAACCGCGCCTCAGAAAACACTCGCAGAGCCGACCCTATATTTCGCCTTCGGCTCCAACCTCTGGCTCTCCCAAATGCGCACCCGCTGCCCCTCCTCCGCCTACCTCGGCGTCGCGCGCCTGCACGGCTACACCTGGATAATCAACGAGCGCGGCTACGCCAATGTCGTCGAATCCAAAGCAAGACCAATAGCAAACACAAAACCAGACCACGTCTACGGCCTCGTCTTCAGGCTAGACGCAAACGACGAAGCGAAGCTAGACAAGAACGAAGGCGTCCCCATCGCGTACACGAAGGAATGCCTGTCCGTTGACTTCTGGGCCGCGCGTGGGCCCAACGATAGCGTCGACACAACACGCCCTCCCACTGAAGTAGGGCAGGATATGCTGGTCTATATTGACCGGCGCCGCGTCACCCCATCCACGCCCAAGGACGAATACGTCTACCGTATCAACCGCGGGGTGGAAGATGCGGTTCGGTTGGGTGTGCCGAACGCCTACATAGAGGGTACGGTGAGGCGGTTTGTTCCCGCCGAGGAAGAGGGAAATAAGGGGAGGAAGAGTGTAGAGGAGGTAGCGAAGAAACAGGCAGCGGGATTTGTAGATAAAGCGTTAGGTGTGGATGGGGAGAGTTGAGGGAAGAGGGATGGAGGTGGAGTAAACGCCGTCACTTGTCATAACGCAACAGAACGAGGTGCAATATCGGGCAGAACGAGGGCAGTACATGAGCGACCAAAGTGAATGCGTTTTCAAACTAACACGCAGGAATAACAGTCTCCCTCGCTCTTGCGAACAAGACTCAAGGAAACGCGTCTGTCTTACACAACCAACGCGGTGGCACCATATCGAATGGCTAGGCCAGCCCAGGCTCCTTCTCACTCAGTCCTGTCAATCACACCGCGCCTGCTCCATCTAAGCACCCTCTCTTGCCTTCCGGTAGCTAGCCTACGCGCTTGTAATCAGTGGAAAGTACGCTGCGTCTGCTTTACAAGAATTGGACTGCAACATCGGGGCACACCAAGGGAATATATAAGATAGACTATTGGGTAGGGGTAGATGGTCACGACGACAGATCAAGGCAGGGGTCTTCTAGAAACCAGAGGAGTCATGGCGACGCACCTCTTGCTCGACCTGCAGCTGGTCCACGACGGGTGCCAGCTCGGAGAGGATCTCGTACGCGCGCTTGTGGTACTCGAGCTGCGCGGCGATGAGGTCCGCGAGGTTGCGGAGCGGCTCGGGGGTGTCGAGGACCTGAAGTGATCAGAAGTATTAGCTACTGTGCGTGCGCGTGACCACGGGTATGTAGACATATACTCACGTTCTTCATGACGCCGACAGCCTCCTCGGTCTGGCCGACGAACTCGTCCTCGGCCTGCTCAATCTTGGCGCGCTGCTCCTCGGTGAGGTCCTCGTCGTTGAGGGTGTGCTGCTGCGCCTTCTGGCCAGGCAGCGAGAAGGCGCCGCCCTTGACGTTCGCCTTGGTTGCGTCGAGGCTGAGCCGCGAGTTCTCCACCGCCTTGCGCGCGCGCGTCGCAAACATGATGTTGGTGTTGAGCGTCGTGCTCCAGCCCGCGAGAAACTTGCTCTGAATCTGGGCGTCCTGCGCCAGCCGGGCCTCACCGACCTTCTCGCTGGCAATGGCAAACTTCTCGAGCGCCGTGGCGAGCGGGTCCTCGCCAGCGCCCGAGTGCTCTCCCTGCAGCGTGTGCGAACTGTTGATGGCGGCGCGAGCGACGGCGTGGCTGAAGGTCTTGGGCTGCGGCTTTGCGGAGGGGGGTGCGGTGAGGGCAGCCTGGGCTTCGGCGGGGGAGGTGGCGGCGGAGAGAAGCTGAACTTTCTCGCCGACGGTCCGGCCAAGGTCGTTGAAAGACTCGCGAATGTTGGTTGGGTAGTCATAGGCTTCGTTGGAGTACTGGGAGCTGTAAAAGGAGCGTCAGATGTGCTCTGGCAACCGCGGACAGGACAGGAGTTGCGGAGCTCTCGTACGTGACCTGGAGCATAGTGTTGTGCACCTTCTTCAGCGCATCTACGCGCTTCTCGAGCTCGATGTAGTCCGGGGGGAGCTGCGTCTGTCGCACGCTGTGTTAGCATGTTTATTGGCCTCCATGGGCGGAGGCATCCAGATGCTCGCGCAGACTCGCGCAAAGCTTCCAGGCAGTCGTACCTTGTCTACATCCTGACCAAGAGTCTCCTTGACCAACTGCTGCGTCCTCGCCGCAAAAGGCGTGAACGAAGCACTACAGACGCCATGTCAGCACATTGGGAGCCACGCAATCTGCGCCTGGAGCCCACGAGATCAGCGAGCGCTGGGTCCACGTACGAGATGTTCTTTCCGAAAGCGCCGAGTTTCTGGAAATTCTCCATGTTGGCGGTATATGCTAGTCAAATTGCAGTTTGGGGGTTTGCTTTCGAGGCGTGGAGCTCTCCAGTGCTCTTTCATGTGCACGCGGGATGGGGTCCGTGCGGACCCTGACGCTAGCCCTCATTGAGCACCCACAACTCCGTCGCTCTCTCCGTTACGACAAGTACGACTGCGACTCGGTGGACAGGACTGACATTCGCTGTGTTCAGGAACATACAAAGAATGGACCTTTTAGCATGTTCAGGACAGAAGAACATTCTAGAATTAAAGTAGATCCATTCCACTATTGACATTATACTACACTACCCTTATACCTCGTCCATATTTCACTCATCACAATTCCAACACTTCTCCTCCCAACTCAGCCACATTTAATTACAAGTCATACCTCATACCTTCCCTCTCAACCCCACACCAATCCCACCTCCCTGGACGCCTTGCGAAACACCTTGACATCATCCTCCAAGCCACTATCTCTGCTACAGTGCCATAGTGTAACTCTCCTCACCGATGATGCAGGTGACACTGTGGAGGCCATAGCCTTGGCTCAGACTTCCTTGGAAAGACGGAGGAGAACGCAGTGGGCGAAACATTAGGACTACCCTCCCACCACCAGGAAATAATCGAAGACACAAGCGAGCGGGAGAAGGACAAACGATGGGCATGCAGATGCATAAGTGTGTCAATTAGATAGACTGGTGTAACAGGTATGGTACAAGAAGCGAAACGAAGAGGAGAATGAGGACGGCGAGACGAGTGTGCTAAACGAAACGCCCACCGTGGTGTGCCGTGCCGTGCAAGTCATCCCCTACCATACCATACCAATGCAAAGGGTATCTCAACGCGCGTAGTCCCATTCCGTCCCACACTCACAGGCGAGCCAAGCCCGGGCCATCCTAGAGCCCACAGCACCCTCCAATCTACCGTGCTTTTGAGTTTGAGCAAGAGCAACAGGTACATGGTGTGATTTCCGCACCCGCCTCATTGCCTGCGCCGCAGCATCGCACACAGCAGCAGCGCGGAACCATCACCTCGCGCCCGCATTTAGCCCGACGTTGAAACAAGCAGCAGCGGGGCCCTCATACGGGCACCGGCAGGCCGCATGCCGTGGCACACAGCGCGACAGCCCTTCGCCAACTCCTGCCCCACGCCCTGCACTTCGTCGTACAGGCTGCCAACTGTACGTACCCACAACGCAAGCCACGCTGTATCCCGTCATCCAGGGTGCCACGAAACATCCGACGTGAAACGCGGCGCACGTCGTGCAATAGACAGTTTAGCTTTCGTCTGTATGCACGCAGCCGCGATCTGCCGTCTCGTCTTCTTGCCAGATGTGACGACACACCGCAGGCTGCGCCCACGACAAGCATTCTTCAGCCCCGATCGCTCACGAGAATTGCCCCGATGAGTGCGCCTCCTTGCCGCTGAACTTGGAATCGTAACCGTACTCGTACTCCGGCGGACTCCCCGTGTAGTAAAGCATGTCGTCTGTATTGGTGCTCACAGAGCCCAGACCGACCGTCTCTTCTGTGGCGTTGCTGGAGTTGTCGTCCGGCGGCGAATCTGAGATGGTCAGGGTGCCGAAGATGCCACGCATTTCGCGCAGGTTCTCCGAAACTTCATCCTTGGGGGCAGTGGTACGCTCTTGGATGAAATCCTTAATGGAGCGGATAATTGGGGGACAGCCTTCGTCGTTAGGGAGCCACCAGTCTGAGGGAGGGAGACCCCAGCTACCGAGGAAGCGATTGCGGAGGACGTCCGAGTAGATGTAGCTGTGTCGTGTTAGCAAATGAAGAACGGTCGTGGCATGCGATTCACGGCAAGGCTCAACTTACCCTGCGCTTTCCACCTTGGCCAGTGTCTTACGACACCACGTTACCGTCTTGGGATCTTTGGGAAGAAACAACGTCGCAATTGCAAAGGAAGCTTGCGCTTCGATGATCGAACCGGGGGGCGCCTCAGGGTAGTTGCGGATAGCTTCAAAGAGTTGAGCAGAACGCAAAGCACGTTTGTGGATCTCCGGGTCGAACGGTTTTTGCAGGGCCATTGCGCTCGACAAATTGAACATGAAGATGATTCCCCACATGTCGAGCTTCAAGTAATTTGTCGTCCAGCGGCTCCCCCTAAAGAGCAGATCAGGCTCAAAGGCATTGACGACGCTATCGTGGTCCGGGTTTCCAGAGAGTGAGTGGACTTTGTGGTTGGGATCTAGCAGCATGGGATCGATGTTGGTTTCGAGCGCATGCACTTTCTTCCCGAGTTTCGGCAACTCCTCCATAAAGTCTGCGTCACTAATCATTCCCCTCCCCTTCTTGAAGAAGAAGTCGCTTGAGTCCTTGGCAACCAGTCGTGAGTAGGCGAAGCGTTCGTCGTATCGTAGACCCAGATTGTCGGGATGCGCTGCGGATTCCTTCTGGAAATGCTCGTGTACTGCGACGTACCAATCCCGGCTGAGGATAGCTTCTCCTCCAGATTGGAGTCCGACGAACAAATCGAATCGGCTGTACCACAGTATAACCTTCAGCAAAAACGGGGAATCTGTAATAGTCTTGGGAGTGTAGAGCTGCGTCAACATCTGATTAGCAGCCTTTTGATGGCCCATGAGATTCACCCAATCGCCCAGCATCTCCTGAACGAAACGTTAGCTGGAGCTGAACAATGCACAGGTCTGCTCCTACCTCGATAGCTGCAAGCTGCAGGATGGTAAGTAAAGTAGATAGCCCCTGCTTCTTGGCCTTCATCATATTCGCGCGTAGACGTGATATCGACTCGTCGTAGTACTGCAGAAAGGTATGCATGCGTGCATTCGGCTGGGTCAGAGTGTGAAAGTAGGCGGCGTATCCTACAATCGCAAACAACAGCGGCGGGTACCTCATGGCGTGGTCTAGATAGTCGGTCTTGAAGAACTTCGAGGTGTCGTGCTTTAGCGAGTAGTGGTGTGCAGACATGTGGTTCTTAAAATAATCCAGGTAGAACTGTATGTCTTTTCTCTGTGAGGGCTTGACGGTCGCGCCGGAGTTTTTCGTTGGATGACTCATTTTTCGGTTTATTGGTGGTCGCGAAGATAAGCTGGGAGTTTTCAAGGAGGGTTCTGTTGAAGGCGAGGGGCTCCGATCCAGTGTTAACCCGGGCGTGTTGGATGCTTCCCGTGCCCCTTGGCCCTTTTCTTCAACCTCCATGTCGTCTTCCTCATATTCGTCTTCGTCATCGTCAGCAATGGGCGGTAACCGTTCCTTTGCATCATCGTTGTGGTCTTCCGGGGATGAGCCTTCACCAGATTCCGCGGAAGATGATTTTCCTGACTTGGACCCGCTTCTGCCGGTCTTCTGAGTAGACTGAGCTTCTGGGTAGATGCACTCGCGGTTGCCCTTGCGACATCCTGAGATCAAAGTAAGTGCTCTGCGAAGAGAGATGGGACGGTGCAGTAACACTTACTTTCGCAAACCGGGTGCGCTTCATCACACTGCAAGAGGTCAGTATCTATGACCTTCGAATATCTGAAGCACTGCTACCAACCTTGACTCGACGCTGACGACACGTAAAGCAGCCGCTCCGGGTTCTTCGATGCTTTACATGTTCTCCTGGCCCAGGGCGCCGCCTTGCGCGAGCATTCGCGTCTTGAGATGGATCCATGCCGCCGGGTCCATCTTGATAATGGCCCATGTAGGGTTGCTGCATGTGCGTTTCGACGTAAGGCGGGAAGGGTCCAGGCATAGCGTGGTACACCGGGCTCTCGGGCAAGCCGTGAGCATACGGGTTATCAGGCGCCATCATAGGCGGGACATTTTGCAGATTGGAATTCGGGAGGCCATTGGGATTGAGACTGTAATACTGCGGTGGGATGTTCGCGTTGGGCGGGTAATATCCAGACATTGTGGCACTGTCTGAGAGGGAACGGCGCAGCAGCAATGCAGAACAAATGCAGACGAGCGTGGTAGATGGTGACTAGATAGTTTGAGAAGCGCGATCAACGTCATCCGTGCCCCGGGAGGTCCAAGGATCGAGCAGGGATCTGGGGACGATCGCAAGCGCTTCTGAGAGGGTCCGGCACACGGGCGTCAGGCACGGGTGGTAGCTTGATAAGGCGGGTTTGTTAGGTGGCCCGACTGCCAGAGCGAGGCCGTATTTGAAGACGACAAAGTGTACGGGGTGGATGATGGGGCCTGGGCTTGGGCCCTTGCTAGCCCGACGAGCGAGACCCCCGTCGGCTCTTAAAGCAGACCTCCAAGCGTCTCGATGCTCACCTCGCAGCAAGGTGGACTTGCGGCGCAACACAGGCGCGGCCGTGGGAGGCAGGTGGAGAGGCAGTCTGAAACGGAATGGTGGTGCTCCCAACGGCGGCGGGACACAGCAGCGATGCTTGGTGGTGCGTGAGGAGGGAGCGTGTGCCTGTGACGAGAAGCCATGTACGGAGCTACCTCACGAATGCAATGCCTGGGTGGCAGGCAAGATGGCCTGGGGGTGGGCTAGGGCTGCAGTAGGCAATGGGTGGATGCGGCCTCAGAGCACAGGCAGCGTGGACCTCAGACAGGCGCGGGGTGGAGGACGACCCTGGCTCCACCATGCAAAGAGCGAACAAAGCGTGCCTTGGGCGTCGGTCAGTGCTTTTCGGGGCGTCGTCGAGCAGTGCTTGATTCGAGCCGGACGATTCCGCGTTCCGCTCGCAGGCAGAGCTAGCGCAGGCGTCGACACGGGCGGCGCTATAGCACAGTTGTTAAGACTTCACGGGAGCGCTGCGTCTGGGGAGCATGGAGCAGGGCAAGGCACGCCGCGAGGGCCCGTCTGGGAGCAGGCCTCGCGCCAGCCGTGGGAGCACGCATCCCGGGCGCTGATCGCAGGCTGGAATATTCGCGCTCTGGTGGCGCCTAAAGACGGATCGCCTTTGCAGCAGGTGGGGCCTGCCGCGAGATGGGATGAGATGACATGTCTGCAGCACGGGAGGTGGTGGGCGCAAGGGAGTTGGCCGGGCTTGCGAGGGCCGTGAGCCGTGACGTCGAGTCGAGTCGAGTCGAGTGGAGGCCAGCGCTGAACGGCACTTGGCCGGGCGCCTGGCGGCTGCTGCTGCTGCGTCTGTTGCGCGCGCCTCACGCCCTGAGCTTGCTCCCTTACTCGGCGCGGCGCGAGGGCGGCTGCACAGATGCCCTGATATAGCCTCTGCCAGCGCGCATGCCCGAAGCGGAGCGAGCGCCGACGCAGGATGGGGGAGCCTCTTGAATCAATAGAGCATTACGAGCTTGTCACGGCGCCCAAGGCGGCTAGCCCGGCACCCAACTTCAACCGCCCACAGCGCCCGCGGGCGAGCACTGTGACAGACGTTGGCGGCAGCAGCTTGCAAAGGCCTGGAAACTCTGCTTTGCTTGTTCGCTGCAGCCCGCAGCCCGCAGCCCCCAGCGCGCACGGGTCCGCCGAGCGCCCGCCTGCAGTTGCTGGCCCGGCGGTGCGGGCACGCAGAAAAGCCACACGACGTGAACGCGTCCGTCGGCGCGGGTGCCAGTGCATCGCCCTCCATCCCGCACCTCCATCCAGCAGCGTGCATGGTGCAAATTGTTGAGGCGCAGAGCTCGCGGAGCGTTGAAACGGCTTTGGAATTCCCATGACACTGCCGTGCCCGGCGTGCCCTGCTCGGCGACCACGCCAGACGCCCCAGGATCCTGCAATTCCTCTTGTGTGTCGGTCTTCTGCCGTAGAGTTGCAGTGGGGTCCACTTTGGAACTGTAGATTCTGCACCTCGCTGCTAGTGTCACGGCGGACGCAGGACAAGGTCCCGCTGCTGTGTGAGTGGTGCATAATACACGTCCGCCCCAGCTGCTGCCAGACGGCGTGCACACTGCGAATGCTCCACCGTTGCCGTCTGGCACGATCCAGCACGGCAAACGCCCATCACTGGGATCGTGCCGCCAGCCGGAGGTGCTGATTGCCGTGCCCTGAACGGGGCCGTAGCTTGCGGGCCGCCGTGCGAGATGCATGCACATGAGACCTTCTCTCTGCAATCTGTGCTGCACGCTTGCACCCTCTGCATGTCCGTCGCTCTGCCAGTCCTCTGCGGCAAGGTCAAGCTCTCGAGCGTCCCCAAGGCTGCAGATGCCGAACGCCAGCGGATGCGGTGCAGTCTTCGCATCGCAGTGCCGGGCGGGCGGCCAAGCAGCCATACCGCCGCCGCGGATACCTCCACGTGCCTTTCCAGGCCGGAACCCTGCTCGAGCCAACTCTGTGAGACCCGTCGATCGACCTTGAAACACCCACCTGGCTACGAAACTGAAACAAACGTTCCTGGTCTGCGTGTCACCGTCTTGGAGCTGCCGCGCGCCATCCACCGCCAATGGCCGCCTGCCACAGCCTACTCATGACCGTACACTGCACGCAGCAGCCCTCTACCTGTTACTGTACAGCGTCGCAGCGCGCACAAAAGGCGGTGGCGCCAGAGGATCGGTGAGCACTCCAGGGATCCGCCGTCTGCTGCGTGCGGTTTGCCAACTTGCCATCCGCGGAGTTGCAAACCATGGCCCTCGACCTCACCGAGCAGGCATGCCGGAAGAATTCTAACGTCCGACAAGATATGCGCCGGGCAACTCCTCCCTACACGCCATCGGAGTACTGGCCAATCAGCGCTGCCCTACCCTTCCTTACTCCCCTCCAGCATCATCCATGAACGCATCTGTAGGCCATCGCAAGGTACATGAGCTGCCAAACCTTGGTATATGTCGGATCTCGAGGCCACCTTAGTCGTCGTCTGTGCTGCCTTGCTCGACCACGCACAACATGCGGTCAAGTGACTCTACGCCATGCCTCAAGATTCGACGCCAGGAGCGCAGCCTGCGTCAGGACTCCTCTCACCTGGAGATGCCAGGCAGGCACGACCGCGATGCGTCCTCCTCTCATACCGATAGAGTTTGCGATTGACAGTCGTGCAACGCCATCTTGCCCAAGCCATCCGCGTATCACGGTATGTCGTATACGAGGATGACCGAGATGAACGGTGCAGGAATGGACACCACCCAAACGGGCAATCGAGGGGCCTGAGCGCTGCCGCCGTACGGAGAGGCAGAGCAGAGACCGCAGCGTATCTCCGACCTTGACCCACGGAGCCTCACACTATCGATTTCATTCCACGCGGCCGGCTTCCACCCCGAATGTTTCTTTCTCCTTCGAGTAGCAACACCGCGGCGATGCGGACAGCGCGGCTTCATCTCAGAACAAAGCCGCGCGGAGCCGTCCTGCCTGCAATGCGCTGCAACTCGTTCAAGATCACCCAATCTCCAGCACCGCACTCTTGCCCGCTTCGAGCATAGCCATCACACGCCCGTCACCTTCCATCCGAATCCAGCCTGTTGGCCCCCCGCCCGCCAATAGTGCATCCCATCCATCCCACCCAGGATTTGATTCCGGAGAAGGAAGGGAACATCCTTCTAGAAATGTGCGAGTCACGATCCGCGCGCAACCCAAGATTATGTACCCACCGTCGGCGTCATGCCGACACTGATGGGTCCCGGGTCCACTCAGTAGGATCATGCAAACCGCGTTCTGGAAAGGCTCCCGTTCCTTCCTTCCCATTCAAAGTCATCCCACGCCAGCGCTCCAACCGCGCTAGACCTCCAGCCAAGTTGGTAAAATGCATGGTAAACTTTGAGTGCACCTTCCCGCTCCAGCAATCTTCTAAGATTTCGCACGCACTATCTAGACAGATATCTCAACCAACCGCGATAAACCTGTAAGCAGGAAATGCAGACAGACTTCAGTGCACCTTCCCGCTTGAGCCATATTCTAGATCTCGCACTCGACATCCAGATGGGATTCCCTACCGTGTTCCACAAGTCATGCTCCCTCATGATCGATTCGCATCTGCGACCCCACCCCACAATTTACCATTTGCATAGTAATCTCGCCGCGCGCCCAGCCTCCCAGACAATAATCTGGAAGACATCCCGCTATTCTCCTCCCGGTCGCGCACACGCATATAATAGTGGCAAAGGAATCGAATGGTACGATGAACCCCCGGCACATACATTCGGCCCGTGAAGCCATCCCGCGACCCCGAAATACACCACGCCGCACCTTACCTTGCGTGGACACCAAGCAACGCAATGTACGTGCATACGTACGTAGAAGCCTCGTTCTTAGAAATCAACGGCAAAGGGAGACAGACAGATGGTCTAGTGAACGCCGGTGCTGACGGCCAATATTTGGAATCAGACCACCTTGTCCCGTTGCTGACTTGTTAGCAATGTGGTCGTGGACTCGTCGCTACCAAGGTCATTTCCCATTCCGCATTCTGCTGCATGGAACCTCTTCTTTATTACCTCGATTCAGTCGCATCCGTATTCTCGCATGCCTTGCACCAGATATTCAACCGAAACACGAAAGATCCACGTACATGGGGCCCGGTGCCAAGTCATCAAGAAGAACCAGTCAATCAGTCGTAGCAATCGTGCTGTGCTTATTCGTTCACATGCAACCCTCCCTATACTCCGTGGATATATCCTGAAATACAAAGCAAACCCACATTCGTTCCATTTCATTCGCTCCCAAAATGCCAGGAAAAAAAAAGGTAAAGAAAGATTGCCCAATTGTCAGCCATATTCCCGTATCTGCTCTCCGCGGCTCTCTGGCCATGTTCAACCCGCCCACAAAAACGCCATGCGCTGTAATCGAAACCATTATTGAGATTTAAAAAAAGTCGTGAGTTTCCCACATTCTGCATGCGGACGCAAGAGACCCAGTGACGAAGGAAAGCGGGGCCGTTATCGAAGGGGCCCTCCAACGAAGGTATCACCGCCGCCGAGCAGTTCAAATCGGACGGTTGGCGTAAAAGGAGTGGAATTCAAAGTGAGGGTAGAACGCACACTTTTCCGAAAAAGAGTATCTAAACCGGGGTATCAAATGCGAGGTCGTCTCATGCGGCGGCCGGAGCAGAGTTGGTGGCGATGCTCGCGTCAAGATCTGGATTCGTTGCCTGCAGAGAACTCGTGGGCTTTTCGTCGACACCGGGAGCTCTGCAGAGGGGGCAAGAGTTGCGGCCGGTGATCAGCCACTGCTTCTTGTTAGCGACGTTCCTTTATATCCAGGTAGGGTACTGACCTGATCGATGCAAGCCCTGTGGAACAGGTGCCCGCACTTGATCAGCTTTCGAGCTTCCTCGTCGGCCTCAAATTCACACAAGCAAACCAAGCAGCGTGCCTCTGCCATCAAGTCGATGTGAGGGGGTCCTCCCTCGGCCTCTGCGACCAACCTTCCGTTATCGTACGTCCGTATCACGTGAAGTCCTGGTGCCGCTGCAACATCTTCCTCGCTTGCTACGGGCGGTTTCGCGGGTCCCAGCAAAGTGGAGAGAAGGAGCATGTCTTCGTAGGTGGGAGAATCTGTAAAAAGACTAGGTGTTGTGAGGATAGGGTGGTTCTCGGGGTAGCTACCACCGAGAACATAGATAATCCAGCTTCTTGAGCCCTCTCCGGGGTTGTTGTCGGGTTCGACAACACCGTTCCGACGGGACGAGCCGGACCCAAATCTGGTGAAGTCAGACTCACTCAGTCGGCGCTGGCGAGGAGTACGTCGGTGAGCTGTCGGCTCTTCGGTAGTAGGTTCTAGACCTGACGCAGTTGGGCGGCGAATGAAGCTTCCGCGACGGGACGATGCTGAGGATGGAATGGCCGGAGAGGGTGGTGAAGCTGTGAATGTCGGAGTAGTCGCGCCGGAGGAGACAGCAGACAGGCCGGCACTCGCTGGTGTGGAGGGAGGTGGGAGAGGACCAGCTGGGGAGTCGCTCATAGTAGACCACGGGCGTGGTCGCGCCGAACGGTATCTTTGGTTGTCGTAGCTGGACGAAAAGTTGTTCATGCCGCCCATAGATGCCCTACGCCGGTGGCTAAACCTCGTAGTGTTGGGAGGTTGGCGAGTCCAGCCTTCCATAGGTTCTTCTCCGGGCGACGTAGCAGGCGTGGGAAAACTAGACAAGGCGTCGAGGAAGGGCGGGATGTTGTCATCGCGCTCGGTGCCACTGCCCGGGTTGATAGACCGAATACCAACGATGATAATGGGCACCATCCTACCATCTCCTTCGTCTTCTTCGCCATTGTTCTCAGCCCGGCCATCTCGGTCTACCGTGTCCGCGTCCAAATGTTCATTTCCATGCGACGACCCGAACCTAAACATCCTGAAGAAGTTGAGCGGCTGGGTGTTTCCACCTGGGGTGTCTGTGCCCTCCTCGTTTCCGTTGCTGTTACCACTCTGTCTCAAGGCTGAGGCGATCCTCCCGTTCTGCAGCGCCTGTAGGAAACTGTCAAAAGTGCCGTCTTCACCATCACCCGCAACGTTGCGTGCTTCGGAAACGGCTCGGTGGTCGTCGCCCATCAGCGAGGCTGCCGTAGCTGCTGCTGCGACCGACAACAGCCGCGATAGCATGGCTGCCTGGTCCTCCTCTCTTCGTATGGGCGACCTGCGGCGGCGTAGCGAGTTCGTCATGTTTCTGAGGCCCCTGTCCGGTCTGAAGGACGGCAGCATGGATGACGCTCGGCCATCCCGCCTGGCTGAACTCAGCCGCGGCAACGGCGAGTCAGAAGATGCGTTGCTCGTGCTGCCCGCGAGCTCCTCGAAGCTGAGGTCCAGCTCCGGGGAAGGGACTTGGACTCTGGGTAGATACGGACTGCGCTCGTAGCCTGTGCTCGTGGTGTGCCGGTGCCGGAGGCGCTCGATTTGCGGCGTGGGCGCGGGTGGTTCGGAGGGCGTGGATGATAATGTGGATTCACCGTCTCTAGATCTGCTGGGCATGCGTCGGTGGAGGAGGCTCGGGATCGAGCTGAGCGAGGAGCGGGCCCTCGTCATGCGCGAGGGGCGGCGCTGCAGGCCGCTGGCTGGGCTGGCTACGGCGGTCGAGCGGGCGTCGTCGTGCTCGCGGTGGGTGGACAGCATGTGCAGCGGGTTCAGTCGCTGCGAGAGCGGCCGCGAGGAGTAGGGAAGGGCGCGCTGCACCATCTCTGGGACGGCGTCGCTGGCGGTCGGCGGCGAGCGGCCCATGGACATGGAAGGCCCCCATGAGGACGGCCGGGCCCGCGAGCGCGAGGGCGGCGGCGGGGGGTCTTGCGCACCGCGCGAGCTGCTCTGGCCCATGTTCGGAGGCCAGGCAGGCACGAGCTGGCGGCGTGGGAGGGGAGCGGTGGGACAGGAGAGGAAGAGGTGGCGTGGCGCCTGTGAGGCTCCCCAGATCCAGTGATGTAGGTAGGCGCGGAAGGCGCGTCTCGCCAAGCCAGGCCGGCTCCAGTCACGAGAGCGGAGAAACGTTGCACGTGCAGCCACCGATCAGGTATGCCAACTTGACAGCTGCTGAACCAGGGAACTGTTGATTGCAAACGGCACACGCGCATGCGCTGGAGAAGCGCACCGAGCCTGCTTTGCAATCCAATACCGCTGCGCCCATGCAGCCCAGCCCGGCCCAGCCCGGCCAGACATGCACCACTTTGCTTCGCCGCTGCGGCCCGCCCAGCAAACAAAGTCGTCGCGAAGCCGCACTGATGACGGAGCAGGACCACAAGACGAACTGGCCGATGGCGTGACCGCCAGCCCGCACCCAGACGTCCAGTCGGCTCTGTACAATCGCTGGGAGCGAGAAGAGCGCCGTGTCGCAGGCCTCTCACCTGCTGATGATGCGTTTCAAGTCCCTGCACCGCCGTTTCCGCACGCTCCGCCTAGGGAGCCACGACCAAAATTCACTTCAGCCCGCGTCCAACAGGAGCTTGCTGGCCTCAGTCCCGCCATCCTACCTCAGACAGCCTCGTTCAAAGATGATCTAGTGCGTAACAAAGCTGCCACGCCTGCGCTGAGGACCTCTCATCTAAATGTCTTGTCGACCATCATGCACCGCTGTCTACTTGAGGGAGATTACCAGCGCGCATCAAGAGCATGGGGCATGATCTTGAGGACTGAGGCTCACGGCACTCCTATTGAGCCGCGATACAATGGCCTGTGGGGCTTGGGTGCTGAATTGCTACTTCGTCGAAGATCCGGGGATGAACAAGACAGACCACTCAGCGACGAGTATCAATATTCAGAAGACGGCTTCCAGCTTGCGAAAGATTACTACGAGCGCCTGATTCTTCAATATCCCGTACGCAACTTCCAACCCCATGCAATCGACGCCACCATATTCTACCCGCCCTTGTTCTCCGTTTGGATCATGCAAGTCCTCGAGAGAAGCAGACGTGAGCGTCGACGGCTCACGGACGACGAAGCCGCGACCTCGGAAGACCGGCATAAGATGCAACAGGAGGAATTGGCTGGTGCGCGAGAGATTTGTCGACGACTGGAAGAGCTCGTGCAATCGCCACCATACGACAAAAACGCACAATTACTTGTTCTCAGGGGGCATGCTGGCCTCTGGGTCAGTGACCTATTGTTGGGCAAAACAGTAACGCTGGAACCAGATGATGAGTCCGACTACGGTTCGGACAGCGATGAAGAAGAGGATGAGGTAGACCCTTTCGAGAAATCCACGAAGCGGGCCGAAGGAATCCAACAAGTACAAGAAGCCAAGTCATTTTTTGAGCAGGCACTCAAACTTGAAAAAGATGCTTCGACTATTTCGACGTCTAATCTAGAAAGGGAACTTCGGGATGTCACTAAACGCCTGACTGAGCTGAAGAGTTTACATCATTGATACAGCATGCAGTGTGGATTGGTATACTCGACAACCCGTCTACATGAGCCAGTCATCATTGCACGGTCACTGCTTCATGCCTGCCCCATAAGCTGGATTACAACCGATGGCTTCCAACATACAGTTTCCTGATGCGAAACACTAATCCGTGGCCGAGAGGCACATAGACTAATACCGCTCCGCAGTAGACACGCTGCGGTCACGCGCAGCTCTTGCGCCGACTTCTACTGATTTGCAATCACTCAGGCCTGCCTTTCGCGCTCGGTCGCTGCGGTAGCCGAGCTATGCAACTGCGAGTGGCGCCCGTTGCGAAGTCCGTATTCGCGGCGGACATGCAAGCCCCCATACTTCTGTTATACCCCACAATTTTATCTTGTACTTCATCTAGTACGCCTGGCAAGAATTTTGCACTTCTCTCATATGATGGTATCATAGTTTGTTGCGGAAGCTCTTATGGACGATTCACCAAGGTCTTCTCATCAAGAAGCCTATCGAGCTGCCTGACAAGAACACCGCAGAGCAGCACGCACTCTCTATTCACAGGCACACCGCCTTTTACCTGTCCCGAATCATCGAAATCAACACCACTTCTCTTCCTCCTTCTTCCGCCTCTGCAGCTTCCCTATCCCCTCTTCATCAAACTTCACCTCTCGCGCGAACATACTCGAATGCTTCCACTTGAACCATCACTACATCGAAGACGTTGATTCTTACCCCATAATCTGTCATACCTACTCCATTTCGCCTTTACTATGTTAGAAACGCCCCTCTTGACTTAGCTCTCCCACCAAAATCATCCCAGCACCACCTCTCATATGATACACAACAGTACTCATACACCATCCCAACATCCTCTACTCACGACCTTGCCCCCATCTCCGGCCTCCTCGGCTGCACCAAAGCCCATAGATCCCTCGGCCGCCCGCCAGCATCGCAGCTCGCAAATTTCCACCATGCCCAGTGCCACGCCCCCGCAAGATTCACCAGTCCCCATCTCACCGGTGCTGGCATCGGCGGCCACGCCGCCCACATCCCCTCTTCATATGTGACGTCGTGGTTCAGCAAGAAGAACGGCACCACATCCGTGGTCCCCGCCTTAGACACCGTTTTCTTCCCCCACGCCTTGAACACCGCAGCCGCTTCCTCGGCCCTACTGGCTTCCGGGAGATCAGCAAACGCGGCGATGGTCTTGATTTCGGCGTGGAAGTGCTGGCAAAACGGCCGCTGGAAAGTTTCCATGATCCTCACTAACTCCCCACCATCGAAGTCATACGGTTCGCCTAGCGTGGCTAGATACGATGCGAACCTTGCCAGCCCTGGTAGGAACGCCTCATGCTCCCTGTGCGTCTCTTCAAACAAATCTTTCCGGCCCAGCGCGTCTTCTATCGTGGGGAACAGCTCGCCTTCTTCGCTGTCATGGTGGCTTTGCACGAACTTGCTCCACGCGAGGCAGTACCCGATGAAGTCGTCCTTGTCCTCGTGCGAGATGAGCGGGGCTTGATGGTAGATGGAATTGTAGCCGCGGAGGATAGCGTTGTGGATGTGCGACATGTGGGTTGCGCCGACGGTGAAGATATCCATCTTCTTGGTCTTGAATTGCGGTGTTTGTATTAATGGACAGGGACTGTCGGCCCATTGCTTGGATGGGGGAGATGTCATGTTAGACGAGGCACGCGAAAGTAGGAAGGCGGTGAGAAGAACTTGGAGTGCGAAGAAGACGGCGGTCGTATAGCCAGGCATTGTCTAGAGTGTGTTTGGGGGGCCATCGTGAAATATGTGGATGTTTCGGTGTGGGCTTGGGACTGCGCGAGTATGGTGTGATGGTTGCGGTGGGCTGATTGTGGTGCTTCACAACGTCTGAGCGTTACGGGTAATTGGGCGCATGTGGGAGTGCACCTTCTTCACAGCGATGGACCTCTTGTCTCACTCCTACATGAGACTTCGTTGTTCCTAAGATCAAGACCAACGGTAACGTCTTCTCCCCGAAACCGCTGACGAAATTCGAGCCGTTATCGGCCAGACTGCGTGATAATGTAGCCCCAAAATAACACTGCTATCTTGACGTTCCTCTCTGCATTTTCGACGAGCACAATTCCAAGATCAGAATCCTCAACTAAGCGAAAACGTGCATACCGCATGAGGGCGATGCTTGCACGACAAGGAGCGCGCCCAGAATGAGCACACCGGCTCAGACTCGGGGTGTGGAAACACCGTGTTGATGCTCTCTCCTACCTAGTGGATCTCGCCATCTCGGCGCCTGGACTTTCGCGCACACCATCAACTTACCGAACTATCATACCTACCGTCTTGCGTTGTCGACGTCTGTACAATCGCGTAGATAGCCAGGGCCCTCGCAAACGCAACCAGATTTGGAAGTTTCTACGCGCTGCGGGTCTGGGGGCCGCCACGCCGAACCTGCCGCCCCAGAACGCGAATTTTTAGCCAATCACACGATACACGGGAACCGGTGAGCGCGAGGCCGACAATGTGAAAAGCCACAATAGATGAAGGGAAGGGAGCGATAAGGTGGGCGCTTGTACGCTGGAAGGGTTTTCGGTTTGGCTTGACCTTGGTATTTTTTCTGGCTTCAGCGCGGCAGATATCCTTACTTGGGGTTTTCATCCGATTCACCTCACCACATCTAGACGAGCTGTGACTTCCTACTTCGGGTCCGAAGAAGAGGTGTGTAGGATTCTACATGATGTATACACTAGATGGCGCACACGCTGATTCGAGGATTAGTTACGCCTCCTACCGGTGTAAAGGATTCAAGCCTCGCGAGCACCGCATCGATATTACCCAGCCCATGCGGCCGTAGCCAGCCATACCTACTATCTGAATTTCCCATCTTGTCTCTTGCTGACTACTTACCACGAGAGCGCAAGCAAGCAGACCATCCAAGTGCACTGCACCCAGGAGCACAAATTTCAATTCGCCTGAAGTCCTAGGCACAAGCTTTATCATGACCTCCTCCAACACCACCTGGCCCCCCGGCGAGGTCTGGAAAGACCTCATTCCCTTCGGCCCCCTCGCCAACTGTACGCTCGCCCTCTGCCCCGTCGAATGGAGCGTCTTTACGTACCAGCCGTCCATCGCAGCCAACTCCGCTCTCCTCGCCATTTTCGGCGTTCTGCTCCTCGTTCACGCTGCGCAGGGTATCAAGTACCGTGCGTGGGGATACATGGGATGTATGGTCGCGGGTTGTGTGCTGCAGATCATTGGGTATGGGGGCAGGATTATGCTGCACGGGAATCCGTTTGATTTCAATGCTTTTCTGATGCAAATCAGTACGTCTCCACAAAATCTTGAAGCATATAGTCGTATTGACAAAATGCAGTCTGCATCACAGTAGCACCTGTGTTCTACTGCGCAGCGGTATACGTACTCCTCGCGCAGATGTACGTCGTCCTGTTTCCCACCCTTTACTATTCATACCCTACCATATCACCGACCATTCTTTCCCCTTGAATCACTCAAACTGAATTAACACCCTCACCCAGGATGACAACTCTCGACCCCTCCCTTTCCCGCCTCTCCCCCAAACTCTTCTACTACATCTTCATCCCCGCCGACGTCACCTGCCTCATCCTCCAAGCGACAGGCGGCGCCCTCTCCGCAACAGGAGCCACCTTCGACGCCGTCAACACAGGTGTATCTGTCTCTAAAGCTGGTCTAATCCTGCAAGTCGTCGTGCTCACCATCTTCCTCGGTGCCACCGCAGACTACCTACTGGTCTACCGGCGGACCCACGGCGCTGCGTTGTTACGGCGGCTGAGCGTGTTCTTGGGTGCGGTCGGAGCAGGGGTTGTGTGCGTGCTTGTGAGATGTGTATATCGAATTGTGGAGCTGAAGGACGGGTATTTTGGACCGGGTTTTCAGCATCAGTGGGTTTTTGTTGCGTTGGAGGGCGTGTGAGTGGTCCTGCTTTTATGTGGCAGTAATATACTGATGATTCTAGGGTCATGTGCATTGCGGTGGTGTTCCTTGCAGCTGGGCATCCGGGGATGAGTCTGTATCGTCTGAAGGAGGAGAAAGGGCCGGCACGCCAAGAGAGGCAGGCGGAGGTGGCTCAGCAAGGTGGAGTTGGGTATCACTAGAGGCGACCCTCTAGCGTAGAGATGAGTAGAACGCGAAAATATGGGAGATTTTGTCTTGACACGAAGTATCTGATGGATTACACCGGGAAGGGGCTATCGCCAGACATAAATTTGCTGCGAGGTGACCAAGTCCCACACACGGTGCAGCTGTATGTCTACATCATGCTTATTCCTTATCAAGATAACATGTGGGCATTCATTACACCAACACACTACCATACGCCCTCGATATCCACGCGCCCTCTACATCTGCATAACCATCTCCATCCCTGCGAGCATTTCGGAAAGGCAACACTGCTTTCTACATAACATGCCACACCAATCAACCACACGACGTCCCGACCGAGACAGGCAGCATCCACGGTATTGTATAGTGGACGATCCAACGTACACCGACCTCTATGCACCTCTGTCCATCTCCGTTCCCGTCTCAAACCAATTGATTTAAGCACGCCAGTTCGGGTCCTGAGCCTGCAAGTCTCTGGCAATAGCTTCGTCATTCTCAGTCTCGTTGTCAAGTCCAATCCTCGCTTCTTCGCCCCCGAGCGCAATAGCACCCTCCGTCCTCCTGGACATGCAGCAGGAGTAAAACACGCCTGCCCACAAGAACAACCTACCCCCAGTCAGTTCCATGAGCAAGCAGCTCCGCATAAATCACGTACCAGTTGAACACATTCAGCCACAGAATCGCGCCCTGCCACGTCTCCACCTTGACGCAGCGAATCCACAGCCCTGTCTCACCTGGGCGCTGGACATCGCACTTTCCATCGGTAGTCGCGATGTCCAGCACGAACCCGACGAAGCCCAGCCCAAACGCAGCGGCGAGCTTGAGCAGCGCGTACTTTGCGTATTTGGCCTTTGTGAGGGCGCCCTCGCGAGCGCGGCGCTGCTCGCGGGCGATGAGGAAGGTGGTGCTGGCCGAGGTGAGGAGGAGGGGATAGAGCAGGCCGAATGTGAATGACTTGTGCTTGTGCGGGACGACGGCCGCCAGGAACGTGGCGAGGAGGGTTAGGGCGACGATGCCGAGCTGGGCACCCTGGAGGGCTTTGAGGCGGGGAGACATGTTGGGAGCAAAGCTGAGGAATCGCATCGTTGCAATGGGATCTTCTGAGTGAAGAAAATGGACAGATGTGAATGATGCGGGGTGCGGTGCGACGGTGGTGATGGTTATAGCGACCATGGAAGGCAGGGCTGCTGACGCGAGCTGCTCACCGGTCGAGCCTGGGGTGTCGAGATAGGATCATCACCCTTGTGCATGATATCCACTTCTGGAAAGTTCAATACTAGTCTCGTATGCACGCTGGCAGCGGGTGATGTGATTGGCAGTGTTGCCTGGAATCCAGGAACGCGATACCGGAAGCGTTTCACTCCATGCGACGGCGTCTGTGTACACTGCGCGTCCGTAAGGCCTCCATGGCGCCAGGGACCACAGTTGATTCTCGGCAAAGAGTTGGAAGGCGCCAGTTGGGAAGATTTCACGGTGCGGGAAGAACAGGCGGCAGTGGGGGCCGAAGCGAGGGGTATACCACCATGGGTACATGGATTTCTTGATGAAGTCTGGGCGGCACCATTGGCCTGGAAGTGGGTCCGTCAGCGATATGTAATCTGATCAAGACTTGGTGTTCCGAAGTGTTGGAAAAAAATGGAAGCCCCTTTCCTAATCAGGCCTTCGAAGTACGAAGGCTGTATCAAGTAACGGGGCATTTCAATGATCAAGTGCAGTCTCGACTTCTAAGTTTCGCTAATAGAATATCGCATACGCGGAAGTGAAATGTGGACCTAGATATCAGGATGCAGGGGATTTTGGCTAATACAGGGTGTGGCGCGGACGTTTGCCACTGCGGAGTGGAAGTTTAAATCCACCTCGACACGCACAAAAGTTGGATCAACGTTCGGTTTGTATCTAGAGTAAAGGGTGTTGGGCAGCTGTCGGTCGCGTCAGGTGCGTTTCTTCAGACGTAGATGCCCCAGTTCGATAGAGGCTGTTAAGAGGGCTGCGGGTATCTGCTCACATCCCGGTCACCTCCCGCATCTCTTCTACCCCCACTAGGTGTGACTGCCGTACAATTGAGACATCCGCTCAACATCCATCCGCATTTCCACTGTCTTCGTAATCCCACTTGCCCCACCCGCCAGCAGTATCGACTCCTCACTCGCATTGTCGCCCTTCTCAGTCGCACCTCCCATATCGGAAGCATCGTGAGCGCCCAACGGCAAAGTCCCGGTTTCCTTCATCTCATTGGACAAATCCATCTCGATCTGGCCAGTAGATTTCGTCCGCGACCGGCTCTCGCTTTCCACACCGCTGCTGCCGCCCACAGAAGCTTTCTTTGATCGTATAACCGATGTGTTCCTAAAAGTCTTCTTAAACAGCGGTCTCAGCGCGGGCGCAGACGCCGAGATGATGGCGACGTTGACTTCAATCTGAGAGAGCAGTAGGATAAAGATAGCGTCGTATGCGACGTCTTTGGTGTAAGTGTAGGTGTAGAGGGCGTAGATGCGAACAATGGAGGCGAGGACTGCGATACCGCCGACAAGGAAGACGGCTATGAGGGCCCCTGACGATAGATTTAGTAGGTATGAAGGTTTCGATTCGGGGCTTTATCTGAGTGGGGCTTACAGCGCTTCCGGGGGTGCAGCTGGAGCTGCCAGAAGGCGCGGAGGGGCATTACGAGGATTACAGTATCGGTCAGGATATTGATAGAGGCAGTTGAGAAGTACGTCGCAACAAGGTTGTTGCATTCTGCAGGAAATGTTGGTGACCATGCTTGTGAGGGGTTCTTGGGGCATTCGAAGGCCTGGGATGGTCAGTGGCGAGAGATTCAAGGAAGCGAGGGCGGAAACGCACATTGACGAAGGTTACGACAAGAGTATATGTCGCCACAAATGCTCCAACGGCATAGACTAGGCGGCGGAACTTGGTCTTCGTGAATATACGATGGTATAGGGCGAGGATGCTCGCTTTTACGAAGAATAGCGACCACGGATATACAATTTGGTACGCGTACCAATGCTTTAGTGTAGGCTGCAGGATCACGAGAAAGTCGAGATCCGATCCATGACGACTAGTTAAGTCCGTTATAGTGCGAAAAGAAGTTGTTGATATGACTTACCCCGTTCCCCATGAGATGTGGAACCCGTTCTGAATCCCCATCCCAATTGCGACCACGAGGGCACATAACATGGACCAGTCATCTAGACCGACATACCTGGTATGCACGTAACGACACCAAAATCTGAAAAACACTCAGCGATGGCAGAGCTCACAGAATTATAACGTACCTGAGGGCTACAGCGATGGTCGACAGAAGTAGAAGAATTCCAGTGATGATCAGAACCATTGGCTGGCGAGAATGGTCACTCGCACTGATGAAGTTTGCCATCTCTGGCCAGCTTTGTTCAGAGCAGATGTCCTAAGAATGTTGCGCAAGCTTCTACTGAGGAGTCACCATGGGCCGCCTCCTCCTTTAAGGACGTTTTGACCTTCTCTCTTCCGAGACTCGCTCATTACCAGATCCTAGACTACGGGTGACAACGCCATATGCTTTCCAATGGCAATACAGCGAAGGCGGCGAGACATTTGGTAGATTCGAGGCAGGTACTGCGTCTGGACGCACTTGAGGCTGACAGTCGTCGAGACAAGTACTGTTCTGGGGTATAGTTCGGTCAGCTGCGGCGGCTAGGCTGCATCTCACCTTGTGAGTGGCAAGCATGCCTGGATCCGGCTATTTCATCTAATCGAATGTCAATGTTTGAGTAAAACCAGCTTGCGAACGACAGGTTGACGGTGAGAATACGGGCCGTTTGTGAGCATTGATGCGGAATGTGTTTCGTTTGGGAAAACATGGTCGCGCGTTGGGCTGTAGGCAAAGTGCAAGAGATGTGACATGAACAGGAAGGCACAGCCATTAACTGCCAAAGTTGTGGCCAATGTGACCTCACCCATGAAGTCACGCTCCACTCAGGGCTAGAAGCTCCTGATTTTCCTATGGCACGAACGTATTGTTACCCATAGGACGGTTTTCGTATGACGGAAAGTTAATCTTCCAGTCGCCGGAGTGGCTGTCAGCTGTCAATGTGCATTTTCGTCGGCTGTTGATGTTGCGCAGGGCGCAGACGCAGCCGGGAGCGGGGAATCTGTGCCTAGTTCGATAGGGAAGTCAAGTACTGGAGAGTCGAGGCCAATGGGCGGCGAAATGCCTGATGAGGTGGCACCTTTGATAGGCTCGGTAAGGCAAGACGGTTCCAGCTTGGTGGCCGCTACCATCAACCTTGCGTGCCGAAAGAATCTTGAGATTCCAAGATTCCGTCCCGAATGCCGACCTCGATCTTTCTTCCCTTACCGGGCTCAAGGGTCGGATCGGTACCAAGGCGGGGGCGATCACAGTTCCATTGCTGTGCGGACAGTTCGTCACTACCACCGGTATTCCGTGCCCCGTGAAAACCACACTGGCCAGCTGGTTAACAAGACAACAAAAAGAGGGGTAGGCGCGATAAGATCTGGTTTCGAATAAGAGATCTGCGGGCACCAGGGTGCATCGCAGTCGTCCTCTAAACAGTTTCCTCGCCGAGGGCGCTTTTCTTCTAAGGATCGTCGTCCACAGTTGCCCGTCCAGCGTACCATTCAAGTGTGGCGTTCACTGTCAAATGGTCGCAGATCACCGTTAGCGCAGCCACGTGCATACCTTTGGTATGGCATTCCGGGGAAATACAGGGCTCGAGGAAAGCCCCAGAACAACATCACGACGGGCTAGTATACACCGATCAACGCTGCTGCCCAGCGCCTCGCCACACGGCACTTCGCGAACCAGTCGACTGCCCCAGCGAGATCTCACAACATCGATCAAGTTTCCGAGAGAGTGGAACATCCCAGGCGCGAGATCTGTAAAGTTCCAATGGTGTGGACGGTGGCTATTGCATTATTGGATTGATGTGTGCTTGGGCGCTGTCGTTTGGGCTTACCGGGTTATAAGTACCTGCTGGTTTCTCCCCATCAATTACCCGGCGTCTGTTCTTATAAGGCTGCAGAATCAGCATTCCTCGGCTCATCTATCACGTCAACATGTATTTTGCGAGCCTTCTCAGAGCTTTGGCCGTACTATCGACCATCCAGACTACCCTCGGTACGCCCATCAACGATCCGGTTAATGTGCCTCCCGCCTCCTGCAACAACCCTCCCATAAGACAAGAATGGTAAGTCGTGACTCCTTCCTCATATGACCATAATATGACATCGCTGCTCTCGCTACATGCACGCATGCGATCAATATCCTAGCATAACAAGCTTCACCTCATAGACACCTCACTAATACCACCCACCCAGGCGCCAACTCACCAATGCCCAAAAGAAAGCCTACACCGACGCCGTACTCTGTCTGACCACCAAACCTGCCATCTCCGGCCTCCAGGGCACCACCAACCGCTTCGACGACCACCAAGCCGTGCACTCGGCCCAGACCCCAAACATCCACTGGGTCGGCCACTTCATCCTCTGGCACCGCTACTTCGTCGCTACCTTTGAGCGCGCTCTCCGCGAATCCTGTGCCTACACCGGCGCCCAGCCCTACTGGGACTGGTCGCTGGACGCGGAGCCGTCGAACCTGTCTTCCACCCGGCCCTTCGAGACGGCCATATTCGACCCCCGCACCGGATTTGGCGGCAACGGGCCCAAAGTCGAGCCCACGCCCGAGCAAAACCCGCTCAACATCACGGGCGGCACGGGCGGCGGATGTGTTCCCTCGGGCCCTTTCGCAGCGCCGAATTTCTGGGTTAACATCCCCGCAAGGGATTGTCTGAGGCGGGATTTCATACCGTGGATCATGAATTCGTTCGCGGACCCCGCTTTGGTGGCGAACGTGCTCGCGCAGCCAGACTACACCTCGTTCGCGCGCGCCATCGAGGGCACGCCCTCCTTCGCTGCGACCAACATCCACGGGTCTGGCCACTTCGGGGTGGGTGGTGTGCTGGGGCAGCTGGGCAATGCGGCGAATAGCCCTGCGGATCCGCTGTTCTATCTGCATCATGGGAATCTGGATCATGTGCTGTGGAAATGGCAGCAGCAGGATCTTGCGATTAGACTGAAGGAGGTCGGAGGGCCCGTGACGCCGTTTGACTACGGCGGTGTCAACGTGACACTCGACTTCAAAATCAACATGGGCACTTTGGCTGGGGATGCGACTCTGAAAGACCTGCTGGATACGGAGGGGAAGACGCTATGCTATACGTATGATGAGTGAAGGTGGTAGGGGAGAGGGACCGGAGAATATGTGTGTAGAATGTGGTTGAGAAAGTCTAGGTCTATAAAGTATCGACAGATGAAGTAGAAGAGATAGTGATATATACAGAGAAACGAAATCTTGAATCCATCCATCGGCCCGAACCCATAGAACGTCGTGAAAAAGGAGTGTAAGAAGGGAAAAAGGGTATACATAGAAGGTAAAAGGGTAATCAAAAAGAGTGACGAGAAGAAGAAAATCTGTGAACAAACGTCGAAAGGTCGGAAATTCGTGAAGGAGTGACGGGAAGGTAGTGAGTGAGCAGAAAAAAAAAAGAAAAAAAAAAAAGCAAAAGGGAAAGAAATGAGGGTATACCCATGCAGTGTCCGGCCCAGAACCCAGCCCAATGCAACCCAAAGCAGGCGAACCATGCAGAAAACAAAAATCCATGACGCTTCAATCCAGTCCGGTAAAAAGAACGTACGCCGCACTCAAAGCAGCAAGTCGAACCCGCAAACCGTATGGGCAACTCATTCCCTAGATGCGGTTATAGTCCCAGCAGCTCGGCCTCAGGCCATCGATGCCTAGGCTCATCCGCCTCGTCAACCTTCTCTTCTCCACGACACTCATGCGTTGTACGTCGGTGCTATCTGCCTCGCTCAGCACGCTATCCGCGCACATCAAGTCTTTGATGTCGAACTCGAATGCGCTCTTGAAGTAGCTGGTCGGGCTCGGCGTCTCGGAGAAAAGTAATGTTTCCATTGGCGGGCTCGCGGGTAGGATGATGGTCTTCAAGGGCGAAGCCTCGACCCAGTGGCTGCGCGTGGGCAGCAGAAGCTCTTGCGGGAGGTCTTCGGGAAAATAGTTTGGCGGAGGCGTTGAGGGCGGTGGTGAGTGCACGACAATAGTGATGCCGGAAGAATTCGAGGACTCGCGGGAGTGTGTGAGAGAAGGAGTGCTGGAGCCGGAGAGGGAGGGCGAGTGCGAGCCGAGGAGTAGGTCTTCGGCAGAGATGGACCAGCGGGAACAAGGTTGCGGTGGTGAGCGCATGACAGGGGACCAGCCTGTGTGTTGGAGGGAAGAGGGGATGGGCTTGCTGATGTTGATGTCTTTGGTGGTGAGTTTCTTGTGATGCCGCGGCTTAATTAGGGTAAGAACCCGGGTCTTGATCCAGGTGTCGAGGCGTGGCATTTTGATTGTGTGGTGTTGTTTGTGATGGAAAGAATCGAACTCTTGACGATGTAGATAGTGACTGTCTCTCCAGGAGGTAACGACCGATCTGAGTGAGTGAATGTAAGAAAAGCTACGTGATTAACAGTTAGCAATGCACTTCAAAGCTATGACCCAGTAGAGAAGCATGTACCCGATGCACCAGCAGCAGCGTGCAAGAAATCCTCCGAAATCTATGAAAGGCCCGGTCGATTGAATCAAATTTCCTGCTTGCAGCATACGGCCGTCGCAACTGTATCTATACCATCTGAATGCGGCACAGCCCTTCGCACGGCTGCGATGCTAAATTCTCCTCACCACAGCACACGAACTTTCTCCGTAGCCGTGATGTCGAAAACTCCGTTACGCACGCTCCGCATTCACGCTTCTCCCTCACCATCCAGAGTAGAAAGTTAGATTGTCCAATCAACGCGCGCGCTAGGGACGTGCAAGGATTTGCTAGGCGACGGAAGTCCGTATGGTTGGCCATGCTCACCTCATCAGTTTTACACCAAGCCTGCTTCCGCTCCATTATGTGGAAAACAGAGCGAATGACCATGCTCTAGAAGTCGGAGGTCCGATACGAGGAGCGGAAGGCCCAGACTTTGCTGTCGTGATGCAACGTCTCTCGCGCAAGTGCAGCATTGTGGGCAGCGAAAGTCCAGACGCGAGCGGTGTGGGGGCCGCCTTCACAGCTGCGTGACGCAACAAACAGCGACACAAGATAAAGCACCAGGGATCTGTACGAGCACAGCTCGTGCTCGATGTCGGAAAAATTTGAGGCGCAAGTGTGCACAAACGGCTTCGCAGGAGTCCGTTCGTAATTTCGTTTCAACATCAGCCTTGTGGAGTGTTGCGAGGGGTGGTGCTTGTTTACGGCTTCCAGATTACCCAAACGGGAGCGAAGTCCAGCTTCATCAGAAAAGTCGCGTTACGGAGTGTTGCAAGCAGGCTATCAAGCCTTGACGTCACGAATTGCTAAAATCGTCGTTCAGTGGAGACGCTTAAGGAGTCAACGTGCCAAAGGATTTGCTATGGCGATATGTTTGGCTTGAATACCTAAAGTAAAAAGCGCCGTTCGTACGAAGGCTTGGGAGCCCACGGGCATCGGGTGTCGCGCCAGCTGACTATACTGTCGGCTCTCCATCGTACTTTTTGTTATCGGCGGCACTGTGCACATCATCTTGCTTTTTTGATTGCACTGCTTCGAGCGTTTCGATCCCCATGTCAGTTCTCGGTCCGGTGAAGTTCTTCCGCCCGTCAACGAACCACTGGATAGTGCTGATAATAATGATGACGGCGAATGCAACAATGCAGTAGTCTGTGAGGTATCAGCAGCCCATCCATCTTCTTCATGGCTCTGGCGAAACTTACTCATGTTGTTGCCTGTCACGGGCAACTCCGGCGGGAATACAAAGAGAATGGTTGTGACAATAACATAAGCTACACCGAGCAAGTTTGCGGGCCATGCGAACCAATTTGGAAGTGTGAATGCTCTTGGTGGAAGCATTTTCCTTCCTCTCAGACAGTTGATGGCCACGGGTATGGCGTAGCTGACACCAAGCGCAACCACGGACGCGGAGATGATTGCATTGAAGGCGCTGCTTGAGCCCAAGAAAATGCATCCAAAGATGACCGTCAACACAGTGGTCAAGATCAGCGAGTTGAGTGGTAGGCCCAGTCGCTTGTGCACCTTTGCGAAGAAGGGCGAGAACGGCAGTCCGCCGTCGCGTGCAAAAGCGTAGGCCATACGCGACGATGTAGTCATGATCGCTGTTGTAGCGAACAGGAGGCAGACCAAGGGAAACATGAGGAGGCATACGGAGCCTGCCTGGCTCTGGGTGGCGTTGTGTATGATGTAGAGAAGGGGCCCAAGGGGAGATGCAACGATTTCTTCTGTGTTGCCGCCAGAAACGAACAGCAAGCAAGTTAAGAAGATGAAGCCGGTAAATGTCCCAATGGCCACGCAATAGATCATGATTTTCGGTCCTTCGACGGAAGCATTGGGAATTTCCTCGATCATATGTGCAACGGCATCGTATCCGGTCAGTCCGAGTCCACCTGAACATATTAGCAAGGGTCCTCTAATCTCTTGATGATAAAGACTAGATGTGAGCGGGAAAGAGCACTACAGTCATCACTGAGCTGAGCACTGCATTGCGCCTCCTAGGACAACACGAGATACTCAAGGTTTTGACGAGGCAATGTAGAGTATGACTGATGAATGGAAACTCACCTTGCAGCAGCCCAAGTAACCAAGCAATACCGTCAGGCCAACCTGTTTCATTGACGAACTGCCGGAACACATAGTCGCCGGATGCATAGTTGGGAGACGCGCAGGCCAGAACGGTGATGGAAATGACTACAAAGCCGAGTATAGACCAAGTGATTGCCCCCTTGTTGACGTAAGGCAGGAGGTCCTGATGCAATGTCATTAACGGTATCCGAGCAAAAGTATAAACCGCATTTCGTGTACTGTGCATTGAGGGCTGGGAGGATCATTACTCACGTTCATGAAGGCATTGATCAAGAAGGCAGCCAAAGTATAGCCGATGTAGATGAGGAACTGATGCCAGCGCTCCGGCTCGTAGGCAGGAGAATACATTGAGATGATGCCAATGATGATCTGGGATCCGAGCAATCCTCCGGAGGCGACTAGGGCAATCCAACCACTAACGTTGATCCAACCTGTGATCCATGATAGGAGAGGTACATAGCTCTTCCAAGAGATGACGGCAACCCAGTGGTACTGTCCACCAGCTGTTGGATAAGCAGAGAGGAACTCGGCAAGCGATGCCGCTAGGCATAAGTTACATATGCCTGCTGTGATGAGTCCCCATATGACACTGGTCGAACCGCCGCTTGGAAGGGCAAGAGATAGTGAGGCGGAAAGGGCGGTCCATGAGTTCAAAATGGCGAAAGCAAGCCCAAGCATGGACAGGAAAGAAAAGTTCCGTTGGAGCTCGCCCTTGTGGCCCAGGGCTGCGAGCTGAAGCTCGTCGGCGGTGCTTCTCTCACGGGCACGCATGGTTCAGAGACGGAAGGTGTGCATGCGACAGCAGAGCATGAGTACAGATCTTAAGAGGATGACGCCGGCGTCTAGAGCGCGTGAGTCCCTGGCCTTGAGCGCGGACTTCCATGCCAAACGTCATAAAGAGTACGGCTGGAGCACATGCACCCTGGGGCTAGTGTGCATGATCGCCGCGCTTTGTGCCTGAATGTGGAAAGTGTGGAGTGCCGCAAGCTTTCAATGGCGAAGCTTAGCCAACGCCCGCTCTTGTCGGAGACCGGGAGCGACACTAGAGGAAATGGTGCGGGAACGATAAAGCAACAGCATGGGGTTGTGAACTTATTGCCGGTGTGCCCTATCGCTATCGGCCCATGGTTGCTCATAACATGTCGTCGATTATCAAAGGCGGGCCAGGACGCGAAGAGCGACCGCGCGTCTGTTTCCCAATGCACCAGGACGACCAGTAAGGCCAAGGCAACAGGCGATCTTCAAGGCGCTATCGTTCGTTCGTGCAAAGGCGCTGTTGATGGCGTCCGGGCTCCCGACGGTTTTCCAATGCTGACGCTGCGGCTGTCCGCCCGGGGTGCCGCCTGCACGCTGTACTCACGAGCCCCGAGAGCCGTTCCTCTAGGCAGGCTGTGCGCATTGTGACACAGCTTCTGTGTACACGAACTTTTGGTGGCGGAGGAGAGAAGGCCGAATTCTGCGCCATGGCCCATCGCGACTCCAGACGACTTGGCAGTTGCTGACGGAAGGAGCGACACACTGCAAGGCGGTCGGCTCCTTCCACGGTCACACGTCGTTCCTCTCGCACCCCGCTTCCAAGACTGCTTTTACGCGCCCGTCGCTCTCCAAAAGACGGCTTTCCCCTTCGTCGACTTTCATCTCCGCCCCACGTGCATCGCGCTTGCCCTGCTATTGCCGGCGCACACCGCTGCTAAGGTAGCTCTGGCCGCTTCCAGCATGCAGGTCCCTGTCGGCCCCTGCTCGACCTCACCTTGAACTGCTGCCGCTCAATGTCGAATCGCATGTCGAGCGCCATGGCCAAGCTGTGGCAAAGAATAAAGGGAGGGCGAGCGCAGCGATATGAGCTGCTGCCCCTGGCCGACAACAAAGAGCTCAAGTACCGCAAGCACAGCTCTACAGGCCTGCGGCGTGCTGCTTTCTACCTCGTGGCGCTCCTAGCATTGCTATTGCTCAGTCTCTATGGCTTCTTCCGGTAGCATGCCCTGCCTCCTTGCAGCCCTCTTGTTCACCTCGTTGACCCTCCCCAGGTCCGCGGCTGCGCCCACGGCCACCCGGGCCTGCGACACCGTCGACGATGGCTACCGCTGCAGCCCCAAGACGAGCCACTTCTGGGGCCAGTACTCGCTCTGGTTCTCCGTCCCCTCGGACGTCGACGTCGATCCGCCCGAGCACTGCGACGTGAGCTTTGCCTCGGTCCTGTCGCGCCATGGCGGCCGCGACCCCACCATGAGCAAGACGCTGCTGTACGGAGCCACCGTCGGCTTGATTCAGAACACGAGCACCGCATTTCCAGACGAGTTCGCCTTCCTGAAGGACTACGAGTACAACCTGGGCGCTGATCTGTTGACGGACGCGGGCCGGCAGGAGATGGTCAACTCTGGTGCCCACTTCTACCGACGATACAAGGACTTCCTCAAGGGCAAGACCCCTTTTGTGCGCTCGTCGGGCCAGGCCCGTGTGGTCGAATCCGCAAACAAGTGGCTGGAAGGCTATGCTCAGGCTGCACACAAGAAGACAGGCGCCATTGATGTCAGCATCCCCGAGGCTGCGGGCGTGAACAACACGCTGTCTCACGAGATCTGCACCAACTTCGAGGACGGCCCATTGTCGGATATCGGCAACAAGGCGCAAGACATCTGGGTCGCCAAATTCGTCCCTCCGATTCAAGCTCGCGTCAACGGCAAGCTGGGCACGACCCTCAGCACCACCGAAATCATCTATCTGATGGATCTGTGCCCCTTCACCACCCTCGCTTCGCCGACTGCCCAAATTTCGGACTTTTGCCACCTTTTTACCGAGGATGAATGGCAACAGTACGACTATTACGAGAGCTTAGGCAAGTGGTACGGTTACGGCAACGGCAACCCGCTTGGGCCGACACAGGGAATCGGTTATGTGAGCGAGCTCCTGGCGAGGCTCACGGAGAAGCCAGTCCAAGTTGTAGGAAGCATCAACAGCACCCTCGACAAGGACTTCGCAACGTTCCCGCTCCATCGCAAAGTGTACGCCGACTTCAGCCACGACAACGACATGACTGGTGTTCTTGCCGCGTTGGGCTTGTACAACAACACCAAGCCTCTCTCCAACTCAACCATCGAGAGCACCAACGAGACCAAGGGATACTCGGCGGCCTGGACGGTGCCGTTCGCAGCCCGTATATACGTAGAGAAGCTCTCGTGCAAGAAAGCGAAAGAGGAGTTCGTGCGCATCATCGTCAATGATCGCGTCCAGCCGCTAGACTTTTGTGGTGGCGATAGATACGGAAGGTGCACACTAAGCAAATTCGTGGAGAGCCAGAGTTTCACCCGAACCGGCGGGCACTGGAATCAGTGCTTTACTTCGTCGTAGACCCCCGTAGACGCGTATATACGGATAATAGATGCGAACCGTGTGCGAATGTACCAAAGCACGGCGGTCTTTTTTCGCTTAATTGTCGATTGGGAGCCTAGGCGTGCACTTCACAATCGCCAGGGTGGATATGGTGGATCGTGGGTGAGCCGCGTAAGGGTCCAGTCCCCGAGTCCCTGATTGCCATTGACCAGTCTAATCCTTCCAAGTTAGGCCGTCTCCGCTCCTCGCTTCGAATGGAGAATGAATCGGCGCCCAGATGCAACGCCCAGCTTCTGAAAGCGGGTACCACGTTTGGAATTGTTGGAGCAAGTTCCCGGTCCCTTGACTTTGTGTCTGTGCTTCACGGGACCCTGATGCACGTTCACCGCCTTGCGGGAAAAAAAATATTCGTACAAAGGTCGAGGGCAGGGCGGCGTAGTCTAGGTGTCCTCAGTCTCTCATTTTCCTCGCTATCGAAATTATGGGTGTGACAGCTACTGCCACCCAAGTACGCGCCCCGACGGTCCCTGTTGTCGTCTCTGCCGTCCCAGACGTCAAGACTCTCAGGGATGCCATCCCGTCGAAATGCTTTGAGCGTTCTCTAGTCCGCTCATTGTCCTACGTGGTCCGCGATGTCGTCTTCGTTTCAGCCCTCTTCACTTCAGCGGTCTACCTTGCGAAGCTCGACGCACCATGGACCGTCACGGCCCCCCTCTGGCTTCTCTACAGCTTTGTGCAGGGCCTGTTCTTCACAGGCCTCTGGATCCTCGCCCACGAATGCGGCCACGACTCTTTCTCTCCGTACCTCAACGTCAATGCGACGATGGGATGGATCCTCCACTCGGCCCTACTCGTACCGTTTTTCAGCTGGAAGTTCAGCCACGCGAGGCACCACCGTTACCACAACCACATGGAGAAGGACACGGTGTTTGTGCCCAGCACGAAGGAAGAATTCGAGGCAAAAGAAGCCAAGGGGCTAGGGCTCTTCGCCAAGCTGGTGGACCACACTGCGGCGGATACGCCGATCCTTACCCTCGGTTCGCTCGTGGTGCATCAGGTCTTCGGATGGCCGATGTACATGTTCCTCAACGCCGGCGCGGGATACAAGTCTCTAGTCCAGGGCTCGCGGGACACAGTCGCCAGGCACAAGCAATCGCACTACGACCCGCGCGCCAACATCTTCACCGCCGCGGAGGCCCCCTTCGTCGCGATCTCCGACCTGGGCCTTCTCCTCGTCATCGGCGCCCTGTACGCTGCGAGCCGCAGCCTCGGCGTGGGCACCACGCTGCTCATGTACGGCCTGCCGTATCTCTGGATGAACCATTGGATCGGTAAGTTGTGTCTCGCGTGCGCGCTGAGCCGCGCTAACGCCAGGGTCTGCCGACGCTAACTGCCGCTTGACAGTCGCCATTACCTATCTGCACCACACCCACGAGAAGGCGCCGCACTACGATGCTGACAACTGGACCTTCGTGCAGGGCGCCATGTCCACCGTCGACCGCGAGTTTGGCTTCATCGGCCGCCACATCTTCCACGGCATCGTCGAGTACCACGTCGTGCACCACCTGTTCCCGTACGTTTTCTCAATTTCCCAATCTCTCAACAGTTCTGCGTTCTTATCGTGCCCTGCCATACGTCGGAGTTGGGACCCGAGCTGACAGATGCGCTGCAGGAGAATCCCCTTCTACCACGCCGAAGAGGCCACCGAGGCCGTACGCGGCCTGCTCGGCGACAAGTACATTGAGCAGCGCACCAACTTCATGGCGGACCTGTGGACGGCCTTCACGACGTGCAAGTACGTCGAGCAGGGCGCGAAGAAGGGGCAGCTTATGTGGGCGGCGCCCGCGAAGGCGAAATAAATGAGCAATGACAGACAGCCGCAATGGGAGGGCTGCTGGGACAGCCACGTTGGCGCGGCATATGCATTTGGTTGGGTGGTTGTGGCGTTGTTAGACGTCCCGTTTTGCGGATATCGGTGCTTGCCTCAGAGCACCGCAGTTTTGTTTGAAGAGCAGCGTCGCTGACTTGACTGGTTTAGAAGATTGCTATACCCGATAGACATCCTCGTGCGCTAGATACCCTAGAATAGCAAACAAGCATTTCTTCACTCCCTCCTCCACCTCCCCCTCCCCACACTCGATCTGCAACCAAGATTTACGACGCATACGTCACCGCCGCACCCCCAGGCAATTCCGTCAACCACCCGCCTCCAACACCCACGTCCTCGGGCACCTGCTGCGCCTTCTTGCACTTCATCGCCTCGGCCGCGCTCTGGATCTTGAGCACGTTGCAGTTTGCATTTGCGCATTTACCGGAGGGCAGGGCGTCCATGGCTTTCTGCAGGGAGTCGTCTTTCCAGCCGAAGAGGTAGTCACCATGTTGGCCGTAGCCGGTGCTGTCATTCCGCGTTAGCATGCCGGAGATTGGGGGTCTGGGGAAAGGGAGTGGAGTTGGGTTGGGAGAAGTACTGACCCATCGCCGAAGCTGTACACGAAGGGCTGCTTGCCGTTCTTGTACCAGGCGTCGTTCTTGTAGCGGCCCGTGTCCCACATCTGCACGGGCGGGTCAGCATAGCACGCGCGAAGGGGCAGATACCGTGTGGGTGTCTGCGAGAGAAGGTGCGCTTACCACTTCGTACATGACCTGCGGGATGCGCACGGGGTGTGTGGAGGGGCAGTTGGGGGTGCCCAGGCCGCCGCTGTTGCTGTAAGCGACGTGGCTCTTGTGGTCCTGATATCTGTCGTCAGCCTTCCATCCGCCTTTCCCTTCTCCCGAACATTCTCTCTTCCCAGTTGTTGACTTACCGGACTGTCCAGGTTCTTTCCATCCCAGCAGCTGGGGAAGATGACCGTCGCGCGGATGCCCTTGGGGCAGTACTTCGCCGGAAGCTCGGCCGTGTCTTTGGAGTCGCACGGCGCGAACCCTTCCCCGTTGCCGAGGCAGCGGTGGCAGATGGACGCCTTGTTGGTGTTCTTCTTGAGCATCGGATCACCGGCGATCATGCGGAAGCCGGGCTTGAACGCCGTCATTTTGCCGTTCTGTGCGGAGTAGGGCACTGCGGGTGTCAACTGGGGAAGAGGGTAGGGAGGGGGAGGGGGAGGGGGAGGGAGCGATCGTACTGTAGTACACCGTCATGCCGCCGTCCTGCTGCAGCCCGACGTTGGCGAACTGCGGGACGCGCTGGAAGGTGCCGTTCTCGGGGGACTTGAAGTACAGCGAGGCGGTCCAGTAGTTGCTGAAGTCCTGCGGCGCTCGTAAGTATCCCTTCGCCTCGTGGGAAAGAGGAGCTCACTTCCGAGTACGTGCACGATGTGCACGTCGACTTGGACGGGGGGTCGTATTTGGCGGGCTCCATCTGTGCCTCGTTAGACATGGAAGTTGGTGGATGAGAGGAAAGGACTTACCGTGAGGTTGAAGCTGTTTCCTCCGATGATCTGACAAGTGTTAGTCGTCGGTAATTCCCATCGCTGAGCGGACGACTCACTTGGTGCGTGTGTGGCGACGGGTTGGCGCCAGGTGCAACAAGAGGATCCGCGCGCTCGACGGTGAGCTGCGAGCACCCGAAACGCAGCATGTTCTGCGCAGAGGCAGACTGAGCGAGCAGCGCGCCCGTGGCAAGCGTATTCCAGAACATGTTGGGGGGAGATATCTGGGGAGGACAACCAGGAGAATGACGGTTCCGTTTCGTTTCGTTTCGGAAAAGAACAACACCTCTCGCTGCATCCTCATCCTGATATACCTCCCCGTTAAGCCTTTCAAAAGATCAAGCTCGGCAGTGCCGAGCCAACCTACCGACGCTTGTGAATCTCCGCAGATTGGGTTCACAAGGATTGCTTCCACGCATATGGCAGGCGCACACCCCTACGGCCTATCATCGCAGCGGGAATCAAGAATTTGGGCAAATATGAGGACCTGCAATATGTTCCGCTGGCCGGGAGCTGCTGCTCGAGTGCCGAAGGTGGTACAGATTAACTTGCGACTCAATATACTTACCCAGATTAGTTTACCCCACAACATCAGCCTGTGGGGAAAGGCAAGCATCAGCGGTGTTGGGACTGGTGTTGGTATGAATACTATGACGATGGATCTTCGAAGGTGTCGTGCGGTTATTAAGACACAGGGTTGGTGCGTGGTATGGTGGTGTATTGTCGGATTGATTGGGCCGTGCGTGGCGACTGTCGCGATGAAGTGCGTTATCGCATAGGCTTTTGTCATGGGCTGGGTACCACCGAACCCGTTCGCTCATACGGCTGGATGAGTGTCTTTCAGTGCGCCACACTTCGAGTGCTCACTTGTACCTTCTACCGTTCTTCGGTGCCTCCACGGGTAGCGCTGAAAAAGAGCAATGCCCTATAGTCTCGCCAGCGCGTTCTTCTTCCGAGACTACCCCCAACTGTACCTTCTCCAACCATGGAGCAGCCTCCTTTACGCTAGCGTGGCAAGCTGCACTGATGACCCAGCTGCAGGATCCTGCGAGCGGGATATGCGTTTCGAAAATCTTGTCGCCAAAGAACCAGACCAGGAAAAGTAGCACAATGAGTACAATCGAAAGGGTCAGCAATGCTGGCAGTGAGAACCCGCATGCTGCTTCAGAAGACTCTTCTTTAAGAGCGCCTTCTCTGTCATATCTATCCACTCGGACAAGGAACAGAGCTTGCGACGCAAGCCAATGTAGTAAGCCGCTTGTGAAATTGACGGGTATCCCCCATTTCAAGGGGAGTTGTAGGAAATGGGTCTCGCGATGTTGCCCCTGGGGTTTGGTGACACGCAGGCTTTTTCGCTCTTTGCCCAGGCGATCCCATTCGTAAGCGAGAGCCAGAGAAGTGAACAAATTGTTGAACAAAGATCAAGGAGAGGAACAGCTGTGGTGCGTTGGCCACGAATGCCAGCAGTGACGTGGAACCACCGTCGAATCTCTGCTGTCCGATCGCAAAGCGAGCAGTCGAGGCGGCACCCCAGGTCCCAAAGGAGAACTTGTCACCCAGCGCAGGGAATGATCCAACAAGATTCATTATCGACAAACCTCCCCTACCGGCACTTAGTGTTCATCCTGCGGGAGGCGGGTCATGCTTACACAATGATGAGAACCTTACGTTTCCGCCTAGTGATAGCATAGGCATACCGAACCTGTTGTGTTTCCCAGATTCCTTGGCGACGCCTAGCCAATTTTTCTGCGTAGTAGCTTTCTGCTTCTTCTAGTGTTTGTTTTCTTCGCCCAGCTTTCCAAATATAATCTTTGGCAGAGTAAGTGCAGTAGCCACGTATACTGGCATCTGGCTGCTCTAAGAATGCCGCGACAGCGTCTCCTACAGTCACCAGAGGCAGTTCCGTGTCCAGGTTACTCCGCATAATTGTCAGGGTCAGACATGTAATCTTAATGATGTTGCAAGAGATGACGACCATCAAGAACGGGAGAATCATCTGTATCCTGGTGTTTCGACGGCCACGTAGGGCATACCCGCCGTCTACATCCACCGTCACATTTGCTCCGAACGTATCGGCCTCGGACTGCCAATCTTTACGCAGTACCACAGCGAGAATACGGCCGGTGCTGTCGATTTACTCGTCCAACCTCAAATATTATGGTTGTCTGGCTCAGCTGGCAACGGGAAAGATGGTAGAGTGATGCTCCTGTTACGGCTTTTCAGATATTCACGAATTGTTGCGTTGAACCCGTAATTGATGCTCGATATTTTCAAGTACAGGTCACCAAACTCGCCGACAATGTTCGGTCATACGACTTCTTGATGTCGACGACCGAAAGTGTCGATATTGGAAGCATGTTGTTCCCATACGTGGCATTCACGAACGAATTCCATTCTGTATTATCGTACTCGATGATCTTGATGCGGTACTCGTTGTCAGATAGAACTTGAAAAATGGACGCGTTGTAGCTGCTCTGTCTAGCACCATTTCACATTGGTCGGAAACAACTCACAATAAATGTAGTGGCACCGATGAAAGCCCTAGTACAAACCAAAGAACTCTTCTACGACGCGAAATGGATCCAACGTTCCGGAGGCTGGGTATGCCGACGTCTAGCTAACTGCCTCTTTCATGCGCTTTGATACACTCGGCTCTGGTGGGCGAAGAGAGGACTTGCATAGTATAGTTGCTAGCGCTCAGTAGTAAGGTGCTAAGAACGTGGATTATGACATGTAGAGCAGTGCTCGCCCGTGAAACTTGGTCTTCATTACCCGCGAGGAGTGTCGCAATGCCACCTTGATTGCTCATTTTGGCTGTGAGACCGATTATCATGAAAGCAATACTCATAAAAAGCACAAAGGTACAGGCGAAGATGCCAGCTACGACACCCCATTGCCAGCCGTGAAAGCGACTTCGTCGTTTGAGACTTCGATAACCGACGAAAGGCTTGCTGAGAATGTACCAGGTCTTGCTTCGAATGGATGTCTTTGAGGTGGCCTGTGGTTCCGTGCTGGAAGACGTAGGTTGCAATGATTCCATCTCAGATAGGTCATGAGATTCGTGGACATTTCTGTGCGTTGATGTACCAAAACAGAAGAGACCGATGAGATATGCACAGCTTTGTGTTCTTGAGGATGTTGACGTACGTAGTAAGATCCAGCAACTCGTGTGAGGATTGAGCCGTGTCGATAATACGGTAGGCCGGGTCCATTGCGACCAGTGCACTCGAATTGTTCTTTTCCGCTGGACAGCAGTCCCACTATCTTCCTATATGTACGTCAACTTCAACCTTGCTGCGGGGGGCCGAATGCGACCTGCATGATGGCGCATTGCTGAGCCTCTCTGGGCAGAGCTCATGCACCTCTACCAAGCCGCGCCATTGGCCTTCCTCTTTCAGCCTTAAACCCACCTTCTAGAAACTTAGGCGCATGTGATTCTCGTGCGAAAACAGGATGCAATTTTGGCGTATGAGAGATTGGAATGTTAAGTATTACTGATGAGCAACAAATACCGTGAGGCCAACCCTCCAGAACCACACTAGCCCAATCGAGCATTACCGTTCGTTTCATAAAACGGTCGTTCGTTCCGAATGTTGCGCCTCGTCTGATTAAAGTTCCTCTGCATATCGAAATGACGCGTGACGCTATCTCGCGATATCGAAACCGCTTGTGCAGGTGCTCGCTACCTGAATTTGATATGCAGCGTGGTATGGAAAATACAAGTCTGCTATTCAGTGTACCTGGTAGAATCAGGGTGGATGTCTAGGTCGCAGATGAGATTACGCGATTCATTTCATGTAGATAAGTGCTGGAGGAACGATCTTGCTGGTAAGGTAATGTGAGGTGTGATGTCACACCAGTACCACTTCTTCCACCACCTCCTCTTACCCTGGATCCTATCTCCCTACCGCAAAACCCCCTCATCCATCCATCCACCGCCTGCTAACCCCGCAACCTCCCTTCGGCCCTGCTTCACTCCCGATTCTGCTCCCATTCCCTTTGCCACATGGACCGCACTCTCTCGCCGCCCAGGCCTCCCCCCTACATCCCCATCCCTTGCAAAAACCTGCAGTCCCCTAAGATGCGTATCCTTCCCATTCTGGTGATTTTCCAATATCTTAACCTGCACGAGATGGCACCGCAGCGTCGGCATCTTGACTTTTCGGGGTGTTGCAGCGGTGCGCGGAGGCGGTGGCGCGTTGGGGGAGAGGCTGGCGAAGGGTGCGCGGGGGTGCGGCCGGGGAAGGGGTTGGGATGGTGTTGTTTGCTGGGCCTGGCCAAGGGGTGTGGTGTTTTGGGTGATTGGGGTATCGTTGGTCGCCGGGAGTGGGTTGGGGAAGGGTGTAGCAGTCGCAGTAGCTGCGCCAGCAGGCCGGGGCGCCGTGTTCTCAAAATCAGACACGTCGTCCTGGGGTTGCGCATCGCGGAATGCCTGCCAGCGTGGCTCCGCCGCGCCACCAGCATCTTCCATATCCACTTCGTTCGCATCCGCGTCGTCGTCGTCTTTCTCCTCGTCAGAATCCTCATCTGGATCACCCACCCCACTAAAGTCCGCCCACACCCAGCCCCTCGGACTCTCAAGCCTCATCTCGCCCCACTCCACCAGATCGTTCATCCCACTCCCAGCCAAAAACACAATCCGCGTCGGGGTATAGCTCTCGTCCTGCTCGAAATCCAGATACAGCCGCAGCCCCACAATCCTTACGAGCTTGAAGAAGTGGATGTTGAGGTAGTGCGGCTGGGGCCCGTCGGACTGCCAGAAGAGTTGCGGGCTGGGGTGTCGTAGCTGCGGGACAGAGCAGCCGGGCTTGGAGGAGGACACAGTCCAGGAGGCGAGGGTGGAAATTTCGCGGAGGTCAGGGGGGAGGGCGGCGGTGAGATTGAGTTGGGAGGGGGACAGGGGCGGGGAGGAGGGTTCGGATCCTGGGGAGAGGGGGCCTGCGGGTTCTTCTTCGTCGGAGACGAGTTCTTGCGGGTCTAGGTCCTGCGAGCGGCCATTTTCGGAGGCCCCTGCAGATATGTACTCCTCGTCTGACTCGGAGAAGACTTCTTGGGGAGAAGGTGACGGTGGGGCCCTACGGCGGAGGGACGGCATGTTGGCTGTTTACTCGTCCAATTGAGTCGTTTGAAGGTGGATCGCGGTCAAGGCGAGGTTTGCGGGCGGAGAGTCCCTGTCAATGATTTCAATTTGCGATTCTAAAGCGTGCGTTCGAAGGTCGTGCCCGGTGGCCCATCCAAGCTCTTTCACGTGTTGTATTGCTCGCCTGAAAAAGCAAGTGTGAGGGTAAACGTCGTTTGTCGTTCTGTTCAGCGCATGCCAAAGTCCCAATCAAACACGTGTGCGGATACTTCACACAGCACGGCTCTCACTGGATTTTGGAAGTGGGAACCTCAGGGTTTGGGAGCAAGGCTTCGTAAGTGTTGTGGTGTCGGAGCATACGCGATGCTAAACCGCAAGTCGCGCTCGAACCCTTGACACACTAGCTCGTTTGGGGAAGAACCAAATGGGGTCGACGACGGTGCGCTTCCACGCTGTTCAGATATAGAAGCCGGGATTCAAGTAGTCTGGTTATAATTGGACGCAGGAACACTTGCGCTGGGATATATTTCAATATTTGTCCATTGATGCACGCTTGAAACCGCATATCCCCTCGCACACTCAATTTAGTCGGCTTCGCTGGCTACGAAAAGTGTTCATGCATTAAAGATTCTAGGTCGTTGCTAGTATTACAAGACGCCCTTCCTTCTATGATCGCTTTTCAAGCGCCATCAACTCGCGGCACCACCACAAAAGCCAGCAAGCACCCACACAAAACGGCGCTGAGGCACGGTAAAACTTTCCCCTAACGCCAGTGCGTCTGCCATTCCCTGATCCATTCCTGATCCCCTGTACCCCTGCCGGTTATCGCTTCATCGTGGTGGGAATCTCCATACCGTACCGCGTCCCCTCGCGCCTACTCTGCATTCGGCCTCCCCAGAATTGCCGTCTGGTCGCCCTCGGGACTGAACCCCCTCTCCTTCTTCGGCGTGCCCCCAACTGCCTCCTTCGCCAATTTCCTCGCGCGTTCCCGACTCCCTACGTCGTCTTCCCCGATGCGCTCCAGCTCCTGGCTAACCTTCATATTAAGTGAGTCGACGAACTTGCGATTCTCAGGGCTGAGTGTACCATTACCATTCCTTTGCTCTCCGTTGGGCTTCGCGCTTTTCTTCTCGCCGTTGGCTGCGGGGCGCCCGCGGCCGTTCACGAATGCGTCGACGCCGTCCTCGGCCGACTTGCCGAGCGACTCGATCTCGCGGTCCACGCCGTGGATGGCGTCGCGGGTCGACTTGGCGATGTGCTGCTGTGTCGTGCGGTGCTTGGTGTTAGGAGCACCGCGGCGCATGTAAGACTTGACGAAGAAGCGCATGAACAGGATGGTCAGAGGGGCAAGGTAGATGAGGTTGAGGTAGATGGCGAAAGCCTGACCAGAAGTGTCAATGCAAGGAACGTGCTCGTACTGGGTGCGGTAAACAGTGCGGGTGTGGGTTGCGTGCTGAATGGGGTGCTGGGCATGCTGGGGAGCTCCAGCGAAAGCTGCGGGAGTTGTGGCAGGGGCAGCGTAGACGTTCTCAGCGAGGCCCTCGTCACCAGCGGCGCGGTAGATCCACTTCTTGAGGAAAGCAAGACCAGCGCCGGTGGCGGCAGGGACGGCAGTCGAGGCAACGGACGACGCCGCTGAGGCGATGGACGAGGCGTTGAGCTTGGGGAGAACGTTCTCGGCGACTTCATAAGCGACGGAGACGGGGACGGTGTACGAGACGAAGAGGTGTAGGGCTGCGAAGGTTACGCCCACGAGGAACTGGGTGATTTGCATGGTGGTGAGCGTGCGCTTGATGCCCTGGGGGACGCGGACACCCAGAGCGGAGACGGTGTAGTATGTGTACTGTGGCTGTTAGCAGTCGAAGCGGACTGTCGAGTGGGCACATACCATCATGGCGTGGATACCAGAGTTGACGAGCGCAAACATCCAGATGGGAGGGGACATGTAGCGAATGCCAGACCACATGCTCAACATGGCACCAGCGTGGTGGTACGTCTGCAGCGTGGTGCTGCGCTTGCCCTTGAAGATGATGATGAGCGTGTCGATGACCTCGTAGAACTTGGACAGGTAGAAGATCCAGCCCCAGAAGGCAAGACCCTCGTTCCAGACGCGACCAAGGTCGTCCGACTGGGGGAGGCCGTTGGGGTCCAGCTGGATGTTGCGGTTCGTGCTCTGCCACTGCTGCGTCTCCGAGTTGTATGTGACGGCGTCACCGAGACCGCGGGGTCCGTGGATCTTGCACAGCGCATCGACGGTGCCCACGAGCGCGTTCGGCTCGGTGTAGTGCGGGATGGCATGCTTGAGCGAGCGGATCATGGCCCAGCAGGTGACGGCCGAGTACACGGCCAGAAACACGTTGTGGAAGATGACGAAGATGTAGAAGGCGCGCGTCTTGCTAATGGCCCACGGCTTGTTCCCATGCTTGCGGTTGTAGGCGTTGAGCAGCGAGATGGTCGTCGCGTACACGGCCGCCACCGTCAGGGGGACGATGGGCTGCAGCACGGCGTTGTAGATGTTGGCGGGGATGGGGAACGGGTTCCTGAAGCTGGTGAAGGGCGCGTCGGCCACGGGCGGGGGGATGGCAGGCGGTGCGGCGTCCGGAGGGAATCTGAAGACGGCCCACTTGGGGAACTCGCCCGGGTAGAGGCTCGGTCCTGCGCCCGACATGATGGCGATGCGGCGGTGGCTCAGAAGTGAAGGGGAGCGGAGCAGGCGCGCGTGTTCACGTCAATTGCGTCGAATCTGCTCAGGCGGAGCTGCCTGGAGATGAAGCGTCAGTCGGGGCGCGATGCGCTCTTGTTTGCCGTGCCCTATGGCGACGCGCGCACCGGTGTGACGACATACCTCGAAAAGATTCCAGCCAGCGTCCCAACGCTGCGATTGCGCCCGACAAGAGAAGCACACTCAAACAAGCAACGTTCACAGAAGCAGTGCAAGCAAGGACAGAGGAGCAGCGTAAAGACCCATACAAATGCACTCGCTCCCAGGACAATCGCACACTCGATCGAGGACTGGGCGTCTTTAAAAAATTCACGACAGGCACAGGCCCTAGCAGGTCGGCACGACTAGCGCCCCCATCCGCCTAAAGCCTCGGCCACGGCACCGCGTCTGAGTGGCCCACCGCTCGGAAACAAAGCTCCATCTAGCAGAAATGTCGACCTGCGCCGCCGGGAAGCCTTGGGACGTGGCTCGCAAGCCTAGCCGGCGAAGCGGTCAGTGGCGGTGACGCGCTGGACGAGCTGATGGGCACGAGACGGCCAGCGGCGGAACTGCTGCTGCGAGGCGTGCATCCTGCAGGGGTGCAGAGACCCTGAGCTGCCCCTCGTGTCCGAGCTTTCCAAGGTTGGCCGCGAGGCTGGTGCCGGTATGCGCAGGAACTTGGACAGAGAACAGTCGTGTGTGGTGCAGTGCTGCTGGGGAACTTGAGGCATTTGGAATGTGTCAAACCTCGACCCGATGCCGCATGCCGGGATGTGGAATGGCTTGGACTGAACGTGAGCTCCTCGTTCGATGGGGTGCTGTAGAGGGACTCGACGTGTGATCGTACCGAGCTGCACAAGTCTTGACCTGATGCTACATGCTGTTTGATCTCAATATCCACACGACAAGCAACTGTCACATGCTGGCAGGCCTCCATTCTCACACGAGAGTCAAGGTTCCACCAAACCACATCTACACGAAAAAGAACGGGTATACAATTCAAACAGTCTAACAATGCCAAACTCCCCTTCCCAAACAAAAACCCCCTCAAAACTTCGGCTTCGTACCCAACGGAATCGGCGGCGGCTCCGCGGTCCCACCGAACTCTTTCTTCTTCGGCGGCGGCGGAGGCGCAAGTTTCTTCCCCGGACCACCCGTGCTAGGCGACGGCGGCGGGCTCGCCTTTGACCCCGAAGCCAGGCTGCTCATCCTCCCTGAGATGTTGTACTTCTGGTTGAAGGCGCTTGCTTTGGTCCGGGCCGCTGCGACTTGGTCTCCGTGTCGTTCGCGGAAGTTGTTTGCGGTGGAGGCGGCGGTCCGCGCGTCGGAGAAGGACACTTGAGATGGGTCTTTGTGGAGATTGTTCGCCGTCTTGAGGGCGGCTTGCTTCTCGGCCCACGTAGTTCCAGATGCCGGAGGTGCGCCAGGCGAAGAGGACGAAGATGGATTCGTGCCTGCAAAGCGAGCTTGCAGCTCACTGAGCTGCGAGCTCTTCCGAGCTGGTGGAGGCGGGGGCGATAGAGGTGTTGGTGACGATGTCTGACGTGGAGGCACAGGCGGAGATGCGTTGCGTCCGATCTCGAAGCCGGGTACAGCTACGCCTGCTTGACCTAACCTGCTCATTGCGCCCTGATTCAAGTACCCTCCTGCACCGGTGTTGTCTTGTAAAGACTCATTGTATGTAGGGGGTGGCGCGGGCGCATACTCGTTCGGGTTGGAGTTCTGTCGAGGTGGCAGTCGAGGCGGTAGACCAGGCTTTGGTCTGGGCTTCGTGGAGTGCGCAACGGCTGGAGGCGGCGTTTGACCAGGCCTGAACGCTGGCGGTTTGGGCAGATGAGCAGTACTGAGTCCAGTGGTATCTGCAGTGTATGGTCCTGGCCGTGGCCTATTTGCTTCCTCTTCTTGTCTCTGCCGTGCCTCTTCCTCCGTTCTGGTCGCTCGCGGCCTAGCCGGACCAGCTGCGTCTCCATGGTAGGCGCGGTGCTTTGGTGGTGGAGGGAACAACGACGGGTCTTTCAGTGTTGATAGCGGTGCGGAAACGTGCGCATGGGCATCTTCAGCAGGATCGCTGCTCTTACCCATGGCCTTGTTTTTCCATCCTGCCTTTGTCATCTGTCAGTGATACGTGCCATGGTGTGGTAGCATGCGGTAGAACGTACCACCGTATTGACGCCTTTGAAGTCGCCCCTCCAGCTCTCCTTGCCTCCTTCTCCCTTCCCTCCCGGGTGCCATCCACCTTTTGCAATATTTCTGAGGCCACTCATGTTGGCGGCTGGAGATTGCAATTGCGGATGCACGCTGCATGCTTGACAGCGGACTTGAGGGCCGATGACGCTAGCCAAGCCCACTTATTCAGCAGTATTTCACAAGACAAACTGCACAAAGTCATCAACATTGGCAACGGACATTGGCGTTTATGACAAACTTTAGCCTTTAGCCCGTTTTCTTCGTTCTGTGAAGCCTATTTACATTCCCTTTATCCCCCTCCCCATGTTTGCGTGCCCGATCTGTTCATGTCCCATTATCATCCATCAAACGATCTCGTCTAACACATTAGAAGGAGCGTAACGAAGAAAACAAAAGAAAAACGTATGCTCGTCAGCATTACTTCCGCGCTGCATTTTTCCCCTCAAAGGAACGAAATGACATGATTTTAAATCAATCCCACAGTGTAGGATAGGAAGGATTATCAGATGGTATCGGTAGGGTTGGATGAGGGTGCTCATTAGCGGAAGTGTAGTAACACATCATCACTATCTGGTTGCTGCTTTGTGGGTCTCGGCTCAAGAGGACCGTCGAGCAGCTTTCGGGTTGGTGACTAGTGTGGCGTTTAAGGACCGTAAAGAAGATATACCGATGAGAGTGTATGCTGTTGTATCCATGCTGTTTCGCTTAATCAACGCTCCGGGAATGAGATGCCGCATACAAGAAATGGAAATCAAAAACCGAGAAGTGACGTATGCAGAAGTAAATCAAATTGATCGATCGAGCCTCGGGTATCCTGGTGCTGCAGAACGGAAGAGTAACACTTGGGGCAAAAATGCGCGGCGACAGCTCTGCTGTCAAGATCTGAGTATGTTCTCCACGTGTTGTCTGGCTTGGAGAAACACATGACATTCAAGGTTTGTGTCAAATGCTACACTCGTCGGTGTGCGTGTAATAGGGTCATCGTCGGTATACCGACTTGTGTGTGAGCGGCGAGTCAAAGAGACCAGGCATCGGTCCCCTCACCCTACCACCACGGGCTACGGGTGTTTGGCCAGTACAAAAAACGCAAACATAGACCGGAGGTACGTTGTTGTCATTGAGTCCAACGCAAGGCATATGCAACCAATTTCTGCAACTCTCGCATAAGATCATAGGTCGACCGTCGTCAGATCCATTGCAGACACAACGTGTCGCGTCATTAGATAGACTACTACGATCGGTCGATGGCGTTGTCAAGGTCGTATCAGAGGTATTCGCAGGAGAAACACTGAATGCGTTGCTAAACGGGTCGAACAAGGCTGGCTGTCCGTGAGCCATATCAACCGAAGCTTGAGCCCAGCGTTGGTTATGGGCTTGCAGGGTGTTATGGGCAGAGCGCTGTTTCTGCCGACCGGCGACAGCTTTCTTTAAGGCACCAAGTGCGTCCCCTGGGGAGTCAGAGGAAGGCTGGTCGGCACCTTCTTGGGTGTCATCGAACGAAGTCGGGAAATCCATCATGCTAAATCTTCTGTGTGCGTTGTCGGCAACCCTCCGTACAGGTCGGACTGTGTCAAAGGACGCTTTGTCGAAGACTACGGACGATGGCCTTGGTGCTGGCCTCGGAACCTTGAAAGAGTTGGACCGGCTGATTTCACCACTATCATTGCGGGCGTGCTTAGAAGTACGGCGTTGAGGCACATTGAACGATGCGTTGCGGCTGAGTGTAACTGCTTGAGGGGTGACCTCTTCTTCTGAGTCGCTGTCATCGTCATCATTCCACAAGTCTGGATACTGCGCCCTCAAGTCCAGAGGGTTCTTAGGGGGTTCCTGCCTATCCTCGTCTTCATCGTCTGCCGGCACGGTTTCTGTCCGAGCTCTGCCGGTTTCATCGATTATTAGGCGGGTCCTAGGTCTACGAACCTCAGGTATTGCCATGAGTGAACCACCGCTTGACCGTTTCAGAGGCGACGAACGTCGAGGAATGTTGTAGGCCACGGCTGAGTTAGACGAGCGTGACTCCATAGAAGAAGGCCTGCTTCTCCTGAAGCCGCTGTCCGTGTTGCTTCGCTGCAGAGTGGGTCGTCCCTCGAACGATGCGTTCGAAGAGTTGGTGCTAGTACGGGAATGTTGGCCTTTAGCCTTCCTCGCTGCCTCTTTTTCCCGCATCGATTCTCTCAACTGCGTCTCATATGGTTGTCTATTCTCCGCTGGTTTATTGGGCATTGGCATAGACATATTGAACGACGAGGCCGGACCTGGGCTCGAGAAGCTAAAGAGCATGCTAGGATCCACACCACCTGAAGTTGAGACGAAGGAGCTTGGTCGGGAGCAAGATACATCACCGCCATTGCTTGTGGTGAATGAGGACCTTGGACCGGGCGATGATTGCAGTCCTTGGAGAGCCTGGAAGGCTTGAGGGTTCACCTGATTGTTAGCCGGGGTGTGAAATGTATGCCAACTCATGTTGCCTTCAATCTTGTGTGGGGTAGGGCCAAACGGGTCCTCTGCAAAGGGCATATCTATATCCATCTGTGCAGGTTCATTGGACTGATCCCAGAACAACCGCGATTGAGGTAGAGCGGGTGCAGACATTGGACCAGTACTGGAAAATTGGACCATATCAGGCGAGAATTGAAGGCTGGGATATGCGAGCGGCGTTTCGTTGAACCAGCCGTCACCCGGATGAGCCTGTCCTGGTGCGTGTGCAATCACGGTGGCTGGCGTGGAGACATTTCCTGCACTGTATTGCAATCGGCGAGACGTGGCATCCCTCGTGGGAGGCGGTGTCTGCATCTGGGAGGTATCCATACTGAGTGGACGGGGCCGAGTCGAGATGTGCTCTCGGAGAATTGCCGCGGTATTGTGCACAGATTGTGGGTCGGGGGACGACGATAGCCTCCGTGACGGGTCAACAGGTGGCAGCGGGAGATTGGTCACGGCGAAGTGGTTGACATGGAAATCGGGGTCTTCAGGTGTGCGAACCTTCAGACTTTGTGACGTCGACGGCCGCTCTATGGGTGTCGAGATGGCGAAGGTCGGGGTCTGGGCGGGCGTCTGCTGCCCATTGACTCGGGGTGTCGACCAGGCGTCGAGGAAGTGCGATTGAGGAAACGACTCAGTTCTAGGCGTCTTCAACGTCGGATCTGGGCCGACGGACTTTGGTGTGGAGGTGGGACTGGGAAGGTGCCAGTCGGAAGATCTAACGAAACAACAGGCCGTTAGCTTCGAAACGTTTTGGGGTGCACTAAGGGAAAGGCGCAGAACGAAGAAACATGACGTAGGAACGTGAAGGATATACAAGAATTTGGTGGCGACATGAGAGGTCCATGATGGGTTGTGCTGACTGGGACTCGGAAGGAGCTTGGGGTCGGGAAGGAGCTCTGGAGCGGCAACCGTGCGGTGCTGCCTTCGCTCTGCCTGGACTACACCCCAATTGGGCGATCCATGAAGCAGAATGAATATCGCAGATAGGCAGAAGAGCCCTTCATGGCTGCTCGTGTGTCCGCTCCAAAACATGCCTCACCGGTCCCCAGCGTCATCCTGTCCCGCAAAGATCGGTGGCCTGGTGGGGGACACGCCGAGCTTGAACCGGGTAGAAGGAAGCTCATACCCATATATGTGGTGATCCAAACTCATAGCAAAGCTGGTGATATAATGTCGGCACCGCAAATACCATATAGCGTAGCTCTATTGGGGCGGCGGTCGGAGGGGGTGGTGGGCGTCGAGAGCGGCGGGGACGAGGAGACGGAGGTGCTCTGGCAGAGAAATCGTCTTTTCTTTCGACCTGGGAGCAACGGCAATGCAGGCAGGGCAGAGCGGCTGTAGTACAGTCGACGCGGAAGGACGTTCGGAGAGGCAGGGCTCTGGTGTGCTGTGAGACGTGCTGCAGGTACGAAGCCACACGAAGGGGTAGACGGCCGCAGTCGGCGTCGACGTCTGCAAACCAGGGCTCTGGAGGGGTCAAAGAGCTCAGGCCGCTTCTTGGGATGAAGGCGGTATGTTTTTCTTCACGGAGCGAGACCTGTGGGGCCGGCGAAGTGTGCAAAGAATTACTGAGACCTGAATTATTGAGACTTGCCAATGAGAGGGTGGCCCGGCGACCGCCCGCGCTGTCAGGAATGCAGATGCAGCTCTCCTGAGGCTAGGGATCGTGCAGGAGCAGATCAGGTACCGCGCCGTAGCGGGCTGGCATGTTCGTGGGGATGCATTGGGGGAAGCTTCATTATTGGCAGGGGGATGCTATGAGGGCATTCAAAGCGCCAGCGGAGGAGAGCAGCCTCCGCCGCAGCTCGGCGCAGGGCAAGCTGTACGATAGGCTGAGCGGTTAGCGGCGCCCGACAGGTAATGCGCCAGATTGGATGGCTGCCGGCACAATACATGGAGGCCGCTGGAAGGATGCACGGTGGGAGGTAGACGCATCGTGGAAACACGCGGCGGTGTACTAGATCACAACTGCTGCCCGCTAGAAGCTCCCGGCCCTTTGCGCTGGAGATGCTCCACCACTCGCTCCGCCAGCCTCTCGAGAGTGCGGCGACTGCTCTCCTGAAGCCAACATCGCCAGTCAACCACGGCTCCAAGCAGCAAATGGGCAGCCTATCACGCGTCTCCAGCTGGCAGCTCTAATACCTGCCCTATGCCCGCTCCCATGTCCGAGCGGGCCTACACCCTGCAAATCTGGAAATACCATGTTGAGATGCGGCCAATCGCGATGGAACGATGTTCCAGTGTCTAGAATGTCGGGCGAATTGCCGTTCGTGTTGGCTTAGGGCGACCACCTCATCCTCGTCATCGCGTGAGCCTTGGAAAGCGAAGAGGCCCACGAAGGAGCCTCGGGGGAGTTGGTGGCAGCGACATGTGTGCTTCTGGCGGCACTGAAGAATCATCTGAGACACAACACTCGCCTTGATACCCTCGTGTGGTCTTGCCGTACAGTGTCCGAGGTACAGCATCAATGTGGGGAGCTCCGTTGTTCTTCGGTACCCTAGTATCGCCAAAATTACACGTCACATGCTCGCTTATCCAGGGCCTTCATCTTATGCAAGGTACGAATTCCGCCAATCTGCAGCCACCGCCACCGCCAATAGCCAATGCGGACTCTCCAGCGTCGTAGCAAGGGAGCTGGACAATGTCGCCATCAACTGGCTATCCCACCTTGCCCCTCATCATCTCCTGTTCCGTGGGTCCAGGACACCCCATACGTTCTCCCATGTGAGGGGCTGACCTAGTGAACTCTAATCCGGAATCCAGCGGCTGAACGATACGGACTACCAATGTACGAAGGAAGCTGGAGTTCGGTACCAGGAATCGACTCGTAAATTCGGTGCATTAACTTCGGCTGCTATATTTGACCCAATTTTCATGCATTCGTACGAACAATCCCAACCTCCATGCCCTCAAAAGAAGAAAAAATTGGCGTCTGTTCGCCATCATACGAAGTGGGCCAATGACGAGTAAACCCCTTTCCAAAAGCATGTACAGATATTAACAAATAGAACTCGTGTTGGTCGCCGACTCCGTACGTTTCGCGCGTTGATGTTGCCATTGCATGGCAGCATACCACTGTGGGCCAGAAAGCCAACGACCCAACATGGTCCCGTGTCACCCTAAGATGCGAGTGCCGAGTCCAGACCATTAGCGAGGGAAGGTCAATCGACCTCCGTGGAAAAGTTAACATCAAGGCGATCTTCTGCCCACCTGCGGATCCTGCTGATACGAAAAGTCGGACACAACGGACATGTTGTCAGAGTTTCTGTGAAGAGTGGGACCTGATAAATTCGACACGGCGTCGTCTTCCCGCGGGTCTTCGAATGGGTTTTGCAGCGGCCGGAACACCTGTCTTTGGGAGGAGTAACGGGAGTGTTGTGACGAGACTGACATCGACGAGCGAGGTATCCTAAGGCTACTGTTCCGTGAGGCAACGCTTCGGGGTTTGTATGGCGGAGGTGGTTCTTCGTGAAGGCTGCTACCATCTACGAACGGATCGCCCAGCCCCATCCGCTCGTTCCGCGTCGATATGATATCGGACGTATCGATTCCAGTCATATAGTTGCCGCTAGAACCAGCTGATATTGGACCTAGAATAACGGGCGGCGGAGAGGTCGGACGCTGCATATTGTCCTCATAAGAAGTATACGAAGGTGCTCTCGAGACCGGGACTGCGGGAGCCCTATATGCATGCACCGTGGGTTGTTGGAATTTCACCTCCGGCACGACATGGTTCTGTGTTGCCGCTTGTTGTTGCCTCTGCGTCCGTCGCCTCTGCGTCCGTCGCTTCCGCATACAGAAGAAGACAACAAGCCCGATGATGGCGATGACAATGACAGGGACTGCACCTGCGGCAGCGTACATCGGACCCTGGTTTGAGTGCTCCTTTCGTTCGTGGTCTGCTGTTGATCCTCCTTCGATAGAGGGAAAGTCTGTGCTTGGAGAATCTGATGCTACCGGGAAGATGGAAGCCGTCACGGTAGCCGTGTATCCGCCTGTGGAAAGCTGGGGTGTGGTGTTGACTGTGGATGATGTGATAAATGTGCTCGACGCGAGATGTTGACTGGCGAACGGCGGTGGATCCCAAGTCGTTGAAGAGAGCGGCCCGTACTGAGTGTAATCGTCGTCGTCAGTGGGTCTTGAGAACTGAGATGAGGTGGCGGTCATTGGAGAGTCGTCGTCAATCACCCAGGAGGGACGGTCGTCGCCATTTCGCTTTTGAGCATCAAGCCCATCACGCCGGGGTACCATGAGGATAGTCCGGAAGCGCGCGTATATGAGCTTAGAGGAGACTGCCCTACTAACGATGACACAGCGTCAAGCAGCAGCCAATGCTCTGGGAAAGGTCTCAAGGGTGAAGGGCACTATCCTTGAGGACGCGCGCAATTACAGTGCGCCTGGAGAACTTGATATCAAAGATATCAAAGCTAAGGTGGCTGGCAGTCCTGTTGTCCTGGTGTTTAGGCCTGGAAAGCGGGGCCGGCCGACGATCTCCGCGAATTCGGAGGTTGTACTAGCTGCAGTTCCCGAAGCTTGTAGCTATCAATGACGCCAGAATGCTAAAATGCCGTAATCAGATAAAGCGACGCTCACGCAGGACTCGTCGACGTGTCGTGTGGTGCGCGGGTGAAGGAAGAGAGATTCCCCATTGCGACTCGAAGCTGAAGGCATCCAGTGGGTCGTGCTGGCAACAATCCTTTGTCTCGGTAAGCGGACCAAGTGAGTGTATTGGCCTGGCGTTGGATGCTAGCACAGCCCCAAAATTGAGGATAGGCTCAGCCCCCGCTTGTTTGGAAGCCACGACCCTTGGCGCATCCCACGTGTAAGACATTGCTCACTGTTCGAAGAGCTGAAGCGCATCAACAGCTGGTAATCGAGATGCAAGAACACAATATATGGATTCATGCTTGAAGGAATTATCTTCTCATCTTGCTGCCATTCTCGCTGTGGATGTTACAAGAGACAACCCTGCTAGTCACAGAAATAAAGGATCCGCGTCCCGAACCATATCGCGTTATTTATGGTGGCAGCAATGCAAACTACCAATAGCCGTGTCACTGCAACACAATGCCAGCCGCACCAAGACCACCAGAAGCCGCCCAGCTCGGAATCTTAGAGCACCTTCTGTCCTGCTTCTTAGTTGGGCGAAAGAAAGTCGGTTCAATTTGCGTACTACCTCCGATGGAGCAAGGTTTCTTACACCTACACAGCCTAGTAGATCGAGAAGACTTCCTCGGGCCTGTATGAGCTAACGAGCCGTGTGTGCCGACTTAAGATCATACATCAACATTACCGTCTTCAGCATGCATGCACTCTTGCCAGTCGATATCCGGTTTTTCTGAACGACGTATCGACAATCGCGCCGCCGCTACTAGCCTGAAAACATCTATTTCAAGCATCGCCCACATGCAGTTCCAGGGTTCCTTACTACCGCCGGCCTACCGGCTTGAAACAAACGCTCCTCTGTCCACGGTACACCATCATCATTCCTAGCGGTGTTTCAGGATTACTGTTGCACCCTACCAATCACACAAAAGCCCAAATACATCATGTTCTAGTAGCGCCATGTACGGTCGGCTGGTGTTGATACCGACCTGCCGTCTGGCATCAACTCTAGAGTTCTGTAGCGTGCAGGCTGATGTAGTTCATATCTTGAGGAGCTCTAAATGTCCTTATGCTATGTGCAACTGACGGGTTGTCATCTTCAGGTCAATAAATCACGCGCTTCACGTCGTTTAAGCTTCATGGTCCCACAAAACCATCGTCGCTTGGTGCGCATAGGACTCGACAGTCAGAGATACCAACAGCATTCATGGACCCATGCTTACTTCGTACATTTACAAATGTCAATAGATAGGTAGTAGCCTCTCAATTGCTTCCATGATCGGTAAGAGGTAGTACAGGCCCTGAATGGGGCTTGTTTGTACCAAAATCTTGCACGACTGGAGTTTCGTCTGGTGGACTATGGTTTTGAAGATTGTTCTCCTCAACTAGAGTGACAACGCTACGATCCACCCACTGGATTCTCACCCCATGTGCCGCTCTACCCGGTGCTCAGAACAGATAGCGGAATATCGAGCGTCTACTGATAGGTGCGCGCTATCAGTGGCAATACATCATCTCGATGTAACAGTAGTATAAATCTTGGTACCGCATCAACCGATTGCGATGACCACGTCCGTCATACTCGTGGTGTGGAAGTTGTTGATCTGTCCTCGCCGTTGCAGAAGGCATGCTTGGGAACAGCACCACTGTTTGACCACTTTTGTAGCATTATGATCCGCGAATTCAACGCATGAGCACGCCTAGCTAGTCTTTAATCTAGTTACTCCATAAGGCTATGCCAATGACTGTGTAGGAGTATGCATGGGTTTCATTTCTGCTGTCACGTTGTTACTGAGCACCTTCTCGAGTCACAGAAGGGCAGAATCTCGACCATTCCGTATGCGACACGATTTGATTGATTAGCGTACAGTGCATCTCAGACATGTATTGAATATTTGAATACATGCAACAACCGAGAGGAATAAAGGCGATGGCGCATTCTGCTGTGCACGGTTTCGCAGCTGCATCCTAAGCAAGCTTTACAGTTTGAATATCGCACCACGCAAGCGGGAGATCAGCCCGCGGACCATAATCCTATACGTTGCAACAACGATATTTGAAGCAGCTTATCTCAAAGGGTACAGAGTCGAGAGTGTATACCGGACTAACCAGTCGGCTTCCATCGCTTGTGAATGCTCGAACTAAAATTAACAGCACTCGACGTAGTACTGTGGTATAAAAACAAGTAGATGACACTCTGTCAGTACGATTAATGCTAATGCGGCTGAGCTACTGCGTGAGTCCTCAGAGAAGGACTCGAGGGGAGGAGCCCCACTCATGTCGATTAGCGTCTGTCGATTCCACATTCTTTACCCCTCACCTCGGCTCATTGCCACTCCAAGATTCCTCCCAAATTTCTGATTAAGCCGCCCCCGCTTTTTTTACTTGGGATATATAATATAGTTTTGAAAAATAGACGTAACAATCATCTGAACTACGATCGGGGGATTGGCGCAATGGTAGCGCGTTGGTTTTCGGTCCTTCTGAAAGCACACCAAAGGTTGTGGGTTCGAGCCCCATGTCCCTCGCTTTTTTGTCACTTCTGAGGCTATGCGTGTCTTTGTCTTATATATTTCCTCTTTTGCAATGCCCGCGGTGTGTGCACTCCAAAGGTAGGTGAGCCATCAGAAGAGCGATATGCATGGAGGCTTTGGGTCAAGCCTCTTTTTGTCGTCGCACCGTAAATAAACCGTCTTCGAACTACTAACACTCGAGTGTAGGGTTTACAATGGCCAAAGAGCAGGTCCTCCCCAATAAAAGCAAATAGTGAATATAGACCAGGACCGTCATTGTGTCAGTTACGAAGGAGCGCATTGCGCAGCGTCAAGCGACCACTAAGTCATCGAAAAGGTTTCGCAGTCATAACTTTCACCATGGCACAAAGCTATCTGCGTGCTACTGCACCTTTTTGGTGAGAAAGGCTTTATGTTGTTGTAGCTGTATATGTATTTACGCGGAGCGCGCCCTGCATCTGGTATTATATGTCAAAGTTCACCGTTTGGCCAACTTTTTGTATGCTGCAGCGTTGGCACCAACGGCGGCAACAAATCGGCTGAGTCGGGACTAACAGAAGTCCAAGTGTTCGTTCTATTCAGCTCCAAGCTTTTACCTTTTTCAAATGTATGCTTCTCTTCACTTGGCGAGAGGATACCTTCAGTGCTCCCTCGACCTGTGCTGTGCGAAGTTCTTGCATGGCCACCATGGTGACGATGATCTTTGCTGGTCGATCCCGCCTCTTTACTATATTGGATGATGTTTGCACTCCTGCTCCCGGCTTTATCCTCGTTGGAAGAAGTCAATCCGATTTGGATAGAGTGGGACTTCTTTGCAAAAAGGAAACTCGACGAGCGCAGCGTCTGAAGCCTGGCCTGGACGCACTTCATCAGGGGCCGCAGAGTTGCCATGCAGCCAGCCATGATCCCAACTCCCGGCTCGATCGTCGACCAGATTGATATATTAGTGGCATTCCCTGTGAGAAGGGACTCAGTATGTCGCAAGGCTGGCGGTGCCTATTCACTTACAAAAGAAGTCTTCGATCTGAGTCAAGCCGTCCACATATCGAAACCGAATGGCAGAACAAACGCAACCACTGTCACATCAGCATGAGCACAAAAAGCAGACACGCTTCTTACAGTGTAGCTAAAGAGAGAATGAATCCTATGGAAAATTTCGCTTTCCGACTCATGTTCGTATTCCAAAGCAAAGGAATCGGCAGCAACACGAATACGCAATCAGTCGAGAAAGCGAAAGCAGCATGTTGGTATGCGAAGAAGCGATCTAAAACTCTCGGTGTACACAGAGAATTCAATTGCCGCGTAACGTACTCGTCAAGATCAGGGCCGCATCTGAACAGGCAATAGAAGAAGGATGCCGAAGCCGAGATGCAGCTGATAGCGACGGTCGTGTATATGACGACAAGCTGCCAGCGCTGGACTACGATTCGAGCGAAAAGGATGCCGACCGAGATCTTGAGCATCATTACCGTTGCGATGTAGGTCGCTTCGCTGCCAACAGCTCGCTATTCGGATCAGCGAGGAACTCTAAGCGAGAGGTCGGTTCTACTTTTGTCAAACCACTCAGCTGAGCTACACTGGTGACGTGTGTTCCACCGCCGTGTGCTTCTATGTAAAGGATAAAAGCACAATATATCGTGTAGATCATCTGCTATAGAGTAAGCGCGGATCTTGAGAGGCTAATGGTGGCATACACCCGCGAAGATCATCGTTAAATCATCCCCTCCGAAGTTTGGCTTCACAAACACTCGCGTGTAGGCACGTAGAGCGATCATTAACCATGACAGGGCAAGTGAAGCAATGGTGATGCTTTCGAGTTGCTCGCCGCGTCTAGCGAAGCTTTCAGCATCGTGAACTGCCATAAAGTGATCGTTCGTATGGCCAAGGTGAGCAAGTCTGTCCGAAGAAGAAACAGTTATATCGGCGAGTGATCTAATGGCAGTACGATTAGGAAATGGCAGAACGCCGCTGCGGCTGCCCGCAGGATATACCGCGATCGATTGCGCATCGTCATTTGCCGTGCAGTGATACAGCATACGTTACACACCGCTCCCTGGTATTGTCGTCTTCGAGTTTTCGATAGAGGTAGCAGTGGGTACCGCAAAGAAAGGCTTCCATTCCTACCTAGGAACAGGCACAGTTGTACAGCATAAATCGGCCAGGGGTAAGCGTCACTACTTGGCTAGCGCAGAAAACAACACTGCACGACGTGGTAAAAAGCAAAAAAAGAATACAGGAATAGCACGATTGCCAGCCTACTCGGGTGGAGTGCTCACCGAATTGGCCATGGCGCCTCATTCTACCGGTCATATCTGATGGCGTGTGGTCGGTGCAGCCGGGAGCGACGTTCGCTGTAAGTATTAGCGAGTGTTCACTTCAACGCTTGAAATGGCACAATGTAATTTCTGCGATGAATTGTCATCGTGCAGAACAGAAGGAGGAAGCGCGGAGCGCGGAACCCAGCGATGTGGGTCAGCCGACAGCAGCGCTGTTATCCCTAACACAAAACGGCGACTCGATGTCTGTGTCTTGTGCTTCGGTCCTAGCTACTTCACTTGCGAGTGGTATTTCACTGCCATGTCTACGTTCCGATCTCTCTACGCTTCACGCGCGCGGGTCTTCAAGGTGTCGCCGCTGCCTATGCAGGATGAATTGCGATGGTAAGGTCGCATTCTTATAGTACGTACGGTATCAATTTAATGCTCGAATGCAATGTTTCAATGCATGTGACCAGAAGGTAATCATTGTTCGGATGTCGAGGTTATTGTCTGCACCGAACGCGCGCCATGATAACAGCTGACTATCAGCAATGTAAAACACTCACGCTTGAGGACCGTGTTTTAGTGTCCTCTATCATAGCTATCGTCATCTTTCATGAGATCCTCTCGGCGAGCTTTCTTAATTCACTTTTCGCGGAAGCAAGTTGTAAGGGAATAACGACCTACACTATAACTCTTCAAAATTGAGGCTACTGACAGTGCTTGGTACAGCGAAAGGGCCAGACCTGTTTAGTATATCCTATTGTACATGGAAGCTCAGTGAGGCTGTGTCCTGCCCGCTATCACACCAGCAGCACTGAGTATATATATGTATGCAGGTGTACTCGACAGGGGGTATTACCGACACCTAGGTAGCTTTCGGGCTACGATTTTGAACAAGTTCGGAGGCACAGTGCGTTGCATACACCAGCCTCTGTTCGTGAGGGCAGACGGGGTGGGGGAGTTGTGAGCAAATTCTAAAGGCCTAATTGTTAAATCCAGAAGGGTAGCTAGTCCTAAAGGGTTAGGGTTGGTTCTCGGGCAAGACAACTGAGGGAAGGGAAGGAGTTTTGTCGAGACGATAGTATCGGAGGAGATGTAACGAATCAACAATATGGCCTGAGTGTAATCCAAACGATAGATTGATAAACAGGTTGAACACGAATATGAGAGCTCATACTCGTGTTCCTATATAGGATGTCTGCTCGGCTGCTCAGGGCTCCTGAGCAGCTGAGCAGGTCACGTGACTGCTATCTAAGTGGCTTGGCGGCTCTTTGTCTTGTTGCAACCCTGCCACTGCATCCTCGCACCTTCATAAGCGCCCGTTCCACCCTTCTGCCTTCCGGTTCGTAACACTAATGAGTTGGAACTAGCCCCGCCTAGCCCGGGCACTGCCGCTCGTCAAGCCCCCACACCACACGTTGCACCGCTCTTCGCCCCTCACAGTCCATTGCTATCCCATGACTTCCTCAAGATATTGCCGGTCGATCTTCCCGTATGTGAAACGCAATGTCTTCCGCGGGAACCGTTCATTCGTGCCATAGTCGCGCGGAGGCGTGAATGCGCCTCGTTCTACAGATTTTTAGGCGCCCACCCACCGCTTTTGGCAACGCGAACCGCCAGATTGGCACACTAGTGTTACCAAGCGCTTCTCGTGCATGAGGCTCATCAACGAGGGCTCAATTCGGCTTGAGTCGGGTCGGTATGCAATGTAGTTCCCTCCGTAACCGCTGGTGAGGCTGGGGCCAGGAGTGCTGTGCCGCAATCTATGTCACGACGAATTTCACCTGGCCAATGTTCAAGTAGAGGACAGATCCGTGAGCTTTCGTCATGGAATTCGCTCTCTATGAGCATATACTACCACGTTACACTCTTCTGTTTCTCTCGCCTCTCTGTTACTGTCCGAGAAGGACTCATGGTAATCTACTGATACATTCGGTGGCCATCTCCCTCAATTACGGCCGCGATAACTACTTTTGGCAATATCCACCATCACACGATGTCTACTCCTGTTTCACCAACACAACAAGCACCGACTTCGGTAACCGTCCCAACTGTTGGTGCCCCAAATGCGATAGCCAACAACCCGGCCACAGTGGCCTGTTCACCGAGAACTTCGAATTCGCAAGCGGTACCACTTAATCCACAACTTCCCGCTTCTAGCAGTGCGTATATTTGACTAGGCTTCATATACGACATTAATGTTTATTAGCATCAGCCTCTGGCAGTCTTCCTACCACTTGGCTTCCTTTTTCCCTCCGGTGGTACATTCTACTTCTTCCGATGGTCGTTAGCTCCACTTTGGGTATTGCCATTGCCTACCTTTGCCGTTTTTCTCAACAAAATTTTGGATTGGGCGCGGATAATGGCTCATCTGCCATCCTCTTTGGCTGGCGCTTCAGCCCCACCTTGGTGGCGGTCCTGTACACACAGGTTACAGTCATTCTGTTCGAAGACAGCAAACGCACAGAGCCTTTCGCTAGACTAGCAAAAGCACCCCCCGACGGCGCTACAGCACTTGGGACACTACTCCAAAAGCCCAAAGCATGGTATGCAGTCCTTATGGATGCGACTTTCAAGCGGAAGCAAGTGGGCAAAACTAGCTGCACTCTCATTTGCAGCACAATCATCAATGTACTGGCCCTATTGATCATCTCACCCCTTTCGGCGGCTCTGCTTGCTTCCGACGAAGTCTTGGTGCCGCGCGAACTTGATTTCACAGGACTCACACCACGGACTAGCGCTCAGCTACTTAGTAATGCCACCCGGGAGACCTATTTCCGTACAATGGCTGCATTGACACGCAATATATCTACGTCTGTGTGGAATTCGGATAGCCTCATAACTTTTCCAGTGTGGCCATCTTCCGAGGCCATGCAAATTGGACCAAAGCTCGTGTCATCGCAAGGTTCTTGGCAAGCAGAAACGTTGACTATGTATCATGAGTATGCCTGTGAGGACATGACTTTGGTGAGCGCAGAACTCGAGAACAAAACTTATTCTGCCCTGGATTGGCATCACAGCTACCCTTTCAACGGCACCCAGCCGATGGTGTCGTACAAATTGGCATCACGAGATGGCTGTAAATATGAGCTTGACGGTATGTTAAGGTCTCTTTGTTTTTCATACATTTGACAGTGTCTTTTTTTGCATCGCAGCCATGGTAACCTCTTTGCAAGTGGACTATGATCGCTGACCCTACATGCGCTTTCTATAGTCCATCCAACCGTCGACTTTGCATACTCTGGCGGGGTGAGGTGGTCGAAGGCCACCGAGTACCTATCTGATGGTGGTATGCTTAACATTGATCAAAGAGCCTTCGAGGCCACTGTTTCGCCACAAAGTCCTTATACCCGAATCAAAACTTCTCCTCAGTGTAAAGATCGAGATAGTATCCTTATTGCTACCCCATGGACATCACCGCTCAAACTCCCACCGTGGGAGACTCTCCTTGCAAACCGGACTTACCCGAAATCAAACCAATTTCGCATACGAGGGCTGCTCTGTAATTCCTCCTACACCATGCGAAGACACACCCCTACAGTGTCCATAACTCAAGGAGATGCCACTTCGCTCGAATTCGACGCAGAGGACAGCCGAGTCTCCGAAACGATACCTCAATCACTTGTAAATTCAACTTTATTCCAAGATATAACCTTTGGGTGGGATCAGTGGAAACTTTATATCGTCGGAGGTAACCCCAATTTCGATGCTGCACTGGTACCAGAATCACAGTTGGAACAAAGCGGCGAGCAAGTAACAAGGGATCAATCGCCAACCTTCGTTGGACTCGGACTTGTTCTGGGCACACTATCGTCATGGAATATTACTGATATGTTGAATGATCCTAATCTTGGCGAACGCGCAGCTAGGATCAAGGGTCGCTTCTTTACGGAGAACGTACTGGACTCGTTCACTAAAGATACCCTAGTGCAAAGGCAGGCTGTTCAAGGAAAGACAACATCCGTCGAAACCCGGATTGTTGTACTGCAACAAATAGGAATCACCCTGGCAACCTTATTTTTCGTCTCTTTCGCTCTGTTCTTGGCAGTGCTCTGGTCCTCACGACTTGCTCGACGACCTCTCAATCTTCCATCCGATCCCGCTAGCACCATTGGGTTGAGTATCTTATTGGACCCTCGTTCAACATCATTGGATATGATCAAACGCGCGCATGGCGAATCGAAACATGGATTCCATTCTGTGGTCCGCCAAGAATCTTTCTTTACGTCTTTCTCAACACTCTATCGGGGCTCTAATCTAACTGCATCTCCTGCTGGTGAGTTCAACAACACTCTCGAACCATAGATACCGACTAACTTGTTCAAAGCTACAGCGCACAAAGCTAGAGGGATTCAGAATTGGAGGCCCCGTGCCATCAGGTTGAGAAGCTTGTTTGCTCTAGGAATCTTCCTCGGAATGATTCTCACCGCGTTGCTCCTCATGAATTCCTTTTCGGTTAAGTCGGAGTTGTACCAAAAAGCATTTACGTACGAGACCGACCTTTCCCGATTTGGCCTCAGCATCTCTTCATTCGCTCCGATCTCTATTGCGCCTACAGTCATCAGCATAGTCATCACCCTGTGGTGGGACCAGCTAGATATGACGTTCCGGGTTCTCCAACCTTATATTGCAATGTCTCGGGCACCTACATCTATGAAATCAGGAGCAGGATTGACTTACCGATCGAAAACATGGATGGGGGCTGCGATGAAGGCAGCTAGGCATCGACATTGGGTGCTGTTCTTGGTCGCTCTGGGAAGTACCCTTTGCCAGGTTCTCACCGTGTCCATGTCCGCGCTCTTCGAACGTAAAGCCACCAATTCGCTGAGCTCGGTCACCCTTAACAGGACCCTACAAGTTCGGTTTGAGCCCGTGCTTGCTACGATCGATATTGCTTCTCAAGAGACTCAAGAGAATATGGGTTTTACTTTCACACCCTCTGATCATGCGAACTTGGTGATGAGTTCTGCCTATTCAGGTCAGTAAGACCCTCCTTGCCATCATTTCCCCAGTTTCCCTTCTTTACGATGAAATGGAATATGCGGCTTACTCACCCTATTCGTGTATAGGCAGCTCGTACAATTGGCTCCACAGTGCTACCATCCAGCTCTCACTTGGTGGACCTCAGCTAACCTGGACTCGGGATGAATGGAATTTCATCCCGGTAGACATCTCTGCAGCATCTCAAGCTGTTAATGACAACTCCGCAATCGTTAATTCCACGGACAGTGAACGTGGTCTACTAACGAATGTCACGCTACAAACTACGGCAATGAGAGCTTGGCTCGACTGTCATCAGATCGATGAAATCGCCAATAGATCGACCTGGATACGCAGTCTTACAGCAAAAGACCTGCCCCCCGACGTTGACCCCGGCGACTTCGAGAGCGGCTATGCTTTCAATCATTTCGTGTTTGAGAACACGACTTCATCCACTTCTATACTTGGGAGCGATAAGTTGGTACAATGTTGTATGAATGGTACCGCTTCCAATCCTCAGGACGCCGTGATAGGCTATTGGTCGCCTCTTCAGAAATCGCTTCATCCTGGCTTGCGCGAAACAAGCCCCGGCTGGGAGGCTCCAGGCTTCCCTTACCAGGACAGAACCTGGCCTTTGCCTTTCGTCACAAAATGGATCCTTGGCAAACCAATCACTTTACGTAACTACGATAGGGATATTCTACTCTACAAGGATCCACCTGCTCTTCAAGCAGCACTTTGCCAGCCCATAATCGATACCGCAGAAGCAACCGTCGTGCTCGACACAGAATCGCATACGGTACATTCGTACGAAATTTTACGGGAGCCTGAGACACTTAAATCAGCTTGGTCCGACGTGTTTGTCAGACACGATATATCGGATTCTAGAAGCCACTATAATGCAAATTATACAGGGCCACTCAACATAACGACATCGTTCGGCGTTCTCTTCGCCGATGCGATGTTCGGTTCGGGCGCCAGTAGCAGTCTCCAGACTTATCCTGTTGAAGACCTTAATGACAACAAGTACAACATTCGGGAGCCAACTCTCGGATTGAATATGGACCTAATGACATATTCCATGTTCGCCATCGCCGATAAAGATCCGCAAGTACTGCTCAATTACACTGCGCTGACAACGTACGCCAATCGCACATTCCAGACATTCTTCCAACACTTCGTAAACGAGAAAATGACATGGACAAAAGAAGGTTGGGCATATCAAAAGCTTGGAGACACAAGTCTTGAGGGCCTCGGACAAGCTGTTGATGAGAATGGGACTGCTATCGCCGACCGCGTATACATCAGGCCTGATACCAACCCGACAGTGACTGCATCGGTTTCGAAGCGCATCCAAACTCTCCACATGAACTCGGTGGCCACATACCTTTCTGCCGGTCTAATAATCTGGCTCATCGCTACCACAGCTATTGTTACTTTGCTACAGCGACGATACACGGGCTTCATGCTGCGCAATGTCGAACTGATCGCGGACGTGCTGATGCTTGTTGCAGGAAGTGAGAACTTTCTGTCCTTGGTGCAGGAAAGAGGGCTGGACTTGAAACGAGATACGGAGGTAAAGACGATGCTAGGCTGGTTCAAGGATCGCGATGGCGAAGTCAGGTGGGGTATTGAAGTAGTCGGGGGAAGAAATCCAGTGGAATGGGTTACTGCACCTCAAAAAGACTTTGGATAGCACGCCTTACCTCCGTCTCGTAGAGCAATATGGATTGTTTCGTATCAACGTTGACGGGATTGTTACAATCCAGACATAAGGCTTTGACTCTCACGGTTCGTGTAGTTGAAGCAGCTTCCTACGGGGAGCATTGGTCGTATTTGCCCCTGCATAACGTGTCCGTGCACTCAACGCCCGGATTCAGTCAACGCCCCGCGGAACACAGACCACCCCAACTTTCAACGTGCCATAACGCCACCAACATGAGCTCAATTGCGGCTGCAATTAAAGAAATAGAATCGCTGAGGCCCGAAGAATCGTTTTCTTATACTAAAGTAGCTAGCAAGCATGGCGTTGATCGAAGTACGCTGTCGCGAAGGCACCAAGCAATTCAAACGTCGCGTACTACTGCGGGGTTCAACCGACGGAAACTCAGTCCCCAGCAAGAGCAGGAGCTTGTTACCTATATAGAAGGGCTCACCGCGCGTCACTTGCCACCTACAAGAGAGATGATACGAAATTTCGCGTCAATAATAGCCAAGGAGCCAGTGAGCGAGAGCTGGGTCACGCGCTTCATCAACCGACACAGCATCCATCTGATCTCTCGATGGGCAGCTGGTATGGATAGCAATCGCCACAACGCCGACTCAGGGGATAAATACAGCCTATATTTTGAGTTCCTACGTGACAAAATAAAGGAATACGACATCGAGCCTCGTCACACGTACAATATGGATGAAAAGGGCTGCTTAATTGGTATTGTTGGTAGATCAAAACGGGTGTTCAGTAGACGGATGTGGGAGAAGAAGGAGGTTAGAGCATCTCTCCAAGATGGGTCTCGTGAATGGATTACCATCCTAGCATGTGTATGCGCGGATGGAGCAGCCTTGCCGCCAAGCCTCATCTATCAGGCTACCAACAAGGCTATACAATCAAGCTGGGTTGAGGATATCAAGGCAGGAAAGCATGGCGTGCACATCACCTCATCGCCGTCAGGCTGGACAAACAACGATATCGGCCTTGCTTGGCTTGAGCAGGTGTTTGATCGCTATACGAAGGCAAAAGCTCGACGATCTTACCGGCTACTTATTCTTGATGGTCATGGATCCCATGTTACTATGGATTTTATCAACTATTGTGATCAGAATAGGATTCTCCTAGCCATCTTACCCCCTCATTCGACCCACACGCTTCAGCCGCTTGATGTAGTGCTCTTCAAGCCTCTCTCATCAGCCTACTCAGCTGAGCTTACAACCCACCTCTAAAAGAGCCAAGGCCTGCTCCCAATCAAGAAAGGCGACTTCTTCCCCCTTTTCTGGAAAGCGTGGATGAGCTCCTTTAAGGAGGAGACGATACTCAAGTCTTTTAAAGCGACTGGTATATCACCATTCGATCCAGAGGTTATACTCCAAAGGTTCAACGACACCACCCTAGACGAGCAGGTATCGCGAGAGAGCTCTACGTCAGCACTTAGCGGATCTGACTGGCGTAAACTGGATCGCCTTGTGCGATCTGCAGTAGAGGACCAGAGCAGTAAGGACGCGCAGAAGCTCAGCCGCTCACTCCACCACATCTCCGTTCAAAACGAGCTCCTTCGCCATGAAATCAACGGGCTAAAGGAGGCGCTATTAGTTAAGAAGAGGCATAAGAAGAAGGGCAAGCCTCTTGACCTTCAGCAACGTCAAGAATACCATGGAGGTGCAGTTTTCTAGTCACCAAGGAAGGTTAGGGAGGCGCGTGTACGTCAGTCTGTGAAGGAGCAAGAGGAGAAGGAGCGGAGACTTCAAAAAGCCGAGACAGCTAAGTTAAGGAAGGCAGCTAAGCTGTATAAGGAGAAAATTGTAGAGGAGAAGCGTGTGGCGCGGGAGGCAGCTAAAGTAGCTAGGGAGAAGGAGAGGGCTGAGAAGGCAGCAGAGCGTGCTCGCGAAAAGGAGGCTCGTGACGCAGCAAAAGCTCTACAATCTGCCCAAAAGGGTAAGAGGATGGCCTCTCAGCCATCTATACAGAGCAACAAGCGGCAAAAACGTGTGGTTGACGCTGTACTTACTACAGACGCCTCAGGTGCCGCATCAGCAGCTCCAACCAAAACTACGCGGCGCGGCCGCAACGTTAAGCTTCCATGTAAATATAAATAGTACAGGTTGGTTGCAAGCATCAATGTAGCACTCTACTATAAAATAGTGTAATAATAGTGATTGTGTTGGACTTACAGCGTTATTTTGATTAAGGTGTTATGGTGTTCCGCGGGGCGTTGACTGAATCCGGGCGTTGAGTGCACGGACACGTTAAGACGAGGGGCGACTCAAAAGAAAATCGCAGGGAAATTCTCCACACTAACCCTCGCCACTCACAAAACATCACGTCAGCCATCGCGACAGCAATGACAATTTTGTATTCGATCCGAAGCTCAGAAGCTGTCCAAGCCGATGAGACTGGCACCATCCTCTCCGCTCGCTTAGGCCAACCGTCGATTGGGAGGCCACGACAGGACCACGTCAGCTCGTGCGCTGGATTGCTGCGTTACCATTGCAGCGACGGCGACTAAGATGCAGTCTCAGCAATCGTCTTTTACTCGACAGCCTAATTGACTCCATCTTGACTGCATCTTGGTGAGGGCTCGGCCACCGGCCCATGGAAATTACTTGTGGACAAGCCTCGTCCTGAGTGGTCATAGCTGAAATCATGGCGGACTCCACCACCACAAGTCCCACTACGACCGCCAGGCATCTTATCGATACCCACCCCAAGCAAACCTGCTGTCAGCCAACATCCCGCAAGCCGACGCCCACCGCCGGTTGGTTTGATTGTAATTGCAGCAGCTGGCGACCAGGCTTTTCACACTTGGCGGAGCCTGCAAAAATTCTCTCACTACCTTGCCACGCCTGATTGCACAGGAAGGCAAGAGCCGCGACCAAGTTACGAGTCCCCTTTCCAAGCTGGTCCAGGACCCCAGACCGCCCGCGTAGGAGCGATCGTGTCTCGCCAAGGGGGGCTTCATTTCGGCGCACACCCGCAAGCCGAAGACACATGGTACGAGCGCCGCTCTGCGCAGCGCAAATCCAGACATCGCAAATGTCTCAAGACCCAAACTCACCATATGCGCTCAGGCATCAGCTTCTGTCGTGTCGTCGCAGTGAAACGACAGGCTTCGCCGAGTGTGTGGTGTGCCAAAAAAGAAAACTCAAGCTTGACCTGCGGGCTGATGCCCATCCTCTGACTCCCGGTCGTAATTTACTCCTTTTCTAGAGCTTATCCGGCATGGAATCACTTTGTTTCGACCAGTCGCGTGCGCCAGCGATTGCCGATCAGGCACAACGCTCGCCCGATTGGTTTGGACCTGCTTAGTCTGTTTTAAGCTTGTCCCCTTGGGGCTGGACACTTCATCCATGCTGCGTCTCCGGACCGCCACAACGCCTGGCAAGGATCTAAACAAACCCGCGCCCTGAGCGGCGATTCGTCTCATGGCGAGCGGGTCACTGACCAGGCCTGGTATGGCTGCGTTTAGGATGCAGCCGTCTCTTATTAAGGCTGCATCCCCCAGCTGCCCCCGATTTTTCTCCTACCGCACCAAGCAGGACCTCGTCTCTCGTTGTCGCTGAATAGCTTCACTCCTTCAGCTATCAGCAGTCTCTCTTTCTTCAGCATCCTTGCGAGTCCAAAGTTCATTCGATTTAACGTCCTACCGGTCCATCATATACAATGAAGTTCATTATTGCTACCGCTGCGCTCGTCGCAACCAGCGCTGCATCCAATATCGTTAGGCGTGAGACAACAGCCGCTCTCAATGCGGCGTTCACTGCCAGCAAACCATACGCCAAGGTTGTTAACCGCTGCTCTTACCCGGTCTATTTGTGGTCGATCGAGCAGGAGATGGGCTGTGACACGGAGGCTGGTATCGTGCTGAAGACTGGCGAAATCTACCACGAGAATTTCCGATCGAACGCTGCCGGAGGTGTTTCGATCAAGCTCTCCAAGTTCGACACATGCGGCGGAAAAGATATCACTCAGTTGGAGTACAAGATTGTAAACGACCAACCTGGTTACAACGGCAACTATCTGGACATGTCTTTCGTCGACTGCACAGACAACATCGAAAACTGCCCTGGCCGTACCGACGGATTCTACATGAAGTCTGGAAACGAGGGTGGCATCCACACCAGCGCAGTCAACAACGAGCACTGCCCCATCTTCAACGTCTACGACTCTGAGGAGGCTGCTAAGGTTTCCTACATCAACTGGAACGATCGTCAGACCAAATACTGCCAAGCCGATGCCAACCTTCAGCTTTTCCTGTGCGGTGGAGAGGCTCCAGGCGCCGATGAGGACACCCCCTTCGCATCGTCTTCTGCGTCTGCGTCCTCTTCTGCTGAGATCGAGAGCAGCTCTGCTCAGCCTACCAGCACTAGCAGCTCTTCTGAGGAGGCCGCTCCTTCTACGACCGAGGAAGCCAACTTCGTTGTCGCCGCCGCCGCCGCCGTTACTGAGGCTCCCGCCGCCCCCGTCATCAAGACTGAGGTTGTCTACGTCACTGAGTTCGTCAAGGCGAGGCACGCCCACGGCCGCCGCCACCAGCACTTCCACGCATAAGCTACATCTCTCAACTCATTCATGTCAGCTTAATGTTCCTGTCCATCGCGATGCGGGAAGCAAGTGCCGCGACGAGCACGCCGAGTTTGGAGATACCATTTTCGCGAAGTTATTTCGACTGGGGAGGAAGAGATGGGAGATGTACATTCCATGTAATGTCGGTAGTCAGCGTCGCAGGCAAATTCAGTCTTATACCACCTACGTTCTCATCGACGCGCTTCCGATGTTGCATTGTGCTTTTGTTCGCTTTGCGCTTCGCTCTTGGACCGCTACTGCTCTGTAGCTCTGGAAGCGGATGGAGTTTCGGTCAATACCCCTCACGAATGTCATGACGATAACCCTCATCGGCGCGCTTGAACACAGTCCAGTATCAGTCTACATTCTATTCACTTCACTTTGCTTCACTTGTAGGTTCTGAGGACGGCTGGAGTGTACACAGCGCCGTCGGATTGGCGCACATTGTACCATTATCGTGTAGTGAAGTTTTCATTAGCAGTTATCTCCTCGTTAATAGACCGCATGATCTGTTCACTGCACCCGTCGCACACGCAAGCGCGCCCATCGTGACTCGTCAACGCCGACGCAACTCCCTAATTTCCCGTGCGACTCGAGCGCGTGCCTGCGCCCCCTGTGGGCCGAGGCGCCGCGCTGCCCACGCGGCCGTGTGACCCCATCGCTTCTCGTCTCATCTCCCTCCCAGCTCGCCTGTCGCAATCTCTAGGACCGTCTTCTTGGAAACTAGACTGCTGGTTCTGGAATGTCGCACGCGCGACGTCAGAACAACCTCAGCAATTGAAACACATCTCTAAGCTTAACTACTGCGCCGCACGTGTGCGCCGGCACAGCGCCGCATCGCATCGCACCCAATACCGGCGTGCGAAACACGTTTCGATGCCTTAGCACAACGTGCGTTGTTGCGCTGCGCAATCTCCGCGGCCAGGCTCGTTGGCAGTTGTTGGCAGTTGCCCGCGGCAACGCAGGCGACGGCGATCACGCTGGGACTGGAGATCACTGGGCGGGTGCATGCCATCGGCGGGGATGGCTGTATCGATTCATCTTACTTTACAGCCACCCATCCCACCTTGTTCTGCTCGCGCGGCCAGAGTTTACATTGGCAATCTGGAGCGGGCCAGCGGCCTGTGTTGTTGCGGTGGGGAGGTTCGAGGTGACAGCAGCGCCGTCGTGAGGCCGGCGCCATGCACACGCTGTGCGCTGCGGGTCGGCGCGGTCTCTTCGTGCGCACTTGCGCTGCGCTGTGCTGCGCTGCGCTGCAGTAGGTGCAGTAGTTCGCGTTGGTGCATCCGCTGCAGGGCAAGTTTTCCTCGTCGCGCGGTGTCGTGGCACCACCTGCTGTGTAGTATCTTTGCAGTTCTTTCTCCCCTTGCTCGGATTCTTCAAGCCTCTGGGCGGAAGGGCGTTTCTGCCACAAGGAAAACCATATGGGCGACGGGAAAAAGATTTATTGACGGTGCATGTAGCATCGGAGGTGCAGTCGCATTTGGCACTGCGAACCGTGGTTCTGTGTCGGCAGGGTTTCCTCGTGGACAGATGCACGCGGGATGGGAGCCATGGTACTTGGGCACCTCGTTGTGACGGGACTCTGGTTTGGGTTTGCTGGTGGCGCTCTTGGTGTAGCAATTGCGGCACGGCAGGTGCGCGAGGACAGCCGTTGGCAGAAATGGGGCAGCGCTGGAGATGGTGCCGGGTATCGCGCCCGTATGAGTGTGGAGTAGTGAATCACTCTTTACTATATGGGGACTCTAGATTTTCTAGGCATGTGGGCGTCATTCGAGCACTGCTTGAGCCTAGAGCTCTTGTTGCGTGTTGAGCACAGAATGCGTGTTTCACTCACTGCCAGAGCTCACAAGACTTTCTCAATCGCAGTGCAAGTGTCGACTCCCAGTCAGCTAAGTCAAACGAAGCATATTCACCATCTTCGGTGTTTCCCGACTCCTGGCGTTGGACATGCGGTCGCGATTCTGGCTGAAGGCGATGACCCATGACCCTGGATATGAATAGTACCAGAGAGTGGAAGCGTATATCTGGAAAGACGGAACGGCAGCCACGATTAGTGACTAATCCTGAGAAGACGCCGATAAGAGAGTGAGACTGTCTTGGGTGACACCCGGGCAAGAATGGTGCTTTGAGTTCCTGGAGTGGTGTTTAGGAGACAGATGCATCGTACAGGCGTGTCCTCCCCCGCTCTGGATTGCCTCTTGATATTTCTATCTGCTATGTACTATTTGATTTATTTCTTAGCCCTCGTCTTTAGACTAACAATAGCACTGACCAGGTGCATGACACAATGCGAACTGAAAATTGATATCTCAATCACATCTGCACGTACTTGAAACAGTTCTCCCCCCAAAACGAGTAAACCTACGGTAGTATCACGTCAATTCAACAGGGTCGGACTACTGTAGTAGGTAATAGCCGTGCTCATACATATCCCGAGCCTGGCCTCAAGACAATAAAAATATTGCTGGAGCAATTATGGCCACTCGGTAAAAGTAGGTAAATACCACGGACATCAGAATGTTGTAGCGGCGGTTTCGTGCCACAAGCCTTGAAGATGCAGCATAGTCCGTCCAACTACGTTTTCATATGCAGAAAGTACTGGGGTATATTGTGTCACAAGACCTGCTCGTTGGAGGGACGGTAGACGGGATTTGAGATAGGAATTCAAGGTAAGATGCAATTACCTAGTCGCTTTCAGATACAATGAGTCCCAGTAACCCAGTAATCCAGTAACCCAGTGCTGCTCTGTACATGTTGGTTATCCTCCATACATCGCCTAGAATGTCCACCAAAGATACACAGAACTAGAAGTCTTCTCGATGAATTTCTCCCGTAAGCCTCATGCGGCATTCCCCTTCTTACCCCTCAAGGACACGTCGGCGCCCCACAAGGCACCTCCCTCACGTTCTGCGGCAGGAAACCCTCCCCCTCACTGCCAGCATCAATATCCACCGGCGTCGAGCTCATCCAGTTCTTGCTATGTACGCACACAAAGATTAGCTTTCAATCTCACCTCTTTAACAAGCCAAAGGTAGGGAGATCAAACTTACCCTCCGCATCTCCAAAAATGGATCACCATCAACTTTCCACTCCCCAACTCCCCCCTCAAATCAACCTCCAAATTAGAACGTCCAGTCGAGCACGTGAGTTCGTTAGGGAAATTGCCGCTCGAGTCGGCGGAAGCGTCGCAGACGGCGCTTGAGAGTGCGGCATCGGTGACGAGCGAGGGGTCTGGGAAAGCGGAGCGGAAGGCGAGGTGGATTGATTGGTTTGGTTTCGTGGGGTTCGCGGTATAGGAGGATATGGTGTAGGCGGTCGGCGTGCAGGTGGCGGCGTCGCGGGAGTTGTGTGGTAAGGCGAGAGTGAGGACGGGGAGGAGGAGGAGGAGGGTGGTGAGGAAGTGGGCGAGCATCTTGAGCTACGGGATTGTGAAAAGGTTTTGGTCCCGGAGGTGGGTGTACAGAGGGGATGTGGACACAAAGAGTGCTGCTGTATAACGTACAGAGGAACTGTCGTATGTATGCGTCGTGCCTACGTTCTTATACATCGGTGTTTCGTACGACTATCCCTTCCCGTCTTACACGACGCACTGTGCGCAGTACAGAAGCTGCAACCGTTGCAAACGCCACTTCCATGCATGCGGTTCAGCCGCAGTCGCTCCCGCCGACAATGGCACCGTGCCCCAGGGAGCCGCAGCATTTTCCATTGCCTCCTACTAGCATTACGACTTGGAGGGTGCTCAGGCAACTAGATGAACGAGTCAAGACCACTGGTGCTCATTCATTCGCTGCTCTTCACACTCGGGTAAGCTGACTATATTTGGCGGCCAATCACCCCACGCACAAAAAACTAGACCTGAATGAAACCGCTGCGCCCGTGAATGTTTCGCGTTTGACTTCGCTTCACAGCTATTGGTTTGCGCTGATCATATTTCATTGACGTGAAATAATCGGTGAGACGGTGGACTGATACCAGAAGGACTATTAACGGGACCACTAAGATATTCAATCGCTTGCCGGGTCAATAATTCTAGCAGCCAATTCAGGTATTGTGAATACGTACAAGTGGTAATTTCTAGAGCGGCATGTCTTCGATGTAACTCGCGTCCAATGCACTCTGCGTAAAGCCGCCAACAACAGCTGCCTCAATACGCCGCACGTGGCGGGCACCTAATAATAAGACGTCTTAGCTATAGAATGACACGGGAAGAAGACTAGCACGTCCATAGGAATTGCTGCTGAGCGGTTTAATGGCGTTGGTGCTGTCTTGCTAGGTTCGGCGTCGCGTTTTCGTCACCAGACGAGCATGCGGGCTGTGGCACGTTACACAATTGCAACGTGGTGGCGAGATCATGATGTGAAAACTGAGTCACTTAATAACATCTGTTCTTTGCTAATAGGATGCATCAATAGTACTCTTTGACTGCATCCTCGTCCTCATCCTCGTCATCAGAATAGAAAGCTGCCTTCCGCTTGGCAAGTTTACCTTCTTCGTCCTTTATGATTTCTTGGAACATTTGCAATTGAATCGTATCATTCGCTTCGTAAACATAGACCTGCTTCGCTATCTCCAGAGCTTCTCTCGACTCCTTCAACCAGCGCGTTGTAGCGGCGATGTTTTCATTTGGCTCGTCCTCATCGGCTGCGCTAAGGACGATGCAAGCTTGCATGCGATAATAAGGCGAAAGATTCTCGGTTTTGAGGAAGCCGAGCATCACGCCGGTGACTTTGCCCGTGATGTCGCTGCCGCAGCGTGCCTGATGTTATGAGTTCCGAGTTCATAATTAAAGAAGGCTGACGCATAGTTCACCTTTCGGAATGTATAATCGAACTTGTTGAAGGACTCTTGAAGAGTGGGTTTCGCATCTGATGGTTCCAACTTATCGGGTTGGGTTCCATCAGCGCTCTTTGTGGTTTGCGACGCTGACATGATGCTTTCACAGTAGTCCAGAGCAAACTAATTTCCAGTGGAATCTTGAGATTAAATGGTAACGATGTGTGTAGCCGTTGTCAAGCAAACATGGCTTCTGTCCTGCATTTTCGTGATTATAGTAGGATGCCATTGGTACCACGTTGCACTGCTGTGACGTTAGGGTGGACCAGCGTAATATTGTTCCACTGCGTTCACGATCTCGGACTCGTCTGATGGGAGGGACCACATGACGGAGATATTACCAATGGCGGAGGCAGTCCTGCTGTGGAACTGCAAACAAATAGGTAGTCGAAAAATGTGATTTCTTAATATATTTCTTAATATTCACCATCCTGCATTCTTTTGCGCTTCTATCTTCAACCTACGCTCTTCCCGCCACTTGGGGCCCCATCTCATCAATACCCACAGGATAGGACTGAAAAAGGCGATGACCCCAGCAACGAACGTGAAACACCATCCTCTTCCCATCGCATCGATCATCATCGTAATGACAGCTGTGCCTCCCGCGCCCATAAAGCACCTCACGAGATTGTTCGCTGCGGTGGCAGTCGCAGGACTGAGAGGGTAATAGTCGACAAGCATGACGCTCATACAATTAAACGCGCCAGTAAGACAAAGACCGAGGAAGAAGTGCATGACCAGAGGCGCCGCCAGCGAAGGCTCGACCTGTAGAACCCAGCCGTAGCAGAGGATGACTAGTGTCCCTATTATAAGCATGGGCAGGGCGATGTAAAGCCGGGCCTGTTCAAGCGGGAAGTCCTTCAGGTCTTCGCCTCTCTTCTTGTCGATGCGGAGGCCGCTTTTCTTCGCGACGCGGCGGTAGTTCCAGTCCATCAGTTTTCCGGCTGTCATGGGAGCGATCATGGCGCCAACGCCGAAAGGGATGAATGACAGACCGATCTGCAGGTCGTTGAAGCCGTAGATTTCCTCGAAAAGGTAGGGTGCGGAGGAGATGACGGTGTAGAATGCCGTGTATACAAGACTATTGTAGAACAAGAGTAACCCAGCATCTTTCTGTCCAATGACCTTCAGCGTCCCGAGTGGATTCGGGATACGAAGCTTCCTCTTACGGGCCAACGCCTGTTGTTCATCTCGTGACACTGCTCGGGTGAGTTCATTCTCTCGGTGTGCCTTGCGAGTCTTGCGGACTTTGAGGTAGTTGAGTAGCGACATGTTGAAGCTCTGTGGTGGTATGCTTCCATTCCCGACGACGTTACGGCCTGTCTCAGGGAAGATCAGGATGAGCGGTACCATGTAGACGCCGGCCATGATGACGAGGAACCAAAAGATGGCTCGCCAGCCCAGGAACTCTGAGAGTAGACCTCCTATTATTGGGGCAATTGCCGGAGCAATCATGGGTCCGCTCGTAACATAGCCCATCCAGGTACCACGTTCAGAGCTCGTGGCGACATCAGCAACGACTCCATTTCCGAGGGCTATAGTGGCGCTGCTACCGGTACTCTGGACACACCTGAGAACGAACAAGGCCGCGTAGGAGTTTTGAAGGGCAAGACCAATGTTGGCACCGATGTATATGATAAACCCAATGATGTAAGCTGGTCTTCGTCCACTGCCAGTAATTAGCGTGATCCGTGTGACACCTGGCGATGAACTTACGCCATATCAGCAAAGTCCCCAAAGAAGGTTGGAGCCAGTCCCTGAAAGATCAAGTACGATGTGAGGGTCAAGTTCATGAGGGTACTCGATACATTGTACTCGGCAGCTAGTTGTGTCAAGGCGGGAAAATAGATGTTCGCGCTGAGGGGTGAGAAGAAGCCTCCCCATGCCGCTAAGACTGTAACAAATTAGGATAGTTAAATATGTAGATTGGGAGTGTCAACTTACACACGATGAAGTATTTTTGTTTCTTGCTGAATACAGAGTAGGGTGCTGAATTGGTGGGCACAGTCGTAATTGCCTCCAAATCGTGGTTCTCATGTGTGCCCTCATGCATCGACGACGCTGCGGACGACACTGTCGCAGAGTCTGCATGGTGCTTCTCTTTATCTTCACTCTTCCTCGCGTCTGTCGTTCTTTCTGTCTTCTCCGGCTCAATCACATCATCGTATTTCTCCTTGACCTCGTCTTGGGTCGTGGACATATTCCTTGGCGGCGTGTTGGGGCATGTCATAATCACACACGAAGCAGGAAGAAGGCAGTTCGTAGCATCCCGAGATGCGAGACCTGAGGGCAGCCTGGCGACATAATTAACGGAGGACAGCGCCGACTGCGGTACGTGCAAGTTGCCGATTCGTGGTGTGCATGCTTGCGATTTTCGCGAATTGGGCGATCTTGCCCGAGAATTCTGTGAGAGCGAACAGCTACGATTGGCCGGAAAGGGCCGCCATATTACGGCGCTCGCTATTAGCCCTTTGCTATCCCCGCCGGGTTCTGGCGATGGGCGACGTCTGCGATTCCGCGTGGGGGTGCTCTCCGCACAAGAGCGATTATTTCGTCTGACGCAGCGCGAGTGCGTGCCCTGACGACGACCTGGTGCAATATGCAAGTGGCATCGAATAGAGTGAATGCACTTTGTCCAGGGCCAACAACAAGAGCCGAACTGGTACACGGGGGGCCAGGGGCAGGGAAGCAATGTGCAAGTGGACGTGAAAGATGGGGTGGAGAGGCATGCACCACAAAATGACTCGCCTCGCAGTGAAATAAGCAAGATACTGACTCAGTATTCCCATCGTCGTCACCGAGACCAGCATCTCGACCAGCCAGCTGCAGCACACCACCATGGACATAACACCCATACTTAACCAGGCCCTCGCTGCGCACAACGCGCAGCCCGTCCAGCCGCATGTGTTCCGCAAGGAGAACCTGGACGAGTTCCTCAAGGAGGCGTATCGAATTGTATGCCACGTTGCCCTCTTGCGCTCCCCGCAGTGCAGCTAACTGGCCCAGCGAGCGCACATTGCACAGCTGCACACCCACCTGAGATCGATCCGGCAAAGCTACCTCTCGACTGCGCATCCGCCTCGTCGGAAACAGATTGCGCGCGCGAACGGAGCGTCCGCAGACAAGGACGCAAAGTACCTTACCGACGCTGAACGGAATGAACTCGATGCCTCGGCGAAAGACTTGCTGCGCCAGCTGAGCCACGCTATAACGAACCTGTCGCATACCGAGCAGTTGCGACGGGAGGCAGAGAGTCAGATCGCCTACAAGAAGCGTGCAAAGCGGGGGTTGGGCGCATTGGGACGATGGGCTGCAGGCGGGGCAATAACGGCAAAAAGCCCTGAGGAGGAGATCGAGGAGGCCAAGTCAAATACAGTTAAGGCGCATCGCGAGAGCATCATATGGTACTTGCAGCGCGCGCTCGAGGAGTGTGGCCGCTTCCAGAGCTCCATGATGGAGATACGGATCACACGCGAGATTGAGAAGAGCAAGAGCGTGCTGTACAAAGCCAGAGGGACCATGCCCGCTACGGATGACTATCCTGGCAGTAACGGGAACAACACATCGACCGACTACCGCGGAAAGTCCACGCAGCTCCCCGAAGAGAGCTCGACCTCAGTGGAGCAGCAACTCGACCCAGAGCAGCTTCAGCTCTTCGCACAGGAGAACCAGGACATGCTCAAGTACTACGAAGACACCCTTGATCAAGTTCGGTAGGTCCACACGTGCATCTATCTTTTATCAACTAACGATGCTAGTACTGCCGAGAAGTCGCTCCTCGAGATCTCTGAACTGCAAACGACCCTCGCGGCCAACCTCAACATCCAGGCAGAGCACATCGACCAGCTTGTGGCCGACTCACAGCTCACAACCGAGAATGTGGGTAGTGGAAACAAGCAGCTGAAGAAGGCAACCGAGAGGCGGAGCACCGCGCAGATGGTGTTTTGGTCGACGTGCGCGTTTTGCACGACGCTGATACTATGGGATCTGTTCATATAGTACTGATTGTCTTTACCATCTGAGGATGTGGTTGCTGGAGCCGGTAATACTTCCCAGTGACGAGCAACATGGAAACGGTAAAAGACATGATTTTTGCATGTGAGCTCCCACCCAAGCTCCACTTTGTTGCACTTGACGACGGGAATCTTGCCGAAAGTAGTGGCATAATTTATAAACCGAAGCCTCGAGGCGAGCTGCATGTGTTCGCTCGCCTAGGCGGCAGGTCGTTAGCTCACCCGCTTGGAACCCACTCTGCCCAGCCCCGGAGCGGTTTGAATCTCGCGGCATGTGAGAGGTGGATGAGACATCGACGTCAGCTGCGCGCGAAGTCTGGGGTTGCCTCGGCCCGCGTGGAAGAGGGTCGGCACCGAACGTGACGCGAAGCTGAAGCTCTTATAGTCGGCAATCCAGATGCCCAGCATGAAAACTGCTCACTGTAACTCTTGGGTTCCCGTCTCCGCGACAGCAAGCGCCGCGTTGGTCCACTCTGCGCGTTTCCAAGCCCACCCTCGCCTGATCATCTTTGCGGGGTTAGCGTGCAGCTGGTGGCAGGCGGTGTGGCACATAATACATATCTGGAGCTGGCAGTATGCCCGCATCACCTCATTACAATTCCTCCCCCTCCTCGCTCTCTCCTCAATCCCGTCTCTCCCAACTATCTCAACACATCGCTCCAATGACCACCACAAGCTTCAGCGCGGAGGTTGTCCCGCAGGCGCCCGAAGACCCGCTCTTCGGGCTCATGGCAGCGTTTCGCCGCGACGAGGACCCCAAAAAGGTCGACCTAGGCATTGGAGCCTACCGTGACGACAATGCAAAGCCCTGGGTCCTGCCCGTCGTCAAGAAGGTGCGTGCGAACAGCTGCAGACGGGGAGAGCTTCCCAACAGCTCAAGGTGGGATGCTGACAGCTCGCTCCAGGCCGACGACATCATCCGCAACGACCCCAACCTCAACCACGAATACCTGCCTATTGCAGGTCTCGCCGACTTCACTTCGGCTTCTCAGAAGCTGATCCTCGGCGGAGACAGCCCCGCGCTGAAGGAGAAGCGGGTGAGTGCCATGTCCCTCCCCCGCAACGTCATGACTCAGGCTTACTCGTGCACAGGTCACCAGTTTACAGACCGTCTCCGGCACCGGTGCAGTGCATTTGGGCGCCCTCTTCCTCGCAAAATTCTACAAGCCAGCTTCGAAGCCCACCGCCTACTTCTCAGACCCCACCTGGCCGAACCACTTCCAGATCTTCTCCAACGTCGGCCTCTCGCACAAGACCTACCCCTACTTCTCCAAGGAGACCAAGGGCCTCGACTTTGATGGCTTCTACAACTCGATACAGAACGCGGACGAGGGCAGCATCGTCGTGCTGCACGCCTGCGCACACAACCCCACCGGCGTAGACCTCACCCAGGACCAGTGGAAGAAGATTGCAGAGGTCATCCGCGCGAAGAAGCACTTCCCCTTCTTCGACACGGCCTACCAGGGCTTCGCCTCCGGCGACCTCGCGCGCGACGGCTGGGCCATCCGCTACTTTGTCGAACAGGGCTTCGAACTCTGCATCGCGCAGTCGTACGCCAAGAACTTCGGCCTATACGGCGAGCGCGCCGGCTGCTTCCACTTCGTCACGTCGCCCTCGTCCGACGCCCAGTCCACGATTGGCCGCATCGCCTCGCAGCTGGCCATCCTCCAGCGCTCCGAGATCTCCAACCCGCCCGCCTACGGCGCGCGCATCGCCTCCCTCGTGCTCAACACACCTGAGCTCTTCGCGCAGTGGGAGGAAGACCTGCGCACCATGTCCGGCCGCATCATCGAGATGCGCAAGGCACTGCGCAGCAAGCTCGAGGAGCTCGGCACCCCCGGCACTTGGAACCACATTACCGACCAGATCGGCATGTTCAGCTTCACGGGCCTGTCGGAGCAGCAGGTCATGAAGCTGCGCGAGGATAGCCATGTGTACATGACCAAGAACGGGCGCATTTCCATGGCGGGTCTCAACACGAAGAACATTGACTACTTCGCGAAGGCGGTTGACAAGGCGGTCCGCGACACGCAGTAGATGCGGCTGCTGCAGGTACCGCTGCTCGCTCGCGGGGCCGGGAATAGCCGCCTGGGCGCCCGCCGGCGAGCGTGGTGGGGCTGGCAGCAAGCGGACTTACGACTCGGAGCGCGCAGGCTTCGGGATTGCAAACGCGCATGCACGACACGATATCACGACCATTATACCGCGGATGTAGAACTGTTGCGCTCCGGATGGGCCGGACGCGTGGGTGGGTTGGGTTCGGGGGAAAAGGCAACGAATTGTAGAATTAGGCTAGGGGCACTGGAGCTCCGCAGCGTGCAAATGAAGGATGTGAATCTCCGCTACACACATGTCTGCCCGTTGTCCGGTGACCCACCTTGCACTTTGGTGTGCAAGTGGGCGTAGACTTGTCTGGATGTGTAAGGTGGTGTAAATTCGGAGTATTGTATGGTGAGGTGAAGTGTCGGAGTGTCGGAGTCAACGGCCTCTCCGTGCAGTAGTCCCGTCCGCTGGTGGACGGTGGGACGGTACGGTGCGGTACGGCTTACGCCGTTGAAGCTACCATGGTACACTCTGCAAACGTATTGAGCACGTGATAACTTGACGCGTGGTCAGGTAAGCTTCTTGGAGCTACTCGTCTGGGGGATTCTGTGCTGAGGAGCCGAAGCTGACATGCATGTTCCAAGATTGTAATTCAAGTGTCGTTAAAAAATATGATGGGATAGTATGTACTCGAAGAATCAAAGAGGAATATATACAACGGATTAGGTCGCGAACAAAAGAAACAGACCTTCCAACCGGAGGCGTAGAGAGCGCGTAGGGACAGACGCTTGCTTCGCAGTGAAGCGGGTATAGCTAGGAAATCCGACGGACCATAGGAGAGGAGGGAGTGTAGCGCTGAACGCTCAGCCAAAGATGAGAACCAAAAACCACATGTAGCCGCAACGCCGTCGCATCCAAACTGCAGAAAAGGATAGAAGATCAAGACTAAATGATCTCCTTGATCCCATGTCGAGCGCTCAGCCGCGCTTTGATGCTCCAACTCCGCTTCCGCGCCTTCTTCTCCTCGTCACTTATCCCGGGGACGTACAATCCCCCTGCCCCTCCCGTGCTTTTCCCTTCAAACTTCATCCGCGCAAGCTCTATCTTGCTCATCGCCTTCTTTGGCGGCGTGGATCCCTCATTAATCGTCGTATCCGCGAACTCAGGCGTCGTGCTCCGCACGGGATGTGTGGTACCTTGCAGAGGCAGCGAGAGCACGCTGGATGTGGACGAGTCGATGCGCAGAAGCGGGCGGGTCTGCGACCAGTTCTCAAAACTATCGTCCCTCTGCATCTGCGTCTGCGTCCGCGGGACGACCGCCGAGCGCGAACTCGTCGGCCTGTTCTCTGGGCTCACAGGCGGCAGGAGCGTGATTGTCGGAGGAGGGCTGGGCGTGAGCGCGCGCATTACAGCGGCGATGTGCGCGGAGGGGACGTCGGCCTGGAGTTCGGGCGCGGTGTAGCTCTGCTGGACCGGCGGTGGGGAGGGAGACGGTTGCCGCGCTGGCGGGTGCGGATCGAGTTGCTCTGGCGTGACTGTTGGTTCGAAAGCTGAGGCGCGGGGGAGGGGGGAGCGCAGGGCAGGGTGGGTTTGCTCAAGACCGGGGAGGCTGGTGGTTGGTGAGGGCAGTCTGGAAGGTGGTTTCGAACTGTGCTTCGAGCGGGGTTTGGAGGGCGTGATGATTGTTGGTGAGGCCGAGCGGGAGCGCGCGTTGATAGCCGGGATGGGCGGGAGCGGGCGGTTGACGGGGGGTAGGGACTGTAGGGAGAGCTTTGAGATGCTGGAAACGCGCTTGGGGATTCGGGTTAGTGCTGGAATGCCGATGGGAACTTCGGGGAAGGCTTGGAGGTGCAGCTCGGTGAGGTCTTCGTAGGAGGCGTGGATGGTGATTTCCTGCGAGCGCTGAGTGGCGTTTGAGGAGTCACGGGAGTGGGAGGGCTTCGAAGAGGAGATGGTCGAGACGGAGCGCTCGGAGGGGGTGTCTTCGCTGTCGGAGTGGGGAGGTGTGTCCATGGCGGGCTCTTCTGGTATCGATGCTGGCACGGATGCGTGTGTTGATGCGGCTTTTGTCGACATTGTTAGAGGGCGGATGATGGACCATGGCGGGGATTGCTGCATGAGCTGTGCTAGCTGGGGCTCCTTGTCCCGACTGTCCCATATTTTGATTTGCTTTGCGACCCACGGATTCTGGGTGCATCGCAGCTTTGAGAAGTAGGCACTGCAGGCCTGCATATTGCTCAGCGGGTGGCCATGGTCCAGCAAGTCTTCGAGAGTTGCCTGGAACTCCGCGTTGAAGTCTTCAATATTGGTATACTGGTCGATGTGGAGGTTGAGGAAATGGCAGAAGACATGGTGGTAGTCCTCAAACTTGAAGCCATCATAGTGCTCGTCCAGCGCCTCGAGCATTTCCTTTGCGTTCATTGACATCGGCGGTAGTGGCGGTCCAACTTCGAAAACCTCCAGCTTGATGTCGTCTGACACCGAGAGGAATATGTCCAGCTTCACTTCCCTATCCTTCTTCACCCAAGCTTTGCGGTCCTCCAAGAGTGTAGTCTGCATGTCGGGCTGCGTGACCGGCGAAAAGAAATTCGGCCCAGCTCCTGGCATAGGCATCGGTACGCTTCCGTCGCAGTGTCCCCATGTTCCCTTTGCAGTGAAAGCGCTCTTGATTTCCCGTTTCCATCTCGCATATTCGGGTCCGGTGGCTTCTGCTCGCAGGAGCATCACGCCGGGCAGGCGTGGAGATAGTGATGCCATAGTTGCCGAAAGCTGACTGTTCGAAGATTGCAGCCACAACCCATATACCTTGGAGTGTTGTTAGACGGTGACGGCTTCCACACAGCGTAACGGACACGCCTAAGTATCTACCACAGTCGCAAGCCGGACATTTGACGTGGACTAAGCGGCGCGGCCGCCCCATGGCACCTCACGATTATAAGTGTCCGCAGCGTCCAGAATGACATACGCCGGGGCGTCGGGCTTCCAGCTTGGGAACCCCAGTCGCAGAAGACCGCAGGTGGCAGCCTCCCGCATGCAAGCCCGCCAACTCGACCAGGAGCGGGCATGCTCACAGCTTACACTGAGTCCGTTTGCACCATACAATCGAGCTTAGTCCCGCATGTCTAGCTGCAGTCAGCACACTATGTTTGTATACCTGAGGTCGGGGAGCTAAGCTGTACAGGGCCTACTGCGCCAATCGGGGTCGTGTTACGGACCGCCGGTGTGCAGCGATTGGGTGCGCACATCGGGAATACGGCGATGGTGCTCAGCTCGAAGTCCGAAGACAGATTGCTGGGCTTCCAGAAGTCGTGTCGGAGGCGACGCGCATCTGGGGTGTGTACGGGTAGGGCGGTCGTAGTGTTAATCGTCCCAACTGGACTGCGTCGGCTCGACGCAGGATAGTGGGAACCAGCGCAGTGGGGCGGAGCGGCCCTCCGGACTGCAAACGAGGTTGAGACTGCTACACGATACAGCTGCATGCGTGCTCACGAGGGCAGTAAGCAGAATATGAAGGATGTTGCATTATGGTAACGGCAGGTGTGTACACTGTGGCCTGGAGATGGAGGATTCGCGATCGTCTTACACAGTGCCTTGTAGAGATAGGGCCGCGGCGGTGTAGTGTGGGACGTAGATCGTGCTATGTTTAGCTCTTCTAGTGGCTGGGGGCCAGCCCAGATGAAGATCATGACAGATACCAAAATCTGGTATATATTTTCAATAATGGAAATGCTTCCATCAACCATCAGAGAATGATGAACCACGGCGTTGTGGCGGAGTGGTTATCGCGCAAGACTAGAAATCTTGTTCCTTCGGGAGCGTAGGTTCGAATCCTGCCAACGTCGCTCTTTTTGATATTATTCCTCAAGTTCAACGAACGTAGGAGTCCCTATGCGGCCTGTGTTCTTTGCTTTTTGGGCATAGGTTCGTCATCAATAAGGCAGATATTGGAGGTGTCTTTACAAGGATGGGCGCTGACAATGCTCTGAGATACGGCGCGAGACTGACGTAGCATTCGCGTTGCGCGTTGCGCGTCGCGCCAAGACGCGTCCGCTTGTCGAGGTTCCCTTGCGTCAGGGTTTGAGATTGAAGCTTCTCACATCGCTATGCCTCCACGCCCGTTCCCGTTACCCTTCCGCATAGGCAACGACATCTGCAGCATCAATCGTATCCACGACATTCTTAAACCCAACGCCGGTGACTCCACTTCTTCACTCAAAAGCCCGCCACTCAAGCGTTTCATCTCTAAGCTTTTGACATGGCCTGAGCGACACTATTTCTACAAGCGATTCCCCTACTATAAAGATGTCGGAAATAATACGCAAATCCTGAGAAACGTATCATACTACCTAGCTGGCAGGTGTGTAGAAGAAACATTTGCTCTGCTGTTCATGCACTTACAATATGCAGGTGGGCTGCGAAGGAAGCTGTTCGCAAGGCCTGCGAACACCTAGGCGACTCCAATGGGTTCCATTCAATCGTGATCCTACCTGTTTCCGTATCGTCGAAGCAATCCTTGGGAGCGACGTCCCGTCCACAAGCATTAGTACTGCGCGAACGCCTTCCTGAGCTATCGCCGCAGCAGGAGGATAAGGCGTCGAGTGGTGGAATGGAATTTGACGTTGATTCTCTCGACGGTCAACTTTGCGAAGTGAGCATAAGTCATGATACCACATACGCTACCGCAGTTGCGCTCGTCCCGGTGGTGGAAGAGTGGCAGTCACTGGCTACAAAGCTGCGAGGCCAGGATCCGTAAGGCTAGACTTTGCAAAAAGCTTCAGTCTCCATTCCGTAATGTCTCTATTGCAGGGAACAGCTAAAGTATGCTCACGCGAGCTGCAAGCTGGAGCAGCATCCGCTATCGGGTTCAGAACCATACACCTCTTCACACGTACTGCATTATAGTAAATCGTATACCTGCATCAATGACCAGGTTCACGAAAATATGGTCAGAAAGCATGCTCACGGTCATTGTTGACGCGAGACATGCGCTGAGCTACATCAACAGCCTCTAGGCTCGACATGCACTGGATGACAGACTAGCGATTTGATTGAAGAAGCCGAAGCATCAACAGCTCCTATTTTGGATCCCGCAAGGTTTGTACGCATGTAAATGCGTCAAACTAGATGGTGTTGGCTGCAAGCATATATCGTAGACCTCTGTAGTAAGATGTAAGTCGATGGTAAGCAGACTCCATCACCATAACCAAGTTACGCCTGGTATTAGCACAGCCGGTACAAACTACTCCGTAGAATACCCCAGCATGGCTTGAATTATCCTCTTGCATACCATACAATGGAAAACCAACGGCGCATCTCAGTGATTATGACTCTACAACTCGAGCTTCACGCGCACTGCCTTGCGCCACCACGCTCAAAACACGAGTAATGCGGTCCCGGCACGTCAGGCATTACCCTATCTAACTGTACACCGGTGCCACGACAATCTCGTGTTGGTTGACCATGCCACCAAAATACGAAGTGACCTCGCCGCTTTGAGTAAAGCAGCAGCTTGGCTGCATGCGAAGTCGCCTAAGTCGCTTCATGATTCGCCAACGAAGAAGCTCATGAGTGTGGAATGGATACTCTCGGGAAGAACCACGAGGTTTTTGGGCTTCGGCTGTGCCGCTATGATACGGAAGGTAGATCTCACTTAATAATAACAGTAGGTGCCTGTAGATTCTGCACGCTTCACAGCTGAACTCCGTTCAGCTCGCGTCCCTCCACTGCAGTGCCAGTGACTTCGGGAATTCTGTTCCAAAGCGATCTTTCCCTGCAGCACATAGAACGCCACACGGATCCAACATGCTCGGGCGCATCTTCGCGAGCTATGCGCTGTTCGCGTGCTACAGCCTGGCGGAACTGCTAACAGCCACACGGGAAGCTTCCGACCCGACAATAACGACAGCACCCAATATACCAATCGAGTTGCTGAGGAAGCAGGCAGTCGGCGATCGTTTCATAGGATGGATCTCCATAGATGGAGAATGGACCAGCCGCTCTTGCGACGTCGGCGGCACATACTTCCAGAGCGACGAAATCTGGAAGTGTTGCGCCACCACGCTCGATGGCTGTAACGCCCCTGTTGGATGTGCGGCGGGAAGTCTAATCTACTCGATCTATACATCTAGCTCATACAGTTACACTACGATTGCATGGTACGAACTACTCATGCATTAGCCTATAGGAGATAGTAGGCTGATTGATTCATGTAGCACGGAAGCGTATGATGATCCTGATGCTACATCATGGTCAGTATGCAATACGGGATTGATGTATGAGAATACTGCAGACTTCGACCCAGTAACCAACATCTTCTGCGGGGCGAGTGCGTCGAGGTTCACGTGCGTTGGAAATTCCAATCACCACTGCTGTCGCTAATTCAACGATTAGATACTACCGTGTAAGACCATCTGAATCCACGTCTTCGTCTTCAGGTAAATTCTCGTTACATCACCCATTATATGACACTCTCTCTTACCATCTACCAGAATTCTCAACACCCGCATCTACATCCGCCCACCCAACAGACACATCGCTAGGCCCAGCCGATTCCGCAACATCAACCCCCTCCCCGACTCCCCTCCCTCAGCCAACCAAACCCAAAAGCAAGGCCTGGATTGCCGGTGCAGTCGTAGGTCCCATAATTGGCCTTGCTCTCATCGGCCTCCTAGCCTGGTTCCTCCTCGTCCGGCGCAAGAAGAAAACCACTCCGCCGCCACCACCACCACCACCACCACCCATGCAGCAGCAGCAATACAACGGACCCCCGTCCCCTTATCCAGGAAGTCCAGCGCAGCCTCCAAAATCCTACTACAACGCGCAAAAACCCCCCGCAGCTGCAGTAGTTCCCATGGGCGTGGCATCGCACCAGAGCTGGGCTGCGCCCCCGCCGCACTCACCGACGTCCCAGGGCGCGGTGTCGCCGCACGTCCCACCGCAAAATCTTTACGGGCAGCAGGCGTATCCTGGGCCGGGTCAGAGTCCATCGCCGCCGAACGTACATGCGTATGCTGTGGGTGGGGAGGGGAAGCCGTTGGGGGTTGGAGGGTACGGAGAGAGGCCCTTTTCTGCGGAGCTGGATGGGGGGCAGCAGAGGTTAAGATAAGATGGGATTGGAAGGAGTAGGGAGGTGAAGTGGTAGGGATGCCGACATTGTGGAGAGACACCTTTGGGGATCGAGGGGAGGAGTTTCTTCATCAGGGTCATGGTCGCACGATTGTAGGTAGACTATTGATATTCCCGAGAGTAATAGAGTAGTTGGCTCGCATAGGCGTTCAGCTCGCTTCTATAGTACGCTGTAGCTATTATAACGAAAGGGCTGATTTGTATGCTCCATAGTGTCCTCAGATTCAAACATATATTACACTGATCAAGGCAAAGGATTACTGTTAGTTCTCCTAAAAGATACCAATAACTGCCCAGATACCCTGCATTACACGGAAGGGATCGAGTTGTAACGAAGTCTTTAACGATCCAGGAGTGCAGCAGTCAAGGTCTGTTAGTCCAAACAAGTAGTATGGACCCACAATCCTATATGTCTCTATTTTGGTTCCTCCTTCGTCTTCCTCTTCTTCTTGTTGTTCTTTACCCTCTTCTTGTTGTTGTTGTTCTTCCTCACCCTCCTCCTCGCCCTGCTCTTTTCCCTGCTCGTCTCTCTCCCATTTGTTTCCGAAATTTCGTCCATCATCCGAATCAACGTCACACTCCTGTATTGCAGTTTCCTTCATGGAGACCTGGTCTTCCCACCATTTGAATACAATCAGACGTAAGAAGGACTTGATCTTGTAGTTCAGAGTGCGGCGCATGTTCCTCCTGCTTGCCTTCGTCTTTTCTATCTAGAAAGGAGCCCAAATTTGCTTCTCGGATGGTCCTTGTTGACGAGGTTGGTTTATTGCTAGCAGTCGTGGTAGGTTTTCCCTTGTTTCATACTGCCGCCCTTCGAGATTCTGCTCTTAAGTCCCATCTGCACTCGAGCACTCAGTCACTTTTTTTGGTTGAGGTTTACTTTTCAATTGCGATATCACGTAAAGTGCACATACGGAAAGGGAGCGTGTAATATCGCGAAGGGACTCGATCTTTATCTAAACCTTGCTTAAGTGCTTCCTCTGCACTGATTCCCCTGTCAGGATCAGGCTCGTCCGAGTACTGAAAACGCCTCAAGATCAAGGGCATCCGATTACCATTCATCATCCGAACGCTGTCGCCTTCGCGCACAGAATGCATAAGTCTCGCTGCCGGCAAAGTTCCAGCTTGGAACAGGAGGCTACTACTCCATCGCTGTTGCAATTCCTCGCAAATCATCCAAATGAATGTTTTTGTGGCAGGAATAGGCAGCGAGTTGGCGTGGTGCGTATCTACTAGAACAGAAAAAGCGTACGATGCAATGGCAAGGCTTTGGTTTCTTACGATCAATGAATGCCGCGGCTGCCCGAGTAAACACTTAACCGAGGAGTAATAATCGAAAGGTATGCGAGAGCGAGTCTCCTCAAGGATCACCCAAACGCCTTTATGAAGAAACCAGTTAGCAAGAGAGCACGTATGACGCTTGAAAGCAAGGGTTACGTACGGCTAAACCATCTTCGAGAGAAGAACTTTTTAATCTCGCAAGGTCGTCAATTTTTCTTCAAGGAATCGTGAGGTATCATGGAAGCTGGCTCTTCTGGGAGGAACAGATGACCGGCCAGAGATCTCTATGACTTCAACATCAAAGCATCTATGTCCATCGGATGTGTCTGCCGTAAACCGCTCAAGACTTCTTGCGTTGGCAAATCCGATTCGCCGATATAAATCAAGACGCTCGAAGCATTAAAGCAACTCTGTCGCATCAAACCGACTTGATGGTTTATTTCCGAGCCGTCCTCTTGATTGATTCAGATGGCGCCCAGCCATAATGCCCGCGGAGCATCCTCCTTGCGCAAACGCCATAGAGCGTATATCTAAACACCATATCGCCAGCGCATCTTCTCTTTGCCATCATGGCTTTTACCTGATATAGTATCTGTTCTTGCATAGGGTGATACCTTGCACGGGGCCATGGGCTCTTGTCTTTTACCGCTATGTTTGCAACGAGGTCCCTGAGGAGGTTTGTTCCGCTTACCGGTGCCTCAAGGTAGTGCAGTTGTCGCTTAAATAGGTTCGCAACGCTCTTTTTCGCATTATTTCGAGCTGTCGCTAACCACTTGAACTTGAAGGTAATTGGTTTGTTTTTCTTTGGGCTGTGCGGCGATGCTGGAGCTCAAGGAAGAAGAAAGGGTGAGGCATGGGACGCTGATAGCAGGAGAATGCGGGTGATGGGTGCATGGACGTTGGGAGCGTAGTCGACAGCCCTTCCTGTGGAGAGTTTCAGGGGTTTGGATTGTGCTCGTATAGGGGAATAGGGAACGAAAATTTTCATGCAATGCGGTTCTGATGTGCTTTAATATCGGCAGTCTTCACTTGATACGGTTCATCTATCTTCCGTTGAGCGAAGTGCGTTCTGATATTGAACAATGCACGAATCCACAGGCGCGGTCGGTCAAAGACTGCAGACACCCCTGGTAGACGCTACCGCGCGCGGCCTGGAAACCCTGATCGACCTCCACTGCGCTCGCATCTTCATCCATCGTATCTCCATCTTTGGAAGCGTTTCTCAATATTTTCTCGATAAGGCGCCGAACAATGACTAAAGAACTCGCCGACGGTCACTTCAGATGAGATAGAAGCTGCATCTGGGCATCTCAAGCAGCCAATCGGATAGGTATCGCGATGCCGCCTCGTGTTAGTAACGTGATTGTCCATATCACATGCAGGTACAAGTAGTCTACAAGTCTAGAGGAGGACATCTTCGGCGGTGCGCTTTCTGTTCACCACATTGCTATGGCGTCCAACGGAATCGTTGCTGCTCTTATCGCTCTCGCTTCGTGCGCAACGACGGCAGCGCAGAACGCAAGCATCCTTGCTCCCGACCCTCTGCAAACTCCATACCCTTACTACTTTCCTCCAATAAATAATGCCGACACTTCAGATCTATTTCCAATGCCGTCATGTCATGGTATCACGTTGGAGGAGGCAACTATTGACCAGCTGCAAGGCTATTTGAGCGACGCAACCTTGACATCAGCCCAGCTCCTGCGATGCTATGCAAAGAGGATGTGGCAGGTCGACGAATACATCAACTCTGTGATCGAGTTCAATCCTGATGCGGATGATATCGCAGAGGCGCTCGATGCTGAGCGGAGAGCAGGGCACGTGCGTGGGCCGTTGCACGGTATCCCGTTTCTCGTCAAAGACAACATCGCAACGAAAGATCGAATGGAGACGACTGCAGGCAGCTGGGCTTTGCTTGGGAGCGTTGTCCCCAGGGATGCCCATGTGGTCGCTAAGCTGCGACAAGCAGGAGCGTTGCTCATGGGTAAGGCGACGCTGAGCGAGTGGGCGGACATGCGATCAAATAACTACTCGGAAGGGTATTCTGCTAGAGGCGGCCAAGCAAGGAGCCCGTATAATCTGACGCTGCAGCCCGGCGGGAGTAGCTCGGGCAGTGCGACGGCCGTGGCTGCTAACATCGTTTCGTTCTCACTCGGGACGGAAACAGATGGCAGTGTTATTAGTCCTGCGGAACGGAATGGCTTGGTGGGGTTCAAGCCGACGGTTGGCCTGACTTCAAGAGCAGGCGTGATTCCTGAGAGCGAACATCAGGATACAGTCGGTACTTTTGGCAAAACAGTTCGTGATGCTGCATACGCTTTCGATGCGATATACGGCGTTGACGAACGCGACAACTATACGCTCGCGCAGCAAGGGAAGACGCCCACTGCCAATGAGGGCTACATCCAATATCTGGCTGACAAAGGTGCCCTGAAGAACGCCACCTTCGGGCTACCCTGGGCCAGCTTTTGGACGTACGCTGGCCCAGAGCAGCAGTCTGGCCTTCTCCATCTCGTCTCGCTCATTGAATCGGCCGGTGCCACCATCATCAACAACACCGAGCTCCCCAACTACGCGACCACCGTCTCACCGGACGGCTGGAATTGGGACTATGGCACTACGCGCGGCTATCCTAATGAGTCTGAATATACAGTCGTCAAGGTCGATTTCTACAACAACATCAAGACCTATCTCGCAGGGCTGGATAACACCAACATCCACAGCCTAGAAGATATCGTAGCGTACAACTACGCTAACGACGGCACAGAAGGCGGAAATCCGTGGCCCCTCGGTATCCCAGCCTTCTACTCCGGCCAGGACGGCTTCCTGGCCAGCCTAGAATCCAAGGGTATCCGCGACGAAACGTACTACCAGGCGCTATCTTTCACGCAGCGCAGTACGCGCGAAGACGGCATTGATGCGGCGCTCGCAAACGGCGGGCGTCCGTTGGATGCGCTGCTCGTACCGCCGGTTGTCGCACAGTCGTATCAGATTGCTGCACAGGCGGGGTACCCAGTGATTACGATTCCAGCGGGTGTGAGCGCTACGACTGGGATGCCTTTTGGGCTTGCGTTGATGGGAACGGCATGGAGCGAGAGGAGTCTGTTGAGGTGGGCGAGTGCGATTGAGGACTTGCAGTTGAGCAGTGGGACGGAGTGGAAGAGGCAGCGGCCGAGGTGGTATGAGTATTTGGCGAAGAATGTGCCGGTATTGTTCGAATAGGAATGTGGTCACTGTGCACATACATGGATAGGATACTTTTGATAGCTACTTATGGGGGCAAATGATTGCTATGGATTTGAACATCGGCAGGGCTTACGAACAACTGCAATGGATATGCGCCCGCTTATCAACGCTACCCAGGCTGACAACATCTTCGACAGCTGAACGTTGTGTGGGCGAATCTGCGATGCATGCTTGGAGCAATAGCGCTTTCTCTGATATTGCGAGTGCTGCCCAAAGCTGTCGTGAGTCTTGAAATGGACACGGTCTATACAGGTGATACTCTCACTCCAACAGGATACGGTACTGTACAAGAGGAACACCTGCGCCATATCATCAGTGTCATATTACCCGCTTGGTGAGCTTGTGTCTTCGCTTGTCCATGATTCTCTGCAGCTTTCTGATATATAAAAAGCCAACGGAATAGAGCAGCCAACAACAACTACACCGCATGTGCGTCGTGGAACAAGCTAATTGAATGTTCCACTGAGCCAGAAAAGCAAACTAAGCAGATGTGGTAGCACCTTACATTGCTACCACAACAACGCTTCCAGGAAGCCCCAGCTCCATTCCTCTATCACTTAATCAGCTATTTCGTCAACTACTCGAGCCACCGACTTAAAACGCCTTTCCGAACCTAGAACGCTTCGTTCTGCTCTCTAATGACCATCGCGATCATGGTCACATATATGTACGAGATGTGACAACCAGCACAACGATACGGTACCCGTTCCATCAGCCAATTGGGGGTATACTGATAGTAAAGAACTCGGGTCATACCAAAGACATTTTTTCGATACATACCAAGATATCCACAGCGCTATCGTCTAGTATGTGTCATGGAGAGAAGCGGACAATGGGATATATACCCCCCCTCCCCCGGCTGAAGGGGACGATACAGAGGGAGATCGAGTTCGACATGCGTGCCTTGGCGGGGAGAGAGGTCATCGGTAGAAGGGTTGAAGTCGATGAAGAAGACGGTACCCCAGAAGTGAAGTTGAGAGATTTGCAACACAGATACCTTGTTTTAGAGGTGCTTACAATACGGTACAATACAGGTTGGGACGGAAGGAGTTGTCCAATTGTTGGGTACGCATACGTGGTAGCGCTAGTGCCATAGCGATTCCGAGGTCAGGAACGGCTAACGTCGACACCTCAAGATGATAGAAGCAAGCTTACGTAGGAAAGGTATTTTGTTCTTTCATGTTCTCATTACGTGCTCTACAACTAAAAATTTATCCCTCCGTGCTCACCAGGGAATTCGGACATCGTAACGACCAATGAATGTGCCCGCCTCCACGTTCTTCTTGCCTTCCACAATGTCCAAGACCGCCTGCACGCTTGTTTCCGAACTCTGCGCACCCATCGCAACGCGGTATTTTCTCTGCCCTACCAGATTGGTCACGACGAAACCAGGACAGAAGCTCCAAACCTTGCCGCCTTGGTCCTTGAGGTGCGTCGTAAGTTGTCGCGCTGAACGTGTTGAGGGCGGCCTTGCTCATGTGATAAGCCGTGTATGGGTTCTGGTGGGTGCAATAGTCAAAATTCTGAGCCCTCAGTGATACTTCCTAGCTCTGATGACAAGTTGATAATGTTCTTGCCCTGGGACGCTAGAATTAGCGGTATGAGGGTCTGCGTCAGGATGACTGTACCGTATATGTTGATTTCGAAGGCCTCGCGAAGCTGCCCGTGCGCTAGGAGTCTGGGCTGGATTTGATTGCCAGCATTGTTGACTAGGACATCAAGGCGACCAAGTGTAGCTTCCAGATTTTTGGCTGCGGCGTGAATACTCTCATCCACTGACACGTGCAGGGCCAGCAGACCCAGTGTGCTCTGAGGCTTACGAGATTGGCTCTTCTCGAGGTTTCGCACTCCCATAATGACATGGTTGTTGGCTGTTTTTGTGGGGTAGTATGCGGTTTCTGAGCAAACAAGTGCTTAGTAGATGACATCGAAGCAGTCTTGCTTCAACGTAGCTTACCCAGTCCAGTACCAGAATTGACGCCTGGGTTACATTAGTATGTACTACCTGGTTGGATTATCCGAAGTCGTTCACCGGTGACGAGGACAATTTGTTTGCCTGCGGCCATTGTGATGCTAAAGATAGTATCTTGACTTCCGGCCAGTAAGTCTAACTGTTTGGTCTACACGTCAGAGTTTCAGAACCAGTACATGTCTATACCGTCAAAAGTTGCTCTTGCAGCGTCAAGCCAGGTTTTGGATGAGTATAATATTCAGGCATGCGCCTGCCCGGAATATAAGTGCATGCCAAACACCAAGAAACATCATGTTTATCATATCGGGCCTTCCTGCAAGTAAACATATAGCGCCTGAGATGTACGGCAAAAGTTCTCATGAGCCAATGAATTATGCCTGTGGACAGACAGGATGTCCGAAATCGTTGTACGAATATACCGCCCCAGCAGCAAAGGTTGTTCGAGGTGCTCATAAGGTACAGCCGCCGTCCTGAAGCAACATGAGGTTTTTAGGCATGCGGGACAGCCGAATGGAGATCATGGAGTTGTGGTACTGAAGAAAGTCAGAGCAAGGAGCATGGATGTTGGTTTAGTCTACTTGCCACGTCTAAGACTTCTCTGAGCGAGCTTCAAAATGATAGAAAGTGCACCTCAATCTCAAGCGCCTAGAGTGAAACAGAATAAATGATCTAATGCTGTTCTATGAATGGGCTCATGTGTCCGATCAAATGGTCGTGAATGACCGCAGTTAGTCAGCAATTACCTGCAACGTGTTCCACCAGTCATCCGGACGCCCCACCAAAATCGCGACACGTCCGCCACAAAACGCGCCATGCCACCCACCCACATCACTCAGCAATTCCAGAAGGAAGGCAGACTAGCTCTTTCAATACAGGCGATTCAGAATAAACAGGTTTCTAGCTACCGACAGGCTGAGCAGCTCTATAATATCCCTCGATCGACGCTACATGATCGCGTTCACGGTACTCTACCTCAGGCTGCTGCCAACGCGCAGAAACGAAAGCTACACCCTATAGAGGAGCAGGCTCTAGTAGAGTGGATCCTAGACCTTGACCGATGAGGATTCCTGCCCCAAATCATTGATGTACGATGGATGGCAGACAATCTACTCGCTGCGCGTGGCCAGACCCCTCCTCCACCATCTGTAGGCAAGAACTGGGTATCCCGCTTTATTAACAGCCAGCTAGAGCTACAGACCAAGTAGAATAGGAAGTTCCATAGCTAGTGCGCCCTCTGCGAGGATCCTATCACGATCTCTACCTGGTACAAGCTTGTGGAAGAGACACGCCAGGCGTATAGCATACAGGATGGATACCTACAACTTTGATGAGATAGGGTTTATGATGGGGGTCGCTGCTACGTCTAAAGTAGTGACTAGCTTAGACACTGTGGGTAGAGCTATACACGTACAGCTAGGTAATTGAGACTAGGTCACTATAATCGAAGGCATCTGCGCATCTGGCTGGCCTATCCCACCACTTATCATCCTATCTGGAAAGCTCCACTAAGCTAGCTGGTATAAGGGCCTACCTGCCAGTTAGGTACTCGCTGTCAGCGATAATGGCTGGACTATAGATCAGCTAGGGCTTGCCTGGCTAGAGCACTTTAACTGGCGTACAGAGCCTCGTATAGTAGGCACCTAGCGGCTACTCATCCTAGACGGTCATGGCAGCCATGCTAGCCCAGAGTTCGATACCTACTGGGTAGAATGTAGGATAGTCACCCTATATATGCCTGCGTATATGAGCCATCTCCTATAGCCTCTTAATGTGAGCTGCTTCTCCCCACTTAAGGCAGCGTATGGGCATGAGGTTACTAAGCTTGCCCGCTAAGGTATCTTCCACATTAGTAAGGTAGACTTCCTACAGATCTACCTACGTATTAGGGAGACTATTTTTATAGAGCAGAACATTAAGGCTAGCTTTTAAGTGACAGGACTTGTCCCTCCTTGTCCTGAGTGCGTCCTATCCTCGCTTATAGTGGTTAGGACGCCGTCACCACTTGGGGCAGTAGTAGGTGCTGAGGCTACATGGACAGCTGAGACCCCTCATACTGCTACTCAGCTTGAGCAGTAGACTAGGCTTATACCTGATCGCCTCCAGCAATAGTCTCAGAGTCTTAAAAGCCGAGCTATCGCCTAGATTGTTAAGAGCTGTCAGGCTGCGATGAACTTAGTGACGATCTTAGTAGAGGAGAATAAGAAGCTTTAGGCAGCTAACTATCGCTGGAGACAAAGGTAGGATAGGCACCGACAGTATATAACCTCTGGAGGTGCTCTACAGGCTCAGGAAGGTCAATTGCTTGCTGCAGAGGCTGAAAGGGTGGCCCGGCAGGTGGAGCAGGAGGAGCGGGTAGTCAGACAACGAGCACCACCAACATGCAGCAACTGCCATATACAGGGCCATCCTCGAAGACAATGTACCTGGAGATTGTAGCTATCATATGAATCTATCTGCAGCTTTTTTAACTATCGCGTTGTAGAGCTATTGTGCAGTGACGCGTCGTGATTTTGGTGGGGCGTCCGGATGAGTGGTGGACATAACGTGTTCCACCACTCATTGGCGCACACCACTCATTGGCGCACACTCACTCATTGGCGCACCCCACCAGAACGCGCGACACCTCAGCACCGATATCTCAACAACAATAGAGTATTCTTGTATAGAATTTTGTACAGAGATAGTTTATTGCTGTCTACACTGATTTCGCTTATGTCCTTGCTCATGGCACTTGCTGCACGTGGGTGGTGCGCGCTGGCGCGCCGGAGTAGGTCCACCCTCAGCACCCCTCAGCAAGAGCTAGATGAGCTACAGTAGCTAGAGCACGCCCTTGCTCAGCCTATAGAGCACCTCTTGTAGCAATATACTGTCTCCGCCTGTCCTGCCTTTGTCTACGGCGATGGTTGGCTGCCCGTAGCCTCCTATTCTCCTCTGCTAGGATCGTTGCTGAGTTCATCGCAGCCTGACAGCTCTTGACAATCTAGGCGATAGCTCGGCTTGTAAGACTCTGAGACTGTCTCTGGAGGTGATCCCGTATAAGTTGTGCCTGCTGCTCAAGCTGGGTAGTAGCATGAGGCGTCTCCGCAGCCAGTCTCATTAAAGTTAAAGGCATCTCCATCCTGTATCCTATACCTCTGGCGCGTCTCCTCCATAAGCTTGTACCCGGCAGAGATCCTGACAGGATCCTCACATAGGGCACGCTGACTGTGGAGCTTCCTGCCCCACTTTTTCTGGAGCTCTGGCTGGGTCTTGACAAAGCGTGATACCCAGTTCTGGCCCACAGGAGCTGGAGGAGTGATCTGGCTGGGTGCAGCGAGTAGATTGTCTACCATTCATCGTACGTCAATAATCTGGGGTGGAAATCCTCGTTGGTCAAGGTCTAGGATCCACTCTACTATAGCCTGCTCCTATATAGGGTGTAGCTTTCGTTTCGTGCGTTGGTAGCTGCCTAAGGTAGGGCACCACCTATGCGTCCTCGGAGCGTTAATTGAGGGATATTGTATAGCTTTGTAGCACGCTGGGTACGTAAAGTCTACTTATTTTAATTGCCTATACTGAAAGAGCTAGTCTGCCTTCTTTTAAAGATTGCTGAGTATTTTGGGAGCAGTTCGCCCTTCACGATACAATGCCCCTCAAATGGAATATGCCAGGGAAGCGGATGATTTGCCCTACCATGAAGCTAGCAGTCTCTCCGCCATATCCACTACAATGGGTTGCTTGAATGTGAAGAGAAGGACGACGCCGACACGCAGGAACATCTCAAGTGATTTTTACTCAAGCCAAGTCCCGCGACCGACTGGCGCTCGTGCCTTAGCAGGCTCCTAATGGACTTCGGACTTGATTAGCACTACGATGAGGGTCAATTAGCCTGCTCAGATCACCTCTGCACGATGTCAATTGCGTTACGCTATACTCTGGACTCAGACTGTACAGTTGCAACGGCCTATGTTCTTCGAGGCTAATATGGTTCCAAGAACTAGCGACTTTTGCTCTCTTTATGCACAATGGGCGACACCTGTTCAGCCGCTACCTTATTTGGGCCAATGCAGACCCGTTATAGGCTTGGCGTGGTATTATGCGCCAAAAGAAGTTGGATATCACCACTTCTTAGCAGCGACGTCCAGCATGGTAAGTCAACCGTCATATTTCGCCGAATCGGTCACAAGTGGAGCGTACCCACACTTCCAGGCCCTGGCGCTGTGTGGAATTACGATGACAATCGGAAACTGTCAAGTTGGGCGATGTGGACTATTCTCCATTTCAAATCTAAAGACGTGACCAGGTCGTGGTGGGACATTGACATCATTCACCGACTATTAACCTTTCTCAGAAATCGACCGAAAGAACCAGGCGACTCTATCCAAGCGCAACTAACGGTAGGCAAAGTGTCTGTTGTCGCACGAAGCGGGTACAACAAGCAAGCTGACCCTGTACTCTGTATGTACATTGGGAACAGCATTCCGGAATGGGTGCATAGGTATTGCGATGGCCTCGAGACACAGGCTGTGCATCATTAATTTTCAATGTCTTCTTTCTTTAGTGAGCGTTATCCTTTGTTAAGCACGGTTTTCGAAAAGCTTCGGGAGGGACTTCTCTACTGTGGATGTTGCTACTAACTGATGCGCGTGCGATGCTTTATGCAATCCTATCTCGCGACGTAACTGGTCTATCCGCGCTCCTGTGCGACCGGTCATCTACAATCTCTGCACCTCGGTGAGATCCTTTTAGAAATCTCGTTACGTTCAAGTGAAGATATTTACAAGGAGTCGCGACTAGAACACAATCGATTCTCCTGAAGATCCTTCAGATGACGTTGTCAAAGGTTGTGCTGATGCACAAAGGCTATCTCTCAACAATTTTGGGACGAAGATCATTTGGCGGTCAGATAACCCCAGGGTCCAGTCGACAGGCCCTTGTTGGTGGTTGCCCCGGCCCCTCACCCTGCCCGCGACGGGTCGTACCGGCAAGATCGCAGCGCGCGAAGCGTTCTTGTGCTACTCTAGGTCCACCTCCCCTGATTAGGATAACCAGAGTGGCGGCCTGCACATTTTTCCATGTTATACTTCACTTGCGTAGATTAAACACACGTACAAGGCTCGCTACCAGCGAGGGAGATCCGCAAGGGAGGATATCCGCAAGGGAGGATATCCGCGCTCGGTGTTCCGAAAATGTTGGATGAGGCTAGCGGCGCGATAGATTACAGACAACCAGTTGCGGCTCTTGGACATCGGTACCCTAGACACCGACATGGAACCACATGGGAATCTCTGAGAACGACCGCAAATTTAACCGACATACATGATCAACAGCCAAGCCGTATATTGTATTCCGACTGGCCACCGACAATGACGAGCTTTCGGTACCACACTTACGCCTTTGTTAAGCTTAATTGCTCCTACTCCTTGTCCCTGGCCGGAGGAAATCTGGAACTAACCCACCTTTACAGAGAATTCGGATCCTTGCCAGTTCTCCATGCCGTGCCAAGTTTCTCAACGCCTTCGCTTTCAACTTCCGTGCTGAGGATTGGGATGCTCCCCTGCAGATTAGGACGTCTCGAAGCCGTCAACTTGGGATATGCTCGGTTGCACATCAGAGTTTAACCTACGGTGTTGTCGGTGGCGTTCAACTGAACAGGATGGTGATAACACATGGTCCACAACAGCGTGGAGGGAAAACGTCAGTCGATTAGTCCCGCTGTCACGTATGGAAGACGGCCCGTGTCTCGAATGGCCGGACTCCACCGTCTCCCGCCTCTTTGAGGTCATTTTAATATCTTGGTCTCAACCGCAAGGTTGTGTTTCCCCTTCCGGATGCAACGAGATTAGAACTAGCGTAGCGATTCGCGCGGCGGTGCAGGGTATGTCCCACCATGTACGCACCTGAAAGCTTCGATGGGGTGCATCGGTAGTCTTCAACAGCTCATAAAATCATGTTGGAGACCGTTTTGCCGGACCAGACGCGTTCTCTACTCTCGTTTCATCACCATTCTACTTAGATCGAGTACCGAATCAGCGGCAATGTTTGCATCTCGCAAACTTCTGTCACTGTTTTGTCTCCTTCTGCCTGGCCTCGGACTCCGCTATGATCCTGAACATGAGGGATGGAATCTAAATTTGAACCAAAACGCGATCGATCCGTTGGACTATTGGGGAGAATGGGATAATCACACATTCAATCCTTCGCCGAGAACTTGGCGCTTTCCCTTCTATTGTATCACGCTGGATCGATACGTTGACGGCGACCCTACAAATAATCTGGCAAATGGCACCAGTTTCGAGCATGACTGGACGAGCAATCAGTTCCGATTCGGTGGAGATACCAAGGGGATGATGAACAATCTTGTAGTGTAACACACCCACAAACATCGGAACCCGGTTCTAACACCTTAAATCAGGACTATATACAGGGAATGGGCATCAAGGTACATACCTCTAATGTCTAGGGACCATTATCTGACTTCGAACAGGCTATCTACTTCTCTGGAACTCCGTTCATCAACATGCCATGGAGCAGCGATGGATTCGGAGCACTCGATTTCACGCTGCTCGACCACCACCATGGAAAGATTGAAGACTGGAGAGCTCTGATCTCAGAAATACATAGCCGAGGAATGTACGTGATAATGGACAACACTCTCGGAACCATGGGGGATCTACTCCAATGGGTTGGAAACGAGAATGTAACCGCACCTTTCAAGTGGGACGAGTACGACGTTCGTTACAAGTCTACTCGACAGTACCACGACTTCGCGATCGGAAACAATGTCAACACGACCTGCAACTATCCGCGTATGTGGGGAGAGGACGGGTATCCTCTCAATAACCAAACTGTATTGGATGCTATAGGGCGGCCTTGCAAGGACAGCGAGTTCGATCAGGTTAGACTCAACATTCCTCTGCTTCTGGTTAAAGCTGATATCAGTTAGTATGGCGACATGAAGGGCGTCGGTGAAGTTCCAGTATGGGAAACTCAGCTCGCCAAGTTCGCAGGTGTCCAGGACCGCCTTCGGACATGGCGCGAAGATGTTCTCGCCAAGATCAATCATTTTTCTTGCATGCAAATTGCTATGCTGGATTTGGATGGGTTCAGGATGGACAAAGCTGCACAAACGCCTGTTGATGTGCACGCCCGATTTTCCGACTACCAAAGAGCATGTGCAAAACGCTATGGCAAGGATAACTTTCTCATCGTTGGCGAAGTCGTTAGTAAGATTCCGTATGCTTCCCTGATCATCGGGCGCGGGAAACAGCCAGACATGCCTTTCGACAACTTTACACAGGCAGTTGCGGCCGTCGCTCCTAGGGACGATGACAATTACCTCCGGAAGTTCGGATCTGTTGCTTTGGATGGAGATGCGTTCCATTACCCGTTTTATGGTGCGATGACTCGGTTCCTTGGCTTGGATGGTCCAATAGGTCTGGAAGGTGTTGACTTCGTCAAGCTCTGGCATGACCTCCTTCTGCACACCGACATGGGCAATGCGTACACTGGTGCATTTGACCCACGGTTCTTGTGGGGTATGACCAACCAGGACGTGTTTCGATGGCCCGCTCTCGTCAATGGCACGCAACGCCACATTCTGGGGCTCACCATTGCTAATCTATTAATGCCCGGCGCACCTTTTCAACTCTGGGGTGAGGAGCAAGAATCATACGTCTTGGAGAATCAGGCGAGCGACTACATCTTTGGACGTACTCCCATGGCTTCACAGCGTGCCTGGCAGCTTCACGGTTGCTACAAGATGGGTGCGGAGGTCTACGTGGATATGCCATTCGAAAAAGCACTCCACGGCTGCAAAGATGATTCCGTCAGTCTTGACCACCGCGACCCATCACATTTCATGCGCAATATCCTCAAACGCCATTATGAACTCCGGGACCAGTACGCCGTGCTGAATGACGGCGCTTATCTTGAGACTTTGTCAGAGCAGACTGTTAATATCTATCTCAACGGCAGTATGGGCTTGCCGTCACCCACCGGAATCTGGAGTGTCTATCGCGGGGCATTTCCCGATGCGCAGGACTTTTCGGACAAGGGTGAGCTGGGAAACCAAGGCGTATGGTTCGTTTACTCGAACGACAACAAGACGGTCAATTATACTTTCAACTGCCAGAACGCTACCGAGGGCCTCATCTCGCCATTTTCGGCAGGCACTACCGTCAAGAGCTTGTTCTTTCCGTACGAAGAGTACACGCTTGGAACTTCCGCGGCTACACTGAATCTTGAAGGTTCTACTGAGACTAACGGTTGCCTGGGTAGCCTCGAGATGCAACCATGGAGCTACAAGCTGTTCGTACCGAAGGATAAGTTTGCCGAACCTCGTCCGGCCATCACTCGAGTTGTTCCGGGGCATGACGCTCGCCTCCTATCTCAAGCACGTGAAGATGAACCTCAAACACTTGCCATCGAAGTGCATTTTTCAAGCGAGATGGACTGCGAGTCTGCAACACGAAACTTTTCCATTCGCTCGACAACCTCAACCGGGCAGATCGCGCGTCTAAACACCTCCAGCGTCGTGTGCTCCGATGTGACAGTACAGAGAGAGCAGCAGTATGTGGGTCAGATCGGTACGGCTTGGAAGATGGTTGGAGAACTCGAGAATGTCTACGATGGCATCCACGTATACACACTCAACAACATCTCTGCAGCAAGCACCGACCACTATACCCAAGCCGTTGACCATTTCATGTTCCGCATTGGTCGACCTGACAACCCGATGGTGTTCCCTGCAACTGCAAATTACTCCTCGTCGCTCCTCCACCGCGATGAGGAAACGGGAGCGCTCACCGTCACTCACAAAGCTACTGGAGCAGAAAAATGGCAGTACACTCTCACTTGGGGTGTTACGTGGAGCGATTGGCGCGACTACACTTCTGTCAACGCAAGTATCTCACCGCAGCCATGGTCTGGCTCGAAGGACCAGGCATGGGAAGGCGAGCACATTGAGGTTCGCTACTGGAGCGAGATGGCGGGAAGTATGGAACACGTCATGCACGGCGATGTTGGATCTGCTACTTCTCGTCGTTGGCCACAGATGCATGTCACTGGAGAGTGGAACCTGTATGGCTTTGATTCAGGTTTACCCGACAAGATGAAGGATACAGGTACCGGACAGTGGTATTTCGATATGATGACTGAGTATCCAACAGACGTCATCCTCAGCACATGGGGCATCAACCCTGATGGTCAGCCAGACAAGTCAAAGCTGTTTGGCGACGTTGATCAGGACGGTGTTCTTGATTGGCTTCCTCCAACCAGTCTGGGGAAGAACGTTATCAACATCACCAACCCAGGAATGCCTTACGTTGGTGTCAAGCTGATTGCGAACGATGGAGATCTACGCTACACATATGAGCCGGTCGGTTCCGCATGGAGACAGATCGTCATCTTCCTCCTCCTGATATTGATCCCCCTTGTTTCCGGAACGTTTGCTATCTGGCTGTTTCTGAAGTTTTTCTATCAGGTCAAGTTCAACCAGCGCGGCATGTCTGAAAAGCGATCCACCATCATGGCCGGCTTACCAACGTTCTCGAGCGCCTACAGACAAATTGGCGCTTTGAAACCATGGACACCGAAGCCGAAACCCATGGCCCTGTCGGACCCCCTACGCCATGAAGGGTTTGCTCTCCAGAACGAGGGTCATCGAAAGACGATCCTCATTGCAACCATGGAGTATGAAATCGAAGATTGGGCGCTCAAGATCAAGATTGGCGGATTGGGTGTTATGGCGTCGCTGATGGGAAAGAACCTAAATCACCAGAACCTCATCTGGGTCGTACCTTGCGTCGGCGGTATCGAGTACCCAATGGACGAGATCGCAGAGCCAATGCAAGTTACCATTCTTGGTCAACTGTACAGCATCAACGTTCAGTACCACCATTTCCAAAACATAAAGTTCGTCCTCCTGGACGCACCAGTGTTCCGCGCGCAGACCAAAGCAGATCCATATCCAGCTCGCATGGATGACCTTGAGAGTGCAGTCTACTACTCGGCCTGGAATCAGTGCATCGCCGAAGCGATCAAGCGATTCCCCGAAATAGACCTGTATCATATCAACGACTATCACGGGACGCTCGCACCGCTCTATCTCCTGCCGGACGCCGCACCTCCATGCTGTCTATCGCTTCATAATGCCGAATTCCAGGGGTTGTGGTCCATCAAGCGCCCCAAAGATCTCGATGAGATCTGCAGAACCTTCAATCTCAGCAAGGAGATTGTACACAAGTACGTCCAGTTCGGCGAAGTCTTCAACATGCTGCACGCAGGTGCAAGCTATCTCCGGATCCACCAACGCGGGTTCGGCGCTGTCGGTGTGTCAAAGAAGTACGGCAAGCGATCGTTCGCAAGGTACCCCATCTTCTGGGGCTTGACCAAGATCGGATCGTTGCCCAACCCCGACCCTACGGATACTGCGCCTTGGAACAAAGATGACAAGCTGCCAGACTCTATCGCCATTGACAACGATGGTGAAACACAGCGCGGTATGCTTCGGGCACAGGCGCAGGAGTGGGCTGGTCTACAAGTCGATCCTAATGCTGAGCTCTTCGTTTTCGTCGGGCGTTGGTCCCAGCAGAAAGGCATTGATCTCATCGCGGATGTATTTCCTTCCATCATGGAAAAGAATGCCAAAGCACAGCTCATCTGTGTTGGGCCGGTCATTGATCTCTACGGGAGGTTTGCGGCTGCCAAGCTGCAGCGTCTCATGGAGCTGTATCCAGAGCGGGTATGCTCCAAACCCGAGTTCACTGTTCTTCCGCCCTGTATCTTCAGCGGTGCAGAGTTCGCGTTGATTCCATCGCGTGACGAACCTTTCGGCTTGGTCGCGGTGGAGTTTGGTCGCAAGGGTGCGCTCGGTGTTGGCTCTCGCGTGGGTGGTCTTGGAACTATGCCTGGCTGGTGGTTTACGGTCGAATCAGTCGCGACCAAGCACCTTGTCCACCAATTTCAAAAGACAATCAAAGCGGCAATGGCCTCTCCTAAGGAAGTTCGTGCGACTATGAGGGCGCGTTCGTCTCTGCAGCGATTCCCAGTCGCTCAATGGCTCGAAGGGCTCGAGCTATTGCAGTCCGGGTCGATCAGAACGCATTCGCACGTAACCAACGCGCGTGCTTCCAAAAGGTCTGGTGCAAGCACGCCTGCCATCTCTTCGCCGCTGCCTTCGGCGCCGGGATCGACCTTTACCACTCCTGCGAACACTCGGCCTTCTAGTCGCAGGCCCAGCCGCGCTGCGAGCCGTGTCAACAGTCGGGCGACAAGTCCAATCCGCGAAGAGCTTGATATCGAATCTATCCCAGCTTTGCCCGCCCCCAGTCCCGCAGTCACTCGACGATATGGTCCGAATGCATCAGGATCAAACGACTCGCTAGCGTCCCTTGCAGAGATCCATCCTGCTAATAACTCGAATGGCTACCCCCTGTTCCCGATCCCGAGTGCCACTGCGGCGGAAAATGAAAACTACTTCGCGGGCGGTGACTTGAGGAGGGACATTGGTCGCGCAGCTGTCTCCCGTAACATGTCTCGTCAGAACTCTCAGGACTCAAACGTCTCTCAGCCGTCGAGAAGTGATCCGGTTGATCTGATCGAACCGCATGGTGATCCGGACAGCCCCAGGTCTGTCGCGTCGTCCTCCGCGCAGGGCTTCAGATCTCACCCTTCGCCGTCGGTTCTCAGCCTGCAGACCGTAGTCGGAGAAGAGAAGAACTACCGGATGCAGAACGTCGAGCCCTTCTTCACCGACTCCCAAGGTGTCTACGCGAAGCAGTTCGATCGCCTTCTTGGTGGGCTTAATGGGCACACATCGACCAACGAGCTGTGTATCGAAGAGTTCATCGTCAGATCCGAGAAGAACTGGTTTTCACGCCTCCACGACGCTAAGCTTGGCGTGAAGCGATCGCACAACAAGCTTACGAAGGTCGAGAAAGAAGACCATGGGAGCAACAGCAGCAGTAGCAGTGGTTCGAGCGCATCGGTCCAGATGGGCATCGTTGTCGAAGACGAGTTCGAGCTCGGTACCGACCACACACCAACAAAGGGCATGAAGAGGATCATGCAGTACAAGATCCGCGACTGGCCTGTGTATTCTTTCCTGCTTGCTCTGGGTCAGATTCTTTCTGCAAACAGCTACCAGGTCACCCTGCTTTCCGGAGAGATCGGTCAGACTGCCAGCAAACTCTACGCTGTCGCCAGCATCTACCTAGCAGGCTCGATCGTGTGGTGGACGCTATTCCGCACCTTGCAGTCTCGCTGTGTCATCGCACTTCCCTTCATCTGCTACGCTCTTGCCTTCTTAATCCTCGGGATGGCCCCATACGGTTCTTCTATCTCGGCCCGAGGCTGGATACAAAACGTCGCAACCGGCCTGTACGCCCTTGCCTCTGGCTCTGGCTCTCTCTTCTTCGCCCTGAACTTCGGCTCCGAAGGCGGCACCGCAACGCACACTTGGGTGTTCCGCGCCTGCGTTGTCCAAGGCACACAGCAAATCTACGTCACAGTCCTCTGGTACTGGGGCTCGCATCTCTCCGCGTTGAGCTCCTCGGGGCAGAACCCCACGGGCTTCGCCACCAGCCCCTATATCACCGCCGTCACCACACCCGTGGCCTTTCTCCTCGGCGCAATCGGCATCTCCCTCTTCCTCGGACTCCCCGACTTCTACCGCAGCTCCCCCGGCAGCGTGCCCAGCTTCTACTCCGCACTGCGCCGCCGCAAAATCATCCTCTGGTTCTTCGTCGTTGTCATCATCCAAAACTACTTCCTCTCCGCGCCGTACGGGCGCAACTGGCGGTATCTCTGGACGAGCAACCTTGTACCCGCGTGGGGCATCGCAATTCTCGTCGTCGTCTTCTTCGTGCTCGTCTGGATCGCCGTCTTCACCGTCTTTCAGCGCCTCTCCATCGAACACTCCTGGATCTTGCCCATATTTGCCATCGGTCTCGGCGCCCCACGCTGGGCGCAGATGCTCTGGGGGACGTCCGGCATGGGGTCGTTCATTCCGTGGGCGGGCACACCGGCTGTCGGCGCGCTCGTCGGCCGTGCGCTGTGGCTGTGGCTCGGCGTGCTGGATGCGCTGCAGGGCGTTGGCTTCGGCATGATTCTGCTCCAGACTATGACGCGGTTCCACGTCGTGTTTACACTTACCGCGGCGCAGGTCGTGGGGTCTGTGGCGACGATGGCGGCGCGGGCATCTGCACCGGATCGGCTAGGGCCTGGCGCTGTGTTCCCGAATCTCGCGCTGAGTTTGGATGGGCTTGGGGATGCAGTGTTTTGGGTTGCATTGGTGCTGCAGGGGGTCGTATGTGTAGGGTTCTTTCTGTTCTTCAGAAAAGAGCAGTTGGCTAAGCCGTAGATGCTTTGTAAGACTGGAACTGGAGGTGTTGCAGCGTGTTGTATGGTGTTGTCATTGCATGCTTGTTTGGCATTAGTTCTTTCTGTTTCGCTTTCTAATGAGGGTTTGGTTTGATCGTTCGTTCCATGTGAATAAGGGTTGGAGCGTTTTGTCGTGCTTCTCTTCCTTTTCACAGTACATTCGCTTACCTTGGTTTCCTTCCTTCTATACATAGACACATATTCATGACCATATCTATCAGGCATAATGAGAAATTAATGAACAGCCAATGAACAAATAACAACTAGTATTTATACATTCAGCCAAGATTAATCTAAGCACAATGACTCTGCATGTAAGTATGTGTGTACACCCTCGTATCACTCACACCCCATCCTATCTCAAGCCTATCTACCATCGCCGGGTATCTGTGAGGAATGAAAAATCTATCGTAAAGAGTGGCGCCGTGGACTTTACCTTCCGCGCCGGGAAGTCCTATACCCAAGCCGACCCATGAGGGTATCCATCATAAAGAGCGTAATCCGCAGCCGTCGGCGGGAACTTTTGTAGCAAAGAAAAAAATCAAACAGAACAAAGTATTAGAAGATAACCACCATGGCGGGGAAAGAGTGACTCCAGTGGGACCCAAAACTCGAAGCAAAACAAGAAAAATCAATTCAAGGGATTTCAAAATGCGTCTGCAGCCCCGGCGTACTGGGCACTCTCGCGTGCTTGCTTCGCTTAAACGAGTGCATCGGCTTGATGGCGCTGTTGCCCAGCGTGCTCATGCGCGCGTCATAGCTCTTCTTGCGGCGCTGGGCGAAGTACACGGGCATGATCTTCATGCGTACCGCGCTCTCGACGAGGTGCACGCTGAACTCTGTGCGGGCTGGCGACGCCGGAGACGGCATACCGGGAGACGCCAGAGGCGCGAGGGACGGGCTGTGACCGTGTGACGGGGTGGTGGGTGTCTTGGGCGTTGAAGTTGAGGTGGAGCCTGGGGTGGGCGGCACGTTGAGTGATTCAGAGGTGGGCGTGGGTGTGGTGTCGATGAAGCCGCCGTCAAGACTATGTCTTACTTCCTCGAGGCTTTGCCGTATCTCCTCGAGCGCAGCAGTGTGGCGCGAGGTGTACGACAGGTGGGAAATGCGGCGCTCGAAGGGGGCGTAATTCTGCAGGGCGCCCTCTGCTTTCTTAGCGAGCGCGGCGGTCTTCTCCTCGGGGACGTAGCGGGGGGAGAGGGACGACTGGTTGGCGAGCTGTTCTGGGGTAGGGCGCACGGGTATGCTGAAGTTGAGGCGGGGGCCTTTAGGCTCGAGCCGTGTTGGGGGGAGTTGAAAGGATGTGCGTGGTATGGAGGGTTTGACGGGGAGGGAGAGCGTGCGGAAGGGGCCGCGGGGGCGGTCTTCGCTTTGGGTGCCGCGGGTGCCTTGGGCGGGACCGGGAGTCACGCGGACGCTGGCTCGGTTGGGCTTTTGGGGGCTGACGAAGCCGGTGGGGAGTATGGGAGAGCCGTTGGGAGGAGTAGGCGGCGTGATCTTGGGGGATCCCTTGGGTGGAGTGGGTGGTGTGATGACTGGCGATCCCCAGCCGTGCTTCTGTTCGGGGGTGCACGGTTTACTGCTTGAGAAGCTGGATGTAGGGCTGAAGAGGTCCTTTTCGGTCTTGTAACTCTTGATCGCAGGCCTGACGGTCTTCGTACCGCGGATGTACTGGACAAGGCGAGGGAAAGCTGTGCAACAAGCCATGTACATGATAGCAGTGATCTCGGCGAGCCTGCAACAGTTAAAATACACACGGATGTCGTGCAGAGATATACTTACGACCACATGTGGACTGGCCAGATTGTCTGCGTGTAGTTGCGGTTCTTATCAACCTGGACACCAAATGCCAATCTGCAGACACTGGCAATGCATGCAAAGCTGCCAATGCTGAACACAACCGCTACCATAGTCTGACGCCTCCCGCTCAGCTGTAGTCTGCTAATACCCCAAACTGCGAAAAGCAAGACGAGGACATCGGAAGCCACGTTGACTGTGCTAGAAACAACGATAAGGTTGTTCTGAGGAATGCACCGGCCCGACACCGTAGGATCCAGGATCTTCGCCCGCGGCGTGCAGGCAAAGACATTCGTGAAGAACATGACGGTGTAGCAGAAAGCATTGACATAGGCCAAGGCGCGAACACTCCAGAAAATCATCCGCTGCTTATTGCCAGAGAACATGCGATCGACTTGCACGAGGATAGAAACCTTCGCAGCGAGCATGATCGGTGCGTATACAATGTCGAGGATATTTGAGTAGAGGAGTGCATTCTTGACGGCGTCGGCGGAGAGGAGGGTTACATGTTGGCCCAGACCAGCATGTGAGGCAATGAACATGAGTGCAATGAAAACAACGAAGCACAAGCCCGCAAGAATGGTGGCAACTGCAGGGCCGAATTAGCATGCTAGAACCGACTCGAACCATTACACTTACAATCATCTATTTGTAGCCGTCGCATATCCACCATTGTAATAAATGTCCTCACGGCCACAGCCACTGTCGTCAAGAAGAGGCATATCGTGGCCGCGGCAACGAAATCTGAAGGAATGTGGAAGGAGGCATCAGCCTGCCTTGTGCTCAACTCTGAGCGTTGCTCAGCAAGAAGGAGTGTTGCCGGCATCTTTCTCTAGTCCAATCAAAGCAAACGAATGCCTAAAGGAAATAATGAAAGACTGGGAACAAGAAGAGAGGAACGAGATGGATTGAACGAGATCGCGTGTCTCTCCAGAAAGAAAGCGCGGTGACGTGGATCATGGTGTCTTCTTGTAAGTTTTCTATACGCGGCATGGCACTACCATGTTCTCTTGGCTGGTGGTGGTGCATTCCCGAAGGAAGAGTGACAGGTACCCGAGTGCCTGTCAGCTCGCTTGAGGGAGGCGCGGCTGTTGTTGGCGGACGTTGCAGTGTGAACACGTTCATTCCTTGCGCGTAATTTCACTGCGATCGCATTTCTATCTCTTTGTGAGACAGACGCAGGCAGCAACTTCGATACATACCTTGAGTTTACGAAATCTGGTTCTTCATAGTCTCGAGGTCTCCAGATTCTCCAAGTTTACGGGAGGCGGCGTGTGGTGAGATAATTGCCCTAAGAGGCATAGCCGCCTCAATCGGTTGCCGACCACCGTGCAGGCGTACTGATTTTGTTACAGGTCTAAGAACAGTGCCTTTGTCGGATACACAGCCAATAGAATAGCTAGACTTGCATCAGCACAGCGAGGCTGAGGCTACGGACTTCGGTGCATAGTGCTGTATTGAAGTAGTCGCGTGTTGCACGGTGGTGCAGCGCGCTCGATTCGCGTTCGCGATATAGAAAGCTGGCGCAATACTGGGCGCCCGGTCCTCACTTCGTTGTGCATGCGGGTCTGTGGTACGATCTGAGGCGTTGGGGGTGCGACAAATCGTGCGAGCCTGGAATGGGGTGCGGTCGTGTGGTGTGGAGGTCAGACGGCCCCAGGGTTTCAGAGATGCACCCTGCCACCTGTACTGACTTAGTAAGACAGAGCCAGCATGGTAACATTTCGATATCGATCAAACGAGTGAATGTATATAATATATATTGTGTATGAGCTAGTACATATCTCCCCAGGTCTGCTATCGACTCGCTCGCGTCTTGCAAATTCCAGTCATTCTCGACTGATGATTACGAGGATCTGCTGCGCATGCAATACGATATGTACGCCCCTCCTCAAATTAACGTGTAAGTGCCCTTGGCGCTTTTTATCTATGTAAGCATTTCGGAAAGCTGAGGGCTTCCCAATGCAGAACTAGCTTTACGGCGACTGCTCGTTTGAGCTGGTATAGTCGTGATATAGTGGCATCTCCAAACGTGACGCCTCTTCATTGGGAGGATGACGTTGAGAAATATAACGCGTTGAAGCCTCAACGCAGGCTGTGCCGTCTTGGCTTGCCATTGTATGAGGCTGACATTGGAACCACCAGATGCAGAGGGCGAGTGTCTGGGCATACGTTGCTAGCCAAGGGGACAGCAAAGTTTCATACAATCCTATATTTGATCAGCAAGCTTCAATGTAGAATGTGGGAACCCGTAGACGCCCAGGAAATGTCTTGATCGGATAGGGGTCTTTGATTCTACACGCGGCGTGGTAAATGATCGTCAGGAGGCATTGCGTGCGGCGTTGATGAGGCACAAGCTGGTTTTGAACGAAACATAGGTAGAAAGATCAACCCTGTAAGATTAGCAGACAGGATGGGATGATGCTGCTGCTGTCTAAAGTTAGCAGCGACGGGCGTGATGAAAAGGACAATCAGAACTCTCAGCATCCAGAATGGTGCAGAGATAAACACAAGAGGCAAATCCTATTGTAACGTCAGGAGGCATGTTTCGAACGGGGTCTTACAAACCACACGGCCACATAGAGTCACGATGTCCTGACCAATGCCTAGAAGTGATCGATCAAATTGTGCTGGCACGAGCGCTGTACAAGCCGCCAAGCCACAAGTCCTAAGACTATTAGCAACCACTGAATCCGCCGCCTTTGTCCTTAAATTTTGCCGTTGCTTTTCAAGGCAGTCAGTCGTGCGCGAGTATCCTACTGAGAACAGGTAAGATCTGACCGCAAGGTCCACCGCGCGACGTACCAAGGCCATGAAAACTTTTATCCTCAAAACAGATCGGCGTCGGTCATGGTCGCGGTCGCTGGATTTTCTTCAGCCTCAGATGGGTCGGTCAACCTGTCAAGAAGCCAGCGAGTCCTTCCACGCAGAAAGAAAAAGATCCAAGCACTCCAAAACGCCATGTCCGAAAAGCCATCACTCCGTACCGCCCAAACATTTCCTTAGCACCCCTTGTTCCCTGAAACTCCTGAAGATATGACACCTTGGCAAATCCGCACCGAAAGCAAAGAAAACACGCTCTTACCGTCAGAGTCCATGGGGGTCTTAGGGTCCGCCGCGTAAAGTCCTGGGCAAGCACGCTCTCAGAAGTTGGCAGCCGCGCCGTACAGCGAGTTGTAGACCTTGTCCACAACATACGATGCACGGATGACACGATAGTTGAAGGTCCTGCCGTTCAGACCCTGCAAAGCCTTCTCGCCACCGCTGACCGAGTCAAACTTGACGAAAACCTCTCCGTCAGAGTTGGCGTCAACAGCGATATGCACCACCTTGCCATACTTCTTGTCACATTCGACCTTGATCTCGGTTTCAAGGTCCTTAGCCCAGTTCGCGCCGTACTTAGATAATTCCCTGCACATTTATTAGCTCGATTCCTTGAGAGCCAGGTCAAAGTCACTTACTCATCGGCGTCGAAGACGTTCTGAATCTTGATGCACTTCGAAGGAGCAATCGTGTTCTCAACTGGGGCACGGGCTTTGGCCGTTGGACGGTCGTCCTTCTTGGTCGGAATGTCGACCTCGTTGCGGGCGAGGTTCATCATTAGCTTGTTGCGGTCGACCTGCTTGAAGTTGACGCCTGCCATATCAGTGTCGTCAAGTGCCGAAGCACCGCTGATCCCGCGATCGTCACGGCCATGAGCCCGGTCAAAGACCCCGCCTGAGCCGCCGGCGTACGCACCACGGCCTCCGGCACCACTGAAAGCAGAGCCTTGGTAAGCAGCTGCCTGGGTTGGGAAATTACGGAGGAGATGGGCGGTTGACTCCGGGGTGAATTTGTCGTTGCCCAAGCCAACGCGGATCTGACGACCAGCGAGCTCGAAGCCATTCATCTCTGTAAGAGCCTTCTTCGCATCATTCGGGTCAACAAATCTAGAGGACTGTTAGCGATAGGATCGACTTTAGAGAGGGGGTACTTACTGGACGAATCCGTAACCCTTGGAGCGAGTTGGGTTCTGTTCATCACGCTGCAAGGTCACTTGCTCCAACTCTCCAAAAGGTAGGAAGATCTCCTTCAAATCCTCTTCGGTCACGCTGAAGTGAATGTTGCCGACGTAGAGACGGTGGAATGGGGCACCGTTGGTGGCGCTCGCAGCTCCGCCCTCGCCGGTCGTGCGTGATGCGCGGTTCTTCTCTGCCTCGGTAAGTTGAGCGATGATCGGTACGCCCTTCAACTTCTGGCCGGTTAGCTCAAGGGCCTTTGGGACAGACTCTTCGCTCTTGAACTCGACATATCCAACGCTGAACATGTTAGCAGGATTCTCAATAAAGGAAGTAGTACATACCCTTTAGAGCGACCAGTTACTCTGTCCTTGACGATCTGTGCCTCGACAACAGGGCCGACGGCTTCGAAGAAAGCTTTGAGGTGGCGCGTTTCAGCGCGCTGTGAGATCTGCTGCACAAAAATGGTTCGCTTATCGCGATCGTCTTCAGTTGGCTCTGGGGTGGGAGTGCGACGCCGGCCGCTGCCACGACGGTCGTCAGTGTCGCGGTCGCGGCGTGCCGGTCCAGAAGAGCGGTCACGATAACGATCCTCGCGACGGTCGCCTCGGTCACGACGGGGAGAACGCGAACGTCCACCTCGACCGCCACCGCTGTAGTAATCGCCGCCGCGGTCTCCACGGTCGCGGCCGCGACCTCCACGGTATCGGTCGCGCGAGCTGCTCCTATGGGAAGAGTACCTAGCACGGTCTTCGTCTGTGTCAGCATCCTTGCTCTTGCTAGACCGTGGTCGGCTTCCATCTCTTCGCCGGCGCTCACGGCTGTGGCGCCGCTCCCCATTTGACTCACGAGTTGTGTAGCGGTCTCGGGATCGGTCTCGATCGCGGCCATGGCGACGGCTGTCACGATGATCGCGATCACCGTAATAGCGGTCGCCGCGGTCGGAGCGGTCGCTGCGGGTACGGCGCTCGTCGTCGTTGTGGTCGCCAGTATCCGACTTGGCCTTGCGCTTCTGCTCGTCCTCGAGCTCCTTGGCGACGTTGTCGAGAAAGTTCTCTACCTCCATGGCGTTCGACGTCTGCGGGCGCGGAGTGTCGTCCTTGTTTCTAACCGGTGACTGCTTGAGGAAGGACTCCGATTGCTGCACGCGCATGCGAACAGCCGCGGGTCAAGTGTGTGTATGAGTGTGCACAGGGGGATGTGTACAAGGGAAGTTGCTCGTGGCAAGTACGCATTCGAATTACCTCTTACGAAGTACGACAGCAGCTGCGGCGAGGGCGGCGATTGGCTGTCTGTCGTTGGCGGTGTTACGAGCACGGCTGCAGAGTTCACGAGCGTGGTGTTGTTGGCGTGGGTGAGAGGTGCGGAGCAAGAGGGCAGCTTTTGAAGAAGGCAGGAGCGCACGGGCCGCCTCGGGTGCGGTCACGTTATCAGCGCGCGTCAGCCAGCAGCGGCGTGAAGACGACTTCTAGCGCGAAGTACATGAATTCGATTTGCGGTAAAGCGGGTTAAATCGACATCCCTTCCATGATAGGTTTGGGGGGTCCATATTACATTATAAAGTCTATAGACAGACGTGCCGCGCACAGAATGAGAATCGAACAAACCAACGCCTATCCAATGCTGCGTTATCTACATTTACGTTATCCTCAATTGGTCTTGACAACCTTTGGGGGTGCCATGTCTAGCTCAGTGCCGAACACACGGTCCCAGAACCGACTGCTCACACCAAAGCCATTCTGGTAGTCCGCAAAGTGGTGTGCCAGGTGATACTTCTTCAGCTCGCGCCAGTAGGCCGGCAGGTTGCGGTGGTGAAGGAAGTAGTGCGTCATGTCGTAGCATATGTATCCGAACACACCACCGGCGTACGCGGTGAGTGCGGCGTGCCAATTCCAGAAGATGATGAAGTGGGCGACCTTCCAGAAAGGTGCAGCGAGGGCGGCGAAGAGCGTGGGCGGCATGACAAGGCGGTACTTGTCCATGGGAAGGTAATGGTGGATGCCGTGAAGCAGGAAGTGTATCGTTAGCGCTGCGCGATTGTCCGGAAGATAGCTGAGAATCGTTAGTATGCGCATTATTTCAAGTTGACGGCGCAGGACTCACTAGTCCAAGTGGAACAGGAACCTATGCAGAGTGTACTCCAAGAGCGTCCAGAAAGCCAAGCCGAACAGCCAATACCCCGCGGTCGGCATGCCACCCAGCTCTGAATATCCATACGCGGTACACGCAATCACTGGAGGAAGCCACACCGTTGGGACTACCCACCACGGGGTAAGGCTCAGCGGTTCCAGAAAATTTCCAAACAGCGGCGCTGAGTCTCCACCCCTGTAGTGTCTTGGTCGATGTACTTGCTCCAGGTAGAAGTCCTTCGAGAAGCCGCCGAACCACACCTGCATCAAGAGTGGCTTCGAAAGGTCGAGGAATTTGTGCTGTTTGTAGTCCCTGTCGGGATCGGTATCTTTTGATAAGTCCTCAGCTCCCGACATGCCTGTCGCAACGTACAGTGGTCGCTGGGCGGCGAGTTCGGCTTGGCCCTCCTTCGACGGCGGGAGGGGTACGATTTCAGCAGGCTTGCTGCTCTTGGTGGCGCCATTTAGTATGGGTTCCGTGGGCATGAAGCCGACCAAGCTCTCGTCGAGGATCTCGTATGCGGCCTCGGAGTGTGTATGCGACACCTCGTCCTTCAAGATTGCGGTTACATCCTTCCCGCCATATTCCAGTACGAGATCGCCGCCACCCGGGTGGTCGTCGAGGAAGTCGGTGACGTCGTATACTTTTTCGCCAATGGTGACATAGCAGCTCTTGCTGGTGTTATGCGCCTGCACCTCGGCGGGAGGAATGGTAGGCAACGTGCGGCCGGGCATTGTGACCGACTCGGGGGTACACGTGGCGGGTACGGGATTTGTAGGTCTAGAGTCGGTCTGCAACGAGGGAAATTCTTTGCTTCAATTCTAGGTGTCGAGTGTCGCAGGAGAACGCGGAGCAATGAAGGTGGCGGTCAATGTACTACCTGGCGGGAGGCAAAAGACAACGGGGGATCGCGGCGGAAGGCTCGGATGGGGCAGTGGACCGAGCTTTGGTTTCGCACTCGATTTCTCGGGCAGTCCACGCACGAAAGGGATTAAAGAGCGAAATACTCGGACTGCAGGGCGTGCAAGAGGACCGACGAGGGGTGGTCAAGAATGCTCAGGAGAGTATGTACCGCACGCACGGCCACAAAAAGCTAGCCTAGCGAGGTCGATCACACCTATCTCACCAGCAAATCGTGAGACCTCTCGCCACCCGCGCCTGTCCCCCGGCATCCGCGCTCGGCGACTCGGTCTTCTAGGAATTAAATCAGCTGTGAAAGGGGCTGGCTTTATCGATAAGACCTTTGTTACAAACCTGGCTGCTCATCGGAAAGTCGCCGAACCTGAGATATTCCAACTAAACCCCACGCAGACGTGCAGTAATGCCACCCAGCTACGGGCCTTTCTTGTCCAAATACATGTACAATTGGCGCTGCGTGTGAGGCCCCATAGAGCCGATGACGGAATACATGAAGGTGCTGTTGCGCACACAGGCTCCCGCTATGAAGCAAACAGAGGTGTCTAAGCACTCACGCAGATCGACTGAAGAGCCGTCATTTTGTTCTAGAAACGGCTCTCTGTATACTGAGGATGAATGTATCAAGCCCTGGTTCCCGTCCAGGGAGGTCCAACCTGACCAGCAACTTCACAAGATTGTTGAGCAAACAAAAAAAAAGCAAAGATTACAAATAGCACGAAAAGTCCTCTGATATAGCATAAGCTTCGTTATTGCAAGAAACCAGTGCCAAAAGCCACGAGCATGCCTGAAAACTGCTCGAGGCACGGTTGCTGATCAATTGTCCCGGCAGGCACGTATGCACAAGAGCTCCTGTACGTACCGTCTACGGCGAGAGTCACGCTAGCTAAACAGGCAGCATTGCTCACAGCGCGAACGCTCACTCAAGTCCCTATTTCCTTCGACTCTGTTCCACGGTTCGCAGCGACCCGCAGCATCTCATTCTCGGTTTCGCATTCACCACACTCCTGCACGCACTCACAAAATACCAACCCGCTGCAGGCTTTTATTTCCTCTTCGCAGAAATCGTATCTGCAGGACACCTTGTAAAGAGTACCTACATACATGTCCAGAAAAGGCTTAATCCCGCAAGCACGCATGGCATCATTTCTTCCACCTATTCAAGAGCACTATTCGCATGCACGACCGTTTTCAGCACCTGGCCCCTCCTTCCTATTCCATCCCATGCCGTCACCTCTCACTCCCAATTCACTCAGTGACCGTGTCTGCACATCACCTGAAACCCGGTCCATGGTTACGTGTAGCCAGCCACGGCCATCTTTCCTCTTCGGAAGCATGCATTCCCGATGCAGAACTCATCCTTCGTCACTGACCACACCAATGCCAGTTCCGCATCTACAATACCTCACCCCCTCGTATCTGACCACTCAGTCGGGCCGATCAGTTCTCGCATTTACTGTGCAGGATTTCTCCCCATCGTCGGTCCGACTCACTTGCCTACATCGTTCTTTATTGACTTTCCGCCCGCGCACACCGATCACTGTGTTCCCGCTCGGCAGAAAAGCCACGACGCAACTTCGCTGCTCATAAACCCGAGTGCAGATGGTTTGCAGGCGAATGGAATGCTGGCTGGCGAGTTGGGAGAATGACAACCTGCACTCCAACCTGTAGGCTGGCTGACTGCGTACAAGGTAGTCGGGTAAACACCACGCCACAAAACCATAACCAGGAATACGAATACGAGAGGCTTTAGCAACGGCTGGGATGCGAACCACACCACACAACCCCTACCTCGTGTGTCGTCACTGGCTGGCACGTCGCACACGCCCTACCACAACGTGCAGTGCTATCTTTGTCATTCATCCTACCGACATCAAGGTAGACGACTTCCACACCTGATTTATCCAGACGACCCAAAGATTCCCTTGCCGACTCCTGCACATAGGCGTAAAAAAAAAACCAAAAAGGCCCTCCACAATGTTGGGTAATCCAGCCAACCGCTTTTGCACGCATGCAGGTCGAGATGCGAACCACACCGCAAAATGTGCCTTGCCAGGATATTTTGCCATTGGTCGGTTGAAACGTCGTACAAACCGCACGTCAGCAACGTTCGCGCCTACACGTTCTATGTTCGTCGCTCCATAGCGATAATGCCTGTCTATAGCAACGAGCAGGACAACCTCATGCAACTCATACGAACAGAGCATGCTCGTTCTATGAACGACGACCACCGACCACCACCAAGCACCGCCAACAACAGGTGCGGAGGTCATGGCAAAAAGCGCTGAGCCCATGCACCCCAGCCGCCTGTGTATGCACGCACTCTGTGTGTTTCTACCCGCCCAAATCCTTGCGAACCAGATCCCATCTCGCAGGAAGATGCTTCGTGATCCCAGGTATGCCTCTGCGGGCTATTTCGGTCTATTGTCTTCTTCCTACCGACATGTACGCATGCAGCCGTACACGCTGTGCATGCCTTCGATTCACACCGCTCAGCACACTCACACTTTTCACGTACAATGGCCAGCTCCTCTACGCAAGGAGAACAGCAACTTTGTCTAAACTCTTAACAGCAGTTACAGCGACATTTGCGTACGCAATGCAGGCACTGTAGATCAAGCCCCGCATAGGCTGTATGTACCCGTGGATCGCGACCGCTTAACGCTATGTACCTTCGCTCGTTCCCAAGCGCATCTATGTAGACTACTCGTGTATGTACGTCTCTCCGCCCCCTGCAAACCAGACCAGGCTACACAAGGCCCGATTAGGATCAACCCGATCCGATCACCTCGCAAAGAAAAGCCTTCTTCCTTCCCAAAGAGACCCATGGTATAGATGCCAACGTGCCGTGTCGTATCGTACAAGTACAGAAGGAAACCAAAACAAAACAGGACAAGACAAGCACATAGCCATGAATGCAGCGCACGACGAGAAACGCATGTATGCTCCCCAATGCAATGTAGGTGGGAAAACCAAAAAGACGCAAGAACAACAGTACCCCTCCCCTCCCCCCTTCCAAAGGAAGAAAAAGTCCGTCCGTCCCAGTGTACGTATGTGTGTGTGCGCTGTGTATGTCTCGCCCCAAGCGGAAGGACCAGATGTCGAATGCCCGCAACTGGCGGGCGTGCTGCGGAGCACTGCGCTTGGCTGCGCGTGTTCTCTTCCCTTCCGCCGAGGGCCCCAATGATCGCGAGCACGCCCACGTCCGCCCGCCGCGATCGATGCGCTGCGAGTCCCGAGTGATCCTCCCGAAATCTGACGTTTGTCTCGCGCGTTGCCGCCCCCAGCGGCCGGTCCCGCGACTCCACTCTGGCTCTACCCTCACCGATTGCCTCGCCATGTCGTGTACGTATGTCCTCGTGCATTGCTCGCCTATGGCGGTCGATTCGAGCAGCCTTCCCTTCAATTCCCCTGCATCCAGCACGGCGCGCCCGTATCCTGCGCCGCCCCCTGCCACACATCGTAGTCAGCCGCCATGCCTACGCCGAACGGCGCCTCGAGCATGTCCGGCAGGTTTGTGTCCCAGACCATGTCGTCCCAGAAGCCGCTAAGGGTGCCGTCGCCGAGGGTACTGGCGTTGACGCTGGGGTCGCGCACCCAACCGCCGCCGCCCATGGTATCCGGGTTGAGCGCGAAGCCGTAGTCTGGGACGGGGACACCCGGGGCGCCGCCGTACGCGAAGCCTGCTGCGTGGTGGCTGTGGCCCAGGGCCTGCACCTGCAGATGGTCTTGTGCGAACGGGGGGATACCGTTCTGGTTGTGCAGCGCCTGCGCTGAGAATTGCGACTGCATCTTGTACGCGTTGTAGAGCCTGCTGACGGCATCGAGGCTGCGCTTGGCGGCGATGCTCCAGGGTTTGCTACGCGCGAAAAATTCGAGCGCCGTTTCGATGCTCGCGCACCACCGTGCCGTCTCCTCGGGCACGCTCGCATCGCTGAAGAGGCTGACCAGGGGCACCATGCACGCCTGGAAGGTGAACCAGACGGCGTTCCAGCCTGAGATGAGGTCCGGGCAGCACTCGGCTGAGATGTCGTCGATGGTCTTGGCCGCGACGATACGGCACTTACTGACGATTACTTTTTCCTCCGCGGAGAGGGCGTGGAGCGGGCAGCGACGGAGGGCGGAGACAAGCAGGGCCGGGCGGTGCAGCACTATACGGAGATTCTGGAAGCGCCACTTCATGACGAGGCGGACGCGGCGGAGGAAGTCTGGGCAGGATTCGTTTGGGTTCGAGAGAATGGGGGGCAGCTCGTCATGCCATTTGATGATTTCGGCGTCGTAGGCGGCTGTCTCTGTGTGCGAGAGGAGTGGTGACTCGACGAGGCGGTCTTGGATCTTTGTGGCTATGGTACAGAATTCGGAGGCATGGATCAGCGGTAGTACTTTGAGATATTCGAGGTACTGTGGGCTGTTCGGTTGCGGGAGGATACCCTATTGAATCTTTAGTAACTGTCCGTTTGAGTATATGGTACACAATCATACTGAGTTATTGGCCGTACCAGGCCGCAACACCGTGATGGACGGTCCCATGCGCCCCAGAGATGGCCGCCCAGTGGTAGTCGACGCCCAAGCATCAAGACAGAATAGACTCCACCATATACGCCTTCGGTTTTCAGGTGACACTGTGTCTCCATCGCCATGTCCCAGGACGTTGAGCAAGTGGTTGTTGTCGTGCGCTGATCTATCCGAGTACTCCCTATGTAGCCCCAGCGCCGTTGCCATCCGAAGTACCCCGCCCATGAGCGAATGTGCTTCGTTCGGTCGGTTCAGATAATGCATGTAGTACCCACTCATGATCGCGAGTGCTTGCAGGACCTCTAGATTGCCGCTGCCAAAAGATTCGAACGAAAGATGCCGCCGCGATCGATTGAAGTAGACATAGTGAGCCTCATTGCTCGCTGTCGAAGATGCTAACGATCCCAAGGCGAAGACGATGTTGAGCAGTGCTAGCCATGGTGCGTCTCTCCGGTCACCTAGCAGGTAGTTGGACCAAAATTTTCGCTCTTCAATCATGGGAAAGAACGGGTGCACACGCTCGAAATAGCTCTCAATCAAGGCCTGCCCCTGAGCTGGTGGAGGCAAAGCGTCTGGCCTGTTGTCTGCGAGCTCCGGGGCGGGAGAATTGGCTCTACTGGGCAGGACCGTCTCGTGGTTGCTCTGGAAAATCAGGGGTCGTGCATGGGGCGCACATCGCACGATGACTTTGAGCGCTGCTGTAATGGATGAAATCCCCACGTAGGAGGAGAGTCTGTCAACCGATAAAGAGAGCCCGTTCACGTCGTCAGAGACCCCTTGCACGCGGAGCTGGTGCTTCCGGGCTTCGTCCCAAAACGGGTCCTGGGGAGGAGCCTGCTCGAGTGCCTCGAGGCTTTCGGCTCCGCCTGAGCCGTGGCTGAGCTCCGAGATGGAGTGGTTCTCCACGGTCGGGGAGGGAGTCGTCTGCGCGGCACCTGGAGACGACAAGGCCAGCTCCAACAGCTCTTCGCGCGGCATCGAGACAAGAGATTCAATCTGGTCCAGAGACTTGGAAGGGTACAGTTTGGTGAGGATGGTCTTGTACTGCTCGATGTTGGTCGAGAGTTTGTCGACCAGTCTGTCTCTTTCAGCCCGCGTACTTGGTCAATGGGTCAAGACAACTCACTTCCGGCTGGGAATCACCCTCTGTGCAGGCTTCGAGTACCCGCATGCCTCGGGATGCTGGTACCACTGACACTGGCCGCATGGCTGGGTGCCATCACAGCGGATCTTCCGCCGCCTACACTCGACACAGGCGTTGCTCGTGGATATCCGGCGCGAGCCTGTGCTCCGGGTGGGCTTGCCTGCCACGCTGTCCTCGGCGCTGGGAGAGCGCATGCCGGTGGATGACTGGAAAGTGTGGAACATGTCGTCTCACAGGCCTTGTAGCGGGGCCGGGAATGGATGTAGCATAGGCACTGGTGGTCCAGAGGAGCCGACGCGTGGACGGGCAATGGCCGGTGGACGAGGGCAGGGCAGCCCTGAGATGGAGAAGGGCCAAGGGAGGAGGATAGAAGGGGAGAGGCGGCGGTAGGATGCTATGTATAACAGCGGCGGGCCCTTGACGCAGCCGCAGGCTTGCTCGGGGTCGTTCAGGCGCTGCAGAACCGCTACCGGGCAGGCCCGTTGTCGACTGCCATGGCTCGAGGCACTCGGTCTGCGTGCGTCGAGCGTGCGATGCTAAAGTAGTCGAGGCATTAGCCCCCGCATTATAGGCCTGCGGGTGCCAGGATCTGGGGGGAGCCGCCGCGCTGGTGGGCGTCGCAACTGCGCTGTTGGCCGCATTGGGCGCGCGGCACGCAGGCCATGGGCAGGCGTCCACGGGGCATGGGCAGTACATTGCCATGGCCACCCGGCCGTGGGCCATGGGATTGCGCGGGCAGGGCAGCGTTCGAGAAGGCTTCCACCGCCCGGCCGTGGGCGCGCTACTGCCCGCGCGTCGCACACGGATCGTCCCTTCCCCATGCGCCTGCCATGGCATAACGGAAGGCGCACCCGTCGCGCCTGCCTGGCTGCCAGGCGGGCGCGGGAAGGGGCGATCGTAGGGCAGTTGGCATTGCGGGCGCCGGCAGCCGACTCATTAGGGATTCCAGCGGCCGGGTACGACTATGCGCCGTCTGCCCACTTCCACCAGACACCACGCGCGCCCGCCCTCTATCAGCATATGCGCCCGCACCTGTTAATCTGCACTCACTCAGGCGCCTGAGCGCCTGGCCTCTCACACGACCCTCTTTCATTTCCTTGCTAGCCACCTCGCCGACAGCCTATAATGGCCTCACATATACCCTGCCCAATATCCTTTGGCAAAAGTGCCCGACAGCACCCCAGCACCCCGGTCTTATAGCGCAATCCGCAAGCCATCCGCCAACGACAGGCCTGCTCCCGGTTCGCATCACCGTTGCAAGTCCACCATCCCGTCTCTCCACCCACGCCTGCCCCAAGCCAGACTCTGCATCGGCGTTGCATTGCCGCGACGTGCACGCCCTGTGCAACCGTCCGTCAGCCAACGTGCACTCTCTCCACCTCAACCTTCCTGCCCCAGCCCCGCCTAGCCAGCGATGCGGCAATGCCTTTGACCATCTGCTGAGACGGCATCAACTCTGGCCCAGATACCTCCACTTCAGATGCGCATCACCTTCCCCGAGCCCCCTCACCTGGATCGTCTGTTCGTCGCCCGGCACTACGTCGATGGCACTGTCGTGTACCAACACCCCTGCCCTTTCCTCGAACACTAGCCCTTTTGTAGGCTTTGATGCCCTGACCACAATCCTGTCACCCTGGGCTGTGACCTCGACGCCACGGCCGTCAAAGTCAAGGTACTTGAGCGGCTGCGGCCAGTCGACGTCGCGGGACACAATGTCTCCGTCGACCCAGATCCTGGCTGCCAGGACATGAGGCTCTTCCTTCACATTGTCGATCGACCCTGACAGCACATCGGTGGTGCCGTTCGCCACTAGCTTGATGTCCTGCTTGACTATCTTTTCCTTAATCTCCTCGCCGGTCGCGACCGAGATGAATCGAAGCTCAACAGTTGCAGTCAGTTCAGTGGGCTGGTTGCTGGCCACCCACACCTCGTACTCGCTGGTCTTCGGTACGCGGGCATGAACCACGCTCCAGTCAAAGTGTGCCCGCCTGACAGCCACTGCAACTGGTGCCAAGACTCGTCTCATGGCGTAGTATGCAGGCTTCTTACGCAGGAAGTAGTCGATAATCGACCATGATGTAACAGGCCAGCAGTCGTTCAACTGCCACACCAATGCGCCGCCGCAGTAGCGCTGTTGACCCCACTGCTTTCGCCAGCCACGGTATCCGAACATCAAGGCCTCGGCTTGGGATAGTTGCGTCAGATGGATAAATGACTACCATGCCCTTAGTCTTAATACCCATATTATTATTAACAACTTTGCGAATATCAGCACTTACTTCTAAATCAGTCTTCGTTCTGAAATTCTCCACCAAGTACGTCGCAATCCTTCGTTCGTGGCCGTCGGCTTTATTGTGGAAGTCGAGCATATGCGACTGTGGATACAGTTGCTTCGGGTCTGTGCAGTAGTACTTGATAGTGTCAATATGAGGAAAAGCCTCCATCCCGAACTCGCTGTTGAACCGCCCGCCCAGCGTGTCGAAGATTTGATACTTTTCTTGGGTGCCATGCCATACTGATGCAACCGTTAGCGCCCTCTTCCGCATTCCTGGTCAGAGGTACATCTCTCACCGTTCCACTGGTGCATATCGCCAACAGTTTTATTGGAGGTACGCAGGCCATCTCCCCAAGGGCTGCCAGGGTGGTACGGCACATGCGGGCTTTCGGCGGCAACGACATCGGGCAGGAGCTGTCCGATCCTTCGTCAGGATTTCGATCAAACTCTATTTGAGGAGCGCGCGCGCTTACCTTTTCGTAGATGTATCTGGCAGGGAAGTCCGTCTTGAGCCAGCTCTCCGGATCTTTGTCTTCGTAATTATACGTGAGACCGAATGACTCTTGCACCTGGTAATCTTCGTTGTTGCCGGCGTAGATGACGATGGAAGGGTGGTGACGCAGCCGGGCGACATTAGCCACGCACTCTTTTTCGATCGATCGAAGGATGGTGGGGAAGGCAGGGTAATTTCCACAGCCGAACATGAAGTCCTGCCAGACCAAAATTCCGAGCTCATCGCAAAGTTCGTAAAATATGTCTTCCTCCCAGATGCCTCCACCCCAGATACTGGCATAGTGTTAGCGTAGTGCAATCATTGCGCCATTGCAGAATCTCAATTTGGTTGTGCGTACCGTATCATGACTTGATAGCCGTCAACCATCGTCTCGAGCCATTTGCGATACGTCTCCTCGTCAACCCGGGGTGTGAAAGAATCGGCTGGGATCCAATCGGAGCCACCGCAGAACACATCGACACCATTGATCCTGAAGAAGAAGGTCTTCCCAACAGAATCTGGCTCTTGAACCAGCTCCCCTCTACGGAAGCCGGTCCGCCGGGTCGCTTGATGTAAAGTGACACCGTCAGCTGATACAGTCGCAGTGACCGTGTACAGCGGTTGATCTCCATACCCATGGGGGTACCAAAGCCGGACATCGCCAACTTTGAACTCGACTTGGGCCACACCATCCCGGACGTCTGCAGAGCTCTGAAAAACCAAGTCTTCGCCGTTGCGTACTTCGAACATCACTTTCTGGCCCGAAGTTCCCTCCAGAATAGCCTTGAGGGATCCAGTAGCGGTTTTGAGACTGTCGTCGAGCGCATAGTCAATACGGAGATCCTTGACCCTTGACTGGTAAGTTTCTAGTCGAATAGGTCGCCATGGGCCGCAAGTGTTGAGCATCGGTCCCCAGTCCCAGCCCCAGTGGTACTGCGCTTTTCGCACTGCCAATCGAGACATGTCGCCGTTGAATCCAACCCAAGTGTGCTCAGGGTGAGCTTCTTTAATCTTGATGGCTTCCAATCTGGCCGAAGCGAAGTCGATCTCAAGAGTGTTGGCCGAGCCTTGCTTCAACTTGTTGGTAATATCCACGCGATGAGGGACGAACATGTTGTCGCTTTCAAGGATGACTTCGCCATTGAGCTTGACTGTTGCGAACGTGTCCAGGCCGTCGAAGACCAATACCGTCACAGAACCATCATGCGGCGTCTTCACGTCCGGCAGCTGCACTTTGTATGTCCAGGTCTTGTCTGCCACCCACTCAGCTTCGAGCTCGTTGAAGCCCAGAAAGGGGTCAGGTATCCTATGCAGAGACGCGTGTTAGTCAATGCCATGAAGCACACTTCCAAATACCAGGACACGTGACGACGTACTTGGCGTTATCAATAAGATCCAGGTGCACATTGGTTGGGACTCTCTTGACGGGCAGCCAGGCGTCCTCGGATATATCGCCGGCTTGTTTGAACGTCCAACTATTCGTTAATTTGTGTACACTCATTGCTCGAGCCATGATGCTACTCGGCCTCTGCGGGGGCTATACGCGGCTCAAGATGGTGCGGAAGAAGGACGTCGGGCTAATTTAGGTCGGGTAGAAGTGTGCCTGGAGCAGTCTCTCTCCTCTACATATAGCGCAATTCGAATCGTCGCCGACGCGGCACAGGAAGGCGCTCGTCAGATACCCGCCGGTCCCATTCAGAGTCGTTCGCTGCTCCATAGAGACATTCTGTACCACTGTGGAGCAGTAGCAGTGCTACTTTACCCAATGTAAGCTGTCGCAGCGTCAAGGTCCGTGTCGAATCAGGTATAGCGACTAAGCGAATGCAGCGTGGTCGGAAAATTAGGAACAGGCCAGCCGCGTGAGGTAGAATTGCACGCCGCTGTAGCCGTTCAAATGCCGTGGTTGCCTTGCAGAGTACGGGATAATTTTCTCCGTGACGATTGTAGCTTGGGTGGAGAAGTGTGCGGCTGTCGAGCCAGCTCGATGGGTCGAAGTGGGACGGGCCGATCTGTGGGTGGAGGAAAGCACAAGATGCATATCGGCAGCAGCCTTCCGATGCTAAATTCCAACCAAACTCATCGAAGACGGACGAACATCTTCTCTACCACCACAGATTGCGGCACCTTTATCATATTATATACTCATGTATGCCTCTGTGATGACCTGGCTCGTACAAGCACAGTCTCCCTTCGATCCGCGGAACCACCCCCACGCGGGATGTCAAAATCACAGACTGTGTATCAAGGCAAAATCCTGCGACTACTCCAGCGTTCGCATTTTGATAAGGGTTGAACTAAGGTGCTCCCAAATGAGACGATGGTAGTCTCACCGTCAGTCCGTGGTATCTTGCGCTCATTCCATTCGTCCAAAGAGGATGCTCTGCGACGCCGCGCTACTGTACATTGATTGAACATGAAGCGGGAAGCACCTGGTCACTGCATGCTGCACGTATACGCATGCGCGCTGCATTGTCCCGCTGTCCCCACGGACACTATCTTACGTATGACCACAGCTGAGCTTTCCCAATCCGTAGGACTCCGCGTGGAAACGAGTGGCTCAATCAGGATGGATGGAAGTACGTTGTATTCGAGGCAAAAAGGGTATCTCAAGCTATTTAACAACGAGCAATAGGAAATTGGCCTACGCATCAGCTCGCGGAAATAACATTTGGCACTCAACAAAAAGCCGCATATGCAAGAACACCTGCAGCCAATGCAGGAGTAACCATAAGAACGGGATTCTCCAAAAGGATACTCCGCGCCACCCCGCTCCGCTTGAGGGGTGCGTGCTTTTTTCGATGCATTGGCATAGCTAGGTCTCTCCTGTCGTTCGAAACATGTCCCTGCTGGGCCAGCTGCAGCATCTTGTCGGACTCCGTCGCCAAGATATTGGTAGAACGCGCGCCAGGGCAGAAAACGACCTCGAATCCAGCACCGGACGGGATGATGAAAGTTGAGGTCTGATCGTCGAAAGCTGTACAGCCGCATCAGAACAATTTTAAATAAGGAATGCAGAGGAACTCACCATAGCTGTAGGCATCGGGGCACACGGCTTTCACGTTTTTTGAATAGTCGCTCGGTTTGCAAGCACTCGGCGAGTTGTATTTCCCTGTACAACAGTCTTCTGGCTTGTTATTTTTCGCACATGCAGAATAGCAAGGATTGAATGCCGGTCTTTCAATATTATCATCAGGATACGGATACACACCGTCTCCGGGCTTATCGGGAGGGCTTTGCTGCAGATCCCAGGGGCACCATCTCGATACTTGCTTGTCATTAACTTTCTGCTCGAAAGGAAGCGGGTACGAGCTATTTGTCCGGAGGAAGTTTGGGTGGTCGCCGTAGGGGTCGTAGCCTTGCTGCGCCAAAAGGCCTACGGTTCCTTGACAAGATGGGTTCGTGAGGTTCGGAGGGATATCATCAAGACTGACGTTCTGGAGTGGCTGCAGGACGATCGCAATCGGAATGTTGTATCCGTCGACGAGTGATATGTCGTAGTACGTGTGACCGTCTCCAGCATCGAGTGTAAATTCTGCGAGAGAGACTGGAACGTCACCCTACATGCCATTAGTCCATACACGCCCGGCCTGATTGATTCTGCGCTGTGCAGTTGTAGGGCCTGGAAGGTTTGGGAGAACTTACCCCGACCCTACAATTCACTATACCATTACAATCGCCCGAGCCACACGCCTTCGCTCCGCCATCCTTCGGCCTCGTGCCATCATCATTGAACGAGCAGTTGGTCCTTCCCCACACCCGACCCTGCCAGTCTTCCGAGACCGTTTGATTATACGACTTTCCCGGGTCGAGCTTGAACCCGTTCTCTTTTGGACCTTCTCCAGATTGAGTGGATATGCCGGGATATATGACTTCTGGGCATTTGTTTGTAACTAGCAAAGGCGTCATAGGCTCTTTGCGGCGATCGAGCTTGCGAGGTGCCTTCCGGCTCATGTGGTGCGCTCCTTCAGCGATAGGTGATGACGAGAGAGCGAGGAATACTGTGTATATGCGAAGAACGAAGAGTAATGGTGAAGCTGGAACATGCCCCGGGTCCCGGGAGGGAAACATCGTCCTGGCCGCTAGGAGGAATGTGCTATCAAGGATAAATATGAATTATGGCGGGAACGCGACGAGAGCAAAGGATAGCAGCCAGTACAGATGTGATATGGAGGAGTATAGAGTGCGCGTTGAGAGCGAGCGATATGAGGACCAAGTGTTACTGGGTGAGAAGTCTGGTGAGGTGAGGTGGTGAGTATAACAGCACACGTCGTGCCGCGTTCCCAATGAGAGAAACAAGGAAACAAGGAAACCACATCGCTGCGCCTGGCTCATTGTGCCGATCTTACCAAGGCGAGGAAGTTGCGATGCGATCCTGGAATCTGGTAGCGGAGTGACGCCATAGCTGTACCTGCCAAGCGCCGCAAAGCCAGGGTCAAACGGCCACGCTGCACCAATCACTGGCATCAACCTTAAGATTGTCGAAACATCAACTATGCATTCAGCATGGCAGGCTGAGTCAGAGTACGAGCATAAGAGTGCTATTTGATTTCTGATTCGTTATGTAATTAGTGCCTGACCTGTGACAGCGTTACTGCACCGCCACCTGTTTTAGACATTCAAGAGATGAAGAAGAATATGTAACGACGCCCCTTTCGGCGTCTTACTAAAGCCAGCTCAGTTCAACAACAGCAATAATGGTATCACAGACAAGCACCGTCGCCCACTCCGCTTCTCTCCGCCCCAGTCTAGAGCCCTTCTCACAACAGCAGGATAGCCGCGACAGCTCCCAAGGCCAGGCCAAAAAGAGATTGCGAGCCGAATGTGCTGGAGGCAGCGTTGGTAGTTTGCTGGGCCGGTGCGCTCGAATCGGTGCTGGTAGCTCCTGTGCCTGCGCCAGCTCCCGCACCGCCGGCACCGCCTGCAGCAGACGAGGACTGAGCAGCGCCGCCGCCGTTGTTAGTGCCGGTTCCGCTGCCGGATTGTGTTCCAGAGCCAGGAGCTTGTCCGGGGCTGAGGTTCTCGGTTGCGCTGGCGGCGAGAGCCTTGAATGCAGACATGGTCTTGTTACCCGTCTCAGCGCTATAAAGAGAGATCAGCAACTAGGTTTGTAGTCGGTGGACTGGAATACTTACGCGTTGATTGCACCAACCATACCACCTTGGCAGTGCTTCGCTTGCGAGCAGTAGAACCAGATAGGCTTGGTGTCCATAACACGGATGGTGTAAGTGAGGACCTGGGAGGTTGCGCCAACGGAAGCGTTGGTTGGCATGAATCCGGAGAAGAAGGCAGTAGTCATGTTGGGCATGACGTTTTGGATCGGTACACACGGCTTATCGAAGGTAGACTGGACTACGGAGTGGTTCTACGCGGGATGTTAGAGCAGTCTATCGTAGAGTCATTATGAACATACCTTGGGGTGGAATTGGAACTGCACCAAATCGCCGGGTGCCGCCTTCACGTTTTCGGGAGAGAAGGTTATCGATCCATTTGGTCCTCCGACTTGAATGACATGCGTCGCGATGTTTCCTGCCGATGCGCCACTTGTTGCGGCTGCCGACGCGGCTGCGTTCGGTGCTGCGCTGCGTGTCTCTGAAGCCGCAATAGCTGAGGTTGAAGATGTTGCCAATCCCGCTGAGATTGCCTCTCCTGAGTGGGTAGTGGCAGCTGCGAGCCCGAGAAGGGCAGATGCGATGATGCTTTTCGAGAAGTACATGATTGCTGTGTTGGTCTTCGATGTCAAAGAGTGTTCTTGATTACTAGAGGCGTGTGGCTGAAGAGAACGGTATAATGGCGACTAGCGCTCAAAGCTGGACTGGCCAGAAATTACGAAGTGAATGAAGAGAAAGACGGAAGGAAAGGCAGTAACAGAGTATGAAGCAGTTGGGTCCAGAATGCAGCCTGAGAAGGCTACATACTGTTCTTAAGGCATGAAGAGGACTCTCGGAACGCGGGTTAGTGTGTTTTGTCCAGGCATGTTCATGGCGGTTAGCATGCTTCCGACACATGACATGCGTGTCTGCGACATGTCAGAACCTGTTCGTGCTTCAGCCACTTCTTCGGCTGTTACAGGTCTTAATCCCTACCGTTGGTGTCGTGAAGCGAGCTGCCCCACAACTTTGGAATGACAGCTCAAGCTGTGCAGTGAAATATTGATCGATGCCAAAGAGTGAATCGCGAAGACATTCATGATTCTTCTGTCCATTGCGTTCGCTGCGTTGTGCTGTAGAAATCGCAGATTTGTGTTGTTCTGTGCAAGGCTGCGATAGGTTGGGCGCGAAGCACTCCCTGTTCGAGATGCGTTTGAGGTTGCCTCAGCCGCGACCTCGTCACATGTTGCCCAGAGCGGAACCCAAAAATTGCCCGGGAGCGTCGTTCGCGGGCCAGGTCTAGTTTTGGGAATTTCAGGATTTCATGCCGTGCGCAATCTCCCAGGCTACCATTGCAGCCGCAGAGTTGTTTTCAAACGGTTAGCCACCCATGCCGCAAACACTCAAGACTTGGGCAGACCTTCAATCTCTCCAGACGTGTTTCGTAAAGCAATTTGTTTCCATTCCCAGCCTGAACTCGACGGTGAGAGTACGTACTGCTAATATAGACCGCTAATGCCGTTAAATGTAGGCTGGTATCAGCCAGTCCTGCCACTTCTTGCCCAGTGTTCATCGTCGACTTGAGTTCGTTCCGGGGCGTGTTGTCCGATCAGTCGTTCCCATGGTGCGTGTTGAACTTCGACGAGTGATGTCACGTTCTCGAACGACTGTGCTTGTACCATAGATAGGTATCCAACACGGTATCGGCCTGCCTCGCAATTGCTCCAAATCTCAAGAGCATGCCTGATCTATGTGCCATGATCCTCCCTTCTACAGGCCGCCTTCCATGCTTAGTGTCTTTGAGTACCCCTGGTTTGATGTCATTACAAGGATTTCCGCGATTTGGTAGCCTCAACCCATCAAATGCGCTCAGAAGTCGAGCAAGAGCTCGGGCACAAGTTTCTCCAGATCCTCCACCTGCAAGAACCGGCTCCCTGGACCTCCTCCATTTCTAGCCGCCCTTTCGCGCTCATCCTTCGCCCTCGCAATGGCTTCGCGAACGAATATGCTCATGTAGCTTCCGAACAAGTTCATGGCACCCTTCTGTATCTGAGTGCCCTCATCTTGGAAGTTGTGATGCAGTAGTCTCACCAAGAGAGGTGCGGGTATTGGCGGCGTAGACAGATCCAGCGCGGCGGGCTGTTGTGGACGGAGTTCGTCATCAAGCGCATCTTCCATTAAGGCGTCAATATCGGAGGGCAAGTCGTCGAATTCGTCTTCTTGCTCTTCGTCGGATGACAGGATGGTCGTCGCTGGCTGGAAACCGGAGCGGCTAGCTGAGGATTTCACGGGTGCAGGTCGCGTCGTGGTGGCCTTGGGCGCGCCTCTGGCTGTGGATGCAGAATTAGCTGGCTTAATGGGCCGCGGAGGATTGAAGGAGGGCCCTTTACGGCGCGCTGTTGGGGCTGCTTTGGGAGGCATTCTGCGAAAGTGTGTGGAGGTGGCAGTGTGGTGTTGTGATGCGGGGCTGGGCGCGACGTACAGGGCAGGCGCGCCAGTGCGAACACGACATCACATGACCTGCACCGCGCCCGCGTCCCCACAGTCTGGCCAGACCAGCACCCAACGCAACTCGTGTCTTCTACGTTGAGAAGATTCAATGAGTTGTGGTATTGCTGTGTCATGGGGTCAACACAAAGTTTACAAAGACGAATTTTTTACAACCTTTGGAACGCAACGATTCGCGAAGAACACTGCAACGCACTTCGCAGCCCATGTCAAGTCATATAATATGCTTTATTCATGCTTCCACGCGAGCGTGCCACTGCATGGCCTCGGTTTTCTCTTATCGTGATGCACTTGTCAAAGGCTCAACTGTGCATCCTCCTTGTCGTTGGGCTGCTCACTCTATGCCCGCATGAGCCGCATTGTAGATCCAGCAATCATCAAGTCAGTTTTGGTAGCACTGACGAAATGGCTGGCTCTGTCCTACCACAAAAACCGCGCCGGCTGGTGGAGGCGGTTTCATTCAAACAATGGCGGGATTATCACTGGAAACTGCCTGTGGCCAACCAGTCTGAACGGCTGTGTGTGGTTGCACAGCGTTGCCGAAAGATTTGACTGTGGAAGAAGCTTGACGTGCATATTCGGCTTCGGCCACAGTCGTACGCGCGTAAGATTTGACATGCCACCAAGGCCATTGGAAGTGTGGTGTAGTGCGAGATTACTCAGGATGCGTAATAGCCTGGCAAGCAGGTTTACACGCTGTCAGAGTCGTGGCTAGTCCTGTAGCGGAAATTCATAAACGAAATCGGTGGAAAGGTATATTTAGTAGGATGGACATGGAAGGATTGGCAAACCAGGCTGCTTGCGCAGCTGGCACCGGAGCTTTGCTGGAAGCGGGCGCCAGTGTTGCCCAGGGTCTCACGGGCATCTCTGAAGGGTCACGAACGGGGCTCGGACGTTGAACTAGATGTGCTGATGACCGCCGGCTCGAAGCCGAACGTTTGCAGTGCGACCTTGCAGCCGCTGCAGTGACATGATGGGCTAACGGATGGAATGTCGTGGTGAATTGAGCAACACTTGAAAGTATCGAGAATGTATATTGGCACGTCAAGAAGGACGAAGATACAGGTGCGAACAAGCAAGCTGGCACTGAGTCCAGACCGGTGGAAGAAGGACGCCATGTGGAGCACGGCGCCGCATGCACAGCCTAGCAGCTGGGCTAGAGACAGCTTTAAACGCACAGCTGAGTTGACGGACGACGCAGCTCTCGCGTAGATAGAGCCAGCACACTTGCTGAAGCGAGACGGGCGCAGGACGGGCGCAGGACGGGCGCAAGGACTGGGGTCGTAAATGACTGTTTTCGTCGCGCGTCCATCGACTCGCAATGGCCTTCACATGGCTCAAAACTCCTGCTGTCATGGACTGGATACATGCCGCAGCTCCATTTGCAAAACCAACGGAGCAGAAGCGGTCGCGTATGGCGCACCTGGTTGAGCAGCCGATAATGATAGATCGGCGCGGGTTGTCCATGTTGCTGCGGCTTGGGGAGTGTTCTTGAAGCGTCGCCTACGCCTCGTTCCCCTTCGGCGCTGGCCTTGTAAGAACAGCCCGCCAAAAGCCCGCCTATAGCCCGAAGCAGAAAAAGCCAGTCAGCCACCATCCCATCTGCACGCTACTCCGATGCGGGCGTCGAGGGGTGAATGACCCCTAGCGGTAGGCGTGTCGAGCCAGCGGCGCGCCCGTCGGCGACACTCGTGTACCGCGCCAGGCCCATGCTGCCGTGGTCACTAGTCCAGGGCATGCATGCAGCCTTCCACTGTCCTGACAATATAATATATCCATAACCCGCCCAGTTCGGCACCCCCAGTTCATCTTGCGCTGTGCGTCACCACAGGCCAGTCGTGCTGTCCACCCCGCCCCTCCCCCGACCTCCTCTCGCATATACAACCAGCTGCGACCGACGGCCCTCCGCCCTCCTACTAAGCAACCCGGGCCTATCTCTCTGCGACCACGCCAGCGTCTGCTATCACGTAGTGGTATCAAGTCAAACAATCTCGGCTGCAGGGACTCATCACACGACCGACACGCCGCACAGACTGGGCCTTATCCATATCAAGGAGCCGATCCTGTGCCACTGAGGAATTCACGGCTCCCCGCGACAAACAAACACCTCTGCGTGTAATCCTGTTACCGCCACACCTACGCCTACACACGCCTACACAGCCCGCCATGCCGCACTCAGTCAACAAATCCACCTCCTCCAACATGTCGCGGCCGTCGACCACATCGAGCCATTCGGTCAATGCTTTTCCGCGTCCGGCTGGCGTCAATCTGCTAGCGCCCGAGCCCGCTGCCGAGCAGCACCTTTCACCCTCGCGGTCCACCTTTTCGTTTGAGTCGTCGCCCAAGTCGAACCTCGATGTCCAGCGCGGTGTCAGTTTTGAAGAGCGAAGACCTGCAAGTCGGGGTGTGCAAACTACCAACGGGGTGCAACCTAATGGGTCGCGCCGGCGTGCGCAATTCTATGAAGAGCAATTTGCCTACAAAGACGGATCCACCTCGCTTGCTCGAGACCGCGTGATTAGAGATGCGCCCATCATCGCCGAGCTGCGCACCAATGTCATCGTATGTTCACGCCGAACCACACAGGCTGCACTGAATTCCTGCTGACAGGCTCATAGATCAAGGATGAGTACACACTGGTCACGGACCTTTCCCACCATCTTTCTACGCGGTACCAGCGGCCCGAGTCGTCCATCATGATTACCGTCAACCATTCTGCGTGCCTCCTACTAGCTGGATCATTCGAACCGACCTATCTCCTCACCATTAGCGCCCTCCCCGTGCAGCTACAGCCGACCACCAACAAGCGCAATGCTGCCCTCATCCAGAACTTCCTGTCCGAATCGCTCGGTGTACCACTGGACCGAGGAATCATCAAGTTTGTACCCATCCAGGATGATTGCATCGCGACGAACGGCACGACCATCCTGGGCGAGATTGAGAGCCTGGAGCGTCAAATGGGCGAGGAGAACGGAGGATTGAAGCGGGGTCTCACAAAGAGCTCGAAGCGCTCTGCCGTCACCAAGGCAAAGAGTAGCTTCCAGCTCGCCCGCAACATCTCCAAGGCTGACCAAGGTGCCAGAGCAGCTGTCACCCCTCCGCTTCCTAGCCCTAGCCCGCTCGACTCCGGAGTTGAAGTCGACCGCGAGGAGTCCGACACTCTGCTCCCGATCGACAGTAAATTCACAAATAAGTCCTCAATGAACCGCAAGGCCTCCAAGTCGGTCGAGCACAAGTCTTCCAGAGTGAACTTCACATCAACACCGGCCCCACCTCCTATTCCGGCGAGCACCCCCACGCCGAAGATGGGCAAGCGGAAAAGCATGATGAACATTTTCAAGCGATGAACGAACACACGACGCTCACATTGCATGGATATCACACCTACATATGATATTCCTCGGGGAAGACCACGCGGAGTTCGTCTTCCGGCACATAATAGCATACCGAGGACACGCTGCACTGCATGAGGCATACAATACGGGTACATGGCATAGCGGTCTGGCGTTTGAGTACGGCATGCATCAGCGGCTGACGGGACACACGGCATTTGTCTTTCTTGTTTTCTTGCATCTGTCATCATTTTCATCTTCGCGAGCGGGAAAGGATACCCTTACTAGCATTTTCTGTTCTATTCATTACCCACCAAAAGCATGGGACTCGAGGATGCATTACCTGAGCATTTCTAGCTAATACCGCGGGGCTGAGCTGAAGGAGGTAGCATAGAGGAAGTCTATCGGATTCTGTTCAGATGATCTCTTTTCTCATACGTCACCACTTCGTCTCATAGGGAAACTGTGGCGCTGCTCGCGTAGCTTTGTGTAGTCTACTGTGTACACCGCACTGCAAGCCTCTCGCTCACGCCGACCATGCATGTCTCTAACGAGCCCACTACCGCACTCCATCCACGCAAGCTTCGCTCGCCCCGCCGCCCGAACCAACCCCAACGAAGCGGTCAGCGTCGACGCAGCCGCACCGCTCCCGCGCTTCGCTAGCTCTGGCGCCGCCCGTGGCGTCTCACTACGCGAGCGCTCAGCGCTGAAGTCGCGGCCTACGCAAGCCACGATGCGTCGAGGCCCGTCGCGTAAGGCGCCGTAGGGCTGGCCACGTTGCGCGCAGATTTGGTGCGGTGCGGTCGAGACTGGTGGGCGTTGGCGGGTGCGTATGGTGCATGCACTGGGCTCGGCAAGTTTGTTGCTCGTCGAATGGTGGGGTGAGGTGAGGGTCAGGGGAGGGATGAGGGTTTCCTTGTTAGGCTGGGCTGCGACGGGGCGCTGTGTGTGCCTGGAAGGGGGAAATGGTGGGGATTCGCCTGAGTGCGGGAAGAGCTGACTGCTTCAGGACGTCTGCGTAGTGTGCGTTCTCGGCGTCTCTGTAATGATTCGGGCGTCTACTCTTCATGCAGACTTTTTCTGGGTGCTGATGAACAGTCATAGAGCCCAAAGTTTCTTTGGTCATGTTTGATATGGTCCAACAATCCTTTGCACAAGTCGCTGCGTGGATCGCACTGTGGGAACACATGGAATGATATTGCAGTGCGCATCGTGCCATAGACATCTTTCAAGCTGAAGTGCTTCCATGACGAGCGGCATTGCTGTGCTCAACCTTCCTCTCTATGCAGCTAGCACTCACCATTGTTCAGTGACCGCGTTGAACCCCTTCCTACTTCCCATCGACCAGACTCTACAGCAACCCCAGCAATAACCCCACTCCCCCCATCAAATTCCACTTCACTCTCCCCGCCCTCCCCTCTACCGTCACAAACGCCGTCTTATTTCCTCTTGACCCCGTCGCCTCCACCGTTCCCGTCCCCGTCCCCGTCCCTGTCTCCACGACATCACCCTCTCCTGTCACGCTCGCCGTCCCATCACCAGCCACAGTCACAAACACCGTCGGCGGCCCGCCATCCCCCTCCCCGCTCGTCGCCGTCGGTTGCACCGTCACCAAAATCGCCGCCTCTCCCTCCCTCGCAAACGCAAAGTTCTGACTATAACTCAGGACCGGATCCTTGTTCCCAATCCCCGGCTGCAAATAATCCTCCACGTACATCTTGACCCAGTACGCGTGCTCGCCGCGCGGGAACCCGAAGCCGAGGGTGCCGTTTTGCGGGTTCGGAACGAGCCATGCGAAGGAGCCCGTGTTGGGCGCGGAAGCGGCGATGGTGCCGCAGAAGGGGTTGCGGGCCCACGGGTGGCAGGGCGAGAGCAGATCGCGCGCGAAGCCCCAGGACGTCTTGTCCCAGAGCTGGAGGGTGATGTTTTTGAAGGCGGGGTTGGCGTCCCATTGAATGGTGAAGATGCTGCCTGGGAGGAGCACGTCGCCGCGGATAGGGTGGAGGAAGGGCTGTGTGAGGGCGGAGGTGGCTTTCGAGGTTGGGAGTTGCGCGGTTGTGAGGTGGATGAGGTTGAAGACGAGAAGGAGGCGGGAGTGAACCATATTTGCCTAGCAAGACAATGATGAGGATCCCGAGGTCGTCGTGACTAGCCTGCTGCTATCTTATGCCCTGCGTTGAATCCCGCGCTGGTGAAGCTTGGGTCAGTCAAGCATCCTGGAGTAGTGGTGCAGTCAAACTTGGGGTGTTAGCATTGGGGCGTCGCTGGTCATGCATTAGGAAAAGACTTGCTAAAAAAAAAAAAGAGAGCATGAATATTGGTTGCCGGATTATATCTCCCATATTGAGTGCTCCATATGGGCTCATGCCGTGCCTCCGCATCGATCGCATCATTTGGGGGTCAATACCCCAGCAGCAATTGCCTCGATCACGAACTGCGAAGTGTTTTCCATTGGCCAATGGCTGCCTTCTCTTATACATGTTGCCCTGCATGATTGGCCCGGTACAGAAGCGTGGGAATAATATATAGGACTTGGCACCTCCATGGATAGATTACCGAAAGCTTGAACCCGCACCCTGAGCAGATTGAACAAGGCTTGAGTTCTAGACTCCCCTCATCCAGACGCTACGATGGTGCGATGGCAGTCGATATATGGCACCAAATGTGATGGGTACTCTATAGCAGAGTGGAACAGGACATGTGCCCTTCAATATGCAGAAAGGACAAATGGATACCTTGTAGTACAGCCGGACCATCGGCTACTACTCTGTCAATAGCAATAGACTTCTCCACATCCCGATTTTGATGTCACGTCATCCTGGTATCCCACGTGCTTTGTTATTATCCGCACTGCCGCTTTCCGTGCCGGTAAAGGTTTGGTCAACCTCTTAGGCCAGATCCCCGAACCCGGTGACGATAATTGGGGAGTCCGATTGACTGGGTAGGAGAACTCATGCATGGCTTGTCTGTCCATGTAGGGTCTTTGCTGGATACCCGTTGGAGCTTAACCTTCCACCTTCTGTATAAATCCAGGATGACCGCCCATTGTTTGCCAAAAACTCGTCATCCCAACCTTGGATCGTCATTAATTATTGCGGATCAGGCCGTTCACGAGCATTGTCGACACCGTAACCGAAAGCAATGCAGAGATAGATATCGAAACGATTTCAGCCGCAGAACTATGGGACTGTCAGCATGCATATCACAATACTAAAACAAGAGTGCTGATACTTCTTTCGTGGGCCGCTTCGATTGTAACAACGCTCAGGTCCACAATACTGAAAGGTCTGCCCGGGTCCTGGCCACGGATAAAGCCCTGTGGTAGGATCGATAGCTCTCGTATTGAAGTACGCGTTGGAGCCAATTATTAGGCTTTCGAAGTTGTAGTCCCAAGAGCCATGGTTCTTCGCCTTAGCCTCAGTCACAAAAGTGGACCACATTGTGCACTTTATCAACGTTGTAGATGGCGGATTGGGGCATGAGTTTCCTAGCTTGACGGATGGAGCGCGCTCGAAGAAGATGTTAATGGACTGGCACTCGTTCCTCTCGAAACAGTGGGCAGCACATGCGAAGGTGTCGTACGAATCCAGAATCTCGTAGCCTATGTAGTCGTCGCCCGTGCTCGAAGCGTTCAGATTGTGAAAGGATCGTGTCCACTGGGGCGGCGTTTGCGCTACCTTCGAAGGGGAGATCATTTTTTCGTCGTGAAGAAAATACGAGGAGATGTCAAGGTCGGGTTTCGGGCCTTTACCTGGAGGCAATGGAGTGCAACTATCGTTATTTTTCGCCTCAGAGGCACACGATCCTGGGCGACTTATTGCACCAATGAACAGAAAGACCCGTGCGAAGCGCATCGTGGCGGCAGATGCTCCCTGAAAGCGTAGAAGTGTAGAAATGTGGCAGTAAGAAATCTGCTCGCATCAGTGGAATCTCGCAAGAAAAACAGTTCGAAGGCAGTGCACTGACCCCAAGCTATCGACTGACCAGGTAGAATAGAGTCCTCTGGTATGCTGTGAGTGTTATTGATTAGCCTTCGTGTTGTCCCGAGAGCGCCAGATAGCTACGGAAAGAGGAAGCTATGTGGGCGCGACCCACTCACTCTAAGCCATCGTCGACAGGGCTATCAAGGCAAGGCCGTGGTGGATTATATTGTCAAATAAGCAGGAAGTACCGTTGCCATGCTGGAAAGAACATGCCATCCTCGCTGCGAGCTTGATATAACGTGAACTTGGGAAAATGCCGGAACAAAAGGCCTGCCAGCGGATATCATTCAGACAATGTCATCATGGATAAGGTCGAGCATCAGTTGAGGTAACTGCGGGAAGTGCATCCAAATGAGGTTCATGATGGTCTTAAAACGTGTGTGGAGTTGGCAATAGCAGCAGACAGGCTGAGGAAGGATCGAAGTCGACGACCGCGTCGTCCGAGCGGCGTTCGTCGGCCCGGCCCGAGAAGGGACGTCTTCCTTGAACCCTCCGCCCATCTACACAGGTCCCCATGGTCCAGTTCATACTCATAGTTACGACCGCCCAATTCATTGTCCGAAAGTGTGGATATCCTGCTAGTGAAGCTCAGAGTGCTTCCCGAAAAACCTTCGAGCCATTGAAGACGCCAATTGCGCGAAAGTTAGATCGATCATTCCAACTTACGTATTATTCCCTACTCTGGGCTGCGATGACACATATCGCACGTATGTACAGAGGTTGATGCTAGCTGATCCTCACGCTCCGAAGCTGGCTGTAATGCCACACCTCCCCAACATATTATTCCCCCCTGAATCTGGACGATGCGAGAAAGACACGACGCCTGACGATGTGTTCCACTGGAATTTTCGCCATGCTGGAGTCATTGCGTTATTTGTGTAGTGAATTTCTATCGGGACTCGCGATCTGATCGTGAACCTTCAGACTCCTCAGACTACCGATCCTTTCTTTCGGCCGTTACGCTGCTCAGGTGGTATTTCTCACCCGTGACCCGAAGCCTGGCCTTGCCAATAGTAGAGCACGCTGCGCGCAAATTGAATAGGCACCATAGATCAGCACGGCCTAATGGCTCACATAGTCAAGGCCGGTACATGTCACCTCAAACATGATCGCTGCCTTAACAGTGCCTAGCTTCCATCCGTCACGTTATCGTTAAGTATCAGTTATTGGACGGAAATGGGCTCAGGAATCCAGAGAAGCGGCCCCTGAACAGGCCACAATAAGTGTTGGGCATGGTCAGGCAGCAAAGCGTTGTCGTACAAAGAGACACTGAGGCACTCAAGAAGCTATAACTTGAACTCGCCCTCCGCATTTTTTGACTTCGTTTTCGATCATCATACTCTACTTCCTCAAGCTCCATTTTCAGGTCTATCCAGAGCACCTTCCTCACATTCTCTAATCCTCTAACATGTCCATTTCCAATATGAACTCGTTTTGCCAACACCTTCTGGAGGCAAATAGGCTCAATCAGCTGCTCCTGAATCGCATCCAGGAGCTTGAGCTTGAGCTTTCTCAAGTGCGACTAACAAGTAGGCCCCTGTATACTCAGGATACCCTGAACCCTCCCAATCCCGCACCATCATCCACGCCTGTGACCAGACCGGCTGCAGCGCGTCTCAAGCGCACCGAGACACCCCAGCAGCTCTTTCTCAAGAACATGACCGATACCAAGGTCTACACCGTGGGCATAGAACCTCAAGACGACCGTGGCCTCCTCCACGACTTTTTCGAAGACATTCGGAAATGGGCCATCCACTATACCATCAATCTGGCCGATGAGGTACTCAGCCATTGCTCAACGATGAAGGATGTGGTCGCCATCATAGGCGACAAGTCAGATATCCATCATCTGCTCGCTGATCGCGAGATGCGCCAAGATGTTGTTTCAGCACTCATTGTTCGAGACATAGTCTTCCATGCAATCGGTGAAGGATCAATGTTCAACTCCAAGCACAGGAATGGTGAGCTGTGCGGTGAGATTGTCTCCAGTTTTGCAATGCTCTCCCACCAAGACTATCGCGCTAAGCACCAACTCTGCCTTCGACAAGCAGCTCTCTACCAAGAGATGTATGGAGAGCACAATCATCACGAATGGCGCACCAAGCAGGCAAATGAGCGTACAAAGGCGCTCCTCAACACACTTTCGCCCTTTCTCCATTGGGGTATCAATACTGATGGTGAGCATTCGCTCAGTGAGCTCTACGTGAAGGGCTACCGCATTGGTTTCCGCTTGCGCTCACATGCGATCAAATGGCAAGTTATCTTCCCCGTTGCGGGCATGCAACTTGACCTCAAGCGCATGGTCAATCGCACGCTCAACCTAGCGGGTGATCCGATGACGACTTGGACGGAATTGACGAAGAACCCGGAGAGGTACTTTGTAAGGTTTGCCATCACGCCTACAATGATCAAGTCGGACTTTTCCGCGGGCTATGAAGTCAAAGAGGTGGTGCATTCGTCCTTGGTACATGTTGGAAGGCAGAATGTGTCCAGTCACAGAAAGGACACCCAGATGACATCAAGGAAGAACGGGCGGAAGAACTGAACGTGGCTTTGCTTGCATAGATATGGGGAGGGCGCTTGGAAGCTCATATTTGATGAGAGGATGGCGAGAGTTCCATCACGGAATAGTATCTACACTGTTTGTGCATATGTACTTCTATGTATCTATCAAATACAGTACTGAGCTTTGCCATTGATTGTGCCAGCTGTGACTTCAGTGATCGTATCCGGCAATGAGGCGAGCAGGGGATCCGCGATTCAGGATGGGCCAGCGCAACAACCGAGCACTCACGTAGCTCCCCGCTCCCCACTTCTTCTGCTGAACCCGCCGGCCCGTGGGAAGCTGCAGACACCTTTCACCGAGTTTGTTCAGAAAGATTGGATGAATGCGCTTGCGCTGTTGACGCGATTGTGCTGCAAACCTAGGAATTGTTTACCCAGCGCATGGCGGCCTTGACGTAGCTTCTCCCCCGGCCTGCAACGCCATGCATCCCACGCCGTCCGGTACAGCATGTGGAAACCGTCACTACACCTTCACCGAGCCAGCCGTCGGCATCGTGTCGCTCGCTCTACGTTCAATCGCTATGCACACCATCGCATTCGCTCCGCCGCGTTAAGAGGTCCCGCCGATCAGCAGCAGCGCTGCTTCCACGAGTACTTCATCACCCACCTACCGTCCACCTCGCTCCACCCAGACTCTCGCGTGTCCGGCGGCCCGCATCATAAACTGCCGCGAGACAAGAGCACGCCCCATGAACCACGTGGCACACACCGGTCGCCCGCCGCGGCTCCGCCAATGGTGGGTGCGACACGGGAGATGACGGTGGTGAGGATACCGCTGAGGAGCGCAAAGCACCATTTTGGGGTATCTGTGTCGCGAGGAACGCGGCCATACAATGAGGACTCGTTCCAGGCCGGGACCGTCGAGGTACCCGCTTTCGCAAAGAGGCGCCCCATGTCGTTGCAGCGCAGCGCAAATGGAGGCTTGACCAGCGAGCTTACGCCAGCCGGCAGTGCCAGCGGTGACCCGCAAGTCTTCTACTTTGGCGTGTTCGACGGGCATGGTGGGAGCGACTGCGCCGACTTCCTGCGGGAGGAGTTGCACAACTACGTCGAGGATGCCATGAAGCTGTTCGAGCTGGAGAGCAGTCTTACAGGAAAGGGCGCACTCAAGGGCTGGCCAACCAGCACAGGGACACCGGACGATAGACCCGCGGAGATGCCGTCAAAGGCTTCTGGAAAGGAGAGCCTGGACGCCATCGAGACGCATACACCACCCGGATTGGAACCGCTTAAGCCGCCAGAGCCAGGCACGCAAGCCCCAGCGAACGGCGCGAATGGCAAGAAAGAGCTCATCGGTAGCGCACCGTCTGTAAGACAATCCACCAGCGTCTCGAGAGCAGAAGAATTGGAAAGGGCTTTGGTTCAGGACTGGAAAGAGCTGGTTGGAGGATACTTTCGGCGCTTTAAGCCCGAGTACTTCTCGAGAGCGGCCGGCGGGCAGGGCCACCAGACAGAGAAGGACGTTCTTGCGAAGCGCAACAGCTTTGGGGATATGCCAGACAAAGCGAAGGACGGCCTGGGCATCGAGACGGTGTTGGAATATGCATTCCTGAAGGCTGACTACGACTTCGTGACTGCACAAGTTGGGAAGCAAGATGAAGACCCTGTTCTCGCTGACAAGGCTATCAACGACAACGACGTGCTGGGGGATCCGTCGCCAAAGGGCAAGCATATCGGCGGTCCTAAGCGCTTCAAAGGCGGAAGTACTTGCAGCGTTGTTCTCATATCCACGCCTACACCCTCGCCATTCTGGCATCCTTCGTCTCCATCTTCGCTCATCACAGCACACGTGGGCGACACCAGGATCCTCCTCTGCGACACTGCAACTGGTCAAGCCGTGCCACTCACATCCAACCATCATCCATCCCTCCCCGAAGAAGCCACCCGCCTCCGTCGGTACGCTGCAACCTTTGTGACTGACTCCTTTGGCGAAGAACGCATGTCTGGACTTGCAAACACGCGTGCCTTTGGCGACATGGCGTCCAAGCGCATGGGCGTGTCTGCCGAGCCCGAAATCCGCCGCGTCGAGCTCTCGCCTGCCGAATACTCATTCCTAGTGCTCTGCTCGGACGGCGTATGCGGTCACCTGAGCGATCAAGAGATCGTGGACATTGTAAAGGAGGCCAAGACACCAGACCAGGCAGCAAGGGATGTCACAAACTTTGCGACCGAGGTCAAAAGTGACAGCGACAATGCCACCACATTGGTGGTCAGACTGGGCGGCTGGGAGCGGAGGAGCGAAGGGGGCCTGGGCAGTCTAGGGACAAAGGAGATGCGTGACTGGAGGAAAAGTGAGAGCATGGACCCGAGGAGGGGCAGGACCTAGTGTGTACACTTCTACATGTGGTGGACGCTGTCTTGAATTACGGAAGACATCATGGATTTTGGCTTTTGCATATCATGGCGTTTGGGAGCGGCGAATTGTACATAGGGGTAAGCAGGATGATTTTCACCTGTACGGTATATATGGTTTATTGGGCTGCAATCAGCTTCTAGATGAGCATGCGGGAGCTACCTGCACCACCATGACGCTGAACAATTTTTTCAGATCAAATGTGGGTGGATCTTGCCACCCGTTGCTGTGGACGACGCGTCTAAGCTTGCGGCGTGTGCGCTTGACTCGCCGGCGACTCAGATGAGGCTCGGTGAGGCCGCGACCGCAAGCAATCTCCACCAGAATGGTGTGGCGGCTGAGGCGGGACTCTCGAGGCAAAGCGAGCATGTGCAGAAGGTTGGTGTTGCAGTTCAGGGACCACGAGTTTCATGGCACAGATGCCGGCGCAGGGCTGAATGAATCTGGGGAAGCGAGCCAATGCGCTGTCGTCGCAGCGGGAGCTTGCGGCTCCCATCTGGTGCCAGCGAATGGCACAAGCCAAGGGGAGAGCAGGCGTGTACCTGCAGAAGAAAGCCCCGACATGTCTCTGCGCGCAGATGGTCGGGCGAGCTCGAGGGCGCTGAGGGAGGGCGCTGAGGGCAAATCTGGGGGGTGCGGCTTGGGGTCGTTGCCATGTTTGCGCTTGGGCCGCGCCTGCCTGCAGCACAGGATCAACAACGCGGGCAAGAGCTACGGAACTGTGGTGCGCCGCCGTCGGGCGTGTGCTCTCCAGATCTGAGCCTTTGCGAGCGTCGCCGTGCCGTTTGCTGGCTGTTTGCACGCGCACAGTCTCCCGCCGTCAACAAGAGGAGCCCCTCCAGCAACAGGCCGTAGTGGGGCAGAAAAACAGTCTACCCTAAAGTTCACGTGTTTTGGCCCTGCCTACGCTCGACCTCTTTCGCTTCAAAATCCCTCCCTACACCTCCCGCCCACCGCTACTTCTTTCTGGCTGCCTGCCTCTAATTTCTATAATACCCACGCACGCTTCACCCGCCACTCCTTCACACAGATACCCCCTTGACCTTCACACGCTCCCTCCGCAATCATGGATATCAACCAGGTGTTGGAGGGGACGCTTTCGCCTGGTATGCGCCTCTGCCTGACGCTACCGCGCTGTGCCGCTGGACTGACCGTGGTACAGATGCGAACATCCGAAAGGCCGCCGAGGACCAGCTCAGCCAGGCTGCCGAGTCCAACTTTGTAAGTGCCCCTCGCCGCCAGGAGCAGGCTGTGGCCGCTCGCACCCACGGCCCGCACACTGACGCTCGCCAGCCCCAATACCTCACCATCCTCGCCGGCGAGCTCGCCAACGAGCAGTCCCAGCCGCACATCAGGACCGCCGCCGGTCTTGCGCTCAAGAACGCCTTCACGGCACGCGAGTACGCACGGTTACGTCAGGTCCAGGACCGATGGCAGGCCCTGGATGCCCAGATCAAGAGCAACGTTAAGCAGCTTGCCCTGAACACGCTCTCGTCGTCAGACGCCCGCGCCGGCCAGTCTGCCGCCCAGTTCATCGCCTCCGTTGCCGCCATCGAGATACCCCAGAACCAATGGCCAGAGCTGATGCAGACGCTCGTCCAGAATGTGGGCGAGGGTCCTCCCCACCAGAAGATGGCCTCGCTAACCACCATCGGCTTCATCTGCGACACTGACGACCTGGACCTGCGGGAGGCTCTGCAGCACCACTCCAACGCCATCCTCACCGCCGTTGTCCAGGGCGCCCGCAAAGAGGAACCCAACAACGACGTACGACACGCCGCCATTTCGGCCCTCGGTGACTCGATCGAGTTCGTGCGGTCCAACTTTGAGAACGAGGGCGAGCGGAACTACATCATGCAGGTCATATGCGAGGCAACACAGGCGGAAGACAACCGCATCCAGCAAGGCGCATACGGCTGCCTGAACAGGATAATGGGCCTCTACTACGACAAGATGCGCTTCTACATGGAGAAGGCGCTCTTCGGCCTGACCATCCAGGGCATGAAGAGCGAGGAGGAGGATGTTGCCAAGCTGGCCATTGAGTTCTGGTGCACCGTCTGCGAGGAGGAGATCTCCATCGAAGATGACAACCAACAGGCTCAGGCTGAAGGCTCGACCGAGCTGCGCGACTACTTCAACTTTGCACGCGTGGCGACTCAGGAGGTCGTTCCCGTGCTACTCGAGCTTCTGGCTAAGCAGGACGAAGATGCCGACGACAACGAATACAACGTCTCCCGTGCCTCATACCAATGTCTGCAGCTCTGGGCAAGCTGCGTGGGGAGCGGTGTTGTGCCTCCTGTCCTTCAGTTCGTTGAGAAGAACCTCCGCTCCGACGACTGGCATTACCGGGATGCCGCTGTTTCGGCTTTCGGTGCCATTGTTGAAGGACCCGAGGAGAATGTCCTAGAGCCCTTGGTCAAGCAGGCTCTCCCGGTCTTGATCTCCATGATGGACGATCAGGTGATCCACGTCAAGGACTCCGCTGCTTATGCCCTGGGTCGCATTTGCGAGGGTGCACCAAGCGCTGTCGATGAACAGCAGCACCTCCCCTCGCTCATCAGCGCTCTGTTCAACGGTCTGTCGAGCCACACTAAGATGGCATCTTCGTGCTGCTGGGCTCTGATGAACCTTGCCGATCGCTTCGCTGGCGAGCCGGGATGCGACTCGAACCCGCTCTCCGCCCACTTCCAGCAGAGCATCCAGCACATTCTTCAGGTCACCGAACGTGGCGATGCTGACAACCAGCTTCGAACCGCGGCGTACGAAGTACTCAACTCTTTCATCAACAACGCTGCCAACGACAGCATCGGGCTTGTGGCCACGCTTTCAAACGTCATCTTGGAACGATTGGAGAAGTCCATTGCGCTCCAGCAGCAAGTCGTAAGCGTTGAGGACAAGCTTACCCTCGAAGAGATGCAAACGAGCTTGGCCAGTGTTGTCATGGCTATCATCCAGCGTCTGGAGACCGACATCAAACCGCAGGCAGATCGCATCATGCAGATTCTGCTTACGCTGCTTTCCAGCCTCCCGCCCAAGTCTAGCGTCCCGGACGCTGTTTTCGCCGCCATTGGTTCCATCGCGACAGCATTGGAGGAGGACTTCATCAAGTACATGGATGCTTTCTCCAAGTTCCTCTACAACGCGCTTGGCAACCAGGAAGAGCCTAGTCTTTGCTCCATGGCCATTGGTCTTGTCAGTGACATCACTCGAGCACTGGGCGAAAAGGTTACGCCATACTGTGATGCTTTCATGAACTACCTGCTTAACAACCTGCGAAGCGCTGCGTTGGGCAACCAATTCAAGCCTGCCATCCTGCAATGCTTCGGCGACATCGCCCACGCCATCTTGGGGGCTTTCGAGACGTACCTCCCTGTTGTGGCCCAGGTGCTTCAGCAGGCTTCGTCTGTTTCGATGACCACCGAGGGCAACTTTGAGATGATGGACTACATCACTTCGCTTCGCGAGGGTATCATGGACGCTTGGGACGGTATCGTCGTTGCCATGAAGTCTAGCGGCAAGACGCAGCTACTGGTTCAATACCTGGACTCTGTCTTCGAGCTGCTTCGCATCATCCAGCTCGACAGCAACCGAACCGAGGCGCTACTACGCTCATCTTGTGGTGTGATTGGTGACATCGCTGATGCTTTCCCCAACGGCGACATTAAGGAATACTTCCGACATGACTTCCTCACTGCGTTGACTCGGGAGACACGCGCCAACCAGGATTTCACCAACCGCACACGCGACACCGCTCGGTGGGCACGCGAGCAGATCAAGCGCCAGATTGGTAAGTCTTTCTCCGAAATTTCTCGCTTTTAAGCTGTGGACTACATGGCTGTGATGGAGATGATCCCCTATAATATCATTATACTAATACCCTAGAAGGCGGTGCCCAAGGTGTCATGGCCTGATTAGCTTGAGTTTCCCTTCTGCCCGCATCATCTGCAGACTTTGGTTCCTATGTCGATGTCACGCTGGATACCCTTTCAGGGGGTTCGAACTGGCTGTCGACTAAACTGGGCATAGTACGTGCAGATATGCAAGACAGACAGCCCCACGAACGGGAACGGCAGCGTCGAGTACCACCCGATGGTGTTGAGTCGATCGACGTTCTTCCGGATATTGGGGCTCCGATCGACCCAGCCGTGGCACGAGAGGAGATGATGCGCATTATCAGCTCTTCGTTCTCCTGTCAGATGGCTCGATACAATACTCCAAACCAGCCCCAGCCCTGATCGGGACCACGGTAGCCAATCATCCCGCCCCAGCGTATCCCGGACCCGTCCCCGGCACCAATCCCAGTCACACACCCGCACCCACAATACGCACCGAATCATCCCCATTCACGCCCACATCCACGCCCTAACACGAATGAGCACACTCCACAACTTCATGTAGCACGAAAGTCTTGTACGGCGGACTGGACCGCCAAAAGGTCAGGTCTTGTCAGGGAGAAATAGATATACGTCACGGCACCCACGCAGCATATTCCCCTATTGTCTTGTTCTATCCGTTCCCTTTTGTGTTTGTTGATTCTTGTCCATGGATACCAGAGGTTATTCAACGATGCTGGGGTTGAATGACCTTGCTTTCTTTTCTCTCTACTTTCTTTTCTTTCGTTTGAGGTGGAAAATGGTCTTATTGAGGGGAGTGAAATAAGTGGGGGATGGAGGAGAGTAAGGAGGGATGGAGGGGGAGTACAAAATCTGTAGTTGGTAATGCATATGGGTTTTGCTATTTGCCTCTGTGTGTGTGTGTGTGTGTGTGTGTGTGTGTGTGTGTGTGTGTGTGTGTAAAAGAGTGGCTGGACGGCGTGCCGTGGCATGTCATGTTGTGCTCAAGTACGCTTATGTCTCTGGGTCTTTACGGATGCTGTTGTAACGCCGGGCTGTCTATCGTACTTGTTCAAAGGTGCGATTGCGGGCTCCAGTGGAGTCATGCCGCACTACACTGCACTATATTGGATCTATTAGGGTGGGGCGGGCGTAGGATAAGGCGCTGTGGCAGGGTGCAGGGCATTAGAGGCTTGGCTTGGCTGGGCTGGGGTATCGGTGTTCCGTACTATGTGCATTTGTACGGCTGTGTATGGTAGATGCGGCGTCAACGGGGAACGGGAGCTGGCGCCGAGTTAAAGGAACGGCTGGGCCAAGAGGGAATCAGGGCTCGAGTGTGCGCATGGCCGAGTAACGGATGGCTTTGCAGGCGGTCTGGTATCGTGCAGATAGGGACGTGGATAGGAAGACGAGTTCTAGAGGTGCGCTACAGATGGCAGGAAGGCAAGAGGATAGAAGGGATATCTATTTTCGAGGTGTTTGCTAAATGAGAGGAAAAACAGCCAAGGTCGGCCTTAACTTCAGTGAAGCAAGGGTAGGATAGACCTCGGCCTATGCACTTTTTTGAGAGCCAATAATTCCCAAGATTCATACTCTTCAAAACGCCTCAGCCTGAGCCGACGGCTGAGATTCGCATGTATCCGAGGGAGATGATATGATGTTTCAGAATAGTGCTAATTGTCTAGGTTAGCACGAGTTGCTGCCGGGAGAATAATAGGCTACTTGCAAGCACAGGCACGGGACTTAGTAAGGCCTTGGTTCTCGTTAATGCTGGCCGAGAACGGCCTACACGACGAGCGCATTTAGAGGCCCTAAAGGTCCTATTAGAAGACTATGTCGGCTGTGCAAGAGAGAAAAGAAAAGCGTATAGTACTTACGGACTGGAAGGTAAGCAGCACATTGTCTCTTGAGTTGCTGGCGGCGACGATGCGTTTTGTGATATCCGCCTTGAAGGCAGGCCAGGGGAGTACGTCGCTTTGCATGGCCGCATGATTGATGTACGTTGTCATCGTACGGACGACTGCACGCACTTCTTCCGGGGCGAATGTCTGAACGATGCGAAAATATACATTATCGTCTCCTTGCAGCCACCAGATGAAGTCTCCGTCTGCTCGAATCTCCTCCTTGAGCTCGATGAATGTTCGGACTAGGACATGTCTATCGAATTGTCTCAAGGCATATTTCGCTGGCATGGAAACGGACGAGCGTAAATGGTAGTGCTGCTGTACCTACGTCAGTCCATACAATCTGCTGCAAGAATGTGCAGAGGGTGGCCTTACCTGATGTTCTGACAACTCCTCTTCTGGTGACGGAGCACGGGATCTCCGATGACGATTTTGTGGGCGGCCTTCTAGCTCATCATTGTCTCTTACTTTTCTGGCACGAGGACCGGACGCCTTGCGGGTTTCAGGGATCTTTTGGAGGTAGAGCAGCGCACCCATGTCCTCCTCCACGCTCTCATACACAATCTGTTCAGATGGCTGGCACTTCATGTCTGTGGATTGCTAAAGCGCCGATGGAGCCAAGACACCGGAGGCAGGAAGAGTGCTTGGGTGACCAAGAGAGAAAAAGGAGAGCAAGTTATTCAAAGGATTACACCAGATGCCGACCGGGTTGGTAGTGAGAGGCCAAACGGGCTGAGACGGCCGCGGCCGGGCGACAAACTCCTTTACTTGGAAATTAAAGCTGTCTTTCACATCTACAGTAGACACCTGTACTCCTACAACGCTCGCCTCTTGCCGCTGCCGCGTTTGTTAATGTATCCAGCAAAAGCCCCTTCCTTAGAGTGTCCTCGTTTATACAAATCTAATCGATATGCGGCGCTTGATCTAGCGTTTGCGTTTGTCGTGTCCCACCGCTTCCTAGCTTGGTCTTCCTGTTTGCATCGGCTTCCACAGGTGTATCTATGGGTGCCGGTGGTAACAACAGTCGAGCGTCCGCGCAGTGGTGAGCATACAACGAAGTGGCGACGTCGGCTCATCACGGACAGTAAGCTCTCCACAACATTTTCAGGTGCATGGGCTCGGTAGTGAAGTGCTTAGGGTCTTGCTGGTCAGTAGGACGTCCCTCGTATGGATATGGAAAGAACAAACATTTACGAAACAGAAGTCTCCACAGCTAGCAGGAACGGCTACGGGTCGGTTAGGCAGAGACATATTGTCACCTGTGTAAGTGCCGGGAAGGATCTAGCATTGTATCTGGCATACAGACAGCGCAAAGGCATAGCAAGCATACGGAAGGCAAATAATGCTGTGCTCTGTTCGTGGAAAGTCCACTGTTAAAATTCTTATCTCGAGATAAGTCCACATCCCATCAACTTGTTCTGTGAGCATCATCCAATACCCAATGACTGACAGGACATAGATCCAGAATCGACATCGCGCTTTTCAGGTCTTCGCTCGAGCCAGATGATTCTCGACACCTACCACATACATGCGCATACGAAGGCAATGATGACATACCCTTTGATCTGAGCTTAAATTGTATATCGTCCCATCAAAGAGACATGGCGAGTCTATAGTGTAATAGAGAATCTTTTTTGCTTCCCCAACACACCACGAAAATCACATCTCATAGATAGCAAAGGCTGATCTGAAAAGTCCACCATACTTTACTCGCTTGCATAGTAAACACAGCACTTTCGGTGAGCTGCAACTGCACAGATCAAGATCAGACCATCGGCCTGACCCACTGCCAAACCCCTCGTAAGCTCCACGTCCAACCCGACCGGATATCTCCACCGCTGCCTTCAGGCTCTTGATCCGGCTCCACAGCTCGTCTGTCCTGGTCTTCAACATGCACAACAAACATGTCCCGCTCCACAAACCTTGAGTCCACATACACATCCCACTCCTTCCCCACACTCTTGGCCAAACTAGAAACCGAGCCCATTGTAGAAGCGATCGAGCACTTGATCAGCTTTCGGTGCTGCCTTCTCCGTGCTCTACCGCAACTCTGCGTCTTTGTAGGCGTCGATTAGGCCCCTAATGACCCAGGCTTCGTCGAAAGCCGGCTTGAAAATCTCCGTGTGATAGCCTTCGTCCGTGACAGCGTGCTGGGTCCATTGCTTCCCGTAGTGAGCTTCGTCTGGGGGGACGGTGTTGGTGCAGGTGCAAGTTGAGCATGTCCAGGTGCTGGGTGTGCTGGGGAGGGAGAGGGTTAAGGTTGAGGTGGGAGGCATGTCGTGGATCAGAGGTAGCTTGCGAAGATGTTGTTCAAAGAAACTTGATATATCGCTTCGACGGATGCAGGAGTCAGTTCAAGCTGCAGAGCAGTGATGGAGGCAGAGGGAAAGGGTTGGCGTGGAAGATATACGGTGTGAACACGATGGCCATTCAAGGTTCTCGCAATGAGTATCTCGTTGATACAATCGTTGATACAAGGTTCTCCATCACCGCCTATCTTTAGGGCGGAATTGACTCTTCCAATCAACACACACTCTGCACCACTCACTTCGCCCTCTACTTCATAGCCTCCCTCTCCTCCTCCAACGCCCGACACACGCCCGCCAGCTCCTCCACAACAACCATGTGATCATCCCACTGCTTCAGCCCGCTCACCACACACACCGCAACCGGCCACTCGCACCCCCGCACAAACACCGGCACCCCACCCCCATGAATCGCATACTCGCCCGCCTTCCCCTCGCCCCCAACCTTGCCCGCAAAAGCCGCTTCGTCGCCATTGTACTTGACGTGCAGCCGCCACGTACTGGCCCCGAACCGGATCACGCTCGCGCGCTTCCGCGCGATCCAGAAGTCGTTGTCGAGCGCGGTGCCGTCGTGTGTGGTGGCGTGGTAGAGGACGTGCGGGGGCGTGGTGCATGTCGAGATGTGGATGCAGGCTGGAGCTGGGAAGGTGAGGAGGCGGGTGTGGAGGGCGGTGCCGAGGCGGTGGGCGACGCGCGCGTTGAAGGAGGGGAGAGGGGAGGCACGTTCCTGCGCGATGATTTGGTCCATGTCGCGGGGGGCTTCGGCTAAGGGTTTGAAGGTTGTTGTGGAGGCCATGGTGGTAGGTGTTGACTTAAATTTTTCTTTGCTGATCCAGGTCTGTTTCTTGGTATTGATGCTCACAAGGCAAATCGTATTGCTTCTGCTTGTGGGTTTCCGGAGAGTAATGGGGATTGATGGGATGTTGCTTTGGTGTAGTTGCTGTTGAGATTATAGGGTTTTAAAGGTGTAGGTATTTCGCCGAGAAGCACCGAACTGTTAAAATTTCCACTTTTGGGCATAGTGCCGACTACTATGGCTTCTACTCGTGGTGCTATTACATATGCTGCTAGACATTGCTCGGCGAGCAGATTTTCGCATATCCGCAGACGAACAGATTGTTGATCCTCTTGGACAAATAAGGCTGTCGTAGCGATGGGGAGATCATCATTTCCTGAATCTGCACCACGCCGGTGTACTGTGTTGGGATATCAGCACTCAGATTACGTGGCGCATGAAGTACTTAGCCCTACTACATGTTTGAATCTCCGATTCTCATTACCACAAGGCGAGGTCAATCCCTCAGGAGAGCGCGTCCTGAAACACAAAAGCCCCTTGACACCTGCCACGTACCTCTCATTACCGTCCACACACCACCTTTCGAGGACCCAAGCACTCAGCCTCCTCTCTTCAGCGCATTCGAAACTGCTTTCTTGGCGCGCATGAAGCTCATGTACCCCCGGAGTAACAGTTCGCCATCGCATGACGTGCAGGGGGTGCAGATCAGGCTCGCGTGCTCTCACACCGACCTCGTCCTCGCCGGCCCATCCGGTTTCAGCGCGCATAGAGATTCACATATAATGACCCGCCGTGCGATATGGGCAGAGAAAGCAATATACCCAAATCCGCACGAACGACTGTTCGGCGGCGATCAACACCCCGGCAAGAGCAGAGAGCGAAGAAAGACGTGACAGGCCGCGAGTGAAACGAAACACATCCTAATTCTACGACGCCAGTCGCACACAGCACAATGCCGACCTACTTCCTCACGGGCGCGAATCGCGGCATCGGGCTCGAGTTTGTGCGCCAGCTCTCGGCATCGCCGTCCAACAGCATCATTGCGGCCGTGCGCTCGCGGAAGAGCGACATCGACGCGCTCAAAGAGCTCGCGCGCGCCAACGCAAACGTGCACGTGATCGAATGCGACGTCTCCTGCACCGAATCCATCGCCAGCCTCGAGTTCCGCGTCGCAGAGATCCTCTCCAAGACCGGCTCCAACCTCAACTACCTGTTCAACATTGCCGGCATCAACGCGTCGTCGTCGGACACGTCGCTTTCCATCGACCCCGCCAGCCTGCAGCGCCACATGGACGTCAACGTGCTGGGCCCGGCCAAGATCGTCGAGACGCTGCGGCGCTACCTCGCGCGCGGCGCCATCGTCATGAACATGTCGACGGGGCTGGCGAGTCTGACGGTCGCGCGCGACGTGTCCAAGTGCTGCACGTACAGCATCAGCAAAGCGGCGCAGAACATGCTGAGTCTGCACCAGGCCAGGGACCTGCGGCGGAGTCACGCGATTGTCATCTGCATGGATCCCGGGTGGGTGAAGACGCGGATGGGGGGCAAGGGCGCGTTTGTGGAGCCCGAGGTGAGCATTTCGGGGATGCTCGAGGTTATTTCCGGGCTGCGGAAGGAGGACAGCGGCAAGTTCTTTCGGTTTGACGGGGGGCAGATTCCGTGGTAATGGGTGTGTGGGTTGCGTGGTGGGGTGGTGGGAAGTAATGCTACGGGGAGGGGGTAATGGAGAGAGAAGGTGGTAATGGAAGGAGAAGGAGAGGAGGGCACGCGAGGGCGCGCGCGAATGACGTGACGCGTGCCTCGGCTTCAGGGTCCCGCCAGCACACCATCTGCTGCATAATACAGAACATCTGCCACTTCCCACAAACGTGCCAGCCGCTCTCGACACAGCCCTCTCAATGCCTCAGACCCGCGGCCAGAGACGCAGCGCCGACATGGAAGCCGCTCTGAAAACCTTCTTTTCCGCCTCGCGCTTCGCCGTCGCAGGCGCCTCCTCAGACCCCTCCAAGTACGGCCACAAAGGTAAAGTCGCTGCCTCGCTCCCTCTCACTGCCGCTGCTGTGTATCTGGGCCCAAGACGCTCACACACCCAGTGTTCGCATGGTACCTCGCCCACGCCCTCCCCGTCTCTCCCCTCAACCCCCGCGTCCCCACCATCTCCGTCGGCTCCACCACTTATCCGACGACGCCCTCGCCCTCGGCCCTCGACGACGCCGCCTCCTACTCCCTCTCCATCATAACCCCGCCGGCCGTGACGAAGCAGGTCCTCCGCGAGGCGAAAGAGGCCGGCATCCAAGCCGTGTGGCTGCAGCCGGGGACCTTCGATGACGAGGTTATCGAGTACGCGCGGAGGGAGTTCCGGGCGGCGATTGGGGGCGAGGGAGGGGGTGGGGGCGAGGGGTGGTGCGTGCTTGTCGATGGGGACGAGGGGCTGCGGGCTGCGGGGAGGGAGGAGGCGAGGCTGTGACGAGGGGTGCTGCACGATGGCGGGAGCAAGGAGAAGATTTCAGATGGAGGTAGAAGGCGGGCATGCCCTGGACTCTGAGGTGAGGGCCGCGTCACGTGGACTGGCCGGAGTGGACTCGGGCGGGGAAGTCGGCTTGTGGATCAGAATGAGGGGACTGCAGATGCTCGGCGTGGCGTATACATAGGACAATGGTGATACAAGGCTGCAAGCCGTCCATGACTGCGTCGGGGAAGCATGCAGAGCTAATTGCATGGACCAGGCTAGCCAACGAGGCTATGCGCTGCGCCTCGATCTCTACACTTCACGACCATGGTGACAATTTCGTAGACATTGATTTAGGGACGTGAATATTCAAAACCCGCACCCGGTGTCCCATCCAAGTCACCGCATCAGATCCAAGGTTGACTCACACCGATGACCGATTGCATGACGGCCCAACAACCACGCACCCTGCCCCCTCAATCCTCTTGATCCTATGATGCCCCAGAAACCATACAACACCCAAGCATCTACCACTGTTACCGCGACTACCCAGAATATCGTACTGGAGGAGTCGTGGCCACCTACGATTGGTCCCCGCACCAGATGTACATGTGGCTATAAAAGGCACAGATGAAAGTGCATGTGCCGGCGAAGCGGAAACATAGGAGATAGGCAAGTGAAGAAGCGTGGAGGAAGGCGAGGGCGCAGCGACGCGCGCGTGTGTGTTCCATGCATCTGTTATCGGGAGGCTTCTGTTGTGTGACGTGACAATGTATGGTCGAAAACATGGCTGTAGCGAGTGTTGGTGTGATTGGACGGATAGCTCGCCCGCGGCTATCTGGAAGATGAAACTGGTGACGATGTATGTCGTTCGGAATCTGGTGGTTTGCGTAGCCGGTAGTGGCAATCGAAAAGGAGGGGGAGCTGGGCGGAACCCAAACGAAGGACAGGCAAATGCACAAAGATTGGTGCAATCGTATGGCGCCATCTTGCGAGGGATTAGAAAAACACCCTCGTGCAGTCGTCATCCTCCTCGTCTTCGCCCAGCATCCACAGCTCATCAACCCTCTTGATCTTCCCTTCTCCTCCCTCGAGCTCATCGTCGGCCCGCATGACGCAGCTAAACGCAACGCTCCACCCATTGACGCCCGAAGCATAGAATGCTTCAGCCACTGCAGCCTCTCGACCACCACAGCGGAATAACTTGTGAATCTGTCTGCCATTGAAGTGCGCTCCGTGTATGAAAGGCTCACTCGCTTGACATGTCGACAGAACAACATAGTACACCAGCGGCGTTCCATCCAGTGCCTCGCTCTTTTCGTCGGTGCAGGTCGGGCAGGCACCTGAGAAAGCGTCATCGAGGGTATGTCCAGCGGTGCAGTCGAAGATGTCATCATCCGAGGGTGTGACGAGCGCAGCAGAGGCCCAGATCCGCGGTGTCTCCAGACTGACGGGCCTGGCGTTCTCTAGAGCCTCTAGCTCGTCTGTGTCGCATCCGGAGGCCTCGAATGATTCCTGCTGACGGAGCCACGAACGCTTGGGCTTCTCGTACCAAACGTCGGTGGTGCCGTGCTGAAGTATCCATTTCACCTCTTCGAAGTCGGTGATGTGGGCGCGGTGGAAGATTGTCAGCACGTTGCGGTTGAAGGGCATGATGCGAACCACGCGTCCGGTATCGAGGTTTGACTCGCCAGAGTACTGGATGGGAATCAGGTCTGCTGGGGTAGAGACATGGCTGTAGTCGTCGTCTAAGAATCGCAGACCTCTTGATCTAGTAGGCTTATATGGAGGGGATGGCGGAGGAGGAGCCATCGGCATCGGTGGAGGGAACTTTCTTATATAAGCTTACGACTTCAGGAAAGGTTCGGAACACAACTCACTGAGCCAGCCACAGGCGGTAGTGGAAACGGAGGTGGAGGCATTACCACTGGTGCAGGCGGTGGAGGAGGCAGACTAATTGCTTGTGGCGGCGGCTACCAACGTGTCAGTCTATCTTCTCAAAAAGGTGGGATAACCGGAAACTACCGGAGATAGAGCAGTCAGAGGCTTCTCTAGTGGTCGGTACTAAACTTTGAAAGAGCTGATAACTTACCTTGCAGGTGGGAGAAGGAGAACGAGGTGCCCGAGCAGCCTTTTTAGACTTTGTGCGTGCTCCTGGAGTCAGCCACGCCGATGTAGACCCATTGTAAACAGGAGGTGGCGGGAGATTGAGAAGACCTGGAGGCATCTCGAACGAGTCTTCCACTTTCGCCAGCACTTCATTCTGCTGACAGTTTCCATGGCAGCAATGCTGGAGACCTGGCGATTTCACAGGTACAGGCGGATAAGAAGCGAACCCAGGCTTAGATCGAATAGCAAGCCCGCATGGGTTGCAGCCCAGGGATGGAGCAGCAACGGTTGGAGGAGCTGGTGAGTAAGTATGCGGAAACTCCTTGTGTCTGGAAGCGTTCGTTCCATCTAGAGATTCGAGTGAAGAGGATGGGACCAGCTGCATCGATGGTCCGTTTTCGATGAACACCATGTCCTCAGAGGCCATGATAGACAATATCTGGCGTACGTTGCTTTGTATCGGTCAAATCTAGTGAATGGAGCGGTGAAGGTGCTGGTGTTGGTAACACTCAACGAAGCACTTGAACTTCGGATTCCTATGCAGCGGACGACCCAGATATAGTATTCGCTTGTCTGAAAGAAAGAATAGCCTCTCACAGCTATCCACTTGGCAAGACTGGAGCTTATGCGTTGGAGAGTAGAACTCTAGCTGAAGAAAGTGAGGCCCCATATGCGCTTACTGGATGTTTGTAAAGTGCATTTGCGTCATGCAGTACAACCGTCGGTAGATCGAACTTTGACGTCGAATCGAGGGCCCAAGCTGAGCCTGTAGGTCATCTGAACGTGGATGACGAGTGGTTGAACAGGGTTATCGATCGGTGGAGTCAACCAGTGAGCAGCGGCGCCAGTGGATTGCACAGGACGCCAGCAAGCAAGCCAGAGAAACGTGTACCCAATGTTGTGGATGACCCGACAGTATCCCTCACCGAGGAGGGGTGTAGCTCTGGGATATTTAGTGGTTGGAAGCCTCGCCAGGTCGTGGCGTTGTGAGTATACGTATCGTTTGACTGATTAGGTCGCTTCATTGAGCTTGTAACCTATGCGGTTGTGAGTTTGCAGGGAATAGAGCATTAAGTGCTACCTTTTGGCCAGCGTATTAGCTTCAAGGGACGCGAGTGTAACCTGTTTACCAAGATGCCATTGAGACGAGTCCTTCCAAGCATGACTATTGCCTGCCATATGACGGACAAGGCGACGAACTCTCATTGGCAATAATGCGAAGCGTAAGAGAACAAAGGATGCCTGGAGCCAAGAGCCAGGGACTCCTAGCGACTCAGATCTGTGGAGGTCGTACAGTTTGAAGGGGCGACGAGAAAGAAACAGGGTTCCATTGAAGAGATAGAACTTCGCAAAGCCCCCGCCTCACTCTGCGTATGCCCACGTTTGATGAAGGGCGGATGAGCCTACAGCCTCCAGGCGAGCTCCTTGTCACTTCGTCCGGTGAAATCAAGACCTGATGAACGGCTGGACTTTGTTGTGAAAGGGGCTTCGATTAGACTGGAAGCCTTCTGATATCGAAGGACTCCGGTGAGGTATTGTGGACAAGGATCATCCAGGTGAAAAACGCAAGAGCAGCCATCCGCGCCGCAGCTCCTCGTACTGTTGGGCTGAGGTGAATCAAAAGGAAACAGCAGTGCCTTATCGCTGTCAATTCATAGACGGGCTCTACTCTGTTAAATCGTAGATGCCGACGAAGCACAACTAGACCGGAAACTGAGTGTAGTAACTACCGCGACCGCAGAGGAATGCTCGTCGAAATCCCTAGACATGCTCCGGATGCTGGCGGTACCATACGATTCAGGATTTAAGGATTCTTGTGCGAATCCTACAAGCGAGTCTTTACTAACATGACTGGTGTTCACAGGCGGTGAGTTCATGCACGGGACAGCTGCAAGTACCGTCAACTGCACTGACCAATCATGCAACCCAGAAACCCCATGGTACCTGTACTTTCATAGCTCATACCTGGAGATGGTATGAGGCGCCTAGAAATGCTTCCTCGGGGTCCCTTTTTAGGGCTTTGCCGCAGTTGTGCACGTAGGGCGTGTGTTCCAATGCCAAAGCGTGCGAAAAGCATAAAGAGCCCAATACGAGTGCAGCCTGAATGGAAGAGGACATATTACGCGATGTTATCTCCATGATTTATCTGGAGGAATCCTGGGATTCCACGTCCATTCGGGCCTGGTTTAATGGTGACACCCAGAGATTCGTGTGCCCAGCGACTCGTCCTGGCCTGTCGGTAGATGTAAAGGGCCGATGGTAACACCGTCTATGGGGATGCAATACGATACTCCATGCAAGTTTCCATCTGTTTCGGTAGTCTTACAGTCGAACCGAGAAGATGAGGCGAACGCACCTGCTGCATCGGTATAGTTGGAGGGGAGAGGTCATACAATGGTTCTTCTTTGTGTTTCTTCTCCGAAGCCATGTCTGTTGCCGGCGATATCGCGTAGGAAACAACAACGCGAAGGGGGTACGATCATCCTGAGAACCTTGAAAATGAGGCGACGGAGGGGTGCGATAAAGGGATCATCCTCGTGGCGCCGCCACGAGCGTACAGGCCGTATCTGATAGTCATGATGGAGCAGTGATCGAATGAATTGAAAGCGAAAGAGCAATAGTAAACACACCTTCGTCTGTCATGTATCATCAGGGTGGAAGTGGGAACAGACTTGACGACTTCCGGTGTTGCAGTATGCATCAGTGGGAGCACTGGTGCGCTAACCCAAAGATGGTCTAGATCCGTATGCCCAGTCTCGAAGGCGTCACTGCATGTCCAGAGCTCCAAGCTCCGCATCGCCCTACCATCTCCGCCCTTAACTCCCAGTGCTCCCCACCGTTCGCGCCAGCCGTCGAAGCCCCGTACTTGCAGATCTGCGTTCCAGCGGTCAACGTTCACGTTCCCGACTTGCGCGTCGCCGCCCAGCGACGGACGACCTCAGCACACCATGGCAAACGGGTACAACCAGCCCACCCCGGAGGTCCCAAAACCATGCTAAGACACACAGATGGGCCCCCTTCATCGGCCTCGTAGTCGTCGCGATATTCTGCGGAGCCGCCTGGTTCCTGTCCCCCAAAGGCGAAGAACAAACGTACGTCAAGCTCGCCCGGCTCGTGTTCCTAGTCCTCGCGCTGCAGGGTTTCTACTACGGTCTGCAGTCATGACCGCGGCCGCCAGATATCACCGTGCCTTGAGATAGAGCGCAGGGTGGAGAGAGACATTGGGGACAGGCTGATGTGGAAATAGTATTTGGAGATCGACACTCATTCTCTCGGCGTCGGCCATGTACATCATGTGGGCGATAACGTTTCTCGCGCAGTTGCATCCGCTCATCCAGCCGGTGCGGACCGATCTAAAAGGGCCGGAGGACTTCCAGCACTAGGGTACGTTGCAGTGGAGTAGGAGAGGGCTATATTTGAGATACGAGAAGATGAGGAAGGAGGAAGCGAAATGCGCACGTCGCGCATGACCGGAAGAAGATGGAGGATCTGGGACGGAGCGAGTTGACAGAGCGACTGGGGCCACGAGAGAGCGATTTTCCGCGACCGGCGATTTGTACTATGAATACATGGGTTTTAGCATGGGCAGGACGGCGCTGTACAGATACACTACATCAATCATATTTAAACATACAAGCTACTGCGTAGTCTTCGGCCCATTCATGGGCATAAGTGACTGAGGGGAAGACTGCTACATGATCAGCACATATCATCACTCGCATACCACCAGCATACCATGACGCCGTCTCAGCAAATAGCTGATCCGCGTTGCCGATTCGAAACTCGTAGCGAAGACCTTGCATTCAATTGATGAACCACTATAGCAATAGAACACACAGCAACCTGCACGTCCAGCCTCGAAAATTGGCAGCATGAACAGCCGCTCGGTTCAGCGTGACATTTCCACTCCCATCCCCAACTCTACCTCACAACCCGAATACCTCTCTCCCCGTCCTCACCACTTCTCCTACACTCCCCAGCACACCGTCTCCTTCGCTCAACCCCACAGCCCCCAGAACCGCCCGACTCACAACCTCTCTACACGCCGCACCGATCCCAACGAGCATCCCAGCCCTAAGCCATCCGCACCCTACCAAGATCTCCACCGCAGCAACATTGTTGACGGCAACCGCCCACCCCACCGCCGCCGCCGCGCTCGGCAAGTCGTACTCCCAGATTATCAACAAGATCGGGAACAACTTCGTGCAGGAGCTGACCAGCAGCGCGGTGGAGAGCGCGTTGCCGGCGGGGAAGTATGCAGATGCGAGGAGAAAGCGCAGAGGGGAAGGGAGGGAGGTTGGGGGGATCGAGCAGAGGAGTCGGATGGGTAGATGGAAGGATAGGGTGGAGAGGAGGACGAGGGTGAGGTAGAAGAGGTATTGGAGGATGAGGGGGAGTGTGGGGATGGTTGATGGAGGGAGGGGGGGGGGAGCTGTGTTGGTAATGTTGATAGAGGGGGAGGGTGGTGGGGCGGGCAAGGGGAACGAGGCTTTTTCGATGCGCGCCCAGGTTAGGTAGACGTCGAATAGGAGGAGGAGGGTGCCGAGGCGGAGGATGGAGCGCTGCCATTCAATAACCTATTAGTTGGAGGTTTGGCGGGGGAGAGGGTAAAGGCTTACATCGAAGCGGTCGTCTTCGAGGCCGAGCTTGTTGAAGAGGAGATGGCGGTACACCTGGAGGTGGGAGGTTAAATTGATGAGGCGCTGCGATGCAGGTGGTGAGATTACGCACCTGCGGCTTTATAAGGACCAAGTCGAGGAATATGACGACAAAGTCATGCTCGATATACTTGTCTGCGAAGCGCTTGCACCGCGGGCATTGTGTAAGGCGGACGCCTTTGCCGAGCGCGCGGTCGTCTGCTTTGCTATAAGAGGTGTACAGCGTCTTGACGGGTGCGCGGCATTCGATACAGATTGGCATCTTGTTGGAAGGACTGCATCTGCGCTGTGGGCGAGAACGTATCCAGGTGCGCGAGTCCTGTTGTGGCAGGCAAGCTGACTGATTGTAAGTAGTGGAAGATGTAGCGCGCGTCGGACTTTAAGAGGTTGCTTCGGGATTAAACCGACACACATCCACAAGTACAAGCTGCAGAAGCGCAGTCATTATTCGTTATTCCGTTCGAAGTATGGTATTTTACAGAACGTGAACAGCAATGAAAACAAGAAAAAGAAATGCGTTCCGTGTATGCCTGCGCCAGACCCAGCCTCCCTACCGGTTCTGTGACGCTCGCGGAGCGCACGCTAAGAAAGAGCAAGCAGATCCGACCGTTACATTCGTGTAGTTTAGCAAGCCGAACGAATTGATAAACCTGATTCCATCACAAATATGAATCTCCAGCACTGTCCAATGGGTCCAAAGAAACACGAAATCCCTCTAGGTGAGGGTTGCCATCATCGCAGCAACGAGCTTGGGATTCGGCTCACGACGGCCTATCCAGAATCAACGCCATCCTAATGAGCCGAGCGGACAAGGGCCATCCTACCTTTCCGATCCTTTTCGATGCGAATGACTTCACGAGGTTTCTCGCGTCGCTCGATAATTTCGTAATCGCCATCGCGCTCATACTTGAGCATTCGTCGCTCGTCCTCCAACATGCGGATTTCTTCTCTAATTTCCCTCTCGGAGCGGACGTCTCGCTCTCTGCGAACGACTCGTCGCTCTTCTGGCACAAGCACAGTCAAGGGTCCACCGATGTGGTTGGATTCCTCAATCCGCTCCTCGTAATGTTCGTGGTGGTGACTACGCGGGGGAGACGCGCCACGGACTGATCTCTCGTAGACTACTGTATTGCCATGGACGGATGCTGGCGGCGGAGGTGGTGGAGGATAATCCATCATTGGCGGGGGTGGCGGTGGAGGAGGAGCCATCATGGCGGGAGGTTGCTCGACGACGGACCTTGTGTCTTCGTACACATACGTCGTTTTAGCTGACGAGACGTTAGCAAGCTGGAAGAGTTTCTGGCGCGAGCACGTACTCTCTTTGTACTTCTCGCTGACGCTGATGATTTCGTCGATATGGTCTTTCTCCAACGCACGGGTGATGACGATGAAGTCCTCCTATACACCGTTAGCCAGTTGCGCTCTGCTGATCCGAAACTTTACTTGCCTCTTCCTCGTATGGATAGCCGAGCTCGGTCACAGCCTGAACTCTACACAAACGCTTGGGGAGCCGGGTTTTGCCCTTCTTGCCCCAGTCTGCCCTTGCAAGTTTGATCTCCTCGAAACTAGAAGTGGAGGAGCTGCGGGCCTGAGACCGTGCAACGCTGCGCGAAGGACTGCGACGACGTCTGCTCTTGGCGCGGTGGACCTCTACTTCACGGTATTCCTCGACTTTTTCCCTACGTCCGGGGCGATCTCGCTCCATAAAACGTTCTTCCTCGAACTCCTCCTCCTGGTATCGTTGAGGCGAGCGGCGGCGCTCTCGGATGGGCAGAGGAATTGGGACATTAGCCGGAGGTCGCCACTCGTCCCTCTCCCTGTCTCCATAGCGCGGAAGAGGGCGGCGATCGAAGGTATCGAGGGAGGACTGTCGGCGTATGTATTGAGGACGAGCAGGTCGCTTGGTCTGCTCCCTGTGAATATCGACCTCGAAGTCGCGATCTACGACAGACTTGCGGCGATACGGAGCAAGAGCTTGGTTGGCGATCTGGGAAGGCGTCGGCTCGTCGAACAGATCATGGCGGCGGCGTCGGTCGAAGCGGTCGTCTTCGCGGAATACCTCCCGCTCCCGCTCCCGCTCCATCACGCGAGTAGGAGGGGGAGGGGCGCGGCGTTCATAGTCCTCGCGGATGTCCATGTCGCGGCGACCGCCGGGGAAGCGGTCATGCTCATGGAAGTGGAAGTCGTCCTTGACGTCGCGAGGAGGAGGCGCGCGGCGGGCCATGCGCTCAAACCTGTCGCGGTCCCACCGTTCGCCGCCACGGGGCGCATCGTCGTAGTGGTCCAGCGTTCCGGTCGAGGAACGATACATGGTGCTGTGGTGTGCAGCGTGGAGCGCGATATTGATGTCGAGAGGTTGGACAGCTGCGGGGCACAGGACACTATCAGGGAGCAGTGCAACACAAGAAGAGCAGCGAGCACACAGATAAAGCCCACGGGGCACGGCGGAGAAAGCTAGCGGATGGAATCAAGCGGACGCAAGCACAATGTGACCGGGCTGCGTCCTTAATAGCGCGCAGTGTGGTGTGTGCATGCGTTACCGCCAACTTTGTGCACCTGGGCAGTTGCTACTGCGCTTCGTCATCGCCGGGCCCTGCAGCAACCCCCAGCCCTGGTCTCTGCTGCGACTGGCCGGCGGCGTCTCAATTCCGGCTCAGCGGGCAATCATGTTGCAGACTGCCGGACGACGGCTCAGCTGCAGACTCAAAGAACTGCTCTTGGGCCTCTATTTGGGCAGGAAGCATTCACTGACGCTGGCACCGTCGGGCGCTACGGTTTGGACGCGGCAGCTTGGGCGCCCTACAGCAACATGGGGATCCTCGGTGGTGCCCGTTCGGCCGCTAGGACATCCCTCCCGCCGTCCATCTCGACAAGAAGTTGCTGTGAGAATGACGTCGGTGGCGCACGCACTGTGCCGCTTTGGGTCAAGCGCTGTGTAACAGCGCGTTACTTCGGCAAGTTCATGTCTCAACACCATCTTTTGTCGATACGGGTAGCGTACGAGAGGCGCCGCAAAAGACATCGGTCGCTACTCAGACATTGCCCCACGTGTGCTTTCAAGCCCCGGCTCCACTCGGGTATCCGCTATCAACCATGGCATCTCAACACCATCGCCAGACGCACATGCCAACTTCTTATACCACACCACTGAGGTCTATCAGGGCTGGATGCACAGATCGACGCTGATGATTCTCTAGCCGATAATGCGCCGTCCTCTGCTCTTCGCTTTCGAGGCTATAGCTCAAGCACTCCAGCTAACAACATAACCCTACTTTTGCTCCAGGGAAGCGGACAAGATGGTGTGGGTTTACCATGTAACAGTCTCCCAACAGGTGCCAAAGGCGTGGAAACCACAACCATGCCCTCAGAGAGGATTTCTGATTTCCACATTCCTAGCCTAGTCACTGACACGATCCACGAAACCCCTCATCTCATTTCCTGTCGCACAATGAGAACCTTTCTGTCCGTGGCGGCCTTTGGCCTAGACGTCACTGCCGTCGCCCTCCCTTCTATTCCTGGCGCGGATATCAAGGCAGTATCTTTGCACAATACCAAGAGCACGCCGTCTACCGCACCATCATCCACCGCCTACCATATCCCATGCACAAACCCATCCGATTACGGGCCAGATGTGGTGTACGCGAAACCTTGGCCCACCAGCGTGACGACGACCGCAACTCCGCATGCAACTGTGATCGCTCGACGAGCTGAGCGTAACTTTGCAGAGCTCACGCAAACACCAGGGCTCCAGAACTTTCCAGACTTCTTGAACAAGCCGTTCAACGAGTTGCTTTCGACGCAAACTGCTTCTCCTGGTGAGCGCGATACCGCAATGCCCACGAAACGTCAAGGCCGGGATAACTGGGACAAAGCGTTCGCCTCGCACTTCTCCCAGTTGGCCCCAAAACATCTTCTCGAAGGAGCCGGTCGCCTAGTCACGAGACCAAAGACCGCCGCGACTCCAATGACTGAGCAACCCTTCCCGAGTCCCTTCTTCGAGTGTCCTTTTGAGATTCCGACACATGTGAAGCATGGTCAGAAATCCGATCAGTCTCTGCCGAGACGCTGGCGAGGTGGAATTGTTTCCCGCCAGAGCACTGCATCAACCTTGCGATTTCTTTCGGTGGTAGAACTACCAAAAATACGAGGGCAGCGGCGATGACAGCGGCGGGATGGGATATCTTGACTGGAGGCGGTGCTTGGAACGCTGCCGTGGTTTGTAGGGACACAGTGGGCTGCAGTATGGTCAGCACATGTGGTAATTTGGGTTATCGTTGGCGTATGGAATAGAGAAACCAACGACGATTGGCAAGCATGGAGCAACGGCTTTCGAGAATGCTGGAGCAGAGGCCTTTCAATTTCTAAGAGCGTCTTCCCTCTTTTGGAGGACCACGGTGGTACCCTCGGCTTTGCTTCTCTACTTCTCCTCTTGTCACGGTCAGGCTCAGCAGTTTTAGCATCGTGCGAGGTTTGTCTTGTCAGGGATGATGTGGTATGTTCTCTTCTTGGGGTTATCTGTAGTGCAGACATCTATTGTACATTTGCGGTATTACAAGTTTTACAAGTGCATCTTACAAGTGCGTCGCCTGGTCATGATGACTTCTCAGCCACGACCTCTTCTACCACCCTACCTGCCATTACCATATCAACAGGCTTTCCCCCAATCTTCTTCATCACTTTGCCCATGACAGCTCCCGTCTTGGCCTCACCCTTGATCTCCGCGACAACCTCCTCGGCAAACTGCCGGATTGTCTGCTCTGGAACAACCTCAATCTGGTTGAGGAACCCCTCCAAGATGAGTATCTGCCCCCTCTCCTTCTCAACCAAGTCCTCTCTCTTCGCCTGCACAAACTCTTCTACGGCGGCGTTGGACGCCTTGATTTGCTTTGCGAGGAGCGAGTAGAGGGCCGGGTCGTCATCCACGGGCTTGTTTGTTTTGGAGGCGTTTGTAATTTCGGCGAGGAGGGCGCGCAGGACGGTGAGGCGCGGCTTGTCCTTTGCGCGCATGGCGGTCATCAGCTCTGGCTTCAGGCTTTTTACGACAGTGTCTGCGTGGAAGAGGGGTCGTGTGGTGAGGAAGGTGCGCCGGAGGAGGGGCTGCTGCAAAGCCGGAAAGCGGGCGAGGCGGAAGAGAGACATGGTGGTTGTGGAGGTGCTTCCGGTGGTGAGGTGCAGATTGTAGGCGTTGTCGCAGAGCGTCTTGCTCTTGCAAGTTGTTTGATGCAATGGGAAGGAGCGACTGTCGCGATTGCTGACGGAGGAGGAGCCAGGAAGTAAAACGCAAGCTTGGGCGGGCTCAGGTCCTGGGCTTGTCGTTTCAACGTGCAGTGATCGGCGTTAACTTTGGAGGTGCCAAGTCGGGGCCGCGCTACTGGAGCAGCTGCTGCGTCCGTGCATGGTCTGAATGTTTTCTTGAATACACCCAAGCTCGCCCGGAGCTCTTTCACGGCCGCAATTGTTCCCAGCCGCGCTTTGTTGCCCTCGAGGTCGGCGCGCATTTCCTCCCACCACACGAGTCGCCTAGTACCGCGCGGAGCCCATGTTCACGACCCGCGGCGCGTAACCTCGTCCTCCGCTTCCTCGACCACGCCGACGTGCTCGCGGAGCTCCCCCACCGCACCCCATGGCTCTGAACATGCCGCCCGCGACGCCCCAGCGACAAGGCCCCGGCACCTTCCCCCAGACCCCCGCGAGGCCGCCGCCCTTCGCGCTGGGCGCCGTGCAGCAGCAACAGCCGTCTGCGCCCGTCCCTTCGCAGATACAGCTGGCTGCCAGGGCCATCAACCGCATGCTCGACAATGACAACCGGTATCCGCCGCTTGAGGCATACTCAAAACGTAGGTTGCTATGCGCAGAACAGCGCGAAGGCATATGCTGACAAGCTGCAGCGGGCGTCTCCGGTGAATACGAGCTGCCCACAAGCCAGGCATGGGCGCCCTTCCAGAAATTGCGCTCGTACGAGCACCCCGAGGGCATGTACGACCAGGTCAACGAGATGCAGATGAGCGTGGACATGGGGCTTTTCGCCGAGATCAACCACGCCTACGTCGCCGTCGACAACCAGCTATACCTGTGGGACTACACGGCGCGCAACCCAGAGCTAATCGGCTTCGAAGAGCTGAAAGACAACATCACATGCGTGAAGCTGGTAAAGCCGCGCGCCAAAGTATTTGTCGACACTATTTCGTGGCTGTTGGTGATTGCGACAACTGCGGAAATCCACCTCATCGCGGTCGAATGCCAGTCAGGGCCCGAAGGCGTATACGGCGTGAACCTCTACCGCACCAACATGTCGGTATCGGTGCGGGGGATCAATGTCACTGCTATTGCGAGCTCGGCCAAGACAGGGCGCATCTTCTTTGGCGAGGGCGCAACCGAAGACGTCTGGGAACTGAACTACCAGCAAGAGGAGAAGTGGTTCTCGAACCGCTGCAGCAAGAAGAACCACGTCACTTCGTCGGTTGCCATCCCGCTTCCGAGCATATCCTTTGGGAAGCGTGCTGCGCCCGTTGGCCTACAGCAGATGATCGTTGATGACAGCCGGAACCTGCTCTACACGCTCTCAACGAACAGCACTATCAAAGTCTTCCACATGCGCACGGCGACAACCCTCGAAAACGTGATCAAGCGCGACCTCGCCACGATACGGGGTCAGGTCAGCCACTTGATCCGTCAAGTACCAGCTCTGGAGAACCTCAGAATTGTCGGCGTGGATCCAATAGCTGCTCCTGAAGCTGATTCCGTGTCACTCATGCTCACGTCCTCTACGGGAGTTCGGTTGTACATGAGTGCTACCTCTGGCGGCTGGGACTCTGGAAGCGCACCCAGCAATATGGCAGTCATGCATGTTCGCTTCCCTCCGGTGTCTCCAGATGCGCAGACGGCCCCTCCCCCGAGCTCTTCCACTCAGATGCAACCGTATCAAGGTGGCACTCCGATTGGTTTCGATTCGAGGACCCTTACACAGACTGTGGCTACTTTCCGATATGCGCCCGGGACGTTCCTCTGCGCCATCGAAAAGAACCCGACCAACCCTAATCATGAGCTCTTCATATCCTCTTCCCACACTGGACAACTGCTTAGTGAACGCGATGCTCGCTTCACAGAGTCCGGCCAGACCATTACGCTTCGGGGTAAATTGCAGGACGCTGGCCTGGTCACGCCTCCATTTTCTGCTGGTAACTTTGGCAGTGAATATGCTGTGCAGTTTGACGCCCCTGCTGCTGAGTTCGCCGTCATGACTCATTATGGGGTGGAGACTGTGCGCCGACGGAGGCTGGTGGATACATTCGCGGCCATTATCCGGTACGGAGGAGGCACAGAGGGTGTCGAGGCAGACGTGCGCCGGTTCGCGAGACATTATGGCCTTACAGAGACGGCATCTACAGCTTTGGCCGTGGCATGTGGACAAGGCACGGATGTTGGCACAGACTCGAGAGTTACTCCTATTACTGACCCCGAAGTTACCGAAGTCGCACGGAAAGCTTTCATCGAATATGGCGGAAAGCCTCAGATCACCGAATCCGCCGCCGTGGAAGGACTCAGCGTGGATAACGTGCAGCCTTCACCCCGCCACGATGGTATTGCACTCTACGTTGCTCGACTGGTCCGCTCAATATGGGATACACCCATCATCAGAGAAACTGTGACACCTACCGGCCCAGTGCTGGCTCCCAACCACAAGCTCGCTAAGCTCCAGGACATACAACGCTCCCTTATCCGGTTACAGCAATTCCTTGACGACAACAAAACCTTTATAGATGGACTTGCGGGCCCAGAAGCTCTGGGGCGGGTCAGCTCTCGAAGGGAAGAGGTGGAACTGCAGGGAGAGAACCGCGCTTTGACAAACCTCCTGCAAATGATCAACAACATCGTGGAAGGCATTGCTTTTAGCTTGGTTCTCTTCGAAGAGCGATTAGAGGAGATTTTGCTTCTGTTGGCCCCCGATGTGCGCCTGGAGGTGCGGAAGCTCACATTCCATGCGCTTTTTGCGTCCAGCGAGGGCAAAGAGCTGGCAAAAGAGCTTGTCAAGGCGATCGTAAATCACAACATCGTGAAGGGATCGAACGTAGAGACCGTTGCGGAAGCTTTGCGGAGAAAGTGCGGTAGCTTCTGCAGCTCCGATGATGTGGTCATCTTCAAGGCGTCTGAGAACTTGAAGAAGGCGGCCGACTTGGGGGCGAATGCTGAGCGTGGGCGCGTCCAATTGAATGACAGTCTGCGGTTGTTCGAGCAAGTCGCGAAGAGTCTAACTATGGAGCACTTGACCGCTGCAGTGGACAAGTACATTGAATTGGAGTTCTATGCAGGTAAGGAGTTCGTGGAAAGCTTGTAGATCTGACTAACTAAGCGATAGGCGCCATTCGTCTTTCACTCAAGGTCGCCGACGAGCGCGATCGCGGCAACCGGGCTCTTTCCTGGATTAAGGATGGCCAACCCAGCGGTGACGCGCGACAGGCTCCGTACATACAGCGTACTAACTGCTATAAGCTAGTCTTCAAGGTCATAGAAGCAGTAGATCAGGCTTATGCTGCCCAGGGTAACGTTCAGCAAGACGGTGTAATTTCACAAATAGGCCGCAGAAGGCAAGAGGCCTACGAGCAAATCAACAACTCGGACGACGAAGTCTTCCAGAACTTCCTCTACGACTGGTACATGGAGAAGGGCTGGGCAGAGCGCCTTTTGGAGATCAGCAGCCCTTTTGTGGTGGACTACCTCAAACGGAGCTCCGAGACCAACCCTGCCCACGCAGATCTCCTGTGGAAGTACTACGCCCATTACAACGACTACCTCGGTGCTGCAGAGGTGCAATTCCAGCTCGCTAAGAGCCCCACATTCAAGTTGACGCTTGAGCAACGCATAGAGTACCTCTCGCGGGCAAAGGCAAATGCATCGACTCGCATAGCTGGATTCTCGGACAGTGGAAACCGGAATAGGCAGTCACGGCAAGAACTGCTACGAAACATTAGTGATCATCTCGACGTCGGGAACATCCAGGACGACCTTCTTCAGAAGATCAAGGGAGACAAGCGGCTTCAAGGCACGCGGCGAGAGGAAGTGCTCGCAGACCTTGACAGTGCCGTGAAGCCTGTAAACGACGTAAGTAGTCAGAACTATACTTTTTGAATCAGCAGCTAACAACCCCCAGCTCTTCAACGACTACGCGGACCAAGCAGGCTACTACAACATCAGCCTCCTCCTCTTCCACCAAGCCGACTTCCGCGACCTCTCCACCATCCGCAACACCTGGCAGCTCTTCATCGAGCAGACGCACAACGAAGCCCTTGCCGACGGCAAAGCCTCCCCCTGGGAATCCGTCGCCATCGAAACCGAAACCCTCGGCCGTCGCGTTGGCACAAACCAAAACATCTTCCCCGTCTCTGACGTCTTCCAGCTGCTTCTCCACTACGACGTCGAGAAATACCGCACCACCTCGACGGGCGCCCTCGACCCCGACACCGCGAACCCCGTCGCCTGGCCTATCGAGGTGTTCGCGAAGCTGCACGCCCCGTTCGAGAATCTGGTGAGCGTGCTGGAGGCGATGTGGTATGCGCGCGAGCAGCCGTTCAACAGTCGAAATGGGAGGAAGTTGCTAGCCAAGTGGCTTGTCTGTGTTGTGGAGAAGTGGTGGGAGGAGAGCAAGCGGTCTGGTGAGCCGTTTGGGAGCGCGGAGAACGCGCTCGGCTTGTCAGATTTGCTACGGGTAGTTGTAGAGAGTGGGGATTTTACGGGGCAAGTTGGGGCTCCGGGCGAGGATGCGGAATGGGCGGACCGCCTGAGGGTTATCCGCGTGCGGGCAGACGAGATTGTGCGGTGAAGAGGAGGCGGGAGAGGATATTGGTAATCTTGTAATATGACATTGGTATTGCTTTGCGGTGTGAGGGAGCGAAAGGAGGAAGGAGAAGAAAGTAAGAAGAGTAGGGTTTCCAGCGCATGGCGTTTGGATGGATGGGATGACTTGGCGTTTGGGAGGGCGTGTGCATCTGATGTACATTTAGCTAGGGATTGTACGTTCCGGGGAAGGGAGAGATGGGGCATAGCGTCGTTAGATAGCGCATGAGGATGAGTGGTATTGCATTGCACAAAGCTTCTGAGATTGGAGATGGTCCCGTGAGTATGTCTGGGCATCTTCCATCACCTTGTGTGTACCAAGTGAGCCTTATGCGTACAAAATGATAGCGGGTAGAGCCGCATCACGTGTTTGAGGGCTCAAGTGACATGCCATCGTGTGGGATTTAACATCCTGATACCAATTTCTATCGGAGGCAGGCCCCAAACAAGAACTGATAGACGGTGGAAGTCTGGCCATCGCCAATAGAACACCAAATCCAATCGCGTATTGTGACACTGCACGTCGTACGCGACGGCTAAAAGACTTCATGAAGGTCGCCCCTTTTCGAGAAGATCCATCGATAACTTTCCACTGCAATTATCATCACCTGCATGATGCGAATGGTGTGCGGCGACTGGGAGCAATAGTCAACGCCGACTTGCCAATCCTGTCAAACCTCGTGCCATGCTACTCGGCTGGCCAGGTCTGGAAGGTCGGGAGTGGTGAAGAAGAATTGGAACAAAACGCAATTGATTGAAGAAGGCCTAGACTGCGAAAAAAGACTCCGGTGCCAACGCCTCGGTCGCAGGATATGCGGGGTTGGTTTACTTGAACGAGAAAGGCGACATCAGCCATCGTGAAAAGAACCTTGGGAAATGATCTCGACTCTGACTCCTTCCGACTTGGTGCTCCTTGCGACTTTATCTACGCCGTGCTCTGTACCGCTGCGCACGAACCAAAACACCTGTTCCGTCCCAAAACAAACGAGTCTTTGCTCTACGTATATGCCGAGTTCATCTAATACTGCGTAAGACATCTTGATTCTCTCGATATGATCTGCGGATTCTGGGCACCGAAGAATAGGACCATCGCAAAACAAGTCGGTAGGAAGAACAAAATGCTGTCCGAGTCGCGAGGTCTCGGTCGTGCTATTCGGCCTCAAACAAACGCAAACCACAGGCGAAATTTGGAAGGAAGAGCATATCTGACGCGGCAGCCGTCCTGCACGAAGAATCCGATAGCACTGCGAGTGTCCATGGTTTCCACTTGGGTAGCATCAAAAAACCACTGGCGAGGATGTTGCCCGATATAATACAAAAGGAAGCGCTTGTGCTGGCTGGCTGGGAGCACTCTGGCACCAACCAAAAGCTACACGTCCGGTCTGTCCCACATACACTATGGCACGCCTTTGATGCGGGCAAAATCAAGGATGGTGCTGATCCACTACCCAGCTATCAGGCGTACTTTTTAAGAATGCTGCAGCACGAAGATTTGCACACTTGGAGCCGACGATAGCATGTTGCAGTTCCTGCGTTGTGTGAGAGACGTGTGCTTCAACCGCATATTGTTCCTCGCTCAGGGCGCCACAGGTGAGCTAGTGGGCCTCTGTCAAAACAAGCGAGGGAAGAGGCCATCATTACCATCCTGTACGGATGCAGTGTGCCTGTGGTTCTGCGAGCACCTAAAACCAAGCCAGCGTTTGGCCTCGACACAGCCTGCAACAACGACCCGGGAGAGATCGAAAGCCCGCCAGTGTCGAGGAAGTCGAATACATTGGAAGAATCATCCGTTGGCGCTATGAATAAAACCGATGCAGTTCAAAAGCGAAACGATGACGCTAGAGACTTCGACACGGAGAATCCGGGGGCAAACGCACATGCAATCCACACCTGATGTTTCAGATGCTGTCATAGAAGACCTTCGAGCCGGATCAATTCGGTAAACAATCTCCTCTTGGCTTCCAGGAATGCGTGCGGAGCCCAAGAACAATCTCAAAAGAGCGACGAATTTTGCTGCGCGAGAGCATAGTGCTTCAAACACAAAACGGTTGAAGGTGAATAAAGGTGATGCAGACCATCATCAGTCCACCCAAGTCGTTTCACCCACGGTGTCACCTCCAGACAAATATTATGTTGTATGCGAATATTCTGTTTTCGCGAACATGAACGGCGAGATTTGTCCCCGGGGTCGACCCGTTTAGTGGAAGGAAACTTTCACCTTGATTTCGAACGAGCATGACAGTAAATCTTTTGTTTACGTTAGCGTGGCCAACAAGCTCTCCTCGAACTCTCTCTGTCCGACGCCCTTCCCAATGAGCACCAATTTGGCGCTATTATCCTCAGAAGTCGTCTCTGTACCCTCGTTCACATCGTACACATTCCTCACTCCCTGTACTAAAAGTACGTTTGCGCCGACGACTGGTATGCGTCCTTTCAATCGGTGGATTTCGAACTTCCCGTGCGCCTTGCCATCAGGCAGTTTATCCTCCCAAAGCACCGTCCGCAGCCACTTGTCGAACCTGTCTACCTGCTCATCCCTCAGCGCAGGAAAGGCAATTGTAGACGTGGAGATCGAGGGGTCTATATGGCTGTGGCCTTTCTCCGCGAAAGTCAGATCATCAGCCGAGACGGCATCGTAAGCGTGCAGATCGAGGATGAAGCCCTCCAGCGTCGGCACCTCCGCTTTCATTGTCGTGGACACCTTCGCGAGCGCATTGATAGACCGCACGCGCTGCTTGACTGCCTCCAGCTCTTCTTCCGAAACCAAGTCAGTCTTGTTAATAATGACCACGTCTGCGTGCGAAATCTGCAAATGCGCCGTTGTCAACAGCGGACCCTGGTGCCCGTGCTCCTCTTTCCTTCCCTCCAGCGCCTCCTCGTCATCGCCATATCCCTCATCCAAGCTTTTGAGCAGATTCTTCGCATCAACCAGCGTAACAATGCCATCCAAGAAAATTGACGACCCTAGCCCCTCGTCCAACCAGAACAGCGGTGCCACGTTTCCTGGATCCGCAAGCCCCGTGGTCTCGAGCAGAATGTAGTCGAAATCCCCGCTTGCTTCCATCAAATTCTCGATCGCTGCGACGCCGACATCTTTGACGGAGCAGCAGATGCAGCCATTTGCTAGTGGGACAAAGGGCACTTTCGAGGCAGATGTTGAATTTGCATCCGACACGGTGAGTTGTTTTTCAATGTCGATGGAGTCGCCGAATTCGTTGAGAATCACGGCGATGCGCTTGCCGTGGTAGGCCGTGAGAATGTAGTTGAGCAGCGTGGTTTTGCCCGCGCCGAGATAGCCGGTTATTATCGTTATGGGGACTTTAATTTTGAGGGAAATGGAAGGAGTTGTGGAGATGAGGGTGGGAGGCTCGTCATCGTCATTGTTGGCGGTGGGTGGTTGGACGAGATCTGGGACCTCGTCGTCGGAGGCGTCGCCACTCATAGTCCAGGCTCAAGCTCGTGACTTGTGGGATTGAGGTTCGTGGAGGTTGAAAGACTTCTATGATCAGTAAGATTCCGAGCAAGGAAGACCGGAAATGTCTGAAGCGGAGCGAAGCATAATATGTAGACAAGAAAGGTGACCAAAAGACTTGACAACGGGACACTGATCCCGATTCCGAATATTTTTTGCGGAATTCAATGGTCGCATAAGCGGAAGACTTTGCGCAAAGCGTCCCGTACGCACAATCTGAACTTACGGTTTATAAGTCTCTATAGCGCTTTCTGACTACCGGCGTTCCAGGTGCTTCTTGTTAATGTGCAGTGGTGGTGCCTTGCACTGATGATGGAAGTGGGCTATATTGCGCCTTCCCCGTCCGAGACTAGCTCCTTGAGCGCGCGCCTCGAGCTTGCGACTCCGTAAGCTCCACCCCGTCGACGGCCGACGACAAATACACGCCCTTGCGCGCTACGCACTGCTTCACCCTCGCCCGCCATTCCGTGCCTGCAATGGCTTCTGCGCCGTCGCCCTCGAGTTCCCCGCGACTTCCCAGCCCGCCGCCGATTGCGGAGGACCAGCTTTCTCCGCTACCCGCGACCGAGGAACAACAGAAGCTCTTCAGCTCCCTAGACAATGGCGCATCGAGGCGGATACGGCCAGGCACAAAGGCAGAGGATATGACAGAGGGCCCGCCGCTAGTAGAGCTATCAGAGGTACGATGCTTCGTGGGGCGAAGTCGCGCCATGGGGAGAGCAAGGAGACCAGGGCTAATAAACGCGCAGATTGATTCCGCATTCCAATTGACAGAGCACCTCAAGGCACTTCACAACTTCCTTACGCATCCCATCGGCTCAGAAACCACAACGGCGGTAGACAGAGAAATAGCACAGAAGCTGGCAACGCCGCCAGACAACGTGGACAAAACGCTTTGGCTCTACGAGCTTTGCCGCTTCCTCACACAGAAAGTGAACGCCATCATTATCGCCCTGTTCTCAGACAGCCCGCCATGTTCGTCGACCACCTGCCCCGAGATGCGAGCCTCCGAATGGCAGTACCTCTGCGCAGTCCATGACCCACCTAAGAGTTGCTGCGCCATTGACTACTGCTGCCACACCTTGGACTGGGCCGCAAACACTCTGACTTCGCCAAAAAACTTTCCCTCGCGACTTGCCATGGGTGCTGACCAATCTACACAGCACCAGCAGCAACGAAACCTCACCAATATTTTCAGACGCGTATACCGGATCTTTGCGCACGCTTGGTTCCAGCACCGCGACATGTTCTGGAAAGTGGAAGGGAGGACAGGGCTCTACATACTCTTCAAGACGGTGTGCGACGCGTACGGTCTGATACCAGAGGACAACTACACTATACCACCCGAGGCTGAAGGCTTGGACGTTGACGAGGAGCCATCGAAGGCTCCGCCAATGATACTGAAGCGGGAGCCGTCAGGACCCAGTTCCTTGGACGCGGAGAATTCTTCTGTGATAGAGTCCGGGGATCATACGCTGTCTACCGCGGGTACCACAAAGCGACATCGCCACTCACCATCGGTGAGCGCAACGTCGGTGACTACAGTGTTGGAGGAAAGTGAAGAGGAAGAGACAGAACAGAAGAAGGAATCGGCTGCGCAAGATGAAAATGATGCTGATGAAGCCCCAGCTTCAATTTCGGAGGACCCAGGGCCACCTGCAGAAGGCGCCGCGGACCAGGATGCATCGGAGCCAACAGATGAATCCGAAGCCTCAGCTGCTGGCGAGTCCCACGCTACTGAAGAGCCGGAAAAGCAAAGCGAGGCAGATCAGGAGGCGCACGCCAATGAGACAACGACAGAATCTGAGGCTACTGCCGGTGACGAGGGCGCCTCTGCAGCATTAGCGGCCTCTGAGGAAAATGACGAGGACGCGCAGGACGAAGCCAAGGCAGAAGCGCACGCGACATCAGAGAATACAGGCCCGGAGAAAGCGGAGAAGGACGAGAAGGAAGAAGCGGCTGCGGACCAGGATAAGGCTGCCGCAAGCGAGTAGCGCTATCAAAACCTTAACGACAGCCTCAGGAGCATCGATATGTAATGATAATACTCACGACGGGAGGCAGGGACAGGATACGAGTTCTTTTTAGAAGAGGCGGGGTTGGAGTTGTTTGAGAGGTGCAGAGATATCCAGCGTCTGCTCCGTCGCGAGCGGACATTCTTCTTAGCATTGTGTAATTATAGAAGCCTTTGTTGCCGAGGCTTTGGCTTCAATTTCAGAGCAGGCAAGCATTCAGCGATTATTTTTGTGGCATGATCTGTATCCGTGGAGGCGCTCAAGCAAGCGCGTAAGCGCGTATAGAGCGGGACTCTGTAACAAGTCACGGTCACAGCACGGAAGCCGGCTTGGGAGCCTGTCAGCGAATTCGGGAAGCCGACGCATAGGTCGGGGTCGGGGCTGGGGCTGGGGCTGGGGCTTGGAGGCTCCTGGACCCGAAAGCGAAAGTATGGCGCCACCGAACGGTCGCTTGATCGGTGTGACAGACGTGTTTGGCAGCGGGCAGGCTGGCAGTCTTGCGGAACACGTAGCACGCGAACGGCGTTTTGTGCGACCGGCGCAGGGTGAGACAGACAAGTGTGCACAATGGCCTCGCAGCTTCCCTCTTGGACGGCCACGGTCAAGCAGAGGGGTGTGCTCACGCGTAGACGCCGACCGCTCAGGTTTCGAGTGTACATAATAGTCTTGGCGTGCTGTACGTGATGATCTGGGGTAGGGTGGTTTGATTGGAGAGCGAGCGGCACGGAGCAAGTGGCGGCGTAGGTGGAAGGGGCCGGAGGGGACGGCGCGTGCCCAATGATGCGGGATCGGGAACTGCAGGCACGTGCGATGAGTCGATGGAATTAGTTGTCGAGCTTGAGATGATAGACGGGCTGGCCAGGAGGGACTCGATAAACGACGCAAGGTGGACAGGACAATCGCATTGCTGATGATGCGTCGAATAGTGCTGTGGGGCTGGCTGTGGGGCTGGGTGTGGTAGGGAGGAGGCGGCCGTTGCCGCTGGAGTTGGAGGGTGGACATGTTGGTAGTGGAGCCCACGCGCAGGCTGCGGCGAGACTGCAGTTGCTCGCTGTTCCCGTGCGCGAGGCTTTGCGCCCTCGCTGGAATCGGGGTCCCAATCTCCACAGGCGCAGGAGAGGATTCCAGCGATGTCGCGTCGAGCCGTTGATCGAGGTGTCCCTGGGTTATATCCCACGCGTCCCCCCACGGCGCTCCCACGCCGCGTCCCAGGGCTTCGCTACTCCACACTTTGGACTGCAGGTGCGCGAAAGCTTGCGCGCCGCCTGCAGCGAGCCTCGTCCCTCGAGTCGCGCACGCCGCTGCTGTCAGTTGCGTCGACGGGCGGCAGGGCAGGGCACAGCGGCGACCCCTCGTCGGCGCCCTCTGGCGCCCTCAGGCCGGCGGCCAGCAATCGGGAGTCTGCTGCCTTCTCGAGGCTCGACCGGACGCCAGGGGTCGACTTATCGCGGCTACTGCGGAAGATCAATTAGGGCACGGCTCGCGGGCGACGGCGCCGACATGCAGTTGCTTCCCGGCACGCAGCGCAGCATTCCTCCTCACGCCGCTTACATAGCGGCCGAATAGCATATCCACCTGCGGGCACCCCCATCCTCCTCCCGCACCCCTCTGTCTCTTCCCCACGTCGTCCTGATTCGGGGCCATCGCACGTCGCGAGCACACCTCCACAGGCTCCGCTCCACGGGCGCATCCGCAGCCAGAGCGCTCGCACAAGCCGCGTCTAATCTGCAGGTCATCTGCCCGCCCGACCCCATTCGTGCCCAGCACCGTCCCCAGCACCTTGCGCTAGCCAGCCCAGCTTAGCCGACTGCGACAGCCCGACCTGACCCCCGAAAGCACCACCGGCTGTCGGGTCCCGTGATCGCCCATCGCTGCCTCTGATCGCCCACGCCACGGTGCTTTTGCTGAGCGCTCGTGCAACCGCAGCCTCAGTGTGTCGCACCCAGCCCCGGCCATACCCAGCCGCCCACGCGAGCTCGAGGACCGCCGACGCGACACAGACGGTCTGGCACCACCACCCGACCGAGACGTGCAGCACCTCTCTCTGCCTCGGAAGCCACTCTGCTTGCCCTCGATGACTGCGCAAATCCTGCCCATGCATGCAGCCCAGGGCTCGGATTTCGGCAAGCTGCAGACCTTCCCCCAGAAGATGGACACCAGCAGCGGCGCCGTCGACAACCCCACCTCTTCCCCAGACCGTGACGAGGACCGAGGCCGCCGGCGTGACAGAGACGAGACGGATGGCGACATTGGCGACGGCAGCGAGGCTGCTGAAGGCACGGGCGGCTCGCGGAAAAGGCGACGGAGCAGGAAGGGCCTCGACAAGAAGTTCGAATGCCCGCACTCGGGCTGCGGCAAGAGCTACTCGCGCGCCGAGCATCTGTACCGGCATCAGCTGAACCGTATGTCCTTGCTCCTCCCACTTTGGACCGGCGGCACCGTGCGAGCTACTGGCCTTCACTTTAGTCCGTAATTCAGTCAACAAGCGCCACTGCTGACCTGCGTAGACAACCCCAAGCAGATCTATCACTGCGACTTCCCCGACTGCCACCGATCCTTCGTCCGACAAGATCTTTGCGCGCGGCACAAGGAGAGACACACAGCACGGGGCTCGCAATTGCTACGCAAGGACACGTTCATGCAGAACCTCAATCCCATAGTGACAGCAGCGATGGCGAACAAGAGCGAAACGACCAAACTGGGGCCGATGAAGAACTCTCCAACGGTACGTGCGAATCGCTGCACTTTCGTTGCGACCCCGCTAATTTGGTATAGGTGTCTTCGGGCGGGCAGGAAAGGTACGGGTTGCAGTCGCCTGGGTCTTCTGTAGCAGGACCGACGGCAGCAACGCAAATGTCACCGCCCAGCTACCACTCGCCAGGCTCGAACGTGGGACGTCAAAACTCTCTGCATCGCGCAGGGAGCGACGAATCGTATCGCAGCAGCTCTGATGTCAAGCCTCAGCCTTATGACTTGCAGAGCCGGGGTGCTGGGAGCTTTGCACCCCCACCGCGCCCCTCCCAGTTTGGAAACTTTGGAAGTGGGCAGACGTCGCACCACAATTCTCCCCACATGGGGAACGGGAACTACCAACGGCCCGAATTACGCGCCCAGACATCAAACCTGTCGTCGTACGGATCGTCGTCGTCGCCTTACAACTCGGCTGCGACCCCCACGCAATCGTACCCACCCTCGGCTGCATCAAACTCTTACCCACCCAACTCTGCAGGCTATCAGCAACAGCAAACCTTCCCGCCGTTCCAGACACTCCCCCCTCCCGAGTATCCCCAGCAGTCGAGCAACACTCCTACTCCGAAGACAGAGGAAAATCAGTTCTATAATGGCACCTCGGGGCAGACACCTATGAATGGTGTCGAGGCGACTGACAACCGGATCAACGGTGTTTCGGAAGCTATAATGGAGCAAACGCCGTCGTACGCCATACCGATGTTCGGCGGCGAAGGCTACAGTCGATCTCCCTTTGCCATGGCAGATGACTTCGCCGCTTGGCTGTTTAATGACCAGCAATTCGGTACTACCAACGCCTCACCGCTGCATGGCCCCGGCGGTTCGAACCCAAGCGTCGGTTTGTCTTCTCAGATCGGACTGCAGGCACCGTACTTCAACTATGATCCACTCGTGACCAATACCTCCTTCCCCCAGCCGCCACCAGTTCACCCTATGGCCGTCAACAGTATCCTCGATACCTCACTTCCGGAGACCGCTTTGTCAGAAGACAAACGTAAAGACCTCCTTGACCTAATCATAGGCCGTTTTAATGAGACGGATCATGCACCGGTTAAGAAGCAGAAGGAAGACCTCCTCGAAGGTGACAAGGAGAGGAACGACCATGTCCTAAGTCTCCACATGATGCAACAATACATCGGTGCTTACTGGCTACATTTTCACCCGCAGCTCCCGATCTTGCACAAGCCGACTTTCAACGCATCAACGTGTCCGGATCTCCTGCTGCTTTGTGTCATGTGTCTAGGCGCCTCCTGCTTGGACAAGAGCCAAGTCAGCGAGGAAGCCACCCAAGCGTGCGCACAGTTGTCCAACTTCTTGGCCTGGCATCTGCGCTGGGAGATATTCATGGACGCCGACTTCCGGCCACCAGCCAAGCTTTGGGTCTTCCAGGCTCTGCTCCTCCTCGAAGTGTTTGAGAAGATGTACTCAACGCGGCCCCTGCACGAGCGAGCGCACATCCACCATGCAACTACACTCACTTTAATGAGGCGAGGTAGCTCGCTCATTGGCCGATCGGCAATGGACTCCCCGCCAAGTCAGAGCGGCTCAAGCGGCAAAGGAAGCCACGTCAACACTCCTGACGAGTGGTGGAATCACTGGATCACCAATGAAGCCACCAGGAGGGCCGCCTTTGCCGCTTTTGTCATGGACAGCATTCATGCAACCATGTTCGGCCATAGCGCTGTTATGGTGGCCCACGAGATGCGCCTTCCTCTGCCTTGCAACGAAGCTCTATGGTCAGCAACGAGCAGTGCGGAAGTCGGGCGAGTAGAGGCGAGCCTGCATGCAGAAGGCATCAAACACACCACATTTCTGGACGGTTTGAAGAAGACGCTCAATGGCCAAACCGTTCGGACCAACTCGTTTGGCAGGACAATTCTCATGGCAGGCCTGCTCAGTGTATCGTGGCACATGAACCAACGAGATCTGCAAGTAAGCTCACTGGGCGTTTCGACGGTCCTCGGTGGGCGAGACAAGTGGCGAGGCTCACTGACACGCGCGTTCGACTTCTGGAAACAAGACTTCGACAAGTCTCTTGTAAAACCCAATGATTTTGCCGTACCCGGCGGACACTCTTATTCCAACAGTTCGGCCGACGACAACATCTTTGAGTCACGCACCGTACTGCATCACCTTGCACACATGGCGATGCATGTCGATATCGTGGACTGCCAGATATACGCCGGTGCGAACCGGTTGCTCGGACGTTCGATCACGAACCTCGATTCCAACGGCGCTAGGAAACGGATGCAAGAGCAGTGGGCGCCCAGTGCTCGAGCACGAGACGCAACCTTCTACGCTCTCCGCTTCCTGTCAGCCGTCTTGGTCAGTGAGGAGCCTGGCGTAAACGGGCAACCACCCGTTGCACGGTTCAATTACTCGGCTCGCAACGACTTCTTGCTCAACCGGCCTTGGGTCCTGTACTTCGCCACACTCATCGTATGGTCGTACGGCTATGCGCTTGACGGGCCAGTGAAACAACCATATATCTTGACCACCTACGAGGACAAGGAGACGGACATGGTTCGCTTCCTGGAACGTGTGGGCGGTGTACGCGCTCCAGATGATCTTACCAAGATGCCGGATCGTAATGCCTGTCTCGGACTGCTCCTCCTGATGCGCGACATGTTCAGGAAGACGAGGTGGGAGCTTTTGCACGAGGCGTGCAATCTGCTGAGCAAGTGCATCACGATGCTGGTGCCGGGATATCAGGGCGACTGAGCTGTCATAAACACCGCCTTTCCTGTTGGCCGGTACTTCCCTTGCGCTTCGGCGCCTTTCACCCTTTGCCTGAATTTGAACATGGCCACGGAGGATTTACGATGTGATGTAATTTCCTTTTATACTATGCTTTTCCTTGCCTGTTGTCTTTTTTGCATCCATTCCCTTCTCTCTGGGCTTTAGGGCATCTTGTGCGAATTTAGCGGGCGAGTCGGCTGCTTGAATTCTCTCTTTGCTATGATAATGTGTATGTACATATAAGACGAGATGGGCTCGGAGATTCAAGGCTGAGAGAATGGTAGTAGGAGAAAGGTCGTGTTATATACCCAGGGTGGTTCTGGCGTGCCTTTTCGAGATGGATATGTGGATGCGAGATATGGTATCATCTAGATATGAAGTGTTTGTGGTACACTACGTTGTCTGTTTCTGCAACATCGATGCGATGGGTTTGGTCGCTTTCGGTATCCTTTCAGACCGTCAATACAGGAACGCTTGAGAGCATCGTTCAGGTGAGCGTGCAGTATGACGGATCAAAACGACCATGAACAAACAATCGTTCCCAAGCATCGGTTAAGAATTGAGCGGTGCGAAGACAAAGTGAGACCTACGGTAGATCCGAATTGCCACTAGCAGATAGCGCTCATCCCCGCTTTCTGGCCTTCTTTATCGCCCTACACGCTCCATAGCACCGTATAAGAACATTGTTGTGTGGCAAGTCTGTATATTGATTCACTTTACATTATGGTAAGACTTCGAATGCCAAAATCCTTATTCATACTTACGACTCATGCAGTCTTCTAAATCTGACCCTAATTCCTCCTCCCCGGGATTCAACATAGTCGAAGCGAGCATCGCGCAACATCAGGAAGCTCTCGTGACAGGACGAATAACAAGCGTAGATCTGGTAGTCAGTTACCTCCTGCGCATCGCTACCTATGACACCGTCCATGGTTTCAACGCTTTCACCGTCTTCAACCCCAATGTCTTGGACGAAGCAGCGGAGTCAGATGCACGACGCGAAGCAGGGCTCTCACGACGGCCCTTGGAAGGAATACCTTACACCATCAAAGACAGCTACAAAGTCACGGGTCTCTCCGTGACAAATGGCTCGCCAGCCCTGGAAGGTTTAATGTCTAATGAAGACTCAGACATTGCACGGCAGCTGCGGGATGCGGGTGCGATATTGCTGGGGAAAACTAATATGCCTCCAATGGCCGCAGGAGGAATGCAGCGCGGGTTGTATGGGCGCCCAGAGAGCCCCTATAACAGGAAGTATCTCCCTGCTGCCTTTTCTTCTGGGTCTTCGAGCGGAGCCGCCGTGTCGGTGGCGTGTAGTATGGGCGTGTTTGGGATGGCGTCGGAGACAGTGTCGTCTGGTCGTTCGCCCGCAAGCAACAATGCGCTCGTTGCATATACACCTAGCAAGGGCGTACTCTCGTGTCGCGGCCTGTGGCCCCTGTACGTCACTTGCGATGTACCCGTGCCGCTCGCACGCTCGGTGGAGGATATGCTTGCCATACTCGACGTCCTCGGAGCACCGCAGCAAGAGACCGCAGGCGACTTCTGGAGAGAGCAGACGATCGTTCCATTACCCATCCCCCCAAAGCCATATTACAGCTCCCTCGCAAAACTCGACGCCTTATGCGGCAAACGCATCGGCGTTCCAAGAATGTACATTGGGCAGCACGACTCGGATCCCCACGCCAAACCCACGACCGTCAGCCCCGAGGTCATCGCCCTGTGGCAAAAAGCAACCGCACACCTCGAAGCATTGGGTGCAGAAATCATCCCCACCGACTTCCCCCTCGTCACAAATTACGAAAACGACTCCGCCTCAGGACTCACAAACAACGTGCTCGGCGCCCCCGCAGACTGGAACCTCGTCGAGCGCAGCACCCTCATCGCAAAAGCGTGGTCCACTTTCCTCGCGCAGAACGGCGACCCAAAGATGAACAACCTCGCGGCCGTCGATCCAGCGCTGCTGTTTCCGAAGCCGGAGCCTTATCTGCCAGACACCTGGCTCGAGGTGCGCAACTGGGTGCACTACGCCGCGCTGCCCAGTCTCGAGGCCGCGCTCGCTGACACACCCCTCACGCAGTTCCCTGGGCTACAGGACGTGCTTCCTGCGCTGGAGGCGCAGCGCAAGCGCGACTTTGAAGAGTGGATGGCGGCGCTAGGGCTGGACGCCGTGGTGTTTCCCAGCCAGGGCGACGTCGGGCTCGCGGACCTGGAGTTCGAGCTCGACAGCGCGAGACAGAGTCTGCAGAACGGGGTCAAGTACTCCAACGGCAACCGCGCGCTAAGGCATTTGGGCGTGCCGACGGTGAGTGTGCCCATGGGAACGATGGAGGAGAGGGGGATGCCTGTGAATCTGACGTTTGCGGGGAGGGCGTACGAGGATGGGACGTTGCTGGGGTATGCGTATGCGTTTGAGCAGCGGTGCGGGGCGCGGGTTGTGCCGCCGTTGACGCCGGGGCTGGAGAGCGATGCGGTTGTCGGATGGGGGGGAGTATCTTCGCAGGAGATGGCGGCGGTGCTGGATTTGACCGCTGCCGCGCCAGAGCTCACCCAAGGGAAGCAGATACTTCTGAAGGTAGGTTTTCGAGCACATGGGACTATGGCACGTGCAGGGGTGCTGGAGGTGTGGGTGAATGGGATCGAGGCGTATAGGAATACATTGGACAGACTGGCAGAGCAGAATGAGCCGAGGGAGCCCTTAACGCAACGTAGTGCACGGTTTGTGCCGCCGTTGACGCCATGGCTGCAGCTTAGGATCGATTGTGAGGGCTTGCCATTGAGGCCTCAAAATGAGATCCTGGGCTGGGATTTGAAACCGTTGAAGCCAAGGCCTGCTATGGTTGTTGTTGTTTTGAGGGCGGAGAATGCGTTGACGAAGGCTAAGTTGCTGTGGTTGCAGTGTTAGGGCCTGGAGAGTGACCTTCTATGTGGGTATACTAGTGCTGCCAACTACTGCGTTGGTTGATTTACTGGTGATATGATCAGAGGCTGGTGTTGCAAGTCCATCGATCGCAAGTGTCAAGGATCGTTCTAGCTATCATGTACTGGAGAGCCTATCAAATCGTCGTGTTCAGATTAATACGTGAACATCAATCTGATGCAAGCACTAATCTGCAAACGTTGCCAAACCTCCCTTAGGCTAAATTTACATGTGCTAGGTAGTGAACAGGAAGTAGAAATTGAGATTCAACGGGTTCATTGAGAGGTAGGATTAGATGGGACGGATAGTTGTGGTCTCCAGCGCTGCAATCGCGGCCCCATGGAGACGGATTGGTGAGGATAAATGGGATCAGATGTGGATGATCGATTATAAGTGAGACGGAGCTGGGAGTGTACTTTCGTAGTGGAGACGCTGCATTGAGGGACGGGACTTTCCTCACAAGTCGAGGCCCGCAATTTCATCACCTGAATACTCATGATCCGAGTGGTGGATAAGTATTCCAGGCTAACAGATGCAGTCGCGATTGGAGCCCAGTCTCCATTCTATCCATGCACGTCAATCTTCACACTCCCATGGCTAGCGCGGTGATGGTGCGGACGCTGGTACATTCCGCGGCAAAGGTCAAGGACCTTTTAGGGAGATCCGCGCTGTTGGTCGCAAACGGCAACTACACGCAAACAGGTTGAAGTGAACGAAACAGGACAAAGTCGACTTTAGCGTTTTCAACGGAACCATCCACCATCTAGCAGCGTGAAATCCACTCTACTAGAAGCTTATGCACGTGAAGGACTAGAGGAGAGGTCATGACAAGCTTGCGCCCAGAGGGTGATCCCTTGGCTTCCGGGACTTCTGTGTAACACAGGGTCCAGCGCGATAGAGGCTAGACCTAGACACAGAGTTTCCCCTCGCTCCAGGCCTTGCCATTTGCTGTTTTCTATCTGCGCGTTCGGCTATAGCATGTGTAAAGCTGCATCTGCATCAGGAAGTGCTAGCTATCGATAGCGTCTCCGGAACCATGCAGGTGCGCTTCACGCATGCACTGCTCAAGGGGGTCTTTAGTGAAGGAGAATGGAGGACGCGCGTTGAAGCATACTTAAGAGCTCTAGTGGTCGTGATTATACTATTTTCTGCTTCCTCCTGTTGATCAGTTTCATTGGGCACTTGCAGCTTTGACCTCAATTTGCCTTCACTGCTCAGCTCGGCACACCGCACATGACCTTGGTCTGTCGAACGACCGTACACAAATCCTACGATCGCGGGGCTCACCAGCTGAGAAGCATCGCCAAATATCCAGCTGCACAATTTCGACCGCAAAATGACGAGGATGCTCATCGCAGCTGCCATTGCGGCACTTGGTACGCGACTGCCAGCTAGCCAGTCACAGATTTCAGACTGACTCCACAGTATCGACTGCATTCGCCGCCATGTTGACCAACTGCCCGCATCCTGACCTCTGCTTCCGCCTCGAGTATCTTGACGCTACCTCGGCCTCTAAGAGTTGCTACATGCTTGTCGGGATCAGCGCACCGATCACGTACAACGTCACGCTTGGTCACCACAATCGGGAGCGAGACTACGATGACTTTATTCAGGTCTATCCAAATGCAGAGAAGTCGAACTTTTCCATTTCTCGAATTACTGGGAGCACCAAATCCGGCTTTGACCCGACGTGCGAGCGGTTGCCCTCGGCTGGCGTGAAGGATGGAAAGATGGCGGCAGACATGCGATGTATGAGTATCTCGGTGCTGTATCTGGGGCATCGAGCTAATACGTGGTAGGCTCGATTTGCACACCGAGGATCAGCGACCCCATGGATTTGTTCGTCCCTGCCATCAATGTATACTGGAATTGGGCCTATGTAGTCACGGACGTCTCGGGATACATGGTTGGGTCAGGCGCAAATGCATTCGGCACTCCCCCTAGTTATTTGCTGAGGCAGTACAAACATCTCGTTAGTCGATGGGCACCGGCAGCCGGTCATGCAGGCCGCTTTGGGCCTCCGCCAAGAATTATCCACATGGCATTGGCGCACGACGTTCTTGCTTGCATAGCCTGGGCTCTCATCTTTCCCTTGAGCGGAATACTCGTCCGATCGTGTTCTTTCCACAACCTCCTCTGGGTACACACTGCCCTCCAAATCGTCGGTCTCTGCTTGTACACCGCGTCAATCGGACTGGGCATCCAACTCGGCATGAGCCCGTTCCACCATTGGATGAAGGACAAGCATGTAATTATCGGCTTGGCCGTCTACGGCCTTTTCCTCACCCAGGCTGCTAGCGGATACATTCATCATGTCATGTTCAAGAAGTACATCTCACGGACCACTTCGAGCTATATCCATCTTTGGACAGGCAGGTTGTGCATTACTCTGGCAATGATCAATGGGGGCTTTGGGTTCCAGCTCCGAAGTCAGAAGATTGGCAGCTGGAAGGTCGCTCTGTACACGGTTTGTGCGGTGGTGATGTGGTGTGCTTACGTTACTAGCATTGTCATTGGAGAGTGGCGCAGGAATAAGCAGATGAAGAAAGTAGCTTCCTCGACCAGCCTTTCTCAAGCGGACTCCTGCATTGACATTCCAACGGTTCGAGAGATCCCAAAGCAGGTTTGAAAGAGAGCTTGGAGTGAGAGATGTGATTATTCAAGACTGCTTCAATTGGGTGGAGGTGCCAATGTACTGGGCATTCTGCCTGGTTTCAGACTGTATATGTTATACTGAATAGCTAGACTCGTTCAGTAATGGGTTATGCTTGACACCAATAATACTGTATGCAACAAGGAGTTCATTCGAATATCCTATATACACATCAATTGGTTTTCGAGTCGTACGACAGGTACAAGGTGTACTTACTAGACCGGGTGATACTCGTTCCTACGAGTGCGAGCTTGCCATGGCCTTCACGCCAATCACCAGCCCTCAGATCCTGCTGCAGATGTGCTTTGGCTCAGTCTAAATCGTTTGTGTCTGACAAGGGTGATCGTCTAGATCATACGTGCTGCATTCGACTTCACAGCTGATTCCTTGCTCTATGCAGACTTGCTTCAATGATTCGCGCTGGTCTGCGCGACCTATGTAGCCTCTTTCCACCCAACCACGCTTTGAGAAGTCCAGGAAGAATTCGACAAGGTTGGGCGTTGCTCTTTTCCACTCTGGCGCTCTATCAGCCACCCAGTTCATGGCCCTATCTCGTGTCTCATGGATTGCGCGGTCGGGCCATTCGCCCTCCAGCGTCTGCCCTGCGAAGAACCGCCTCAGTACGCAAAGCGCCGTGAGCTGGGTCCAACAGTCCAAGTAAGAAACGGCCCAGAGATCGTCGCTGAGAACAAGCCGCTGGAGGTTCGAAGGCAGCAGATCCCCAAGAGAGTGTAGATCCGTGAGAGGACGCCGCTTTGGCTCCCAATCTTGACCAAAGAGTACCGCAAACGAAGTTTCCAGCGACGTGAGGGCGTGGAAGTCGCGCAGAGACCCAAGCGCGTTGACGCACGCCGGCACACTCAGCTCGTGGTCGGATAATAGGCCGCCCACCTCGTCGATTAAGTCACCGAAGATCTCGATCCGTACGGCCAGATCCTTCAACGTGAAACGTACGTATTCCAGGGCTTGTCGGAGTGTCGCTAAACACACCGGTGCCTTCTCGAATGGAACGAACATGTCGTAGTCGAGTGTTACGAGGCTTGGGGTCGTAGCGAGGAGGAGCATGAGCGTTTCTGGGAGTGCGGGCGAGCGCCGAAGGCGCAGGGTCGTGAGTGTGAAGGCTAGTGGTGCTTTTGGGAATGGCCATACTGTGTGTCGTAGAGTATCTTTCTGGATGCCCTCGGAGGCACTTACGTTGGGGAAAAAAGACATATCCAGGGTTTTCACGTTTGGGAGGTAGAATAGATACAGATAGGTTTGCGTAGGCACTGGCAGATTCTCCGCATAGTTTGCCTCATTTCGGCCGTGATCCCGGGGGGTGCGATAGTGAGCATCGGTGTGAGTGATAGTTACCTGGTTCAATTTCTCGAACCAGGACTGCTTTCCCCAAGGACCGAGATACCGGTATAGTGTGCTCCTGAGCATAGCTGGAAGGCGGTAGTTGTGCATCAATAGTTCGATGTCGATGCTTAGCGACTCCACCCGTGTACAGTACGAGATCAAGACTCCAATTCCAGCGTTCAGGTTCCCTTCTCGCGTGGTCGGATCATCGCATTCGCCCTTCTCTTCGCATGGGCATCCTTCTAGAGCTTTTTCGAACATCTCCCAATCATATGCAGGAATGCGATGTGTATGCGCCGGGAGAAGGATGTCGCCATTGAATCCGGGTGCTTGGAAGCCACGGTAGTTCACAGCCTGTAGGACTACTTCCTTGACATTCTTTCCGAGATCTGGATTTTCAAGGATGCTTCGAAGCAGTGCAGTGACTGGTGGACCACGAGGATTGTTTGAATTCCACTGAAAATCGATTCTGCGAAACATTGTCCGCAAGGCAATCGCTCGAATTCTCTTGCATGTCTTCGAAAGATTGCTCAAATCGCGAAGAGGAGTGATGACAATGATGGCCTCTGTCAGTTCAACAGGCAGATCGTCGAAGGGCGCCATGTCGACGCCGGTGTAGATCGCGTTAGTACCTGATAGGCCGTAGCTGATAGAGCCAAACAATGAGCGTAGGATACGCAGCCCAGAGTAACCTGCTGCGTTACTGTCCGAAGGAAGACTGTTGAAGGATCTCCCACATCGGGGGAGAAGCGTCGGGGACTATCATCGGGAATTACCGAAGGCTTGGGTGTCTTGCTGACTCATCTGTAGGCTTGCAAACCTCCACCGACTGGGGCTACCTTGCGCGAGAGAAGGTTGTTGATGTATTTCATTTGGACCCCAGGATGCACGCCGTTCAGATAATCCAGCAATTCCATCGTGCTGCGGGTGAACCAAGATGTCGGGGTCGATGGCCTCACGACTAACCGTATCGCGCGTAAGAGTGATGCTGACCGTGGGACTCTAATAGAAAGACAGGATTTAACACTCCGACATGGCTCTTGTGATGAATTTGTTGCGGCTGTTGGGCGCTCAACGGCAGCAAATATATCATAGGTAAAAAGAACTATACATCGTTTCAAATCCCTCATGTGTTGGCTAACAATAATTAAAATGGAGATGCAGGGAGTGAATAGATGGAAGTCTCTTTAATGATGATACTGACGATGTAGTTAGTATTCGAACGCCAGATGAGGGATTGTGCATATTCGATATAATGCTTATCGATAAGACAAACGCGTACCACTGAATCTGTATCCGTTCGAGCTGCACATCACCGCACTGAGACGCCATCTGGCAATGGCCGCTCGTCCATACCGGGACGTCCAGATCATTGCAGCAGCCGGGAAATGGATCCTGGTAACTTCGCCGGTCAATAGCACTCTTCGAATGCACATGTACACTGCACTGGAACGATTCCCATTTGCAGCAACAGCCCATTCAGAGAGCTCGCAGCTACGAGATTGGGCAGACTGAATCTGGTTGACCGGTTTCACGGATGCAACCTCGCCGCACGACGACTGGAACAGCATGCGAACCACACTGAAGCCTAGCCTACGTGCGTCGAGGGTGCCAAACCCACCCTAGGCTCTCGCCCTCTATCTCCGAGACTGGGCCAGGAGCAGACACCTGTACTGGGTTTATACGATGTTCGGCCGAGAAACTGAAAGTGGACCCCAAACCTGACCGATGCATTGCTTGGCTATATTTCAAACAGATATCCTCCAATTACATGCTTGTTACAATGCCTTAAATTCTTGGCACCTGCCGGTTACCCAAAATTGCGACCTATGTATGGGACTGACGTTTGGTGTCAGGAAAGCATGCAGTAAGCTTCAGTGAGTGTTGAAGGCCACAATAACAACAACCTCCAAACTCGTGCCGGACGACATCGACCTCGTGGTGCACTTCGAGTCCTTCTAATGTCCGCCAGGATTTTCGGTCACTGTAAGACTCCCTGGAGGATGGCAGTGTGCGCTGCCAAGGACCGAGACGTAAGGCTGGATCCGACATTCCGTACCAAGGATCTGATTAGCTCAATAAAGTTCATATGAGGCTAGAATATGTACCTACGGATGATATTAAGTGGAAGGGTCACCCCACGTACTGTTGACGCTTGTCACTGACACTGTGCTGTTGATGTGCGAAATCCTAAACACCATGCAAGACTGAAGGACCATCTAGTCAGCACCAGTCGATTTTATTGTCATCGGTTGAGGAGGAAAGCGACATGGCATCAAACGATATGGAGCTCCACGCTCTTTCCAGCGACTCGCAAGACCTGAGACCAATTACCAATAAACATGGAGTCGGCGAGACTTCGACTTCGCCACGTTCGTCAATTACTGCGCGGGAGCCACAGATCACACGCATGCGTACTACATCCTGGCCAGTCTTTGTATTCGTCATCTACGCAACATTTGCTTTATTCCCATGGATATGTCTATGCATTCTGAGTAAGCGGCCCATAACGAAGGAGAAAGCATACATCTCAGTCGATACAAGTTCGTCTCAACCCGAACACTGGTACCACGTCAGCGAGAAGTACTTCAAAGTGGCACATATCTTACAGTCTATCGCCACACTCGTTACAATCCCAGTGACGACTGCGATATGCTCCATGGCATGCGTGGTATACATGCAGAGTAGTCCTCTGAGACGAAGTCTTACGTTGAGACAGTCGATGGCCTTGGCCGACTCGGGCTGGTTAAGCCCTCATGTGTTGGCGAAACTCGGGACCACGGGAAGCCTTCCATTGTATACCGCGTTTGCTTTGGCACTATTTGGTAACCATTACGAGCTCACCTTGGGACCCGCATTGCGCTAATTGATACAGGGAGTGCAAGTCAAATACTGCAAACTGCAATGGTCGGCCAAGTTGAGATACTCGCTAGTTCTGGTTCTCATCCTTCATACGCTTACGTCATCGACCCGTTGGACTATATTAGCGATGAAGACGATGCAGCAGGATCGAGGTACAGGAACTCTTATGAACAACGGACTCTGAGCCTACGCAGCTTGCTCGAGTTGCCTTTTACAAGCAACGACGACATCAACAACTGGGGGACACCACCCGATTCTCTCTACGCCGATGACACTGCTCGTACTGATAGATCTAGTGCTGCTGGACATATATACGTTCCGCTTGTGAATAATTTCTCGTCGGGTGCCTTCCCATTTCGACAATTCGCACCGCGTATGAACTCCTCGATCATGTCCGAAGAAATCTCGTCGAACGACTTTGGAGAGAATTGCCGCAACGAAACCGAAAATGGTCACTTCTACGCTCGATATTACTATGTTGAGCAGCATGCCTACGACGACAACTACTACAATCCTGATGTAGATTTTGAGGTGTGCGTAACGAACGACCTGCGCATTTCACCTTGGAACAGTAAGTACCACGCTGCTGCATAGTCCCAAACTTTTGACAGATGCTGACCAAGTGTTCGCGGACTCAGTAACACGGGATCGTCAGGACCTAGTTGAGGAGATGTATTACAAGACGCAAGACCGCAACAAGGGCAGCCTTGGCTACTGGAAAATTACGTCAATTACGTCTTTGGGATACTTTGAAGTCCCAAGCTCACAGAACGGGGATGTGCCCGGACCATTGCTGGAAAAAGACCCCTTCATCGACGACAAGGTCCAGATCTCGGAAAACCGGAATGCACACTACAAGGAGACTCACCTCCGGAGAAGGCGAGACAACGTAACCTACAGCGGAAACGCTACGATGCTTATGAGTGGTTACAACAAGGGCCCACTTACATCAGTCGCCATTGCGTTGTTCGGTCCAAACTCCTTTGTTGAGACCAGAATGTCCAATCCTTCAAATTTTGTCATACCTGAGGATCCAGACTGTGGTCTAAGATATTGTACGACCGGCCGCAACTTGCACAGCTGTATTCACAATGCGCCTTTGTACGACTTTCTAGGTAGGTCAAGGAACTGCATAGACATATACGATTCGGGGTCAGTCAACAAGGTCATCGGTCAAGTCAGCACATTACTGTTCTATTTCACCGCGCGGCAGCAGTCTAGCATTCTGCCGGCGCTATCCCATGCCCTTTACATGGCGAACAAATTATGGCTGCATCAACCTATAGCTGGCTATAACACGCAAGGCCAACTGAGAATCTACTACGATGAAGGCATCCCGACTACAAAGCCCGAGCTCAGTAACACTGGTATCATCGTTGGATCTTTTTTTCTCGGCCTGCACCTGCTGGGATTGCTGTTGTTGGCACTTTACGTTGCCAGAATGAAGCCATGGTCAAGCAAGATGGGTTCAGAGGTTATGCTGAAGATGGGAATGGTGTATTCGGATGAGTTGGCGAGGTCCGAGACGAAGCAGCAATGGGATCGAATGGTGACTACACTGCCTGGATTCATAGGTGATGAAAGGCCAGTGGAAGAGATCGGCCGAATGAGGCTGGGCGCGGCGGCTGGTCTTAGCAGAAAGAGAGACAGGAAGTTTGAGATCCTGAGGTAATGGTGAGAGCGTTGTCTTGGAGATTTTGGCTGTCGGTTGCATCCATTATACATCGCGTAGTCCAGGCTATGATCGTCCGCATTGATCACAGTAAGTGGAGAAGAGAGAGTGCAAATTATATATGACAAATACCCCAGATTCGAATCGCGGAGTAGCTTTGCATCTCTATGCCTTGCCAATGTTGTTTGACAAACTAAGCTAACTTCTTATGGCAAACGTCTCGCTGAGAGCTTGTTTCCTGCGCTCTCATTTCATACAGAGACGGCTCATGTTTACTAAGCAAAGAAGAATGACATTGCAACGTTCAAATGGATTTTTGCGGTACGCAGAGGAGGGCGCAATGTTGGTAGCAGGGGCTGCGTAGGACCGAATGCGAGTTAGCGCCCGGAGGCGGGGTCGTCATCACTACTAAGCGAAAAGCAATTTACAAAGGTAAAAGGGCCACTCCGGACGTCTGACCCATGCTTGGCATCGTTACCCTACAGATCCACTTACATAGAAAACCTGTGTATACATATTGTAAATATTTATAAATATACATCAAACCAGCATCAAAACAGCATAACATCCGATATGGTCTAGTGGCTAGGATACATCGCTCTCATCTTCCCAAGCAATTGGAACATGCGCCGATGTGGCCCGGGTTCGATTCCCGGTGTCGGAAAAAGCTCTCTTCTTTTTTCGGCCATCAATGCCGATTGGATCTTAACACAAAAAGCAGTGCGGAGAGCTTTAAGGGTGTGTGAGGTTGGCGACGACGGCAACTCAATTTTTGCCGCGCCTCCATCACCGGCTTCCCTAGAACACACCAGCAAAGTCTGTACACGTTTCACGAGGACAGCTGGACAGTCTCTGATTCTTTCTATTGTGCAGCCTCTTTGGCATCACTTGCAAGGCACCGTCTGAGTTCCGGCACATTTGATAGCTAGTATCGTCGAAGCGCTTCATCCATGCCCACTCTCACGCACAGGACCGGCCTGAGACAAGATCTCAACAATCTCAAGAGGGGACGTTTATTGTCATTGCTACATCACTGCTAGACATACGAGGATGCAGTCGAAAGGACTCACCATGCCTGCACACCGGCCGCGTTGACCACCTTGCCGGCGTCCGCATCTCTCATTCCCTCTACAACATCCCTGATCAAAATTCCGCCCAAGCTTGGGTCACCGGCACCCATCTGTCTTAACTTTTCTGGGCCCATACCACCAAGATTCGTAGCCAAGAATCCAGGGCTGATGCAGAATACCTTGACACCATCTTCCTTCAAAAATCTCTGCCACTCCAACATCAACATGTTCAACCCTGTCTTCGAGCTGCGGTAGGCGATCTGTGAGAGCACTGGAGGTTTTGGCCTACGGGAGCAGCCCGGTCAGCTATCATACAGTCATTTCATGAGGAAAGAAGTCTGCTTACCAGCCTGCAGGAATGCTAGGCAGACCTGCCTTGTGGGCTGGGGATATGGAGCTTCCGCCAGAGCAGGCATCAAGAGAAGACATTCCGGACGTGACGAACATGATCCGTGGGCCCGACGATTTAAGAATAAGCGGGACGAGAGTGTTTGTCAAGACGTGTGTGGAGGTCACATTGAGCGAGTATGAGTGATCAAAAGCCTCGCGGATCCCAGCGGGCGTAGGATTCTCTCGCATGACAGCGTCGTAGGTACCTCCTGTTGCGACTTTAGTACTAGGGCAAGCCGTCGCTGGATCTACGCATGTGAGATTCTTACCAGCGTTGTTGACGAGAGCATCAAGCCTGCCGTACTTGGACTCTATTTCTTTATTCAACTTGTCAATCGAAGCATCGTCCTCGATGTCGATTTGGATCGGAACCAACTCGGATTTGGACTCGGTCACTTCGGACTGCAGTGTTTTGATGGCGGCATGAGCCTTGTCGAGCGAACGGCTGCCCATGAGGAGAACATGTGCGTCCGGCGAAGCATAAAGAGCCTTTACAGCCTCATAACCAATGCCTGTATTTCCGCCGGTGACGAGGACAATGTTCTTCTCTGCCATGATGTGTTCAAGATGTGTGGATAAGCAGCGAATGTTTTGAATGTAGTAGAATGGACAGGTCCGATATAGAATTTTCCCTCCAGGCGTCACAGGCTTTTATACAAACAATCGTGCCTCCTACGTGTGCGATCCATACATACACCTTAAACGGCACTGGATCTGGGCTTGACACTGGAGCGTGGCGTTAGCTGATTTAGGGCTAGCTAATGTGAGTCTTAATTGCAATGAGATGAACGCACTTCTTTGCTATTGGCTTGGACTCATCGTGTACACGATCAAGAGTACTAGTTCTGGTCCGCGTACTTCTCGTACAGTGTTCGTACAATCTTCGCCAGTGTTGGATCCTCCTTCCCACGGCTTTATCGGGATTAATGAACATCCAATGGTTGATTGCGGGGGTCGGCCGCCGCGGCCGCTTAAGACTACGTTTAACTCCGGACGGTTGACCCGAATCTCAGCCGTGCCGACTCCTCATCCGTTGCAAGAAACGAGCACTGATCTGATAGATGCCCAGGATGTGCAGAAATAGCAATATATTGCGAAACGACGTTCTGGCATTGGTCTTCGTAAAGACGTCAGGAATTCCCTTCGTGAAGAGCTGTACAATATTTTAGCAAGTGTTGATGGATATCGTCACAATGGCGAAGTTTCCTATGTTGGTGGTTAGCAAACAAACACATGCTGCAGCCCGACTGTTGGCTTGACGAGTCGTACAGATAAAGTGACCATCAAACAAGGGTTTGTCTAAACCGACATACGCTGTATCCTTCTTATTGTGGACCCAAATCCTATGCTCATTCTTGTCTCGAACCTACTCTCCTCACTCTTTTTTAGCCGTACCAGGCTACCTTCCCACAGCCGGCTGCCTAATCCAACATCGCTCAGTCTCTGACAAGGGTGACACCGACGACCTTCGGTGTCTCTCCTGGCAATAAGGTGGCGAACGATCCATACAATTGTGGTGACTGTGATCGCACTCCAGCTGCTGGTGAATCTGCCCTTCTTCGTTGCAGTCACTGCAAGCTCATCTGGTATTGCAACCGCAAATGTCAGAGCAACGATCGAAAGGAACACAAGGGGCGATGCGAAATCGCCACCATTCTGAACGGATTACCTGCTGCTGTTCCTCCACCTGGTGTTTGCCTCGAGGCAAGCCAATACTCAACGGTCTCCTCCTCACCGAATGATCCCCCAGCTTGGTCCGTCAATGACATCGGACGATGAAAACAAGTATAGTCCCCGACATATCGACAAGGAGGTCACCAAGCGCGACCCGGCTGGTATTGCTCCCACCAAAGCTCAAGATGCCATTTGCAACATCCTCATCGAGCGCACCTGGTTTGCCGACGACGCCAATAAGAATACGACTATCGGCCCAATACTGTACCACGAGGCCTACTGAAAGGTCAAGAAGATCTGGCACAACCCCTCTTGCTCCTTTAATGATAGTTTCGACAAGAGTCTTGCTCTGGTCGGATGGTTCGATGCGATTGAGAAGATCAACGTGCCTGGTGAAAATCGGTTCTGTGGCAAGACTATGGTGGTTCGCATCCGTGTCGAGAAGAACACAGGCGTTGCAAATGAACTACGCATGAGTAAGTTAGAATGGCTATCTGATTGGCGGGCCACTCGCAAACAGGAGCAAAGCTCGTATGTTGTATTACAAGCTTGTCAGCAAGCTATTTAGGAGTCACGGCCACTCCCTAGAATGTTTTTGGTCATCGTCGAGTCATTAAGTACACTCGAACAAATTTCTCTCACGGCGTTGGCCCTCTAGTAATATGTTCGCAACTCAGTCGTTCGAGCGACACAGCTCGCATGTTCTTCGGTGCTCTTACAAGCTTCTGTGCGACGGACATTACATTGTCAGACGTATGACTAGTTGAGTATCTCAACAGAAGTAGCTGCTGAACCCTATGATCGTATTCCCTGCTTCTTGCAGTCATGCAGGTGAGAATGCAGCATGCAACAGTGAAGACTTTTCGCTCGCGGTTGCCTGCAAACTGTCGACTGATTGCGTAATATCTTAGCAGTAGCAGAGTCAACTGCGTTGAGTTAGGAGTTTCTTTCTAACAGAGTCAGAACCGGTGAAGCTGCTGAAAATAGTTCATCCGTCTATTGCGCATGAAAATGAACCTCTTATTCATGTGTAGTCGGAGGCGAAGGTTTGGTGTGCACGATTCTCCTATACACCAGTCTTACAGCGTCATTGAGTCCTGGTAGCGGTCTTGCGCATCAAAGGAATGCGACGAAGATCGGTCAACAGAAAAGCACAAATAACGCTCAGGACAAAGCGGTGGCCTGAGTCAGACGAGCTCATGTGGCGTGGGGCAGGAAGGATCATGCAGTTCGTGCTTACCCAAAACAGCAAGGCGGCTCTTTTAGACCGTGCTTGTGCACGGGAACCATTCGTAAGGCTGTTCACCGACATCACTCTGCTCATCGTCCTTTACCGCTGATGCCTAGACTTGTTCTTTTTTAGAAACTCTACATGATAGCTACCTTCAGTCCAAGCTTGATATTGCTGGCGCGTAGGTGGAAGGAGGTTCCTTCGCGGTAGCAGGAGATCGCAATGGCGTTCGCACAAATCCCGACGACGATGAACCCGGGGAATGTCAGCCAGGACATTCCACCATTGGTTCGGTGCCACAAGCTCTGGGTAGGTACAGTCTTGATTCTTGGAATGTCGGGAAGGCCACTGATCTTTCGAAGGATAACCAAACAGCTCGCTTTACGCCTTGTGCGCTACCATATGTCGCCACTTTCCCAGCCATCTTAGGCGCAATCGTGCTGTTGACTTATGCGTTACGAATTTTCAACGCATACAAGCCAAAATGGACGAAGCCGTTTATCACGGAAGAGAAAGAGAACTCAGACGAGCTGGGCTCCATGCTCTGGAGACAACCGCTGTCTGGAACATTCGGGCTTCTGGTAGTTTCAATGGTTGGACTCACGATGCAGCTGTTAGCCAGCTTTCTCCCCATGTTCTACTATAGCGGGATCTATCCTTCAGTTGCTTGGGTGGGAACATCTATGCCCGTTCGATGCAAGAGCTGACCAGTCCAGGTAATCGCCATCAGTGTTATTATCATGGAGCGCCCAAGGGCGGCTTCACTCTCGCTTATAACTCTGTATACGGGAATATTTCTTGAACGACTCGTCGTCCTCTCTCATGGATCACAATTGGAACCACTGTATGCGCCGGATTTCCTGGCAGCAGTAGCGGCATTGCTTGGCATGCTGATTGTCCTCAATATGCCTCTGCGCGATCCAGCTCTGCCGAGTGAGGGTATCAGTCCCGTCGATACTCCGCCGACCGTCGACTTGCGGACACCAGAAGACAATCTGACACCTTTCCAGTACATGACTGTGTCATGGATGAAACCTTTGATTAACAAAGGGAAGACCAGAGAAATGAGCGATGCAGATGTGTGGGATCTGGGATACGAATACAAGCACGAGCGACTCCACAACACCTTTCGCGTCCTTCAAGGCTCTGTAACGAAGCGGGTATTCTTTGCCAATGGCATGGATCTGCTTATTACCACGTTATTAGGGCTTCTCCAACTAGCTCTAACATTGGCAATTCCCGTACTACTACAGCAGTTACTTGCGAGCATGCAAGGTTCGAACGCTAATGGCAACGCCACCATTACATATGCTTGCATTGCGTTATTCTTCCGCTTGCTCAATGCCCAGACCCAGGTGTTCGTTATCTGGCATCAGCGAAGAGCTTATGAGCGGTCACGGGGCGAGATGATCACAATGCTTTTCGAAAAGACTCTTAACAGAAAGATCTTGGGCGCAAAGCAAAAGTCAGAAGAGGGACAGCCTAACGGGCACACCAACGGAGATCTGAATGGAGCCGTCAATGGCCACACCGATGAAGCGTCTGCCAAAGGACGCACCTGGCCAGGCCATGTTCGATGGGCTTTCCTAGGCCCACTTTTGTTCATTCGGAACCTCTTTACGAAGAAACCGGCGGAGCCAGATAAGAAAGACGACGAAGCTGCATCTATGGGGAAAATTCTGAACCTCATGCGGAATGATGTGTATGAGGTGTCTCAGCGCTTCTGGGAATTCTCCGGTACGATCCTCCCCGGTACAAAGTTATGTCTTATGTATAGACAACTTGTACACAAACCACCTTTATGACTCAGCTGACTCTGTACCTGCGAGTATAGACATCATTACGAAACCAGTAGGGGTTATCTTTGCGACACTTCTAATCTGGAGGATGCTCGGATGGGCCTGCTTGTTGGGCGTTCTAGCATTGTTTGTGACTCAATCGCTCAATGTCGTTCTTGCTCGCTACAAAGTGTACTTTGAGAAGAAGCGTAGAGTTGCTACAGATGAAAAGTTGCAGCGGATTAATCAGTTCATCGAATCGATCCGGCACTTGCGCTGGTATGGTTGGCAGGATTCGTGGTTGAATGGAATACTCGAATCGCGCCAAAAGGAACTGCACCTCCGCGTCATACTGATAATTTTCGAAACAACGTTGGCTTTCGTGGTCAAGTTCGGTGTTGGTATGTTTCCCCTGGTCGCATTCTATGCGTATACGAAGTTATCTGGTAAATCCCTCCGCGTCGACCTTATCTTCCCGGCTATCGACTTATTCAACCTTTTGGATTCTTATCTCCGCGAATTGCCCAGAATGGTTACGACATTGCTCAATGCTTATGTTGCAATGGGTCGAATTGAGTCATTCATGCAAGAACCCGACAAAGAAGAGAACGACTTGGTCCCAGAAGGCACCGCTGAATTGAGCTTCCAAAATGCCTCCTTCGCCTGGCCTGGCGTAGAGAAAAACGTATTGAGCGACATTACTCTAGCTTTTCCACGTGGTCTTACTGTCATATACGGAGAGGTGGCATCGGGCAAGACAGCTCTTCTGCAGGCCCTTCTAGGAGAGCTCGACAAGACTGCTGGCGAATTCGTACAACCGGACGAGATCATCGGATACTGTGCTCAGACGCCTTGGCTGCAAAGCATGAGCATTCGAGAGAACATCCTTTTTTCGTGTCCATACGAAGAAGGACGCTACAAGCAGGTTCTTGAAGCATGTGCACTTCTTCCCGACATGGCTGAGTTCAAATCTGGAGACCTTTCTAATATCGGTGAGAATGGAATCGGCCTTTCAGGCGGGCAGAAGGCTCGAGTAGCGCTCGCACGTGCGGTGTATAGTCCGGCGAAGGTAATTATGCTCGACGACCCACTCTCGGCGCTCGATCATCAGACTGCAGAGTTCATCGTTCGCAAACTGCTTGCCGGCCCACTCATGGCCGAACGCACTATCATCTTGGTCACGCATCGTACAGAGCTCTGCCACGGTATTGCAAAGCAGTGGGTAGAATTGAATCACGGCGAAGCTACGATCCATGAGCCTGCTCCTGAAGAAGAAAACGCGCTCAAACGCCAGGAGACCCAAGAATCAATTTCGGAAGAAGAAGCCAAGAAGCGCGAGGAAGCCCAGGCAGCCGCTGTGCCAGACAAGTTCATCGAAGATGAGCACCGTGCAACCGGAACCGTCAAGCTCCAAGTCTACTGGCGATACATCAGAGCTGGAACCTTCCTCTGGTGGTCCGTTGCGATATTCGTCATGGTTCTCTATCGTTTTGTAGATATTGGTCAAGGATGGTATGTCAAAGCGTGGGGTGAAGGATACGACCACGATCATCCGAGAGGCACGTTCAATTTTCTCCCCCCACCTGGCCAGGACGTTGTACCTTGGCTTATCGGATTCTTTGTCATCGCTTGCATCACGTCCGTGACGTTCTGGTGGGTCTACATTGTCATGTACGGCGTCGGATACCAAGCGGCGAAGACGATCTTCAAAGAGGCCATCGACAAAGTTGCGCATGCCACGTTCCGTTTCTACGATGTCACTCCGGTAGGGAGACTGATGAATCGCCTCACATCGGACATGAACACCATCGATGGACATCTGAGTTTCATCTTCACAATCGTTATATGGCAGGCCGTCGGCTTCATCAGTTCGATCGTAATTATTTTGACCGCGGCCCCAGCCTTCCTGGCTTTCGGAGTTGTTCTAAGTTCATGCTACGTATACTACTTCAGACTATTCTTGCCAACGTCCCAGACTTTACGTCGTCTCGAGGTAAGGATATCCCCATTCGTCCACTCACATTGTTAACCCTGAACAGATGGTGTCACTCTCTCCTTTGATGTCCAACTTCGGCGCCCTCGTTGAAGGCCTCACTACAGTCCGCGCCTTCTCTGCCCAGCCACGCTTTCAATCCAACGTCATCACTGTAGTCGACAACTTCCAAGCAAAAGGTAAGGATACCTCTATTAATACCTCTATTAACTATGTCCCTTTTTAACAAATGTAGATCACTTCTACTGGTCTCTGCAAGCTTGGCTCGGCCTCCGCTTCTCAACACTATCCGCCTCCTCGACCCTCGCCATGGCCATCATTGCAGTCTACACAGGCATTTCGCCCGGTCTCACCGCCTTCGTCCTCATCACCGCAAGTAAATTCGTTATCCAGACCGAACAGCTCTGCAAAATCTACGGTCAGCTTGAAATGGACTTCACCAGCGTAGAGCGCGTCGTCGAGCTGCTCGACCTCGAGACCGAAGCTCCCGGCGTCGTCAACCCGCCCGCCCACTGGCCCACTTACACCGGCGATATCGTCTTCGAGAATGTCACCATCCGGTACGCGCCAAACCTCGACCCTGCACTGCACGATATCAGCCTACGGATCCCTGCGGGCTCACACACGGCCGTCATTGGGCGCACAGGTAGCGGCAAGTCCACGCTCGCGCTCTGCCTTCTCGCCACCATCGCGCCTGAGGCGGGCCAGATCTTCATCGACGGCGTCGACATCGGTACCGTCAACAAGCAGGCGCTGCGCAACCGCGTGACGTTCCTCGCGCAAGAACCCGTCCTCTTCCCCGGCTCCATGCGCAAGAACCTCGACCCCCTCGACGAATACAGCGACGCAGCCTGCGAAGCCGTGCTCTCCAAGATTGCCGGGAACCACGACTGGAAGCTCTCGACCTCGGTCGAGGGAGGTGGGAAGGGCCTCAGCCAGGGCCAGCGCCAACTCGTTGGCCTCGCGCGCGCGATGCTGCGCCGGAGTCCTGTACTCATCATGGATGAAGCCACGGCTTCCATCGACTTTGAAACCGCACAACGCATACAGAGTGTGCTGCGGGAGGAGATGCGGGAGAGTACCGTGATTACGATCGCGCATCGGTTGGAGGCGGTGAGGAATGCGGATTATTGCGTTGTGCTGGGGAAGGGGAAGTTGGTGAAGAGTGGCAAGGCGGTGGATATGTTGAGAGAAGGGGGCGAGTTTACGGGGATGTTGGCGCAGTAAAGGGGAGGTCTTGTGGGGATGGTACTAGATTGCAAGGCGTTTGAGCGGGAAAATGTCTCTTTTCTTTTGGGTGTGAGCAGTTTAACGAACCAGTATACGTAGTCAATCATTACTTTTGATCTTCACGAGTTCATCTGGATGTGCTTGCCTAAGAAGCATTGAGATGAAGCGAGTGCTTCGCATCTATGCTCTTGTATGCTTGCTTCTACGAGGCGGACAGAAGTGTAGACTATATATGATATAAGCAAACGCGCAAGACGCCACCCGAGTAGTCTAGTCAGACAAACTCGTGTAAATGTGCCCCGTCTACACCCCGCCATATGCAAATCCAAACAAAATCCACAACGAGCGTGAAGAAGCCTTGGAACGTACTCAGCAGCACAATCAGCAGGGTCTAGCCTGTCCTAGACCAGTCCCCACAGCGGACGTGGCAGCGGTCCACACGCACCGTTCCTTCCCGTCCTCATCTTCGCATCCTTCAACCCAACATATGCCTCCCTTCTCGCCGGATCTCCCACCGTGACCGACCACGTCTTCAGCCCATAGTACACCCCGATATGATGCACCAGCCACCTCCCGAAGCTCCCACCCTGGTCCTCCTCAGCCGTCTCAAACAGCATGATCTCCCGCTTGCACGGTGCCTCGGTGGGACTCCTCAAATCGCTCATCTTCCCGTTCCTCCCCACAAACACGATCTCATCGTCCGAGCTGTCCGGATCAGCAGGCAGTCCGTCGTCCGCGGCTCTGCGCACGCTGTCCTCCCACTCGGTCACGAAGGCGCGGACCTCTGATTCCAGATCCATGAGCAGGCCCTTTGCGCCGCGCGAGCGCTTAAGCTTCTCGCGCAGCTCCTTGGGGACTACGCCGGGCGCGGTGGGCTTCTTCGCGACGGTGCGGGACGAGGCTTTTGCTTTGGCGGCGGAGGTCTTGCGCTCGGCGTGCTGGCGGGCGAGGCCGGCGTCCCAAAGGGGCGCGAGATAGTACGGGACGTTATGGACCGGGTGGGTGGGGTGAACTTCCCAGTCTTTGGGCTGCGGGGGCTCGACGTAGGGGTTGTTCAGGAGGCGGTCTGTTTGGAGAGGTCAGTCAAAGGGAACAAGTCCATAGCGGATGGCCCTGTGCGCATGTGTGTGCGATGCGCGCGCGTTCGGTAGCAGAGGACCTAGGGACGCGTACCGTTCTCCCACCGCAGCCTGCGCCGGGTGCCCTCCTTCCCCTTGAGCAAGGACTCGCGGCGCTTCAAGCTATCGCGGCGGATCGGCTCCTTGCGCTTGTAGTAGCCGCCCTCCTTCGCTGCCGCGGTAGAGGTCGGGCGCTCCCCGGGGGCAGCTGAAGTCGAGGCGTCATCGAGCGGGATCTGGAGATTGACGGTCGCGCCTAGGATGTCCCCGGGGGTGGCGATAGTGACCTGGCTGATGGCTGCGGTCGCCGTCTCCACAGTCCAAGCCTGGATGTCGATGGGCTGAGGCTCAAGAGCCGGTTCGGTGGTCAAGATGGCCATGGTGGTGAGTGGCAATGCAAGTTGCGATAAGAGTTGCGATAGCAGGAGGGGTAAGATGGCGGGGTAGGAACGAAGGACGACGGGCGCCGCAGGTACAATGAGGTCTGTCTGAAGCAAACAGGCGTTCAGAAGAGGAGCAACGCGATGCACATGTCAAGACGGCGGAGAGGGAGCACGATAGTGCTTCGCGATAGGAACCGAGCTAGCTTCGTGAGCCAATCACCGATCCAACGTGGGTGAGACGGCGCGAGTCACACTCGGTGACCGCATCAGGTGTTCTCCGCGGTCTCGGGGAAGCTGACCCGCAGCCGTGCTTGAGGAAGGACATGATTCATGTATTTGCTATCGACACCAACGCCATATTCTAACATGCCCGCAATGCCCAACCATCCTTCGTTTACGCTTTGGGTATCTACAAATGCTTCCCATCAAAAACAGTGACACTGCCTAGTCAAACTTATGTGTGGCCAGTTCGTAGGCAAGGGCTAGCGTCAACTTCGCATGCTGGAGCATGTGGTCGAAGCTGAGATATTCGATTTTGTCTGGACTTGGGTTAGCACACATGGCTATGAGCATCCCTGGTGACCTTCTTACCTTCCGTTGTGTGAATCTTGTTGTCCGAGTATTTGAAGTCCGATTCAATGACCTGGGTACAAAGTCAGCAAGATGCTTGAAAATAAGGAAATGAGGTAGGAATAGGTTGTTTGGCTTCAGGTCGGGACTAAAGTCTGATATGTTCAGACAACAATTGTAGCCGAAACAGCCACTTTGTAGTTGAGGGTTTCTTACAAAAGCGGAGGGGTATCCAGCCTTGCTGGCACTGGCATGGTCGGAACACGCGTAGCCGCACTTCGTGAGTACGTAAGGGATATTGCAATACTCTGTGATGACCTCCTTGATGAACTCAGTCAGGCCGGGGTCGACGAAGTCAGTGATCACGCCAACAGACTCAGGTTCGCCCGCGTCGATAGTCTTCTGCACGTAACCTGTCATATCCTGCTGAAGCATGGCCTTAACATCACGGCCCTCCTTTTCGTATGACTGGAAGATTGCCTGAGAGCCAAGTAGCCCTCCCTCTTCGGCGCTGTACCAATGGAACTCGACAGTGTTCGGGAAGTCTCCTTTCACGATATCCTTGGACTTGAGCAGCACGCGCAGGGCTTCGAGGATCGTGACGGTGCCGCTTCCATCGTCGTCAGCTCCGGGTGCAGCGAGGATGGACGGGAGAAACAGATTGATGCTGTCCTGGTGGGCACCAATGACAACAGTCTTGTTGCTCTTTCCCGGAATCGTGGCGATGATGGAAGACTGGCCCCAAGGGTGGGAGAAAGCCTTCACCGACGCACCGTGTTCGAAAGCTCCGCTCTTCGCAATTGTGTCGTTGACTTGCTTCAGCAGCCACGCAGAGGACTGCGCGCCATACTGGGATTTATAGTATCTCGTATGGAAGGACGTGAAGACCTCCAGGTGCTTGCGCATATTGTTCTTCTCGAGCTGCTTGAGCAGCGGAGCGACGGTGTCGTTCTGAGCGATCTTCTTAGGAAACTTGACGCTCCGTGCGCCGTAGTTGCTGTTCAAGGCGCCGAGCTCAGAGTTGTCCGTGATGTCCATGAAGTTGATGCCTTTCTGATGAGCCATTAGCGACGTTGTCCAGCTGCACCGTTGCCACGAGATAGCTATGTACTTACGCGACGCAGAGCCCACTTGTCGTCTTCTGTGACCCACTGGGTCTCTCCCGGTGCCAGCTCGATGAGGTACTTGTCCGCTTCAACGATGGGTGCCTGCTGCGAGTCACCCAGCACGACCTGCGGAGGGTAGACAGCAGCGACCAGCGCTGCGGTGCACAATGGGAGCAAAAGTGACGACTTCATGGTGGGCTGAGGGTGATTCGGGATGGATGCGCTGCTCGTGTGCGGGATGTGGGAGCTTGGAGCTGGAGCTGGAGCTGGTTGACCCAGTGATGATGACATCCGCGGGCGGCGATACCGGGCTTACGATAAGACAGGAACAGGAAGGCACTCACGCCTACGCGTTTCGAAGCCACGACTCCCGCAGGCTTCCCAACATTTTGGTGAACGGAGCCAACCAAAACTCGCCAATTCGTCTTGAGATCGCTTTAGTCGGTTTGTGATATTCGAATATGTGTACGTCTACAGTCCGCAAGGCTACTGTCTCTTTGCGCGCCCGACACGATGACAGCGATCTTTCACTTTCACAGCACGACATGAGATATTGAATCAAGGTGGTGCAGCTACCCCACAGCAGAGGCTCATCGAGCACAAGGTTCCACCAAAGACTGCACAGATGCTTCATCTAGATTGCGAAAGCTTACGGGAGCAACTCGCGCTCTATCCTGGCTGTCAACCTGGCTTTGTGATATTCCGCTATACATACAAGGATGATTCGCAGTGGGTGCGTTTTATAGATCATCTCAATAGACGCACGCGTTGGATACTCGATTACACTGGTAACGGTGGTTTCTTCCAGCACGTTGAACTAGAACGTCCATGAGGACCCTGGGCTTGAAGTCGCTACTACTTCGAAAGTGCGCGAATAAATGATTCCTGACGAGGTCCAAATCCTCCGGGCGCTCTTGTGTTTATGCTGCACTTGGACAATTTCAGCAATGGCTCCGGACAGATGCCGCGCAATCATTTCGGGGAGATGCTCAAACGGCGGCTTGCATAGCTGTCAAGCAATTCCGAGATGAGACTGCCTGATGTTGACTAAGAGATTAGTCCTCGTAGCAATGTTCTAGCCACCCATGTCCAGCCGCGGCGACTTGGTCGCAATGGTTAGCCAGAATATAGACTCTAGGCTGAGCGTTTTCTAGCATCTATCTTAGAGAGCCGAGTTACTTGGCCATGTAGCTCTAATGTTCACCCCTCAAAAAGGGACACAGATTGGAGAAGTCATGTGCTCGTTTGATCGGTGAAATCACAAATCTAAACTTTCACAGTTCCTTCTTCCTTCCACAAACTAAAAGAACTCTAGCACGATTAGCGCATCCAGCGTTTTGGAAATTCATTTGAAAGCAGTTTGAAATTAGGACATTAGACCATGCTTTCGTACGGCTGATGGTGCGAATTTGCCGGGTTTTGGAGCAGTAGAAGCGGGAAATGTTGGTAACCCGATAAAAGTCGTACGAAATTATCCCATACTAGGCCATTGGTTCCCATTTTCGGGCCAGTCTGAAGCAGTCATGGTGTCCGCCTATGGGACTAGAATTGCCTCCTTTGTCCGCTTGCATCTGCAAGATTGTGTTCACCTTTTCTCACGGTGTTTGAGGTCGTCGGAGTTCTCGCCGACCTGCAGTTGCAGAAAAGAATCATTGACGGCGTCGATGTCCTCAGAAGCTTCTCCAAGTGTGAACAAGAGTCCCTTGATAAATTTATATGAAGACACTCACAAGTAGGTGAAGTCATGACAGTTGTGTAGGTGATATCGGTGCATGTTCATGATGATGTGTGTTCAGAGATGTGTTTCGAAAAATTACACTTTAGCAGCGTAGATAAACTACAGCTAAACATTCATGTAGTCAAGCAAGCAAAATGGAATGACGGCTTGTTAATCGGAAATAGAAAAGGGTTCCGCCACGTAGCGCTTGAGAACGGTACTACATGACTTACAAAAGCTACCCACGGCTGGCCAAAATGCCCTAAATTAACGATTCAAAAGCTGCGTCCGCCGTTAGTCCAACCATAGAGTTCATGGTGCAAACTTACATGCGCAGTATCAGATTAGCTACGCTAACCTTGGTTCCGCCTTCTCTGACCCAAGGTAGCGTGTCTCTGCTGAATGTAAAGTGCCTGAGCGAGCTAACCGTATCCTATGATGCATGCAGTAATTTGTGGCGTAATCTTCGTGCCCTCAAAAGTAGTTGTTATGGACATGTGCGCAAGGGCTAGTGTACGTCATAAGTCTCTGACATGTGACGGAACGCCCGCATCTCCGGAAGGCTCGGAGCTTCGTTGAACTGCGTGATGATAATGATGAACCCGATATATTGGAAGAGATTCATGGTCGCCTGGCGCAGGTGGTAAACTTCGCATCAACAGCGCAATCCCTACCAGAATTACCAAACTTAGAGTGGGACAACTGTCTGAAGCGAATTGCGTTCAGTGATCATGAACAGAGTACTTGCTCCTGCTATACCAAATCCTTGCTGTAGCGTATTGCTAAGATCAGCAGGATGAAACAGAGATGGAAAGCCTCCCGATTGATGCAGAAGATCCGATAGCTATCGATATGGATGGAGACGTGATCCTCGCATGTCAAAATCGAGACGACCATGTCACAAGAGCCTTCCGTGTCTCGAGTAAGGTCCTTCGGCTTGCATCTCCAGTCTTTGCTGGAATGTTCAGACCTCAGTTTGAAGAAGGAAATCTATTACTGCAAAAAGAGTGTCCTGTGGTTGAGCTCAAAGAAGACGATGCTTCAATTATGAGCGTCATACTTGAGATTCTTCACTTCCGTTGCGATATCGAGGACGATAACACAGACTCGGAAACGCTGGCTCGCCTAGCGATTCACTGCGACAAGTACGATCTGTCTAAGTCTCTGGGCCCATGGGTAGCCTTCTGGTTCGGAAAGGCCAAGAGTGTGGTCACGTCGACGAATGATCTGGGACGTCAGCTCCTGGCGGCGTATACTTTCAATGTTTCCAAAGAGTTTAAAGCAATATCCGAGACGGCTTTGAAAACGGTCTCTCCTGGATTCGAAGACGATTGGGAAACCCAGGAGCTATTGGCCTCGCTGCCTGTCAATATAAAAGGTTGGATGACACCAATGCGCATATGTCATAGTAGTGACTGACGCACAGCTAGATGCAATGTCACTCCGAATCAAGCGAACACTGGATGTTCTTGAAACAGAAGTTCAGAAAGTCGAGGCGACGTTGCGCCTATCCTTGAGGAGCTACGAGACGTCACAACGCACGTGTACTGTATGCGGGAGAACGCATCCTGAACAGGCGAAAAGATGTCACAGGTGTAAATCGTCAGACCTTCCTCTGAATTACTGCGGAAGAGACACCAGAATCGCAGAGTATTTTGCGATTCTGCGAAAAGCGGAGCTATGGCCTACTCTGCAGCCCTTTGGAAATTGTTCCATCTCGGATATCATGTTTCGAATACTTTGCGCACAAACAGATGTCAATCATGCCTGCTCAGCTGGTCAATCTTGTCCCTTATTTGTGAATCTTGCTAAACTCACAGACAAGGCGAGGCGCGTAGAGAAGAAAATTCGCGGCTTCTGCTTGCTCTGTATCCGAGAAGACTATGAATGGGACGAGAGTAAGAGATGTACGCATTTATATGATTAAGACTCCTAGCTCGTGCAGTACATGATTTCCCTACGCATGAAATCTCGCATGGAATGCCCCTATAGAGTATTAATCGCAATTCCGCCCTACCCTCATTCCAGTTTCTCGGTCGCTGATTGGCTCGGCGGCTCTCGAGCTGGTCCTGCCGGAGCTGTAAAAGAGAGGAAGCGCAGAGCGCCAGGCAATGGCAGCAGAGTTGCACGAGGTGGACTTCATACGCGCGCATGCCAATGAGGCTACAGAGTCCTCTGTTTCTGTATATACCCTCTCTTCTATTCAAGAGCTCCAGATCTACTCTGCGTCTCAATCGAGACTTCCGCTCCTGCACATGCTACACACACTTTCTAAGTAACACCACATATCCATCTCCACCCCACTACTACTTATCTGTCTCCATCCAGACAGCCACATCTACCATTACAAATCCTCCGACCACCAAAACCGTCAAACCGTCAAACCTCTGTCTCATCGACCACACCACGGACCTCCGACATCTGAAACATCGGACTCCGCGACCTCGCTGATGCCATGCAGCACAGGCGAATTATTATGCCCGAACATACAAGGCTACTAAATAAGCTTTTCGCGTGACCGGGTTCTTGGGACGGGGATGGTTTATCAGTGGAGATGTGAGGGAGGGGACGTGTCACGTATGAGGGGAACGGCAAGGGTACGGTGAGTGCTTTTTTCTTGTGGAGACTCTTCGTGGGAGTGGAAGCTCCCTTGTTGGCGGTATGTGAATGAGTGTCCTAAGAGATTGAAGTGAACTTTGTACATATGTATGTAACCTGTTGTATCGAATGGGCGGTCTTGGCTGATCAGAAGGTTATCTGCTTCATCAACGATGATATGGTTAAGCTGTACCCGTCAGAGACCAGCGGAAGATATGGACAATGTACAATGTGCACCTATCAAAACGAACCGGCCCGTGATGTGAGTCATCGAGGAGCTTGCCCGTTATATGTGCTGTGGCGTACAGATGCCTGTATGCCTGATTTTCCCCGTGTTGTAGGGTGAACAAGACTGCCTATGATGCTGGATGGTACGTAGTCACGTCTACCAGGACTGTGTTGAGTTAGTGCGATGTAATGTTGAACGCGGATAGTTCAGTGGAGGCAAAGGACTGCGGAATATGTCTAAGCCAATAGGAGAAGCAACGTATGTAGATGAGACGAGTCCATTAAATCGCTTCTGTGAATGGCGGCCTTAGACAAACAACTCTTTGCAGTCCTATCAGGCCTCAACGACATTCTAGACATCTAGGTGACAGGTCATGTCGTATCTCGCATGTTCAACAAACAATGAAGAGCAAGAACTCTCACACCCACTCGCGCGAAAGCACCCAACCAACCGCACGGACGTCGGACCGCTCAACATTGCACCTGTCGTATGTCTGCTCCGCATTGCATACGAAGGACGTACTGCAGTCGCCCGCGCGTGCGTCCGTGGACCCAACGTCACGTTCATCGACACTCGGATAGCGATGCCTTGCGCCTCAGATACCTCGATCTCCCACTATCCTTCCCACCCGCACGTGCAGCCAAAGTATTTCCTGTGTACCGTCTACAGTAAGCAGTGAGCACCGCCTGAACCGTCGCTAGCTAACTGCGCCGCTAACGGTACCTACATGCGCGTCTTACCTCCTCACTCACCGTGGCGTCGGGCACATGCACGCAACGCGCTCGCAGCAGGCGCGCAAAAAGCAGCACTGGATTCCCCAAGACCCGAGATGCCTATTCCCAAGCCACGAATTGGTGTAAGAGGCACAGCGCGTTCCCACTTCGCTCGCACAGAGCGTGGGCGCGACGAGAGCGGCATAGCGAGGGGGGCTACGCCTCAGATTTCGATAATTGCGCTGCCCAAATGGGAGACCCCTATCTGCATTCGTCGACCAACAGACAAGACGCTTATGCGATGTTTATCCAAGATGAGAACGCGATTCAACAAGACGAGAGCGCTCATTTTGCGTTTATTGTGGTGAACTGTAGTCGTGGTTGCGTTTGTGATTGTGTCATCGGGATTGCACACACTGATGCTCACATCCAGACCCGCTAGCGCGGTAATACCCGCTCACGTCATCTTCGAGGTAGGTTCCTTGGTTGAGCTCGGGATGCTAAGACTAAAGTCGCGTGGGCTGCATGCGAAAAACTGGTGCGCTGCGCTGCGAAAGCGGCAAGCGGGGGCCATGCAGGCACTGCGCGCCGGCGCGGCTGAGCATGGGCGGCTAATGCCAAGGGAACCAAATATACATCTGTGGTGGATGCGCTAGACGCGGTGGGTATCGCTGGCGTGTTGGGGCAGATGTAGACGTGCAAAGGAATGGGGATTGATGGCGGTGCAGATTTGCGCAATGTGTTGTACAGTCGATGTCGGACTGAAAAGATGGTGGGCTAGTCCCCGGCTGGGCACGGAAAAGCACATCGGTGTTCTAGAAGTGTAGTGGGTCGTTGGTGCGATTTGCTCATTTCGGAGAAGTTGCCATTGGACACTCAAGAACTGTCCTGAGTAGATTTTGACGGCGCGCATACATGCGCATTGTGGATCTGCGATGCGAACCATCTGGAACACAATGAACAACTGGCTGGATCCTGTTGCCGCCTTTGCGTTGGTAAAGAGAAGTCATGCCATGAGTGCATACTACATGTCGCAAGAAGCCTCCAGAAAGGTGGATCCGATCGTCTGAACGCGCAAGCTTCACCCCACAACCCCATGTTCAAGTGAGGATCACGTTCTGGATTTGCTGGAGCAGCATGGTCCGCTAAAGTGGGCTTTGACATCAGCGAGCTCATGCGGCCGTTGATCGCTGGTGGGCCACGAGCTGCGGACCCTGAGGGTGAGGCACGAAATGTCTCGTAGAGTTGGGCTAGTAGTGCGCTGTTGTTAATGCGTTCGAATGAAACGAAACAGAATATAGATCGCGTAGAGGCACCGAGCCCAATGGTCCAGCTGGGAATGCAGGTTGCATGACCAATAGGTAGGGCAGATATATGACCTAAAGAGGAGGCCATACCACCTCGAAACCAGACTGAAGACGTCAAGTGCCGGTCGGTAGCAAGGAGACTGTGTGTAATAGATTGACATGTTTCGAAACGTTCATGCGCCATGAAAGTTTTGTTTCGACAGTAGACGACATGCCATGCTGAGCTCAGTCGAGAAGACAAGAGTATGAAATGATCACTTGAGTGGAAGAGCGGTCCAGGAAGATGTTCCCGAAAATCGCTGTTCGAGATTGTCGATTTGGTTTGTTGCATCCTGGCTGACTCACATCCAACACAGGTAACGATTCCTGTTGTTGCTGTTGTCATGCTGAGTAGACTGTCCGTCAACTCAATTCTCAGCAAAGTCCGCTGACCCACGGAGCTGGCGAACACCGACATGCCGCGAATATACGGATCTTGGTACGGTGTTGTGTGGTTCGACGAGTGACCGGCATAAGCTAATAGCATGGGGAGCCGACGAGCTGCGAACGGTCCACGACAAAGAAACTGCTGCATTATGTCATGAGCCTATTTACACAACTTCTAGAAACTGGCAGATGAAAACGTTCTGCTGATAGAGATGGCAAGAGTATTATTTGAAAACTTTGAAACTGGAAGATAACAGACAGATCAAAGTCAATTTCAATGCGGCTAGCCGAGCGCATAGCGTACCAAGGGTGCTGTTTGGTTCTCAGGTACAGTGGCTGAAGCTAGATTCAACTTCATGAAGCTTGTGATACCTGCCAAGGTACAGTCGTTGCTGAGCTGATTAACAAAGACTGTGTATCGCGGCAACGACAGATGTGGCGCAGGTGGGCAGTAAGATCAATCTGAAACGAGCATCCGTCGAATGAAGGAGAGACTGGCAAGCCCGCGCGAGGCTTGAGCTCATCATGTGTCACCACTTGTGGCTTCGTTCGCCTTGCTATCGAAAGCCCACAGTAAAACGATAGGACATGGACAGGAAAATAGATTGTGAAACGGAGCCGGTGTTGATAGTAGTCAGCACAGGAAATGAACGAGGTGGAGCCCAGCAGCCGCAGACTTTAGCAATCGATCCCAAGTACCTGCCACAAGGTGGGCTCAAACGGGCGTTCGTGGTCGCACAGGCGAAAGAGCGCCCAGTACGGCAAAGGCTGGTTTCAGGTGACGGGTAGTTGTGGTGTTCGTTGCCCTGGCTCTCGCGGAAGCTAGGATACAAAACAATAGAGTGTGAAGTGGTGAGTTCGCGGCGCAGAGCATGACAGAAGAATCGATATATCGAAGGACGACTCAGTCGAGCCTGTCGGTACATGGCGTTGCTGGCAGCGAGTTGGTCGAATTCCGGCAGAAGTCACAGGTGCCGCTTCGGCGAGGCATGGGTTGGCTGCAGGTCGATATCGCCATGCCAGCCGGGAGGAGAAGCGTGGGCTGTCGCCCCGCGTGCTCTGTCCTGCGGCCACTTGCAGCCGGTGCACGAATTGCGCGGCGGCTGAAGGACGCAGGTCAATTAAAGATTAGATGGAGGTGCAGTGTCGGTCGCGGATGGCAAGCAGCCGTCGCGGCAAGCAGCGGAGGGTGCCAGGTGGGAGCACGAGGAAGCGTGGCGCCTTCCCGAAATGAAATGAGGCAGGGGCGACCGGCGTCGCGATGGGCGCTGGTGCTGGCTGGCAGCACCCACGGGGCGTGCGGTCCCAACTCGCACGGCTCTGCGCGACAGGAGACGCACCACAGCAGTGCTGGCGGCATCCTGGCAGCGAGCAGGCCGTGGCGCGCGCAGCGTGCGGCAGAGGCAATGCTGAGAATTGCGGCCAGCGAGGATCGATATTGGCTCGGCGATGGGACCCTTGCAGTGCTGTTTGGAGCACAGACAGCCCACAGCCTGCTCCCGCGAAACACGCTGGCGGCGCACACTGCGACCAGGTGTGCACTGTGGAAATCACCTGTGCCCGCACGGAGTACAGGACGGGTGCGCGCCCATACTTACACGGCCCTGTGTCCGCTGCCTGCCCGTCGCCGCACGTCGAGACGGCTGCAGCACACTCAGAAGCAGTCGCCATCTCTTTGTTGTGCCCGCAGCCTTGACTCCCGCCCAAGCGCCGCAGCTCTATTTTTGCGCTATCGAAAAGCGGCGCCCCGAATTTCCCGTTCAGCGAGCGTGGCCCGGCCTAGGGCGCCCGTTTGGCACGACTCCGCAAGGCACGGCTGCTAGCGACTCGCTGTTCTGGCGGCCCCCCTGCTCAAGCTCATTTGGCGAAACTCTGTCCGCGAGGCCTGGGCGCGCTGCTCGCCGTTGTGCTAGGCTCTCACGCTCCTCTCCCTTCCTTACCACCGCCTTGCCGACCCACCACCTCTCCTCACCTCTCGACAATCCTCGACCGGACCGCATAACAGCACTTGTCGCCGTGCTGTGTGCTCGTCTTCCGCCGTCGCAGCCCCCCTCCCCCCTCGACATCGCCTCGCCCTCTCCTTACGAACCGCTCCCCACGACCGCCCTCGGGCTCACACTCTCTTCGAAGCGCTGCAATTCCGTTTCTTCGTGCTCTCGCCCTCCAGTCCTCCGCCGCTCATTCATCGCAAACTGTGCCCTGCCAGCCCCATATCGGACGCATCGCATAGGCTCGCAACCCGTCAATCAGGAACAACCCGCGAATCGACCCCTTCATTGTGCGCGACGATACCCAGACCAAGCCACCTCCACCTACGGAATAACTCACTGTGTAGAGGCCTTTGTTCCGGCTCCATTGCGCATTGACAGCCCGACGTGTGTCAGCCCCTTGTTGCGATCACACTGTAGTAGACCACTGCCGTTGCACTGGCAGTAGTCCTCGCGAAACCAGGAACTGCTCGTCCAACCATGACGGCATAGCCGACTCGACGACTGTCTTACTCGCGTCGACGCGGCATCTGCACTGCTCAAAATTCGTCCGTCTTTCTAGCTGTCTTGCCAGCTCAGTGAGTTTTCCTAAGTGCATAGCTGCAGTAAAGGCGCAGTTTTCTAACCTGCACGCAGGTCCACTCATTACAGTTATACCCTTGATTCGTCAAGTCCACTCGTTTGAATAACGCTCTACAGTATGTTTGCCCATGCATTGCTGAAGCTTGTCTAATGCGAACAGAGTTGGTTCTGAACATTAGTTTCAACACCCTTCGGAGATATACATATTAGGCCTTAGTGATTGAAGATAATAATAAAAATGCCGCGCTCCGCGACAACATGGGCCCTTGGCCTGCTCGTTTCGAGCATGGCTGGTCCGATGGTGGCCACAGCCGATGCCTTACCAGCGGGCCCGCAGCAGACGAACATGCGCCCACGATACTACTTCCCACGGCATGTCAAGCGACAGTTTGCGAACACGACCGCACCAGCAACACCAGAACAAACTTCTGATCTGGTTTTGTCGCCAAGCTCGACACCTGACCCATCGGGCGACCAGTCTTCGGACATTTCGAACATCTTCGAATCGCTGTGGCATCTGCGTCCTTCGTCTGCGAGAAGCGTAGAGACCGTAGTGGTCTCGCCTTCACCAATCACTAGCCCGGGAGATTCTGCATCTGATCCGGCCCTGACCACACCTGAAGTCGGGTCGACGCAACCTGTACCGTCCGATCCCGTTCTTCCCACCTCATCTTCCGCCTCGTCAGCAGCAGCAGCAGTGTCAAGCCAAGCACCACCATCTGTATCCAGCGTCGCCTCTAGCGGCGGGATCCCCGTACCCGTTCTTACGCCAACTCCTTCGCCTTCACCGAGCCCGATCGAGCCTTCAAGCTCTCCTGTGGTGGCTCCTACGCCATCTGTAACGGAGATTGTTGCTCCTACGGGCGCTATTCCCTCATCTATCGTCCCGGCATCGAGTTCCGCAGCTCCCGTTGAAAGCGATCCCGTAAAGCCCAGCGTTGCGCCAACCGGTGTACTCCCGTCATCAATTGTCAAGCCTACGTCTTCAGCCACTCCTGTGGTAAACGAGCCTATTCAGTCCAGCGTTGCCTCCTCTGGTGGTGTTCCGTCATCGGAGCCCTTACCTACCACTTCGGCCGGCAGCATCCCTGCTCAGTCCAGCGTTGGTTCGACGGACGGAGTGCCCTCATCTATTGTGACACCCACCGCTCCTGTTGATTCGGTCGCCCCAACTGGATCACTGCCCGCTTCTCCGGTCCAGCCTTCGTCTGTTATCTCTCCGCAGGAGCCCAGCTCAGCGACACCGACTACTATCTTGGGACCGTTCATCATTCCAGGCTCAACCAGTGCAATTCCATCTTCGGAGCCACAGTCGACACAGTCGCTACAGTCGCCCACTGTACCCTCCAGCCTAGGTGGTCTTTTTGGCTCGACTGGCCTTCTGCCGACTGGGATCCTGCCGACTAGTATTTTGCCTACTGGTCTCCTGCCTTCGGACAGCGCTACGCCCAGTCTCACAGGAGAATCCCCTTTGCCGACTGGCGTTTCGCCGTCAGGTACCTTGACTAGCCTTACTGGTGATTCCCCTGTCCCTACCGGAGCTTCACCCTCCAACAACTTCCTGTCCAGCATCCTGTCCAGCCTCACTGGAGAGCTTGCTTCCCCGACTGGAGTTTTGCCGATCACTTCGGAATCGAGCGTGGATGAGATTCCTTCAGCGACTGGTACTGGCTCTGGTATTCCCAGCAGCATTGTGCTCCCTTCCAGCGACGTCAGCTTCTCTTCTGAGATTCCGCTGTCTTCGCCAACAAGCGGTATTGTTGTCGGAATCACCACTGCATTTGGTACTGGTGCCACAAGCGCGACCGCGACGCCCACGATCACCAGCTCTGGTGCGATACCCACTTCAGAGACTCCCAGCGAGACAGAACTTCTTCCTGGTGTTTCATCGCTGCTTTCATCGGTTGTGGGTGACGTATCATCTGTCCTCTCCTCGGTTGTATCTGACGTGACCTCAATCCTAAACCCGACTGAGCCAACTTCAACTGTTGCACTCCCCACAACAGTTTCTGGAGTCAGCGACTCAACCATTGGCCCCACTGCTCCTACTGCCACGGCCATCACTACGTCCGCGCCCGCCAGCGAGCCGACGCTCTTGCCCAGCGAGACTCTTTCTCTACCAGACCTTTCCAGTGTCATTTCCAGCATCATCTCGGACGTCTCTAGCGTTCTTTCGCTGCCCACCGACACATCTGTCCTTCCAACCGCTCTCCCAACCGACACTGGCATCCTCACGTCTTTGCCCACTGCGTCGACAGACACCATTATCTCCATTCCCACTTCCGAGGTTTCTCCCACCATCTCTACGGCAGTACCAACGTCTATCCCGACGACTGCTGGTATCACTGGACCTGGCACCGGCGTCGAGTCTTCCACCTCAGCACCTACCGCTACTGATGCGACCACGTCTTCAGTACCTATTCCGACAGGTGTCACCACCTCGTCCGTAGGAACTGGCGCCACTGGTGCAACGAGCAGCCCGTCGCCAACGAGCGAACCCTCGATCCCCACGTCGGAGGCACCGACCACGAGCGTTACGGAATCATCTATCCCGTCTACCTCCCAGACGCCGGAGACCACACCATTCACCAGTTCCGCCACAGAGACTAGCGCCCCAGCTATTACCCAGCCTCCCACGAAGACGACGCAACCTCCCCAATCTCTGGTGCCAATCACCAGCGACAGTGCTACAACTCTGGTAGTACCGTCCAGCATCGTCTTTGCGCCCTCCACGTTCAGCACTGCGTCACAAAGCGCGATGCCGAGCGGCGTCGCTCCTTGGATTCAGCCTCCTCAAGGCATGCCTTCCGAGGTACCTCAGAACATGTTTATGGGCCAGATCGCTTTCGACTATGGTCTAAACTACGACTTTGTGGCATCAAGCGGCAGCAGCAACCAAATCTTCACGTACTTGAGGCCTGCTATCGCTCAAGCCATTGGTGTTAAGGAGGATGATGTTATCAACTACGGTCTCAGAGCCGCCGACACCACCCAATATAAGGGCTGGGTCACGACTCTTGCTGTCTTTATGATTCCCAAGGACAAGAACACCACTTTGGAGGTGCAGCTCGGACAGCCTGCATCCCTCTTTTACCACAATGTTGATGAGAACGGTCAGCCTCGCGCCACCGTTAACGAATTGACGTCTCTCGTGGATCCCACCTGGCCTTTGGTGTATGGCAGCTTCCCCGCTGGCACGAGCAACCCTCTCACCAATCAGAATAATGCATCCCCAGGTGCTACTGACGACAGTGGCCACGGTGGTGCGCTTCCAGGTGACACTACCGGCAGCCGCAAGATCAACCCCACGAGCGCTGGGATTGCCACTGGTGCTGTGCTCGCTGCTGTTGCCTATGGTGCTGCCATGTTTTTCGTTGCACGCCGATACAGGAACAAGAAGGCAGCTCATCGTCGATCCAGTTCTGTCCCAAGCACAAGCCGCTATACTTACGGCTCCGTGGGCGGCGGGAACTGGATGTCAGGCGCTCGCAACGGAAGATTGACTCCCACCGTTCCCGGAAGTCGAGGCAGCCGAGGCAGCGACAGCAGCAACGGTCGCAGCGTACGGACACAGCAGATCTCAGCACCCGTCATGGCAGAGAACTCGCTTGGCTGGAACTGATCCCGTATATGCGCAATCGACGCCTACATGAGTTCACGCGCTATTGTATCATATTCGGACGGAGAGGCCATGGCTTTACCTGCCAACATGAGTGGGTCACTTGGACCCTCGTGTAATTATCTCGCGGCCATCCCACTGGCGCAGCTCGGATTAAGCTAGTCTAAGCTGACACCGACCCGCCCGGGACGTCGTCCGCATCTTTCAAGTTCGGACACTCTCACTAAGAACCTTACTATTCATATCTCTTTTATTACCTGACAGATCTCGGATCTTTTTCTTACGCCGTAGTTTTTCCGTTCTTAGATACCTGTCTATGCTGGCAAGCTAGACATTTGCTTTTGCTTTCGAGGGGAGATATTGTTGGAAACGTTTGTGGGATCTAGCTGTTGTGAAGCATTTGTAGCATCTGCATTCAGGAGGGCCATGGAGTAGGCAGAGCAGCCTGTGGGGATGTTGCACGTAAATATTTGACGCATGTAGGGGATAACAGAACGAGAATGAAAAGTTAAAACCGAATCTGTCTGCAACATAGCTTTGATACATCTCTGTTCCGTGATAGCTGCGTCCTGTGTGGTCTTCGGTGGTAAACGACGACGCGGCGTGATTCAGTTGAATTCATGCACCAGCTGGGCTATGCTGCATAAACAGCGTAGATTGGAAGCTACATATTGGACACCTCCAAATATGTCGCGTGTCGAGCAGCGTTCTTGTCTACTGGAGGATTCTGTGCAAGTTGATGTTTGGCCTTAGCGGTCTAAGTCAAGGCTGCCCTTGGGGAAGGATCCACCTGCTCCCTCGAAGTCTTGGCGGGCAACACCGATCCCACATGTCCTCTGGCCTAAGCAACGAAGCCGCAACTTGTCCATAGCTCCGCACCCAACGACTCTCCTCTCTTTTGCGGCCAATCTCTACTACACAGGGCGCGCAATTCTTTAGCTGGTCTCTAGGCACCGAAATTTCGCGCGCCGGCGGGCTTTAAGTAGCCACGTCTTTCTAATTCCACCCCTCCGCTTAACACCCACCTCAGGCTCTCGCGATGCGTCTAGACGTCAAGGTATGGCACGCTGCTAGGGTTTATGCAGTATGGATAGGCCCGCATGCTAATACTTTCGGCAATACAGAGGCAGCTGTTTGCGCGGTCAGAGAGAGTCAAAGGTGAGCTTGCGCATGCTCTCTGGGACCAACATTAAGCTAACACGCCATAGGAATTGGTAAAACCCACCCAAACCAACTACGATCTAAATACTAAATGTCTCGAAGACTTTCATCCGACCGAGCCATGGATCCTCACCACACTATACAGCGGTATGCACGGACAAGAGGTCTCCAGGAGCATTGCGCATACTGACGCAGACCAGGACACGTTCACATATGGTCCTATGTCTCGCAATCCATCGTCAAGACATTCGAGCTCTGCGATGTGCCTGTCCGAGCAGGTCGTTTCATCGCTCGAAAGAATTGGATAGTTGCAGGTGTGCAGCCCCCAGGTGATGCGAAGGCACATATGCTGACGGTGCCCTCCAGGCTCGGATGACTTCAGGCTTCGCGTCTACAACTACAACACCTCTGAGAAGGTCACCGAATTCGAAGCACACCCCGATTACATTCGTGCGATCGCTGTGCACCCTACACAGCCCTTTGTTCTCACCGCGAGCGTAGGTAACTAGAGTGGACTAGACTGTGGGCAACGCTGATAAAGTGGCAGGATGATATGACAATCAAGCTGTGGGACTGGGACAAGTCATGGAAATGTGCGTCCACTGATACAGCGGCCAGCTGCAGCGCTAACCTCTTGCAGGTGTACAGGTATTCGAAGGCCACGGACACTATGTCATGGGTATTGCGATCAATCCCAAGGATCCCAACACTTTCGCCTCAGCTTGCTTGGACAGAACCGTCAAGATATGGTCTCTAGGCAGCTCTACGCCTAACTTCACGCTCGAAGCCCACGAGGCCAAGGGTGTGAACTTTATTGACTATTACCCGCAATCGGACAAGCCATACCTTCTTACCACGTCGGATGACCGAACCGTAAAAGTTTGGGACTACACAACGAAGGCTCTCATTGCCACTCTGGAGGGTCATACTTCAAACGTCAGTTTCGCAGTCTACCACCCCGAACTTCCAGTGATTATTTCCGGATCTGAAGATGGTACAATCAAGATTTGGCATTCGTCAACATACCGACTAGAGCAATCGTTGAATTATGGGCTAGAGCGCGCTTGGTGTGTAGCATACCAAAAGGGCAAGAATGGCGTGGCACTGGGTTTCGATGATGGTGCGGTGGTTATTTCCATGGGTCGAGAGGAGCCAGCGGTCAGCATGGATGCCGGAGGAAAACTTCTCTGGGCAAGACACAACGAAATCCTCACAGCTGTGATCAAAGGGAACGAAACCCTGAAGGACTCTGAACGACTTACCCTGCCGAACAAAGACCTTGGTTCAACCGAGATATATCCCCAGTCGCTACTGCATTCGCCAAACGGACGTTTCGTCGCTGTTTGCGGTGATGGGGAATACATCATCTACACTGCATTGGCCCTCCGAAACCAAGCGTTTGGTTCAGCACTGGATTTCGTGTGGGCTTCCAAGGAACATGACAAGGATTACGCTATCCGAGAGTCGTCTACCAGTGTTAAGATCTTCCGCAACTTCAAGGAGCGAAGCGTGCTTAATGTGGGCTTTTCTGCCGACGGGCTGAGTGGCGGTGTGCTACTCGGCGTCAAGGGACAAGGTGGCATCGGCTTCTTCGACTGGGATAGTGGCGCTCTTGTACGCAGGATAGAGGTCGAGCCAAAGAGCGTCTACTGGTCGGAGAGCGGCGAGCTGGTCACTTTGGCCACCGACGACACATTCTACGTTCTGCGATACTCGCGTGAGAACTACTTAGAGGCGGTGCAGAGCGGTGAGGTCGACGAGGATGGTGCGGAGTCGGCTTTCGAGGTCGTGTGCGACATCAATGAGAGGTATGCATTGACTGGTACTGGAATTTCGAATACTTGGCTAACCAGACTAGCGTTCGGACTGGTACATGGGTGGGTGACTGCTTCATCTACACCAACAGCACAAACCGGTTGAACTACCTTGTGGGTGACCAAACCTATACCATTTCACACTTCGATGCGCCACACTACGTACTTGGATACCTCCCCCGAGACTCAAGGATATACATTGCCGACAAAGACGTCAACGTGGTCTCTTTTGCGCTCTCCCTCGCTGTTGTCGAATATCAAACTCTCGTGCTGCGTGGAGACTTGGAGGCCGCCGAGGAAGTCCTTCCCTCTGTACCAAAGGACCAGAACAACAAAATCGCAAGGTTCCTGGAAGGTCAGGGCTACAAGGAGCTCGCACTGACAGTCGCCACAGACGCAGAACACCGCTTCGATCTGGCTCTGTCACTAGGAGACCTTCAGCAGGCCGTTACCATCGCTCGGGAGCAAGATACCGAGCACAAGTGGAAGACAGTCGGAGATGCTGCTCTGAGCGCTTGGGATGTAACCTTGGCGCAAGAGTGCTTCGTGAAGGCGAAGGATCTCGGTTCATTGCTTCTGGTCTACTCCGCTACCTCGGACGCTGACGGTCTGCGCGAGCTCGCCTCCCTCGCTGAGGCAGCAACTGCCAACAACGTAGCATTCTCGGCGCTGTGGCAGGTGGGCGATGTGCAGGGTTGTATCGACCTGCTCGTCAAGACCAATCGCCTCGCCGAAGCTGTTCTCTTCGCACAGACGTACAAGCCCAGCGCCGCTGCTGGACTCGTCAAGGAGTGGAAGAACAGCCTGGAGAAGGAGGGTAAGACCAAGGTCGGTCGCTTGCTTGGGCAGCCGCCCATCGAGGGCGAGGGCGATGAGGAAATGTTCCCTGAGTGGGAAGAGTACTTAAGGCTGGAGAAGGAGGGCGGCACTGTCGAGGACCTCGCAGTGGGTGAGGCGGAGGTGGAGGAGGATGCGGATGGTGTCGAAGAGGAGATTGCAGAGGAGGCAGAAGACGAGGAGGAGGAAGAAGAGGATGAGGAGTAGGGCCCCCACTTCAACCATACACTAGCGGATACGGCCATGACGCCCACGGAAGGTGATCAGGAATGGGAAACCCAAATGAGAGAGTTGTCAACGTTGTTCAGGAACTGGAGGGTCTACATGGCTGATGGTCCTGCACGTCATGCTCCGTGATGATGCGAGTGGGCAGATGAGCGAAAATGATTCCACTTGTTCTAGAATAGCGAGTTATTATCATGTGCTTGGTACGCAGTCGCATGAGCTTCTAATGGTTCGCCCCCTTTCTAAAGACGTAACGCCGATCGGTATTCCCAATCCAGGTCCCCAAAGCAGAGAGCAACCAAGAGCCGTCGTTGGTCAAAACACCCCGCCTGTATATACGGCCGGTGAGCAGAGTCCCAGCCACCGCTCCCTCGAAATCTGTACAGTGCAATCAAGAAGCGCAAAACACCACGCGCCTGCGTGCCCGGTGCACCCCGACGCTGCTGCGACTCTACCGCACCCGAGCACCTTCGGCGTCGTGGTAGGCGCTGTCCCGGAACTTGTCCTCGCCGCTCTCCGTGCTGGAGCTGCTCGTCGTGTCGCTCTCTTCAGTCGTGTGTATCCGCCGCCCGCCGCCCTCCTTCACATTGACGACCTCGTCCGCGACGTCGTCCAGCTCGGGGCTGTCGACCTCGCGCAGCCCGCGGCCGCGTCCAAAAAAGTCTTCTGTGCGTAGCCCCCGCACGTCCTGCGGGTTCACGCCCTGCCGTAACCGCCCCTCCTTCTTCATCTTGCGGATGTACTCGCGCACGGGGCCCATGGCCGCGTCACGACACGCCTCCTTGATGTCTGAGCCGGACATGCCCGCCGAGAGCCGCACGATGTAGTCGAGGTCGAAGTTTTGCTTGTCGATCTGGGTGCCGCGCAAGATGAGGCTGAAGATTTTGTTGCGCTGTCCGGCGTTGGGTAGGGCGACGGGGAACTTCTTGGGCATGCGGCGCAGGATGGCTTCGTCGATGTCCTGGATGCGGTTCGTCGCGCCGAGGATGCAGATGCGCTGGGGGTCGCCTGATCCGGAGCGCGTCGCGGAGGTCAGCCCGTCCCACTGCGTCATGAACTCGGCCTTGACCATGCCCGAGGCCTCGTGCTCGCCGGAGCGGCGCTGGCCGAGGACAGCGTCGATTTCGTCGATGAAGACAATGGAGGGCTGGAGCTTGCGCGCGAGGCTGAACACGGCGGACACGAGCTTGTTGGAGTCGCCGTACCATTTTTCTGTTATGGTGCTGATGTGCAGGTTTATGAAGCAGGCGCCGGACTCGTGGGCGAGGGCTTTGGCAAGCATGGTTTTGCCACAGCCGGGCGGGCCGTAGAGGAGGACACCCGAAGGCGCGGAGAGGAGGGACGACGAGTGGGAGTAGAGGTGTGGCAGAGTGAGCGGGTAGATGACGGACTCTTTGAGCTCTTCGATTATGGGGTCGAGGCCACCGATGTCTGGTTACAGTGTGTTAGTCCATACCCGACGAAGTAGCATTTTGGAAGAGGGAGAGTAGTGGGAGGGAACCAAGTACCATCGAATGACACGGGAATCTCCTCGGGCGCGACAACCTCCATCGCAATCGTCTGCTCGTATGCCGTCAAGTTCAAATCCTCTATCCTGGGCCTGTCGCCGCGCCTTCTCCGCTCGTAGTCATCATCGCTGTCGCTGTCGTACGCATCGCGTGCTTTGTTGCTGAGTATGGCGCCGAGCTTGCGGTTCGCGGCCGATGCTTTGCGCTTTGCTTCTTCTTTCTGCTGGGCATCCGGATCGAGGCGCGCGAGGAGATTTCGGATGATAAAGTAGGCTATTGCAGGCTGTATACACGAGTTAGAGAGACACTCGGCGCGATTGTCGACACGTGCTGCACGAGCAACATGTGCACGGGGCAAGATACGTACGGCGGCCATGGCCATGATTATGTCCGGGAGGTAGCCCGTGAGGCTGCTCTTCTTGTTGGAGCTCATTGTGAAATGTTGGCCCTTCTAATCCTCGGGGTGGGGAGTAGGAGGACAGCGACGAGCGGCGTGGAGACGGAGGCGAATGCGCTGCGTTGGCTCGTGAAGTTGCAAGCATGGCCGGTCGGCGACGCCACACGTGTGGCGCGTGGCCTCGGCCTTAGCCTGCCTCCACTTTGAGCTTCCGCCTCCACCATCTGAACTCTTTCGCAAACGGCGCAAGTCCAAACAGCACTCACTATGGCGGCGATATACAAGCCCACCGAAGCGATCCAGCTCCTTCGCCCCATCACGAAACGACCCGTTTGTGTACAACGGAGACGGGCGGCGCGCGTAGCATTCTCTACGTCTCGGCCCACACGATCAACAGAAACGAGCAAAGGTCCTCCACAGCCTACAAGGAGGGCAGTCACAATCGCCAATGACACAGGCGCGGTACGGTGGAGTGAATTGTCGCCAGGAGAAAAGGCGTCGCGAACTGTGCAGCAGTCCTTCAACCTGTCCGTAGTCCTCGTGGGCATCGTCATGACAGTACGTCTCCCGCCTCACTTCCTCTCCACCCGTCTGACACGACAGTAGTGTGGCGTGGGCTACTTCCTCTTCGCCGACGTCTTCAGCCCCGACTCCAAGACCGCACACTTCAACCGCGCGACAACCGCCATCCGCGCCCACCCCGAATGCCAGCGCCTGCTCGGCCCCGGAAACGAAATCGCGGCGCACGGCGAAGCGTCGTGGTCGCGCTTGGCTCGCAATCGGTACCTGTCGTCTAGCACTGAGACGGACAAGTGGGGCACCGAGCACTTGAGGTTCAGGTTCTACGTCGAGGGACCGTTGGGACAGGGCGTTGCGCATGTGCATCTAACCAAGAGGCCCAGCCAGAACGAGTACGAGTACCATACGCTGGCGGTGGATGTGAAGGGTCACCAGAGGGTATATCTAGAGAATGCGGATGGGAAGGCAGGGGGAAAGGTTGCGCCCAAGATCTTTGGCGCGCGGTGGTGGTGAACGGATGATAGAGATATTGGCCGAGTAAAAGTACGGGTTCCAGTCGTGGAACTTGGACGTGTAGGATAGGAGCACCCAAAAGTACTTGGGAGTGTCTTAGCGTCTGTCGTAAAGGTGTTCAAGTTGACGCAGCCTCCTTTTTGCACGAGGACACGCAACATAATTTCCGCACCATTATCATGATAGACCCTAGCAAAGAACTTATGAGCACAGAACAAATACGCAGATGAGTCCTCTTGAATGCCATCTATTCCATATGATATGCAAGTCTCGATGTACCAATCCCATGCATCATTACCAAACCCAATTCCAGTCCCAACGCCAAAACGCTCACAATGCGAAACGTTGCCAGTGGACAGGTAAGCCCACGAGCGAGAGCGAGGTCAAATGACATCGACCCTCTCCAACCCAGTCCAAACGCCCATAAGCACAAGAGATCTTGCCCGAATCGAATCTTGCTCTGCTACTCCAACCGCCCCATCAGGCCCCTCCTCACCTTCGTATTAACCACACCGCCCACCCCAAACGCCGGCACTATCCGCCCCATCCGCGCGAAACTCGCCATCCCCCAGTCCCTCAGCACCCGCCTCGCCCTACCATCCGCCCCGCCCCACCTCACCCCAGCTCTATTATACAAATCCAGCCCTAGCAAGTGCAGCGGCGTGCTCACCACCTGCACCGCGGCAGGCGTGACAAACTGCGCCACGCTCGCCGCGCTCATCCACTTCTGCGCTTCTTCGCCCATGTGTGAAGCAAAGGAGGGTGCGAGGAGCGGCGGCAGGTTGAAGGACGCGAAGATGGTGAGGCAGTCGCGGAGGGTGAAGAGAGCGAAGGTGGGGAGGGGGACGGGGCGGGCGGAGCCGGGGGAGCCGAAGAGCTGCGTGAAGCGGGAATCTTTGTAGAGGCAGAGGGCGAGGTTTGCGGAGCTCGTGGCCAGGAATTTCGGGGTGCCGGCGGTGGTGGTGGAAGGGGGTGTGGAGTGCAGGGTGGAGGTGACGGTGTCGAGGGTGTTGGCGGTGAAGTAGGTGCCGAAGTAGAGGGACTGTTTCGTACTTGTCAGCTTGTGCGTGATGCTCCTGTAGGATGCGATTTTGAGGAACGAAGGGTGTGAGTAGGGTGGGCATTGAACAGTGGGACGGTCAGACATACGAAAATCAGCGCAAAAGGCTTGCTCCCCAGAAACCGATGCGGGCGAACCAACAGCTCCCTCGCGCTCTTCTTCAAGCTCTCCCCCAGCGTGTTCCGCCCGCTCGCATTCTCGATAATGCCCTTGTCTATCATCGTGATGATGGGCGCAACCAACACACCCGCTGCGCCTGCAGCCAGCGCATCCGCGCCCACCCTAAGCCCCAGCTTCTGTGTATTCCACGACCTGGGCGATTCTCCTTTCGCGCTTTTCGCGGAGATGGAAGGCGTTGGTAACGGCGGACTCGGCAGCGCGGCGGGCATCTTGGGCTTTGGGAGCGCGCGCGCGTCCCACGGTAGATCGGCTGGTTCGGCGACGCTCTGGATGGCGGTATGCGGCGCAAATGTGTCTGCGTGTATTGGCACCTCGCTCAAGGAGTGCTGTGTCGCGCTCGTCTCCCCCATTGCAGCCTCCTCGTGGAACTTTCGAACTCGTTTCTTGTGCGGTGCTGCATGCACTTTTCCGCGTCCGTCTCTTTTCGGCCTGTCACGCCGCTATTATCAGACCTCCTCCTCGGGCGGATCTGAACGCGAGGAACCCAAAGCCACGTCGAACTAATGACACAGACGGCGCGGAAGTAAGAAGTAGGTAATCCATTTCGCAACGCGCACGATCAGCTTTCCCCAAAGCTACCACGACCCCAGCGCAGCTTAGCAAGCTTAGCGTCGGTCCTCGCTCCGCGTCGTCAACGCGCCGAAGTCGGAGCAAAGCGCACCGAGTCCCATGGCGCCCGTTTCATTGGCGCGTGGGCCGCGAACCGACCCGATCGTCGCGTGGTCCGGTGTAGCCTCGAGGGTCTGGGGAATCCCGCGGGAGGGTACCGTCGGGTGAGCGATATACTTCCAGACTGACGGCGACGGATGTGTGGGATGGAAGGGCAGGCAGAGCGCCCTAGATCTCTGCATGTAGGTGTCCGAGGAATGAGAGTTGGCGTCAATTGCGTGTGAGCGCTTAGCCCCGGCGCTGTTCGACACCTTGTTGTCCCTGACTCACGATGGATGTCGGACCGGGTTCAAACAACGCTCTCCCGAAACGACCCACGAACGTACGTGCCAAACAAACAGACGCCCGTTGTATCGGGGTGGGCACTCTATGTACCCACTGCAACACTCGAAACGAATAGGCAAATTGAAGAGGTAAACAGTTGAATAACTCCGCCAGCCGAACAGGCCTCCGCTCCAGTAACCAAACAACCATTCGCACATGATATCTCTCTCCTCGTCTCAGTAAGCAAGCACAACCGCAACCACCCAGTGATACCAAATGCGCATAAAATCCAAAACGATCCAGGGTAATAGAAACGTGTTCGCTCCGCCATGATGTTCCGGTACGCCAAAGCTCGGATTCGATCCTCCCCCATTTTGCAACGCCGTGAAGTCGTGAGTGCCGAAGAACCGCGAAGTCGAAAAGGTAAAAAGGTGGCCAAGAGAAGCGAAGAGTCGTGTATGCCAGATCCCAGATCGTCCCATTATCCCCCAGTCCAGCCCATCCAGATCATCCAATCGTGCCCATCCCCTCCCCCTCCAGCTTAAATCCATACCCAGCATTGTCTCATCGCAGAGTCAAAAGTTCAAACGATGCAAAAGTTCCCAGCCAACCGCTTTCCAGAACACAAAAGGCACCTGGCAGATCCAATGTTCGCTGAAAAATACAAAATGCTTACCTCTTGGTCATGACTGACAACGAAAGCTTAGGATTTCTCTCCACCGCGATTTGCAGATCCTCGTCGTTTTCAATGGGGTAGTACTGACCCTCCATCTCATCCCTGTATTCAACGATCAATTCTTCGTCCCTCTCTGAAGGATGTTCCACTGCTCTCCGTTCTTTCAACTTGGTGTATAGGTCAGAGTATCTGAGTGACAGCGGCATGCGGATGACAACGCAGTTGTCTTCTTCGAACCAGACCTTAATCTTCAACGCTGATCCAACGCCGGTGCTCGTAGACGTAGATGTTGCTGATAGCCCAGTGTGTTGGTGTTGCATCGGTGGGGGGTTCAAGCCGCCCTGGGTGCTGCCCATGGACATGCCTCGCTGGTGGCTCGGGAAATTGGATCCTGTAGAGTATGGAGTCTGCGGTGTTGTAGCCTGCAACTGGTCGGCAGACGACTGCCTCGATGCGCCCTGCGACGGGTTCGATGATTGACCTGATGTCTGCGACAGACGGTATTCTTCTTGCGCGACCAGTTCTGGATCAATTTCGTAATCTCCCGACCTGGGTGCGAAGAAGCCCTTGACTAGATGGCCGCGGGTGATGTGCGGGCCTAACCTCAACAGGTTTTTAATGTATTCATCTAGGTTAGCACGACGTCCATTAGAGATATTGTCGGTGACATAAGTCACTGGTCCAGGCATAAATGGCAGCGTGCGCTCGCCCCCGGTGGTGCCAGCTTCCTGGGGGTATGTCGCAATCAGCTGGATTTGCAGATCATAGAAATCCTGGTACAGTCGCTGCAGCTCCCAATGGCGGCCATCTTCCATCTGGCATTCAATAATGAACCAGAAGATGTCGTCGGCGAAACAGTACCGAGGAACGCATGCTTTTACCGGTGCACAGAGATTCGAGCCGGATGCGCGTTGGTCCTGGCGAGGTTGCTGTGCGAGTGAGCCACTGCGCGAATGAGACGAGACCTGCGAGAACCCTGGTTAGACAAATGCGGAAGCTGCAGAGTGCTCATTAGGCAAAACTCACCGAACTGGCTTGCCCATAGCCTCCATTCGATGCCCCGCCCGCCTGACTCTTGCCGCTCAGGCTCATTCGCTCCATGCCTTGTTGGAGAGTTTGCTGAGAATTGGCTTCAAGTTTGCCTAGAGGTATGCTTCCGTTCTTGTAGTCTGCGGCCATCTTTTTCCACTCTTCGACCTTTGGTACGCCCGCCCGCCGCACCGCTTCGTGCGGATCAGTCACGGCCTTTCCGGTCGTCATGTCCCTAATCTCAATAAAGGAGACCGGTATGAGGCCGGGGCCACCGAGTCGTGTGATGGGTTTTGCGACAAACCATTCTGGGTTTGACTGTGCAATGACAATGATGGCCTCCCCCTCTTTTGCTTCCAATTCGTCCGGTCGCTCTGCCTTGAAATCGTACATGACGATTCCGTAAACCATAGCTCCCGTTCCCTTCATCATGGCGGCCATGCCACTCATGCCTCCCATGGCTCCCATACCGCTCATGCCGCCCATGCCTCCTGTCCGTGACATCCTGCCTGCTGATCCGCCGGCGTCTGTACTCGTTGGACTGGTGATGCTGCGCTCCTGGTAGCCCGAGTCGTGGGGTGCGTTCTGGTTCGCAGGGGTAGATTTGGCAGAGCCAGCGCTGTCGCGCACTGTTTTGCCCACCTCGTCAAAGTACGTAACGGGCACCAGACCACGGGCGCCGTGTAGGGGGTTGCAGGCCTCGTACCACTCCTTGTCGTTTTCGCGGCCGATGACGTGCAGGAAGTCACCCGTGGAGAAGCTGAGGAAGCCGGCGTTGGGGGCAGCGTCGGGGGGGCCACTGTAGTCGTAGAGCGCCTTTATGACCTGTTTTGCGGCGCTGTTAGCGGAAGGGGCGCGCATGCGGGAGCTGCGCCAGGCAGCGACTCACCTTCTTGGGCGGTACTATGGCGATGGCATCCTTGGGGGGGATGGAAATGTGGTGCGGCCGAGTGTCCTTCTCCCCTTTCACCGATCTTCTTACGAACTGCGAGGCACGTTAGCGCTGGTGACGGCATGACTCGGCGGTGAGGGCGGGCGCGTATGCACGTATGGTGTATGTACCTTCATGGCGGGCAGTCAGGGTGGTTGCTGGCGCGACAGCAGACTCGACGACGATATGCGGTGCGGAAGAGTGTGCGAGATTGCGCGTGCGAACGTCGACGCAGGACAGCGCCCAAGGTGGAAGCCGGCAGGCTGGCCTGTGTGCTTGGGCCGCGTGGGGAGGAAATGAGCTGCTGCGGCTCGCCAGGGCCGTGCGCGGTGATGCGCAATCGTCGCAGCAGCAAAGGTAGGGCTGCAGGTGCTCGGTGGAGTCTTTCTTAGCACGTCGTCGTGTAGGTCGTAGCGATGCGTGTTCGCAGGAGGCGGCAGAATCGAGAGCAAGTGTGTACGTTATGCGTGTGCCACCCTGTGCGCAGCTGCAGATGCGACCTCTCCGCCGACTGGCGTGGCTGATACACCAGCAATCGGACAAGGGCCCGGCGGCGCAGCGAGCGGACAGGGTGAATTTGTCTTTGTCGTGGCGGATTCCGAGGCTGCGTGACGACACCAGCCAGACTATGGAAAGCCCCAAGGAATGAAAACTTGCAACGCCCGGCGCGAACGGTGGAGACTCCACGAGATCCGCGCCTCCACTCGACACCTGGTCGGAGCCACCAAGCGGTCCACGTCCGCTGTCAGGCGCTGGAGTCTGCAGCCTTCACCCGTGTGAATTATGCCCTGCGCGCCAGTAACCGCGCCTAGTTTGTAGCATACACTGGTCTTGTATGCTGCCCAATCTGTCCCTGCGTACGTAGGCTCTGATTCAATGCATAGCCCTGCGCCCCGCAACGGCCTCGGTCTTTTCTACCTCACGTGTTGCTAAGCATCACCCATCGGGCACTCCACCACCATCTCTGGCGCACTCCAAAGTCCGTTGTCATGGGCATCCTTCCAGGATTTACGTGTCCGTATACCTAAGCCTCGCTCTCTCGGACACAAGCTCCAAATTTGGCTTACACGCGACATGCCCGCTAGCTCAGCGCGTTGGCTACGCGCTGTTTGTACACACTTGCAACGTCTGTGAACTGGTGCTTTTATTGACTATACTCTTTGCGTGCGCCTCCTGCTTGAATAGGAATCGCCGCGCCGTTTACTACAGTCTCGCCCAACGAATCGCAATTCGACAAGCCATCTCAACCACCCCATTGGTCCTGCTGGCGCCTCCAACGAAAACCACAAAGAACATCCTCCTCGTAGACTCATCAGCTGGCGCATACACGAAAATGGTGTGCCGCCCATCGTGGTGCTGCTTCCAATACTTGTCACCGTGGAGAAATAATCGTCGCTTCGTACGAGTGTGCTGGGGGCCAATCGATTTCGCGGATAATTACTTGCCTAGTTGGGAATGCGAATAGTCATGCTGGCGTCCTATCCGTAATCCCACGTGTGAGTCGGACATTTCTTCAGCCGCTAATGCCTGCGACGATGACACATTAGGCCTGTGGTGCCCGAAAGCCGGATCTGTTACCACACCCCTACTACTCATCCCACCAATTTGGATCCCTTCCTTTTTCGCATGCGGTCCTTCTCTTGAACAGCCCACCATTGCAGACATGACGTACTTAAGGGGTCCAAGTGGATTCACTCGGGCGCGGGGTGTTCCGTAGGAAGACTCTCCAGACGTCTCGTGTTTGAGATTGAAGATCCTAGAACGTTCGCACAGTGTCGCATAAAGCGGCTTCCCCGCGTTCCGGTCGATTGAGAACAGCAAACGAAATAAGGGGCTACCGGGTGATCGCTGTTTAGAAAGCTTGCGTCGGGTTCTGGGCGACCAGAACGGTGACGTGGGAAAGTGGCGCAGGGTATCGTGCAAAACATGAAAAGTGGACAAAAGGTTGAAGTAGACGAGCTTCGACATCATGGATCGCATCGAGGTTGTGAGGCAACTCATTTTTGGCCTTTGATGTCTACCAAGGCAAATGCAGCCTGTCGAAGGCTTTCGAATACAGAGGCGGCCTCCTTCACTTTGACACGGAATTGCGGTTTGCCGTGCTCGTCGAGCTTCTTGTCGATGGCTTGTGAAGCACCGTGGGACTCTAGAAATTCACGGCATTCATCATCGTCTCCAAATTGGAGTTCATCCGTGAGGAAACGAAGCCCGACAGTCATGTATCTGCATCTCGTTAGCAGAGTTTCTGCACCTGCTACGGGTCTTACATACGCTCTAGAGATATTAGCGAGAGCATGCAAGCGCTCGCGCTCGATGAACATGTCCATCAAGTACGAGCCCATTCTTGGTGCGATGGTATACAGTCTAAAAAACTTATGGTAGTTGCCGACGGCCAACGATGAGCGTACGTCAAGTGCATGTTTGATCTCCGGTTTGATTTTGTCTGCGGGGGTTAATTCTGCCAACAAGTCGTTCATGTCGGTCTTGTTGCACGTATACACAAAGTAGAGGACGCGATAGGCGGTGAATTCGTCCGGGTTTCCAGCCAAATTTTGCGAATACAAGGCCTTCAGCTGTGTCTGGCACTGGTTATACTCACCCATATCCCCCTGCTCCAGCGCGATCCGGGCGTGACTCTCGTAAACTTTCACAGTGAAGTCATTCTTGATGTGCTGCACGGTAAGGTCCTGACGCAAGGATTTAAACTGGTTGCACATGTAGCCGTAGTTCTTGTCGGCCTTCCATTTCTTTCTCAGCATGGCTAAGGTCTTCTCGAGCACGTGTTGAGGTCGCACAGTTTCCGGCTTAGGGGGCGCTGTCAGACGGAAATAGCTCTTCTCGAGACTCATGTTGGTGCCAACGCATGGGGTATTATCCATGTCTGCATCGGAATCAGGCTTAGGGGAGTTCCATGGCGGTGTTGAAGAATTTCCGTTCTTGCTCAACTGGAAACGCTGCTTGCGCTTTTCCAGATCAGCCTGATCGAACTTACTAGTGGCATCTCCAGATAGAGCATTCTTCTTATGGCGCTTCTCACTGTGGCCATTTGCGTACGTGATGCGAGATTCTAGGTTAGTTCGGCGCCAAGGCGGGACAGAGGCGTCTGCCGATTCTGACAGATCCGTTTTGTCTTGCGACTTGCGCTTCTTGGATTGGGGAGTGTCAAAGGTGGAATTAGCGGGGCCGTGAGGAGAAGAGAGGAGAGAGTTGTTCTGGGCTTGAGCCCACGCAGCGGCGCGCTCGTCCCGCAGTAACTCTTGTGGCAAGGGATAGGTAGACCAATCGATGCCCTCGAGCTGACTCCGCTCAGCAAAGTAGCTGAGAACGTCCCTCAGTTTGTTCGTGGTATCTTCCTTAGAGATGCCGGCGATAGTATTCTCGGGCTCGAAAGCACGTCCCACGTAGTCGCGGACCTCGGGCGTCCACTCCACCTTCTTCGGTTTCTCGGACGGGACGGCGGCTGGCTGCAACGGAGGGTCAAAAGGTGAGTCGCGCATGGGAGTGCCGCTTTGACGTACTTGGGCGGGTGGAGGTCGTGCCAGCGTCGTGCGCGCAGCAACGGGATTGTAGGCGGGTGGCTGTAGCGGGTTTGACCACGCCACGGTGGTGGTTGGCAGCGCCATGTCGGTGCTGGCCAAGCGGAAAGCGAAGGGAAATAAGGCAGTGGGCCAAGTGAATAGCTCGTGGGTAAGGGTGAGGATGAAGGGGATATACAGCGGGCGACGGTGGTGAGTGAAGAGCGGAGATGTGCGGTGAGGCGCGTTGTGCGGGATCCAGCCAACGCCAAGAGCGCCGTTGCCCGATCGAGTCGCGCCAATGACGAGGAGGGGTTGGTGAAGCAGATGGACGTCGCATGCCGCGCTTCGTGCCTAGAGGCTCCATGTGCTCGTAGCTCCAGGCCACACTCTCCCAATGCATAGACTGGATGTTTCTGCACCAGCTCGACCTTACGACGGCATTGCGCCCATCTTTGCTGCCGGAAGAGACGCTCTTGTTCGTCCAAGATGCGGTTGGCCTGTACGAGGGGTACGTGATTGCCCGCGTGCCTGCTGCTTTCGCGACATTACATTGACCCCATTGGCACAGCAAATACAAGATCCCTCAGTACCAGAACGGACAGGCCTACTTGACTTCACATAGGGCATGCTATGTGGATCACAGCGAGCCTCGACAGAACTCAGTGTCCATCTTCCTGAAAGACATAGAGCGACACGAATTCTACGTAAGCTTTGTACGTCTGAGTAGATGGTTGCGCGCGTAGCTCACTAGGTTCAGGCCGGCTTCCTCAAGTCGTCTCCTAAGATCACGCTCTACCCTAGGCCTCTCAAGCAGCTTTCTAGAGGTGCTTCAAATGCAGCGAACAATGCAAGCAATACACCCGAGAGGCGTGGAAGCCCTGCATCAGCCGCACCATCCGTCAGCGCAACGTGGGTCTGCCCGATATGCTCCTTCTCCAATCCAGTCCCGTCGAACTTCGATCCAGCGACTGCGAACGCCCGAACACCACTACCGCCATGTCTTGCATGTGGCATCAAACCTCCACTTGTGCATGTATTCAAGGCTGCTGTATCCGCCATGTCGAACCGACAAGCATCAGCGCCACCTCCTGATTACCGTGATGGATCCTCAAATGCTCCTGTCCCCATCAGCAGTCGTCTTAGCTCATCAGGGTCCGGTACAATTCCCTGCCCGCGCTGCACCTTCCAGAACCACCCCTCGCTGTCAACCTGTGAGATGTGTGGAGGTCCACTTGGAAGTGTAGTAGACAAAAGGTTGGATATAGCCCAATCGATAGGACGCGCGGAGTCTCCAGGTCCCTCTCTGAGCAGCCCTCTAAAAGACGAGACAATCCAATCCATCAAGTTCTCGTTTCGTGGCGGCGGCGACAAAATCTTCTACGAACGCTTGAAGAATGCGCTAGTCCAACGGAAATGGCTTCTCCAAAGTGCCCCGCCAATTCCGAAACCACGCCCTGCATCCGGCTCATTCGAAGACGCCTACTCGGGCAATGCGGACACGCCAGCAGCCGATCCAGTACGCAGCAAGGTCGTCGGGATCGCGGGTCTTGAACGGAGAGGACTCGAACAGAAGATGAACAATGAAGCTATGATCGGAGGCGCCTTTGAGGATCTCGAGGCTTTGATGACCTCCGCCAAAGAGATCATTGCGCTTGCGGAGCAGTTCTCCTCCCACGCGAATTTAGGAACCAACGGAAGCTCTGACGCGAATGCCCTGGCATCTGCTTCTGCTCTGGGTCTGGTGACTACGAAGGATATGCTCGGTAATGGTTCTGGCTCAGAGTCTCTCTACGTTTCGGAACTATCGAGAAATCTGGCTGAATGGTTGACTGACGATACGCGTGGCGTTTTACGAAGAGAAGGCGGTATCGTGACGTTGGTTGATCTGTGGGCGGTCTTCAACCGCGCTAGAGGCGGCGTGGAGTTGGTTAGTCCGGCAGACTTTGAAAAAGCAGCGAGAATGTGGGACAAGCTCAAGTTGCCCGTTCGGCTTCGACAGTTCAAAAGTGGGCTTCTTGTGGTGCAAGGTCGCGATCGAACAGATGAGAAGACCATTGCAAGTCTCCTCGCATGGCTCAAAGAGTCGCACAACGACCATGCAACAGATCGCGCATGGGACGTGCAGGCCTTCGGCAGAGGTGTCACGGCGCAGGAAACTGCGGAGCGTTTCGGTTGGAGTGTGGGTGTTGCAACTGAGGAGCTTGAGATGGCTGAAGAAGCAGGTGCCCTGTGTCGTGAACAAGACCTCGAAGGGATCAGATTCTGGGAAAATTGGCTGGTCAAAACGCCTTTCCATACGATCGAGACATAGCACTTTGCCATTGTCAAATGTATTGGCAGCTGATCAAAACTTTGGGAAGCTATAGAGAAAGATAGACACCCACTAAGATATTATCCGCCACGACATCCTTAGCATGTATATATACAAACCGCAACCTCAAGACGAAACTCGAGATCTCAAGTCGCAAGCTCCCCTCTTTATTGATGTCCCCGCATGCTCATAGTCATGACGACATCAATACCCCTTCGCATAATGAACAAACGCCTCCTTGCCTACATACGCCTGACTTCCTCATCCACCACCATGCCCGGCCCCCTACCCCGGTAACCCGCTCCATAACCCCCACCATTACCACTTTCACCATTCCCTTCAACCGTTTCGCCCCTTGGGCTGCCGGTCCTTCGTCGCAGTCGGCAACCGCGCCACCGCAATCCTTCTTTCCTCAGGCCTGATCTTCCTCCTCAACCCCATCCCGCTCTCTCCTCCCGCTTACGAGAAACTCAATGCCCTCGGCGGCGTGTACTTCATTGCGGCGGACCTCGGGAACCACCTCTCCGTCGCCGAGTACGTCGCTGCGTGGCCCGGCGCGAAGACGATAGGCGTGCGCGGGTTGGAGAAGAAGCGGAGTGGTGTGAGGTGGGATTGGACCTATGGTGGAGAAGAGGAGCTTGGAGAACGGCCTGAGGAGGTGTTTGGGTGGGAGGGCGAGGTGGAGAGTGTCTTGTTCGGGGGGTTTATTACGAAGGCGGTGCGCGTGGTTGCATAGGCCGAGCGGGACGTTGGTGAGCGATTTGATAATGAAATTGCCGGCGAAACAGGTATGTGCTGTGCTCATAAGGTGCTGGGCTAGGGATCTGAGGGCACTGAGTTACCCCAAGAGGTGCAATGCGGTTTATCCAGTCTTTTGATGAATGCTACTATGTGCTGACGGGTAATGAAGCAATACACGCTTTCATCGGCAGCACAAGGGCCTCTTTCGAGGAAGTTCGCTAAAAGGGCGCACCCGGGGTCTACCTGGTTCAAGAGACTTATCTACTGGATTGCAACGTAGATTATGCCCTGATGAGGCGGGACGTGAAAATGGTGGCGGAGTGGGATTTTCAGAACATCATTCCGTGTCACGGGGAGGTAATTGAGGAAACGGAAAAAGAAACTTGGATTGAGACGCATGGATGGATGGTTCTTGGAAGGGAACTTTAGGCCATATCTATACAGGAGAGTTGTACATAAACCGTTCATGAATGTCATGCGCTGGTTCTTCTTGACATAGATGCGTAATGCAGTTCAATTAAAGGGTCAAGCAATGTGCAATTGCACGAAGTCAAGAGATCTGATTTTCTCCTATGTAATGCGTCGCTCGTGATACAGAGCACAGGCACCTGGTATATCCACCTGTGGCAAGCAGATATTCGTTTCCCCTAGGTGCTAGATGACACCCGTGCGTGATCTAGTCGTAGGTTTGCACTAGGAATACTCAACCAAGAGCCGCCGATTGATAGACTTCAAGCGTCCGGCTTCCGGGCCACCATCAGGAACATAGGCGTGAAAATGCCTTTCTTCCCACCATCGATCAAAGCGTCCGCGGCAGTGATAAATTCCTCGGTCATCTTCAGTGTCCCCTTGGGCGCAACCCTCACTGTCTCCAAGATTCTTACGATAATTTTCACGCCCACCCTACCCCATTGTGTGTTCCGGATGACCAAAAGCCAGTCCTTGAAGCCCTTCGCATGTTTTACGTCCCCAGATATTGGATACCACCACGGTATCTCGTCTTGTTTCTCGGCAAGATCCTCGGTTACGAGCAGCTCAAACCCGGCATTTTTCATGGCTGCACGAGCCACTGCTTTTGTCTGGAGCGAAGGAATTCCGTTGCCACGCTCAATGCCGGACCGGGTTGCTTCGTGTGCAGGGTCACCAGAGACATAGTTGTCGGTGAGGACCCATTCAAAGACACCAAACACTGAGCCGGGTCGTAGCACTCGATAGACTTGTGCGTACACGTCTTGCAGAGACGGTGCATGGACGGTCGCTTCCAATGCGAAGGCTGCGTCGAATTCAGCATCCGAGAAAGGGATGTCCTTGGACGCATTGCGTTAGTAGTGTGCGATGTATATGACTGGTGGCCTAGAAATCACTCTGTAGTGTACGTGTGTTTGAAACTCACCATGAAATCGCCTTTGACGAACTCTACCATCTTCTCCATGCCTTCAGCCTTGGCCATTTCAGCCGCTTTCCGTACTTGATAGCCATTGTTGTTTAGGCCGACAACTTGGCAGCCCGCAAAGGCGGCGAGCTCTTTGGCAGGACCTCCGACACCACAGCCGACGTCAAGTACACGCATTCCAGGGCGAAGACTGATCATATGAGCGAGGTAATGCTCGTGCCTTGCAGTCGCCTTTTCTTTGTTTTCGGGACCCCGCGGGTATCTACACATGTGAAAAGATTGGCCCCAAGATTCAAGATAGAGGTCTGTCGCCGCATCATAGTAGCTGTGATGACCTGATTAGCTGCGCACTTGGAAGTGCTTCAAGCACTCACTCGTTGACCAGTTCCTCGTATTTTTGCTTTCGGGTATTCCGAGCGTCCTCATCATCAGGCAAGGCCTCTCCATCCTGCTCCCAGTGTCGCGAATAGCCCTCCGGCCGCTTGTTGCCGACCTTGGTCCTGTCTACTGCCGTGCTGGAGAATGCAGCAGACTGTGTGGTTTGCGCCATTGCGATTGTTGGAGCGAAGCGGGTGCGCTCGCACAAAGGGGAAAGAGCGAAGGAGGTGCAGAGAGTGCTGAGCAGCCGATGAGGCTGGACTATGTGACATTCATTACACTAGTGTTCTTGGGGGAATGGAGTGGAAACCCCAAACCTGTGTGTCGTTTACGACAACCGCGAGGCGCAGGCGGGGCGGGGCGAGAACGAGAGCAGGGGTCGAGGGCTACACGAAAGGCACGGGCGTTTGTAGACAGGGTTCCCGCTGACTTCGACATTCTCCCAAATGAGGGCGCGTGGCACAGCGTCGCAAGCTTTGTCTATCACACTGCATCTCTAGCCCGACTATCCCTGAAATGGTCTCGTTTTCCATCTGTACAGCCTGCTATCTTTGGAACGCCTCTCTCAGGCCCCGATCGATCTCACGTCGTTCCCTGTCCCAGTCTGCAGCCTTTCGAAGCCCACGTCGCTCGGCCTCACCGTGCTCGTAAGCGTCCAGCCGTCGGTTTCCATGTCATCGACGGAACTCAAAGCCCCGCTCCTGCTTTTGCTCGACATGGACTTTGCGCTCTGCGAGCGACTTCCGAGACTATTGATGAAGGTCAAGACTCCGCTGAGCTTTGGTCCCTCCAACTTTGCCCTCGGCAAATAACTTCTGTTGCCGGAGATGGAAGCTTGAAGGTCGGCATCCTCGTTGGCCTTCGCTCTCATCTGCTGGATGCGGCCTCGGAGATTTTCAGGTCGCCGACCAATCGCTCTACGGTCAGCTACATCGTGGAGCCTGAGCTGCTCCTCCTGTTCTCGGCGTTTGGTCTCCACGAATACGCTTCGGAAGGCTGCGAGGCACGCCATGAGGACGGCAATGCATGCCTCAAGGTACAGAATCAGGTACTCCGATGTGTAATCGTCGTGGCCCTTGAAACGAGTCAGAGCCATGCGGGTTATCCCCGTGGCTATCATGACAATTGAGAGACAGAGGAACACGGCAATGGCGAATTTCTGTCTCAGCCGGAGTCTAACGTTCCGGAGAATCCAGATTGGTATGCTAACGACTATTCGCATGTTAGTCAGATGTAGGCCTAAGCAAAGATTACTGCCGCATACTCATCAAATCGGTGACAATGTCAAGAAAGGCGACCATTATGCTCAGTGCTAATGTTTTGACCTATACGCGCGGGTACCAAGTCAGCTGAGTTACAAAACTGGGCGGATGTACATGTTTCCAATGTCTCAGACATGGCGACTTTGTAGTACAGGGGAGTATCGTACAAATGGAGTCTCCGGGGAACAGTGCAGGACTATCGTAGTATCAGTCTACTGAATCGGCACAAAGAGGTATCAACATACTTAATTCGACGCCAACGTACGGACAGATAATCCAGGCTATCGTCCACGAGAGACACCATGTTACAATGGATAGCGCTACCGCAAACCAGTAAAATATTGTTACACGAATGGACACATTGGCGATAAGAGACTTCAGTGCTGCCAGAAAGCATAGCTTTACTGAGCAGATTGCCGTCCAAATGGCAGCCAAGAGTGAATAGTTGATTGCCTGTGCCTGTCCGATAGCTTGGAGGTCCTGTAGAGTAGGAATCACGGTCCTCTCATATTTGAAAGCGTTTAGTACATATATCAGGTGACAGAACCGATAAATGACTGCTGTCGCGGAGACCAGAGCCGCATATCCAAACAAAAGAATGTAGTCGTCCAGAAACAATCGTCGGCGGATGACAAGACGGACACCGACACGGCCGAGTAACGCGATCGTTGCAAGAGCGAAGAAAAATCCAATAATCGTCTATCATTGCTATATCAGCTGGAAGTAGCACGTATCTCGGATTTGGCACATACTTGGAAGATTTCACGACTCACTCGCCCAGCGTGATCGATTTTGTATATCGTAGCATCGTCATACGAGGTAGGAAGCAAGTTTTCCATTCCGCCTGTGATGACTACCTAGGTAAAGAGGACGAGATTGCAGTTACTGGCAACGCATGGGTCAACTTGCTGAATTATGTTCTATTACTATTACGCCTTAACCCTAAGGGTCTTTACTCGAGACGAGGTGTTGCAGACACACGGATGGACATCACTGCGCCCCTGTTGCAAGGTTCTGCTGTGGTACACGTTGCGGCCCCCAAATGCTTCGGGGGTGTTCATGTGAGAGGTGAGATTTTGGCTTGGGTTGAGGCGTGATGTGCGGCGTCATCGGTAGCAGATGCGGTCCGCGGGCCGTCGCGAGCTGACAGGGCAGGAACATCTACCAGGACGATAAGGTAACCAATATTTGTACGAAGTCAGGGATGCATTCCCGGTCGGCGGGCGTACGGCTTTGGTTACTAGCGCTAGATTCGGGAACCAATCAACTTTCGGGTTCGCTTTGTCTCTGCATCTCCCAAAGTATTACGGGCCGAACTGTGATAAGCTTGCTCCAGCACAAGCCTCCTTTGCCTCCCAAGCTACCTTCATTTTTAAACAGGTACTAAGAGCGTTCCTAGTCACACAAACAACCAAGATGTGCTTATGTAACTTTTCTTTGTAACAAAGCCTTGATGGTCCCTTGAACATCGAGGTGTCTTGTGTATATCTTGTGCTTTACTTTTCACAGCTACAATTTTCGGTCCAAAATGATCTTATGTGTATATTTCTGTGAAATCGCGATGTCTGAATAAGCTGAATTGAAGCTTCTCGAATAGCAGAGCAACTATACGCGCCGTCTAATACTAAAAGGAACCTTGCCAACAGGCAGTAATGTGCCCAATCCATGATTTGCATGACTGGCACGCAGGGGACGGTCGCTTGCGGCGATGTCAATATCGAAAAGCATGACCATGGCCGCCATCGTGACTAGCATGTGATGTTTGGCTAGATGACGACCAGGGCATGCTCTTGGGCCCCCACCAAACGGAATCCAAACGCCCTCAAGTCCACGGAGAGAAAATTTCCATGGGTCCTCGGGGCATAGCTTACTCGTGGCTGGTGGGGCCAATTTGGTATCCGTGTCTGTTTTCAGTACCAAGAACCGATTGGCCCAGAAGCGGTTCAGCGGTTCTTTGCCGCCGTCCGTGTTCCATTCGTCGCCGTGCATGTGCGCGATATGGGTCGATACGAGGCAGATCTGATCTCGCGGCACTCTCCACCCATGTAGGTCCACAGAATCGTGAGGAAATCGTCTGACCACGAAGGCGCAGACCCGAAGTCTCAATATCTCGGTGTATATCGACTGCAGAAGTGGGTCTGCACATATCTCCTCCCTCGTCTGCGCCTGGCTAAGGAGCGAGGTCACATCGGCTGCAGATTGAGCGCGTGGTAATCTACTCCGAACCCGTTCAAGTAAGGTAGGATCACGGAAAATTTCTTGGACAGCCCAGAATGCTGCAGGACCAAGGCTGACGTTGACGCTGTGATGCTGTCAGTGAAACGACTACCAATATTTCCTCGCTTGGACACAGTGCCACTTACGCCCACGCAAATGTCAGATGAACCGAAGCCAATCCCGCAGCGTCAGCATCATCCATTTCCAGGAAATCAGCCTGCCACTTTCTTAGGCGCTTCGAACCCCATTTTCCATCATTGTATTTGCTATCTTCCCAGGGTGCAACGTGACCATCAACTCCAGTGGCAAATGATTGCCATCGATGCAAGTCAGACAGTAAACGGTCTCTTCGAGCAAACGCTTTTGGGATTAGCCACCGGGGAAGCTGATAGGTATACTTCCGCGTATCCTGGAAAAATTCGGTCAAATCTCCACAAAAGTCCGACGTTTCTGTAAGGTGTGTTCCCCATAAGGCTTCAGTATTGGCCAGCGTCAAAGCGCCTCGTACAAAGTCCACAAGATCTGGCTGGGATGTCCAGCTCATGCTGATATCAGATTGATCCAGTGCTTTGCACAAGCGGAGAACATAGCGCTGACAGAGAGACGCAGTGTCTGAGCCACTGAGAACATCCTTGAACACAGAGTGACTGAGCCTATCGGTACGGTTCTGTGTCTCCACAGAGCTTAGAGGGTGTGGTTTGGGGCCACTTCCGGAGTCGTCGGCCAGATACTTGTCGATGATCTTTTGTGGCATTGCAAACCAGTGCTTGAACAAGTAAACGTGCAATGACAAGGCGCGAGAACCAAAAGAGTGCCTCCACAGGCGGTTGATGTATTCTTTTCCTTGAACAAGATGTACTGTTTCGTTTACTAGGTCCATTCTCGAAGGGGTCGGTTTGCCATGTGCAATTCTATCTTGATCAGGGATAATCCACAGAGAAGGTAGTCAAGGTCTACTGACGTGCAATAAAGCAGTATAGTCTTTGGACTCAAGACAAAGTAGACCGTGTTGAAAATCGATACTATGGGCCGGAAAAAACCAGAGATATATATGGATGAATCAAGGAGTGGCCGGTCGTTGGGGGTATGTTCGCGTGTAAACGTGAATTTGAAAGCCATGGGAAATGCTAGAATGCAAAATACCAACACAGAAAGAGCTCGATGGTTCATGTGCTCATTCGAATGATGTTGAGGTTGAGATAGCATACGGACGGTAGGCCTGTCGAAGCCAAAGTCAAGTGGAAAGGTTGCGAAAGTGGAATTGGAGAATAACATAGCGAAGTGCCTGGAAATTCGATACGTAGATTGAATGAACAAACTAGAGGCGTTTGTGCTGCACTTGTCTCTTATAGTAATACGCATGTGCTACACGCTTCTGTGGTTCTGAGTGTGCTCCTGTCAGATCTGGGTTATCGCAAAACCTTGGGCAAACGGACCCAAGAAATCGCGAGGGTTGCCGCGAACGGGCAGGTTTCTGCCTTCGCCCTGTTGCAGCTGATAGTATTGACGGTATGGATGTGCACTAGTATCGATTGTCACTAGAGGTCGTACCCGAACAGGATGGGGCCAAAGGCTGCGCCCGCTGTATCAAGAACAAGCAGGATTCAGCGCTTACCCTCGATTCAGCTGCAAAAGATATCCAAATATGCTAGTGTATTTCGTTTCGTATTTTACCACTATACGGGTACGTTAATTGAGGCGCAGCGCGGTCCGAGTACCCTCTTCAGATTACCCAGGTAGTTTGCAAAAATCGCGTCCCAAGTGGAATGCCCACAAACTTACTCCTGAAACTTCGTTTCTATCCTGCACTGTAATAAACATGGCCGAAAACTCTTCCCTTTGTTTGTCTGGAGCAGCACCGATATATCTTGCGAGTACCTACATCTGCAATGCTGGGTTCCATTGTGCGTCGATATGATGTGAATCATCTAGAATGACAGCTAAAACATCTACACTAGGCCCAGAAAGTAAAGGCATAGAGCCTCCACAGTACTGTGCCCCAACGAAAGAATGTCTAGCTGTCCGGCTTCAAACGGTGGAGAATACATGCAACCAGCCGCAGGGGCTTTATGAGCCAATCGTCTGCACCAAGGGACACTATTGTCCACGACCAGGAGACCAGAGGTATATTTGTCCAGCGAAGCACTATTGTCCATTGGGAACAGAATCGCCTGTCAAGTGTGGTCCGCTGTCAGTATGCCCATCAGGGTCCTCACGCGAATTTCATTTGGACGGGTTTGTTGTTGCTCTGGTCTTAGACATCATCTTGTTGATCATCATATTTGTACCTCTACATCTAAGGGTGCACAAACTTGACTTCAAAAGATATCGCCAAGACAGTCAATCTAGCAGTGAAGAGGACTTGGAGGCGGCTGCGAGGCCCACGTTCCTCTCAATGCCTAGCGATCATGAGACTGATTATCCAAACATCTCGATCATATATCAAGACATTACTTTTGAGCTCAGCGAGTCAACTCGGCCCCTGGTGTCTTCTATATCTGGAAGCATCCAAAGAGGAATGCTATGTGGGATTCTCGGGCCCTCTGGGGCTGGAAAAAGTAGAATACCTTCTCACCAGAGAGATTTTGCTAACGCAAGACAGCGACGCTTATGAGATTGTTGATGGGAAAGCTTGAGCCCACTAAAGGGATCGTTGAAGTCAACGGCATGCAAACGACACTCTCTCGGTCGGTAAATCTTGTTACTTCAGTGGAAGCCGAAGCTGACATGATACAAGGTTGAAAAAGCTCACTGGATACGTGCCTTCTGACGATATTCTCCCATCTCATCTAACGGTTTATGAGACTATACTGCATGCATGTCGGGTGAGGGGACCACGCAAATGGTCTGACGAGCAACGTTCCGTTGCAACGCAGAGTATCATGCAGAGTCTTGGTATACTTCATATCCAACATCAGCTAGTTGGGGATCAAGTTATGTCATTAATCTCTTCGGGTCAGCGAAAACGTGTCAGTATAGCTATGGAGCTCATCGCTGCTCCTATGATGCTGTTTTTGGACGAGCCTACCTCCGGGCTTGATTCAACAACGGCTATGGCGCTCATAGATCTACTCAAGAAGATTTCAGAAACGGGTGTGATTGTCGTTTGCATACTTCACCAACCACGGCAAGAGATTTTCGACGCTCTGGACCACGTCATGCTCATGGCAGACGGCATGCAGCTATACGAGGGCTCACCAGGAGAAGCTGCAGGATACTTTTGTAGCCAAGGCTTTGATATACCCAAGGACGCTAACCCAGCGGACTGTCTTCTTGATATAGCTGCATCGAAAGCCAGAAGCGCATCGCCGCATATAGGGACTGTCAACATGGCACAACAGCTTGCACGCATGTGGGAACAACAACAATGCATCCAGCACGAAGCTATACAGCACACCAAAGACAAGACCGAAAGCAATGACCTATCGCGAGACATAGTAGTCGATCTTGAACATACCGCTGCATTACGGGGTGCATCATGGCTGCGACAAGTCCAGTACAGCCACGTACGGGCAATGAAGCAACAATTGCGACAACCCATCAGTCTGCTCTTAGAGATAGCTGTTGGAGGAGTCGCAGGATTACTCATTGGTTTAGGTCTCTATTCGAATAAAGGCATGCACTTTCAAGGAGTGTATCTCACACCTTTTGAGATGCTGTCAAGTGCTGTGGATTATTCAACAGTACCAAAGATCGGCAACATGATCACACTTGCGATAGGTACGTCATTGACATATACAAAGAGGTCCAATCAATGTACTAACTAGGATCTGTTGCATAGCACTTGCAGCGTCGGCACCTGGTGTAAGCACCTTTGGAGACGAAAGTACGTATAGCATACGCATCCGTGCATAAGAGAATTATAGCGATGCCACTGACACAACATTGAAGAGTCTTTATATTGGAGAGAGGCTGCTGCCGGTCACCGCCGTTCAGCATACTTCACTGCCAAAGTTCTGGCGACCATACCTCGAATGGCACTCTCATCCTTGCACTTTACAAGCTTCTACGCCATACTTGCAACTCCTTCGATAAATTTCTGGTTGCTTTACGTATTGGTTCTACTGTATTTCTACTGTTAGTAAATCACATTAGTCGCGTACGCATTCCGTTCTTGTTACTCACGCGTAAAATCATAGGTGTATACGGGCTAGCTTCAGCGGTATCCGTCGCAGTGAAGCGCGAGAATGGTGCTCTTCTTGCCATGATTTTGTGTCTCATCATTGGAGCATTCGGCGGTTATGCACCGATGCTGTCAAACGTGCAATCTTGGCATCTGGAGTGGCTATGGAGAATGTGTCCGGGAGTAAGTTAGTCCCTCTGCCAAAGACTATGACCGCCCTGTTATTTACACAACCCAGACATGGCTTACTGAGGCCTACTTCGATCTTGTACTAAAGAGAGTGGAGCATCTGTACGACGTCCATGCAGCAGCGGCCTGGACAGGGTTTTCCCTAGGAAGAACTTCACTCGATGTATTGTATGTTACGAGAAACTACTTCACTAAAGATATGATACTAACGTAGGCGTAGAATGATCCTGGTTATAGGGACCTTCTATAGGGCTTTGACGTTTGTTGGTCTGGTGTATTTCGACCGTGACAAGCAACGATAAGCAGCTGTGCAGCGGTGAAACAATGTACGGAAGCCAAACTGTGTGATGGCCTCTTTGAGGCCTTCATGAACCTCTATACTCATACTATGAGTAAAAGGTATTCGGGTTCTAAATTGCCACGTAGTTCTGTATCTCATTTAAAACTCTTGCACGCATTCGTGAACCCCTAAACGCATACGGAGAACACGCTCGTAGCAAGGTATTACAAAGCACCGAGATTTTTTCTTGGTAAATCGCTGCGGCCCTTCCAGCACCAATTTTCTTTCCGTAGCTCCGTAAACATTCGCACGAGTCATAACTAGGTAATGACCCCCAAACAAGTGTTGCGTGGCGTTGCATCGACCCTTGCGTATGTCCTCGCGTGGCGGCACGGCTGCTGCATCTGCATCGGCTATTGCATGTAAGCTGATGACAGGGATCAAGGGGACGTCAGCCTTGTGTGGCTTGCATATTCGTTAACGAGGCGTAATGTGCCCTCACCTTTGAAACGAAACCATCACTTTTCATCCCTGTCCGGGAGGGTCGCGTATGCTATCGATATTTTACCCGAGATTTTCGGTGTCCGAAGAGTAATGACGCAAGGTACGACGCGAGATGAAACTAACCGCCCCCAAATCTTGAGACTTGCGGCGCACGATGCGCAGAAACGCCTTGGTATCGCTACACTCTACGCAACACAAGCGAGTAAAGAATATCTCCTAGAAGAGTCCTCCAGCTACTCAGATGGCCTATGTGACCTTTAAATAGATGTTGTCAACATTTGGAAAGCAGTCGTTGGCTTAACGAACATTCTTCGGATCATTATCTACCGCTAGCGATCTACTGGATCATATTGTTAATACACTATTTTCAAGATTCGCAAGCTTGTAGCTCATTCCATCAATGTCACGCACCTCGAGAGCCCAATTTCGCCTTCCTACCCACTTGAAAAATTCAGACACGCCTACTCCAGCTAGATTCGACAATCAACTTTGTCATGGACAATGGTATCTCCTCCGTACGTCCAACCAATACTGGAAAGACAAACTCAACATCCGCACCGAATGCCTTCCAACCGGATCAGACTGCTTCTTCTACCAAGTAAAATCGGGCGGAGCCGTCAAAACCATGAAGTGGAATACAAAAGCGGTCGAGGGAGAAATGGCGACGTTCGTTTCGCAGGGGACAGGCTTGATGAGGTTGATCGGAGCTAAGTGGGAGGTGATCGGGTGGTCTAATCCGGTTGTGCTCGATGGCGAGTCGCAACCAGGAGGACCAGCATGGCAAGTCGGATATCAGCATGGTACGCTCTTAACATCAGCTGCGATCAACGTGTCGTGCAGAGAACCTGGTAGGATATCCGAGGAGGACTGGACGGCGATTGAGCACTGGCTAGCTGGAATAGAGGACGAGGGGTTCAGGAGGGCGGTGGAGGAGCTATTCACCGTCACCCATGAGTGAATAGTATACGACACAATTCCATGTACTCCTATCTCCTCCTTCAACTAGCATATCATCATAGTAAGCAGGATATCGAGCAAGTGTTTGATGTGTCCGGTAACAGATTCTCTAAGTAGGGTAAAGTGATAAACCAACTGCAAAAGTGGCATTGAAGCTTCCAAGACGTCGAAAGAAAATATTGACAGGGATGCTGTGCCTTAGCGTTAGCGTGTGTGCCAACCAGGAGGGAGCCCAGCCACGTGACCAGGAGCCCCACAGAGGCGCAAAAATTTAGAACACTTGCTGAAAACAAAAACATACAACAGCAGGGATTCGCCAGTGGTCACCCACCTGACTACTGATCCGCCGGTATCCTGCTTATATATGGCTGAGCGGACGGGAAGCCTAGTTCTCAAGATCCTATGGTCGTATGTATTGGTTCTTTTGATTCATCAGTATATAACTCAAGAACAAACGAACATGGATTTCTGCATACATCGCGATTTTCCGCGGCTTGCGGAAGTGCGCGATGCATCACTTTTAACATATAAATAGGACGGTTGGGGATTGCCGAATAGGTTGCTCGGGAGGGCTGTGTGGGAGCAGCAAGATTAGGAGAGATTCTGTTTTAATGCATCCTGATAAACGGGTGGGAGTGTGAGCGTCCTGAGATCATCGATTGGGAGCCTACCATCAAGTACCATATGCTTTATGGGAGAGGTTAATCTATGTACACTATACTCGGAGTTCCGCTAGATTTGATACACAAATCCAAACCATCGGATCAGCCGACATCAGTCACTGAACAGCATAACGTTCCGTCTGTATATCGCCTAAGTACCTACGAACAGATATAGTTTCCTGTGGCTTGCGGAAGCGCGTAAATCATCGCTTCTAACCTATGAATAGGGCCGTAAGGCGAAAGAATCGTCTAGCACTGAAGGCGTGGCAAAGTCGAGCTTTACACAGCTTATCACAGATTCATGCCTACAGACGATGGCCGACGATCTTTCGCTCGGGCTGCAGTGCGAGGGAGAAGGATCAAAACTACGTTGCATCGCTATCGCATGTCGAGCCTTCCTGCAGAGTGACCTAACTGTACATTGCTTGTCACATGAATCGAGTGTATTCAAACAAGTTTTAACTATAGTAAGTACTGCCCTTCATTGCGGCTGAACTATACTTGGGCGCCAGTGACACCAAAGAATACAGCTCTAACTTCAAGCGGCAAGGCTTATAATATGCCTTGTGTTCGTATAGAAGGACACGAGTCAAAAGGCGCTGCCTAATAACTTTGAGCTCTACACTGGACGCCCTCACCCATTCAAAGCCAATATGCATTGGGGATTGTACAGCGATCGGGTAATGCATAGGCAGATGGAGCACTGGGCTAATGATTTCGATACATATCTGTACAAGAAGGTCAAGGGAAGCCCGCAAGGTTAAACAAGCACAAAGGCACGCTGCAGCGGCTGTCCTTGATGAAGTCGTCACCAAGCACATCGCCATGATTACGGAATGGGTTCGCGAGTATGCCCACGACATCAGCTTCACACAGCTCCCCCATACCGATTTTACGCCCATTGCAATAGATCACTATACCCTTACAAAACCAGTAGCCGCTGCACCGTCCCCCGAGCCCGAATCTTTAAACAGCAGGAGAAAGTGTAACATAGAGAAATGAGCGAGTGGACGAGATTGCGACGCGATTCAGGCAATCTGCGGAGCTAATATTGGCCCAGAAAGTACCAGGTCATATCATCAAGGACATGACTCTCACTCCAAGCACATGACCGTCGCTTCATGAAGCTTTACTCGGGAAGAGAACATCACTGCTCCAAGTGCACGACGATAATGACAGAGTGGACGACGCAGACTTGAATTGTCTACCCGAATTATCGAATCAACTCCCGACATCATGTGGTGCTATACCAACAGCCAAGCACAATTATCCAACGAACCAGTATCACACCTCGAAACCCCAAGCACAACAACCTCAGATGTGTCGAGCGAGAGGGTTGAGCCGACGACAACGACGGAGCTATCTAGCGATAGCGATAGCGGGGACACCGAGTTCCAAGTGATCAGGATCGAATGACCACCGATGGTCGTTAAAGGGTATCGAGTAGCGGTGAGCGTCCGATCGCCCCTAGACCACAGGGATCGTTACTGTTATCAGCTAGAGCGCTACCACAGCTGGTTGTGCGGTACGAAGGATCCGAAGAACCGTAGCCCGACCCTCTTCAGCGTTCAAAGTTGCCAACCAGGGTTTCGAACCCCTAGCTACTCCCTCGCAGCCGGGGCCACTGTCTGCGGTGTGCAATCCAGGAGCAAAACCGGGAGTGCCGCATCCAGCCTCTGCTCGGTCTCTTTCACATCGTTAGGATATATGTCCATGAGGATCAACCTTTCAGCTTGCCTTGTAGACCGACAAGGGGTCAAGTAGCCTGAACAGTAGGGATGAGAAGCGATGACGATACTTTGATGGTTCCCTGAATAACTGTTAGCGATACCGATGAGACGTGGGTGACGAGGTATACTGAAGAGGAGTCAACGATCCAAGTAGTTGTAGCGATGGACCCTGGGAGAGCGATAGAGGACGGGGAATGGAGAGCGTGGGCAGAAGATGAAGGACGGAGAACGGACTGTGGATTGCAGAAGAGAGAAAGTGAAAGATGGAAAACAGAAGATGGAGAGACCCAAGATGGAGGATCGAGGGCAGAAGGCGGTATATGAACAGTTGAGGGCCGACGATGGAACCTGCCCTTGTGTATCTCATCACAGAGGCAAGAACACGATCGCGACGTAATTCCCTATCGCAGCAAGTGCATTTACCGTCCCAAGTAGGCGCAGCGCCCACCCGGGCAAGCACTGTCTGCTAAAAGGATCGTAAGACGGGTCTCATATCGTCCTCAAAACGCTACACTTGAAATGCGTAAGGATGTGGAACGTCCCACCTGCTCAGTGTCGAAACCGTTCTGTTCCTTCTTGGAGAAGAAAAGTATCGGTTGATATAGCATGCAATGGCAGAAGTGCAACATCACACATCGGGCGACGCTTGGAAAACGTGGCAGGGACGTCATTGAGAGCGGGAGATTGAGAGTCTCGGCGAAGGTCTCAGAAGATCGACATGCATCAGAAATGTGTAATCATGATTCCAAGCATAACCATCGAGTCTATACCAAACCACCCAAACAACATTTTCGGTCCCTTTTTCTTATTCAAATCTGTCTTCCCAACCAGGCCCCACACTCACCAACCTAATGCACATCCACACCCCCACCCTCCCTATTCTCGCTCCGTCCTGCACTCGGCGTATTCGGCCGACTCTTCTCAATCCCAAAGAACGCAATGTTCTCCCGCAGCGCCACATACTCGCTGTCCGCATACCCCAGCGCCTCATGAATCTGCGTGCTGTGCAACCCCTTTATCCGCCTGATCTCGCTTGCGGAGTAGTTCACCACCGCGCGACCAATCTCGAACGGCGCCGGGTCGTGCAGCTCGTACAGCGGCGGCGTGATGATCGCGGAGGAAGACATCGAGTGCGTGAGCGCGGGCTGCGTGTACGGCGCGTGGCCGGAGTTAAGGACCGGGTGGGCGGCTGTGCGGGAGGGGATGGGGGCGATGGGGGTTGTGGCTTTCGGGGTGACTTTTGGGCTGGCCGCTGGGAGACGCTTTACAACGACGATGCGGACAGCTTCCTGCTGGGCGAATTGGCCATCAACGTCGACGATGCCGACCGGGAGGAGCCCGGCTTTGTCGGAGAGCGCTTTGCGCGCGCCGGCGTCGATATAGATTGTGCCGTGGGGAGCGAGACCATGCAGAATCCAGAAATAACGGTCGCGGATGGGTTGTGAAATGGGCAGGAAACGGGTGTGTAGAGGGACTTGTTCGGCTTCGAGCTGGGGAGAATGTGATCGCGTGTGTGTAGGTTCGGTAGGAGAAGAAACATCGTGTGTGGAGTTGTGCAGGTTGAGGCTGGCGGTTTGCGCGAGCGGGACGCCTTCGTCTTGGAAGTTCGTTACGCTGTTGCGGCTCGATATGCGGGCCAGTCTCTGCCCTTCGGCATGCTTCATTATGGCGGCAATGTTTCCAGGTTTGCTTGACTTCGTTATGATGGTCGTCACGCCCGCGCTTGTTGCTAATCGTGCTGCTACAATCTTTGTGCTCATGCCTCCGGTCCCCAGTGCCGACCCAGCACTGCTGACATCGGCCTCGAGGTCTGCAATGTCCTCGACCACTTCTATGGGCTTTGCGTCTGGGTCCCTGCGCGGGTTCGAAGTGTACAGACAGTCAACATCTGTCATCAGAAACAGGTAATCGGCCTGCACCATGCCAGCGGTGATGGCGCTCAACGTGTCGTTGTCACCGAACTTGATTTCCGTCACTGCCAAAGTGTCGTTCTCATTCACGATTGGGATGACTCCCATGTGTAGCAGCTCGAAGAAGGTGTTCTGTGCGTTCTGATATTGCGTGCGATCCGCGATGTCGTTCCGTGTGAGCAGTATTTGGGCAATTGGCTGCCGCATATGCCCAAACAGTTGATCCCATAGGCTCATGAGCCGACACTGTCCAATGGCCGCGAGGGCCTGCACCTGTGGAAGATGTTTCGGCCGCCTGTCGAGGTCCATTCTGCGAAGACCCACGCCAATGGCGCCGGAGGAGACGAGGACCACACGGTGGCCATCTTTATGTAGTTTGACAGCGGTCTCGACAATCACACTGAGGATTGAGAGTATGGGCTCGTGCGTCTTCTCATCGACAATGGACGAGGTGCCTGCGTCGCATTGGTAAGTTATTCTAAGCTCTGCGAATGTGGGGTAGGTGTACAGGAAGTTTACCAAGTTTGATGACGACGGTGAGCTGTCCGGGCTGCTTCTTCAAGTGGGCTGACATGCTGTGCGAGTCTGCTGCGAGCGGGCACGCAATCGCTATAAGTATGCAGAGTATGCGCGGCCAATGGCGTGTTCACCGCACTGCATTGTTCGCGGGCTGATATGACTGCATGAGGACGATAAATGGCTTCCCCACCGCCTTTGTGCGCGCCCAATCACAGCCCCCGACTGCCTCCGCAGCCCATCTTTTTGCGGGAAAGAACCGCGACCGCAACATCCACGCCCTACGCTTTCCGTTACGCACTGCTCTCTCCGTCGGCAGACCGGCTCCGCATCCTAGACGAAATGGCGAAGCAGGAAGACACGCCCGATGGCGTGCCTAATTCCGCGAGCGCGAAACCTGCCCCGAGGCCAGAGGCGCCCAAACTCGACCCCATATACTACACATGGAGCAGCACCTTCTCCATCCTCATGGGCCGCTATGTAACCGGCAACCGCGACGTACCACTGGAGCGTAAATACTTCGAGGAGATGGACGCCATAAAAGCAGACTCCTACTGCAAGCGCTGCGAGACGTACCGCGACTACCTCCTCCAATACTCGCCCATTGTGAAGTTCATGAAGGACGAGGTGGGCAAGCTGGGCGGCGATCTGAACGGGAAAAATATTCATTGCAGGATGTGCACGGCGGAGCAGAGCGGAGGGTTCCACGTCGACCATGGCATCATGCTTTGCGCGAACAAGTTCCGGAATCGGGGACACCAGGAGGATACCATGGCGCACGAGATGGTGCACGCGTGGGACCATCTGAAGTTCAAGGTCGAGGACAACAATTTGCGGCATCAGGCCTGCCTAGAGGTACGTACACCGAGTGCGATTCGACAACGACTTCTCCACTCCAGCTGGCTATCTAATACCTCTCTTCTCCTACCCATGAGACTAGAGATACAAAGCCAGCGGAAAGCAACGCATTGGCTTCCCAACCGCGCAGTTTGCGTCAAAACTACGCACGGGACCCTTCTGCTACACACATATCATTCCCACAATTGCGCTTGTATGCAAAAACAGTAACACTAACATCCCCCTCAGATCCGCGCCTCCACCCTTTCCGGCGAGTGCCGTTTCGCCCGCGAATTCTTCACCAAGAACCAATGGCGCATAACCGAGCAACTCCAGAACTGCGTGCGGCGTCGCGCAACGCTCTCCATGTTGGCGCGGCCCGGCATCAAAGATGACGTGCACGCCGCCAAGGTCGTCAATGAGGTGTGGGACAGCTGCTTCCATGATACGAGGCCCTTTGACGAGATATATCGGTGATTGGACTGGGCTGGGGGTAGCCGAGGTATAGATGTGAGGATGTAAGATTTGTAACATAGTAGGGAAAGATGGGGCTTTGATTACGTGCATAGCGAGGGCGTTGATATACCATAGGGCTTGCAATCCTCACTCTGGGTTCGTGGGGTTTTGTAACAGTACTACGATAGTGGATGTGCCAAATGCCTAGCAGGAGGCAAGTGCCTCGGTCGGACTTCGTTGTTCGAGCTTTTCGTGCGTATTCAAAATCGGTATTCGAGGAGAACGTGCTTGGACAGTTTCATTGCAGCTCAGATCCACGCGTCTCAGCACACAAAGCGCGTGTTCGAGGTCATGTCATTGCTAGTCTTAAAATATGTATCCTCACGCAGCAGCTGTCCAATCCACCACTAGGTATCCAGTAGATTCCCCCCTGCGCTTACTTCAAGTGCGTCTTGATGAGCGACTCGCCGAGCTCGATGTACTTCTTCTCCGCGTCGGCCTGCGAGGTGTTCGCGTCAACGACCTCCTGCCACCTCTTGCGCTTGGCCTTGCCCTAGTCCTTGTCAGCCTCTGCGTTTTCTCTCCTACCCCATCACTTCGTCCAGCACCGTGCGAGCGGCCTTAGAGCGGGCACCGAAGACGAATGCTACAGAGCAGAGGAAAAGAAATGCATGCGAGACGTACGGTGAAGTCCATCATGCCGGGCTTTGGCGCCTTCTCGATATCCTCGCCCTGCGCAACCTTCGCGTAGGCATACAGCTGTTCAACCTGTCAGCATCGATCTCTAGAGAAGCAGACAGCGAACGTACGTTCAGCAGGTCGTCATTGCTGGGCCCGGTCTTGATCTCGCGGGTCTTCTTGTAGACCTCTTCAAACTTTGCGGACGGCATTTTGGAGTGTGTAGAGTGGGTTTGTGGAAGTGAAGAGGAGGCGTAGAGGTGGTTTGTTGGAGGATGTTGTTGACGGGGAGGGGCATACGTTGGATTGACTAGCGGGGTATTTGCTTGGGTGGGGCTGCCTTAGGGGAAGCTACGTATGACGCATGGCGGAGTGTCATGTGCAACGTTGAATGTTGGATATGCAGGTTCACATGCAGCACAAGGAGATGCAGATGCCTAGGCACGGGCGCTGGCTGCAACAGCCGAGGGGCTTGCGGTAGCAAGTTAAAGTGACGAAGTGGAAGGAACAGGGGTACAAGTGTCCGTCGTATCATTTCAGACCGATTTTGAACCAACTGACCCTCAAAGCACATAGACAAGCTAGAGCTACTCACACAGGTTTACGCGTGCTCTATTAAGCTGGCTTAGAGAGTATCTATTCGACCATGTTTGGAACCATGCTGCACTTTTCCTGGCTTTATGTCTGCGCCAACTCTCACACCCATCAGCTTTCCAGCAGTGCCTCAATGGCTCCATAGAATCTCATAGCCTCTCCAACCAAGTGCTTGTTGCAGATAGCTCTATCAGGATGTGTTTGGCAATTGAGCCCATAGGCCATCAACACTGAGCACTATGCCGTGGGAACGTCCTTCGCTCCGGTGCGTGCTTCTGTGCCTTGTGGAAGTATTCCAGGTCGCTCTGCTTATCCAACAGGCTGACCGGGCCTTCTTAGACTGTCCGGAGATTGTTTGGTCTTCTGAGAGTTGACTAACCCCCAGGCTGCTCAGTCTCCGGGAGCAGTAATGAATCCCAGACAACCCCGTAATCTTTCATTCATATGTGCCGGTATCATTCGCGAAGATATCCCGCGTTCACTCATTTCAAAACCACCCTGTCTGATGACTTCTCGACCACGGGTATGAACTCGGCCAAGCGATTCGGGTCTCTCATGATGGAGAGCACATCCTCTCTGGTACCTGCCAGCGTCTTCCGCACAGTCTCATACTTCTCTTCCCGGGCGGTATATTCCCTGATCACCTCCCCTGTCGCGAACTCGACGAACACCCTGGTATCTCGTATCCGAAATAGCACATCGTCCAGCCTCATGAAGAAGCGACCCAGGAGCAGGAGTCTCGCAGGCATAACGCGGATCTTGCATGAGTACATGGCGATGCCGTTGTCCGCGAGCTCGTCCTCATAGAGCATGACGTCGTCGAAGAAGTGGATCGGGTCGGGGCGCTTGAGCAGCGCGAGTGGTATCGGGGTTTCGGTGGGTTGAAGCGCGGGAGTATCCGGTGTTGAGCCCTTGTAGTCGGTGCTGTAGGACCAGTCGAACGGCTTGACCACCTCTTTGATGTCTTCGAACTGCTTTTGTCTGGCAAGGTCAGGACTGCGCTGCAACTGAATGCGCGCAGGTGTTGCCTGCAAACCAGAAGACTCACCTGTTTTGCTGCCACTCCTTGGAGTAGGACACCTTCAGCATAGAGTCTCCTGTCTTGTCCACGCGGTCTAGCGCATCGAAGGCGTTGAACTCTATGTGCCAGCCGCTGGGCTTATGCTCAATGCGCATGAAGTTGTCGCCGAATATCATCTCCGGCGGCGCGATGCCCAGCCTCTTGGTCATGTCTTCGATGGGGCCAGCCTTCAAGATCGGGAGCTTCCGCGTGGTGATCTTGAAGCCATCCTTGGTGATGGATGTGTCTGCATGGCCGGGGGCAGTCGCGTCGACCGGCGCGCCGTTGAGCGTCATCATGATTCAAACGTGTCAGGCTGACGAGAAGCGAGGCGTGAACCAGTGGAGTTTGCACGTCGTGCACGAAAAAGTGTCTCAGCGTGAGCCGCGGGGACGAGGTGGGGGATCGGAGAGCTCAGAGCTCCGGGCCTCGCCTGCGCCGTCGCCCGAGCAACGCCGCTTGTGTACTGGCTCTAACACGACCATCCCAGGCCGCCCACTTTCCTCTCAAGCCCACTTGCACAATTGCCAGGCCTACGCAGTCTACTTGTCTGCATTCAATCGCAGCTCCAACCTGCGCTTTCGTTCTGTTCTACTCAGCGCCTTGCCTTCCAGCGCCTTGCATCCTTTCGTATCTCACCAGCCCATTATGGACGTTACCAATCTCGAGGCCGCTTTCGAGCGCATCACCGTTAACGACGAGAATGACGACCATGCATCTTACCACAAAGCGAAGGTACTACACACTTTCCGTCTTGCACCGTGGTGAAGTTGCTAACACCGTCGAAGTCATCAGTCGCCACCGTAACGGTAACCAGTCTCTCTGCATCACAATCCGCCGCGAACCGCATGAAAATGCCCCTGCAGAAGCTCGCTGCTTCAAACTCAATTAAGAACGTCAACGCAAGCATCGCAAAGGTCACGATAACATCGTCATCCACACAACCCCAAAACCCAGGCCACCGCCGCACGCTCACCGAATCCGCCCTCTACTCACAACCCTCAACAGCTAAGCAGTGGCACCTGGGCATGTTCGAGATCGGCAAGCCCCTGGGAAAGGGTAAATTCGGACGCGTGTACCTTGCCAAGGAGCGCTCCTCGGGCTTCGTCTGCGCGCTCAAAGTCCTGCACAAGAACGAGATCCAGCAGGGCAAAGTCGAGAAGCAAGTCCGCCGTGAGATTGAAATCCAGTCGCACCTCGCGCACCCCAACATCCTGCGGCTGTTCGGCCACTTCAACGATGCCAAGCGCATCTTCCTCATCCTCGAGTTCGCCGGCAAGGGCGAGCTGTACAAGCACCTGCGCCGCGAGCAGCGCTTCCCAGAGCCCAAGGCCGCCCAGTACATTGCCCAGATGGCCGCAGCCCTCAAGTACCTCCACAAGAAGCACGTCATGCACCGCGACATCAAGCCTGAGAACATTCTCGTGGGGATCCACGGCGAGATCAAGATCTCCGACTTTGGTTGGTCCGTCCACGCGCCGAACAACAGGCGCAACACCATGTGCGGCACGCTCGACTACCTACCACCGGAGATGCTGCTGGGCCGCGGCAAGGACAACTTCTACTCTGAGAAGGTCGATCTGTGGAGTCTGGGCGTGCTGACCTATGAGTTTCTGGTTGGAGAGGCGCCGTTCGAGGACACGCAGGTTATGACGCAGCGGAAAATTGTCAGGGGCGAGTACACGGTGCCCAATTTTGTGAGCCCCGAGGCACGAGATTTGATTAAGAAGGTGAACACAATCCCCTTTGTATCCTTCGCGAGCACTTGCTAATTGTTGTGCCTAGCTCCTCGTCCTCGACCCAGAGAAGAGAATCGCGCTCGAAGACGTTGAAAGGCACCCCTGGATCGTCAAGCACTGCAAGGGCAGCGAGCGCGCCTACGAACGCGCGTCAGGCGGCAAGTTCCGCAGCAGCTCGGAGCGGGAAAGCTGAAAACTCCATCGTGGGTAAAAAGCTGTCCAAATTTCTGTTTTTGGCGTCAAAGTTTGCGATGTACGGCGTAATCTAAGGCGGCGGGGCGTTCAGGACTGGTTCCTTTCGAGAAGCATTGTTGGCGTTTTTGGGAACGGGCTCAGGCATGTCACGCCGGGCTGACACGAAGCATTGCGTAGCACTGCGTAGCATAGCGATTTTTGATGATAATGCAAGTGCACATTGTTCGACAAGGCTTCTGTCCTGCAGTCCAGTGCGGTAGTTGTCAGCTTAGACCTGGAACCCCTCGGACTAATACCCATTCCATACCCTGCCCATCCAGTCCTCTTCGCTATCCGGCAGCGTCGCACACCAAGGTACCTCATCCTCCCCGTACGGACTCAGCGGCAAGTCATATGGCATGCGGAACCCAACCACCGTACTACACCCCCCCTTACCGTTCTCCTCGTCCTCACCACCTTCTCCAACCATGCCATCCACATCTCCAGCTATCGGCACATCCCTCCCAAACACTGGCACCATCATAGCATCCCCACCATCCCTCCCATCGCGGAACAAACCAGGCCACACCACGACCCCCGCCTCATAACTCTGCACCCACACCTCCCCTTTTTTGTTCTCCACCTCCCCCCACGCCTGCTTGCTCAAATTCGCACTTGTCGCCATCACCCAGTTGATCGTCGTCCGCCGCTCATCCGCAAACCGCACGTACGTCTTGATATGCGGCGCTGCCGGGCCGCGATGGGCCTCGTGCCTCTGCTGCCGCGGAGTGCAAAGTGCTGGAGGAGCGGGAGGGTCTTGGTATTTCCAGTGGCAGAAGTGAGGGCGTAAGTACTCGAGTTGTTTCTGCTGCGCTGGAGATTGAATTTTCGTGTGGATGGAAGCACCGGAGGCGTAACCGTCAAGGGAGGTGCGGATTTCGGGGGCGGTCGGGAAGATGATATTTAGGGTAGGAGGAGGACTTTTGGAGGCCGGGGAGAAGATGGTCGGAATTGGGGATTCGGTACGGTTGAGTACGGAGCGGAAGTGGTTGAGCCAGACGGGAGTTGCGCCGAGGGTGGCTATGGACGATATTTGAGCCACGATGTTGGGGGTGGAAGTTTTCGGCTGGACTGGTATGGCTGAGAGGATCTCTTTGAGACCGAGCCAGCCGAACGAGGTTTGTGAGGATGGTCTTGCGTTGGCAGGTTTTTGGCGTGAAGGTGCGCTTCCGAGGAAGGCTGCTCGGATAGCAGAGGGATCGTAGTTAATCAGCTGCTCTGTCAGGGCGTGGAGTCGGTTACCATATGCATTGAAGTAACAGAGGAGGTCTTTCATGAAGCGTCCCCCAGTGCCGATCGGGACCGCGGCATTGGCTAAAGATGGTGTAGGTGATGTCTGAAGAGGCAACAGAGGTGATCTCCATACAGCTTGCGTCATGTTGGTCCAATCCTATGATGCGGATATGGAATTAGTATGAGTAGAACTGGTAAGGACGGCGCCCATTCTTCAGTCAGGTATATTTTCCCCTACCGAAAACGCATATTCAATTGTCACCTGGGTCTTTACTCACTCGTTCGATCATATTCGCAGTATGGATGACTACCTGGGCGAAGTCGTCATGTCGGAACAAAATTATCATCTTGGTATGATGAGTTCCGAATGGGTCCGGCATATATGCGGGTATGAGTTGAATATTCGGGTAGCGCTCTGCTGCTTCCTTCTCAAAGTTAGTCATGAAGGACGGGAAGTGTTTGTGAGCAATAGTGAGTACCAGGAGTGCAATCCTTCTCTGGTCTTCGTTTTTCCAAAATCCGTGTATGATTTTGACCTTGACGATGTCTCTAATATCCGCGTCGAAATGGCTCCTACCCGTATTAGCTTTAGTTTGAAGGTCGAGTCCTAGCTCCTGTACGCATCGCTATCTGGTGAGTTGGCAGACCAACTCAACTCAATGTCTGCTTGCAGAAACAACAGACTACTGGTAATTCGGCAGGACTACTCACATCACAAAGTCCACACTGAACAAATAATTGAAATTCCAGCACTCCTTGATCATAGGATCTCCCAGAATGTCCCTCAGCCCCACCGCATCTGCATTCTGGTGCGGCGCCAGATCTCTGATCCTTGTGAGCTGAAAAGGCGACCTGACAAACTTGAGCTCTGTAGGGCTGCATAACGGCTCCGCCGTTTCATCTGCGGGTGCCCGTGACGATTCGCTCACGTGCTCATCAACTAGCAGATGAAGTTGCGATGTAGGCGGCGTCGGCGAGCGTGGCGTATGGTGTCTGCTGCGTAAGGGCGGCGGGCTGATAGGTCGCTGCAGGCTGGTTGTGTTCGCCTCGCCTGTAACAGCTTCTTCTGAGATCGATGGCGGCGTGCATCCTGTATCGGTGATGTCTAAATCTAGCTTCCGCCGCTTGGTCGGAGGACCTTCGTGGTCACTTTCTGCACTCGTCATGAATAGGTATGCAACTGGGAAGCTTTGGGTAAAGTCGAGAGTTGAGGCGGGAGGCGGGAGGCGGGAGGCGGGAGGCGGGAGGTTGCCATTAGGGTAGTCTGTCAGGTGAAGCATGCGGCTTAGCGAGCGCCATCAAGGCAACCACGATCTGGAGGCAAGTTGGCTGGGCATGGTAACAACTATCAGCGCGAGATTGGTTTGTGACATAAATGACGTCGATTAGATGAGCGTCAACCACTGTGCATACTTGGGAGTGATCTGTTCATTCTTGGGCTATAGTTCAGGTATTCCAATTTAATCACATGGAAGAAGTGCACCTAGAGCTGAACAATTTCACACTTGAGCATCCTGTTCACGTGGCACAGAATACTCATTGTTCATATCATGAATAGTAGTCGATTTTCCATCTATACTAGGGCTAGAGCTGGTGCATCGTAGCCAGGTTTTGAGCATTAGAGCCGCTGCCAATCCAAAGCGCATGCCGTCTAATCGTGGTGGGGTTTGAATGCCCCAGCGAACGCTTGAAGGGAAATATTACCTGCCAAAACTGCAGATATCCTAACGCCGGGTCGCTTATGATGAGAAGTTGAAATAGCTGAAATCACGCTCATGCCGCGCTTGCGCTGACGATGGGCTGGTGGACCTTGGTGGCCTGGTTGCCAGCCCGGATAATTGGGTTGCCCATCTCATCCTTTGCAATCTGGACATCCTTGTTCTCCTTCTGAGCGCGCTTCCAAATCTCAACCTCACATCCGCCTCGGATGACACCGACCCTCATGGTGGAGAGCAGGTTGTGCGCACCGTTAGAGTGGAGGTAGACACCACCGTTGAACATGGCGGTGGCGTCCTTGCCAACACCGCTACCAATCAGCGCTTTGCCACCGGGGTGCTCAGCGATGAAGTCGGTAACATCATGAACGATACCAGCGACAGCAATGAGACCACGGCCGTTCTTAGCCTGCTCAACGTAGTCGTCCCACTCGATGACAGGGAGCTGCTCGAGAGGAACACCCCAGTCAAGCTTGGCTCGCTTCTGATCAAGCTTCTTCTGGAGCTGCTGTACACGACCCTTCTCGATCTCGTTAGAGCGGAATTGCTTGAGGTCGGAGGCAAGGCCGAGCTTGCTCCAAAGCCAGATGCTCCACTTGGTGGGGTCGTACTGGTGCCACTCGATGGCGTTGCGGTAGTCCGAGGGGAATTCGTGGTGAAAGTTGTGGTAACCTTCACCGAGGGTTACGAGCGCGGTGATGACGTGATCCCTGGGGCTGTTGCGGTCATCGAAGGGCTGGTCACCGAGCCAGTGGGCGAGCGAGTTGACGCAGAAGGTAGCCTGCTGGACGAAGAAGATGCGGAGGATACCAGCGTAGATGAAGCCACCGACCCAGTCACCCCAGCCGAATCCAGCAACCATGGTCGGGAAGATCAGGCCCATAAAGGTGACGACCTTGAGGTAGTTCTTGTGCTGCCAGACAACGACCGGATCCTCGTTCAAATCGGTGATATCAGTGCGACCGATGCGCTTCGGGTTCTGCTTCATGAGCATCCATCCGAAGTGGCTGTACAGAAGGCCCTTGCGAACGCTGTAGGGGTCCTTAGTGGTGTCGGTGTAGCGGTGGTGGGCGCGGTGGTCACGGCTCCACCAGCGGATAGAGCCCTCGACGGCACCACCGCCGACGGCGGCAAGGAAGATCTTCAGCGGGAGAGACGCGTTGTAAGACTTGTGCGCCCAGAGACGGTGGTAGCCGGCTGTGATGCCGAGGCCGGTCCAGAAGTAGTAGATCACAGCCCAGATGGCCGTCTGCCAGCGAAGCGGGGTCCAGAAGGCGTAGACGCAGCCCATCAAAGGAATGCCGACGATGAAGAAGACCTGATTGGATCATTAGCAATGAACAACCGCGCTGGTTGTTGCGTTGTAAGCTTACATTGAGCCAATTGACGTGCTTGTACCAGTTTCCCCTCGTGATGGGGAGATCTGTAATGTGCGGTTTCTTGGGATCGTACTTCGAGTTCCGGTTCGGCTCAGACGTGCTCGCCATGGGAGATGGCTGCGAGACGTACTGAGGGTCGATGGCCGTCATGCCGGCAACGGGCTGGTGCGAAGGCATGATTGTCGTGTGCGGGCGAGGAGCGAGGGTTGTTGATTGAAAGTCTCGCTACACGAAGACGCGCCAGTCGTCTGTCGATGTGTCAAGTCCACGCGGGACAGGTAAACCACGCACGAGGCAGTGGTAGGGGAGAAGTGTTTGAGTGGGAGGGAGGGAGGGAAAGCGGGATGAGGATGGAAGGAGGAAAGAGGCAAGCGAGCCCGATAATAAAAGGCGGTGGAATGGAGACGCTTGGTGGAAACGCCCAGGGTCGAGCGTCCGAGAAATGTTGAACCCCAACGCCGCGAGCCCCAAGCGAATGGACCGGGACCTTGCATCCAGCACTTTCGAGACCCCAAACGCTCGTCACCTTGCCCCGTCCGGGCCTAGCGCAGTGTGCCATTCGCCCGCTCAGGGTCTCGCGCGCCCGCAGTCTGTGGCTTGGGCGAGTTACGGTGTGCAGAGAATTTTGGAGCGGCTGCTTTCGCCGTTAACACCCCGCCGATCGCAGCATCGAGAAGCGTCGATGCGTGGCAAAACGCTGACCATGACCCGTGTTCGTAGCAGACATCCACTTTTCGCCCAAAGAAGCGCAGTGAATAGCGCTGCTTGGACCTGCATCACCATATCGCCATGACTGCCAGCGCGAGCAGCCTCAGTCCCGAGTGCCGCGCTACTGTGCACAGTGTAATAATGCCGAGACAGGTTGCTCTTCCGAGCTTCGGCGACGGCCTCGGCAACTGCTCCTCCTGCCAGCCGTCATCCTCACGCCACGCGGAGCTTCCAAGTACAGGAAATCGTGATGCAATCGAACGTGGTGTGCATCGCGGCTGCGTCGCGTGAAGAAGATAGGAAAGCTGCGGTTCTCTGCAACCAGCAGCAGCTGTTATCGTTATCAAGGGTCTGAGATCCGAGCCAAACGAAGCTCAGTCATCGCCATCGGGTCCTTGTTTGACGCGCATCGTCGCAGATGCGAAGGTGGACGCTTGCGCACTGAATGCACTGGTTTTCCACGGCGTATGCGAACTATCCCGTCTTTCGCCATGGTGTTCGTAGCTTCCTGAAAGTAGTCGTGGCCGTGGCAAGGGCCTTCGCAACCGTCACTCGTTTGGGTTTAGTTCTACAATTGAGTACAGCCGAAGCTCCCCAACATCAGCCTCGTCGCGTAGCTAGCCCAAGTGTGCCACCATGAATTGTTGATAGCATGATTGCATTCCAAGGGCAAGGTTCTGTTGCGCATCGCATCAAAGGAAACCACATACCTCCCTCGGCTTCAGTTGACACAGCATGGTGCCTAGGTCCTTCCTTCCAGGCTTGAGGCGTACATGTGATGGAACAGAAGGCACTGCCTGTTGTACTCTCCTTGCGTTAGCTACCTCATCTCTCTGCTATACTTCTTCTACCATGCACATAACCTCGGCAATGGTCAACTTGAAGATGTCGCGAAATGCTACTAGGAGGGCGACGTGAACCAACCGACGCTCGTTGAGACATGCATCTTAGAAGTGCTGTGAGCAGTTTCCTTCCAGCTAGCCGTGTGCTATGCTCATTACCACACAAGGCTGCTCGAACGTCGTCAGTGAGCTTGAAACTTGTTCCATCAGTTCCAGCCAGACGGATTCGCAGTGTACGTTGCCGGTCCTAGTACGGGAAGATACCAATACTGAAGTCTGGGGTCGGTCATGCAAATGGGCATCCCAACAACTCGACTACTTATACACTACAGAGCCTCCACACCCCTGCCAGACATCAACTCCGCAACGGCAAGTCTTCGGAACAACCATCAGCCCTGGTGTAACGAGTCATGTACTGTGCGACAACTGCTCCAGACAGATCAATGGCACAGGTCGTTTGCGCGCGCCGCACCCCGCAACGAGTCGTCGGAACTCAGCGATGCTGATATCGGGATCGTCCAGTACTTCGTCTAGACGAGGTCTCCGGCTCTTGTGTGTGGGATGTCTGTCGCATAAGGCCTTCCTCCACATCGGAGGTACCCGGATCACGTGCCCTCCATCGCCCGGCGTTTAGCGATGTGGAATGTGGTGCTTATCAGCGAAGTTTGTTAACCTTTTAGCAACATCACATTGCCCGCATCCGAAACTGGCCCTAGCTCCAAGTATACACAAAGCTCTCTTAGAGAACTCGATGATGCTGGCGGAGGGTAGCGATGCTGTCGGCGACCTCCAGAAGTCGCGTCTCATTCAGCGCAGTGGTCACAGCGTCTTGCATTCTTTTCGGCGATAGCAAAACTGCGTCTGGATCTTTGGCATGTTGCTTTTCTTCGTCTTGGTATATTCTTGGATATCTAATCTGCGCGGAGAAGCTAGCCCCCAGATGAGTCTCCGGAATCGCAAATCGTTCACGATAAAGCCCTGTCGAGCATGAGTCTTTAAAAGAGGATCAGCCACCGTCGTGAAATTATCATCATATCGCACCAGCTCTCCAGCTGCCATTGACTTCTCGATTGCGTACGTTGTTCACGCGCGGCATCCCCGCATCTCGTTCCTGACTGCGAAGGCGATCCCAAACCCAAGCTCCACGCGACTCTTAGGTTCTACTAGCGCACACCCCGTATCGATTTACGATCTTGTTCGCTTACCATATATCTGCCATTGTTCAGCTATCAGCACCGCCTTTCCCACACTTCTATCAAGCCTTTAGACTCCGATCCGCAATTGCCGACTCTGCTAAGCTGCAACCTCAGCCGCATGAAAGGTTGAAAACTCGAAAGGATCCACCAAACCCTGCTCAAAAGTGACTGTCGACACAATGGCTATTCCAGACCGCATTGGACCGGATCATGACCTTAAACGAACTTTTGGAGAAAAGGTTCGCCGCGTGGTAAAGGCTTTCACGACCAAGTACGCTCAAACAATCGTGCACAGAGTCTTGATACTGATAGCTCTGCAGGGATGGACTTGTTGGAAACTATGACTATGCATTCTTGTTCAAGCCGAATCTCCCTTTCATGAAGAGGGAACGGAGAGCAGCGCCCTTCTTCGGCCTCCACGATCGCATGCCAGTTTTTCTCGCGCTCCTGCTTGGCTTCCAACATTCTCTCGCCATGTTGGCTGGTATTATTACACCGCCCATCATCCTTTCCGGCGCAGCAAACCTCACATTGGAGATGCAGCAATACTTGGTTTCGACTTCGCTGATCGTCTCCGGCCTTCTTTCTGCCATCCAGATGTCTCGCTTCCATTTTTATAAGACCAACTACTACTTGGGCACCGGTTTAATCTCAGTCGTCGGCACCTCCTTCGCAACGATTCCCATCGCCACCGGAGCCCTCGCTCAGATGTACCAGACCGGCTACTGTCCCGTGGATGCAGATGGTAACAAGCTGCCTTGCCCGGATGGTTACGGAGCTATCCTTGGCACGCAGTGTGTCTGCGCTCTACTCGAAATCCTGATGTCCTTCACTCCTCCCAGAATCCTCAAGCGCATCTTCCCTCCGCTCGTCACTGGTCCTACTGTCATGCTCATTGGTGTTCATCTTATCGAGACCGGCTTCAAGAACTGGGCAGGCGGCTCCAACGACTGCGCCGGTAGGCCCGAGACTGGTCTTTTCCAGCTGTGCCCCACCATCAACGCGCCTCGCCCGCTGCCCTGGGGTAGTGCAGAATTCATTGGTCTCGGATTCAGCGTCTTCATCAGCATCATCATCTGCGAACGTTTCGGTGCACCTATCATGAAATCGTGCGCCGTGGTTATCGGTCTGCTCGTCGGCTGCATCATCGCCGGCGCCTGTGGCTACTTCGACCGGAGCTCCATTGACTCTTCGCCCGCCGTGTCCTTCATCTGGGTGCACACCTTCAAGCTCTCTGTCTACGGGCCCATCGTTCTACCATTACTAGCCGTCTACATGGTCCTTGCAATGGAAGCCATGGGCGACATCACCGCCACTTGCGATGTCTCGCGCCTCGACGTCGACGGCGAGCTTTTCGACTCTCGCATTCAAGGCGGTATCCTCGCCGACGGCATCAACGGCGTGCTCTCCGGCCTCTGTACCATTACGCCCATGTCCGTATTCGCGCAGAACAACGGCGTCATCGCGCTCACCCGCTGCGCGAACCGCAAGGCTGGCTTCGCTGCGTGCTTCTGGCTCATCGTCATGGGCGTCTTCGCAAAGTTCGCGGCTGCGCTTGTCGCCATCCCATCTGCGGTTCTGGGCGGCATGACGACGTTCCTGTTCTCCGCCGTGACCGTCTCCGGTATCAGAATCATCAGCACGATCGAGTTCACCCGGCGAAACAGATTCATCCTGACCGCGGGCCTGACAGTCGGTCTGGGCGCTACGCTGGTGCCCGAGTAAGTCCCCTCACCTCTGCCTACTAAGTCCTTTTTTATTTATTTATACTAACGTATCCCAGCTGGTTCTCCTACGTCTTCACGTACTCGGGCCCCAACCACGCGCTTCTCGGCTTCTACAACGCCATCGTGCTCGTGCTGGAGACCGGCTTCGCGATTGTGGCCTTCATCAACCTCGTGCTCAACCTGGTGCTGCCGGAGGAGATTGAGGACGAGGAGACGCCCGAGTTGACGGCTGATGAAGTGGATGGGCCGGCGGAGGGTGTGGAGTGGCGGGGGAAGCAGAAGGGGCAGTCGACTGATGGCGAGGGAGATGTTGAAGCTGTAAAAGCGTAGCTGGTTGAGTGAGGTGGTGGTGGTGAAAGAAAAATGGTTAGCGGGCGGGGAAAATTGTACAGCACGGACGGTGTACCATGACTTATGAAGCGCTTTTTTCGCAGCGGAATGAAATTCTCTCAATTTCCATGTATGATCTGGCATTGGTGTAAGACGCGCCAACATGCACGGTGCGTTTCTGGGGAGAATGCTTGGGTGGTTGCAATGAAGATTCGGAACACCAGCGCACTTCCAGTAACTAGGTCGGCAAAAGCAAGTCGTCGAAGATGGACAGATCAGGAGGTGTGGGCCGTTGCCGAAGCACATCATTCAACGATCCCTACCTCCAGCAACTCCACGTCACATCCTCTCAATTCCCGCTTTCACAGGTATCAAGGTACTTCGAGAAATCGGTGTAGCGAGCCCATTCTACGAAGTCTCTACACAGCTACAGCACCCACATCCCCCCTAGCCTGGTAGTCTCACCCTCTCGGGCATGCCCTCCACACCCGCGCCTCGATCCCATCTCAGAAGTCGTTCGACCACGCCTTATCCAGCTCCGATTTGAACCTGCAGTCAATGAAGGGCGTATTTGCACTCCCAAAGTTGGCCTTCTCCAGCGCCGCCCGCGCCTTCCCACTCAATTGCCCCCGATCAATAAGCGGCTGCCTGCCCCCGGTCCGATCCGTCTTCCAAAGACTATGCGTGCTCCCGTCCCCAATGTTACTATACTTCACCTTCGGCGTCGACCCGCCCTTGTACTTACGATATTTCCCGTGTGCAGAGTATGAGATGCCTGTTACCCTCGCGCCCGAGGTCTTGCCCGAGAGCCAGACGACAATATTCTCCCAGTCGTGCGTATGGCCCAGATTGCCGGGGCCGTCCACATTCTGATCCTTCGGGAAGTACCAGGCGTACATAATGGCGTAGCGGTTTTTGTGCATGGTGGCGCGGGCGTAGACTTGGCCGGTTGACTTGCTGCATTTGCCGTTCATGGCGCCGGAATGCTTGAGGCCGCTGCTGTTGAGAGGTTAGATGGCATGGGAATGGGAAGCGGCCGATATTGAATCCTCGCAGAAGAGATGATATGGACGTACTTCAGCTCGCCGTTGGAGTTCACGGCGGGAAAAGGAACACAGCCAGTCTCCACGAAGAGATAAGGTTGGTACTTCTTGATGAGTTGTCCCGCCACGCCACCCGGCACTTTAGGTGAGCCTTCATGGCCCTTGACCTTGTCATGCGCGATCCATTTCTGGGGTGAGGTACTGCATGCGGCAAGAGCAGTGCCGAGATGCAATGCGGCGATCAAGAGGAGGCTAAGACGAGCCATTGTTGCGTTGCTGCGGAAAATGTTTGGCGACTTGTGCGAGGCTCCTTGGAAGATGAGTGTAGAGGAAGGTAGTCGAGATGCAATCCCCTCGTGCTGGCTGAAACCAAGATACTCAACGACGCCTTATATATTCAACTGATCCGGAGTCTAGACTCTGTCCAAGACTCGCTTCTCGTGAAAACAGTTATTCAAGGCCTCGATGGATTACTTCATATGTTCAGTTTTCTCCTCTTCTGGTATGTCTCTTGCTCGAAGGCAGGCAGTGTACCGTTTGTATGCCTCTCAATTGATCTGGACCTATCAGGAAAGCTGCCAATCGTTGGCAGTGCCATAACGAGCTAATTTCATGGGGCGGTATCTGAATCGCGTTGGGGCGAGATTTGAGACACGTGCGCTGCGAACTCCGACCTACCAATCATCTGAGAATTAACACGATGTATCGCAACCGGATTTTCGGCCTGTGGTATTGCGCGAGTGTGTTAGCAAAGTACAGAGTGCCGTCATAACCATATGCGTGACATGATATCTTTTGCGTACGAGGAATCTGGAAGAAAGAAGCGAGTGCGGATGCTCGAACCATCCGCGTGTCCTAGTCCCGTGCAGCACGGCACGAGAGACGAATTGATGCTGCTCGAGGTAACAGCGCTACCAATCTCGATACTATAGTCAGCTCCACATCGATTGAGACTCAGGAGAGTGCATCCAACAGAGGGCAATGCAAGACTCTTCAGTCTGGGAAGCCGGGTCCTGGAAGCCGGAAACTTGTAGACGACCATCATTGGCCAAGTCGATCTTATATAGGGTACGTTGGGGACGAAATGGCCCATCTAGAAATTGTAGCTGCTACAATGGCGGCCAGCATATGTTTAGTAATCAGAACGTCCGAAACTGGCGGCTTGGAACTTAGAGCATTAGAAGAGGAGCGGTTCCGCTTAGCCGCACGAATGCGTTACGTGTGTATCAGACAATGAAAGGGAGACATAGACCCTGTCAATTCATGTCACCCAACTGGCCATAGTCTACGGCTTGCACTATACGTTTGGACATAGCAAGAACTTGCCATGAGTGGATTGGGGAGTCGGTGCGGCTGGAACAATGTAGAGTATGCCCCGAGTCACGCAAAATTCGACTGTTCAGGTGAGTGGGCTGATCGATAAAATGTGCTGTAATGAGATAGTCTGTCAATTGTGATGATGCATTCGGTTGGAGATTGGCCTCGTGGTACATGGAACAGATCAAGCGTCTGTTGCTTTTGGCAATTTGACCGACCAGCGAACATCTTCGTCTCAACTGGTGGGTAAAGTGGAATCATCCTTGGCGATAAACTGAAAAAGTACCCAGGATTCGGTACTCGTGGATGCGTCCTGCATGTAAGCCGGCTAATGCAGGGTGCGGATCCGGAAGCTGTGAACCAGCTCCCCGTCTCATGGGCGTGGAGTTCGCCAATGAGGGGTGTAGAAGATGTAGAACGAGTGGTGTTTAGTGGGGCATGCTTGCGTAGGAATCAAGTTGCTGTTCACCACCTTGTGACCTTGGGGCCCGAAGGGGTTTTTGGCAACAGGCTTTACCTTGCTGGCATGCACACACAGCTTCGTAAAATATGCTGTGTTCATTTGCTACGGAGAGGTTGCAGAGAAGCTGCGCCGAAGGGGGTCTAAACTGCCGCTAGGTCGTGGAGATCGGTCGATGAGAAGAGGCCGTCAGCGACAAGTGAAACTGTGAGACTCGAGAATCAACACTGGACAGTTGCAGAGGGGCCATGACGCTGGCCGGGCAAGCAATGGTGAAGACACGGCTCCTGCCCCAGTGGCTGCAGGTAACCGCGGCGAGGGCCTTCGCCCAGAATTGACTTGGCCGGAGGAGCTCGCTTCGAGCGGGCAAAGGCCGACGGCACAGACGGTGACAGCTCGCTCGAGTGTCTGCCGACCTCGTGCCCAAAGCAGCGGCGTGTGCCGTGCAGAGAGGCCCCTGCGGCTGTCAGTGTGGAGGGTGCGGGCACTGCAGCACTGCAGCCTGAGGCGCGCCAACGGTTGCGTGCGAGCAGCTCGCGGCGCATGGTGGATCTCCCGCCAAGGCGCGGTAAGAGGCGAAGGCGCGTGTGTAGGCACTGGGAGCCGCGGACGACGGTGGATTTGCAGGCCATAAGCGCTCGCGTCGTCGTATCTGCTGTCTGCTGTCTGCCGTCTGCCGTCGGCCGTCTGTCCAGCGTGCGACGCAGCTGCTGTTCGAGGCTGCGTCACTCGCACGGTGCCTTGGGCGCGGCACTAGCAGCCGGTGGCGCCTTCCTCCAGTGCCCACAGCTGCAACGTGCCTGCCTCCGAGCGCGCATCCTCGGTGCAACTGCGTCGATCCTCGCACGGCAACAGCAGCTCCACAACGGCCACCGGGCCAAGCTTTGCCGCAGCACCCCACGGGTCGCTCGCGAGCCTGAGCGAGCCTGCTGGTCGTCTGTTCTCCACCGAAGCCGTTGTCACTCGCGGCCATTTTCGCGCTACCTTCGTACATTCGCCCTTCTTCCGACCTGCGCAGGGTCTGAACCTGTTCACTGACGCCGTGGCGCTTTTTCGTCCTAGGACGCCTTCTCGCACAGTCCTCACCCCGGTCGCTCCGAACATTCTGCCCTCGCCTCTGGCTGTGAGCCGAGCTGCCCACTAGCCGCACTGGGAAGGCTCTACCCTTGTATCATTTTCAACGGTGACCTCACGCTCCGCACCCGCATCCTCCAGCCTCGCTTCATTGCAGCTCCGCAACCTGCTCTGCTAATTTAGCACTCTGCATTGCGGTTACGACTACCTGCCTCGTGTCTCTGTGGCGTCCACAGTATTCCAGCACTGCAGCACGTCTAGACTCCTTCGGGACCTGACAACAGGCCACCCAGCGTCGCCCATCCAGCGCCACACTTCGTCCTCTGGTAGCAAAAAGGACGTGTCCGTCCGTGGCCCTTCCCTTCAGCTTTCACTTCTCCGCCGGTCCCAGCGAATTATTAGATTCGACCTAACCGGACTACGGCGGGTGAAGTGAATTAGGTACCTACACTCCTTACATCCACTGGCCTTTGCAACCATGGACACCACCTTCATCACCATTCATGGTATGTCGTCTGCCAATGACCATCCAGGTCTTAGCTTAGACCAATAGATCTCTCCGAGGAAGCCCACATCCTCTACTCATCAGACTCCATTGTCGACATTCTCGGCCACACGCCCGACGAGGTCGTCAACAAATCGGTATGGCAGTTCTTCCACCCGGACGAGATTCCCATAGCGAAGCAGCTACATGACCGAAGCGTGAGGCTTGATAAGGCTTCCGTTCTCTCGTACTGCCGCATCAAGAACCGCCAGGGCGAATGGGTCGGCTGCGAGTGCTGTTTCTCCATCGTTTACGATGTGATGGTCTGTTGCACCTCCATCTATCGCCAGGGAATGAACAGCCAGAGTAAGTAAACCTAGCTACGCACGTCCTACAATGCTGACTTGACATTGCAGAACGTGCAGCAGAGGCGCCCATCGTGCGGAAGCTGTTTTCCTCATCCCCTGAGGATCCTCGCTACCATATGCTGTCGCACTTGTCCAGCAAGTTTACGCTTGGCCCAGAGAGCCAGACGCACGAGCCGCGCGCCGCTCTTTTCCTCAACCGCTTCACTCGAACTTTGACGGTCATGTATGCCACCAGTGGCATCGAGGAGATCCTTGGCATACCGAGTGATGAGATGATAGGACGTAGCTTCTACTTTTGCATCGCACAGAACTGTCTGAACGACGCAGTAAAGTGCTTGGAGTCGGCTAAAGGCAATGACTCTATCGCTTATATGCGCTTCTTCTTCCGCGATCCTCGTCAAGACGATCCTCCGAATCCGTTGAGTTCGGAGAGCGAGGACGATATAATGACAGACATCACATCTTCCGACGACGAATCCGAGGCTTCAACAACTAATGGAGAAACCCATTTGTCGCGCGGCGAGTTTTCAAACAGCCGTTCGCACGCGTCCAACAGTATGGACACCAACGGCGGCTCCAACTCGCGAGAACCCTCGGGAAATATTGCCGACCGCTCGAATGTCCACTCAGAGGCTCGTTCGGATAGCTCATCCCTAGCGGCTGGCTCGCCTTACTCGGATGCCCGCGAGGAAGCCATCGAGCTCGAAGCTGTTGTTTCTTGCACCTCCGATGGGCTTGTTGTGTGCCTTCGTCGCGCCCGACCTGCGATACCCACCCCTACTGCGCAACCCGCAGTCAACAACGGAATCTTCGCTGCTCCCTGGGCACAACAACCCATGTTCGCTCCCGCTTTGCCCCAGCTACCACCCTACCCTCTCGGTGCAGTGCACCCTGCTATGGCTCAGGCAGGCCCTCCGCCGGCAATGCAGAGCACCTTCATGCAAGCCATTCGCGACGTTGCGGTCTTTGCATGGGCTCTGGTCGGAATCAATGGGAGTCTTGCGGAATACGCAGACTCCCGGAGCAAACCCGTGGGTGAAGCTCAACCCCCGGATGGCTTCCCTATCTGGGATCCAAGCCATAGACCTGATAACAGGGACAAGCATTCCATGGCACCATCGGGCTATGCTTCGGGTTCTGGGAGTTCGTCGAGCCACGATCCTTATGGGTTTGGCGATCCAGGTCTCAAATGAGATGGATAGCTGTACAGCCCGCTTGCATGGCGGCCTGCTTGTGACAGCTGATCTCGCAGTACGCTGTCTGCACCGACCACTCTGATATCCATGATCTTCTGGGCGAACCAAAAATGCGCAGATGGCTCAACATCTGAAGTAAAATGGCTGTGAAGCGTTCAAGTATGTCTATGATTTATGATCGGTTTACAGGAGATGACTGTTATGAATCTGCGGTTTCCACGCTTCACGAAGCATGCTGGAATAGGTGATTGTCTCTTCCAAACGAGTTTTAACAGATAGCAAAATCCAAAAAAAAAGAATGACTTCAGTCCCGACCACACAATTCAACAAGATGTTCGTGTTGTTCGGAACTCAAACTCTCACCCGCATGAGCTTGAACTTCAAGTTGTTCATTTCTGGATACGCCATCATTTCAAAAGCGGGCAATGTTGTGGCAATCCTCTTCTCCTGTTGTTTCCACGCTACGCCGTGGCTTCAATCATCCCAACATGAGGAGCCTCGACCTTTGTCTCGAATGAGTCCTCATTGAACGTGATAACGTGAGGAGTAGAGAACATCGAATCACCGGCGTCGAATCCCGCCACAGCTTTGCTTGCCTTCGATAAGCCCTCCATTCGCTTTGTTCTTTGCCACTATAGGGAAAGGGCAGCTGCTTTGGGATCAAGGAGGATGACTCTATACTCCACAGTCGATACGCAGTCTGCAGCTATACCGTAATAGGCTGATTGCTACAGCTTCACATTCTTTAGGCCGTGGTATCGGGACCATGTACAGTGACGAGTATGGTATCCTTGCGACCTCTCATAAACGCATTCATCGCCTTCGTTACAGCTGCGTCCGCCGCCAGCACCTCATCCAACTCGAACATTCCCTCACGTACGCGGACAGCATCTACAACAACGCTGCTTTCATTCGTGATGGCGGCTTCTTCGGTACCGCCAGATTTTCCGTTCACAGTCCCTCTTACATTGCTATCGACTCCTTCGAGCATGAGCATCTGGGCTCCTACTCAAACGTACACTGTCCAGGTCGGCAACGGCGATCACAAGTTCAAACCGGATGTCATACAAGCGGAAGTTGGAGACGTAAGTTGAAATCTTGGGAAGACATCTAGCTGCAGAGAGCCTCTTATGTTCCTCAGGCCGCGTAAGAGGGTATCATGCTAACGACCAAGATCGTCGAATTCGACTTCTACCCCGTAAACCACAGTGTTATCCGCGCAGAATACGAACATCCATGCATACCGTACGAAATGACAGGCAGAGGCAAAGTCGGCTTCTGGTCGGGTTTCCACGCCCCAGACGCTCTGTTGGGGGACCCTCCAAAATACACGGTCCGAGTGAACGACACCGCCCCCGTTTTCTTCTACTGCTCCGCCCCCGACTCCTGCACGAAACAGGGCATGGTCGGGGTCGTTAACCCCAACGCCTCCACCTCGCTCGCCCACCAGCGCGACCTCGCCCTCCAAGCTTCATACCAGCTCTCCCCCGGCGAACCCTTCCCCTCGGAAGCAGAAACTCCGTCCTCCACGTTACCAAATGCCACTGCTGTCCAAATCCCCGCTCCCGTGCACTCCAGCAGCAAGCTCGGTGCAGGTGCCATCGCGGGTATGGCCATCGCAGCGGTGAGTGTAGCCGTGCTTGGCGTCGTCCTGGCGTTTTTTGGGGGCAGGCTAAAGAGTCTGGGAGACGAGGTCAAGCGGAAGGACAGCACCGTCGTGCGCTCGACGGAGCCGCGCAATACGTGGTTTCTGGCGGGCTCGCCCGCGTGGCCTTCGCCAACTCCAACGCCTCAGATGCAGATGCAGGCTAGCCAGAACATGCCGAGTCCGCCGAACAGCGCGGCGGTGACGCCGCACGAGCGGGATGTGGGAATGGACGTGGGCAGCCCGATGACGAGCCACGCCGTGCCGCCCGCGTACTACGAGTCGCCTGATCATGGCCATGGCCAGTGGAGCAGGAGCGCGGCCGTTGGACTCGGCGTCACTCGCGACGCCACCAACACAGCATATCATATGTCCCGCGCCGCGAGCCCCAGGAGCGTAGGCGGCACCTTCGACTGGTCCCCCGTGACGAAAAGCTACACGCGGACGCACGAGAACCCTTACTCTCAGGCTCGCTCAAGCCCAGATGCAGAGGCGAGTTACAAGCTGACGCTGACAAGCGACATGACATCCCCCGTGGACCCGACGCTGGCTCCGCCGAGCGAGCTGCAGCGCGCGGATATAAACGGCATGCCTGAGGTCAGAGAGGGCTATGTGTATGAGAATGGGCGGTGGGTGGGGCGGCATTTGAATCGGGAGGACCCGGCGGAGATGGCGGATACGAGTTTGCCTGGGGGGAGGTTGTAGGTGTAGGTGTAGGAGTTTCAGCTGGGCCGGGTGTGGAGTGGTGGGATGGGAGTGTTTTTGTGTATATGTGGGTAGCTGCATGACTGATATATGCAATGTTTGGTCCCTGTTTCTATCAACGTAGATGACAAATATAATCTGGAATCACGAATGGAATGCCCAATCAGCGACGGAAACTGTCAAGTCAATCAGCAAAAAGGAGTATCCTTAATTACATAGCTACAATACATGATCAATGTTCAATGTCAACTGTGCAATTTCCACCGCATACGCTCATCACACGTGAAGAAGATGGAACACAAGACACTTTCGCACTACCTTAGCTCACACCAAGCACAAACGCAACTCCACCGAACGCCAACAAGGACCGCGGCTTACCAGCTTTTGGGCTGGCAAGGTGGGGTGGGGGATATTGTATTTCTATTTGCCGTATGCCTTGTCGACCTCCTTCTGGTACGTCTGCAGAATGACCTTGCGGTTAATCTTCTGCGCGGCAGTAGTGAAGCCCTGTGATTTGTTAGCATCCCGACATCACATGTTTCTGGGGGTGGATAATAACATACATTCTGTGGTGTCCACTCCTCATCAGCCATGACAACACCGGCGATCGTCTCGAAGCCCGCAAGCCCACCCTGCTGGCCCTTGGTTTGCAGCTGCTTCAGCACCAGACTATTCAGCTTCTCGTTATGCACCAGCTCCTCCAAGCTGTCGCCCTTGATGCCGTTCTCATGCGCCAGCTTCTTGAGCGCAGGCTCAGCCGGGACGATGATAGCGACGGGCTTCATCTGGTCGTCAGCCGCGTAGACGCAAATGTTCGCCACGACGGGCGCAGATCGGTAGACAGACTCTAGCTTCTCGAGCGCAATATATTCACCCGCGAGGGTCTTGACCAGGTTCTTCTTGCGGTCGATGATGCGGAGCTGGCCTTTGGAGTCCCACTCGCCGATGTCGCCGGTCTTGAACCAGCCGTCGTCGGTGAAGGCCTCCTTGGTCTCCTGTTCAAGATCGAGGTAACCAGCGACAATACCACCGCCGCGAATCCAAATCTCGCCCTGCGGTGGCTTGTTGGTGGAGTAGTATCCGGCATCGGCGAAGTCGACCAGTTTGACCTCAACGGACGCGGGGGTCTCGCCGAGCGCCTGGTCGGTCCACGCGAGCGGGTCCATCAGAGCACCCATGGCGGTGGTCTCGGTAAGACCATAACCACTGATCATGGGGGTAATAGCGTAGGAGATGAAGCGCTGCGTTTCCTTGGCGATAGGCCCGCCACCGTTCATGCAGATGCGCAGACGTCCACCGGTCGCATCCTTGACCTTGTTGAACACGACTGTGTCCAGGAGACCTGCTCCAGGCAATCCCGAACCAAGGAGGAACTGCTTGGCGGCCATGGCCCCCCAGAAAAGTTTGGAGGTCAGTGCACCACCAGCTTCGACCTTGGAAACGATGCCCTTCTTGACAGTCTCCCACACCTGAGGCACACCGACCAAAATTGTAGGCCTGAGCTCGCGGATATCACCCTTGCAGTTCCTCACAGAGGTATCCGAAAGCGTCCTGATGGTGCCGTAGCCCATGTTTCCTCCCCAGTAGAGACATGCATTTTCGAAGACGAATTCGAGGATATGCGCAGCGGGGAGATATGTGAGTAGAGAGTCGCCAGGACCAATGTACTGGCCTACAATGACATCAACACCAGTGACTGTCTCGCGTTAGTGTTGGCCAATCAGGTACGCACAATCTCAACTTACTGGCAGCGACAACGTTGCTGTGCTTGATCAACACACCCTTTGGCGTTCCTGTTGATCCAGACGTGTACATGATGCAGGCGAGATCGTCTGACTTGGGTGGGATGGGTTCGGCGGGGTGCTCCTTCCCAAGCGTCACCAGGTCGTCGAAGCTGATGACCTTCAAGTGGGGATGCGCGCTGGTGAGGGCTTCAATGTGCTTCAGCTCGGCCTTGTCCTTGGTGCTGTAGACGACGACTCGGATGTCCTTGGCGTCGTTGAAGGGCTTCACGAGCTTGGGGAGCAGATGCGGGTCGGTGAACATGATCTTGGCCTTGGTCTGCAGCATCGAGTGCTTGAGGCCCTCTTCACCGAGCGTGTCGTAGGCAGTGACGATGCTCATCGACTGCGTGAAGGCGCCTGTGCGTGTCAGCGTGCGTGCCAAATGCACCATGTCACACAATCACTCACCATGCGCGGAGCTGAGCCATTGCATGCTGGTTGCGCCGAACAAGTGGATGCGGTCGTAGGGCACGAAACCGAGATGCTTCATGGCGGAGCCGACGTGGATGCACAGCTGCTCGAGCTCGACGAAGCTCTTCCACTCGTACGGGCCGAGCTCGAAGTACTGCCACTTCTTGTCGACCTCCTGCTCCTTGCCGTCAATCATTTTCTTGACCTTCTTGGTCTCCTCGTGGACATTGACCACCTTGCGAGTGCCGACCGCCTTTGCGTTGCCGAACTTGGCGGACGAGTACTTGAGCACATCGTACAGCGTCTTGATGTCGTCGTTGGGCGTCAGGCGCAGCGCATCCACCGTCTTCGCGTTTCGGCGCGGGATCGTCTCGCCATCAATCTTCTGCAGGCCGGGCACCTCGGCCGTGAGGGGCTGGGTCACCTCCGACCGCGCCTGCGGCATGAGCTTCTTGAGGTCGCGCGGCATGGTGGCGGCGATGTGCGTGAAGGGGGAGGCGGCGAGGTAGAGCGAAACTGGGACGGCGGTGAGCACGGCGATGAGGAGGAGTGTGCGTGTCTGGAGGACCGCCAGCGGAGCGTGTGCAAAGGGGAGGAGGTTGGCGGTATGGCTCTGGTATATGTTGGGGCTTGCGAACGAGCTGTGGACCCTCGTCGGAGCTAGTGCCAACGCAATGACGCAGCCGCTCTGCGCTGAGTACTTGGTGGCCGCTCTCTTCCGCCGTGGATCCGCAGGGATCCTCTGAAATTCTAGCACTTGGACGCTCTCAGCTTGAATTTATATCGTCCTCGACTTCATACACCCGCTGTTGTGCACGCGAGCCTGACCCGCGCACCTCCTAGCCAAGACCGCCCCAGCCCACCCCAGACTTTCCAAGACATACCCCATCCTCGGCTGGATTTGCTATGGGCGCCCTATGAGCTCAGCATTCCGACGCCAGCGTTGCCATCATGAATGACCTGTCCACGCTTCTGGGAGACCCCGTGACCGACCCTGAGGAAGGTAAGCCAGCATCAGCCAATCCGCTCCCTCCACACTCCTCGGCACGACGCATCTCTCTACACACCCCATTCGCTACTTCACAACGAACTGACCACTGGGCCCTACTTCCAGACGCCTTTCTCGTTTTCTCGCAAGAAGTCCCGTTCCAGTCAAACCTTGGCTTCATCGATTCGCACGCAGCCGAGCTCAAGGTCAGCATCGGCGGGAGAGACCTCACCATCCGGCAGTCGCATGGCCTCCTCACATCGTCCCGCAAGCAGGGCACCACAGGCGCAGGTCTGCACCATCTCGCCGTCATTACTGTGGCTCTCCTCGCTGACATTTGTCGCAGTCGTTTGGAAAGTGACGCCTCTCTTCGCCGCGTGGATCTCATCCCCAAACTTCCTTTTCAAGTGTGGCTTCTTAAGCCCTGCGAGCACAGCCATCGAGCTCGGCGCTGGCGTCGCCGGCGTCGTTGCCTTGACGCTCGCCCCGCTGATCAATAGATATATCGCCACCGACCAGGAATATGTGCTCAAGCTTTTGAAGCAGAACATTACCGATAACTTACCTGTCACTAGTACCAAAAGACCAAAGACGAAGAAGAAAACGTCTCGTTCAGTCCCAGAAGGGAAAGGCAGCATTGAAACGCTCGAGCTCGACTGGGAACTGAATTCCGTTTCTTCGTTGCCTACTCAGCTCGGCCTGCACGAACGCGCAGGTGTCGACCTTGTCATTGCCTGTGACTGTATCTACAACGAGAGTCTCATTGAGCCGCTGAACAACACATGTGCTCAGATCTGCAAGCTACGCTCTCATGAAGAGCAGGACAAGCCGACCATCTGCCTTGTAGCACAACAGCTTCGAGCTCACGATGTGTTTGAAGCTTGGTTAAAGAGTTTTCATGAACACTTCCATGTGTGGCAGGTGCCGGACAAACTCCTGACTCCCTCCCTGCGGGAGAAGTCCGGTTTCGTTGTTCACGTCGGGATTGTGCGATGACAACAGTATTATTGACAGTTTTGCGTTTATAGCGAGTTTCTAATATATCCAACATCGACACTTCCCGTGCAACATCACGGTAAAGGATTTTCATCAGCTGGGTGATCCGAACTTAAGTAGTAATCCGTCGGCAGCTTGAGCACCTCGCACTGCTTGACCTCCCTGAAACCCTCATCTCTTGGCTGGACATCTAACACCCTAAGCCTCAAATCCTTGACAGTCGTCGGCTTCCATGGCGTGGTCTTCTTCAGGACAGCCGAGGTATTGGTAAATCCTCTCGCCTGCAGGAACTTCATATCCGGATTCGGATTCTTCGTCCGGCCAAATGCGGTCCACGTATCCAGCAGATACTGCGAGAAAGGGACATCCTCCTGATCACGCGGCTGACGACCCTCGCGTATCGCCGTACCGAACTCATAATACAGCTCTCCACTGTGGCATTTCCAGTACGGCAGATTGGGGTCACCGAGCGGGTGCTCTGCCGTCATGGGCGCTTCACACGTGGTTGGATTGGGGCTCCACGTGGTAAGCTGAAGACCGCGATCGATTTCGTATGAGTAGACTACTGGGAACACTTCGTTCTTGACTGCCGAGAAAACCGTTGATTGAGTTGGACAACGAAACGAGACATCCGTCGTGACGCGAGCGGTGAGATTGAAGATGTCCAAAGTGGCGTTTCCTGATTGCGGAACAGGAAAGAGACCGGAGCCAAGGATGTCATTGGCATCATAGCCTTGATCTGTGAGCTTTTGAGAGGCATTGAGGCTTTTCGAGAAAGAAGTGAAAGGGCCGCCATCGTCGTGCATAACGCCAGTAATGAGTGCAACATCAGAAGCAGGACCAGAGCCATCCAACAGGAGCTCGGACGAGGTCAGGTATGTGCCGTCGACGACCGGAAAATTCCAGATCGTTGCACCCTTCACGAGCTTAGCAGGATCCGCCTTCTGTAGGCATGCAAGTCGACCTGCTTCATCCTGCTGCGCGCATCCATTTGCAGCATATATGGCGTTGGTCTTATTTGCAGCTTCCGCTATGCTGGGATACAACGAGTACCCCATGCCGCCTGGACATGACTGCATTATAGCCCTGGAAAATTTCCCTTTGGCGCGGGGCGAGGCAAGCAGTGCCCTGACCGAAGCACCGCCAGCGCTCTGCCCAAATACGGTGACCCTCTCCTTATCACCACCGAAATCCTCGATGTGCTTTTGCACCCAATCCAGCGCTGCCACCATGTCTGATATCCCGTAATTACCGTGCGATCCAGATTGGCTTGTCGCGAGGAAGCCGAGGGTGGAAAGACGGTAGTTGATGGTAACCACCACAACATCACCTCTCGATGCCATGCTGCCGCCATCAAATGTTGTGTCTGAACCAAACCCACTCATGAAGGCTCCACCATGGATCCAGAACATTACGGCTTTCTTGGATGATCTCGCATTGGAGGGTAGATGCGGGGTCCAGATGTTCAGATAGAGACATTGTTCGCTGCAGGCTGCATCAGTGCAACTACTCTGGATGCAACCTGGACCGTAAGCCAGAGCCGAGACTTGACCAATGGGCGCCTGGTATGCGGAATAGGTGAACCGAGAAGGAAAGGATCCATATTTAAGCCCCAGAAAGCGGAACGAAAGCTTGTCGCGGTAGCCGATAACTGTCCCATCGCCAGTGCGCACGGCTATCTGCCATTCTAGGCCCGTGTTGTTGCTCGACGTCGAACTCAACGGCGCTGACTGGGAACACAGAGCCGGTAACTGTTTGTTACACGGCACAGTCTTGATCTTGCCGAGCGTTGTTATCGCCTTGCAGCCTGTGTTGCTTCGGCTCCGGATCCAGTACTGGTCAATATCGTCGTGAGCTTTCTCGTACGCCAAATATCGCAAGAAGTCAGCTTCTGCAAGATCTGCCGGGTCCCACAGCGTCTCTTGCAGTGCTTTACACCCCGTCTCGGCGTTTGACTTCGAGCCGCGAGCGCTCAAGACGATTGTCGCCGCTTGTCTGGTACTCGAATTGCCTGGTAATCCATGTCAGTAAACAGAAATTCAAGTGCAATCCCGGTACTATGACCCCTGAACTAATGAGGAATATACAAACCATACAAGTCGTTGTGAGTGAGAATAGTCAGATCACTGCGGATTGATTGCGGGCTAGGTACTGATAGAACATGACTGGTTAGCGATAGGTACACAAGCCAACCGGCCAGGCCAACGAGAAGCTGCATGGCGAATGCCGAGGAGAACGTTGGAACAAAACCTCGCAGCATCGCGTCTAATTCTGGAGGGACGATCAATTTAATGCGACCAGTGTGGGGAGATCCTTCTCGGTGCTATTCGTGGAATATATCGAGGCTCTAGTGTATACGGCAGATGAATGGATGAGGGGTATAATGGCTATATCATTGCGGAGTGGGCCCGAGGTCAAAGTCTGGAGGATCGGCGCGGAGGACGACCGCCAGGATGTGGTGGTGACTGGCTGGGCATATCCACATGGCAACATTTCTGTTTACAGGCGCGATGTTTGGCTACACACGCCAATGAGTGTAGAGGAGCAAAAGTAGACGGGAGGCGCGGGTCGCATAGCGGTCTTGTTCTGCACGGACGACAGGACTTCGGGGTAGCTCTGCAGGGCTAGATCTGCAAGTCGGGGCGTGGGCGAACTCGTGGGACAGCGGCGACAGCGCAGCCTTTAAGACAAACGTCGCGACTGTCATCCGTCTCAGTAGCCGCGGCGTGGAGGGGGAAAAAGGCTCACAATGAAGTCATCGTGGTCGGAGCGTGCAGCGGTTGCCGGTCGGGGGTTTCAGCGGGAGCGCTGCTGCATGCTCCGCCCCAACTGCAGCTGCGAGGGGTATCAAGGCAAGGCAGGCGCCAGCCCAAGGCCCACGTCGTTCTTTCCGTCCCGAGTATTTCGCCCGTCCTTGTTGGCCGCGGCGCTCCACAGCCTAGATACTGCGACCGACGCGCGGCATGCTCGATGGACTTCTGAATGCTAGCCGCGAACTTGATCTTCCCTCCTGAAACGCTGGAACGCTGGAACGCTGGAACGCGCCGACAAATCTTATCTCACTAACAAAATGCGCTGTGGTCGGGTCCTCTTTGCGCGCATGTGCCGATTGGCTGCGGGCTGCAGGCAACGACGCTGTCGCCGTTGTCTCATCACGCATCTCAGCCCCGACCTGTGGACCGAGTCCTCTGCATCTCGCGTCTTCTCTCTCTCTCGCAACGCAACCCACCGCCCATGGGCCTTCGCCGCAGAAAAGCACTCAGCCGCAGGGCGCCGTACCAACGCGCCCTATTGGCCTGCGGCATCGCTTGCCATGGCACGGCGCTGGCCCTTCGCTAATATGAAGGCTCTCCGTTGCTTTCTGAACAAGGCGCTAGCGCCCGCTCTAAGTCCACTGCGGTCTAGCTCACTTTTGTCAATCCCTCACTGTGCAGGTCTGCCTCTACTGTGACTCTCACAACACATTGACGCGACCCTTTTCTCTCCAGCTGCGGACACGAGCCCACGGTGCAGCGCCTCTCCGCCGTCGACAGCCGTTCCCCTTCGTTGCGCGCGCGCGCCCTCTCCTTTGTTGGCCTTGTCTCCAGCGCCCCTCAAGATCCGCCTCTCCATTCCTCCCCTCCCAAACCCTCGCTCTCCGCGCGTTGCACACCCACGGCCTCTCTCAGTCTCAGTAACACTCTCCTGTGCTCGCAGCTGGCTCCGCTGCGTTCGCTGACCTCCAGCTGTCCTTAGCGACGCCTCTGAGCGCTACCCGTGCACCGAGCAGCTACGAAAGCCTCTTCTCCTGGGCCGCCGGGCCCCGATAAGGACCTCACCCGTTGCGATAACTGCGCTGTTCGCTGTTATCCGGCGTCGGACTCGTCTTGCGAAGCCGTCGTCCGCTCTGCTCTCGTCGTGCGCGCGTCGGGCGTCATGCGATCCAACGCACTCAGAGCCTGAGCCTACCACCATACGAACACCACCCCATCACTGTGCGACGGCCGGATTATGACAGACGTGTCGTCGATAAAGGCGCACGCTGATCATCAGCCGGCTTCCGTCGCCCACTACGGTCCTCCACCGCCCGCTTTTACCAACGGCTCACCTGCGCTCGAGGGCCCCATCGAGGAAGAGGAGTCGTCGACAATCAAATGCATCTGCGGCTTTTCGGACGACGACGGAAACACTGTGCTGTGCGAGAAGTGCGATACGTGGCAGCACATTGTGTGTTATTACGAGAGTGCCAGCCATGTCCCGGACGTTCATGAGTGCGTAGACTGTCTCCCTAGACCCATCGATCGGAAGAGCGCTCTCGAGAAGCAACGGCAACATCGCGAGCTACACAACATCGGTGAGCGCAAGGGTCGACCGAGAACCACCACCAAGAGCCACAAGAAGCGACAAAAAGACCCTCTAGGCGCTGTGCAGCCCAATGGCTGGGCCATACAGTCGAACACCGATCTTCAATACAATCACGACCGGAAGAGCGGGAGCCCCCGCGATCTGCCGCCGCCTGCTAAACGCCCGAAGACGAGCCATCGGCCATCTACGAGCATAGTCAGTCAAGCGCCAGCGCTCGCACCAGCGTCCCGTAAACGAGGCAGTTCCGTCATGCTGAATGGACACAGCCCCGTCAAGTCGCCCGTCAATCCTGAAGGCCCCATCGAAGAGTTCTCACTCGAGTTCATGAACCTTTATCGACAAGCGGAGCCACCGTCGACGGATACGAACTCCTTCACTGATCTTAGAGTCACAAATGACATTGCATCGTGGCTGAACGATCGCGATGCACTGGCTGAGGCTACAGAGGGCAAGTCGCCCGCTGAAGTGTTCCAGCGCATCGATCAGTCGATCGAGGACATGGAGAAGTCTCTCGCACCTGTTGTTATCAAGCAGACAGAAGAAGACCCTAATACAAAAGCCTACGGACTACACCCTCAATGGCACCTCATCACCGTGGAGACGCCTGTTGCCAAAGAAGGTTTCATTGGCGAACTAAAAGGCCGTATCGGAAGGAAGGAAGACTACTATAACGACCCAACGAATCGCTGGCAACTCCTAGAACACCCCGAACCATTCGTCTTCTTTCCTCCACATCTACCGATCTACATCGACACTCGACATGAGGGCACGATACTTCGGTATGCTAGGAGGAGCTGTAATCCAAACATGGAAATGAAGATACTAACGCAAGGGCCCGAGGGCGGTGCTCACTTCTGCTTCCTCGCGACCCGAGATATTGAGCCGGGCGAAGAGCTCACTGTTGGGTGGAATATCAACAGCTCGATCATGCAGCAGCTTGTCAAGGTCGTCACCAATGGCGACGTAAAGAAAGAAGGGCTCAAGAAGATCCAACCCTGGATAGCATGCGTACTCGCCAATTTCGGTGGATGCGCTTGTGACAATACGACCGGCCACGAATGTCTGCTGCAGCTCGCTCGGCGAACAGCTACTACCTATGCAGAACCAGTGCAGCCTTCCAAGTCTGCCAAGGGACGGAAGACGAAGAAGAATCAGGTCTCTCCTCTAAGCACTGGTCACGCAACAAACAGCCGTGCGGGAAGCGAAGCCATACATCGCGATATCAACGAAGACGAGAATGGCGACAGCCGTTCAACGTCTGGGTCGCATAAGTGTAGCAGCCGCGACATCACTCCTGCAACACATTTCTCGTTGGATGACGGCAATGGAAAGATGTCTGAGCGTGAAAGGCGGAAGCTGCAACAGCAGGAACGCCTTTTCGAGCAAATGGACTATGAAGAGCAGCACAAGGGGAAACGGGGGAAGAGACACAGCGCTGGGTCGACACTAAACACGCCCAGCCTGTCGTCCTCTGTAAGGCGCCTTCCCCGTCCATCGCTTCTCGAAGCTAACGTATTTTCGCAGAAACAGCTTGGCCACAATGAACCATCCCCGTCCTCGCGGCACCCTCGCGAACACAGCAATGGCGTCGCAAGGAAAGCCTCTGGTGGCTCATCGAGGGCAAACGGACGTGCACCTGCGAAACCGAAACCAGTCTATGTCGACAGCTCTACACAGACTGATGACAATGGGGTCACGGTGGATGCGCCCGCACCGACGGCAAGACCTACGAGGCCCCTCATGACTTTTAAACGCAGACTGCTGCAGCAAGCTCAAGACGACAAGATACAAAGGGAACGCATACGGTCAGCATCTGTGAAGTTAGAGATGAACTCTCCGGCATTGAAGGATGTCACGTCAAGCAAGCCTTCGCCCACCGCCCCTTCAGTTCCACTCGAGGAGCCTGTGGCTATGGACATCTCTATGGAGACCGCACCTATAGAAAAGCCAAAGGATTCGACATCGGTCCATGAATCCGCCCCAGCGACAGCAGCCGACGTCGAAATGAAGGATGCAGAAAATTTGGCGGCACCCAGACCGTTCACGCCAAAGAACGAAGAAATGCCAGATGCACCCAACGCAGATGTGTCTCCCGCAACTTCGAGTCCTCACATTCAGCCACCCGCGCCGCCGTGGGCGCCCTCTGATGCGCCTGCAGATGACGACTCTGCGCCCACGGCCTCAAGACCAAATATGGGCGAGATGCGGGTCGAGATGCCCGCGAATCCCACGCTTGTCATCCCTGCGTCGAACACTGCTGTCACCCCTGGTGCGACCCCCAATGCGCTCACTGCTGGTGCTCTTGCGCAGTCGCCCGGGGGCGTGGGAATAGCTTTATCGCCTTTCTCACCCGCCGTGACCAGCGCCATCACGCCTGGTCCCACGCGCAAGAAGCTTAGCCTCAGTGACTACACGAGCAGACGCGCGAAACTGGCTCAACAGTCTTCGACCGCATCAGGAACACCTCCGCTCAATCCCACGCAATCAACTAGCTCGCCTACCTTGTCGAACGCGAGCTTGCCGAACAACACATCTCCTCCAGCCAAGAGTGTGGAGCCTGCATTACCCCCGCTCGCGGAAGAGACGGGGCCCATCACCACAACGATGACAGCAACGGATACAGCGACGGCGACAGAGACCGCTTCCACTACGACAACGGCAACGACAACCACCACCACCACTTCGACTGGTACTTGAACGCAGAGTTCTCTGCTTACCGATTCGCTTCTATCTGTGTTTTCTAAAAAGCAAGGCGCTCGGGTGGTGGGCGTTGAGCGCCTTTTCTTGTTTGTGCCTTTTCGATTGTACATTATATAATGCGTTTACGGACCTTCCTTTCAGCTTTTCTTCTGTTTAGGTTTCTTCCCCAGCGTGTGGTCCGCGCTACGATGGTTTTCTGCAACCTCGACGAGCAGTGTTTTCAAGTCTCGGCTTGGTTTTGCGATGGCGGGCTGGCGTTGCACCAGGTGGATAGGGACGGCCTACCTCTGGATTTGTGTGCGCGCTCGCTACTGCGGCGCTGGCCTCTTGGGCTATGGTTTACGGATATTGATGAAAAGCGAGGGGTTGGACGCAGACCCAGCAGACACTTTAGGTAGTTGAGTGTGCGGTTGAACAATGGATACAAGAGATTACCCATCAACAGTGTGTTCTTTCATTGGTTGCGTGGGAGTTGTTGGGTCGACATGACACAGAGGTTCTGTGCTCCTGCAAGAGCAAGTCAAATGCTTGAATAAACCAGCCTATGTATTGCATACCTTTGGGGCAAACCATGATACTCAGACCTTTGCCCCAGCGCTATAGCGAGCCCTGCGTCTCTCGCGTCGACTTCGCTGTGGCGGTGTTTTCTTGCTGCACTCCACCACTGGACTCAGGCTGCAGCACGATATGTCCTGCTCTTTATTCTTACCGAACCATAGCCCGGCCATGTCTGTATTCTCAATCCTGTACATTTACTTTCATGTTCGGTTTCCCCTCTTGGTGTGAACCCCTCCATCTTACGCCTTCTTGGCTGATGATGAGGGCGGACTAAGAAAGTCACTACCAGGGATAGACATACGTCTCGGATCCGAACTCAAGGCAGACCATTTCGCAGCTTTGAACATAAAAGTCAGATCAACATACATCCGCCACATGCTCACACCATTCCAACACTACATACAATCATGCTTCTCACGGTCCTCACCGCTGCGAGCTACCTCATCTCCGCCCTCCTCCTGTACTCCGGCACCGTCGGCGTTCTCTGGCCCCTGCACAGTCCGTTTGTACCTTTTCCAGCTCTCCCAACCTGGGCTAACCCCCGCAGCCGCACGCACCCTCTTTGCCGTCCCCAACGCGACCCCCGACACCGCAACTTTTTACCCGGGTCTCGCAGGCCGCAATGTGACCTGCGGCCTCGCAATCCTCACGCTGCTGTTGCAGGGCCAGAAGCAGGCTGCGGGCGTTGTGGTGGTGTGTTTGTTGTGCAATGGGGCGAGTGACTGTCTCGTGTTGGTTCGGAGGGAGGGAGGAGAGAGGCTGGAGGTACATGTGTTTAATATGTTCCTTGTAGGGGCAGTTGGAACGGGTCTTGTATTTCTGGCATAGGGAACTGAGGGATACGAAGTCGGTGGCTTATGAGGTCTGTGGTGGGTGTGGGTGGTTGCAGGAGAATATTAAGTGGGCGGTTCAGGTTGCGGTGGATGATATTGGAGCGACGGGCTAGAACCCTGAGAGAAAATGAGACGTTGTTTCTTGTAATCTGAAAGTACTACTGGTTTCATGTTACTTGCTCATGCGTAATCGGACATCTCGGCCCCTCGTCATGGCACGGTGACTCAGGCTTCAAGGAGTGTTTAGAACTACAGCCTGATACCATGTCGATATGTCTACGTTCCCGCGAGAGCTCAGACGCCCATAATGTGAATATGCTCTCTTGAACAACAACAATGAGTTTACATGCTGCTCCCAAAAGATCTCGTCGTACAAGATCTGCTTTCTAGATGTTTACGATACTTTTGAAGTTCTTGGACTAAAGCCCATAAGTGAAGCCTTCAAGTAAAAGCTGACGAGTACACAACAATACGTATGAACAGTAAATTCATATTCCCTTCTCTTAGTTCCGAATATAGATGACTAGTTTAAATCCCTCTTGAGGGCACGATACACACTGTAGACTTGCGGTCTACAGTCTTTTCAAACTTGTCCGTGTATTCTAACGTGAAGTTTGTAGACAAAGAGTCACAAGTAGAGATTATATAATACTAGTCATTGATAATTTTAGAAAGTGGTTGGGGCTTGAGTTGCTCTGAGGTTCCGGCTCGTGCTTGCTACACATTTTTGCGCTGTTTAACCTTGAACTCACGCTCATAGCCTTTATATAAATAGTATGTGATACTGCAAGTGGATATTCAAGCGACACTGTATCATGCAACACTGGACTGCATCCTACCTCGACTTGTTTACGGCCTATTACGCCCTGCACACTCTCCACGTTCCTTGCTGTGATAATAGGATCCGAAGCAATGATCCCAAAGATGCTTGCTCTGGAAAATCTACTTTGTAGTATCCTGGCTACAAGAAGACAAGCTACGTTTTCAATGACGGCTCTAGCTTGTCGCCCGTTCGCAAGAGAGGCTTGCCCACGCCGATGTGCCCGAGGCTTTGCGTCCAGCGTTCACTAGAAACGCTGACCTATTCAGTGATAGATGCTCGAGAATTGCGGACCCAGTGCTAGCATTCGAGTTTCAAGACATCATCCGGACGAGTATTCATAGCAACGAGATGTGCTTCATCAAGCTCGGCAATGCGACAATCATAAGTGGTCAACAGATCCTTGTGAGGCGCTGGTGACGAGCACTGGAGTAGCGATGCGTGAGTGAATCGTAGTTGTGGTTTGAATCATTGTTGTATATGGCGGTATCTGCGGATTTCTTTCGAGCAGATTTCTTGATATACGCCATAGCTCTGAGCAGTTTTAGAGGAAAGATAAGATATCCTATGACTGTCTCACTACATGCGTGACCGGGGATCGAGACACCCATTTTCATATGTTATCCACAACGGAGATCCTGATCTTACACACTACTCAATAAAGTAGTGCTCACCCGTCGCCAGTACTTTGATTTCATCACCCACGATAAGGATACCTTCGTCCAGCGGTGTGACCTGCATGCCTAAGCACGCCGCCTTGCTTCCCTTGTCAACAACCCTGTACTTGCGCATGGTAGTACCTGGCTCGTTTCGGTCTGCAATTCCGGTCAATGGGTCGACGTTTGGAAGCTTGCAACGAGTGGTGCGGCAGGAGATGTCCAGTGTGAGAGAGCCGAAGCGAGCCTGAACCGGATTAGTGGGAACAGATAAGGCATCCTGTCGTGAGACTGATACGGTCACTTACTTTCTTCCACTCGTCTTCTTCGAACGCAGGTGGGCCAGTGAAGATGATGTTAGGGCGGTAGCGTAGAGCGTTGAGGGGGCGGAAGCGAGAAGGCACTCTCGAGGAGACGTCGTGGATGGAAGCGAGGTTTTGGATTTGGACAGGATGCTATTCAGAGCTTTAGATTAGACTTTCGAAGTACAGTGAAGTGCAATGAAGGAAAGGAGAGGTATACATACAGCATCTTGCATCCCAATTGCTGTCTGGAAACCCACGTCTTCCTTCTTCGGCGCGTTTTGTAAGACTAGCCTGGGACTATCCGGATCGATTCGGAAGATGGTCAATGGATTCGACACACCGAGGGTATACTTCAGTTGGTCCACGATCTCGTCAGATAGGTCGCAGCCCACATTCAACGCTACAGGTACATCATCGAAGATCTTCACCGGCTCTTTCCGGTATCCCCTGGCTGCGATTATGTCCTTCTTCGGATCGAAAGGTATCCGGAACTCTACCATGGGCTCCGATCTGCCTCCTAACTTGGCAGCCAGAATCTTGCCATAGTTCTTAATACCAGCGACGCTGAATTCCGTATCAGGGCTGAATGGAAACCGTGCCACGATGCAGCCGTCGCTCTTCACCCATTCGCCGTCCTTGTGGTATCCGGGTGCCTTGGGATCTGGAACCCACATCTCGACCTCTACCTTTGCGAGACGTGGGAATTGTCTCAGCGTGATGAACGTCCATTCACTTTTGACTTTGCCTTCCAAAGTAGGGAGCGATGTCACTTGCTGTGCAAACGTGAACTGACGATCATACTTCAAGCCCGTGTGTCCGACTTCGGCTTTTTCGAGCTCCACGCCTCCACAGCTCTTCAATGGGTAGACCATCAACGCTTTGACTTTCCAGGCGTTCGATGCGGAAGGCTCGCCGCCATGGTCGTATTTTTTGGCGAATTGGTCGGATAGATTGGAGGTGCCGCTTTTGTTGAGTTTACGGCAGCCAGCAGGAGGTGGGGTAGGCTGTTCGCGCTGGGAAAGAGCAAGGAGATAGAGAGATATGATAGGGAGGAGAAGAGCGAGCGAGGTGGTCAAAAGGGCAAGGGGGGTTGCTCGGACGCCAACGTCGTGCCATGTCTTCTCTATTGAGCTCAGTAGGAAATCGAGGGCGTTCGGGCTGGCCATTGGTGCGGATGTGAAAGTTCTTGCGTGCTCATGGAAACTTCTTATGCACGACTGAGTTGTGTACGCTGCTGACTTCGACTGCAAGTCTGGACATAGGTCTTCGCGGAATCGGTGGCTAACTTGTTATCGTAGAAGGGCGTGAGACCATTGCAGCATGTCGAGTGGAAATCCTACAGCCGGTAACGGCCACTCGGTGACTCGGGGTCTTAGAGCGGAAGCGGAGTCGAACCAAGTGTATGCTCAGGTCGATGGCAGATCTAGCTCTTCCAGTGTTCATGTGTCCAGAAATGACAGAAACAGGCCAGTACGTTGTTGGCACTTGAGCGGTAGCATCACTTCACGTAATGCCTTCGTTGCGGAGAGGCTTGCCGTGTTACGAGTCATGCGCCTGCCGCCGTGTTACTGGGCAGCGTCATGGGTTGAAACCAGCGGCGCTCAGCTTCACGATGCTTCAACAACACTACAATTTAGTTGCAATGAGTGCACAGCACGTGTCGCGCGACACATCGCGCTCGCGGTATACGCGCCAAATCACGAGGCCCGCCTGATCACTCCGAGTTCTCCCGCACATGCAATGCCCTCCCCCACCATGGCCAACCGCGATGTAGCCATGCTATCGTCTTCGGCGCCACAGTCGTCTCGTACGTGCAAATAGAGAACGGGTCAATTGGTTACTCAATCTAATGCTACTGCAGATCGACTACCTACCGTATCAGCCTCCCAGGCCCTCGAGACGCTGCACGCCCGAGGCTCCCGCACTGTCTGTACCGGGCTTCCACAGCTCGACAAATACCTCGCTCCCCATGGACTGCCAGGCCGAGCCGTTGCAGGCGGATACGTGCGCGGGAAGGTCACCGAGATCTTCGGCCCGCCCGGCGTGGGCAAGACGGCCTTTGGGTAATTCCACACCTTGCACTTTGCCCGTATTGAGCCGCAGATACTGATGGACGGAAGCATTCAGGCAGCAGTGAGCGCATTACGTGAAGGGCAGAAGGTGGTCTGGCTTGGTCAGTACTCAGTGCAATCAGACTTGCACGGCGCAACCTGCGTGGAGTGACCAAGGCTAATTGCATGCAGATGCTGCCTGTGCTCCCTTGGTGCCTCAGCGCTTCACAAATGTCCTGCTTGCAGACGGCGACCCGGTACTGCAGGCATCGACAGCGCCGCCGAAGGTACCTGGCACGTCCAGAATGTCTCCAGATGAGATGCGAAGCCACTTTTATCACTACGCAATCCCAAAGCTCGCGCATTTGCTGGCTCTATTCATGCATCCGCCCTCTTCGTTTCCACCGCCAAACACAAGTCTCATCGTTATCGACTCAATATCAACCCTGTTCGACAACGCATATCCCCGCAATGCTGACGACCGCGCGGCCAAGAACCGAAGTGACCAGGCGCGCTGGGCTGCGGGTCGCAAATTTGCAGTAATGAACGAGCTGATCTCAACGCTCACTAAATTGGCTGCTATGCACGACATCGCACTGCTCCTCACGTCTCAGACCATCACCCGCATCCGTGCCGGTTCAAGGGCTCTTTTGGTTCCTGCAATATCAGGCGCAGAGTGGGAGAACGGCGTATCCACCCGTTTGGTGTTGTTCAGGGATTGGGTGCCGGGGCAAGGGAAGTGGACCAAGGCAGATGCCGCGAAACTGCAGAAAACCCGGTTCGCAGGCGTCTTGAAAGCAAATGGTGTAGGTCTGGCCGACGATGGTGGTGTCGGCACGGTGGTTCCGTTTGCTGTTGAGAAGGTGAGTTAATCTACAGCCCGCAGAGCCTACAATATTAGCAACGCATATAGTTCTCGTGTGGCGATCACCCGCTGACCTGTTACAGACAGGCCTTCGGGACATCAACATAGCTGCAGTCGATATTGCTGCATCCGTCCTGTCTTCGGAAGCGAGACCACCCAAGCGACGCTTCGCGGAGATAGACGAAGGGGGGGAAGGGCCCGATTCGGATGAACTTTACGACTGGATGGAGGATGACGAGGTCGCTGCCGAAGGACTTTTGATAAGTGAAGCACCCACCCTAGCGGACGGCGACCCTGCAATATCTGGTGCGACTGCGCTTGCAGCATCTTCAGATGACGGACCTACGGTTGCAAGTCTTGCAGAGGAACACAACAGGGTGACACGACCGCCGACATCTTGAATGGTCTGCGCATACACGGTCTCCGAACGCACACTGCCGCCTGCTACACATTGATTACCCCAATCTCCGCATCAGCGTCTTTGCTGTCGAGTATCTACGCCTCAACGGTGCTTATCAGCACCTCAAAATAGGCTTCTGAGCTCACCTGCTCTCACACCACCAGGGTGTTATCATGTCTGACCACGAGCATGGGAATATAACATCCCTGAGGGTTGTATCAAGGCGGACCGCCCCAAGACCCGTTCCTAAGGTTCCATCTATTCTGCCGTGTGGGGTTGGCAGCCACCCAACTGCGGAGATCTCGCATCCCAGCGCAGCGCCTTGACAACGTCGAATCAGGTGTCTCTCACCTCAGCAGCGCGGCAGATGCAATCTCCTTGTCCACAACTAAGCCCAATGGCCCTAATGAGCAGTGCCTAGGCCACGGAATGCTCAACCACCGGTTCGGCTCCTTCTGATAATGATCCTCGTGGAAGCGATGTATCAGTATTGGACTGGAAGTCATCATTGACATTCTTCCGGTGGCAAATGCGAGATGAGTGCTTCATGGCATGGTGAGAAAGATCCTACGCCCAGCATCTCCATGATTCTAGAAGGCGCGGCGCCTGCAGTACGGGGCCGAAAACCTGGGGCCCGTCCGAAGATGGATCCTGATCCCGACATTGTAACCCACGTCTGCGTAAGCACAGGCAGCTGTCGCATGGATCGGGGAGACGCGGGGAGACGCCGGGATCCAGCGTGTCGGGACATGGTTTCTCACCGGCTGAAATGAATCCTTTTTTGGAGTGCCCCGCATCTGTGGCTGAGGATCCGGGGCCGAGTTGGAATCCAAGATCGCGTGGGGGTTGGCAAAAAGCCACAATTTGCTTCAGGGGCGGTCTGGCAAAAAAGGAACACTGAGGCATCTTAATCCTATTGGACGGAAAAATATTTGCGCGTCAATCTTCCGAACACAGAAACAATAGACCTTTGGCAGAATAGAGGAACGCATGGTCCAAACGCCTAGTCACAGAGATGGAACACAACATGACAATGAGATCGGGTTCGACAAACTTTGTCTCTCGGGCCGACATACCTATGCCTTTCCTGTAGCCACCACTGGCGGAGATTGGTGCTGCGTGTCTGAAAAGAGCAGTTGCCTTTTGTGCCGTCGCTAAGCGGGGAAGAAGCGAACAGGGAATGGAGCTCACCGCATACAGCGGATATGCGAAAAGGAGTGAACGTATCTCCTCACCGCACTCCTTCACCGTAGTGTATCAGCGCTGCAGCTAAGGCTACGCGAGTTGCGACTTGAGGACACCTTACGTATCGTATTACACAGAAGCAGATACCCCACGCATCATGCTCATGATGTCCGAATACGAAGACAAGGCCACGCAACGCTGCTACATCGGCACTTCTCCCAAGTTTACAGCTGGCTTCGTATGCCCTATCGCTTCGACAAAACCTGGAGAGTCCCGACCCCGGTCCTGGTAGAGATAGGGTGAATACAGCGGGAGCAGGTGACCGCTTCTGCCGGCAGTCGCGGTAGTGAGGCCTCGTGGTCCGCTTGCGTAGATCTCGCTCGCTTGCGCACATATTTCTATTTCTTACCTGGTTGCGACGACGATGGCACGCGGACGTATATGACAGAGAGCGTGGGGTAATGTTTATTGATGGCTGAAAAGCATGTCTAGGGTCGCCCAGAAGCGGAATTGCGAAGGACTGGACAAGGTCTGGGCGAAAAGGAATGATGTTGACCACCTCGCGACGCGCGCTATGCTATCCTATGACGCTATGTCAACAAGGAAGCAGATTGTGGGGTACGGCAGGGAGTCGGTGTAGAGGGCAAGGCTTGCTCGACAGGGCACGTGGACCGTGAGTGGCTTCCGGGGACTGGTGTAGGGCACGAAAGCGTCGCAAAGTCAAATTTGCGGCCCTCGAAGGCCATCGGGAATCGAAGAAGAACGCGATGGCATGTCATCGCTGAGTTTGACCGCGATCGCGATGCGATTCAAAAGAGGTGTTGGATTGTCAGTGGGCGGTATGCGTACGCGGTGACTTCGCAACATGTGCCCCCAAGATGCTGGCGAAGTCACAAGATTTGATTATTATGCAATGCCTGACCAGCTTCCCAACTCTTACGATCAACATCGCTTTGCCCTGGCCGTGATGTGATGTGGCTGCGTCGTGGGGGGGCCTGTATCATGCGTCCACTGTTCCTGGACGTGACAATATGCGGCGGCGTTTCGTACCTCGAGCGCAGGTTTCGTGCCTGTGGGAGAAGAGGTAATATGACGCTCTGATAATCCCAAGCCGTCGTGTCACAAGAGACGAACGAGGTATATGTCCTCTGCTAAGACGAGACGTCTTGGAGAGTCGCGAGCAGACAAAGCGCACCGCGCATGTGAGCAGGCCGATCGTCGCTGGACCGACACCTCAGCCGCCCCCGTTCGTCCTGTGTGCATTCACCCAGCCAGACACTGGCGTGCCCCTCGCTGCGCTCGTCCCGTCTCCCCGCGTCTCCCCTACAGCACCGACCGAACAAGTCCACAACGCACGGTCACGTGGGTCTACAGCACGCAGAGTTAGGCCCGTCACATGAGACGGTCGTTGCGCGCTCTTCCGAACCTAGGTCTGCGCTCAACAGAACGGCGCGGGGAGGGAGGTGTAGTGCTCTTCTGTGCGATTCGTCGTGCTGTAGATTGAGGAGGAAACGGGAGTGCAGATGCGCCGGCACGGTGTTGCGGGGACGGACAAGGACGTCCATCGGTGCGGGTAGAAGCGAGGCGGGCGAGACCGATGGAGGGGAGGGACGGGGAGGGGAGGGAATGAGGAAGGTTTGGAAAGTGCGGGATGGCGGGAGCGAGATGCGAACGGTGAGGTGCTCGGGACGGGTAAGGGCAATAGGGGAGCATGTGAGTATTCGGGCCGTATGGACATGTATGTATGTGTGGAGCGACTTTTGGATAGCCGTTGATGGGTCATACGAGTGTACAACGAGGAAGCATGTGAAGGAAGGCCGTTTCGGACGCAGGTGACCAGACTGGACTTGTTGAGGGAACGTAATTTCGTGTTTCTTGGGGCAATGGCTATTGCTCATTGCCCCCTTCGTACGTGCCTGCACCTACTCGTACTTCTCCGTCTCACTATCGACGCGCGACCTCAGCGCAGAAGTTCCGACGAATCTCTCCTCACAGTACCCACCCGGGTGCATTTCCCAATCTCGTACCGGTACGTCTACTCCACATTCTGGCCCTGATCGTCCCTCGCGCCCATCGTACCGAGCAGCGAGCAGAATCCTACGGGGCACTGGGGCCGCTGGGGTTTCGGGACGTCCGAACCGCGTCAGGGACCGTAGGCGAGGTACCTCGGCGGAAGTACTCCGCCCGCGAGTTTTCGCAGCAATGGTACCGCGTCCCTCGTCCCTCGGTGCACGCGGCGCCGACGCTCTAGAACGCTCGCAGCGAAGCGACCAGCACGGCTCGGATCGCTTCAATACGGACTGCGACAAGGAGCGAGAGACGCGGATGGTGTGCCCCTTCCATTCCTGCGCACTGGGCCGGCATGCACTGAGAGTTGCGCTATCGATAGGCTGGGCCCGGCACGCAAGAACTACGCTTTCGGGGATGTACGGTGTTGTGTTGAGAACGGGGCAGGATTCACGGATTTGATTACTGGTATTCACTTGTGGTCGCGATTAATGCGGCGGCGACGCCCTATCGCAACGTCCCCCACGATGGAGAATGATAGGCTAGGTGACGGACCGGACGGGCTGGCATGTGAAAAAGCGACCTGGCAGGTACTCGTCAACAAAGTACCTCACCTCACTGGCACGTCGCGGTGACGCCACGGACAATTTCACGCGCAGGACGGAGCTCAACAAGAAACGTTGCGATTCAGGGACGGACGCCGACGCACGCTGCAGCGGCGCGTCTGACGTGCGTCAATGGTCTCGTCTATCCAACGTGGGCGCGGTGTCAGTTCGCTGGCACACGCATGTGCACTTGAGATTGGGGTACATGATACTTTGCTCGTTGCGGTCCACTGAGGCTAAACAGAGTGCTGTGCGATATACGAGCTGGGGACGGCGTGCATGGGAGGATGCACGGATCGGCGTGCTTGATTGAGGTGCATGTCTTGAGTGGGCCCCGGTGTATATGTACGATTGATGGATGTACGGAAAGACGGTGAGGTGGGTTATTTGCTGGAGGGGGTTTTGCGGCGCAGCGATGGAATACGGCCTGGATGTTCTGGAACGTCGCAGGGAAGCTGTAGGATCCTGCTCGATATGTCCTGCTGGACCTCGAGCAAGACACTATAACGTGATGGTGAAGTGATTCAACGGGTGGAGACCATGCTCTGTGGAGGGCAGTTGGGTCACGTGCAAGCGGAATACCTGGATACTCGAACAACAGATATGCACATGCAGGACACAACTTTGGAGGGCGACTCCGCAAAGCATGTGCTAGTTTGACTTGCAGACGTTTCACAAGCGTCATGTATATTGTAATTGATGCTATCCTTCACATACGACCATTGGATCCTGAACATAGCGCTTCCCGTCCGCTCAGCGGTACTCAAGCAGGATACCGGCGGATTAGTATTGCGATCCGTGAGGGCGCGAGAATCCCCGCTGTTGTATGTTTTTGTCATTTTCTTTTTTGTGGGCTTATCTGCACAGTGTGGGTCATGTCTACTTAGGTGAGTGACCATTAAGCCTCAATGCGGACGGCAGCTGCTACTCGTGAACAACCGCGGCTATATGCCCACTTTTTTTTTTTTTTTACCCTTTTACACAGCTCTTTGTGTCTGAGCAAAGAGGCGTATCATCTTAGCGTTGGTATTGTTTCGAGCCGTCTCATGACCAACATTGAAGAGGAAACACACCCGCCGTCAAGCCACATCCACGGACTGTGAATGTTGAACAGCCGGACGAGTACGTTCGTGCACGTTTTAGCTGGCCGAGGCATTGCGGCACTCCCACGGGAAAACGGACACTAGGGACCCCAGAGTGACGTGATGCTGGCGAGAGAACAAGTGGTCAATCAGGGAAAAGGGACACTATCGTGAACAATGACGTTCAGAGGTCTCAACAACATCGGATCGATGGTGCGATATAACATTTCAGACGCGCATGTAATAGCACCAGAGGAGATCCTCCGATGAAAAATCCGCGGCATGTAGGTCGTGGAACTTGCCGTGCCTCACTCTCAATGTATCGTAGATGAAGCGCTGCAGCGTGCTGACCATGCGTACACGTACTTCAAAGTACCAAAGTACCTTCTAGATGAACGCGATATTAACCGTTGCGCAAGCGACAGATCGACGCGCGTAACGAAGCGAGTACCAGAGACCTGGTAGGGCGCCGTTTGGTAATTATTGACCAGTAGGACTCGATGCTGCACTGGAATGCGATCGAGCGTAGGTGCTGCGTGCATATGCACGTATGTGAATCTCGAAACCTTGGAAGAATCAGAGACTATGCGACGTAGCCTGGCTCTGCGTGAGCGTGCTAGATGGCGGCGCGCCCGCGACGAACGAGAAGCAGCAGCCGGTCCGAGATCTTCGGTGGGATTGTCGTTGCGTTGTTGACGAGCGAGGGCGCGGAAACGCGGCCCTAGAGCTCCTATCCGCTCTCCAGACCGCTGACGACGGTTTGTTTGAGGCTTGTTGCGTAATACGCACCGCGGGAGTTGCCCTATTGGCGCTGGCGTCAACAGCATGTGACGGAGAGGGCTGTTGGAGAGGCATGACAGTGAGCGACTGAGTCGTCTACATCCAGCAAATTGTAATCATTACCTGGTTACTGCAACTGGCAACGACAAGCGCCGGTTTCATCTCGGCCATGACATATTCCTATCAGACGCTCGATGGCAGCATTGATGGCGGCACGATAGATGCTGCGCGGCTATCGGGAAACGGCCTGTTGATAGTGGGGTATGCTGAATTTCTGGCCACTGCGGAGACCCCACACTCACACATGGCGGGCTAAGATTTCCTTGTTCTGTCAGGCTAGAACCGCGTCAAGCCGCCAGAACTGGCTGAGCCAGGCTAGAAGCATATCAGGCCCGCTAGATATGATTGCCTACAGGGGCATTATTGCGCTTGCGATAAGGCTTGGGAAGGTAGCCTGTGGCCCCAGAGATATCGTTTGCTAGACTATTGCGTCGCGTCGAGGAGCAGGCGGAAAAAGTGTTGCGAACGGGAAATGAGACATGTCGCCATCGATAGGCGCTCATCCTCTGCTAGCGTCCAGGGCTTTTTGGGTGCTTAAGCGCTCACAGCGCCACTATCGTCAACCGGGCGGGGCTGGTTGCGTGCTGGAAGACCCCAACACACAAGACGTCGGTGGTTGTGTGGTGGGCTGAGCTGAGATATGACATGTTACATAGTCGTTGCGTGCTGACATTGGCTGCGGACGTCAGCGTAACAATGCTTGCGACGTAACCCCCTCGATAAGAATAGCATGTGGGATTCGGGGATGTTTTCGTGGGGAAGGTCAGCCATGACTCTTTCGTATCTTGGTTTTTCCGCCCGTCTATAGGGCGATCTATCTAGCATCGACCGCATAGGACGCCAGTCCCGCACCGCGCGCTGCCTGCGGTAGCGCTGTGGCTCCGGAAACCTTCCCGTCTCTCATCTCGAGTACAGAGGGCGGTGCACAAGGTGTGAAGCCTGCGAAACAGAGCCGCAGGGGCGATCATGACCACGCATGAATGCGGAGCGTCGGGTCTGGGGTGCATTCACCTTTCCCAGACGGCGTACCACTTATCGGGCCCTTTTAGGGTGCGGCGTCGCGTTTTGGCCTGCGCCGCACCAGAAGAGGACCCACAGCCTCCACCAACTCCCGACCAGTGCCGAGCCTTTGGCGGAGTGAGGCAGGTCGATATGGTGCACAATCAGTCAGGGGTGTACTGTGCCGAACTCGGCAGGTGATTTGAGGGTACCCGCGGCGACCGCGATACCTGGCTGCTTCGGGGTGATGACACTTGTACCTGCACCAGTGCCGTGAGAAAAAAAACCGGGCTTGCAATTGCGGAGAGTGCAGCTGGGGTGATCGTCGTCTGACCGGCTGAGAGACAAGTGTGGTTGCGCAAAGGGCTGGAATGTTGTGTAGCGCGGGAGGCCTTCACCGCCCACCCCTTGCTGCGTCTCGGGTTGGGGAACAATGGGCAGTGCGGAGTCGTGTTTCGTGCTCGGATGACATTGTGCTCGACGGACGGGGGAATCCGCGAGCTAGAAGCGGAAGAAGATTCGCTGCGAGTCCCGCATTTCACCCGCTGCGTCGGTATTCCTTGCGTGCGACCCTGTTGTGACCTCACTTGGCATCGAAAGCACGTCACTGTTTTCCATTTCGTAATGGTAAAGTAAGGGTAAATTTTAGGCGGAGATTCTTATTACGCGCTGAGCTAGTATGTGTGTGCTGCCAATAAGCAGCTACCCAGGTGGTTGAAAGAAAAGTAGCAACGCAAGAAGTGGTGATACAGAACTGCGGTAGATAGGTCCGCGGGTATGATCGGTCCGACGATAAGAAAGTCTATGGGAGAATTTGCAACCAAAAATCATGAGCTCGTAGCCATTGGGCATTACGGCACCGTAATCCGAAACCTTTCTATCCCCAACATAATCCAAACGCTTGCAGGCTCAAGGAGGAAACCCAAACAATGCTGCCAAAACTCCGTGCAGTGCAGTGCCGCGTGGCATACTAGAAGCGGTCCGAGAGGTCGTTGCCGGCCACGGACGCTGTCGTAGACGAGTTGCCGGAGGAAAGTCCGCTTGGGGCGTTGAGAAGATCCTGCACGGCTACTTTCGGAATTTGCGGTATAGGTAGTTTTCGCTGGGCACCTTCCGGTTTTGAAATAATGTCGCCTATGCGAAGACCACCCGAGTTTTGAGCAGGGACATAGGGTGCCTCGGTGTGGGTGGAGGGCTCCATCGGCGCGAGTGCTGGCACATGGTGGAGACTCAAATGGCGGAGATGCGGGAGCTGCACATCGTTGAAACCGTGCGGTCGTAACCGCGGGGAATGGGCGGGCGTTGCAAGCGGGGTATGATCCGGTGTAGGTGAGCATGAGTCATGCGAGAATGTGGGTGAGGGAGGTGCGGTGGAGAGGGGAGAACCAGGCCGCGATTTCTTTGTCATTCGGTGCGCATAAGGGTCGTCATCTTCATGTGAATGCGACCGCGACATGGGCTGAGAAGAGTACGCATACTGCGCCAATCCCGGGAGCCGATGGTTGTTCTGGTAAGGATGATAGCCGTGACTGGTGACGTGGCGACTGGCGTAAGAGTAATGGTGCCCATGTCTTTGCTCCAACCTCGAGGCAGCGTCGGCGAGGAGATCGATGTTGCGGGCCAGGCCGTTGGGACTGCTGCTGTTGCTCCCGCTCCGATACGAGGCAAGGTCCGAAGACACGTTAGGCGAGTAGTTGGAAAAGGAGTGCGGGGGAGAGACATTGGGAGATCCAATGTTCGAACTGGGTGCGGAGCGTGAGATGACCTTGTTCGATGGCGGCGGCGGCATCATGTGAGCCATGGTGTTGGGCTCGATCATGCCGGCGGCGACGGCAGCGGCAGCGGCAGCATGCTGCTTGTTGCCTCTGCGCGAGTTGGGGTTGTTGTGGATGCGCGAGTGCCTGGTGAGTTCGTCGGAGCGGCTGAAGCGCTTGGAGCATCCAGGAAAAGTACAGGCGTGGGGTTTCTCTCCGGTGTGCGTGCGGATGTGGCGAGTCTGGTGCTCCAGGCGGTGGAAGGCCTTCTCGCAGAGAGGGCACTTGTAGGGGCGCGGGAGGTCTCCAGAGGGCCGCTGCTCGTCCTGCTGGGCGTTCTGAAGTAGCGGCGCCATCAGGCTCACGGTAGCCGTCGCCATGGGAGCGTCGGCAGTGGTCTGGGGAGTGGTCTGGGGGGAGCTGTTCTGTTGGTGTGTCGGTTCGTGGTTGAGGACACTGGATAGGTTGTAGGAACCTATCTGCTGGGCGGAGGGTTGCATGTGATCGGCGGAGGCACGTAGGTGCGGAAGTTGGGGTAGGAGGAAACTTAAGTAACTTTGGAGCCAGCAGGAGCGCGTGGGAGATACGTGGGGTCTTGGCGCTCTCCACAATTCGGTCTCTTTCGGAGGACTGTGGCTTTTCAGACGCTAAGGGAGGTGCTGCTAGGGTGTAGTGCGGATGAAGAGAATTCGGCCTAGTGAGCGGGACCCCGGTCGGGCAATGATGTCTGCTGCAGGCGGGCAGATGGCGTGCGTCCGGGTCGTGGTTGCAGGCGACGCACAGCAGGGCGCGGGAGAGAGGGCAGTCGAGCCACCTGTCCGTGTCTGCGAGGGTGCGCCTGGAGGGGGAGAGGGAGGCTGCGTGGCGCGCAACTGCTGCTGGCGCTTCCGACGCACGTCTGCGCTGAGTGCGGTGCTGCTAGGGCGGTGCGTTGCGCTGGCGACTTGTTGAAGAAATTTCCTGAGAGGTGGGACCCAGCAAAGTCTTCTGTTTCTTGTCTGGAGAGCAGCGGTGTACCGACGGTGAACAATCGGCGAGGCACGACCTGCCAGATAAGATGCTCCCAGCTAAGCTGTAGGCTGGCACGCGGCGCTCCTTCCTCCATCATTCGGCACGGCTGCCCAGTGCTCACGCCTGCGTGTGCCATGTCGCGCCCGCAACCGCCTTGCTCCCACCGCCTGCCCCGTACGTGATACTGCACGCTCGTAAGCCGGCACGCGCGGCGGCGCCCGCTCAGTAACACGGAGGCGCTCATGCTGCCCCCGGATCCTCCGTGATGTGATAACCACAGTGCAACTCCAAGCCAATCACTCGCCCACCACCCCTCCCCTCCCAGCACTGCCTGGGCCTGGGGAATGTGGGGGTCCGGGACGCGGGAAAAGCAACCATCGGACAGCGACGCCTCTGCTTCTAGTGCGCGCAGTGCAGCCACAGCCAGCGCTGCGAGGCACCGGGTGAAGACAGGAACTGCATCACCGTGTTGGCGCATCATGGCGTCGAGCATCTGGAGGCCCCTCCGCTGCGGCTGCCTCTCGGCCCGCACTCCAGCTTCAGGGATGCGCCAGCCCGACCCGGAAACCACACATGAGTCGGTGAGAAAGTGTCCCGGTGCTTCAACACCTACATGGCCCCCTTACACCGGCTGCCACCTAGATTACGCTGCAGCTGGAGCGAGCACTCGGTGAGAGGAGGCGAAGTCCGCAGCCTCATGCAAAGCCCCCATGTCGCTGCGACGTTGCCAGACAGCGGGGCGACCCCTGGAGCAGAGATCTCCAACAGTGGGTCTGAGCACTGCGGGAGCACGCTCCGATGCGCCTTATGAAGGCTGAATCCTCTGTGCCACCTCGAGGCAAGCTGCGAGCGTATGCTGGGGCGACTGGCCGCGAGGCTTGCCATCATCACTCGGTCTCGCGCTGCCCCAAGTTCCTGGTCAGGGCAAGCTAAGACGCTGCGAAAATTTTATTTGCTGCTGCTGCTGCTGCTGCTGCTACCCAGCGCGCCATTGTCCGAGATATGCCCTAGCTCGCAGAGAATGCTTCTCATCCGATGACACGTGCTTCGGAAGAATCCGGGATTGCTCCACAGCCTTTGGGTTTTCGACTGTCCTCTGTAAGGTCCCGCTGACCAACCCTCGGATTTGAAACAGTCCCTATCGCCCCATCAGCGTCAATATTGGCCCACAGCGCTGATGAGCCTGATGACGCAGGGGCACGGCTACTCCACAAGTTCCACACTCCGGCTCAGGTGAGCGCGAGTTTCTTCGCAGATTCTGCAACCACGTCCACTCGCCTTGGGGCTCCCTTTGCCGATCCCTTCGCCTGACAGAGGTTCAAGCGTCGTGACTCCCTCAGCTGTGGCAGTCACGACCCTATCCACCCCCGGCGTCCCCAACGCATCGCCCACAGACTGTGCAGGCATCGCTATCCCTTCCGGCGCCCTATCACCCGATGGTCACCCTTCGAGCTGCCTCCGTATCAGACTTCAGAGCCGCTACACGACGCTACTAATTCCCGACCCCGCGTTCTGATATTCCCCAGACCCCTACCAAATAGTCGACAAACATCATCAACAGCGAACATCCCGGACAAATTTACGCCGAAGCTGGGGCTGACATCATGCTCAGCCCAGTGAAGCCTCCTGAGTCGGTGCCTCGTAACGTGGCAAGGAGTTAAGCTTCACCGAAAGTCACAGCTCGCGTCTTCCAAGAAACCCTTTCTGGGCCAACAGTTTCATGAGTGGCTGCTCCAACTTGGACCGACCGCGTAATTACAGTATATTTTCACCCTCGGCCCGATCAGTCACGAAATGCCCGCGTGCATACAGCTTCCCTGGGCAATGACGACTGACGGCAGACTTCACCGACCGCTCGATCTACCTTCCGCACCGTCGTGGAGATATGCAGAGCCTCGCAATCTCTCACTTGCAGATCGATGTCGCTTGGCTTGCACAATCTGGAGAAACGGAGGACCATGCTGGCCCACAGGCTATCGACGATCCTCGTTGATCTTTCCCCAGGATGGCTTCCTTAGTCTCGTGTTTAGAGCGTCTAACCACACTCGAGGAATCCGGAGTAGCACTAACAGCCAACACGGCAATCCAGTCGACTCTCGTTGCACTACAGCCAGATGAACCAAAGGAGATCTCTCGGCCTGGGTTTGGAGCGTTTCTTGGTGCAATGCTGTGCTCGTCGATTAGATGACTTCCTATATCCCGATTCAGTGCTACAACAGGCCGTAAATCTCTAAATCATTCCCTGTCTCATTTCAAATTGAGCATTTATGCATGTAGGTCGGTTCGGCGTTCGAGACACTGACGCCGAGTAGTCACGACTGTGACGCGATGCCTGTCTTCGACGCTCGTAGATTCACACGAAGCTACCATTTACCAGTAGGTATACTGCAAGAGCGGGGTTCCCCACAGAGCTACATACACAACGTGCCACCGGACTCAATACTGGCATCGTCACTGCCCTTCACATAGCGGGTCCCTTTGGAGGTCTCCGTGGATCATCTAGCAGAAGCCAAACTATCGCCTCACAATGCGGCAATGGAAGCAAATGCGGGAGCACCAGGTGACACGAATACTGGAGAGATATGAGAGCTACTCAATCGGCGACGTGAAATATGCCGTCTTACCGAGATCGCCATACATATAGTCACTTCGCCTACGTTACGATGACGATCAACACTTTACGTCTGCAGATATGACGAATGCCCTTGCATTCCTCGGGATAAACATTCGATTGGGGAAGAAGCACCTTCACGAGGATCGAGCACCAAAGCTGCATTAGCAACACGCAGTCAGAAATAATATACCTGTAGCACGAGACACAACTTCGGAACTATCTGTTCTGCTATATGCGCGCTGTGAGAGAGCATGCGTTTCATCTGTAGAAATATCGTGATCCCTAACGTCTTGTGTATGTCCAGGTACGACTTCCCTGTGTACATCCTCTAGCCGATTAGTCAGATTTATTTCTACTGCTTGAAGCGTGTCGTATTGGAGCTATGGAGGACAATACGAGTATGGAAACCGTCCGCAGTAAAATCGTGGAGTATACCATCTAAAGTAGCGTCACAGTGCGTGAACGGCGCAAACGAAGAGACAGATGCACCACTAGATGGGCCACTTCGCACGTTGTGATGACGTGGTGTATCTGCGGTACAAGAGCTACTCGTAGTAAGTAACAGTGACTTCGCAATATCTTCCCATGGCTAAATAGCAGTCGCACGACTTTCCCTGTCATCTTCCGTGACTCGACTACGTAGCTCAATCAATCCCCTGCGGAGTCCCAGCCATCGATACGTGTACAGTGTATCTAGAAACCCCCGTGTAGATTCCGTTAAGGCAACACTGAAACAAAGGCTGCTTCGGACAAACAGCGTGTCTCACACCATCTCCCACTCATGCCGTTTGTCTGCACCCTGTGGCATGTGCTATTACCCACCCTCCTGCGTTTGAGCCATACAAGAAACCGCTAGACACCTCCTCTACGTGCACGTTCCCTGACCTCGACAGTGCCGAATTCAGAAATCCGAACATGGTCAGCCTGCGTGCTATAATCTTAGCTAAAGCACCGTCCTCCTATTCCTAAGTAGTTTCCCCCAACTGGTGACATCGTGTCGCTGGTAACGTAACGCATCGAAATTTGACTAGCATGGTCGGGCTTCTGTACTTTACGTAGTCGCGGTATCTACATGTGCTCTACGTGTGAAGTCGATCTATACACCTCACGGCTTACTTGATGCCTGGGCCGCTGCTTCTCTCCACGGACAGAGCAGCCCCAGATTTGATGAACGTAATTACTCTAGTATCCACCGTGTGTACTGCTGGCTGCTGCTGCTGCTTGCGCTTCAGTCAGACTAATCTCTACCCGGTAGACCTTCACTATATTGGCCAGGCTTGAGCCGTTGTGATGTCTGGCAATAGCATTGCACACTCCACGCTGTGTCTACGCTCTGTAGTGCTCTTACGCCTGACCATCATGCATAGGGGTACAGTCTCTTAGTCCACACGCGCCACCTGAACAATGTCCTCTGGCCATTTGACACCACAAACTTGGGCTACAAGCAACGCAGTATCCTGTCAGCGGAAAAACTGCTGCGTACGCGTCTGTCGCACTGAGTTGCTTGCCCTCGTCAAATCTATCTCTTCGTCATGTGGAGTGTCCGTCTTCTCACAAGCAGTGTGTATATGGCAGACAGTGGCCAAGTCCATGTCGCAATGTACAGGGGGAGTCTCGCGATATTCACAGCTAGCCTGGGTTCGGGCTTGATGTAGCCAAGGGAGACAGTGTTTTACGCATTCGTGGTCTTGATTCCGTAGAAGTGATCGCACTAGAGCTCGACTGTAATTTTCTCTTGCCTTGTCTTCAACGATGTCTGTTCCGGAAAATAAGCAGGACCGATGGGTAACAACCGTTTCAAGCCGCACCCAGCCTACCTAGCTTCAGGGACTTGATTTGGTGCACTTGATCAAGGACTCACGCAGTGCCTTTATGGGAATCTAGCAACATGTATCGTTCTGGAAGGAAACGAGTATAAACATCTGGGTCGAGCGTTTATTGGCGAGAACTATGTCTCCAGATCTGGCATGAAGACACGGAGAGGAAGGGGTTCACAGGCAATGTCCGCAAGACATTTGGCGACCTACGAATAGCTCCGGGCGGGTGTCAGATATTTCCCTAGAATGAGTCCTCATAATCTTTCCTTGCAACAGAAGCTTGAACCGTATCCAAGCTGCTCGGGTGATCAGGCGTTAAAGAAGATACTATAAGGCTGCTGAAGTCTATCCGAAGTATGTGCAGAGAAGACTGATCATGTCGCCCCGTTCGTCATTTCTTGCCTTCGAATGATGAGTACGTCGTCTTCAAGTGGGGAGGCTATTGTTATGTGCTTTGTTGTTTGAGATTACCTGGTACTAAGAACATACCATGTGTTGACGATGCAGCAAAGTGGACGCAGTAGGCCGGCGTAGTGGCCTGTACAGAACGGAGTGGAGCAGAGCACAAGGAGATGGGTTTAGCAAGTACGATGCACAACTTCGCAAGCGGTACACTTCGGCGCCTAAGACGCTCAAACGGTTATTTGAAAGCACGAGTCAAGCGAACACATCAAAACAAAGATACCACTAAACGCTTGAGATCAGCTGGTGCAAGATGATGCTGAATCATAGTGCTAGTAGGATCGATGCCTCCAAGCACAGGGAACGCACAAATGCACCCGCGCGCGTTCCGGCAACAGATTGGGAATAGGGTATCCGGTCCCTTTCGTGTGTGGGCGCTCGCCTGTACATGAACGTTATGGCGCTGCACAAAGGTTGCATCCCTCGCTGGAAATCATATTTCGTTACATACATGTCGATAGACGGAACACTAGAACATACTCACACTACGTGATCGGGTTATCATGCAAACACCATCCAACAGAACCATCAAGCGACAAGCAGACCATTTACTCCCTTCCGCCAACCCTCCTTTCGTAATCATCTGTGAGCCTCGACGCATCGACAACTTCGACGCCCTTGCCTAGCCCGACCATGTCCGCGCTCTCCCACCAACGATTTCCATGGCCGGAATGCTCAGACTTGCCCTTACCGGTATGGCTTTCGTCATCGGTGTCGACGAGGCCGCCAAGACCAGTGCCGTCGCTGCCGACGACAACAATGGTCTGACCGACCCATCGGGCGATGTCGGAGATGTTCTTACCACTGGGGCCGCTTAGTGCGTCGACGATATAGACGAGATCGGGTGCGATGTGACGGAGCATGTGCACGTGACCGGAGGGAGTGGTGAAGGGCATGACCATGGCGGGGTTCTCGACGAGACGCAGGGCTTGGGAGCGGAGAGTGTTCCAGAGGTGGTCATCAGAGCTGCGGGCCGAGAGAGCAGGAGTGTAGGGTTCCTCGGGGTGGGGCTCGACAGCGGAGAGACCTTCAGGGCCGCCTTCGCCCGGGGTTCGCGCTGGGTTGGAGATGGCATCGTAAGAGGAGCCAAGGGACGCGGCGCGGTTTGGTGAGTTTGGTCGAGAGCGGAGAGACGGAGTGTAGACGAGGACGAAGAGCTTGGTGCGGCTGAAGTCGGTGTCGTTGAGGTGGGACAGGATAGTCTACACATATTAGCTCGGACGTTGTCTCATGTCCCTGTTAAACATACAGCATTTTCAGAGCGATATGAGCCGTGTTCCTCGTGGATATCGTCCATGAGCGACTCGGCAGACACGACAATTGCCACGGTTTTCCTCCTGCCACCGCTCGAGGGTCCACCTCGCACAGAAGCAGCGAAGCTCTTCGCATTGGTGTCGACGGCCGTCTTGCTCTGTTCACTCTGCGCTTCAACGTTTCGTCGCAGCGTCGCCTCTTCGGACCACCTGCTGTGGTCGGGGTAGTCGTCCTTGCCCTCCTCGCGAATGCTCGCGAGGGCAGCACCAGCAGCAGCGCCCGCAGCAGCAAAGCCTGCGGCCGTCCTCTTGCTCACAGTGTCGAACAGCTGCTGGGGGCTGGGCGTCCGGCGCATCACGCCCTGGACGCGCGAGTAGATGGTCTCATCCTCGCGCGCAGCCCCGTCGCGCGGCTCGGGCATCTTCCTGAAGTCTTCCTCCCCATAGCTCAAGTCGTCGTCGTTGGATTCCTCATCGTCGCGGCGCTCGCTCCAGACCCAGGCGGCGAGGCCCGCGGTCGCGACGGTGACGGTGAAGACTAGGGGCACCCAGTAGCTGAAGGTGCCGCGGCGGGAGGAGCTGGACTGGCGGCGGTCGTAGCGGTCGTAGGAGAAGGACATGCTTTCACACCATCTAGGCTGCGCAGCGTGGAGGAGCGTGTGGGGTAGCGAGTCTGCAGGCCAGGAGAGGCGGTGTTGTTGTTGTCCCTCGGCGGACCATGGCGTGGCTGGGAGCTATGAGCGCATCCCTGCAACCATCATGGCGCCTAACATTTGAACCGAGGGCGGGCCGAAGAGTCATGCACATGCAAACGAAACTTTGGCGGGGCGCAGCGAACCACGCACGCCGACGACATTGCGCAAGCACATCTGCGACAGAGCCGTAGAGCCCAGAACCCTCGGTCCACTCCGACTCTGGCTGTGCCCTCAGTCCGGATCAAGTCTTTCGCGCTCCGCGCCGGCGCTCAACACCATGCCACACGCGACGCTGCCCTCGCCGGGCTTCCAGGCCATCATCCTGTGTGGCCCTGGCGCTTCCTTGACTACATTCACCTCGTCGCCAAAGGACATCCCGAAAGCGCTGCTGCCCATTGCGAACAGGCCTATGGTGTGGTATCCGCTAGAATGGTGCTACCGCATGGGAGTCACAGGTAGCAAGACCACGCCCCTCCAGCTCCGCCTCCAGCTAACAGAGGGCCAAATACGCAGACATCACCATCGTTACTCCTCCCGAATCATTGGAGGCCATAGAAGCTGCCCTGTCGCGCGACCCACACCTCACCTCGCTCCCCGCGCCCAAGCCTGATCTTATTGCGCCCAAAGACCTCACCCACGAGACTGGAACCGGCCACCTCTTCAGACTACCAGAAGTGCAGGATGCGATCAAGAGTGACTTTATTGTGCTGCCTTGCGATATTGTTTGCGAATTGGACGGCACAGCGCTGGCCGATGCGTGGATGGTGGAAGAGGCTGGACTTGGCGCGGCAACCGGCGGTCTCACTTCGACCGGCAAGATGCCTACGGGCCTCGGCGGTGAAAAGCTCGGCCGGAGAGGTGGTTTGGGTGTATGGTACCAGACCAAAGGCGAAGGCAGCAAGAAGGGCGAAGAGACGGATTTCATCGCGACCACCCCGCTCTCGACGCCCATTGTACCCCCACCAGCCGACTCGTTGCGCCGCAATGTTTCGAATCTGGTGTACACGGCGCCGACCGACACTCTCAACGACATTACAGAGGAGAACAAAACCTTGCCAATACGGCATTCGCTCATCCGCAAGCACGGCCGCATAAAGATGCTCACCACCCACCGCGACGCGCATATCTACTTCTTCCCTTACTGGGTCATTGAGATGATCAAGAAGAACGAAAAATTCGAGAGCGTCGCAGAAGATGTGCTAGGCTGGTGGGCGAAGTCTGGCTGGCAAACCGGGTTAGGAGACAAGCTCGGTCTGCGATCAATACTTCAACCAGAGGATGAACCCGGCAGCGACCACGGCTCGCAGGTTATTGAGGAGGAAATCGACGTCGCAAAGTTCAGCTCCACGTACGCCGGCCCGAGCCAAGCACACGATACCTCCCAAACCCTAGCATCGCGCGTACGCGACTCCAGCATTGCCCAGGGCGTTCAGTCGATCTCAAAACCGAAACTCAACGTTCCGCCAATGCTATCATACGTCCAACCCTCGACTGCAGACGCGCCGCTCATCCGACGTGTCGATACCGCTCATCTCCTCCTAACCATCTCCCTCCGCCTCGCCAAGCTCCCTTCCCTCGAGGAGACCAACGGCAACCCTGCTTCGCCCTTCTCCCACCAGTACAAAGTTGCTCACAAGAACCTGATCCCCCGCAAGTGCCGCGTAGAAGCCGAGAACAGTCTCCTCGCCGAGAACGTCATCGTTGCCGAGAAGACCAACATCAAAGAATCATGCATAGGCGCAAACTGCAAAATTGGCGAGGGTGCGCGATTGCTGCGATGTCTTCTGATGGAGGGCGCCGAGGTCGGTGAGAATGTGCAGCTGACGGATTGCATATTAGGCAGGAGATGCAAGATTGAGGGTGGAGACGGAAAGAGCGATGACCGCACGGTGTTGAAGGACTGCGAGGTGCAGGATGGTCAAGTGGTCGAGTGGGGAACGGAGAGCAAGGGAGAGAAGTTCATGCGGTTCGAGCTCCCAGAAGCAGGCGACGGGGACTTTGGTGATTTTGGCGATGATGAGGCGGATGAAGAAGACGGGATTGCTCTGGGATGAGATGTGTGACTCTGCAGTGGCCACGATAACGATACCCTTGGAGATAGAGTACACTTGAAAGTGTTTGCATCTACTTTAAGAAAAGCTTTAGTGAGTCTGAGAGGACATGGGGAGTTTCACACAAATACACAGCACCTTAGAAGTGACAGAAGGAGGTGTATTTCCTCGTGCAACCGTGATGAGAACTACCGGTAAGCTTCGCCTATGTGAGCTTAAATCATTAGCGCAAATGTCATCCCAACGTCCAACGAAGAGGGACCCAAACCCCTATCTGCAATGCAACTCGAACCACGATAAGTCTTTCAAGCGTTGATCGCATGCTTTAACGCCAATGCCTTTGCCGGACTACCATCCACGATGCCATGATGTTTAAAGAGAAGCCTTCCGTCGCCACAACGCCTGAGCACAATGCTGATCCATGTTATCGAAAGGAGCCTGTGTTACACCAGGATCAGCAATGGAGGACTCAAGCTGTCGATGTACACGTATCTTAAAGAGACTGTGCTACTTCTGCTTGTAGGTCTTGGAGGAGTGCTTGGGGAGAGCATTGATGCGTGTCATGCCCTGCGTCGCGCGTTGGTCGTCGTGCGCGAAGCCGCAGTTGTTGCGCTCACGGCATCGGCCTTCGAGTTGCTCGCGCCGGCACGGAGTGCGCCATTGTGGCAAGGCCACTGAGGGAGGTTGGCGGGACATTGCTAGAGGTGTGGTAACATTTGGACTATGCTCAACATACTGGGGCTGAACTTGGGCGGTGTTTGTCGTCTGGGATGAGGCTGCATTGTTCCCTGAAGTGCCTAGGTCGGAGACCGCGAATGTGATATTGTTGATCGTGTTGTTGACGGTCGTGACGGGAGTTGGGAACCCGAACGTGTCTGGGATGATGGGCTGCGGTGGGGTCACGCCATGCTGGGTCAAGGCCTCTCGGAGACGCTGGTTGTCGAGCTCGAGGGCACGAATGCGGGTATTTTGGTCACTCCGCTCCGTAAGCTGGATCTGGGCGTGGCCGTGGAGCTGGTCGATATGGCGGCGGAGCTCATCTTTCGTCCAGCGCTGGTCTGCAGACATGGTATGTGAAATGGGGCTGGTGGCAGATGTTGACTTGGAGTAGAGCTGCTCAAGTGGTCGTGGATCGCACAAGAGTCATATAGTAGTCGAAGGAAACGCAAAAAGGCTCGGGCCATGGCTTCCAAGTGAAGGCAGGGAGCTTCTGAGATGCGTCGCGCTATCTCAAATTACAAGTGAAGGCAGTGAGCACACAGTCGCCCCGGTCGTTCATCTCGCACGTGATCCGGAACTAGTGCCTACAAACCCCGCCTCCCATCGTTCTGCTCTGCTTCTTCTTCTTCCACACAACCCTATTTGGTATCACGACTGCGTATGCGCTGCCACACACACACACACACACACACACACACACACACACACACACACACACACACACACACACACACACACCTTTCTTGACTCGTTTCCTGCCCGCACTCTTCTATCATCTTTGCTCCACTCTCTTTGCTCCACGCTCTTTGCTCCACTCTCTTGCTCCACTCTCTTTGCTCCACACTTTCACTTGGCTACCTTTCTGAATGTCAGTTTACCCCACCTCAACCTCTGCTCATCCATAACGCCCAAACCAGTTCTGGTTTGCAGGCGCAGGCAAGAACGCTTCTTCCTCTCGCGTGGCCCTGCGGCTTCCGACGCCCTCACCCACAAATTCCGCGACTTCGAGTGCGCGAAGACCTTACGCTTGACGAGAGTCGCGTATGGGTGCCTGCCCTGCGTGCTTTGCACTCATCCGCAACATTCTAGCTTGAGGCTTCACTATTGGTACGGTACACTTATCGACGTAGTCTCCTGTATGAAGATCCGAAGAGTTGGCCACGCCCCCTCGGATGAGGCTCTATGGTAGCGATACCCTTATCCTCACAACCTCACGTTTGACGGGATTCGCGTGTCGGTGGACGCTGCGTGCTTTTCACATCACTCCAAACACTCCAGCTTCGTGTTTCACTATCGGTACGGTTCGCGCCTGTCGACGTAGCTTTTGTATGAAGCTCTGAAAGATTCGGAGCCCTGCTCCCTTTCAGATGGACCCTGCCTGTAGCAATACATTCACTCCAAACAATCCGACTTGATAGCTTCGATACGCAGCGATTGGCTTCTTTGTCGAAGTTCTGGCAAAGAGGACTGCTGTTCTAGGGTCCTTCAGGAGTGGCACTGACGTAGGTCTCCTTCGGAGAAGCGCTTTGCTTCGCCATACCGCCTTTTGGCATATTCTACCTTTTTATCTATTTTTGTTTTCATTTTCATTGAATTCCATGTCTGCTAGGCTGGGTTCGAGGAAGAAGCTTTTGGTAGACTGAAGACTTGGGGTGGGCTTCACTCTAGACAATGGTAAGATAAAGAGCAAGATTATCAATCGTCCTCTGGCCATTTGCAATTCGCATGGTTCATACTCTAGTATTGATTAGATATTAGAGAGATGGTGAGAACAATGCTGGAAACGAGTGACAGCTAGCTCATCATGATGCATCCATTGACACGCTCTTCGAGCAGCTCGGGAATCAATGAACTTCCGGATTCGATGAAAGGCGTTCATGTCCACGATAGTGATTACTTACATCGCCCACCGTGTCGGCTGCCATGCCATTGTGGGGTTGTGGTCCGCGCCGGAAGCCGGCGGCATGTTACCCATGATGAATCTTACGCAGCAGACGACGCGATGATGCCATATGTTGAAACTCGATCTCCGTTCGAGTCTGGGATGCTTTAGGCGGCATATCTGACGGCTGACGTCAACTTCTCGCCTGAGCAAGCTTTCTTCGAAGCTTTATGGTAGTCTTGACTATGCACGTGCGCCGCATGCGCTCCGCTGTTAATTCGGTATGGTTTGCCGATATACAGCGCGACGACCACATCTGATTTTCGGACAGAGTTGAAAAGTCACTCTGCAAATAGTAACACTTGCTGTTCCGGCCGAGCGATGCAACGGCTCAAAAGTCCCATCGATGCAGATGATCGCTCGCAGCCGCGTCATCCGTGCCACCAGGTCCCGACGGCTCCTGCCAATGAGCCCAGAGTTTCCTTTTTGCTGACCTCGTGGCCGATGTCTCTAACATCTTCTGGGTAAGTAGCGGGAGCTTCATTCCGGCCTGCCGGCGCAGGTATAACTGTGCTTCTCCCGGAACATGGTCCAGCACGCATTCGCGAAACACTCGACGAGTTAGCACATAGCAGGATGAAGCTCTCCAAGACCATCGACAACTGGAGACGTCGCAGTTCTGTTGAGCAAAGCTCTCGGTGGGTCGGTCAGCATGAGGGATATGACACCAAGCCACTGCCTCGCCTGACGTGGGTGGGGTTCTCCATGGGTGTTCTGGTTTCTATGGGTCAGCATGCTCTATGCTTTCGTGTGGACGGGAAGACTGTGAATGAACATCATGCTAACAGCCTTTTCCAGGTGGCTTTGTCTTCGGCTACGACACCGGACAAATCTCCGGCTTCCTCGCCATGCCAGATTTCTTGCGACGGTTTGGCCAGCGACACACAAACGGAGACACCCCTGAGTATTACTTCTCCAACGTAAGGTCAGGCCTTATCGTGGGCTTGCTATCAATTGGCACGCTCTTTGGTGCTCTTGCTGGTGCCCCAATTGCAGACTGGATTGGAAGAAAGTTGAGCATCATCTTTTGGTGCCTCGTCTTTTCTGTTGGCATCATCGTGCAGATCAGCGCAACGGACAAGTGGTATCAGGTACGTTTTCAACACAATGCCATAGCCACGACTCTTTCTGCAGCTTTCAGTATTGCTCACATTCGGCGTATAGATAATGCTTGGTCGTCTCGTAGCTGGCTTTGGCGTTGGCGCACTGAGTCTTCTCGTACCAATGTATCAGGCCGAGACAGCTCCTCGCCACATTCGGGGGGCTCTAATCAGCACGTACCAGCTCATGATTACATTTGGCATCTTCCTTGCGGCTGTATTCAACTACGCCGCAGAAAAACACCAGTCCGGCAACGCGGCCTCGTGGCAGATCACCTTGGGCCTGTCCTTCGTTTTCCCCGCTATCCTTGTTGGCGGTATTCTCTTCTTCTCCGAGACGCCACGGTTCTTGTTCAGACAAGGCAAGGAAGAAGAAGCAAAGCAGACCATGTGCAAAGTTTATGGAGTGGGAGAAAACCATTACGCCATCCATATGGAGTTGGAAGAGATCAGAATGAAGCTCGCAGAAGAGACTAACAAAGGGAGTGCAATCCAAGAGTGGTTCGGGATGTGGAAAGCACCAAAGATGGCGTATCGACTGGCTATCGGAATGGGACTGCAGATGTTCCAGCAGCTCACAGGGTAAGCTCCGATCATGATCCCCATTTGAATACGATTTTCTGACTTCTCACAGCGCCAACTACTTCTTCTACTACGGCACCGTAATCTTTCGCGGTACCGGCATAAACAACTCGTTCGTGACACAAATGATCCTGGTGGGTTTTTGCGATCTACACGCTGTTATCATTCAAGGTACTGACTTCATCTAGAACGGCATCAACTTCGGCGTGACCTTTTACGGCCTCTACATTGTCGAGCACTACGGCCGTCGCAAGTCTCTCATCGCAGGCTCCATCTGGATGTTCATTTGCTTTATGATCTTCGCCTCGGTGGGTCACTTTGCGCTCGATCGAAACACGCCGGAGAACACGCCTCACGCTTCCGTCGCCATGATCGTCTTCGCCTGCTTCTTCATCTTCGGATTCGCAACAACGTGGGGACCCATGATATGGTAACGAGCAGAACTTCAGATGTGACTGCGGTTGGAGTGGCTGACGAGGACAGGACAATCTGCGGCGAGCTGTATCCCAGCCGCTACCGCGCGAAGGCAATGGCCCTCAGCACAGCCAGCAATTGGCTCTGGAACTTCCTCCTCGCCTTCTTCACCCCCTTCATCACCGGCGCCATTGACTTCCGCTATGGCTACGTCTTCGCGGGCTGCAATGTGCTTGCGGGGTTTGGTAAGCCGCTCTGCCGCACTCTGCGACGCTTTCTGACCATGCTAGGGATCTACTTCTTCGTCATCGAAGGCCAGGGTCGCACGCTGGAGGAGATCGACACGGTAAGTCATTTCATACCTCAACCCGATCTTACGACTTGGCTGAATCTGGGTATAGATGTATCTACTGGGAGTGAAACCATGGGAAAGCGCCAAGTGGGTGGTGCCAGACCTGGATGAGCTGGACCCCAAGACGAGGCGCGCGTTAGAAGAGACGAACCCGGAGATTGCGGCCGCGGCTCAGAGGGAGAGCAATGCGGTGGATGGGACGGAGAAGACGGAGAAGGAGGAGATGGAGGCATAGACGGCGGGAATGCGTTGAGAAGGACGCTGCGGGATCACTAGTAGCGTGAGACTCTTCGAGTATGTATGACTTGATAGTTGGACTTTCTTGTTGCTGATCCCGGGGCAAAAAAGGGCCCCCTTTTTACACCCAGTCACCACCATCGCGTTCTGTTGGAACAGGCGTAATGGTAGTGGGGACTATGGGACATTAGATGGGACGGCGCAGGTGCTGCATCTCGCCCGCCTTATGTCTTAGCGAATAAATAACTCAGTGAATAGTACCCCCCAGCGTACAATACATTGATGTGGAACGTAGGTTCGATCCTGCGGCCCTCTTGGAATGGAGTTGCGCTGTCAGGGGTCCCAAAGCGGACTCAGTCCACCATGGACCATCAAGCTCAAGATGTGATGGGAACCCGTGCTCCAAGGTACATTGCTTTTGAGCTGCCCCTGTGAGGCCGGAGTTTCACTTTGGTCGATGTCTGCTTTGCCTTAGAATGGGATGGACGAGCGAGTGGGAAGTGTATCGTGGAGGGACTCGAAGGGCAGATCGATTCAAGGTCCTTCGTATAATGCCGCGCCTTGTGTAATCGCGGCTGTTGTTCTTTGGTACTACTACATCTGGAGCCAACCCTTCTTGCTCACATCACATATGACCAGGTATTAGGTGTGCTAATCGAATTGGATATGGGTATCATTAAAAGACCAGAGGGCTCCTGTATCAGCGGACCTCAGGAGGCCGTGGCGGCCGTCTTCATCTTCTTCCTTTCTTCCTCCCTCCGTGCCTCCACCCCAGCCAAGAAATCCATGCGTCCCAGGTACGCCTCTTTCGTCTTGCCGTGTGTATCCAACTCTTCTGCAATGCCCTCCTTGTCCACGAAACCAGTCCAGTCCAGCCGCGACTTGTCCACCACGTTGAGCTTTTGCGCCTTCTCGGGCCGCGCGGCCTTTGGTGCATCCGGAGGCGGGATGTTCTCCTTTGCAGACGCGGCGATTGCAGCCTTCCGGGGCCATGATAGCTGGTGCTCGGGAGGCAAGGTGCGAACATAGCCGGTAGGATTGGAATCGAAGCGCGAGGGGCGGCGGAGCGGACGTCGAATCTTGGGTCCGTCTTCCTTTGGTTCCGCCTCTTTGTCAGCGGAGACTCCTTCCTCCACGGCACGATCTGCGGTCTTCCAGCCGTCTGACAGGAACTTTTCCAGGGCGGAGCGGGGGACCTGTTTTTCCTCTTCTGTGCGCTGGCCGGCGAATGTGTAGGCTTTCCTCACCGTCACCTGCTCCTCTTCTTCTGCTGCTTGGGGTGCTTGCGGCTTGACTGCGCCGGCATCGCTGCTCAGTGCATCTGCATCTTGGACCGTGGGTGGGGGTATAGGCCTGAGCGGCGCAGCGAGCATCTGCGTCCACAAGGCATCGACATCGACAGTCGCTCCGTCGGTCCTCGCGAGGGGTTTGCGCTCCTTTAGTCTGCAGGAGGTACCGTTAGCTGCCGCTGTGCACTCTGCGGGGATGCACATACTCGACTCTTCTCTGCGCGCGTGTCTTTATCAAGCCGCCGTCTCCACCATCGTCGGACAGGAGCAGCTCGTCCTCGTCTGCCTTTGCCCCCTTGCGCTTCTTTGCTTTCCGCCTCCGTGCGGCCTCGATGGTCACCTCATCTCCAGAGTCCAGCTCGTCGTCAGGAACCGCTTTCCGCTTCGCGCGTCCCTTGGCAGGCTTCGCAGGCGCATCGTCGTCGTCGTCGGAGCTCGAGGGCTCGTCGGCGGGAACGGCGGCGGGATTGAAGTCGTCGTCGGACGACTCGTGGTAGTTTGCTTCGGCGTCGGAGAGGTCGTCGACGGGGTCTGTGGGCGCCATGTTGTGAAAGTCGTCAATGTCGATGCGTGGGTGAAGTCGCGGCAGGTGGAGCCGCGCCTCGAGGATCGCCGGCTAGAGATGCAACAGGCTAGACCGCCGACCGCCAGCCGCCAGCCGCCGCCGGTGACGTCGCGTGAGATGCGGCTGCACGAGCGGGGCGCGTCAGAGCACAACAACCAAGGAAAGAAACAACAAAAGTGCCATGCGCACAACCGCCGCCGACTAGCACACGCACATTCCTACCATCGCCATGGCGCCTCTTGAGTCGAGCGCGACCGCCCAGAGCAACAGGCTGCCCTACGCGCTCTTCGCGGGCCAGACCGCGCTTGTTGCTGTCCTCACGGCAAATGTACTGCACAAGGCCTATCGCGCCGCGCGCGCACTCCCTCCGGCCACTGCGACGCGTGCCCAGGTCGAAGCGCGACGACGCCATGCCGTCGTCTTCTCGGTTCTCGCGTTCTTCTCTCTGACATCAGTCACGACCTTCGCTGTTCTGTGGCGCGCCCTGTCGTATCTGGACTGGGCTCACCTCGGCGGTCACGAGACGCCAAACACCATCTGGCACGGCTGGTATGGGACGGGAGAAGAAGGAGTTGGAAGCTGGAGACTGGGCGACTGGCTGAGCGACACGGACCTGATTCGCGCATCGGATGAAGTTGCGGTCGCGAAGCCCGAGGCTTTTGTGTATACCACGCAGCACTTCGTCGCACTCATTGGCAATGCCATATTCATGGGTATTGAAGGTAGGTGCACCAAGCACGAACATCCCAGTATACGCGACTGACACATCGCAGGCCGCAGACGCAACCTTGCAGCCTCCACCATTGCATCTTTCGTCATCTTGAGCGCAACCGGAAGCCTGGGATATGCCCTGAATCTGTTCTTCATCATCATGCTGTACACGCCGCTGGCCAGACACAGCGAGGACCACGCACGCCATGATGCCCTGTTTACCCCAAAGCCTTTCGTTTTCTACGTCCCGGTGTGGCTATCAGTCTTCGCCCTGCACACGTTGCCTGGCCAGTTGAAGGAGAACAAAGACGTCATCCTTCTGCGCTGGGGCTATGTCTTCGTTCCCCTGTTTCTTGCGTTTGCGCCGCAGGTAAGATTCATGACGCTCGCTCTGACAAGACAACCCTAACGCTGCGATAGATTGTCTCCAAACGATTTGGTGACCACTACGCGTCCAAGGCCGCCGCCCATCGCTCATACTCCCGCGTCTTCTACCAGCTGTCCATCGCAGCCTTCATCCTGCACTGGAAGGTTTTCGGTTTCGCAGTCCTTGCCAACACGCCCTTGAACGAGACCTCGGTCTACGACAGACTGAAGCACCGACTCGAAGAGGTTACTGGAACAGGCAGCTCGACGCCAAACCGACTGTACGAGGGTCTCAGCACCCTGGCACTGAAGCTTAGGCCCATCAGCATCCACCCGGCCGTCAGCGTTACCACCTCAGACGTGTTCTTCGCCTCCGTCAGTCTTTTCGTCTGGGCCTTCATCCGCGATCTGGACGTCGGCGCCATGCTTGACAACAGCGTGCTGTCATTTCTCACGTCGAACAAGTCAGAGAAGCACGTCGAATTTGAGGACGAGCCTGACACGCGAGCGCTTCCTGCCGCGGATTCCGAAGAACCTGAAGAAGTTGTTCCCGCAGTCACGCCCAAGAAGCGGGGTCGCCCAAGGAAGTCCACTCTGACCGACGGCGCCACATCGTCCTCGAAAGCCTCTTCAGTTGACCCGAACGCACTCAAGCGACCTACGAGGCGGGGGCTCCGAAAGGGCGACTTCTCGGACGCAGACCCGGACGATGCTTACGAGCCGAGCGCAGCGGCGAAGCGGGACGTGGACCAGATGGAAACGCATGGGGAGCACATCACTGATGATCTCGTTGGGCCTGCCGAGTCGACTGCGCTGGCGCTCTTCTTGGGCTTTCTCGGTGGACTGGGGCAGGTCTCCGCAAGCGTGCTCGGAGCTGAAGTCACGGCGGAGTAGCTATTGCACATGGATGGAATCTGAAAGTATTGGAGTTGGCGCTGGTAGGAGTTGAGGTGTGCTTGCGCATGATACCTGTTGCCTGTTTGGTCTGATCCAAAGCACTGTTCTATTGTAAAGTGGATGAACTCTTCCGAACCGTAAGGACTTTGATCGGTCCGAACGGTGTAAAGTTTTAGCCCCATGTTGCTCAATAATAGCCAGCGAGCTATTTACGCCCCAGCGAAGATGAACTAGTTCTGTACCAAGTGCCTCTGAATAAGGTGAAAGATGGTGGCCGCCCGAGATTTGACCGCAGTTAGAGTTCGTCTGCTACGTCTGCGCTGCATCGCTTTGCTCCAGTGGAGTATTGATCTTGCAAAGCAAAATGAACAGAGACTTGTGTATGCCTGCATGTACAATCTGGCTTACAGTTGTTGCGCACCAAATCCAATGTTGTGCATGTTAACAAGATCTTCCACTCACTCACGCTCGGTCGTTGATGTGCATACATACGAGCCGACCCGCGTGCATGGGCGGGACTAGCCGCATTGCGCCGCCCTAGCGACCCAGCGCCAGTTCTGGATCCTTAATTTCAGCCTCGCTCTCCTAGTCTTGACCCAACCTGGTTGCGCTGATAGTAGGCTAGATCATCGTTGCGGCGCTGCTCAAATGGCTACCATCGTCTTTACGATTTTGCTCGGCAGGAAGACGCGATGGGGCAGAGCCAAACTTCGCCCTCATATGATACAGAGCTAGTACTGATTTCTAGACTCTCGTGTACGCAGCAGTCCCCGCTGCTTCGCGCGGCGTCTTTCCTCCTGCCTCGGCCCTGTCACTCGTTTTCTGCGCTATACCTACCTTCTTGTAATATCTGATTAATCCCAGAGTACGCACCATGCGGTCTTCACTCCTATGGGCTCTCGGCTATCCCATCGATCCTCGCTCTTAAAGTCAGCACATCTGCTCGCTGCAGCACAGGTACCGGCCTCACTTGCCTCGGCAGCAGCTTTGGAAATTGCTGCTCTTCGCATGGCTACTGCGGCTCTACGTCCGCGTACTGTGGAACCGGATGCCAGGCTGGCTTTGGGAAGTGTTCGTTGTCCCCCAAACCCGCAGTCCAGGGTATCCAAAGACGGGACCTGCGGCGGGTACACCGGATACACGTGCAAGGGCTCAGTCTTCGGAAACGGCTGCAGTCGGAACGGGTACTGTGGTAAGACGTCTGAGTACTGTGGTGCCGGCTGCAACTCCAAGTTTGGGACTTGCGGCGTGGTGGGTCGTCCTCGAAGCCTTGCAGCAGCTCCAAGGTCCGATCTACTTCTTCGCGGGCGCCTTCTGCCTCGACGAAGCGCACTACTTCTTCGACGCGTGCTCCGTCTTCCTTCTCATCCGTCTTCATCCTCGACAAAATGCACAGCCTCCTCAATTCACTCCCTGCCGTCGTCGATTGGGTCATCGTCTTCATCAGTTCGCTGTTTGTCATCCTCAGCATCTTCCTCGCTAAGCAGTACTTCGCCAGCTTCGATTAGCGCATCCTCTTCCGTCGCCAGCTCCGTCGTGTCAAGCAGCTCTTCCTCTAGCTGTTCTGTATCCAGCAGTGCCTTATCATCCACCGTGAGCTCATGCTCGCCAATCACCGATGTCACAATCGAGACTGTTACTTCGACCACGATCACCACGGAACATGCCGACGTAGATATGGTGGGAAGCATGCGAAGCTAGACTGTGAGTGAGCATCGTGCTTTTAACAAGGCCTTATACCAGTCCAAGCCTACCAGTAAATGTGGTCATTCTGCGCTGGGAAGACGGGAAGATGGTCTCAATGTGGACGACTTGCCAGCAGGACGATGACTGCTCGCTGACGGATCGTACGTTACCGAGACAATTTGGTTGTAGACGTAGTGAGACATTGATAAGAGACTACAGGAGAAATCCGCACACTCACCAGCCCCCAAAGTCTGTAACATCCTCTGCGTAGCCAACGGCTACGCCTACGACACTGAAAATGCGTCGCGGTGCCTAGCCGTAAGTTCTGTCCTACCCAAGCATCTCCTTACAGATTCAATGCTCATTACGAAGTAAATCCGAAAGTACAAAGAATTCAAAGCCCAGTCAAAATCATATCATCGCTTGACTGGCTCTACCATTGCCTAACGAGCCTGTAACACGCGCTCAAGTATCAAAAATTGCGAACGTCATCGATCAAATTCTACGAAAGTGCCGTTCTCAATCAATCCTCAATACCCCACTGCATTGGTCCGACCGTCCCAACCGCCTTGTCCATGCCACAGGAAGAAACACCAAAATCTCCGGCTTTCGAGCTTGACATACTGCCAGCGATCGTCTCTCCAGCATCCATAGTTCTGCCGGGGGTAGCCATCCTCGGAAAGGTCGTTGTTCAACCCGCCGTTCTCCCACTTCAGACGTCGACCACTTGGAAGGTCCAACATAACCTCAAAGTTGACCTTTGAGTCAAGCCACTTGGGGTCCAGCTTGTACTGGATCTCAAATGGAAAGCAGTCTTTCAGGGCACGGCCGAAACACTGGATCGGGGTGCCATAGTCGCCACCCCCAGCCTCGTTTCCGCCAGCATCGTACAGTGTCCAGTGAAACTTGGGCGGGGTATGCTCCAGCTTGATTTCCCACCTGCCACCAGCTGGAATTGGCTTGGGACCTAGGGCTATCGTCGGTGCAGGAGAGTCCGATGTTGGCAGTGTCGGATGCGCGGTCTGCGACAGGTGCGGCGCTTTTAGCAGCTTCGTGATCGGCTGGTGCGAAAGATGTGGAGCCACTTTTCGTTCCGAGATCGAAGGTATCATCGTCATCACTGGGATGGAGATAGAGGTCGGCTTCGTAAACAGCTCCGGGATGGAGATAGTACTACTGTTCTCAAAGTCGTCACCCTCATCATCATCAAGCAGGAGCGGGGTCCAGGGGCACGATCCACCGTTGGTGTCATTCTTCATCTGCAGAGTCGGAATCACAATGGTGTCATTCCGGGAGAAGTTGTCGCCTTCAGCATCGTCGAGGTCGATGGCAACCCAGGGACACGATCCACCGTTGGTCTCGTTCTTCATTGGAAGGAAAGGGATGTCAATCAGTGTGTCGTTGTTCACGTTGTCACCTTCGTCATCGTTTATTTCCAGGGGACTCCAAGGGCATGACCCTCCGGCCGCGTTGGCCTTCATCGAGATAAACGGTATCGGGATCGCAGTTGTCCTGGCGCTGACATTCCGAGGAAGACCGGTGTTGTCCCCCTCCCACTCATTGTAGATTAAAGGCGCCCGTGTACAGCCGCCAAGATTGTTGGTGGTTGAGACAGTCTTGGTAGCGCCTCCAGTAACATCGCAGCCGAGGATTGGCGACACCGTGCTCATGCAGCTCGATGTTCGCGTGCCTCCAATAGAGTCTGTGCCGACGAGACAGGATGAGAACGTCGAGTAGACGGTGGACGACTGAGTACAAGAAGCGGTCTCGGTCAAGGTTTCCCATTCCGTGGTAGTGAATCCCGGCATCGGTGGACAGTTTGTAATAATGTGGGTCTGTCCCGAGCACGTCGAAATAGTTGTGCTTGTTGTACTGTTTACCGTAACTGACACGGGTAAAACCTTCTTGATACAGAAACGGAAGACTTCGGTAGCTGTGACATACTCCTTGGGACCACATGTTGGCTTCCGCGTCTTCTCAGGGGTCTCCGAAGGGTTCGGCTTGGTCGGAGTCGGATGGTTCTTCAAGCCAGGTGGTGGGCCAGGCTTGATACCTGGGCAATCGCCCTTGGTGATGCAGGTACCGCAAACCTGTTCCAAACATTAGATAAGCTCCAAACTAGACCTCTCAGTCTTACCTCTGGAGGGCAATCCGGATCACAGCCCCATGGGCTGAAGCAATATCCATCGCAGCCAAAAATGCCACAGCCGGTGTCAACCCCTGGACAACCAACCCACTTGCAAGGATTGCACTCGAACAAATGGCCACATAGAGTTACCTCAAACCACAAGAACTCTATCGCCTTCTTGATCCAGCAGTCGATCTCGAGGAGGCCACACCCAGGCTTCGGACACCCTGGGCCATAGTCCAGACCCGACCAGCCGCACCCACAACCGAAGAAGCCGCGATGTTTACCCGCCTTTGCTCGCGCAGAGTCTGGTGGACAGTCCGAATCGGGGATATTCAGCCAAGGGACGATCGGAACCACGACATCGTGGTCGGATTCATCGGGCAACCCTGTGTGTGTCGGCTTAAGGGTACCCGAGGTCGTCGAATCGCAGTCTCCAGTGCAGATGGGTATGAGAGGCACAGTATCTCCCGAAGGTGAGCCCGACCAGGTGGCAGGACCTTTTGTTGATATTAAGGGAATGGTGATCTCGGACTTCCAAGTAACAGGCGAAGACGCGATGACCGCCGTTGAAGGAGAGGTCACAGAAACCTCGGATGCTGATTCTGAAGTTATATAAGAGCCCGTTGTTGGTATAATTGGGACCGTGATCAGAGAAACGGCGGTAGCGCTCGAATCGCTGACCGAAAATGTCCTGATAGTCGAAGAGGTCGAGGTCACCGAGACTACCGAAGATGTGCTCACCTTCGAAGTAGGGCTCTGTGTCTCTAATGTTGGAATGTCGGTCACAGAATCGGTAGCGCTGGTCGACGTGCTGCGTGAAGACGTACTAACAGCTGTGGAAAGCGTGATGTTCTCTTTAGACGACGTGCTTGTCTCACTGTTCGCAACCGAAGAGGCTGTCGAGGGCTGAAAAGAAGACGACGGAGACGGCGGCGGTGACGAAGCTGAAGACGAGGTACTAAAGGACTTCGAAAATGAGCTTAATATTTCGGCCGACGTGCTGGTCTTGGTGTTCGTGGCTGAGGCAGTTAACACGGGGCCGGAAGAGAAAGTTGAGGACGAAAGCAATTCCGTGGTCACTGGAATCGGAAAAGATGCTGAAGATAACGACGATACAGTGGAATTGGGACTTGTGGAAGTGGAAAAACGGCTGCCTGTTGGAGTAAGAAGCCGCGAGGTTGTATCCACGCCTGATGAGACCAAACTCCCTGATGGTGACGATGACGACGAGGCTGAGAAGCTTGAGCTAGCGCTCAGGGATGGTTTTGGTGATGTCTGGCTCTCGAAAGACGACAGCGTTGGCGAAAACTCAGAGGTCGTATCGACGGATGCGGAAGCAGTCAACGCACTTTGGCTACTAGTTGACGTTGGGGCAGACACTGAGGCGACAAAGGACGAGAAAAATGATGAGATTAGACTTGCAAGGGGCGTTTCTGTTGACGTCGTGCTTTCTAGGCCGGGTGATGGCGAGAGTGGTGATGTGCCTGACATCGAACCTGTCGAGGAATTGGAATCGACCAAGGAGCTTGCAGTTGCTGACGAAGGCGCCACCGAGGAAGCCACAACGGAAGAGCCAGCCGGTATCGTGCTTACAGTGGAATCCGTCGCAGACTCAGACACTACCGCTGAGCCTGTGACCGTTGAGGCTATAGGTGCCACCGTGGAAGATAGACCTGAAGAGCCAGCCGATGAGGGACTGGTCGAGGAGCCTTCGGCTGTGGTCGGCACTCCATTGGGTGGGCTGTTTGATGCAATAACAGAGCTTACGGAAGGGGCAGCATAAGAAGAAGATGAGTGGCCTGGAGCGACAGGTGGAAGCTCACCGTTGTCGTTGCACGAGTCATAATCGATCGCCCACACAGCAGTACCACCCATACAACGCTTGTTTGCAAAGTCCTTCTTCAGAGAGAACGTCCGGTCGTTGTCGTAGCTGACCCATTGGTCACCCCATGCAATCTGCATAGCACTAGCACCTCCTTCGATAAGAGTTGGAGTGAGGTTCTGGTCTCTGATAATGCGCTTGATTTCGCAGCCGCTGAGGATACCAGCTTGAGTAGAGCATTTGCCGGCAGTGCTTGGTCCGGAGAACGAGCAGTCGTAGAACAGACAGTTGGGGTCAGCGGCTATGTACCCACGACCATAGTAGGCCAACCCAAGCGTAAACTTTCCTGGATCGACACCGGTAGCCCACAGAGCTTCCAGGTGGGTGTCGATCTCCTTCAGATCGGTGTGCGGGCGCATCTTAGCTCCGATTGCCGGGTTACTTTGGTCCCACGAGCCGTGAAGATCGTAAGTTAGGACATTGAACCAATCGACATGCTCCGCTAAAGCCTTGATATCGATACCTTCCAAGAAGTTGTTATCGTGGGGCAGGACACAGGTGAGACCATAATCTTTTCCAAGAGCCTCGCGCAACTCCTTCATGAAAATGACCTAGAGATGTTAGACAAACTGACCACAATAAAGGAGTTGTTGTCAACTCACTTGATTTTGCTTGTCCTCTGGCCGACCGCCGCGGCCGGTAGCAGCAGGCCATTCCCAATCGATGTCAAGACCTTGGAAGCCATAGTTCTTGAGAAATTGAACGGTCGATGCGATGAAGGCATTTCGGTTTGTAGCACTGTTGACCATGTCGGACCAGGTGGTGCGCGTGGGGCCCGCATCACTGAATTCCCAGCCGCCAACACCAAGCCAGACCTGCAGGCCACGGTCTTTCAACCCGACGAATTCACGATAGACTCCATCGTCTTGTGGGTTTTGTAGACGGATCTGGAACGATTGGGGGTCGATGTATGCAAACGCTAAGTTGAGCTGGGTCAGGCCATCAAGCTTGATCTGGGAGGGGCGGACCTTGTCACACGGCCGCGTCCGCGTGTTCCACTCCCTTGAATATGATTAGGGTGACTATCTAGACGGAGTAAACGAGACAACTTACTGATAGTAGGCAATGGAGCGAGCGTCGGCAGAGCTGCCACCTTTGCAGCTCGGCTTCTCCATGGCAGCACTGAGATCTTGAACCATAGATGCATTGCCGCGGACATCGCGATTAGGGAGTGTATCCCCGAGGGAGAAGCGCGGATCGCCGAAGAAAGTGACATTAGAGGCCAGCGCGATAGCGCCCGCAAGAGCAGCCCCAGGAAAGAGGCGCATGTTGAATTCGAGGCAAGCAGAGAGTCGGGTGAGAGAGAAGTCGCACTGCTGGCGAGAGAAGGGGGCTCGGAGGGCTCACGCAGTATAGAGCTTGCTCGAGGTCTTCTAATGAGGGAAACCAGTCGTGATCGAGGCAGCAGATTCTCGGACAGCGGGTTGGAGGCAAGATTTGAGTAAACAGAGCATGTGAGCGAAGTGAGCTCGCGGGTAGCCGTGCCTGCCCTAGCGGTGCGGACCCACAATTCTGGTATTCATAACAGTCTGTTAGACTACCGTGAGGTTTAGAACCGACCTTGAAGTGAAGCTGCCTGCTGCTTCCGTGCTAGTGGATAGTGTACTGGGGCTATTCAACGTCGCAACCAATGTCGCGTTGGCACGGTGGCATCGCATGGATTATGCCAATTTGCATCACTATGGGCCGGTAGTATAGAAGCTTGCTGAGGTGCATCACGGATGAACAGATCAACAGGAAGTAAGAATATCTGAGGTATATTTCCATGCAGGGGCCGGCCAAGATCGAGTCTAACGCTTGCCACCGCTCCGTGTCTTGAGCGAACACATGATATGCAGAGTCGCTGGATGGCACGATTGCATATCTGATGGATATCCTCAGCCACTTAGGAACTCAAGAAGTAAGTATAAATTATCATACCACAGCTGCAGCTGTGGAGTTATACCTGCAGACAACCTCTTTTGAAGATTAACCGCTTCGAAGTAGTGGGCTTAGTGCGGAACCAAACCTACGTAAACATACATTCACCGAAGTGTTCCTGCAACACTGATGTTACTGTGTATACCAGAGAATCGCCGTGAAGGAAAAAAACGCTCAGCACTATCTGTATCAAGTATCTCAGTTCGGGACTTGAATCTTTCATTATTTTCTCTCTGGCAGGTTTTATTGTCTTCTTGTTAATCCGTCCGCAAAACCAACAACTTTTTCCAATAAAGCGGAAGCCATATTCGGTGATATATGACTACATGACTATCGCTACCCTTAACTCAAGTACCGGAGATGCTGGAAGAGCCAGATTAAACAATCCATCTCGAACAAGCAAAGCCGCTCGCCAAGTGTTAATATTACACAGTTTCTTGAGTCTGTGTCTGTTCAAGCGAGAGTTTGGAGCATATATCGTTGGTCTGCAGACGCGTCTTGATGTCGTACTCAGTGACGGCAATGAAGACAACTATTCGAATTGAACAATAGACTGGGTGTAGGAAGAAGCGAGCTGAGCCAAAATGCCAGATAATTAAAACGGTCTTGCAGCTAAACAAGGATTTCTGGGTCTCCATCATCTTGGAACATGTATCGGTAGTGCTCTTCATGAGGCATTGGACCAATCATCAACTCCGGATTGTTTCGCTGTTTTCAAGTTGCCACTGCAGGGTAGAACTGCGGAAGAGCACACAAGTCGAGAGCATCCTCATGAGGTGCGAAATGCGGATTGGCCTCGTGTTGCGTTGCACGGCGGAACTCGGCTGTGAGCTCTTTGAAAAGGTCGAGCGCGGCGTCGACATATTCGCGGTACTCCGGACCTTGACCTAAGTGAGCATCGCATTATCCAGCCTGCTTCATTCGGGTACAGCAATTTCAGGACTTAGTCTGACAACCTAAATAATACCGTGGGACGAGATTGGACTTGATGTCATGATCAAATAGAGTACAGTCATGGCAACTAGTTTTCTTTGCCTCCAGTGCTTGGAGTGTGCATGAGACAGGTAGAGACCAAGTTTCGTGCGAAGTGTGAATTCTGCTTGCACAACGTGGCAATCCGTTCATCGTTTACCCCTCCGCCCGGTTCAAAAATTTAAATCTATGGCTTGATCACATATTACTTTGTAAGATTGGACACACTTGATTCTATTATTCGATTGAAGAGCGGAATCGAATCGGCATTCATCTAAATACTAATACTACAAGAGGCTGCCCACTATAACAGTATGGGACATGTAATTGTAGGCGAAGTTGCGCATGTAGGTAGCGCTTTCTTGCTATGGAAGCTGAGACCGGAAGACTCGGTAACGAATGATGAATGTTCAATCCTATATGGCCAGGAACACTTCTAAAGCGTTCCAGATCGCGCCAGTTAATGTTCAAGTGCGAATGAGTTACCGGGAAAGGCAATGCTTTGACTAGGCTGTCAGGATTCGATCGCCATGGCGCCACTGCTGATCCTAACTTGTAAAGGTCTGACCAGCGGCAGCACCCATGTGTCCAAGCGAAGGAGTGGGGCATGGGGCTGGGGGTGTAAAATTGGCACCCTGCGAGAACAACGAGCTTGCGGCCCAATTCAGACAACGCTTCTCGATTTGCGTATACTTCGATGGGGAGATTCCAAGGCACAATGCTCGAGTGGCAATCCTCGACCTCAGTCGGGCAGTTGATGATTCTGTGAGTAACCGGACGGACAACGCTGTTGTTGCAGATCGCAACGTTTTCGTGCACAGGTCGCGGAGCATACACAGCCTCTCGCGCGAGATGTGGCAGCGTATACCATGCCAATCGACGGGCGTAAACCATCTGTTTCACAAGGTCGCACAATTCTGCAGGCATCGATTCTTGCCATGGCTAGGATGGCTGACGTGGTATTACAATATTAAAACTTGAAGGATGTACCCATATGTGCGAGACTATGGTAAAGTCGATTCCCGAGAATCGTGAGACTTGTCGTGAAATCAACCCTGAAATGAGTTCGCTTGATGAGATGCCCGGACTTGTAGGCATTTGTGCTATTATCGCCCCGGACCAATAGCATCGCTCCCGCCCCATAAATCTTAGCCCGAACGGTAACGTGAAACTCTTGAGCTATCGCGCTACTCAGTTTAGAAGCGTACCATCGACTTGGCGCTCAGACACGCTATGGCAGCACTGCGGGTAGGCGGAGTGTGTTGCGGGTCGCACACGGACACGGTGGGAGGCTATATGCAGTCCGGCTTGCCATGGTATCCTTTCTCTCACGATCGCCCTTCCTCAAACGCATACTCTAACTTTGCGCCAACGTCGAAATGGCCGCCGAATGCTATGCCAACAACGGGTCGCTCTATGCGAATACTGCGGCCACTTACGTTCCTTGTAATCTTACAGCAGTCGAGAATGGCGAACACTCATCTTGTTGCGCGATTGGAGACCTCTGTATGACTAACGGGTTATGTATGGAACCAGCGAACGAAGCCAAAGGGGCAAATCATTACTGGAGAAATGGCTGTACGGACAAAACATGGCAAGATCCCGCTTGCCCAAACGTTTGCCGGGGAGATGGTAAGCCAGATAAAGCTCTCGTCGAATCGCCGCTTACCATCGAATGCAGAGGAACCGAACCACTACAACGCTTTCATCTTCTACTGTTTCGACCCGAAAAACGAATTCTGCTGCGCACCACAAGGCACACTTGAGGCGGGAGTCACTGGTCGAAATACGAGTTGTTGCAACGACGAAGACTTGGTATTCAAAGCCAGTGCGCCAGTAATAGCAGGGACTGCGGCCGCAGCACTGCCGCGCGTTAGCACGACCATCTCATCTACCAGTAGTTCTCTCTTATCGACATCCACCAGCAGCCAGTCAAGTTCCACCAAATCTGCCACCGCAGCAGGAGAGACAGTAACATCCTCGACCCCGACTGCATCATCCGAATCATCAGGATTGTCATCCGGCGCAAAAGCAGGCATGGGAGTCGGCATCACACTGGGCGTACTCGCGGTCCTTGCCATCGTTGGTGTTCTGTTCTTCATGCGACGAAGAAAAGCGAACCGCAACAATGCACACCTGCTCTCGGACTCAAAGGCCACTCCGCCACCGTATGTCACGTATGAATCAGCTGGAACCGCGCGAGCCGAACTTGAGGGGACGATGTTGCCAGCGGAAATGCATCATGCATCGGACAAGACTGGGAGCACGAATACTATCAGCAGAGAAATTGGCACCACGACTCCAACGAAACAGGATGCCGCAATCACAAGGTACTCTTAGTTTAAAACGCGCACAAGCGATGGTCGGCGATGCACCGCATCGCCATCTACTATGATCATTACTCAAACGACGTCCTTCTCGGGACAACTAGTCTCCTATTTTTTATGATGCGAAGATACCCACTAGTAAATAAAATAATTACGCTGTGCATCGCGCGACATGTATGTGCTACTGGTCACCTATATCCCAACCTGTACTTTATCTATCCTCAATGCGCCGGGCAGAATCCTAAAATGGATTACATTTTTTTTTCTTCTTCGGTTCCCTTGGGATGTTCGATCCCATCGCCTCTACATTTCTTACCAATGCCTCCCCTCCGAATTTAAAGCAAGTATGTGTCGGCTGAACCTTAAGGTTGCACCAGATTGGGCGTGCTTGATGGATGAAAAGTCTTTGCTGGGCCTACAGAGTTTCTCTCTTTACAAATGTTGCGATGATTGGAGACTGCTCGGCGGCAAATAGGACCCTGTATATTAAATACGTTCACCGGCAGTTCTACCCCACACTTCCGACCATGCCGGCTACAAGCGAGACATGTATATGAAAAGGGTATCTAGAGGCTCATGTCCACCCGATCGTGCCATCAAGGGAAGACTGACCATGATGCACATTACCCTTCTTGCCTTCGCCGGCACTGTCGCCGCGCTCACCGACATCGAACACAAGCCTTTCATGAGAAAGAACATCGACCCTATTGTCCTTCCGGGAAAATATGCTTCCCACATGCACTCCTTCTACGGCTCCGATGCCGTGACTAAAGACCTTCCAACCACGGCGGATCTCCAGAAAGGCTGTCCTTCAGGCGAGAACCCGAATGATCTATCGGTATACTGTACGCCTCCCTCTCCACCCACACGTGCACAGGACCACAGCTCAATGGGATGCAGGGGCGCCAACACTCTACTACGTCAAAGGGGACACCTACACTGAGATCTACCCTGCGACCTTCAAGACATACTACGAGAACATCGACCGCGCCGAGATCCCATTCCCACGCGATCTACACATGGTCGCGGGCAACGCGTCTGCGAAGTCGCAGGCGGATATCAACGAGAAAGTGACGGCCATCACGTGGTGGTGCGACACAGGCGCGGACGATCGGAACAGTCGCCCTCGAGCAGCGTTCCCGAGGGGCACATGCGGCGCGCACATGCAGGCCATTCTGAGGTTCGAAGGACAACCCTAAAGACTGAGGTCCCCTGAGCCTAGATACCGGGCTAATCGATGCAGGTTCCCTGATTGCGTGAATCCGAACAAAGTAACCGAATATGCGTATGCGGCTGCGAGTCCGGGCGGGAAGTGTCCCTCCGGAATGAAGAGGATGCCAAGCTTGAGGTTCTCGGTGAGGTATAATACTAAGGCTGCGATACCAGGTGGTTGGAGTGGCGTTCCGCCCTTCAAGCTTGCCTGTGGCGAGGTAAGAGTTGCATTGCGCCGTGTTTTCCTTTTCAAGAAATTCTCATACTAAGAGCTACCAGATCGGCGATGGCTACTGTTTCCACGGCGACTTCATCAATGGATGGTTTGAGGATGCTGCGCAGAATATGCTGAAAGCAAAGGGGCAGTCTTTCATGGCTATTGATGGTGCCCATGGCAAGGGAAAGGTCCCGTTCAACCAGAGTTGCAAGCCGAAGGATCGGGATCCCGATGGCGGGACGAGTGATTATCACAGGAGCTTGGAGATGATGGGTCATATGTAGGTACTTTTGTTCTGCGTTGAAGATCGTTGCCCTGGATGGTTAGCAATGGCAACTCGAGATAGATCCTATTTCCCCAACCATGGGTTCATCATGCCGTGTCATTTTCCATCTATCCCAGCTGAAAAAAGTCGAAATAATAAGCAACTTCGCTATTGACGCATAGAATCTACACAAAATACTGAGGGCTACTAGTTTTAGCGTGGCTTTGAGGCGCCGCGGGATCGTTCCTGCTTCCCACGCTATGCCTGCTGCAATGAGTTGAAAGCCCTCGCTATGTATGCTCTTACGGAAACCGTGGATCAAATCGTACGCTGTTCATGCCTTCCCAATGGGTGGTGTTATGGCACAGCAATTCAGTGCCATAAGCATTGTCGTCCCTTCATTCAACGCATCGTTATCCACGGTTCAACAGACCGTCGTACCATACTTCCCCCGCAAACATATCTTCGCACCGAGCACAACTGAATCTTCCTTTCCCTTCGCCTGTATTCTTAGGACCTTCGCAGGCCGTCTGGTCTCCGCAGTCCTTGCGTCGCATCGCCGTACTTTTCTCTCAGCAACGCCACGCTGCGACGACAACACTTTCTGGATTGCTAGCTTTTTAATTGTGTGGACGATATCGAACCAAGTCGTTGACCATGTTTCCTGGCAGGCCTGTTTCCGGTCAGACTCCGATTGGAATTTCGACAAGCCCTACCTCTAATGCGATGCCGCACGAAGACACAAGGAGCGACCCTCCGTTCTTCACAACCGCACTCAAGGAGGACGTCGGAAGTACGAGCGTGACAGCAAACGCTCCATTCACCCCATCTTTCAGGTCACCCAGCCAAAGCTCACTCGAGTCCGACTTCAGCTGGGCCGCGACGCCTGTCACACCCCTGACAAGCGTTAACGACACCTCCACGCATGTTAGCCAGGATACATCCAGCGAAAACGTCGACGATAATCGCACCACCGTGGCCGACGCGGACCTCGACATGGGTGACGCCACGGACGCGGAAGACAACATCGTCACTGTCCCTATCAACTTCGACAACAATGGCATGTTGAAGGAGTACCACATCGATATCAGAGAAACAGAGCTTCTTGCGGGCCAAGAGCAGGGCTACGCCTACATCGGCATCGAGCACGAGGAAACCGAGGAGCAAGCTATCACCCGTGAAGATAAGGCAAAGGAAAAAGGCTGGATGGACGGGTGGCTGGCGCGCAAGAACCCCACAAAGTACCAGATCCAGCCTAAGAAGTGGGTTCCCAACGGCGAAGGAGGCGGAAGGTGGGTCGAGGTGGATCTAGATAAACGGCTGCGCGTCATCGTGGAGTGGAAACGGACGCGGTATAGAGACGGGAGGTGGTTCGTGGAGTTGAGGGTGTTGGAGCGGGAGCACACGAGATTGGAGAAGCTGAGTAGCCCGCCGCTGCGGTTCAAGATCGAGGTGACGAGACCCAGGGCGCCGCAGAGAAGCGACCCGCTGACAGGAAGGTCTCTTAGATTCCAACCACCGCTCATGGGGACGTTCTCGGAGGGGCAGGAATGGCTCCTTGAGGGGAAGGAATGGCCGACCAGACGCCTCGCAGAGATGCGTGGCAAACGACGTAGCCAGAGAGTCGCAGATCGGAAAGCGGGCAAGACTAACTCACGTTAGGAAAAGGGTTGTGTAGTCTCCCGTCAGGGTCGCAATTGCATTGACCTGTTCGAGGACAGGGCCCGTTCTTGGGGTCCTCGTTCTCCTTGTCCTCGTGTTCGTGAGTGGGATCTACGGTACCGGTGAGGAGTACTTTGGTAGCGCTTTCCCAATGGATCCATACCGCGTAGGGCGCACGCTCAGCTTGTGCTTGAACTGCGATTCTGCTTCTGTGCCGTTACAGAACACGTTTCTGCTCGGAGCCGTGGATGGGATACCAGGCTTTGTTTATATTTACCCTTGAACAGATCTTGGATAGTCGGCGCCCAGCAAAACAGCTTCGCGAACTATTCAATTTGCAAGAGAGCAGTCCACCACATTACGCATACGCTAAGATTACAAAGCAATCCCAATCAAATCAGTATATCCATCTCCATCAAGTACACAAGCTCTCCCCAGGCCGTCAAGCTCAGATCAATCGTGAACAACATCAACACATACTTGCTTATGCATCTCAGAAGATATCCTCGAGCCCGTGCTCCTCCCACTTTGTGGTCTTCTGCGCAACCTCGTACCGCGTATTCCAGTAGTTATGGTTGAACTCCCAGAACTCCTCCCCCGTGATGTCGCACTTGCCCTTGGAGAACCACTTGGGCACAAACTCTTCGCCATGCGCGTCGCGCTTCCTGCGCGTCGCGCGCTGCTTCTCTTCGACCCTATTCTTCTCCGTAGCTGCGAGGTCATACTCGCCGTCCTCCATGGCGCGCTGGTCGGGTCGCAGACGGGTGTCTGTTGGCGCGAGAACGGGGCGGAGTTTGTCGTCGACGGCATTGAGCGTTACTACGAACGGCGTGAGGTTGAATGGAATACCTGTGGGGCGCGCATGCGCCTGCCACACAAGGAAGGCTTTATTGTCGTCGTGCTTTGCGTGTTTCGAGCCACCCTTGTCGATGTCTGCATCTTCGAAGCCGGGCGTGAAGCGCGCGTATATCTTGTCATTCCAGCGGCCACCTACGCTCCAGCGTACTCTGCCCTCCGCGTCTAGCACCTTTCCGATGACCTGGTATGCGGAGGAGGCCTTCCAGCCGCGAGGCTTGAAGTCAAGCTGGCACACTTCGCCGGTGGTATGGTTCTTGATTTCCATAAGACCATAGTTGTCGACAGTAGGATTACCAGTGATGATGCCGATGACAGAAGAAGTAACTTTCTTCCAAGTGTACAACTCCTCTTTGCCGCCCGTAGCGGTCGGCCGCAGGCGCAAGAACCAGGTTCCGAGCGGATTGATGTCGAACGAACGGCCGTAGAATTTCGACTTCACCGCTGACTCGCCCTAGCACTCGTCAGCGTTTTATTACTGTTAAGCACAGCGCTCATCTAACTTACATAGTAGTCCCACTTCTTCGATTCTGCGTAAGCAGCACCAACAGGAGGATGATGGCTGACCTGTTCAATGAAGAAACGGTAGCCCTTATCAGGTCTCGCGTATTCGTATGTCTCACCAAGGAGAGGATTGAATGGCTTGGCGACACGGCCAATAGTCGAGGCATATTCCGAAGCTGCAAATGCGGCTACATAAAGCAGGCGCTCGGTGGAGTCGGTGCGTTCGGCGGCGGTGTCAATGAGGTCAGTATACTCCATGTCTTCTGCAACACGTTGCAGGAGAGACGTTGGCTCATTGAAAGAAACCGGAAGCGTCATTTTGGTCATGTCTTTTCCAATCATGGATTTGAGAATGCCCTGTGAAGAAGTCAGCTTCGGTCAAAGATGCAAGAAATGGTGTGCCTACCCAGAGCGATATCTTTGGTCTGTTATCGTCGTCCATATTTAGCTTCTTGCGCACACCACCTTCGTATCCAACGAAGCCCTTCGCAACATCTGCATGCTTGCTATCGAATACATCACCACTATAGGCAGGAGGCGCTTCCTCCATTGCACCATTATGCGTTTCAACGGGCATCTCGACGACCTCCACTTCACCAGCGCCTACAGCATCGAAGAACTCCTCATCGTCTTCTGAATCAGACTCAGACATGTCCGCAGCGATATTAGCAAGAGTAGCTTTTCTCTTCAACGCTTGCGAGCTCGGCTTCGACTTCAATGCTGCCAGGTCCTCTTCGGCTTCTACGAAGTCATCCGAACCTTTGGATAACCTCTTTTCGCCGCCAACCTGGTAATCTTCCAAGGCCTCTCGCAGAGCTCGCTTAGTCTTTCGTCGCTTGGTTTCGGATTCACCTATACGGTTCTCGAGCTCTTCCTGCTCGCGGGCGACCTTAGCCATACTCTCTTCCCACATTCGGCGCACGTTGGCTTCCCGGTCCAGTCGGTATTGCCAGTACGCATCGCGGTCACGCGATATGCGGAGTAAGTCGCCTACCAGTCCTTTCAGATTACCCACTGCTGACTCGTACGAGGAAAGTGCTTGTAGCATCATCGGATCTGAGATCTGCAGCGTCGGATTCTTCGTCTTCTCTTGTTGTAGCGCGGTGGATACATGTTCAAGAAGGTCGAGTTGAAGCTTCGCGGACTGTGCGGTGATGTTGAAAGCATCCTTGTTCTGGGGTCGGACTTCGTGGCTGCTCGTGTCGTCGCCATACTCTTCATCGTCGTCGGCGTCACCCTCCACAGTGGCGGTGCCAACATGACTAACCATCTTGCCGAGCTCGTTGCCACCGACGCTGGGGTCATAGGCGCTCTCTGGCCCATCTTCAATCACGCTCTGACCTGAACGCGATGCCGTATCCTGGGTGGTCAAAGGCACTCCCAGAGATGTCGTAGGGGCTAGGTGACGCGAGCTTGTGATCTTGGAGCTAGCGAGGCTAGAGCTGTCGCCCTCCTTGGAAAGTTGCTCTATCTTGGCTTGTTTCAATGCTTCCTGATCGTGCTGTGTGCGCTTCGTCTCTTCACGTGCTTCATCCTTGGACCACTGGATTGCATTGTTTAGTGCCCAGTACCATCTTTTAGCCTCAACCTGATGGTTGGCCTTGAGATGGTATTTGACGGACGATTTGCCTTGAATTTCAAAACGTTGCTTGTCCTGCGGATCCATGTAGAGCTTTGCTATGCGCATATTAATGGCGCCACGACAGGCAGTGCCCGTGTCGTCTTGATGCTTGTAGTAGCTTAGCACTCCATCCTCCAGAACGAACCAGCGCAGTTTGTATCCGCTCGTGTAGTTGGTCCACTTTTTGAGGTAGCCCTTCATCTCGCGCGACTCTTTCGCACCCATGCCGCTCTCTGGCGCGGCTCCAGCCTGCGGTCCTGCTCCTGCAAGGATCGTTTTTTCTTGAATTCCTCTTTGCGCAGCAGCGGCAGCTGGTGAACGCTTCAAGATGGCACGGGTACGGTCATCTTTGGTGTAGTCTTGGGGAAGCTTGCCCTTGCGATCTCTTCGGAAGGGGTCAGCTCCGTTGAGGAGGAGCAGTTGTGCCAATTTCACATCCTTCTTCTTGGCGGCCTCGTGCAGAAGAGTACCTCCAGCCTCGACGACAACGGGATCAGTCACGAGCTCCCCGCCGTTTACGTCGAGGGTGCTCTTTATCCGCGGGTCTTGCAACAACTTCTCGAGAGAGGACATGTCGCCGGCAGCTAGGAGTTGTTGTACCTTCTTCACGTTGGTGTCTATGAATATGGATCGAGCCAGTTGCAACTGCTGGAATATTTCGGGCGTGCGGGCAAGGTCCAAGGGTGTCTGTCCGTTGTAGTTGGTTATAGAATCGTTGATGCCGGGCTTGTCGAGCAGCATGCGCACAACAGGTGCGCGGCCCAGGGTTGCTGCGAGGTGCAGGGCCGTATTGCCATCGCGATCACGTCCGTTGATGTCAATGACTGAATCAGGCCCAGGCGTGGCATTCGACAGCACGAATTCGATGACAGGTACCTCGGCGCATTGTATGGCCAGGTGCAGTATCGTAGTTCCCTCGGCACGGTTAGGAAGAGTCAGCGACGTGCTGCTCTGGTCGCTGTCTACCGTGTTGGCGTTGGCCTGTTCTCGGATGGCCTTCGATATCGCGGCCGTATCGCCGTTCCGGAGTGACTCGAACACGCGGAACAATTTCACAGACTGCTCGATGGATGTCGTCTTGGGGGTCGGGGACAGCGGGGACGGCGCGTAGCTGGGCGAGGTGGGACCGCTCGCATTGGCGTCCTGCGTGTTCACCGTGGTCATGCCGGTGGAGAGGCGTGGGCCGTGCTTGGAGGATGTGCTTCGCGAGTGCCCAAGGTGGACGTGGTGGGTGTGCGGGTGCGAGGAGCCCGAAGAGGGCTGCTGCGAATTGAACGAAGTGACGGATGAGCTCTCTGGAAGTGCCTCAGTGTCCGTGACGTCGTTTCGCGAAGATACTCTCCCCAGCAGGTTCTTGACGCTGGCCGATTTGGAGCGCTTGTGTCTGTATATGTATGTATGTCGTCAGCGGGGCGCCCCCAAATGCAAATGGCACACTCGGGATTGCGCTGCCAGCCGTGTCGAGCGCTGCGGGGATGACAGCTTGGAAATTGCTTGGACGTACCCTTCCGCCATGTTGGCAGGCCGAGGCTGCGTTCGTTCTGATATGAAATCGACCGGGTTGCTCTACGCGATGCACATGTATTTGACCGTCTCCAGCCAAAATAGCAGCGTGCCTGTGCGACTTTGTAGAAAGGCCAGGAGCTTGACGTCGCGCAACCAGTAGCGACTTGCAGCGGGGCTTGGTCCTGGTGCAGGCCTATCAGATCGTGTGGAGGCCGGCTCCCTAGGATTCCATAAGCACCACACACCAAGCTCCCTACAGCGTTCGCAAGCCCGGGCTGTGCCCCGCGGCGTGTCTGATTTGCGCAAGGCCGGAAGATCAGTTCGGTAAGCTGAGGCACGGCTACGTGTAGTCAGGTACGGATGTGCGGATGGATGGATGGATGGTGCATACTCTGCGCACAGTAGCACGTGGCTGGCAGCATCCATAGCTTCTGCGTCGATGCTGCACAATTACATGTCTAATTTTACAAGGCGTATTCTCGCCAATCTATGGTGTTTACAACTCCGATTCCGTTTGCTGGATTCACGACGTCTCTCCGCCAACCAGAAGAATGACGCTGCCCAGCTGGCGCTTCATGTCCTCCTTTTCCACGTCGTGTGTATCCTCCACCTCTCCCCACTGTCCTGTCTGCCATCGCACTTCGGTGCTGGCTGCCTCTGCGGCTTCCTCGATTCCAAAGCGGCCCCCGTCAGAAGCCTCCCGCGATTGCGCAAACGCTTCGGCCCATTCGTGGACAAGCCTGACGCCGATGAGGAGACTCTTGGACGCCAGAACCGCGCGCTCCAGACCGGCGAGTTCGAAAGACGGGATTCCCGCGAGCCAGCCCCGTATGACATCTTGGGTCATCTCGGGCTGCGAGACGGGCATGATGCTGTCTGGCTCTAGGATTGGCTTGATCTCGACACCTGGCCACACGTGCGTAGTCAGGTGAGCAATGATGGGCATGGTGAGCTTCATCTGCGTCTGGCGGAGTGTGAGCCCCCCCTGCGGGACTTCGTGGAGCTGTTTCTCGGGCGCCCAGCAGAGTAGTGTGTCCGTGGAGAGATAGCGCATCAGCATGCGAATGATGTCGTCGCGCACTTTTGAGTTGCCTTCAGCGTCTGCTTTCTCAATGTCCTTTGCGCGAGCGGCGAGCGATGTCATGGGTATGTAGTGTGTCTTCAGCGCCTGCTGAGCGCTCAGGAGAAGATCCCATTCAAGCGCAATGGCAGAGGCGAGCTGGTGCTTGGTCGCGGGGACCGTGAGGATCTCTTTGGTGGGCGTCCGCACCGGTCTGCTGTCGAGGAAGACCTGCAGGCCACCTGCAACTGTCAGCGCAGGTTCAAGCGCACTGGTGGACATGTCATACCATCTGCCTCCTTCACGGTGACATCCTTCCAGAAGCGCTTCGCGAGGGCGCCCCCTGGCTTGGGCGCAGCTCTGATATCCTTTGCTTGTTGCAGGAGCGAAGCCTGCTTCTTCTTCCTGGCAACACGGTAGAGCGCATCTGTAGGAGATGGGGTGGGCGTCGCCGGCGGCGGACCCGGGACGGAAGGATGAGGCAGCGGAGTAGCGCGCCGCGATGCGGTCGTGTGCAGACACTGGTACAGCGGCCGGGGCGCACGTCGGGTTGCCTGCAACCTCAAGGTCGCCAAGGCAGGGCGGATTGACTCCATTGCGGCCGGGATACACGGGTGCAGGTGACGCTGCGGTTTTGGTGGACGACGAGGCGTCCGCTCCAACTTCGGCGGGAACTTTTGCAAGCCGGCCGCAGCGCCGCTGAGCGGCCCCTGCGTCTGGGGAGGGTGTACGCGATGCAAGCTTGGTGCCAGAGCACTAAGGCATGGCCAGCCAGTCAGTCACCAGATGAGACGGCACGCATTCACAACCACAGCGCCTGCTTCGCCGCGCCGACCCCCTCGAGCCCTCGCGCGACGATGCCAACAGGCCTCCGCAGCCTGCCCAGTCTGATCGCCGAGAGTGCTCCCACTGCCCCCGCAACTGATCTCGTCGCGTCGGCCTTCCCCACCCTCTCCCCACTGTTCCAGGTGGGCTCGGTGCAGCTTGCACCAGCACCACAACGACCTCGTTCATGAATCCCGCGCCCGCAACCGCCTCTGCGATTGCGCCCCAACCTCGGCCCATTCGCTTTGTGACCAACCACGAGGGCCCCTACGCGAAGCGCCGCAGGATCAACTCGGCCTGTTTGACCTGCCGGCGCAAGAAGACGCGATGCTCTGGTGCGCTGGTCTTGCGCTCTTGTCCATGTGCAAACGTGCTAACAAGTCCGTCTAGGCGAACGGCCCATCTGCGGGACATGCGCCCAGAACAAACACCAGTGTGCCGGTTATGGCGATGATGCGAGCCCGACCGAAGTGGCCAAGGATGGGAAGAAGGTCGCGCGCAGGGAAAGCACGTCCAACGCTGCTCCTGCCCTCAAGATCAAACAGGAAGCCGCGCCACAGCAGCCCTCCCGACCCCAGCTTTCTCACGCGTCCTCAACGCCGTCCTACAACTCGGATTTCTCGCCGCCCCGTCGCCCGCGTCGCCACGATGAAGAGCACAACAACACCGCCTTGACGCTGAGCACGCGCAATCGTATGCCATATTTCCGTTACTTTGGTCCCACGGCCATCATGCCCGGCTTCAAGCAGATGGTCGTCAAGGTGAGAGGCAAGCAGCACGGCACCGGCCACACAACCTCAGACCCAGTGGAGTCTTCGCCGGGGATGCCCTCAGTCGGCTCGCCACCGCCGGCTGAATCCCGGACGCCAACTGAGATACCCGTATATGACACCTCTTCCATGTCTCCCAGTCCACTCATCACCCATCTGTGCAAGACCTTCTTCGCCCACCTTGGTTGTAACTTTCCCTTTCTCCAGAAGGACCGTTTCATGCGTGACCTCGAGGAAAAGCAAGTCGACGCTATTCTTGTAGATGCTGTTTGTGCGCTTGCAGCGCGATTTTCCAACAACCCGCTATTGACTGGAGGCTCTGGAGCAATGAGAGATGAACACGAGCCATCCAAGATCCATCCTCCAGAATATGGGCAAGCCTTTGCACAACGTGCCAAGTCTGCTATACCTGATACGTGAGTCGCCCCTTGATCTGTGTCATTCATAATGCACGGGCTTACTTGCTTTGATCTGCAGCTTCTCTTGCCCCAATGTTGCAGTTGTTCAAGCTGCCGTACTCTTGGCCTACGACGAATTCGGTGCGAATCGCGACAGTGGATTGTGGATGTATCTCGGTATCGCCATCCGAATGGCTCAAGACTTAGGAATGCAGACTCTTCAGGGACTCAAGTACGAAGGACGTGAAGGCCCAACACCAAAGTCCGTTAGGACCGACCCCACTGTGACTCGTGGCTCATCTCAGCACATTTCGGAAGCCCGCCGCAAAGAGAGTACTGTGCCCGAAGAGCAGGAGCAGCGTGCTGTTGAACAAGAGCGACTGGATACGTTTTGGGCCATATTCTTCCTGGACCGAGTTGTCTCGTCTGGAACTGGGCGCCCTGTCACTTTGCGAGATCGGGACATTGAGATTTCGTTTCCTTCTCTCAACGAAGTAGATCCAACATCGGGTTGGCCCTTACCGTTCCCGGCTCTGATACGCATCGTGCATCTATACGGCAGGGTTACAGATGTGTTGAACAGTATCAAAGATCGATCGGATATCACCTCAGACCTTCGGTCTCAGCTCGACACGATGGAGTACCACTTGACGGACATCTATCAAAATCTGTCGCCCAGACTTCACTTCAACGCTCTGAATTTCCAGCACTATGTGAAGCTGAATCAAGGAACCAACTTTCTTCTTCTTCACTGTTGGTTCCACACTTGCATTGTTCTGCTGCACCAACCGACCTTGTTGAAGACTTTTGAGGGCAATGCACAGCCCCTTTCCTCAAACAGCAGGGATTTGTCAATGTCTTCAGCAAAGACTGTGGCTGACATTCTCTCTTTTACGGATCTAATCGACACCAAGACTGGCGTCGGGAACCCATTCACCAGGTATCCTTATCAAGAATGTGCTTTGGGAAATAACGTGCTAATCTTGATAGTCAACCCATATACATCGCTGCCTGTGCTTTCCTCAAGGAGACTGCTCTGCACTCAGCCAGCTCACATCCATCTTCTCGTCCTCTTACCCCCAGCGCGGCTGAGGCCAAAAACCCTTTCGAGTCTAAGGTCATCTCACTGGATCACATGAGCTTCGACAAGCCGCTGGTCCCGAATGGCAATGCGCAAACGATCAAGCGCGAGCAGAGTCAGGCCGCTAAGCATACGTTACTTGCGTCCGCGGCTAATCAGAACTACCAATGTTGCTATCGTGCTATGCAATCGCTCGAGACCTACTGGGCAGGCGTCAAATACATCCTTACCGTTCTGGACCAGAAAGCCAAGGGTGTTGGTGACCCTTTGCTTTACACAAGAGAGGAAATGGAAAGTGCCCTGGAAGCACCCAGACCAGAACCCTCCTTTACGAGCCCAGGCTGGCGACGTAAGCTGAGCTGGGGAACTTATCTGACAACGCAAAACATAGATGTGGATGCCGTCAAGGTCTCAGCTGCGATACGGAAGGGGGCCAGGACTCCCATATCTGGGTCTCCCATGAACACCAGTCAAGGTAGGTTGATAGCAGCCTGACGTAGACAAGCACTGACGCGTATTTAGCGATCGGCTGGTCACTAACAGGCACTATGAACTCACCCTCTACGAATGTGGCCGTCATGTATACTTCAGAGAACGGCAAGACTCGCGACGGCAGACCGTTGCAGCCAAAGCCGACACCCGTTGCAAATGGCCGACCACCCTTTACATCCACGTTGTCGAGTGATGCTACCAAGTTCGAGCCGACTCCATTGAAACATTCTGCGCCGTTCTTCTCCTTTGACTCGAGCGCAATGCCGCCACCGCCAGCCACCAACATCAACACAGCCTCGGCATCAGACCCTGTTCTAGTCTCAGATGCCGATCTCCTCCTCAACCTGCATTCTCCGTACTCAGCGTCTTCGCCAAACAGTTCTCGCCTTCCTGTGCAACCGACGTCATTTACTCGGAGCTCCATGTCTATACCGACGAACAGCACTCTCTCCCCTCAACAACAGCAAGCCTCACAAGTAAACTTCTCGCCGAATTTTGCGACGTTCGCTCCCCCAGTGGATCAAACATTTAGTGACATGGTGATCGACTCACAAGAGGTGGACATGTCTGTGCTCGGCGCCGACATGATGCCGTGGGATCTCGAATATCTGCCTCATGACATGTTGTATTTCGGTGAGAACGGGTTTGGCTTGGGCCTTCCTGATGATCCAGGCACTGAAGCGCCCGAAGGTTGATGCCTTCAAGTTCATTGTGTATACTTTTCCTCTTGCACTTGTGCGACACTGGAGTTCCGGGATATGTGGGATGGGCTGGCTTCTGGGTTTTTGCATAAAGATACCTCTTTGTTTCGCCACGGGTTTGGCCGGGAATTTGCACATGTACATTCAAGAGGGTTGCTCTTCGGTTTGCAGATGTATCTATTCGATTTTGCTGCTTATTCCACGCATCTCAGGGTCGGTCGTGGAATCAGAGGCTACCGACCTGCGCACCCAGATCAGTCAGATCTTGTGGTATGCCACTCCAGCATCTCACTCCGCTTAAGTGGAGATAATCCTCGACTTCTCTAGCTCGCCAAGCGTAAGCCTCCATCCATCCTCCGTCAACACATGAACATAACCCTCGTCGCGGTAGCTTCCGCCTTAATTATCTTCCTCCCACGCGTAGCCAATCTCTGATCCCTCATCCCAGTATGTCATCCCTCGCCCTCCACCACCTCCCCACCATTTTCCTAGGCACAACCATGACCCTAGGCGGTGGCGCCGCACCTATAAATGCGCCCTGGTGCATGCGCGAATTCGGGTTGTCGGAGCGCCTCGCCGCATCGCCCGACGCGCAGTCCATCTTTCTTTTCCACGACAGGCGCACTTTTGCCTTGGGCGTCTTGATATGGACGTCTCGTCTGAAGTACGGTACTGTGGATACGCTTTTGATGGTTATTGGGGAGAGGGTGAGAGGATGCGCGGGAAGGCGGCGGGGAGGTTGGTGATGAGCTGGGTTGTTGCGGGGTGGGGATGGAGGGGGATGACGGAGGTAGGTTGAGTGGAGAGGAGTTGAGGGGATGAGTGTGAGCTACCAAGTGGTAGGGCCAGGACAGTGGGATATGCCAAGGGGATGTTCTCTGCCGCACGAGTTTAGACTTACAGGCGCGGTCTGAATTGTTCGCGCTAATGATGTTTACCATTCATGGACTCAGTGGGTAGAAAATTCGTCCACCTGACGTATATGCGCACGGAAAGTAACAAGTGCCGAGGCGGTGTGACTGGGCAGGGCAGGATGGGGGTCGCTTATGCAGAGGTTGCAGACATACATACGCCCCGCTTACGGGGTATACAAGCGTTCGTCGTAATGGCTGGGAACCAACTTCTCAACTTTCCAGTCGAATCATAACAGTCCTCGCAGCTATGTCGGACGACCCAGGCCAGAAATACAAGAGCTTTGGTTCGTACTTTTCCATGTACCACTGCAATCTTGCCCTGCTGAAATCATAGGATTGGACTATGTTCCTACCATACATCACGACACCTACCCAGCGATCGAACCTACCAAGGCCGATCTCAAGGGCAAATACATATTCATCACTGGAGCCTCCAAAGGCGTTGGCAAAGCAGCAGCCGTTAGCTTCGCTAAAGCCGGGGCTGCTGGTTTGTCCTTGGGTGCCCGATCCTCTCTCACCGACGTTGTCGAAGCGGTGAAAGTGGCAGCAAAGTCCGCAGGCCACCCAGAGCCCAAGATCCTCAGCCTCAGCCTCGACGTTACAAACCGCGCAAGCGTCGAGGCAGCCGCAACGCAAACTTCAGAAGCGTTCGGTGGCCGGGTAGACGTCCTCATCAACAACGCCGGATACCTGTCCGACTACGTGCCTTTGATGGAGACGGACCCGGACGAGTGGTGGTACGAATATGCCGTCAACATGCAAGGCCCGTACCTAGTCACCCGTTCTTTTCTTCCCCTGCTCCGCGCCTCCTCGCATAAGGTCTTGCTGAATGTCTCCTCCATCGCTGCACACATGATAGGCGTTTGTTCCTCATCGTACGCCACCAGCAAGCTCGCGCTGCTGCGCTTCACCGAGATCATGGAGTTGGAGCATGGGACTGGAACAAATGACGGTGTAGTAGCTATTTCCGTGCACCCGGGTGGTGTGAAGACTGAATTGGCGTTGCATTTGCCCCAGATGTATCATGCGGGTTTGATCGATACCCCGGAGATAGCGGGCGATTCGTTGGTTTGGTTGGCCGGAAAGAGGAGGGAGTGGCTTGCGGGGAGGTATGTCAGTTCGAACTGGGATGTTGATGAGCTGGAGGGAAGGATGGAAGAGATCTTGAAAGGAGACTTGTTGAAGGTGAGGATGGCGGTGAATCCCTTTCCTGATGTGTGATCATATAATGACCGGTCTTGGCCAAGCCGGCTACACAGCTTTGTAGAGAGTGGCGTAATGTTGGCTAGGTAGTGATGGCAATAGCAATGGTGGGTTCTGGGCGGTCATGTGCAAAATCGGTACAGAGTAGCGGAAGTGACTGCGCTTTTAGCATTTAGTACTAAATTGGTTCATGACAAACTTTTGCGGTGACCTCATTCTCCGAAATGTCCAAGAGCAGCGCAAGTTTTACGAGACCATTTGTCGCAGCTGCGAGTCAAAAAAAAGATAGAATGATTACTCCTTTCCTATTCATGGACACTGCATCGGCCGCCGCTAAGTGCTCATTTTGTCCATATTCGGCAAGGTAGCTGGCTAATAACCATATGCCGACGGCATCGCTCTACTAATCAGCGAGCCGATGCACATTCAGCCTTCCCTCACCACTGCCAGAGGCCAACTTCCGAATGACAGCTGCATCGGCCGCCCCCAGCATATGTGCTGTCCCTTCATCGTTCGAGAACATCAACACACCATGATCCCGGTGACACAGAAGGGCGCCAACACCTGCAACTACTGCCGGGTGCGCAAACAGCGCTGTGATCGTGCTTTGCCGAGCTGCTCAAGATGTACCGTGTACGTCCTTCAGCGCCAGTCTGATTAAATGTCACTGATTGTTGTGTTCTTTTCCTAGCAAGCTACGCCAGTGCGATTACACCTGGGCCAAGGATGTACCGCCCCTCCAGCCCGCTTTGTCAAGTGATAGCATCCCGATGTCAATCGGCCGACATGGTAATTGTGGCTTTGACCTGACCACGCGAGGTCAAGAGGAACTACTGCATGCTGGCATCGCATGCACGAAACGCGAGCCTAGGTCCAATGAAAACCTCTCGGAGCTTGTATCTGACATACTCGATCTGTCGGAGCGCAAAGTTTCCGGCATGATGGAAGAGCATGCCACTTCCATCCATCAATGGTGTCCTCTGATTGATGAAGACCTGATCCGAGAAGGGAGGAACGGTGCGTACGACGACTGCTCGTCAGATCTGATGCCGAGCCCGTTACAGTTACTGTGTGTGTTCATACTGAGCAGGCGACCATGCTCGCATGCCGAGCATGTCAACACCAATATCTTGTATACGACAATAAAACAGCTACTGGCAATCGGTCAAGCCGCCGGGGACGTCTCATTGGATTTGTTCCGGGCAGGCATGCTTACGGCGGTATACGAGTGTGCTCACGGATTGCCCAAGCAGGCTTTCGTTACGCTGAGCACTTGTGCCGCTTTGTTTGACCTGATTAAACTCAGTCTGCGGAAGCCGGACCGCGATCCCTGCAATGAGGAAGTGGTATCGTCGCTCAACGCAGCCATCATTATGCTAGATCGCATGATACCTTTGTCAAGTATCCTTGAGTCACTTCCCTTAGTCTGTCCGTCGAGACAAACCCTCAGCATATACATCGCAAGCAAGATAGAGCCAGTCATACCAGCTCCGTCACCCACGCCGTATGCAAGCTCGCCACGCAAAGTCCACATCAGAGCGATTGTGGCGCTCGAATCCGGTCGCGTCTCGGAGTATTCCCACGCTGCCCAGCTCGGCGTGGGCGCCGCAGACACTTACGACAAGGTCGATGCTGCAGTAGCCTTGGTTATCAAGAAGCTGGTGGACAAGCCACAGCCGCACACCTGGCTCCACTGCGACGCGATAGCCATGGCATTCTGGTCAGTAACAAGCCTTGTCACCGGTTGCGAAGATGAGTCTAACGTATGGTAGCTCTCACTTACTCCTCCAGCAGACTCAGATCGAACAACTTAAGGCCCAGGGCACATCTACTTCTGGATCAGTCGCTGCGAAGGCGCTCATGGCGTTGCAGTACTCTCGGCGCATGGCTTGGGACATGGTACATGTAATGATACAAAAGATTAAGAAAGAGGAAGATTTACCGTACCTGCCATTTGCTGGAGTGTGCTGCGTCATCCGCGCTGCTATTGCCGTGCTTGAGACCAAGCAGTACACCAATGAGGATGCGCCCAATGCTGAAGAGGTGCATAACTTCTTGGTTGTTTTGAGCTGGTTTGCACGGAGATGGAGCGTCGGCGGTGAGTTTGCGTCTTCAACTTTGCGTGAGCAGTGACCTGACTCATCGTGGACAGTACAATATCTCCAGCGCGCGCAGGAGCTGTCGTTTGGCTACTTTGTGTGACTTCCCGCTCTGTGGCCGCATCAGGACAATGACCCGCAGACATATTGTGCATAGCCCACCTGTAAAGCTGGCGAGTCACCGAACGACGAATAGGCCGGTAGTTAAGGCAATCACGCACGAAAAACGGAGGAGGAGCGGTAGAAAAAGGTATTCGATTGACCATGCGGTATCAAATCTATGATACAAACAATAAAAATATAAACTAGAATAACGGACGCCGAGTAGAATGCTAAGTCGCGTGAGGAGCAACGCGCCGGATAGGTCGCGCCGTGCGAAATCCCTATGGTATCTTGTAACTCATTATTCATGTCAATGTCACCTGGACACGACGGTAGGCTCGTGATAGAGCGGCCCAAGGGCGGATGGTCACCATTCTGAACCAAAACAGACACATTCCAGCGCTGGTGCTGTGAAAATCACCCAATGCCATGGACAGTCGACGGAAGCATTGTAGCACGCCTCGTCTGCTGTTGCCGCCTTCCACGTATCGGCTGTAGGGCGTCACATATTATCGGCGGGGGATATGGGGTGCCACAACGCCACCGTATGGAGCAGACTAACGGTGAGGTGGTGGATCCAGTCCTTGGTATCTATGATCATTTTTCAAAACTTCTGGTGGGCCATATCAGGATACGAAAGGCGGGGTTCCCTCCAATCTTTGGGTGGTACCGGAGGCGGCTTCTCGTCGCGCCACTGTTCCTCCTCATAGACAGAATCTCTGGAGCTCTTGAACGTCCCAGCCGTAACGGTACCCAGAGTGATGAACATCTCCTTGACCTGCAACAACCCACCTCGCTTACTGCTCCAAGGAATGGATAGCCCATCGCTCTGCTCCGACATCTTCAAGGCGTGCCTCGTGCGGACACGTTGGGCCCTGGACAGGAGCGGCCGGAGAGTGGGCATCGAAGCGCAGATGATTCCGACGTTGACTTCGATGACACTCCAAACGTTGACGCCAAGCGAGTCGTAGTAAGGATCCATACTATTGAGCGCGACAACGAGGAAGTAGAAGCGGATGACGGAGCAGATGGTGCTGAAAGCCCCGAGGCCGAAGACGGCGTAGACGGCGAACTTCTCTCGGGTAGGGCGTGGAATAGAGAAGATGAGCTTGTACGGAAGCAGTAGGATCCATACGTCCATTAGGATGTGAAAGGCAGACGTGACTGAAGCCATTAGCAAAGTAACTCTTGTCTGGAGGTATAAGACGTACTGTAGTAAAATGTCGCTGTATCAATGCAATGTCCAGGGACAGTGCCACTGAAGTCCCACATCTTGCGCAGGGGGATACACTCTAGAGGTACTATGATGATGACGATGGCCTGGTACGTGAAGAGCAGATATATGCTTCCCTTGCAAAGCCATTCGAAGGTCTTGGTGACCGCTGCGCGAGGTTAGGCTTGCCATTGGCCTTGATCTTCATTCATATCGGACGTACATAGGCGTAGATAGATCATTAGAATAGATGCCTTGATTAAGGTCACGGTAGACTTGTACACCACAATTACGGAAAGGCCCAACTAACCGGTATAAGCTACGTCCAAATCCGAGTATCGATGCGGGGGAACGTACCTTTGAGCTTGCCACCGCTTGCTCCATTGACAAAGACATGCCACTGTATCCCATCTTGAACACTTTAACGGAGATAAGTAGTTGGATCGCGAGAGTCATTGCGAGTATCTACGAGGAACTCGTGTCAGTCCGGGTAACGTCGATAGAAGCCTGTTATCTTACCGCAGCCACAATCATCGTCCAATCTTCGTTACCCATATTCCGGACAATGCGCGCGCGTGTATGGATCCGTAGGGCAACACATGCCACTGTTGACCGTTAGCAGACGCAGCTAGACAATTCCTGTGGATCACGCACTCCCAAGGATGGTCATGGTGACAATAGCCCCAACAGCGACATCTTGTCGCGCCTTCTCGTCACCACTTGGGTACATCAGCAGCGCAAAGGTGTTATCCGACATGACGACAACCAGTGTGCATCACAGTAGGGTGCAACGCGAGGTGAGGTGCCATCGCCCACTATATCGATAGCGCTCATGACTCTAGTCCTTCCGATCGAACCTAAATTGAGTTCAACCGTGAAACGAGTCGTGGCCAGTTCTTATGCCCCCTAGTAATCACAAACGCAAAATCCATCAGCTGCAGGTGATGCAGACGAGTTGCGGCCAGAAAGCCCAGGCATTGTGCCAAGCAAGGAGATGCTGCTAGGTAGGGTCCAGGTTTGAAGTGGGCGCAGGATATTGGCATTGCAAACGCAAACCTTAGAAACGGAGCTATGGGCGTGCACCGGATAGCACAAAGACTGCGGGGGAGCGATTCTCGGAGAGCGATTCTCGTGCGCAGCGCACGATCGTCCGCCGAGGCCACTGCAGGGCAAGCTTGAGAACAACGCGAAAGGCACGGAAGGGTATCCACGGCCTATTCCACGAAGCTGAACTCATTGACGGGATCGCGCAACTGTCAAACTGCAATGGACAGTGACATCTGTAGCGTGTGCGGGGGTCAAGGATATGCGTTGCTACGTCGATGCGTGGAGTGTGTGAGGTAGGTTTCAGATGCGCCGTCGTGCTTTGCGACAGCCGTGTCGATCGTGACGCGCGTTGAACGCAGCTATGTGAGACAGGAACCGGAAGCACCTGGACACAGTCGTGAAAAACAAGCGAGGCCTCGCTATGCCACATGGCGGGGCATTAATGGGATGCATGCAAGTGGAGATGTCATGTTGTAAGTCCGGGCAAGCAGTGCCCCTCGACGTACACGCAATGGTTTTTCCAGCTTTACGTACTGCGCTGCCCAAGACGAGTCCAAGACAAAAGAAACGCGTTGCGCATCTTTACTGCTGATGTTGCATTAGAAATCATAAAAACATTGCAAAAACTTGCTCCCTGCCAGATTCGAACTGGCGACCTTCGGATATCTGCTGCTGAGAGCAGTCATATGCAACTGATGTGATATGAGACCGACGTGATAACCGACTACACCAAGGAAGCGACAGGAAATCCTACGAGGTCAAGCTCGATTTCGGATTTGATGGAAATTTTTAAAATTAACAAAACAATATGCCACGTAAGTTGAGAAAATCCAAATACGCTAAAGCGATGCTTAGCGATACGCGTACTCGAGGTGGGGCAAATTTGTATGTGGATCGCTGTGGGGAACTATCGGAATGGTCTGGCGCAGTGCAGAGCCAGAACTTTTACAATCCTGACCTGCACTCCACCTGAGAAAGGCATCGCAGCACAGGTAAAATCCAAGAGAGGAAAGAACTCGGGTCGCAACACTGATTATACAGTAAGCGCCAACTAGAGGAAAATGTACCTCAGTGGGAATGCGAAATTGACAACTACATGTGTGCACGAAGCACATACAATGCACGAACAAAGCCCCGGCGCCGCCTCCCGCATTGCAATAAAATGCGACATATGTTTAGTACATTTCGATAATGTCGCTCGTAACTACCACCATGGCGGAAACTCACGTCCTCTTTCGAAGTAGAGGTTAGAGCATGCGTCAGCGGGGTCGTACATTATCTCGCTGACATCTGCGCCTGCGACGGCGGGTTGCTCACTATCCGAATGCACTGTTTGGCCAACAAGAGCTACAGCAGTGCGCCTCTGTTAACCCCAATCGTTGGATCAACGCGAGATTGGGATTTTAGCCGCGACGCTAACCACCTCGGTTGTCAGACGATCCGTCCGAAGGACCTCTAAAGACGGAAGCTAGAAACAGGACACGGCGCCCAACCCTTCGCACATCGATCTCCAACCTCCATTTGCCCTCTCACAAGGTCGACTGACGCATTTTCGACGCGTCGAAGCGTCGCCTGCCACCATGGAGCATCATTCGGGGAGCTCTGTCATTGAGCGGCTTACGGTGTTCAATGTGTTTGCCACGGCTCTGACGTATCTCGCAATCACCATCGCTCTCAGCTTCCTGCGCGCGCCAAAGTATCCCGACTCTTTGCCTTGGGTCGGCCACGGCAAGTCCTGGTCTGCCGCCTTGAAGAACACCTTTGACGGCTTCTCCAAAAGCCGCGACTGGCTACATGACGGTTATCGGAAGTACCACAAACAGGGCCGTGCCTTCGTGCTTCCATCAATGCTTGGTATGCCAACCGAGGTCTCAATCCCACGGTCGCAGATGCAGTGGATGTTAGACCAGCCCGACCACGTGCTGAGTACAAGTTCCGCGCACTACGACACGTTGAATGGCGACTATGCTTTTATATCATCAGCGATCTTGAAGGACCCATATCACGAGCGCATCGTACATAAGAACCTAGCGCGTAATTTGAACGCTATCATACCAGAGATGGTCGACGAAGTCAGTTTCAACGTCGCAGATGTGTGCGGTACCGATACAGAGCATTTCAAAAAGGTCGATTTGATGGATGGGTTCTTCATGAGCATCATCCCGAAGATCACCAACCGGATGTTGGTAGGGAAATCAGTATGCAGGAACCCAGATTTCCTCAAGAACATGATGGGCTTCACCACTGATGTTGTGCTTGGTTTAATCTTCCTTCCAATGATACCGCGAAGTCTGCACCCTCTTGTCGGCCCCATCTACAGCCTAGGCCCCAAGTACCATTACTGGCGGACACGCAAGTATACCTTGCCAATCATCAAGAAGCGGCTGGAAGATTTCCGAAAGAAAGAGGCAGGCGATCCAGCATACGTCGATTGGAAAGCACCGAACGATTTCATTACGTGGACGATTCGTACAGCAATGGATGAGGGACGAAACGACGAACTGCAGCCGAGTCGTATTGCGATGCGAATCTGCCCGCTTAATTTCGCGAGCATCCACACGACAGCCATAACAGCACACAGTGCGCTCATCGATATCTTGAGTGCAGATCCAAGTGTTGTGGAAGCACTGCGCGAAGAAGCTACTCGGATCTACAACGAGGATGGTAAGCAGTGGACGAAGAACGGTTTGTCGCGTATGTACAAGCTCGACTCAGCAATTCGCGAATCTCAACGATATTCTACCATGGCTATGAGCCTCATAAGCAAAAAGGTCATCGCAAAAGAGGGTATCACAAGCCCCGAGGGCATTCACTATCCGCGTGGATGTCTATTGTCTTGCGCTTGGCTCCCGGTCGCTCATGACGAAGAGTTGTATGCAAAGGAAGATGCGTACGATGCTTTCCGATTTTCAAGAGATCGAGAACAGTTTGACTCCATGGGCGAAGATGAGAAGGCAAGCGTGGATGTGCTGAAGTTAAGGCAAAGCGGCATAGTCACCACTGGTCTCGCAAATCAAGCTTTTGGACACGGAAGGCACGCCTGGTGAGTCCAAAAGTGCACAGAATCATTTAATAATCTCGACTAACAACCATGCCAGTCCTGGTCGCTTCTTTGTTGCACATGAGCTTAAGATCATGTTTGCACATTTATTCATGAATTACGATATACAGCCTCTTACAGAAAGACCGGGCCAGAGATGGGTGGGACGGAATTTTCTCCCTCCAAAGGTTGATATCGAAGTTCGCCACCGCAAGGTGTATTAAAACGTTGGGCAAAAGTTAGATGCGGATGCTTCGGATACAGCTTAGGTTTTATGCCACTGTTGCACCACTGAATTATGTATAACGGTTGAGCCGCATATAACATCATGCAGTGTGTTGGATCCCATCAGAAGTTTGGTACGAGTCAGCCTGATCGGCCTTTTCTTGGTTGGATAAGAAACCTAACGCAATGCCTGGGACTGCGGCAAAAACTTCATTCCAAAATCGCATTACCTCTATTTATGTTGCTTTAGCCACATGAACGCTTACAAACAGCATCACTCACTAACCATATATGCAGTATATCACAGGCATAATGGGCGCCTTCCCTACCTTTCCGGACGTCTTGATTCTCGAAGAAACCTACCAAAAGAGAATACTTAAAAAGCGCGCCCAATTCATCCGGGCCGAGACACAGAATTGGGCTATCCGTCATGTGTCGGAAGAAGAGATTATCGACTTCAAAGAACTAGTGAACAAACATCTTGCATTGCCATTAAAACTATTGTTTCTTGAGCCGATAGTCCTGCTCATGACTTTATACACATCAGTAAGAATAGTGTTCTGGTTCACCAACCAGATATCGCCGCTGACACAAACTAGTTCATCTACGGCATTCTCTACCTCTTCCTCGAAGCCTATCCAGTTGTATTCGCCGAATATCGCGGTATTTCGCCTAGCATATCGACGCTCATGTACAGCGGCCTGATCATTGGTGTTCTACTGGGATCCGCCATTGTCGTCGCCTTCGAGCCACGGTACAACCGCAAACTCAAAGAGAACCATGGAATTCCAGTTCCCGAGCAGCGTCTACTTCCCATGATGATTGGTGCTATTCTCTTCCCAATCGGGCTCTTTCGGTTTGCCTGGACAGGGAATTACTCCAGCATCAGTTGGGCTGCACCAGCTGTGTCCGGCATCTTGACGAGTGCGGGAATCTTGACCATCTTCCTGCAAGCGCTCAATTATCTCGTGGACGCATATTTGATGGTCGCTGCGAGCAGCATCGCAGCGAACACGTTCCTGCTGAGTTTATTCGGAGCAGGCTTCCCTCTCTTCGCGACCCAGATGTTCCCCAAATCAGGCGTCGACTGGGCCGGATCCTTACTTGGTTTTTTTGGCTGTAGCGTTCATGCCGATACCCTTTCTCTTTAAAGAGGCTCAAGATTTGGACAAGGCCCAATAGATTACAGACATAGTCTTTATTTTTGCTGGCTTACTTGTGCTAGAAAGCTTCTGTAATTAGCGCTGATGTTGTATGAATTCTCGTTTCATTTCTAATGTAGGTTTGGCTTTCACTAAGTTTTCGCGGTTGAAACCACGCATTATCTTTTAGCGGCTTTCTTTCGCGATGCTACTGCGGCGAATGGCTGATGGGTGGGAGCGGTGTGTCGTCAGTGACTACTACTTCCACATGCGCTCCAAAACCCCGCCTCGCGTAGCAAAGGCGAGCGATTGCACCAGTCTGATCAACGCTGTGACGAGTCAGAGATCAGCAGTCAGCATTAATTTTACAGGGGCCTTGCAACGGTGATTTGTTCCAGTGGGTTGCTGATAGGATCAACGGGCAATCTGATTACTATAGAAGCATGTATATGATGCCCAGGTGAGGGGCGACCTCGGCGGGCCACTCGCATCGCCAGATTAGGGTGCCCTCCTCCAGTCACCACCTAGGCACTATATTGTATATTCTAGAGGCACAAGGATTACAGTCGACTCATAATCAAATCAGCAGGCAGAACAAAACGTGAGACAATAACGGGAGACACTTTAGTAGGCCTTCTAAAGCAGCCGAAAGGAGGCCATGCTCGCCTCATGAGAGGTTTGCATCAATTGATCTTATACAATGGTTGCCATCTTGGACTCATACGAAGAGTGTGCTGCCGCTCCCGTCAGCGATGGCCCGCCGGGGATCAACACCGTCTATTCAGACGGTATTTCGCCCACAGCAGGGCTACCCGTTGTTCCCGGAGACATAACCGCAGAATGGCTCTCCCAAGTTCTCAAACGCAAAGTATCTTCGGTCGCACTCGGTAGGACCATCCCTGGTACAGCCACAAAAGTGTTCATCGCGGTGACCTTCGAAGACGAGAAGGATCCCAAAGGATTGCCCGTACGCCTGTGCGTCAAGGGCGGCTTCGACCCCGATTTCATCAAGATGATGCCGTGGATCGTTATGATCTACCAGCGTGAATGCGACTTTTACAATCAAGTTGCACCAAAATTAGACAACATGAAGCTGCCGGCATTCTGGTGGGCAGGGCACAGTTCTACTCAGGGTATTGTGATCCTCGACGATCTAGCCGCACAAGGCTGCGACTTTGGCAATCCAGCAGAGTCGTGGCCTGTATCTCGCGTCCTCGCTGGTGTGGAACAGCTTGCTGCATTACACGCGAAGACATGGCACACACAGGCATCGGATTACCCGTGGTTGACTTCGGACTACGACCAGGCCATCCTCACCCTGATGAACACATACGACGCAGTGGTGAAGGGTCCCAATAGACCAAAAATACACGACTATCTCAAGGACCAGGAGCGTATCACCAAGGTGTTGGAGAAGCACTATGCTTTGCGTAACCCGAGATTCCGATGCCTTCTGCACGGTGACTCGCATACAGGCAACACATACCTTGTGACCGACGTACCGCGCTTCCTTGACTGGCAAATGATCCACATCGGCAGCGCTTTCCACGATCTGTCCTACTTTATCGGTGCAGCCTTATCAGCCGAAGACAGGAGAGCGAAGGAGTGGAATGTTGTCGAGCATTACCTACGTGTGTTAGAGAAATTAGGAGTCGAGCCGCTGTCAGTGTCGGACAAGGAAGTAAGGAACGAGTATAAGATGTCGTTTTTGGCCGGTATCGGCTGGATAATGTGTCCATACGAGATGCAGATCAGAGAATGCGTGCATCCCATGGCGATGAGGTATGCCGCTGCGATAGACGATCACAAGGTGTTGGAGTTGGTGGAGCGCTTGCCAGAGCCGCAATAGCCGAAGAAAAGTAAATCTCTTATGTATATATGACACTATAATGCAAAGTCGAAAGACAAAAATTACTGTTGTTGAGATAAATCTTTAAGTCTAGATGTGTTTCGCTTCACACAAATGCAATACTGAATCTCAAGCTCTACGGTTTTTGCGCAAGAATCCCAAAGTGCGAAGGTCCTCACCATAGTCACACTTTACATTAACATGGAGAATACCTAGGTGCCACAGATATGGGTAGAACCACGCTACAAGTAAGAGCACATGTCAAACAACTCCAGCTCAAGCTTTTTCTCTACAATATGTAGTTGCGGGTCAGTCTCTTGCCAGCCCTCAGACAAAAGCAGGCGTCGTGCGATCTGGTAGAAGTGATCGAACGAATACGACGCCTCATTGTTATGGTCAGAAAGGCGACATCGATGATACTTATAATGAAATAGTTCATCACTCTCAGCCTTGCGCCGGTTTGAGACCACGAAAGAGGTGGACGATGGATTATCAACAAAATCGATATCCATATTGGTGTCTTCTGTTGGCAGTAATTCCTGGAGGGCCTGAGTCCAAAATTGAAGCGCAGGTTCGTCCATCGAGAGGCGATCATACAATAGCTGCATCTCGGTGAGGCCCACTTCGTAAGTACTATTCACTTGCATTTGCTCTCGCCAATGATCCATGACAAGATTCCGCACGTGGCAATCACGCAGCTGCGTTGCGAGCTCGTAGATATCGAGTGTAGCTTCGAAATCCCAAATGATACGCTTGCAGCTCGCGACAGCGGCACTAGGGTCAGAGCCTTGGGGTGTCAGTGTAAGATCCCATTGTGGGAGCTTAGAGAGGCGCAGTGGGGAAAGGCACTGGATATAGCGTTGTAGCGTGATGTGTGCCACGCCAGTCAACCAGAGCTCCTGGACATTCGTATGCTGACGATGTTCGACGTATGCTAGCGAAGACTTTAGTTCTTCTGCACCAATGGAACAAGCGCCCACGAAACGCTCGCAGCTATTCGCGAGCAAAATCCTTACCCATGGCTGATGTTCATGCTCTGGGACAGCCCAACTGCTTTCCACGTATTGACGCAACTCCCCCACTTCAATCTTGTCTCGTTCCTCTCGAGATATTAGATTACTGCCGGCGTTCTGTGTAGCTTTGACCTCATTAGTATTGGTCTTGTCGCGTTCCGTGTACTGCTCAACACCGGCGGGTTCAATACCTATGTCGGTGACAGGACTGTTGACCACTCCCTTGTTCCCAGTGAAGGATTTGATTACCTTTCCGGGCCTAGGACGCTTAGACTTGTTCTGCTTCGGTGCGTACATAATGTTGCGCGGATGCTTGGGATAGGCGTTGTACACCTTCTGTTTGCCGTTCCTGTACCTCTTCAAGGCAGCTTCGGCACCTACTTCCTTGTTAAACTTGTTGCAGTATGCAATTCGAAGCTCCGTATTCGTGAGCGGACCAGAGGTTGTAGAATGACCTTCTGGTGCGGACAAATTCTGTCGGAAGTTCTCTTTTGCAAAGACGATGAAGACCAATTCTTCCCATCGTTCGGCCATCTCGGCTACTTTCGGGTCAAGACGTTTCGGATTCATGGGAACCTCCTCTTCTGGTTGCAAATTCTGCTCCATCGTAGCGGTTTCAAGCGCCTCTTTGAGGGTATCTGGCTGGTCTGGATCATGTATCAGCTTGTTCTTGGAGGCATACTCGTCTGTTTGTAGCATTGAGCCTTCCTCTAACGCGCCATAACGAGCCTGAGTGTCCTCCAGAGACTTTTGAACCTTGTTTGGCAACTCCTGTAGGCATGAAACCGAGAATTTACGCTTGAGAGACATTCTCAATCAGCTTGTCGCCCAAGGCATTCAGTGAGGAACTTTGATAGAAGTACTATGACCAGAAGGCGTGGCTATATGGAGATTCGAGAATTTCTCCTTGATAGTTCATAATACTCTGTTCAACATTATCAGTACACGATGAGACTGGTTCTGTTTGCCCTTGTAAACCGAGAGTAAAACAGTCAAAGTCAAGCATGCAGTAGTTAACGTCCATCCACCCGTAACGGAACAACCACCGTAACGGAACAATTCATCGGTACTTTGACTTCGCAGCAACAGTGAGCTTGCACACGCCGTAATTTTTGTGATACTCCTAATTTATAATATCCCCAGGCAACTCCCAAGTCCTCGTAAATTTTCTAATACAAAATTACGTTTGCATGGGCGCCCGCCCACCTAATTTGAAGAGAGCTTATCTCAATAGTGAAAGCAACCCTCGCCTTATATAGACTACTACCACGCTAATACTGCTATTGTAGCTAATAAATTTCCCTTATACAGGTCTGCAAGTGTAATAGTAAAAGTAAGAAGTGAAAACTAGACGTAAGGTTGTGAGGCGCGCTCAATTCATACAGAGCCGCCATCCCAGAGGGTACCTCTGATCGGGACGAGCACCTATTCTACCTAGCACAGAAGTATCACATAATCGTAATGTAATCTGACGGCTACTAGCCACCAAGCGGAGATGTGGCAGTTGAACCTGTGGCTGTGCAAAGTCTTTGGGCCGACGTATGCCTCGCAGTCTTGCGATCAAACTCTGCTTCCCCATCGACCGGCTCACCTCTTGTATATTCGCCACCTCACAAGCCCCTGGCCGGTGCGGGTCGGCCATCCTCCCTGCTAGCTGTGGCAACTCGAAGTACCATCTCACATAGACTGCACCTTACACTGATTTCTAAGCGAACTGTGGTTTTTTAGCTATGCTGTTTCTGTGCTACGTCGAGCCTGCCGCTTTAGAGACAATCTGCTTGCCACACCTGTCTCTTGCTAGGCATTATGAAGGCCGAGTATAGGTTGCGAGGGCGGCCTCCCAAGGCTGTGCACGGGGGCGGCTCGACGAGCTCAGGCGAGCGCTCTTGTCTCGTGTCCGCCTGCAAACATGCGCAAGCAGTTCAATAAATTTCATCTGCTTGCTTATTCAACTTAATTGATGCTGCATCGAGGAAATAAGCCTTGCAGGCTTAGCATCCTATTGTAGCGGCCGGGTGGAGTGATATCGATAAGAGGCGAGCCCGTCCTGTTGGGCGCCTCAGGTCCGCAACCTCCAGCCGTAACTGGGAGCGCTCGCCTGAGCAAGTCAGCCGGGCGGGGCTGAGCACGTTGAGGCCGCCCTCGCAACCCATACTCGGCCATCATAATTCATCGACCGCGCTTTCTCTCACAATCCATATCCACCCATCTTAGCCAGTTCCTAACAGCGCCTTGCCCTGGATTTTCTGTGTTTACTGCTTCCTCGACCGAGAAATGATGTGGTAACGATGCGGCTTCTTCACTTCAATCGTTCTAAGAGACTCGTCTTGACCGACTTCAGCGGGAAGGCCATTCCACCCTATGCTATCCTTTCACACAGATGGGGAGATTCTGAAATTCTCTTTGAAGATCTCGGAGGGAACACCTACAAAGAGAAGGAGGGTTATCAAAAGATCAAGTTCTGCGCAGAACAGGCGGCTCAAGACCAGCTTCAGTACTTCTGGGTTGACACATGCTGCATTGATAAATGGAATCTTCGCGAGCTCTCAAAAGCAATCAACTCGATGTTTCGTTGGTACAGAGATGCAGCAAGATGCTATGTATTCCTACCAGACGTTTCAGTACCTATTGCAGCCGACATACGCCAAGAGCCTGCCTTAGAGGCATCCTTTCGGGCGAGCGAATGGTTCGCTCGGGGCTGGACACTTCAGGAGCTTATTGCTCCAGCATCGGTCGAGTTCTTTTCTTCCGAAGGACGGCGGATAGGCGATAAACGGTCTCTCGAGCAGTGTATACACGAGATTACTCGCATCCCGGTCAAGGCCCTGCAGAACTGCCTATTAGACGAGTTTACTATACATGAGCGAATGGGATGGGCCAAAAATCGCCGGACAACTGAAGAAGAAGATGAGGTATATTGTCTTCTCGGACTTCTCAACATCTTTATGTCTACTTCCTATGGCGAGGGAAAGGAGCACGCGCGGAGAAGACTCGAATTTGAGGTGGAAGCAGCCGATGCCGCTCCATCCATCATCCCATTTTCCCAGAACGACCATTTTGTTGGCCGGGAGCCACAGCTTGCTGAACTGGAAGCAAGTCTCTTCACGGGCAAGCAAACCACAATGATGGCAATAACCGGACCAGCGGGGACAGGCAAGTCACGGCTGGCGCTCGAGCTTGCGTACCAGACAAGACAAAAGAACAAGAACTGCTCGGTCTTCTGGATTGATGCAAGCGACGCAGACAGTCTCTATCGGTCATATACAAGTATTGCGCAAAAGCTTGACATTCCTGGCTGGGCAGATGAGAAGGCAGATATCAGGCAGTTGGTAAAAGATCATATACGTAGAAAGGCTTCACAGCAGTGGTTGCTCATTTTCGACAACGTGGATCGCATAGACCTAGGTTCCAGAAATATACCCACAACAAAGGCCGCCAACTTGATCGATTACCTGCCACAGTCCAAACTATGTTCTATCATCTTCACAACCACCAACAGCGACATAACTGAGAGACTAGAACTACAGAAGATTGTAGAGCTTGGGGAAATGACACCTGATATAGCGAGAAGGACGTTGCAGAACTATTTAAAGACTCAAGTTTTGGAAAGTGAGCAACAGGAGGCGAGACTTTTGCTGCAAGAGTTATTATATCTTCCCCTAGCAATTGTTCAAGCAGCAGCGTACATCAACACTAGAAACACTACGCTAGGACACTACCGATTACAGTTGCTTAGGCACAAGGAGGAAGCTCGCGAGCTTAGCTTTATACCATCAGAGGGCAGGCTACAAGAATATGGCACAACAGGCCCTGTAGCCACCACACTTTTCATCTCAATGGACCAGATCCGCGGTAGTGATCCACTAGCGGCAGAATATCTGTTTCTTGCGGCCTCAGTAGACCGAAAAGACATCCCGCTCGATCTTCTAGATGCACCCTCCCCTCGAGAAAGGGAAGCTGCGATAAGAATTCTAAACAGCTACTGGCTTGTTACCAGGCGGCCTGCCGAGTCTGCACTTGACCTCCACCAGTTAGTACATAGTGCTCTACGGGGATGGCTCCAAAGGCAAGAGAAGCTGGGCCAATGGAGTCAACACGCCATTGCACGGCTACTTAGAGTGTTCCCAGACAATAATCACGGAAATCGAAGCAAATGGAGACGATTACTTCCCCATGCTAGGTATGCTATATCTCATGAGGTCCTTAAAGAAGAGCAGGGAGATAGGATAGACCTAGCATGGAAATACGCTATGGCATTGCACACTGACGGACGATATGACGAGGCCGAAGAGCTGTTTGTGCAAGTGATGGAGACGAGAAAGAGGGTGCTTGGGGAGGAGCATCCTTCCACGCTGACT